GATGATGAATAATTTAGCTATACTGAACTTTATTGCAGCCCAGTAATGAGAAAGACTCGCACAAAGATGCTTGACTTCAATTCTCTATAAACCGTCCAAAATTAAGACAATAAGATCAGCTGTTAGTCATAAGCAGGACGAATGCCGTCTACAATCGCAGGTTCAAATTACGAGCACTGATAGGGAGAAATTCGTTCCGCCCGTTACGGGTAATGGTAGTGTTTTCCCCTCCGTGGGCAACCCCTCTCTCACCAGGGAAATCCCGACTCCAAAGAAAACAAATAAAAAAAAGCGCCCTCCCCCCCTCCCCTTCCTCCACGCACAGACTCCATCACCGCCGTCCCCCTGACGAGACCCCCCCAACGAGACCCTCCCGACGAGATCCCCCGACGAGATCCCCCCGACGAGACCCTCCCGACGAGACCACCCCGACGAGATCCCCCGCCTCGAAATAGGCAGGCAGTAAAAGCTTGGGCCTAAGCCCGCGACGAACTGGCAGCTGGGGCAGACGCGCCTGGCACGTCGACCAGGGTGGGCTGCGCCCACATGACCAGCTTGGACGCTCCGATTGTCTCGATCTAGGGGAAATGTCAGAAATCAGCACTAGTCAAATAGTTTTTCTTTCTCTGTTATTGTGGAAGAGGAGTGTGCAGACAGAGGGAAGGGAGTTCTGTAAACGACGGTGTTAGCTCGTCCGCCACCTGATGCGGTAGAACGTCGTGCTTATGCCATCATCGCTGCTCCCGGTATAGATGCCGTGGGGAGAGCTTGGAAGGAGGTCGTATTGAAAAGTAAATGGGCGAAGGGATTTGTGGTGAATATGAAGCAGGTGGGATGGATTTGGGGGCTACTTGGTAGTTGGAACTGGGAAAACACCGGCCAGTCACTGAATCTGTCCAAGAATTGCTTATCACACAGTTCCGTCGTTATTGGGGCTGCTTGTGCCATATGCGAAAGTGGGCTCGAAGTGCTTCCCAGGGACGATAACAGTGATGTTGACAAGCTAGAGCGCACGAAGAATGGGTTTCTCGTGTAGGAGCTGCAGGTTCGTTGCGTGTAGATATCGAGGACTGCCTGTCGCCTTTCAAGTCGCAAGTAATATAGGTGATGTCTCCGTTGGAAGATGGAGGGAGGAAGTAGCAATGTTCGGAGAATGTACTTTGAGCTAGGGAGGAGGGGGAAAGAAGTGTGTAAAAAGGGTCACTCACCACCGGCTCCTCGCTGTCGTTCAGCCAGGACGGCTCGTCATCTGGCTGGGCCGCAGCCCCGTTGTCTTGTTGGGCCGCAGCCCCCACGCTCTCTTGAACTGAAGCCTAGTCGTCTTCCTGGGCCAAAGCCCCAACATTCTCCTGGCTCGCGGGCCCGGCTGTCTCGTCGTCGCCGCCGCTGCGGCCGCCCCCCGCACGCTTCTTGCCCCAAAGGGCCGCGCCGAGCTTCGCCTTGGCCCGACCAAAGGCCCTCTTGGCCTTGGTGCGAAGCGCCATTGTCGTCTTTTTTAAATTAAAGAAAGTTGTAGCTAAAAGTGCGTCCTGGTGAGCATCGTGGTCTCAGCTGCCCGAGACGGGTACATGTATAGCTGGAGAGCTTTGAAGGAATGCATTATAGACGATTGACGTGCATTCGTTATGACTGCTAGAGAGAAGATGAGTTAGCTTTGATATGATCTCGCAGGCATGAAGAAGGTGAGTTCTTGCAACCAGCTGGGTTCAGCCTTGCCGTTCTCGTTGGAGAATGAGAGAGGGGCGAGGAAGGAGAGAAAAAGAAAGGAAGCAGAGATCATGGAATCGGTAGAAATACCAAGGCAGCGGGCACAGTTGCTCGGTTTTTGTGGGTCAAAAGCACGCGCGCTCAAACGCCAAAAGAGTATCCTATTGTCTGGTTTTCTGAGTCTATTGTGATATCAAGGTGACTGCTGTGTCCGGGGAGTCACTGGAAGCAGTCCTTACCAACCGATATTCATCTCACTTTGTCAACCGCATCTTCAGCCCTGAAAAGTTTCATTGTTCAATTCCTGAGATAAAAACCTTGATGATATGTACTAAATGAGCCAGATACCACCCAATAAGAAGAGCTATTACCTCATTGTCGTGCTGCGAGAGTCAAGGAATTGGACGCCGAGATAGTTGGATGGCAGAGGGGATTTAACGACCTTAGGGCTCGACCCGTTGTCTTCGACCAATGTGAAACGTATGTGAAGATTCGGGAGCTATGGCATAATTAGCGATTTCCCTCCTATGGAGTGAGCAACGCACTCACCACTCTTCGTACTATAGTCTTTCTATAATAAAACTCCTCTCAGTCTTCTTCAGCACCTTCTGTTGCGCCCAGAAGACCCCGAAAGCAGAGTATAGTCCCGCTCTGCAAGCTACAGTGCCGAGTCCACTGTAGCACCCTGCACAGGACTAACTAGCGATAAAAAATGGCTTCGCGCGAACCCCCGGCCGAATTTGACGATCCCTTCGCCCTGAGCGACCGTGAGGACGATCAGGACCGCACACCGCACCCCCCACCGGACCACAAGCTCCTCAACCACAAATATGAGTCCCTCGATTAATTGATGGAGCATCTTCAAGCCTGGGCAAATAGTAAGGGCTTTTCCGTCAAGAAAATGCGTACCAATAACTACATTAAAGACTTTGGTCCTTCGCGAGTCGATATTTCCTGCCTACAAGATAAAATCTGACCAACAGAGGCTCATTTGCGCAAGCCACATACCAAAAGGCGAGATTGTCAGTTCAAGCCCGTTGCAACAGCTCTAGCCCTAAACAACAGACAATGGACCTTACAGATCAAAGAGCGAGCTCATAACCACCGCCTTGAGAAAGATAGCACCGCCTTGAGAAAGACAGTAACGATATCTTTATTCTCTGCCGGGGCTGGACCAATGAATAGAAGGCATTCGTAGCCAGTTATAATGACCGGCTGAGCGTCAGGAACCGCGATATCAAGATTAATATACAGAAGAAATTCACGGGCATCTAGGTCACCAACAGACAGCTCCGCAACCTTCGTTATAATACACGTAAGGATGATCTAACCGGACACCTTCCTTTCTAAGCCACGATGAAGCTTCTTAACGACAAAGGCATCGACTATGCAACTCTTTAGGCGGCTGAGGAGAAGACTAGATCAGAGGGCTTGTTTTGGACTGATCCCTGGCGTGAGAAGATGTGGCAACTTCATCCCTGGGTACAGATGTACGATAATAGGTATAAGACAAACAACAAGGGCCTGGCTTTCTTCTAGATCTGTAGCCTCAATATTCTGGGCAAAGTGTCACGGCGCGCAACGGCCGTAGGACACTATAACCCACTACAGGTTGCAAGTCGTCGACTTGCAATTCTGGCATCCTTTTGGGGGTTCTAGCGCAGCGGTAGTGGGTGCTGTGAGCTGGCGCCGTCACACAAAGTCTTCAATTGTACTTTCGGGCTGATTAATAACGAACGTTAGGAAGGCTTTGACTGGCTTATAGATTAGGTCAATAGTTATCGTGAGAGAATTGGAGCTGGAAAACTGGCTATTACGCTTACCGACTTCGATAACGCGATGAAGAATGCGGTGGCGCGTGTTTACCCAGAAGCCGATGCCTAGATCTGTATTTTCTACATTGACAAGAATGTGGTCCTACAGGTCAAACAGAAGTGGGATAAAAAGGCTACAGCAGAGGTGAATACAACGTATTTAGCACGACAAGCTCAAGCTGGCTCCGTACCTGAAAACCGAGCCACTAATGCCGAGGAATCCGACGATGAGGGTAGGGAAGTCAAAGGTTGAAGGCAGTAACGAATGTGGATTCAAAGCTAAGAAAGAGAAAGGAATCTATCGCAGGGTCCGCGTAGGGCGCGGAGAAATAGGTGGTGGTACTGAGCAAGTGAGGCAGTGCGCACAGACCACACTCTAACCACAATGCAGCCAATAGAATCAATCCTGTCACATGAGCCCTGTGGCGACCGTGACAACCTCATTGTATATTTTTATACTAGCCCCTCTACCCTTAGGGCGGCTTGTCTCAAGCAGCCAGATTGCCTTGTTACTTCAGAGTTATCACTAGTAAGCCTGTTGCCTCGTTCCTTTCGACGGCTCATTAGTCTGCGAAATTAATCTCGTCGTTAATATCCCACCATGCTTTAGATACGCCGTAACGTCCCACCATACTCAGATACGCCGTAACGTCTTCTATACTTAGATACTGTCACGAGCCTTGGCAGGGCAAACCATAATGGCCCGTGCGCTCTCGGCACCCCACTATACCCCCGCACCCTCGATCGTACCTTTGTAGACTTTCTTTCTTTCTTTCTTTACTTTTAGAATCCTAAGACAATGGTATAGCCATACTAGCGACTCTTCTTCCTAGATGCTGTTGACCGCCGTCACAGATACGCCGTAACGTCTTACTATACTCAGACACGCCGTTAACGTCCTACTTTACTTCTCAGACGCCGTCAAATACGCTTGTTAAACTATTAAGCCTTAGGGCGATAAGTCCGGGTTCTATATCATCGCTCTGGTATGGTTCGACCTTCGACTTACATGGTAGTCAGACCTTCGCATCCTAGCCTTTCTGGGGTTAGGGTTGAAGGAAAAAGGAGTCCACTGTTCTCGCGCTTCGCCCTTCTCGGACTTGGTCGCGAGCGTTGGATGATTTATAACACAGTTGTGATTTGTAATGGCATCCCAAGGCCGACATCGCGAAGACAACTTCACAAGAAATAAGACAATCTCTGTACCCAGATACTCACTCATACCTCGGTATGTAAATGTGTAGCCATCTCCCACTACATTGAGACACAAACCAGACGCCAGACGCGTGTTGCCTGGCACTCTGAGCAGCAGTTCCTAGCCACACGATCACAACCCCCGCCCAGAAATATGGTGTTTTAAATACCAGTCCATCTGCTGTTTCCAAGCATGTCCTCTCCAGCTCTCTATGCTTTCCCTACCATAACAAAGCGGCCCTGAAAACATCCTATCTCTAGAACACAAACAAAGAACTAGACAACATGGCCCATCGACCCATTAAATTCGCCGCGCCGCCCGCGATCCCTCCCGGCTCGCTCATCCTCGTTACGGGCGCCAACGGGCTCATCGCCAGCCACGTCGTCGACCAGCTGCTGGCTGGCGGCTACCGGGTGCGCGGGACGGTGCGCAGCCTGGAGCGCAGCGCGTGGCTCGAGCCGTGCTTCGCAGCGCGCCACGGTGCCGGCCGTCTCGAGATCGTCGAGGTGCCCGACCTCGCGGCCCCGGGGGTATGGGACATGCAGTTCTCAAGGGGCGTCGCAGGAATCATGTCGGTCGCGGGGTTAGTTGATCTGATGCTCAGCGACGTCGAGGCGGCTGTCGCAGACGACCTCGCGGCCGTGCACGGTATGCTGCGCGCGGCACAGGCGCAGCCCAGCGTGAAAGCGTTCGTGCTCACGAGTACCGTGTGGGCGGCCTGGACGCCCGAGGCCGACGTGGCGCGGACGGTCACCGAGGCCTCGTGGAACGACGCTGCCGTTGCATTGGCCGGCGACGCGAGTGTGCCGCGTGATGGCAAGGGCATCGCGCCGTTCATGGCCTTCCGCACACGGGTCGAGCAGGCCTGCTGGGACTGGGTCGGCCGCGAGAAGCCGCGGTTCGCCTTCAACACGGTGCTCCCCGACATGGTGCTGGGCACCGTCTTCGACGCTCGCGCCCAGACGGCCAGCACGTCGGGCATGGTCAAGTGGCTGCACGACGGCGCGCGCCTCGACGTGCTCGAGCGCATCCCGCCGCAGTGGTTTATAAATGCTGCCGACAACGGCCGGCTGTACCTGGCGTTGCTGGCGACGGGCGTGAGTGGGCAGCGCGTGTTTGGCTGTGCGGGGCGGTTTGGCTGGCCGGCTGTACTTGAGGTTCTCAAGGCGCAGTATCCGGAGAAGCAGGACTTTGTCGACTTGGCGGACGCCGGGCAGGACAAGACGGAGCTGCAGGTGCAGTCGGATAAGGCCCTTGCTTTGCTGCGGGCCACTGGGCAGGACTCGTGGACGAGCATGGAGCAGAGCGTGAGATCTGCAATGGAGAGCTACCTGTCTGTGTAATAATAGGCATTTTCGTTTAGTTGGTTTGTGCGAGGAAGAAGTGGGAAGGAAGAAATGGGTTTCAAATTTAGATTGACGTACAAGAGAGCTGTCCATATCCGTCTGTCTACTAGATTCCAAACCGGCTTTCTCTAATCTCTCCCACGTCACATTACTCTGCTCCTTTAAGCTTCCACTTTCCACTTTCCACTTCCACTTTCTAGAGCGGAGCCAGCCGACCAGGCTGAGGTAACCCGTATTCGCTAAACTGTCTAACAGCGAGGCTTGTTTCAACCTCCTGTTCTTGGTATTCCCGTTAGTATAGGATATTCTCGTTATTTCTGAGGCCCAAGAGGCCCAAAACCTTCCAAAAACCACCCTTCTGAAGCTCTTATCATCTGTGTCCACGCTCACGCCATACTCCCAGAGGCTGTCTCTTCAACCTCTGTCGTTCCATTTGAGCCTCCCACCTCTTCTTCAACGAGCCACCGGAGGCGTTCAATGTCGGAGTCGGTGGTCTTGCAGCAGCCGCCGACCAAGATGGATTCCCACTTGCCGCGGGCCCGGGTCCCCTTGACAGCTTCAAAAATCTGCTCTTGCCATGGAGTCTGTTGAGGCGGCAAACACAACGTCAGCACTAGACCGGCAAATAAAGCGGCGCAACAGACCAACCTACCCGTGAAGTTTTCTCTTCTTCTGGAAACTCCCACGTCTTAGTAGCGGTGTTGTAGACCTCGCCGTTGGTGCCGTCGGGACACAGCACCAGGCTCGGCCACTTGACGATACCCCCGGCGTCGACAAGCGCCTGGACGGCAGACTCGAACCTCCTGAGCAGGCCCGGCAGCTTAGCGACCCTTGTGCAGTTGATGCCGATGCCCCAGGGCACGACAGATGCTACCTCGGTGCTTAGCGCGGTGACGACGACCTCCTCGACCGACGTCCCGTCGGGCAGCGTCTCGCCGTCGCCCGGGAAGACGCACGATATCCACGCGCTCATGCCCGTTCTCGAAAACTCGCCAAACCGAGTAAGGAGGTGCGACTGCGCCGCCAGCAGGCGGCGGATGGCGAGGATCTCGTCGACGCGCGGGATGGTCTCGAAGGCGAGGTAGTCGGGGACGCGCAGCAGGCCGGCGACCTTGGCGAACAGCATGAAGCGCTGCGTATGCCAGTCCTCGAGCTTGTCGGCCGTGTCGTGCTCGCCGTCGTACCGCGCGCTGTACTCGGTCGACGGCACCATGGTGGCCCCGTAGGGCCCCAGCGAGAGGGCGACGCGCGGCGCGCCCGTCTGGCGCGCGATCAGCACCGCGTCCTCGAGGAACTGGCCGACGTTAGCGATGCTCACGCCCCGCGGCCATTCCGCCGTCCGCGTGGCCGCGAAGCCCTCGATCGACGCCTGGTACGTGGCCGTCAGCAGCACGTCGGCGCCGGCCTGCGCGAAGTCGGACTGGCAGGCCAGCAGCTTCTGTTGGTCGGCCACGAGCAGGTGCGACGACCATAGCGGTGTTTGCTCGCTGAACACGACGCCGTACTTGTCCTCGAGCGACGTGCCGAGGCCGCCGTCGAGGATCAGGATGGGCGTGCCGTCCCTCATTTTGCGAGTCCGAGCTGCTGGACGGGTCGGACGGGCCGGAAAGAGTCGTGCATGACGGGATACCCGCGTCTCGAAACAGAGGCGCGCAACGTCGGTGGTGATGATGCCAGGTGCCTAGTGCTTCCCCGCTTTGGGGGTGCACAAACCCAAGGTCCGCTAGTGGGCCACTTAGGGCACGTTATACATGTAGCCTTGGCACAGTCAAGTGCCCTGTCGGCCTTGCAATATCTGGCTTGGCTAGTGGCAGTGCTCCGCGGGATTCTCAGTGGAGCAACTGTGGAGGTGCAGCTGTGGAGGTGCAGCTGTGGAGGTGCCTTTCCGTTCTCTGCGCCGCTGAGAGCGTTTAAAGTTCTGATCAGCGGGAGGGGCCTAGCTCTCTGTGTAGTGTCGCTCCGGGATGGGATAGATGGCGTAAGAGAGGGTCGCTGTCACCCGGGTTTCATAGAGCTCACTCATTGTTATGCAGCTTACAGCGTACACAAACAGCGTTGGCTAAAAGCCCTGATCCTAAAAATCGAAGCCGAGACGCTCCTTTGGGCCGACAGATCACATGAATGCCTTTCACAGGCGGCTAGCCGCAGCTGGGGCGGAGGGTTGCTGGAGGATTTGGTGTAACAACCTCGGGGCCAACAGCTGCGCTACGGCCAACAGCTGCGCTACCTGGCTCGTTCGGACTCTGCATAAACTCGGATGTATATGGTGGTAGTGCAGCATGCTATCTACATATCGGTGCACCCGTCTTGCTCAGATTGCCCTGGCATTTGCGAGCCACCCAAAGAGCATGTACTGCGAGATGCCCATCGCTTTCGACAGCTAATAATTAACTTGACTAGTAATGATCGAGTTCAGTCTGATCACACCAATACACGACTCTGCAACATGCACTTCGGCCATAGCAAAATGCCGTGGCTGGTGCTCCTCACACTTCTTCTCTGCCAATGGCAAGCCGCACACGCCTGACCGATGCCGCTCCACACAACCTCGGTCACATCTCCACTGCAACTCGTCCACACAACCTCAATCACATCTCCACTGCGGCTCGCCCACACAACCTCGGTCACATCTCCACTGCAGCTCGCCCCCGGCACTCTCGACAGGAGGATAGCGTCGCCAGCACACATCAACGACATGCAAGACGTTGCCTCAAGGATAGCGAGCCCGATTGCTAGGATCGAAAGAGATGGAACACCAGCGGCGGTTGAGTCCCGGCAAGAGGCAACCATCACACTCTCGACACGTCCTACCGCTGCGCTCTGGCAAAGAGCAATCGACCATATGCAGCGGTTCAAGTCGTCCCACAAGTCGCCACGGCTGCAGGCAAGCGGTCCGTGTTCGATGGTGTCGAGGGCTGAACGTCGGCCTCGCCATCGTCGTCGTTGTCGGCGTTCTCTTGGGCGTCGGCGTCGTTCTCTTGGGCGTCGGCGTCGCTAGCATCGCCGTCTTGGGCTTCGAGTGGAGGCGATACTTGGCCAAGTCGGAGCCGAGGCTGTGAATTTACCTAGGCTGTGAAGTTACCTAGGCTGTGAAGTTACCTGAGGATGAGCTGGAGGTGTTTGCTGGTTTGTGGTGGAACCGGGGGAAACGTTCACGGCTGCCACAATGGACCCCCGGGGGGGGAGAGAGGTTGGCGGGAAATTGTAAATTTTGGAAGGGAACAACAGAAAGCCGGTGGAGACTTCGCGAATGGCCCTGCTTGGAATCTGCGGGTAGACAGTGAGCTTCCACGTGGAGTTGTTGGCGGGGAAAGAGCCAAGGGCATTGTTTCTGGGCCGGCCCAGAGGACAGGGGACGTTTTGACTAGGCGGACTTTTACAGCGTGAATTTCTTCTGTACAATCACAATCCAGTCCCTGATTATGTATTGCCAGGGGCTTTGCAAGATTTGAAAGGCCTCGAGTATTCCAGTGGAGGAAACCTCTTGGAATACCTTGAGAAAACATGGGACAGCTTCTTTCAGTTGTCATTAGGTTTACATGCAACCCATAACCTAAACCCCACGGCTGAGAACGAGAACGAGCCCGGCCAGTGGCACTTGAAAGCGTTTGTACCCCCGTCTTTTCTACGCCGGCCGAAATTCTTCCAACACTTCTATTAGAATTCACCAAGACATACAGCCCCAAAACATTTGGATCGCAAGAACACTAACAAATCCGTATCGTGTTCGGTTTAAGCTCGTTGATTTTAGAGCCGCGCATGTCCGGAGCTGTCGTAATAAGGACTGGATACCATGGGCGCCCAGCAAAAAGCGAATGGGGGGTTCAGCGCACCAGAGTCACGCCGCGATGACAGCTTGACGTCATATCTCCGCTGGTGAGCAACATCATTCTTGAATACATGCTCGTCGCAAATCCTGGTGACCGAGCAAATGCCACTAAAGCCTACCAGGCGTGGAGTAATGAAAGCAGCAGCGCCCGGCTCATGGGGGGCAGAGAAATTTCGTATCCCTCGCAACTACCACCTGTCTAAGAGGACAAAGCTTCAATTCGAAAAACAGGCGTTCCTGGTAATATATTAGTAGAGATTAATAGGGTAATGATCGTAAACTATTCGGCTTATCTGTTTATAGCTAGAAAGCGATAAATCGTACGTGCGATTGACTGAAGTTGGTTATATTACGAGGTTGAAGAGGAAAGTGGCTTATTTTAGAGGGGGAGCTGGCTAGAAAGTGGCAGGTCATAGCTCAACATGGGTCATAAAAAGCTCAAAATGGGTCATAGAGTTTGACCCATGTTGAGCTTTACAGTCAGCACATAGCATATACTGAAAGTCAGCCGACCAACCCAAAGTAGAAAAGACCGGCGAGTAAGGGTAGACATCTGCAACGTACAAAAAAAAATAAGATTCAAAATAATATTGCCGCACAATTATTACTCTGCTTCAGCATATGCCGAACTTGGACTCAAAACCCAATCCAATAATACCAATTCAGGGGAATTGATCCGCAATGGATGCATCACCAACCCACAAAGGAGCAACAGCCGACTTTGAGAACAGAGCCTTCAGGCGCCACGTGGCTTATGCCGAGTATGAGTATGAGCCTACGCCGTCCTCCTCTCCTTCAGACGGTACCCTTAGCGATACCGGCGACGAAGAGTCTGCAGGTGATGAGGATGAGCAGGTGCTCGAGCAAAGTGTGGACGATGCGGTAGAACAATTCTGGAACGATGACGATGATCCGATTGCGGAGACAGCGGGAGAGGTCGTCCGAGGGATGGGTTTTACCAAGGTGAGCTGCTCCAGCATATGCTGAACCTCGACTGACTTGAAGCAGAATACTTTTAAGGATTACGGCCTAATTATCAGCGGTGGCTGTAAACATATTATCTCTATGGCTGAGATTGTTAATAGCATTACTATTCTAAGCTATCCTTTTACTCATAAGGATGGCATAGCCACTTTTATCCACCTACCAGAACCAATTCTGTACGTCGACCCGTCGAATATAAATATTCTTCAGGAGTTTCCTCGTGTATAGGATCAGTTGAGCATGTAATTAGCTACATTTTTCTATATTTGGCATGCGAATTGCTTCGAAACTGAACTGCGCAGTCGTTGTTCAAAGATCTACTATTTTGGTGTAAAAGGGGTGATCGGGTGAGGGTGGGGGTTGGTACGGTAGAAGTGAGCGGCCTCACAACTATGCAAGTGTTTCGTCCAATGCTTCAGCGCAGTGTTGCAGGAGCTGTATAAGATCGAAAATGAGCTCCATGTCGAGATTATCCCCGGGACGGAAATCATGGCGGACGTCGAGAGCTATCATTTCGTCAAGAGCGAGGGCAAATCTAACCACGTGCTTGTTCCCCAGCCTTCCAACGACCCCCATGACCCCCTGAACTAGACCAAGGCCTGGAAGCCGTCGGCTCTGGTCGCCGCCTCCACCATGACCTTCTCGTAGGGGCCAGGGCGTTACACCGCTGGCCCTCTCGCCCGCCTTTGGCTACCTGATGAGGGATTACAACAGGTCTCTGTACGACGTCATCTAGTTCTCTAACTGGTAACCCTACCTTTATTTTGCCTCGTTCAACTAGCAAGTCTCAAAACAGTTTTGTTAGTGAGAATTGTCGGGGACGCAACGCCGGAGAAGCAATACAATTTACGGGTGAGTCCCCGAAGGAGTGGCCCTCGAGTTTTCGAGGTGATCAGAGCCACCCAAACGCTGTTGATTTGGGAAGACGAAAGATTCGAAAATAAAGTGGCCTTGGACAGGGCAGGGTGTCTTGGCAGACCACTCCTAATGTTCATTATCCGGAACATGGACGGGCTAATTACCCGGTTAACTCTCAAAGGTCGAAAATGCGGTCGACAATGAAAATTTCATCAACTTGAGAAGAATATTGACGCACTCTCCTCAAGATACCAAAACGACAAATATAAATCAAGGAAAGGGTACCTAGGTAACTATTGAGCAATTAAGAATTGGCAGGGCCTCCGTAAGCCGTGATTTAACCCCAACTGAAATCAAACAATCCCAAGCCAAAAAAGAAATGCAACAACCAATCAAACAACAACAGCAATACAAGTAGCAACATCATTCCTCAAAGCCGTCTCCCCAACTCAGTTCTCATCAATGACGGGCGGGCAAACGGCCACATAGACACCGGTCGCCGTGTTCATGGCGGAACCCAGCCAGCTATCGAGATGCCACGTCATGGCGTCCTTGGAGAGGGACGAGTGGCTGACGCGCAGGCGCAGGTTGCGGCCGCACTCGTATTCGAGGCCGCTAATGGCCATCGTGACGGCCGGCGCGGCGCGGTACGCAGCGGCGCTGAAGTCGACGACGCCAGCGTTCTCGGGGCCGGGAATGTCGTCGGTGCAGAACGACCCGCCCGCGATGTTGGTGCCCCCCCTTGCCGCCAGCCGTAGGGAACGCCACCCACGTCACCGTGGCGCCGCCCAGGTACACGTTGGTACCGAGACACGCATTGGAGTGAGGTGGTATATATGTACGTAGTACGTACTATGTCCGTGTCGGCACCCGCCTCGACGTGCAGCCGGAACTTGAACGGGCTCGCGTCCGGGGCGTCGTCTTGACCCGCCACGCCGCGTCCTTGCCGAGGCTAAGCCTGTAGAACCACGCCAGCACGGTCGGCGGCGCCGCCGAGTCGGGGAAGCGTTCGTCGAACTTGATCGTGGTGGATGTTTTGAGGAGCGACGAGGGCGATTTTTTTCCGCCGTTGGCCCCCCACGCCGAAGCAATATCCCACTGGCCTGTCCTGATGGCCGGCTCGCTGGCCGATATATCTCGAGCCACGAGCAGGCTGCCGAGTACATGCGCGAAGTAGGGCCCGACGCAATGGAGACGGTGAAGTCGTCTTCCGACACGTCTTCGGCGCGCGCTGCCACCGATAAGTTGGTGGGGATTGCCTTGTCTGGCCTTTCCTGTTCGCGGAATTGGAAATGTTGCTGTTGGGCCGCGGACGTTTGCGTTGGGGCTCCTTAAGAATGTAGTAGTCCGAATAGTTACTCTGCGCCTTATCTTCCTATTTCTCCTTTCAACTTTCCTCTTATGCCTACTATTTGCATTCCCTTCTCGGCACTCGTCTCCCCCTCCTTCCTCTTATTTCCGCCTATCCCCACACGGAGCCGGACCCAAGGGGCCGGTCGGTGTTAGGACCAGTGCCCCTTCTTTGAGCCGTGAAAACAGGGTTCACTTTTGGCGCTGCATCCACTCGCTACCCACGGCACCCCCACAGTGTTTACTCATCCTTTGACAAGGTTCACTTTGGGATGCTGGCTGGGCCTAGACGGACAGCTGAACGCCGAAAAGCATTGCTTTTTTTATATTGGAGAAATTATTCCGCATTGCTCGTGGCATGTGAGAGATTGCAGTACAACAGGGCCGGTGGACCGCCGACTCAGATGCTCTAATCTCTCCGGTCCGCTCCTACTGAACTCGATCAACACTTGGGTGCTAGACCTTTCCTAGCTGGGAGCGCGCTACTCGAATCTGACGAATTATCCATCCCTCTTTCCTACGTTCCGCGTCTCGGGGCCACGGCGCCGGATCCAAGGAGGCGTTCGAAGGCGTTGGTGCTAGGGCCAATCTCGGGCAATGGGAGCAGGGATCCCGCTCCGAATTTTACGCGTTTCCCATGTTTTCCCCATGTCCCCTGTCAAAGACGCGCTCGCACAACTGCACTTCTCCGCAGCCTCTCTGGTTGCCTTTTTTGCTCCCCATGCACGAACCAGACGAAGATGGGTCGTCCCCTTGGGCCGTCGCGGCCGTCGCGGCCGTGTGTATCTCCACCACACTATCTGTCCTCAGTCTTGTGGTTTTGGGCCTTACACGATACCAAACTGACCCTAGTGGCGGTATCTTTTCCATGTTCAAGAAGAGAAATGCACCACGTCCTATTGTCCCTCGCCAAGCTCTCTTTATCTCCGTTAGCCTTACTTTCGACTGTCTCCGGATTCTCCAAATCTCAGTTGCCTTGTTCATCTTCCCCCTGTTCAGCCATAGCAAACACGAGTTTGCGCTCGTTCTAGCGATATATGGGAGTCTGGTGGATGTAAGTCGAGGAACACAATATGTGGAATTAATCTATTTGATCTGACAGTAGTAGTGGATGTACCCGATTCGTATCTGGACGGAGCCGAGAGGTGTAGAGAAGATATTCCTCGCATTTTCCTGCAGCTTTCTAGTACCTGGAGTGTTCATTGGGAGCATTTTCTTGGTACATGGGCGCGGGAGCCCGGGAGTGTACCTTGCCAGAAAGCTCCTGCCGCTGTCAATTGTCTCTCTTGTCGGCATATGGTCATTCATCAAGTGCAAGAAGATAGTAGGGCTGCTTCGCTGGCCATAGAAACTGTGGGCGTATTTTCTTTTGATTTTCTCTTTTCTGCCTATGGGCTGCTGGGTTGCGTTGTTGAAGCAGCAGAACCAGCGGAATGACCTAGTAGTAAGTCCTTATCGATCTAGCTGCTGACTTGCTTGTTTACTAATGATATAGATATTGTACTACACATGCCTACCGGTGCAGTTGCTCTGGTCATTTGGTATGCTATCGGCATGGGGGAGGCGGAGGTAGAGGCGGAAGAAGCGGAGGGACAGGCAGGCATCTGGGACTTCTTCGTCCCGAGGAGGGTATGCATTACGAGCCCTGTCAGACTCTCGAAGACGAGCGATGGGAGCGGCCGCTACACTAGGCGGAACGTCTTATCGGCCGCGGAGTTCCTTTTCGAGTACGGTGACTACGGTGGTGAGCCTGGAGGTCGACAACAACCATGGCTCCGAGAGGTGGAGAGTGCATCCCACGTCTCGGCTTGACTCACATCCGGCGGCGACTTGGGTATAAAGCACCGGATCACAGGACACTCGCCGAATTACAGCTGTACTTAGACACAGATATTGTTGGAATAGCGATGTTGGTGACCGTACTCTACTCTGGAAGGGAGGCGGTGCGATGCACGTGCTAGCGCACGTGCTTACAGGCACGTGCGCCGCACGGCCCTCGCACGGCCATGTACAAAGCCAAAGACCCCCACCATAGATTTCTAGAGCAGAACATGAATCAGAACAACTTTACACCCCCCCCCGGTAGTACTACCACTTTTTGACCCGTTGGAACACCTACGTGGTTGGAATACCACGAACAGATATGGCATTTTTTTGTGGCTCCTCTACGATGAGCGTGGCTGCATATGTCGGCGTGATGAAGGCTGCAGAGTGGGCGGCAATACAACTCCGCTTTTGGCGGGCGTGATAAAGAGCAGGGGATGAGACGAGGCCGGGAAAAGTCCTGTGGTATTTAAAGAGTCGGACGATCCCTAAGGAGATTTCTTGAGCATAGATGAACCGATTCGCACTTGTTGTTTTTTAACTATACTATGGAGAGATTTCGGGAGTACTTCTTAGCTGATTGGCAGGAGAACCTTATTAGTATAGGTACCTCTACTCTCCTCGTGTTTCCGGTCATCCAAGCGCATTAGTCGGGATACTCTATACTCTTCAAAATTTCAATCTATTTTCTGGTCTTCTTTTTTACATTTATATCTTGGCCAAGGCTTAGGTACTGGGTGTCGGCTGGCCGACGCCTCTGGGATCCGTCGTCTGACGCAAGTACATCTACAGCTTAGGTGGTTTCATTTTCGTATGCTCTTTTCTTTTCTCCTTCTCTTCTGTTGGTATTTTCCCCAGGAACGAATTCTCAACCTGTCACAGTTTTACGCGATACATAATTTCCCTGACCTCAATCACGGCAAGGGTGCAGCCCCCAGCAACACGACGTCTTAGCCGCGCTCTCGCTCGTCTCTTTCTTTCCTCCTTTACTTGATGCTACATTTACACAACATACTTCGTACCTATCTTTCTCTCAGGTTCTCGCTCCGCTCTCTCCATTCTTTCCTGTTCCCCGAAGCGGGGCTTTGCCCGTCTACCCACCACGCTGCGCCAAGAGCCGAAGAAACTGCCTGCCTGCCTGCCTCCTGGCCAATTTTTTTGACAAGGAGGAAGCTAGGAAGCGGAGAGGACGGAAATACTCGTGAGTTGACTTGCAAAGTATGCTGCCTGGTCCAGCTGATAGAGTGCTAATTGACATACGCCTGCACAGTACTGGACTATTGCAACACCCGTATGATCTTATTGGTGACTCTCAGCAATCCTTAGGCACAGGCCTCGTTTACAGCACCGAATCTCCCTCAAACAAACATTCTCAATAACCCTGACCCTTTTGTCAGCACTATTGTGGAAAACATGGAGGGCTCCCTCTCTCCCTCACCGCCAACATTCCAGAGCCCTTATCCCTCCTATCCCCTTAGCGCGCAGTCGAACTTACAATACACTCTCGACGTTTCGCTTCCGCCCAAATCCGATCAACTGCCACGAGGCCAGAGTAGTATATCCCTTCAGGATGTCAACACGCCACAAAAGGGAGAAATGAATCGGCAGATGGCGCAGGAGCAAGCGAGCACAGCTAATGAGGCACCGCTCTACGTCAACGCGAAGCAATTCGACCGTATCTTAAAGAGGAGGACCGCGCGGGAGAAACTAGAGACCAGGCTAGGTAGTAGGAGCCGCCGGAAAGCCTACCTCCATGAGTCGAGACACAACCACGCGATGAGGAGACCAAGAGGCCCCGGGGGACGCTTTTTAACCGCTAAGGAGCGAGCGCAACTGGAGCCCACCCAGGGGGCACCCGTTAGGGGACCTTCAGACGTTAGTACGGGCAGCGAAGCGGCCGTGCATATTGAGGAGAGAGGAGGGGAAACTGTACTGGGGAGGGCACCGGCGAGCGCGCAAGAAGCAAGAGGAAGCTAAGTTGACCATGCCTATTTTGGCCAGGCCCACTTTTGGCCCATGCAAGCCTCCATGCACTTACAACACATGTGATGAATCCTTTTTCTTCAACACACCGCAACTTCCTCAAAACAACACCAAATTCCTTCAATTCTATTACAATCGATAGCTCTTTCACTGTTATCTCGAAGATGCCTCAATATAACGAATTGGAAATGCTGCAGGGCATGCAATAAGTCAGCGAAGGCATTCCGGTGCGGCGCGCGGCCCTAGAATGTGGCGTTCCAAAGACCTCTCTTCGCAACCGTATAGCTGGCCACAAATCCCGCCATATTGCATTCGAACACATGCAGGCTCTTCCTCATGCGACGGAAGCCCGGCTCGCCGAATGGATCAACCTCCAAGGCGCTCTCGGCCTGCCTCCGACGCATGCAACGGTCCGGGAATTTGCCCGCCGGCTGGCCGTGGACGGAGGGAAGCCGGAATGGGTAGGACCGAAGTGGTTGCGCGGCTTCATGGCCCGGAACCCGTCAATCCGGACCCAGCGGGCCCAAAGCATGGATACGGCCCGCCTCAACGGCGCCACGGTCCCGGTAATCACGGCTTGGTTCAACTACCTGGCCCTCCCGGCAGTCAAGCTGATCAACCGGAAAACCGTTGGAATAAAGACGAGACTGGCCTTCTTGAAGACTAGGGTAATAACGGCATGGTTCTCGGATCTGAGGAAAGAGCCAACAACAAGAAGCTAAAGAAAAAGAAGTCAGGATCACGGAATTGGACCACGTTCGTGGAATGCATCTCTGTAACGGGCAGGTCAATACCTCCTTTGGTAATCATGAAGGGAAAAACCTTACAACAACAACACTACCCAACCAAAATGAGTCCCTTTAAAGGCTGAAAGTTCCACACGCAAGAAAAAGGCTGGATTGACGACGAGGATGCGTTAAAATGGCTTCAGGAAGTCTTCCTTCCTCATACCCGCACGGCCAACAACGAACGCCGGCTCCTCATTGTTGACGGCCACGGCAGTCATACAACTGATGATTATACGTGGACCTGCTTCCAAAACAACATTCAGCTTCTTTACTTACCGGCACACTCATCACACGTGCTTCAGCCGCTTGATTTGACGGTTTTCTCGGTCCTGAAGCGGGCATACCGGAAGAGGTTTAACTCCCTACCCCGGTGCTCCGATTCAACGGTCTCCGGCCGGCGCACTATGTTGATCTGTTACCGGGCTGCCCGGGAAGAAGCATTCGAGGAAGAAAACTGCAAGGCAGGGTGGTATGCTACCGGCTTGTGGCCGGTAAATAAGCTCAAGCCACTCACGAGCCCTCAAGTGCTAGAAAATAGCAACAAAGCCGGTAAAAGTACGGCTATAGCTACTCTCGAGGAAGGGATGGATACGGCTCATCAGCAACAACAGTTGCTTAACGATTACGGCACTTGGAAGACTCCTAATAAGGTTACGGACCTTACGATTGCTTTGGCCAAAATAAACATCAGCTCCCCGGCCCGCAGGGCACGTCATCAGCTATTCAGGAAGGTCAGGAAGGCATTCACCCTCAGGGACTTTGAGCTGGCTAAGCTCAGGCACGAAAATGAGGCTCTGAAAGCCGAGCTTGAGAACAAAAAGGGAACCAAGAGGAAGAAGGTGGAATTGAGCCCAAATTCGAAGTTTGCCTCGATAAAAGACATTCGGCGCGCGCAGAGGGCAGTAGGGCGCGAAAGTGACAGCTTTGACGAATCAGAGGGCTCGGAAGAAGAAGAAGAAGTCGAAAGTTGTATAGTAATTAGTTGATTTGGCGATATTTTACATGCTTCACTGTAAGGTGTCATTCATGAGTCGGTGGCTCAGCACGGACCAAAAGTGGGCTGGGCCAAAATAGGCATGGTCAACTTACACGAAAGGTAGATGAGGAACGGCAGCCAACTTCCTAGAACGCTGGAGCCGGTCGTTGGGGCAAGGCAATGCTAACTTTGTAGATTTATTGCTTGACATGTCAATTAGAGTTGTTAGCCTGGCGTAATTTCTGTTCGTTGAACTGAGGCGACCGAGGTCAGGACCAGTTACGTCTTCTATCTACACACTGTCGATGACCTAGCAATAGAGTCGTCATTTAGATTGGGGTCTACGGAAAATCCTGGGGCAGTCCATTTCCTTGCCGCGACAGATAGATATACGGATGGGTGTAAGAGGGTCCGAGAGTAGAAGCTGGGCAGGGTGGGACCTCAATCCCATGGGGCGGCCACCGCTCTGTCGGTGCCTTGGACGTCTGACTCGGCATTGTGGTGTCGTATATCTCACTGTATATAGATACCATCCGATATTGGTTTCGCAGGCAGCATGATCCTCAACGAGAGCGCGCACCAAGCTGCACAGAAATAGATAGTGGGCCCTGAGCATGACACGCACACTCAGCTGAGAGACTCCCGGCATCATGCATCCCTGTAGAATCTGAGCGCTTGGTTGTTTCTGCCCTCTTATTTCTCAAGCTCTCCTCGATTTGGACCCCAAGCTGTGAGAGGGATGGTACTTGGAGCCCCTGCTGCTGCTATGAAGCTGCTCGAAATTGGAGCGCTACTGGCGCCTCCAACTGGTGCAGGCTCTACACTAACCTCTAAAGAAGGAAGTCGGTCGCACGTACGGCCACTCTCGCTAGACACCCGTCTGTAGTAATCCTCATGCCGGCATAGCCTTGGACTAGCTCCGTTACCATCGAACGAAGGCGGGCCGGCAGAGGCTATTAAGCTGCTTGGAGGTCCCGCCTCGCCGTCACAAGCTCCCTTGCTTTCCTACCTCGGCCGCGTTCACTTGTCGCGGCTGCCCTACCCCAGCTTTTCCCCTAGACATCTACTCCACGCGGGCCTTTCGACACTCCAGTGAGTCAGAGTCTCGAATACCAGACGCCTCGGACCTATTAAGCATCGGCCTAGTCGCGGATACAGCAGCCAATTCGTGCCACAGGCTGCCCTCCGGAGCTCGAGCAGAGCACCGACAGCTCTACGCAAAGGCAGGACGGAGCTAAGCAATCCCAGCCTGTCTTTCAGCTACCTGATAGCAGGGCGCCCTCGCCCCCTGCCACCCAACTCTTCCCATCATGGCCCGACCAAAGGTCCCCGACGACAAGCGCCGGCGCACCGCCCAGGCTTGCACTTTCTGTAAGCGCCGGAAGTTAAAGGTTAGTACTGTATATATCGTCCCGGCTGGCACTATCAGTCCGTCTCCATCTCTGTCTTGGGATTCTTGCGTTAGCCTCGTGCTCTCCCCATTCTATTTCTTTCGTAGCTTCATACCCCCCTCTACTCCTCCTTGACAACCCCCTACCCTCCAAGAGATCTCGTTGAGCAAAGAGACGCCGTATTTTATGTTCGCTTAACATGAGATACAACTCTGGCCCCTCGAAACGTTACTCTAAGTGCCGGCAACTTGCTGTGAGATGCATTTTCGCTGATGCTCGTTGCTCTCAGTGCAACGGCCAGAAACCATGCCAGGCGTGTACGAAGAAGTCTCTGACATGCCTCTATACGCTCAACCTTGGGGATTCGCCAATGTCGCCGCCGACGGCGCAAATGACGCAGATGACACAAATCACACAGACGGTACATACAACGCAGCCAGTCCAGTCGCCTTCGAATAATAGACAGGCTCCAAAGCCTCCAATCCACAGCCCCCGAAGCCAACCCCCGCTGGCGAGCCCGAACGGGCAAATCGAAGAGATTAATACCTGCACCGATACCAGGATATTAGAGGATCAAACTAGACGACTTCGTATGTAGCATATAGCATTGACTATCTGCTGCCAGGCGTTTTCTGACCAACTTTTCTACTCCAGTATATATCGGAGATACCTCTACTCTCTCTATTCTCCAGCTGATCCGCATCATTGTCGAGGAGACCGCCGGAGCCGACATTACGTCTCCGTTTGTCCACGACCCCAACCGGCATCGCATAATAGAACACACTATTGACTTCCCCGCAAATACTAATGTTCTCGGTCTCCTGCCCAAGAGACAGACGGCGGACATTCTCATTGACTCGTACTTTACCAACGTCAGTTAAAGCCTTTTTACCCTCCGTCTTGAGCCTAGCAGACACTAACATATACTGGCTAGACGTGCGGCATAATGGAGGTATTTGACAAAAGTCATTTATGGCGTCCGTCGATATCTACTACAGACATTTTCCGTCCGAAAGCAACTATTTTCTGTGCCACCTGTTCCTAGTTTTTGCTCTGGGTTTGCTTTTTGCGGCCCCAGTTCCCGATAGCCCAGAGGAAGCCGTGATTAAAGAACAGTTGTTAGCAAGACCGGACAGGCCGGAGCTTTTTTCCGAAGTGCCAGGTGTATGAGCGACCCAGAGGCTGGTTTCGAGAATGCCGACTTCTGGTCCATCCAGGCATTGTCTTTAATGACTGTCTATATGCTGCCTGTTTCCAAGCAGAATAGAGCCTATGCATATCTTGGTTAGTTTATCCAGTATACTACATATTACTACATTCCCCAACGTCCTTACTCTTTATAGGCATGGCGGTCCGGTCGGCTTATGCCCTGGGATTACACCGCGAAGAGACTATGCCAAAGCTCATCTTCTCACCAGTAGAGATAAGGATACAGCGAAACATGTAGAAGACGCTATTGATTCTCGATAGCCTCCTAACCGCCACCCTCGGGAGGCCCGTTGCTATCTCGGAAGACGATTGCTCATACGAAATCATGCCTGGAAATGACTATGCAGATAGTTGTTTGGCGGCCGACGGGCCAAGTCCGGATTTTGTTCACGCCAAGTGTCTGAACGTATGTATTCGTTCATGTCATGTCATTAGGGCCACCCTGAGAGTCCTCTCACAAAGAAAGATATCAACCACCATGGTCCAGGAGATTGCCGATATGTCCAAGGACTGGAACGAGGCCCCACAAGCTAACCTCCAAGGGCACAGAAACCCTTGTCGTCCGGTAGATGCCGCACAAGGTATTGGAAACCTACACGCAGGTCTTTTTTCCTTACACTCAATAATCCTCCTAACCCGACAGTTCTTTGTAATGTACAGCTAGGAGCTACAAAGACATCGCTCTAGTCTGGCTAAGGAGATACCAAGCTATGATTCACCAATAGCCAAGTACTCCGAGGCGTGCGTGGTCGCATCGTATCAGACAATCCAGTTAGTCCAAAGAGCCAGAGAAGCGAGGTATCTTTCACAGAGGAACCCTTTCGTCGTGTAAGCTTTCGTCTCTCTCAAAGACCCGGTTATATTAGCGGAGCCGGCTCCTGGCCGGTCTCTAAGTCGTACATTTCGCTAGCCGGCACTCAGATACTTCCTCTTCGTAGCGAGTCTTAATGTCTTCATGAATCAGTTTGCATCGATATACCACACAGATGCCTATAAGAAGACGGCGATGGATGCCATTTCGATCATGAAATATTGTGCTCAGCACGATCCAGAAGCAAGCAAGGCACTCGAGATTATGAACCGATTTTCGGAAGTCGTCGTAAGGTGGACAAGAGATGATGCGGACCGCGCACCACCTCTCTCAACCAATCCCAGCAACCTTTTCAGTCAACCGCCAAGTCCGGAATTGTATTACTTGTGGCCCAATTGAATCAACCAGCTCGGCCTGTCTAACAAGTGGGCTTTAGGGGCCGCCTCATGTATGCAGGTAGTGGGGGCTGTGTATGAGCAAACGAAGGCGGAAGGGGCGTGATATTACACGGATCCCACTAGAGCCGCGTACGCTAGGGGTGCCACGAAACGCTCGATAAGTACAGCTGTATATAAACAACGACGTAGTATCACCAAAATTGCAATGGGAATGCCATACCTTTCCTCGTTAGACGAATATACGGGTCGCCATAGACCGCGGGGAACGGAACTGGTCGGCTGGTTGTCAGCAGCAGCTCTCTGCCACCATGCTTGTCAAAAATCCGAGCGCGCCTTTTTGCGGCATTTGGCGACATTTTCGGCCTCGATCCTGATCTCACGGAGCTGGCGTCGTTTGTCAGCTTCGATGCAAGGAGGATGGAGGCAATTCTCTTGCAATCCGGTGCAATTCTGGGGTCTGAGACGCCTGTGGATTTTGACGTGTTATTAGGTGAGCGACTGCTGCTGCAACACATCCCGATTGGGGCTCTGGATGAGGTTTGCAAGGTTCTGCAGACAGAATTGGTTCACAACATTGGATACGGAAAGCTGAATGAGATCCGGCTCACGATGTAAGAATGCTAAACCCCCATGTGCCACCTCTCTAAAACTTGTGCTTACCAGCAGCAGATCAATACTACATCGCGAGGTGCCTTCGCTCAAGGATGGCGGGGTTGACATGCTGGTGCTCATATGCAGTATTACTCTCTGTTCTACGGCTAAGCCCGGGCTACGCAGCTGGCTAGCCTCACGGGAGGGCGAGAGTTTCTACCAACACACTCTGGAGAGAATGCTCGAGTCACGGAGCCCGGAGCTGAAGGTCTTGGTTATCACGGCTCTGCTCTGGCGCAGCCGAATTCTCCGCTTGAGCACTAATAGGTGTTTAGGTCCTACGCATGGTTCATACTTACTTGATTTCGACCAGTTACTACGCGGCCGGGCCGGTCTGAACGAGCAAGCCGTGTGGGAGCGGATTGCTCTCTCGTTCGAGCGTGTTATGGGTGACGGATGCCATCCCGCTATCCGCTACTACCTCTATAATGATTGAAGCGGAAGCAATCAGTAACTTGCCACTTGATATGATGGACGGGCTATCTGATAAATACTGTTCATATATGATGGGCCCTCTACAGCACGTGGATGCTTGGACAAAGACTTGTCAAGAATTCGAAAGCCGCGTTGACTGGCATAATGACGTCCGGGACGATGAGTAGTTCGTAGTAGGGGAACAAAGCTTCATTAGCGAGTCTGCAGGCGGAGAGGAGCAGGGTGGGCGACGAATCAAAATATTCGCTTATTCGTCAACGGATAATTCCGATCCGGAATATCGCGGATATTGACGAATATTCGTAGCTGACTAAGCACAACCTGCCACCCAACAAGTGTTTGGCTGCCCAACGCAACCCAACCACCAAAACTTCACCAATTCATCAATTCCTTTAATCCACAAAGATGTCTTTCATTTCTGAGGGTTCTTCAATATCCAGAGATACAGGCCGAGGCTCAAGCTCTGTTATAGAGCATACTCGGCTACCACAAGACGACGAGCCAGCGCGAAAAGGCAAAAACCGCATGTATTATTGCAAATATTGCGAATCATGGGGTGCTCAAAACACAACCAACTTCCGGAACCACCTCAAATCCAAGCATGGAATCACGACTACCAACCAATCGAGGAACGTCGATGATCTCAGCAATACTGTATTGCAATCTCTATACGAGAAAGCAATGGTGACCAACCAGACCTCTGAGTTAGACGCTCAAATTATGAAACGAGTGTTAAATAAAGAGGTTATCACACAAGCGGTTGCTTCACTTATTGTTGTTGAGAGCCTTTCTTTCCGGATTGTTGAAAGTCCATACTTTCACACCGTTTGCAAAGCCCTCAATCCAGCTGTATCAAACGAAGTCATCGCATCACACTCGACAATCAGAGAGCATATCAAAAAATCTTGGATTTCGAATAAGGACATCGTTCGGAAGAAGCTTCAATCATCCCTTTCAACAATCCACCTCTCTCTTGATGTCTGGACTTCCCCAAATCAGAAACTGTTCCTTGCAGTTTGTGCTCATTTCGTTAATCTTGAATCGGAAACCCTTCAGAAAGCACTTATCGGCCTCCCATCTATTTTGTCACACCATGCAATAACACAACACGAAGCTCTTCTCTGCGTTTTGAAGGATTATAATATCTTTTCAAAAATCGGGGCAATCATCGGCGACAATGCTTTTACCAACGATAAGCTTTATAAAGCCCTCGAAACAACTCTCAGCGAAATGGCAATCCCTTGGTCATCATCAGATAATCGAATCCGATGTAATGGCCATATCATCAACCTTGCTGTTCAAGCATTTCTGTTTCAAGATATTGATGAAGAGAATGAAGAGATGAATGTGAAGGAGGTGAAGATCTCCTTTGATCTGAGTCCCCTGATCAAACTTCATAATATCGTCAAACATATCCGAGGATCCCCTACTCGAATTAGCTAGTTTATTTAGCTTGCTGGCCGAATGATCCCTTTGGATAATTCTACCAGGTGGAATAGTTGGTATTTAATGATTCAAGTTGCCCTTGAAAAAGAAGCTGCACTTGATTCGTATATCAAACTCTGGTATGAATCTCTCCAAAAGGATTACCTTTCTCCAGATGATTGGGAGAATCTTCGATTAATATCAACTTTCCTACATCCATTCTTTCGAGCAACAAAAGCAACAGAAGGAGATCATGCAACAATCGACCGAGTTTTATTCACTATGGATATCCTGATTCAGCATTTCAAAAAAAGCCTTTCAGTATATCAGTCAAATCCTTTCCTATCTTCTCGGATTGAGAAAAGCTGGGCAATATTCGACAAATATTATCTGAAGACGGAGGAGTCTTCATTTTACGCAGCAGCAGTGATTTTTCACCCATCACGACGAACCTTATATCTCAAGCAAAACTGGGATAAAAAATGGATACGGCCAGCAATCAACTCTGTCAGAGAACTCTGGGAGAAGCATAAGGATCAATTAGCAAATACTTCTCCAACGTTACCATCAATGCAAATTGATGATCTTGATGAATTCGACATTCTTGCTCAAAATCTTGATGTTATTCCACGGCAACACGTCAAGGATGAGTTTGAAGAGTATATCTCAGAAGCAGTAATTTCGATCGAAACATCAGCATTATCCTGGTGGTTGAATGGACAACAACGACGACGCTGGCCAAGATTATCTCAATTGGCGATCAATGTTTTATCAATTCCTGCAATGAGTGCTGAGCCAGAGCGAGTGTTTTCTGGGGGTCGTCGTACAATATCTTGGGAAAGGATGCAACTGGGTGAAGATACTATTGAGTTTCTTGAGTGTTTGAAGCATTGGATAAGGTCAGGCCTTGTAAATAGTAGCTTGGAGGAGGTGGAGGAGGAGGATCTGGATGACTAAGCAGATTGTGGTGGTTCGGACCCACACTGACGAATATTCGTTGATCTGTCAGCAAATAATTGACGAATATTGAAAATTGATTTGTCAGCCAACGAATCGATTGTCGCCCACCCTGGAGAGGAGTATGTTTGAGCAAATGCAGGTGGGAGGAATTTGGTGTTACACAGGGATTGCACCTGGAACCGTTTGGGAGGCAGCGGATCATAGGACGCTCGCCGAATTACAGCTGTATATAGATACTAACGTAGTATTATTGAGATTGTGGGTAACAAGCCATACTTATCCTAATTGCCGCAGACTGTAGAGAGCGGAGCTTGGTCGATGACACACCTAACTAGAAGGAACGCTCCCCGCCGTCTGCAGAATCAGAGCGTCTGGCCGAAGGTTCTGCAATCCCTACGGTACATACGTAGTAAGCAAGGGCCACGAGGAGGGCGATGAGGTGCTCAGGGATGAGCCAAGGACAAGCTTTTAGAACCCCGGTAAGAAATCGCGGATACAATTATTATGAACTAACTCTATACTACAGTTTTCAAATCACCTCCCCCTCCCTTCGCTCCTGGACTAGTTCTCAGGCTTGTATGAAGCATTACGTAGTACCACCTGGTCTTTCACCTCAGTCGCTCATTCGAGAAGTGCCGGATCCTGACGCCACGAATTGCTCTCAGTATACTCTACTGGAGCGTCTTGGACGACAGAGTTATTAGCAGGAGCAGGACCGCCCACGGCGAGGGCTGTTGTCGCTCTGTAATAGTTCAATGCCTCTTCAAAGTGAGGGATATTGAACGGCGAAAGATCCCGAGCTCGCGCCCACCCAAGAGATCTGAATTAAATAAGCTTAAATATCATATTCCAATCGTGGCTATACATACCCTTGGTCGTCGAAGTATTGAATAGAAAACTCTCGCTCCGCAACCGACGTACCGCCGTCCTCGTACAAAGGCGCCCACCCTATAATACGTCCCTCCGAAACCTCGTAACAGCTCGGCACGAAGTTCATTTCGACTCAAAACCGCTCCAGTAGACCAACACATTGCACAATGGCTACGGGATATTGAATGTTGTCTTCCTCGTAGCGATGTAGGTATAAATTCCCTGGGACGGCATCTGTAATTCCAGGGTAAAGGGAGTCGGGAGAGTCATTGATTATCGATTCGCCATGCTTCTTTGTTTTGTGATTTCTTAGGTAATAATTCGACAAAAACGTTCTGGGGCACTGAGAACATTCGTAGAGTTTAGGCTCCACGCCTCTCTTGTCGCTGCATGTTCTCGTGCGTCGGTGTCGCTTTAGTGCGTACGATCCCGTAAAAAGCTTGTTGCATGGAGAGCATTGGTAGGTTAGTGTTGACATGTTTAGGAAGAATAGGAATAGAGAAGGTAAGTAGTTTAGGTATGAAGTGGAGTAACTGGGTAACAAGTCGGGGCGTGGTCGCATTAAAAAGGAAAGAGGGATTCGGGGGGTTTTATCGGCGGTTCACTAGGTAGTTGATTGGGCAGTCAATTGAGTCCTTGACTGGGTCCGCCGAAAGTAGGCAATCCAGCTGCAGGGCGCACAGAGCTAAGTGCGGAGGTCTCAGGTCCTAGTCCGGCAATTAGCACGATCCAAACTAGAAGGTAATTGGCGGTGCTAGAGCCGCAAAAACCAGCGCTTAGCGAGCGGGAGTTGGGGTCTCAGATGCCCGACTCTGTCGTTAAGCTCCGTGACCATATATCCCACAAGTGCAACTGCCCGAAAGTGTCATATGTTATTACTATAATTAATGGCGGCGGAGAAGGGGGAAGTAGGTATTACAAACCACTCGACTGTTAGGGTCGTCTGTCTGTAAGGGAGCACGGGCTCCACAGAATGCTGGGGTTGGTAAGTATGAAGATAGAACAAAGGGCAAGCTCCTATCGCACGGGTAATACAGTCAAATCGGGATGCCACTCAAAGTGTATGAGTGCAGTGAATGTGTATTGCTTGCTTGAAGAACCAAGCAAGAACTATCTAAGACCGTGGATACGGCCATCGTATTTATTTAATTATGGCGGGCCAGTAAGAGCTGCGCTCTTACTTGCCCGACCGGAAGGAGCTGCCCGGCGCCGGGCACTGCTAGCGTGCCGGGCCATTTGCCTGGTGCCAAGACCCTTCTTGGCACCGGGCCACCCCTGATTGGCCGTCCTTCCGTTTGCCTGGTGCCAAGAGGGCTCTTGGCAGGGTAAGAGTGTATTGCGGTGTCGTCCCGCCTCGTTTCCACATGCAACGTACGAGGAGCAAGCCGTCAGAGAAACGACGAAGGGCAACCCAGAGTTAAAGGGAAGAGCCAAGATTGCCTTGCAGGCCAACGCAGGGATCAACAACGGTCGACTGAGCCAGGAGATGAGTTCGAGGACCTAGAGAGGTTCTTCATGCTCATTCACGCTAGCGAGCCAGATGAGGACGACTCGACCAAGAAACCGGATGAGTTCGAGGGCGTACCACACGAATACCTCAAATACGACATTTTCAGAGAAAAGATGAGAGACGAATTACCGCCATATACTTCATTTGACCACGAGATCAATTTCAAGGAGGGCGCGAAGCTCAAGAAACACAAGATCTACCATATAACCCCACAGTAAGATGAGGCAATGAAGGAATACCTGGATGAAAACCTACCAAGAGGCTTCATTAGGCGTTCACGGTCACTAGTAGCGTGCCTAGTGGTCTTCGTACTAAAGAAGTACTGGAAACTACGTATGGTTGTGGACTACCGTTCACTAAACGAGGAGATGATCAAAAACCGCTACATACTCCCGTTGATCACCGAGGTGAGAGACCGGTTATCCGGGGTAGAGTGGTTCACGAAGCTTGATTTGCCTTTTGCGTTTGGCCATATCAGGATTAAGGAGGGAGACGAATGGAAGACAGCCTTCAGAACCCGGCATGGGCACTTCGAGTACTGTAAAGGAAGAGCACTGTGAGGACCCGTCCACCAAACTGGCCCTGAAGCAGCCAGAGCCGCCCAGAACCCACGGGCCTATCAGAAGCCTCCTCGAGGCCCCACCTACCCCACTGATAGATGCAAACTTATTCGCGAGCACGCGACGCGTTGTCGGACTTTTCCTTCTTTCCCTCCTCAGTTTAGAATCTTCGTCGATAGCACCCAATGGACTGAGTTCACCTCAATGCCTTGCCCTGGTCGTGACAAGCACCAACTGGCCAGGCCACTGCCCGCTGGCGCAAGCCACTAAGCCACGCTAAGGCGCCACAACCCACAAGCTTTCACAAGCACACGCAGGACTGAGCCCCTGAGCATGTATATAAATAAGTGGCCCTCGCCCCCTTCCTTTGCGAGGGCCAGGTTGAAGTCTTACCCCAATACCAGTCATTGCTCGCACTTCTTGTTACCTTCATTGTGACCACGTTGGTCCGGCGTACCTGCCTTCTCTCACAATCCCTCACTTGACCCCCTTCTTGGAAAGAGACCTTGCTTCAAAATTCTGTGCGCAGTAGAGCCGCTCTGTAAGCCTCAACAGTCTTCCTTTCTTTAATAGAATTTTCCACTCAATGGAGTAGTGGATGCATGTGGGCGGGGATTCGTTAGATGGCAGGCTGGGGTTCCAGTTGTCTAGTTGGAGCAGTGGCAGCCCCGGTCTGCTTCTCTGCGACTGATCATGCGGGGCCGGACTCGCGCCGCGGCTGCTATAGGTAGGTTCGGGAGTTCGGTAATTGTGAGGGCCTGGTCCTCCAGGCCTCCCAGACGCTCTGACTAATCAGACGCCAGCCGGGTGGATCCACCCGACCAGCCAGAGGGATCCACCCCACTGACCAATGGAAGCTCGGCCAGAGCCCCACCTTGAGACGCCCTGGAAGAATCTCGCGAGGGGAGGCTTTTAAGCTTCTTTTCCCTTTTCCCTTTATTTTAGAATCTTCGTCTATAGCGCCCAATAGAGGAGTTCCGCCCTCATTCCAAGCCGGCCGTGACAGTAATCAAGATCATTCTCGTTATACCACTAGCTTATATCGAAACTTGGGTTAGCCCTGGTGGCGACTCTCTACTGCAATCTGGTGCTGGTGATGACTCGAGACAACCCATGCGGCATGTCAGCACTCCAAAACATTAGCTTGACTGGCAAACTGTTGGAAAAAAGCCTCTATTTTGATACAGCCAATTGCGCCCAGGCAGGCTTAGGTCAATGCAGGTCAACGGAATGGGCCTAGCCCAAGGCGACCCCTCTTTTTGGTGGTAAAATGGGGTCCCCTGCTGGCATGTCCCCAGGACCTACCTTTTAGACACTACACACAATCAGTGCATTGCATCTGCTCAAAAACTTTGGTCCACTTTTGTGCCGTGTTTTCCAACAAGTTGGCGTATTCCTGCTTTGTCACCATCGAGAATCGACTCTTCAGCAATCGTCGTTATTATATGTCAACTCTTCAGCAATCGTCGCCATCGAGAATCGACTCTTAAGCAACCGTCCAACGGCCATGATGCAATCCACGTCTTTCGGAGCCGGAAACCGGGGCCAGCAGGTGGGGCTGAACTACGGGACGGTCAACGCGGAGTTCCATCTCCCGCCAGGTAACGCTAGCGCCGTCCGTGCCTGCGCCCAGCCCACGCTGACGCTTCTACAGAACGAGCCGAAACTCCACCAGTCCCCTCCGCGACTATCCCCTTCTCCCGCGACCCCGATTTTATTAACCGTAGAGACATTCTCGACCAAATCGACCAGCGATGTTCTAAGCCAGCCGCTCGTATGGCCCTTGTGGGCCTGGGTGGCGTTGGCAAATCGCAGCTTGCCATCGAGTTCGCTCACCGAATCGCCACGGGGCGGCCCGACACATGGATATTCTGGGTCTACGCTAGCACGCAGGCGCGTATCAAGGAGGGGTTCAGGACGATTGCCGACGCCGTCAAGCTACCCGGCCGCAACCAAACTAAAGCCGACATCCCACAACTTGTGTACGGCTGGTTGTCTAACGAACAGAACGGTAAATGGATCATCATCCTTGATAGTGCCGACGACCGAGACGTGTTCTACGCGGCAAACGGCGGCCGCGAAGGAAAACCGTTAGTGAGCTACCTTCCACAGAGCCGGAACGGGTCTATCCTTATCACGACGCGTAGCAAAGACCTGGCATTTAGGCTTACCGGGAGCCACAAGAACATCGAGGTTGGGCCGATGGCGTTGAGTGATGCACTTCTTCTCCTAGAGAAAAAACTAGACCCGCTCTCAGATATGGACGCAGCCAAAGATCTAGTACAAGCGCTCGACCTTATTCCTCTTGCCATCAGCCAAGCGGCGGCATACATCCAGGCAAGGTTACCGATGAGCTCGGTCACCAAGTACCTGGCCGAGTTCCGCAAGTGCGAGCGCAAGCGGGCTCAGCTTCTCAAATACGATGCGGGTGATCTACGGCGGGATGGTGGGGCATCAAATGCTATCTCCACCACCTGGGAGATCTCCTTTAAATACATCCGCTCGCGGAGACCTTCTACAGCCGACCTTCTCTCGCTTATGAGCTTCTTCAATCGACAAGGCATCTCTCCGTCACTTCTTAGGCCCGTCGATGTCAAAACTATTCAGCAAGTAACGCACCTTACCGTATCAGAGGATTCAGGATCTGAGTCTGGTAGTAGTAGTAGTGGTGACGAAGGTGGGAGGTTTGAGGACGATGTGGCCATGCTAAGAGACTTCTGTCTTATAACCGTCGACGAGGACGGTAGTGCATTTGAGATACACGGGCTCGTACAGCTATCGACGCGGAGGTGGCTGGAGTCGGACGGGCTACAAGACAAGTTCAGGCAGCAATTTATTAAGCGGATAGCTACGGCGTTTCCTACGGGAGACTACGATAATTGGGCGACGTGCCGGCAGCTCTTTGCCCATGTTGAAGCGGCTATAGATCAGCGACCAGCCGAAGAGAGCATAGAGGAGTGGGCAAGTCTTATGTATAACGGAGGGTGGTATGCGTGGTCGCAAGGCAAGTATAAGGTAGCAGAACAGATGATAGGCAAAGCCCAAAAGAGCCGTGAGAAGACATTAGGAAAAGACGATAAGAAGACTTTAGATAGTATGTTATTATTTGCAACGGTCCTGTTGGACCAAGGCCGGTGGAAGGAGGCCAAGAAGCTGTTTATGCAGGTGATGGAGACGAGCAAGACCAAGCTCGGGGCCGATCACCCAGATACGCTGACGAGCATGGCCAGCCTAGCGTCGACGTACAGGAACCAGGGCCGGTGGGAGAAGGCCGAGAAGCTATTTGTGCAGGTGATGGAGACTCGCAAGACCAAGCTCGGGGCCGATCACCCAGATACGCTGTCGAGCATGGCCAACCTAGCGTCGACATACAGGAACCAGGGCCGGTGGGAGGAGGCCGAGAAGCTATTTGTGCAGGTGATGGAGACTCGCAAGACCAAGCTCGGGGCCGATCACCCAGATACGCTGACGAGCATAAGCAACCTAGCGTCGACATACAGGAACCAGGGCCGGTGGGAGGAGGCCGAGAAGCTATTTGTGCAGGTGATGGAGACGAGCAAGACCAAGCTCGGGACCGATCACCCAGATACGCTGTCGAGCATGGCCAACCTAGCGTCGACATTTTGGAACCAGGGCCGGTGGGAGGAGGCCGAGAAGCTATTTTTGCAGGTGATGGAGACTCGCAAGACCAAGCTCGGGGCCGATCACCCAGATACGCTGACGAGCATGGCCAACCTAGCGTCGACATACGGGAACCAGGGCCGGTGGGAGGAGGCCGAGAAGCTATTTGTTCAGGTGATGGAGACGAGCAAGACCAAGCTCGGGGCCGATCACCCAGATACGCTGTCGAGCATGGCCAACCTAGCGTCGACATACAGGAATCAGGGCCGGTGGGAGGAGGCCGAGAAGCTATTTGTGCAGGTGATGGAGACTCGCAAGACCAAGCTCGGGGCCGATCACCCAGATACGCTGTCAAGCATGGCCAACCTAGCGCCGACATACGGGAACCAGGGCCGGTGGGAGGAGGCCGAGAAGCTATTTTTGCAGGTGGAGACTCGCAAGACCAAGCTCGGGGCCGATCACCCAGATACGCTGTCAAGCATGGCCAACCTAGCGCCGACATACGGGAACCAGGGCCGGTGGGAGGAGGCCGAGAAGCTATTTTTGCAGGTGATGGAGACTCGCAAGACCAAGCTCGGGGCCGATCACCCAGATACGCTGTCGAGCATAGCCAACCTAGCGTCGACATTTTGGAACCAGGGCCGGTGGGAGGAGGCCGAGAAGCTATTTGTGCAGGTTATGGAGACGAGCAAGACCAAGCTCGGGACCGATCACCCTTCTACGCTATCGAGCATGGCCAACCTGGCGTCGACATACGGGAACCAGGGCCGGTGGGAGGAGGCCGAGAAGCTATTTGTGCAGGTGATGGAGACGAGCAAGACCAAGCTCGGGGCCGATCACCCAGATACGCTGTCGAGCATGGCCAACCTAGCGTCGACATACTGGAACCAGGGCCGGTGGGAGGAGGCCGAGAAGCTATTTGTGCAGGTGATGGAGACTCGCAAGACCAAGCTCAGAGCCGATCACCCAGATACGCTGTCGAGCATGGCCAACCTCGCTTTTACTTGGAAAAGTCAAGGTCGACATGCTAATGCTTTAGCTCTGATGGAGGATTGTACCCAGGCTCAGCGGCGGGTTCTTGGCCAAAAGCATCCCGAAACGCTATCGTCTTTGGCTACCATTGCAAAGTGGAGTAGCTAGGGTGGGCTTTATTATTACTTTGTACATATCTGGAGGATTCTTCTAGCTTTTTCTTATGAGACGAGTGATACGTATAGTATTTACTAGACAGTATTGTAGATTAGGTATGCAATTAGTGGATTAGTTTGCGCCTTGTGACCTTGTATTTGATTAGTCGGTCGTTACAGGACTTGTTCGCACGTGGTGGCGCGCGAGCCAAGCGCCGAAAGCAGTCAATGCATTTTTGTTCCCCCAAGCTTCCGGCTCCCGGCTCCAGCAAGTTTTGGAGCCTACTTGTTTCGATATAAAGCGACCTGCGATGTACTGTGTGACCCACAGCCAAGACAAAATGGCCCGTGCGGAGAAAGTTTGAACATTGAAATCGTGGACACTGATTTCGGTCTGTACTATATTCGGAGAATCTAAAAGCCAACGAAGGAAAAGAGGGAGCTATCTACGCTAGTAGGGGAGCTTCAGCAGAATTAGGTAAATATCAGGTACAAGGGCCTGCATGGTACCGCTAAGAGCTCTATTCACGGTATATTCCGTAGCGTTTTAATTGGGTGCATCCCATTTTACGTGCCTATGCGAGACGGAGTAGTAGGCGTTTCTAAAAACGGCATTCTATCAGCTAAACTCGACACGGAGTCCGTTTTAATCAAGATAAGAGATAAGACGCCGCATTTTTATTCGGTGCACTTCTGGAGCCCCATTTTCGACTCCTGTATAACCTCATTTTCGGGCACTTTGAGTCTCAGAGACAAGGCTTCTGACCGCCATCTTAGTTGTCGGAGTGAGCAACTTCTTTTTTTCTCCCGGAGCTACCTATTGGCTGCATTTTATTTAGAGTGTGGTCCATGCGCGCGCCCACCACGTGCCCTGCATCAGCCGAAAATTATTGCGACCCGACAGCCTAGGGGCTTACGTGGCTCTAATTGTTGGAATCACCAGGTACCAGTACTGGAAGCAACAGGGCGTAACTACACGCCGAAAACTGGTGGTTCAAGTGTTGATTGTTGATGTCTATGTGTATCTAGAAGAAAGAGGTGGCCGTAGGCCACTTGCCTTTCACCTTTCGAAGAAAAAACCCACGTCTTTCGCCCGCTCCCGCCAGTCAACCGCGCAATCACGTTGACGAAATGGCTCGCGCTGGATCGCCAGATCCCGACCTACAACCTCTACTACTTCGGCTACCCTCCCTCGCTATGGTGAAAGACAAGCACCAAAGCGTACGGCGCACTTCGCATGAACTGTAGAAGGCATACGACAAGCTTTCTCGGGAACTCTTCCCCGAAACTGAACCAGACGAGGAGCGCATCGAGCCAGACCGGCAATCGAGCTTGAAACTCACGTCTCTGGGAATTGAGCTTGCGCTTAAGCAACAGGAAGAGCTGCGGTCTGAGCGCGAGACAATTATCCAAGAGTGGGACGGCAATATTATCCCGCCCTCCAAAGCTGATATCCGAATCCGGGACGTGGGTAAACGTTACCTATCGGCTGGTGATGCATTGTGGCAACACCATAAAAAGAAAGCAAGGCTGGATGATCCTAGTATTGTCCGCCTGCTAAAGCCAGGCGGTGAGGGGGTTTCGGAATGCCTCCTTGCCCTTTACAAAAAATGCGACGGTCTTGAGAAGACAAAAAAACGGCCAAGCGAGTTTCGTCGAGAGTCGATCAAATACTACGCAGGGGAAGGCCCCAACAAAGACGTTTGGTGTCATGTAAAAGGGGACTGGACCTCTGGAGACAATATAGTCGCTGCACATATTGTGCCCTTCTTTCTCGATAGCGATGAGATTGGCGAGATACTCTTCGGCAGCCGAGCACCAGATCTCCGAAGGGCCGGAAACTCGCTCCTGCTCCGGAAGCGGATCGAGAAATGGTTCAATACATACCATGTTCTGATTGTTCCCATCAACCAGAGAGAGACACCTATTATGCGCTGGCGGATTGACGTCATCTCATCTTCGATCAAGAATACTAGGTGGGCGGATGGCCCGGGAGGGTTGGGAGGGGATCTTGACGGGAAAGAATTGACGTTTTATAACGAGAAGCGTCCAGTTTCACGCTTTATGTATTTCCATTTCGTCATGGCTCTGGTCCGTATCAAGGACGTCAAGCGATATGGATGGCAAGATATTTGGGCCCGATACTACCAGCAACGCCCATTTCCTACACCAGGTAACTATATGCGACAGAGTATGTTACTCGCGTTGGCCACCCATTTTGGGACGGCTGATATGCACGTCGTCGAATCCTGGATTAAAGATCAAGGCTTCGACTCTCCATTGAAGTTAACCAAAGAGGAGACACAAGAGGCAGCACGCCGAGTGCACGTGGCCGTGGAGCAGGCGATCAATCGCGCTGAGAGAGACGAGAGCATGGAAGATGGCGATAGTAGCAGCGGCAATGAGGACGAGGACGAAGATGAGGGTGAGGGCGAAGATGATGGTGAGGGCGAAGATGCGGGTGAGGGCGAAGATGAGAATGATTAGATAGGGAAGGGTAGCGGACGGGCCGATAAATTATACGTATTTAGCAGCGGCCTCGACCCTCTCCTTCGTGATGTCGAAGGTTTTGGCCTCGTCGGACATGATCAAATGGGGTAGAACTGTCGGATGCGGCGTGCTCGTTCGCTGCTTATTCGGTGTACTTCTAAAGCCCCATTTTCGACTCCCGTATTCCCTCATTTTCGCCCGCTTTGAGTCCCAAAGAGAAGGTTCCTAACCGCTAGACTAGTAGTTGGGTGGGCCAGTGGCATTCCAGTGGTGGTCGTGGCGGCGGCGCATCTTTTTCGTCGCTTGGCGTCATTGCTGCTGCAGCCGTCGCTGCGCCGCTAATAGCACCAAACTATCAGACTGCAACAGCACTTTTAGGATTGTGTGCACCAGAGTGAATTGTTTCTATTCTCCTCTTCCAGTCTTTCCACAAAAGACTCTCTCTTATACTTCCTTATGTGGCAATTACATGACGAATCCCAGTGGCGAGGATTACGCATCGTAGGTCCCAGCACCTTCTAGGCCATTCCATCTGACACAAACAGACTCACCCCCGTCAAGATCAGCGAACTCCTACTAGTCAACGTTATCATCACCGTCAGGCTTCTTAGAGACGATGAACCCTAGCTTGAATAAGATAGTAGCCCGATCTATTTCTTACCAAGTCCAAGTCGGCGGGCCCGCATTTGAAAAATAGTACTACCCAACACAATGGCGGCTACCTTCCTCATTCTTTCAGATACGCACGACGATGCCTTCCCCGACCCAGCGTCGCTCCCCGGCAAGGTCGACGTCGTGCTCCACTACGGGGACCTCACCATGATCGGAGGCCTGAGCAACTATAAGAAATCCATCGCCAATAGCCGCCTAGATTTGGCGCCTGCATTTGGCGCATCGGGCGGTGGGGGCTGCGGTTGAGGGACCCCGACCGCAGCCATCGCGGCGCCTCGAAAAACACGCGTTCCGGGTGATATATTAGTAGAGATTAATAGGGTAATAATCGTTAAGTATTCGGCGTGCCTGTTCATAGCTAGAAAGCGATAAATCGGGCGTGCGATTAAAGTTATATTACGAAGAAACTGGTTCATTTTGGCGGGGGAGCTGGCTAGAAAGTTGAAGGTACCGCACGGACCACCCACAACGGATTGACAGCTATCCTACCATCGAAACAAATTGTCGTGATAATTCTATATTTCGATGTTCATGGTCTAATTGTTGGGTTTCTAGGGGGCAAGCCCCCTACGACCCCTAGTGCCTGCGGCGCTCTTAGCCTGCGGCGCACTCCTGTAGCTTACAAAGCGGTCCGTTCTCCTCCCAGATCCAATTAGGAATCCCCCCAAGGCGTTCCTTCCTTCGACGGCCTCACGACACAGCAAAGCGGCATTTGACAGATTAACACGTCCGAAGATTATCCGATCGACCAGTCCCCGTTGTCCATTTCGATACGGACGTAAACTAGCCAATCCCGATGCGAGAAACTTCGGTACCCTTACTGTAATATAGAATACAGCTGAACGGAGCCACCGTAGGCGAGCTTGCGAGCCGGAGGTGGCGTAGAGAGGCTGAATAATGTCAGCGCAAGCATCCGAGGCCCGGAGTCTCCAGAGATACGTCGGCGTTGAGCCATGGCTTCTACGTCCCATGTCATCACAGCCGGCTGCTATCTCGACTCCGACTCCAATGCAAAGAACCATGAACAGCGCCGACTTCCATGCGTCAAACCTGAGCACAGGGCACGTGAGACGTGGTCCCCAATAGAATTACCGGCAATCAGGGGACTGGGCAGGAAACGACAACCCAGGCCCCAGCAGTGGTCGTCGTGGCTTCGGATTGCCCGTTCAGGCCATCCCAGAATATGGTGATGGCCATACCCTGCCAACAAGGCCCTCTATGCCTACACATGCTCCCATTCGTCCTCGTATCGGAAGCAGTCACACCGACAGCCCCAATCAGTTTTCAGCACGCCATACATCATCCCCAGCTGACAGCCCCAATCAGTTCTCACCACGCCATACATCATCCCCAACCCCCAACATACTTCCCAGGCGTCAGACAATTGATGAGCACTTTGAAATCAGTGAAACCGGCAGATTGTCGAACCAACAACAAGCAGTTGGGCTTGGCATCGAGCCCCGCCCACACTTCGCCACACGCCAGAGAACCGCGACCGTTCCTCTGTGATCTCAACCATCCGATATTTTTACGGTTGAAGAAATTTACATGACGCTCATCAACCCAGCTAACAAGTCCACTTTTAAACGATTCTGGACGCCTCTGGTACACAGTTGCTCAACAATTTCCCGCGTTTAAGAGAAACCGCGGATAGACTGAAGGGCAGTGAGGGACGAGACCAAGTAATCAACCCATACTTCAGAAGCAACATTGTCACTGACACTCGGTTTGGGTTAGGTGTGCGTCGTCGACGATTCTCTCTCTACGGCAGTCCATCAACAGATGGGGAAGACCGTGGGAGTCCTTACTCGTATTCTGAAGTCAGGGGATGTAGATCCAGACAAAATCATCAATCTGCACTACACTTCCAGCCGGAAACCCGTGTCCAAGAGCCGAGCCACGCAGCCCCAGGACGATATCGGCAACTATGAATTCTCGGGAAAACCATGCGATATCTTCGAAGGCCTCGACTCGATTAAGACCGACTACGATGGGACCAAACCTCCGAGTATCTACATACTCACTAGACGTGGCGACCCAACAAAGAAATCGCCCCACAACGAAATTGGCCCACGCCATGCCCACACCCACTCCACGGGCGCAAATTATCCATTTCTACACAAAATAACTAGCAAAAAAATACTCAATCCTCTTCTTCGGCCTGTCTATATTGTTCGAGCCCACGGGCGATTATTTCCCGGGCATCTTCGACTGCATGTGGCTGGCTTTCTGCCCGGGCCGTTTTTTTCCGCTTTGGGAGTATTTGACTAGCTTTTTGTGCCTTGGCGATGTCCTCTATACGTGCAAATCGCTCATTTCCATCTTCATATACCCTCTTACGCGTGCGAGGCTTTGAAGCCTCTAATTCGGTTGTGAGATGCGTAATTTGTGCCTTCAAAGACGCGATCTCTGTATTCTTCAGATCCAGGGACCTCCCGACCTTAGTAAACAATGCCCGCACACGCCGCTGAGCCGGACTGAGGGCATTCCGAATACTGTCCTGGTACTTCTTGATGTCCTGACTGCCGTGCGGTGTTTTGAAGAGCCTGTCATCGTCGTTCGGGGCCGTCGTCGGCGGTGTTGAAGGCCGGGCCGGGAGTGCCTCATTGTCCTTGACCGCCTCAGGGTCATCAAGTAAATAAGCCGGGTTGAAGGGCCAAATCCCGGTTTTACTGAAGCCCGACATGATGTTACGGGCACTCATGCCTTTACCCGAGGCATCTCTGTAGCAGTAAAGGAACCGAACCTTGTTGACAGGAGCTGACGATGTGAAGCTCGCGAGGGCCTTGGTATTTTCCCTAAAATAGGTCTTTAAAGGTGAAAAGACCGAGCGATCGAGAGGCTGAGACTTGTGCGATGTATGAGAAGGTAAATAGACGAACTGGACCTTATTTTGGAAGGCCGCTAACATGAATTTTTCGTTCATATGGCTCGAATGTTCGTCAAGGATCAGTATACGCCATTCGCCCGGCCTTTGAGGCTTTGTTTGGATCAGGTAGACCTCTTTGAGCCATTTCAGCGCAATACTGGCGTTGCTCCAGCCTGTAATTGAGTAATCGTACTTCCATTCCCGGAATTCCTTCGTCAGGTTGAAGTTATCAGGAAAGTGTTGTCCTTGAAGACTGGCCCCGGTAAATATGATCACGGGCTTCAAACGAACGCCCTCAGCAGTGCCGCATTCGATAACTGAAACCCAGGTTGTTGCATCAGAGCTTTTCACGTAGGTTCGGTTCGTCAGGGAGCTTCCTATGACCTTTCCGGCCCGGTTCTCGAGCTCCTGCATGCCGTGCTCATCCATATTAGCGATGTTGGCCGGGATGACCTTTTTATCCTTGATTTGGAAGGCCAGGCGCTTGGAGAAAGCTTCATAAGCTTCACGAGTAGATCCGCAGACTCGAGAGGATTCCAACAAGGTTGAATTCTTCATCTTCACCGCCGGGTTGCGGCGTAGGAAGCGGTCCACATATCGCTCCCCAATGGTCTTTTTCGTGCCGGCCTCATTGAGTATAGCTTGAGCGAATCTCTGCACCTGACGACGGCTAGGAGCCCTGCCTGCAGCCTCCTCATTGAGGCACCAGTCGGCTAGGAAGCTTTCCTGCGCATTGGAGAGGTTTCTTTCGGCTTGTTTACTTTGTGCTCGATTTTCTGCCCCGTGGATGCGTTTGCAGAGGGTAGAAGGAGGGATCCCGAAGTCATGCGCGGCCTGCTTCTGCGATGCGCCCTGTTCAACTGCAAGTATTGTAGATTGAATTAGCTGCTCTCGACGGTTCGACATGATGTATTTTGAAGCTATTCGAGCCTGAATTGATGAAGTTGTGTTGTGTTGAAGTTGAAGGGCGGGAAATTAGATGACAGGGGCAGAGATTTCGTTGTGGGGCGATTTCTTTGTTGGGTCGCCACGTCTAATGGTAGATGGAATGCCGCTAAGGATATACCCAAGTGATGTTCGTAAGCTTGGTTCCATCATCAAACAGATACTGCGCCGTAATTATGACGCGGCGAGGATTAGCAACAACGTCGGCATCCAGTTCATCCGGTTCTAGGGAGTGACCAAGAAGATGCCGTGGGTAAAGAGCGACTGCAGTTCCTGGATGACCGTCATGAAGAACAGTTCGGGGGGCTTGGAATACTGAGGACCGATATCGCCGATACGACTGACTGGGACGGTGACGTGTGCAAGATGCTCCTTGGCGGTGTTTTCACGGATGCTGAAAATTTGGCCTCTCCTGACCAAGTTTGGTGTCTCAAACCCTGTGGTGTGGAAAAGGGAGAAGGGTGATCAAGTAAGGGCATTGGTTTTCATTTAAATACGTTTCTATCTAGAGCTGGCACGACGGCGAAAACTGCTAGATTCCGGACGAAAATGAGGACTAGACTGCGAGTATGCAAATGCAGCTTTGCGGCGGCAATCCGAACCAAGGACGAACTACACTGTTACCTCGGACCAAGGTCCAACGCTTTCTAGTTTTCTTGTACACGCCACATTGCCACAAAATCCGATGCCCAGCTCGGGAACCGCCGCGATGGCGCAGCGCATTTACAAAGGATCGGCCGGGCTAGCTACAAATGGCAGACGTTAGCATCTGGCTGCAGGAACGAGAAGTCTAGTTGGCGTATAATTACCTCCGCCCACGAGAGCATCGTCTTCGGCATGATAGTCAAGTCTCCATCGGCAAACGAGCATATAATTCCGGCTTGCCCATATCTCGAGCCGGGCGGAGGCACCGGAGGAAACGAGCAGTTGAGCTTGACGAAGCCGCTCCACGTCCCGTTGAATACCGTCCTGAGGCCACAGTCCATCAGCACATCTCCTACACTCATAACCAGCCAGCGAACCCGACGAAAACAGCGGGAGACTGGTGGGGCTGGAGTCTGGATGGCACGCGAGGGGGGGACTGGTGGGACTGGAGTGTGGATGGCACGTGAGGGGAGGACTGGTGAGACTGGAGTCTGGGGGCACGCGAGGGGGAGACTGGTGGGACTGGAGTCTGGATGGCACGCGAGGGGAGATTTACCGCATGTTGGGCGTCTTGTCGGCGCAGTCTCAGCTGTGGTTCAGCTCGATGTAGCCATTGGAGGCATCGAAGCGCACGTCCCACGAGACCACGTCCTTGTAGTACCCGCCCCTGATAGTTGTACGAGTACGTGGTTTTGGGCTCGAAGCTGCCCATGTACGGCGTGAGCCGGCGGTCCCACTGGCTGCCGGGGAGGGGGATCAGCTCGCCGCCGGGGCGGGGCGCGAGCGCCGAGTTCTCGAGCCCGAACCGCAGCACGGTGCGCGCGTCCGACGGGTCGCGCGCCTGCTGCCACCCCGTCGACACCACGGGCCCGCTGCTCTGCACCAGCCGCCACACCACGGGCCGCCCGGCTGAATTTGCCATGCAGCTCCACTCGCCCGGCTTCGGGTCCGGGTCCGTCAGCTCGTGCGCCGGCAGGCTCTCCTGCCGCGTCAGGCCCCCGCGCACCGTCGCCGGCGGGTCCGCGCGGATGTCGCTGTTGTCGTTGTTGTCGTTGTTGTCGTTGTTGCCGTCGTTGTCGTTGTTGCCGTCGTTGTCGTTGTTGTCGTTGTTGTCCTGTGGGTTGAATGCGCACCACCGCCCCGTGTTCACGGACCCGCACGTCGTATTCGATATCTCGCCCCGGCGGGACACCCCAGCCCCGGCGGCAGCGGCGTCACCGTGTTGACCGCGCCGCAGTACGTAGCTTTCAGCGAACCGCTGCCAGCAAAGAGCATTCTATGTTATGTCAGTAGGGAGCAGCAGCTGCCACGTCTGGTTAGAAGAAAAGACGAGAAAACATCTTACGGCCCAGATGTGTCCGTGTCGTTGCAGTACTACGTCTGGCTCACCGACACGGTACTCTCGGCCAGGGTCAGGTTGAGGCTGGTGCTGCTCTCGGCGGCACCGGGGACGTAGACGGCGTCGTCGACGGTCCAGTCGGGATGCGCCAGCGACATGTCGGTGCAGTCCTTCCGCGGCGCGGGATCCATGCCCTTGGCTACGTATGGAGGGCTCGGACGCGGGACTAGCTGTGCCGATCCCGTGGGCAGCGTCGGGGGTGTCCATTTCGCCGTGGCTGCCGTCACGGGGAGCGGTGTGGTGATGTTGCACGCGTACGTAGTCTTGTCGTCCGGCACCGTGGGGCAGGTCATGTTGATGCGCACCTCCCCTGCCGCCTGGTGAAGTATTCTGATCGCGGCTATCAGTCAGAGACGGCTTCTCCAGAGCAGGAGAAGACAAAAACTCACGGGTAGGATCCGTCCTTGGCCGCGCAGTACTACTGCTGGACGATGGAGATGGGGTCCGGCGGCGTCCTGCTGGGCGAGTAGCTGAAGGTCTGGACGCTGAGCAGCGTCCTCGCCTGGAAGCTGTCGGGCGCGGGAATGCCGGCGTCGTCGGGCACGCACGCGTCGTTGACCACGTACACGGGGCTGCGGAACTGGTCGGTGCACGGGCTGGGCAGCCGACCCGGCTGCGGCGGCGTGTCCAGGCCGTTGACGATGGGGCCGAGCTACGGGGACGTGCCGTTTTCTGGCGTGCTGTTTCCCACAAATGCCGGGTAAGTTGCTTGGCACTTCTCACTTTCGATTCGGATTCGTGATGGGTTTGCTAGACTTGCCTGACATTGTATTCCAACGAAGCTATAGCCACGAGAAAAGGGGCAATAGCCCAGACAGCAGCTTAGAACCGCATAGCTGTGATTATCTCTAGCCTGGCAAATTCTGCCAAGCTTGGCCTAAAGTCTGTGATGAAGCATCGTTGTGAGAACGGCGTTCTGGTCTTCTAATTATATACCTCTCCAAACACAAAGCCCACTGCAGTCGTGAGGATCAATACGAGAAGAACATCGCAGTCTTTATCTCCGATGGCCCTTTATTACGCCCTAGCACTCTATCAACTAACACCCAGTGCTATATTAGGCCCCGTGTTCTGGAACCGCATCTTCCCACGCAGGCCCAATCTCGCTAGCGTCACGGCGAGATCTGTGGATAATTGCTGTGGGCCAAGGCAGACTGCCATTGTTCTCCGCTTCTACAGTGCGGAGGCTGTGCCGCGCGCCGTCAATAACTACTCGGATATATTGCGCCCTATTCTCCACCTAATATACTGCCTGGCGGGAGCGTCGGAGTAACCAGATTGTAGGATCCTCGTTAATTAATTACTTGCAGCCGGTTCGCTGCGGGCAACGAGCTTGAATGGAGACTCAGAACAGAAGTTGTGTTGTCCGTTAAACACGCCGGCCCTGCCTTCTCGTGTTCCATTTTCGCGGTGGCGTGATGTGCTTCGGGATTCCCTGGAGATTTTAATAACCGGAATCTTTTGGATGTCTCTCTACTAAACAGGACGCAGTTCAGGACGAAGGGATGCAATTGACACAGGTGCTACGCGTCGTCGAGTTCCAATTTTTGATGCAGGTCAAGGTTGCGAAGGGTGACTCATAGTCTACGGATCTATTCTATTGGGTAGATTCAAGGAATGAACTGAGGGTCTACTCCACCGTGCTAAGACCTGCTCTGCTCGCGCCTTTCTACGCAGGTTGCATTTTTAGCGCTATTTGTTTTGGGAAGTTTGCAGCGATTGCTAAATCCTAACAGCACAACTTATTCAACAGCTCTAGTGAAGTTTCCCGGGCAGTTATTATATCAATCATGTTTGACAGCGTCAACAGTATTGTCACTGTCGAGGTTAACGAGAAAATATATACCATAGAGAAGTTGTTGTTGACTTCGTCGGTTGCTCTGGTAACGTTTGCTGTTGGGCTGGGTTGACGGGCTCGGCGTTTAGAGCAGTATTTTCCCAATCAAGAAGCTGAAGAACGGCTGCCAGAACTAGCAAACAAGCAACGTGTCTAATGGGCAGGATGTCAGGCCGGCGACCTGAAACCAGGTAGTGTGGCCAAGCATCAATACAGAAATATCGCTCTAGATTCCACTTGGTGAGGATGCAAATAGACTACCTTGTTGCTCCTGGTCCCTGAACCCCTAGTCAGTAATATTCGTTCAATATTATGCGTCAACTGTATCGAGAACGGACTCCCTATTTCCGGCTGCATCAAAACTGCGAATGGCCGGGTTGGCAAATGCAGCGTCGCTAGTACGGTGCGCGACGAGCACGGCTACAGTTCAGCTTAAAAAACACGGGCAGTTACTCAATACTAGCACAGTTGTTAAGCCGCAAGCCCCGTGAATGCTTTTGAAACATTTTATAATTTAGGGTCCGATTAACTCCTACAACTTCTAGCACACTGACATCCCGTCCCTCGAGCCTACGAGGGCCCACCTCTTAATTTCCAGACCCAAGCTTGCGGGGAGGTTCTGTCTCTGATTTTCCTGTTATTTATTGTTGGCGCGGACCAGCCAGCCCGTGTCTTCGGGCTCCAGCCCGATGTTTTTGCTTCTACCAAATTGAATGTAAGGACTAGCCTGTTTCTCAGTTTCCAGGCTGATCTTTACGTTAAGGAGTGTGTCTCTCACCCCCGTTTTCCTTCCGAGGACCTGCCCCCTTTTCGTTTTACTGGAACCTGGCCATCTCTCCCTCTCCCTGGGAACCTGCCCCCTTTGACTGGGGGGGCTGCCTTCCTCGTCTCTCTAGATCGGAGAATTATCAAGTGCCCGCCCGCCCTTCTCCTCGAGCCGCCTTTACTATGTCAGTGACATTGAACCCTTTCAGGACCAGGGAGCAGTCGCACAAGCTACCAGACCGTCCATCGTGGGAAGGAGAAGAACAGGAGCAAAGAAAAGGAGCAAAGAAAAGGAGCAAAGCAACACCCGATGCCCTATTTTGGAAAGCAACCTGTTGAACTGTTCGGGTGGGATGTTTTTCAAGATTGCAGATGCCCCCGCTTCGCTTGATCGGCCTGGGTGGATCACCCCCATTGCCCAATTCCGTGTCTCGTTTTGATTTCCTGCTACACCTCTACAAAGAAACCTTGGTGCGGTGAAATTGGCAGGGGGGTTTAAGAGGGGATATAAGCTAAAAATACAGGGGGTTCGAAGTTCTCTTCTAGCAAGTTCCCACCATAAAGTGACTAAAAGTCACGTGGTGGCTTGGTTGTACTGCACTAAGCAAATCCTTGCGGAGGTACTGCCTACAGATACCAGCACGACTAAATGCACTTGACTGCGTTGTGCTAGGTCCGCTGGAACCAGTGGAGGCGGCTTTTGGGAATTTACACCCACGTGTTGGTTTGGCCTGAATTTGCCCCAACTGCGCCTGCTTGAGCCGGGATTATTACCACCTCAGGGGGAAGCAGCCAACGCTACGACTAAAGAAGTTAGATATCTAGTCTTGTTTCCGTCAGTTCCCGGAAGGAATGGAAAATGGAAAATGGAAAACAGCCGCCGCCGCTGCCGCCGCCGCTGCCGCCGCCGCTGCAAATATCGGTGGCTGACGGGATAGTGAGCGTCTCGAGACGCGAACCTTTTTCACCCTGTTCCTGTCAGACTGCAACAGCACTTCTAGGATTGCGTGCATCAGAGTGAATTGCTCTTATTCTCGTCCTCCAGTCTTTCCACAAAAGACTCTCTCTCTTATACTTCCTTATGTGGCAATTACATGACGAAACCCAGTGGCGAAGATTACGCACCATAGATTCCAGAACCTTCTAGGCCATTCCATCTGACAGTTCCGCCTAGAGATAGGCTTTCGTAAAAGTTTCTGTGAGTCGAGTTGGCGGCGCAGCGCAGTGCAGCATGTGCACAGTGCAGCATGCAGTGGCTGCGTGGCACGTGTTCACAATCCAATCCAATCCGCGACTCCCCGACCGCCGGCAGCTACGTTGCTTACCTACTACACGAGGAATTTGGACACCCGGCCGTTCAAGTTCAAGTTGTCTTCTCTGTTTGCCCTAGCCCCGCATGACCAAGGTTTCCCTTTCGGGCTGCAACGATCGTGGAGATCTGCGGGGGAGGGGCAGCGAAGACCCACACCGCCCACGATGGAGGGGAAGCTGCGTCCCTGCTTGATCCGGCCGGTCTCGGACCAAGCTCCCCCCAATTGAGTCACCAAGAAAAATTCGTTACCGTCAAGATCCTCAAAACTTTGGTTGCAAGAACGAGCGAGCGGCACCGAGGAACATACATACCAAACCAAAGACTGAGCGAGCACGGGAAATGTCTCAATTACCCGACCCCACTGTCGACCTCGACTGGTCGGGCTACGTCGGCTCGATCCAGGAGCACTTTGGCGCGCAGGCCAGGGCGCACCCCGATCGCACCTGCGTCGTCGAGACCAAGTCGTCCACCACCCCCGAGCGACGCTTCACCTACCGCCAGATCTTCGAAGCCTCCAACACGCTGGCATGGCATCTGCACAAGGCCGGCGTCACTAATGGCGATGTGGTCATGATCTGGGCGCATCGCTCCGTAGATCTGGTTGTGGCCCTGATGGGCATTCTGGTACAGTGCCTCTGCATCTGTATCTGCCTCTCCTCTGCATCTGCCTCTGCATCTGCCTCTGCATCTGCCTCTGCATCTGCCTCTCCCTCTGCCTCTGCCTCTGCCTGCCTCTGCCTCTGCCCCTGCCTGCCCCGTGGACTTCCATCTTCTGACAAGATTCCTCCGACCCCAAGGCCTCGGGCGCCACCATGACGGTCCTCGACCCCGCTTATCCCCCCGCCAGGCAAAAGATCTACCTCGAGGTCTCGCAGCCCCGCGCTCTGCTTAAGATCGGCCGGGCTACCGACGAGAACGGCCCTCTGGCCCCGTTGGTGCAAAAGTACATCGACGACGAGCTGCAGCTCAAGACAGAGGTCCCCGAACTCCGCCTGCGAGATGACGGATTCCTCTACGGCGGCGACGTCGACGGCCAGGACGTATTTGCCTCCGTGAGGCAGTCTGCCGCATCGCCGCCCGATGTGGTTGTCGGCCCCGACTCAAATCCCACCTTGTCATTCACCTCGGGGAGCGAGGGGCGGCCCAAGGGCGTGCTAGGCCGCCACTTCAGCTTGGTCAAGTACTTCGGCTGGATGGCCGAACGCTTCCACCTGTCGTCGGAGAGCAGATACACGCTCCTCTCGGGAATTGCCCACGACCCGGTCCAGCGAGACATTTTCACCCCGCTTTTCCTCGGCGCACAGCTGCTTGTGCCATCGCGCGAGGACATTCAACACGAGAAGCTTGCCGAGTGGATGCGCGAACACAACCCAACCGTCACCCATCTCACTCCTGCCATGGGCCAAATTCTGGTCGGCGGCGCCACAGCCGAATTCCCCAGCCTGGAGCATGTCTTTTTCGTCGGCGATGTTCTCACCACGAGAGACTGCCGCGCCCTCAGACGCCTTGCTGCGAACGCCAACATCATCAACATGTACGGCACGACCGAGACGCAACGAGCAGTCAGCTATTTCGAGATCCCGAGCCGCACGAGGGAGCCCGATTTCCTCGACCAACTTAAGGACACGGTCCCGGCCGGCAAGGGAATGCAGAACGTCCAGCTCTTGGTGGTCAACCGGGAAAACCGGACCGAGCAGTGCAAGGTGGGCGAAGTGGGCGAGATTTTCGTCCGCGCCGCTGGTCTTGCCGAGTAAGTGCTGGCTCCGCCTCAGCCCACGTGCGCTGTCGGTTATCTAACACTGCACTGCAGGGGCTACCTCGGCGACGAAGCTTTGAACGAGCAAAAGTTCTTGGTGAACTGGTTCGTCGACAATGAAAAGTGGGTCGCAGAGGACAAGGAAGCTAGCAAGGGCGAGCCGTGGCGGCAGTATTACAAAGGGCCAAGAGACCGCATGTACCGCACCGGAGATCTTGGCCGATATCTCGAGTCGGGCGACGTCGAATGTGTTGGCCGTGCCGACGATCAAGTCAAGATCCGCGGCTTCCGCATCGAGCTCAACGAGATTGACAGCAACCTGAGCCAGAACCCCCTGATCAGAGACTGCAAGACCCTGGTCCGGAGAGACCGGAATGAAGAGCCAACCTTGGTCAGCTATATCGTGCCCGAAGAGAGGGAGTGGCGCCGCTGGCTCTCGGACCGGGGGCTGGCCGATGTCGAGGACGGGGGCGTGGAAATGGGGTCCGTCACCGTCTTCCTAAAGAAGTTCCGGAGGCTGCAGACCGAGGTTCGAGACCACTTGAAGACGCGATTGCCGTCATACGCCGTTCCGACCATCTACATCGTCCTCAACAAGCTGCCATTGAACCCCAACGGCAAGGTTGACAAGCCTAACCTGCCATTCCCCGACGTCGCTGAGCGCGTCGAGGACGCCTCGGAGGAGGACGTCAAGAACTGGGAGTCGCTCACCGTGACTGAGCGAGCAGTGGCCCAGCAATGGGCCGATGTCATTCGTGGCCTGAACCCAAAAACTATCAAACGCGAGAACAGCTTTTTCGACCTCGGCGGCCACAGCCTGTTGGCCCAGCAGTTTCTACTCAGCGTTCGCAAGAGCCTGGGGACCGACGTTTCGATTAACGCACTCTACGAGCATTCCAGCCTGGCAGGCTTTGCCGCGCATGTCGACAACCTCCTCCAGCACGGCACAGGCAGTGTTGGCCCCGAAGCTGGCGAGGCTGCTTACTCCAAATCTCTCCACGAGCTGGTTAACCAACTCCCCGCTAAATACCAGTCCGCGGACCCGTCGGCCCTCGACGCTGAGCAGCTTACTATTTTCCTAACTGGCGCCACCGGATTCCTCGGCTCTTATCTTATCAGGGATATTCTCGAGCGGACGGCTCGGAGCGTCAAATTGATCGCTCATGTCCGAGGCGTTAAAGACTCAACTGCAGCCCTCGATCGGCTCCGCCGCTCCCTCCAGTGGTATGGTCTCTGGAGAGAGGAATGGTCATCCCGGATAAGCGCCGTTGTTGGTGACCTGTCGCAGCCCCGGCTGGGCGTCGACCCCGCGACATGGCAGACTTTGGCGCAAGAAGTTGATGTTGTGATCCACAACGGTGCCACAGTTCACTGGGTCAAGAGATACCAAGACATGATGGCGTCCAATGTCCTTTCAACCGTCGACGCCATGAAGTTGTGTAACGAAGGGAAGCCGAAGGCGTTCTGCTTTGTGAGCTCAACCAGCGTTCTCGACACGGACTACTACATCAAGCTGTCGGAGGAACAGACGAGCACCGGGCAGGGCGCCGTCATGGAGGATGACGACATGAACGGGAGCTGCAGCGGACTTGGCACGGGATACGGGCAAACCAAGTGGGTGTCAGAGCAGCTAGTGCGGGAGGCCGGCAGGCGGGGTCTCTTGGGATCGGTCATCCGGCCTGGCTATGTCCTGGGAGATTCTGAGACGGGCGTCTGCAACGTCGACGATTTCCTGATCCGCATGCTGAAGGGCTGCATCCAGCTGTCGGCGCGTCCCCGCATCGTCAACACGGTCAACGCCGTGCCCGTGAATCACGTGGCCAGAGTCGTGGTTGCTGCTGCCCTGAATCCCCTCGCCGGCGGTGTCCACGTGGTCCACGTTACCGGCCACCCGCGCCTCCGCATGTACGAGTACCTGGCCATACTTGAGTACTACGGGTTCAAGACGCCCGAGGTCAGCTACCAGGCGTGGAAGAAGGAGCTCGAGAAGTTTGTGTCGGCTGGCGCGCTCGAAAAAGACCAGGAGCAGCACGCCTTGATGCCGCTATACCATTTCTGCATGAGCGACCTGCCGGCAACGACGAGGGCGCCAGAGATGGACGATCGGAACGCAGTCGCCATTCTGAAGGCTGATGCCGACAGGTGGACTGGGGTTGACGACAGCACCGGGTACGGAATCGGCCGGGAAGACGTTGGCAGGTTTCTACGATACCTCGCCGAGATCAAGTACATTGGCGCCCCGACGGAGAGGGGTAGGCAGCTGCCCGAGATCAAGGCCGAGGTGCTGCAGGGGCTCGCAACGGGAGGCACGGGCGGCCGTGGAGGTGCCCAGTAGGGGTCGGGTTGTTTGGATTTAGGCAAAGGGATCGGCGAATCTACCATGGAAAATTTGTAACGGCGTATAAAATGGAGAGCGATTTGCGGTAAAATCAATACTTTTTCAATGCAGGCTACCGTGTGTGGATTTTCGGCTACGACTAAGACACCTAGTCCCACGTCACCTACCACATGATCCACATCACATCCAGGGCCAGACGCAGGCTGTCACACACTCACACTCAACACCAGAACACCAATCAATCTATTCCAGTCGCCTCGCTTGAATATGTGTGTATATCATTTCCCCCATTTAGTGTTACTAGCCGGCAGCTATCTCAACGCCCTACTATATTCTCAATTTGCTTTCTTTCCTTGGTCATCATAATACGGCGTCCGAGAACGTTACGGCATCCGAGAACGTCAAAATTGCTCACTAAGCCTTGGCAGCGACTCGGAATATTTGATAATATCCTAGAAAAAGCGATTTCCAACCTCCTTCGACTCGGCTGATATACGCTCGAAAAGTCTATTCCAAAAAAAGACTACAATGAAAGTAAAAATCTTGCTGGTCAATGGTAGACTTCATGGGATGGAGTCACGTGAAGGGCACGTGATATACAGGGAGGCCCGCCTGGGGCTTAGGGACGCACAGGCTCGTAGGCTGTGCGTATAAAGAGAAGACCTGGCTCACAGAGACTTAGATCTGAGCCAGAGGTTAGTGCTGCACACCAATATGTGGATTTTCTACGGGGGGTGGGCGGTAGGAAAGGCAAGTGTGGGTGCGCCGAGGAGCCCCCCTTCTTCATTAGCTGACGGCTGGGGCTCTGCCGTGAGCACCATTGCGGCCTGGTCACGTGGGAGGATGCGCATGATTTCGCTGCGGAACGTCGAGCCTCGCCAGGGCGCGTTGAGGTTGGCCCCGGCGGCGATGAGGATGCGGAAAATCTCGACCACGTCGGCGCCGTACCGCGGCGGCTGGGCGTCGTCGCCCTCCAGGCGGTATAGAAACGCTTGCCATGGCCCTGCTGTGATGGGCTCCATGCAGGGTGGCGCCGAGGGGCCAGCGCCGGTTTTAATTAGGACGCCGTCAGGTACGGACGCTCGTGCCACGGTATCTCGACGAGGTAGAGCTAGGCGACGTTGTCGGCCACAGCGTCGAGCGTCTTGGTGCTGCTGCTCGACCCGTCAACGGCCCCGCGGTGCCCCGCGCGCCTGACACGACCTGCCACGCGACGTCGATGGGCTGCAGCACGTTGCAAGCTACGCCGAGCGCGGACACGGGCTCCATTGTCGCGGATACGATGTGACGCGTGATGCGTGCTTGTCTTTGCTCCAACTGACAGTTCAAGATTGGAATGACTCAGTTACCTGACAGTGATTGCCCAAGGTTTATTTTGAGATTTTTCACAAGGTAAGCACGATGGTTGCCGCTTGGATCGGGTTGTCCCCCGAATGAGCCCCGTGCAGCCACCACAGCCATTGCAGATGGCATCTATTGCTGATTGGCTAGATAATTTACTAATGGAGGTGTGTTTTATTTCGTCACCTACGTCGAGGAGGGACTTCCGGAGTTGGATTTGTCATAAAAGTGAATTCTTAGTATCTCAACTACCAGCAGTTGCCAAGGGCCCGCAGGTAGGCGCAATGAAAAAGTAGACGTAGGTGCGCCGATCAAAGCTCTAATTTATACCAATCACCACGCACACACCACAGCAATGTGCATGTATTATTTCTCTTCGCTTATCAGTGTATGAGCTCTGAATTATTCTACACAGCCTATAAAGTAAAATAAGCTACCTGACTAGTTAGGAGGGGGTCAGCTGAACTGATGGCTCCGGTGGCGCCTGCCGCGGGCTGTCCTCGCTTCGCTCGAGGGAATGGGTGGCTGGGCCATTTTACTAAGAAATTAGTAGCCAAAGGTAGACTCAACTGTGTCAACTGTGTTAAAAGTAAAAAACACAGGAGAGTTATCACAACGTAAACATTATTGTGTTGAGGCAGAAAAAGTCGATTCTGCTATCTAGGCTACACCCGGAACCAACACCTCGCCGGCGTCAACATGGCGCTGGTAATCCGCCGCACGCGAGGCACTTGTAACGACATTCTTGACCTGGATTTGGTCTAGGGCAAAAGGAATGTCAAATATTAAGCCCTGTAGACTAGTAACGCGTGAGACAGCCATATAAACCCTAAAGAGAAATCCCGCTCAGAGATATCAAGCACAGCCCTGCCAAGCGTATCTCCCTGTGACTTGTGAACCGTGATGGCGTACGTAATAGTAACCGGGAACTGGCGGCGAGAGCAGGCCGTATTACCGCTCTGGAATTCCCGCAAGGACTCTGCCCGGCTGAACCTCGGGATACCGGATTTACAGCTATTCTAGCCCCCCAACACCAAAACAAATTCTCGTGATAATTCCATGTTTCGATGTTCATGGTCTAATTGTTGGATTCCAAGGGGGCAAGCCCCCTAGGACCCCTAGTGCCTGCGACACTCTTGGCCTGCGGCGCTTTCCTTCATACAGCTTACGCGTTAATCTACGAATTGGGAAATTGCTCCTCCCTGACACAACCACGACACAGCAAAGCGGCATCTCACGGCTTAACCTGTCCGAAGTTCATCCGACACGGACGAGAACTGGCTAATCGCTGTCCGAGAAATTTTCGGCACCCTCACCGTAATATAAAATACAGCCTCTCTACGCCACCTTCGGCTCGCAAGCTCGCCTACGGTGGCTCCGTTCAGCTGAACAATATTATGCCTGACTATTCGTTGTTAAATCATTATTCAAAAAATACACCCCCGCACCTTCCACACCAAACAACGTGTCAATTATTACGCCGCTAGATCAGAGTGCAATCCCATCATCTTGCAGCGGGTCTTGTGCCCCGGCGATGGTCGGCAATGGCGATGGTCGGCAATACCGAAACTCTTGAGATGGTAGACAACCCGAGCGTTATTTTCACCTCACCTACATTGTGATATTTGACGCAATGCTAACTGGAACAACTCTTGCGTGTAGCACGTTCCTGTCGTGGAACCCTGCCCTCGGCGCCAGCTCTACCGGTCTGCTTTTGGCTACTATGTGTGCATTGAAGTTGGCAGCGCTGCTGGAACGACGATCACGAGTTGGACTCCGCTGCCCGCACAGAGTTAACTAGGCGCGTAACTAGTGCCGGGATAGTGAGATTGGGCATGTTTGGGATAGCCCTTTTTATCGTAGGGTTTTATTTACATAATTAATTACTATTCTGAAGAGGACATAAGTAGGCGCAGTGTAAGCTCTTTTCCATATTCTTTTATCTGTTCATCAACTCTATGGAGTGCATTATCCAGAACTTTACGCGACTCAGCACAACCTATCTATAGGTCTAGACTAGATGCCTGAATTCCAAGTGTTGTAGGTATCTAATATAACCTGCTTTAATTAACTTCAACTTAACGCGCCTTAAATGCAAATATTAGACAACAGCTAGTTATCCGGTTCTAACAAAATCTCAAAATAACAAAGGAGAATTATTCTATTCAAAGTTCATCCATAACGCTCATAGATCTCAGAGCACCAGTCCCTCCAAGTCTAATTAGCCGGCACCCACCAGCGCCCCTGAATGCAACTGAAAACCGACACACCAAGCTACAACGGGAGAATACGAGGAAAGCTCCGCGTCGTCAACACCAACCTAGCCCCCGCTTAAAACAAGTCATAGGCCGGCCAGGCGACTCCACCGATGATCCCATCCACAACCCCGCGGAGTTCGAAGCTGAAGCCGTCCCCGACCTGCAAGTTCCCCGAGTTGATGTTCATGACGACAGCAAACCCGAGCCCGGTGCCATCAGTGCGCTGCGAGAAGAAGGAGCTCGTTCCGCCAAAGGCACCATTATGCCCGCGCCAGCCGCCCGGGGCACCGCCAGCCGCGCCACCGTTGACGATCCAGCCCTTGGCATACCCGCCGCCGCTCTTGCTGCCGGGCGTCCACATCTCCGTTTCCGTGGCTGCATCAAGCGCGTCGGGCCGCCCCGGCAGCCCGTCAAAGCGCGTGTACCACCGCGCGAGGTCCGGCATGGTGGCGACCCAGCCGCCGAAGCTGTCGAACTCATGGATGCGGAACGACCCCGACGCGCCGGCGGGGTAGTAGCTGGCCTCGCCGGGGAGCGCGCCGGCGTTGCTGGCCAGCTGCATGCCTGCCGCGCCGGCGGGGGCGAGGATCTGACTCCGCACGTACGTCTCGTAGTCGCCCGCGCCGCCGAGGTCCGCGACCAGCCGGCCGAGCACGAGGAACCCGAAGTTGGAGTAGGCCCACTGCGTGCCGACCGTGTAGTTGAGCGGCACGGCGGCGAGGATCTTGCTGACGGCCTGCGCGGGGGTCAGCGTCTTGAGGGCGCCCTCGGGGTCGTGCTCGGGCCCAAACCCGGCCTGGTGCTCGAGCAGGTCCTGCACGCGGATGTCGGTGAGCCCGGCGGGGTACTGGCGCTTGTTGTTGACGAGCGGCATCTTGTCGGCGTACGTGTCGCCCGTGACCGACCCGGGGCCGAACACCTTGTCGGTGAGCTTGAACTTGCCGGCGTCGCGGAGCTTCATGACGGCCGTGGCCGTGATGGATTTGGAGATGCTCATGATGCGGAACCGGCTGTTGGGCGTCGCGATGGTGCCCGACGCCGTGTCCGCGAAGCCGTAGCCCTTGGCGAAGACGAGCCGGTCGTTTTGCGTCACCGCCAGAGACAGACCGGGGACCTTGTACTTGGCCATGTATGCGCCGATGCCGGCGTCCAGCTTGGACAGGTCAGAGCCCTTCATGGCGCGGTTCTCCCACACCGCCGCGTAGTGCCCCGCCTGGTTGTACCCGCTGACGACAGTGGGCACGTACCCCTGGTACAGGTTGTTGTCAAACTCAGCCTGGAACTGGCTGCTCGTCAGCCCGTGGCGGGCCACCCACGGAGCCGCTCCCGGGGCCTTATCCCAGATGGCCACGTAGTAGTCGGTCCCGCCAACCTGGTACCCGTTGACGAGGACGAGGCGGTAGCCCTGGTTCGCGTACGTGTTGAACGCGCTCTGGTAGTCGCTGCCAGTCATGCCGTGCCGGGCCACCCAGGGGATGTTGTCGTTGGTCTTGCGCCAGATGGCCGCGTAGCGAGCGTCGTTTTTGACCGAGTAGCCGCTGACATGGACGAGCCGGTACCCGGCCTTGCTGTTGGTGTCGAAAGCCGATTGGTAGTCGGCGGCGGTCATGCCATGGCGGGCCAGCCAGGCGCCGGTGGCTGCCTTGTCCCAGATGGCGGCGTAGTAGTCGACGCCGGCCACGTTGTAGCCGTTGACGAGCACGAGGTTGAAGCCCTGCGAGACGTACTGGGTGAATGCGTCCTGGTACTGTTGGGCGGTCAAACCGTGCCGGGCGACCCATGCAGGGCTCGACTTCTTCTCGAAGATGGCGGCGAAATGCGGCACGTCGTCCAGGGCGTATCCGCTCAACCAGTTGAGACGGTAGCCCTTGCTGGTGAGGTCGTTGAACTCTTGTTGGTAGGCCGCCGCGGTGAGGCCGTGTCTGGCTTCCCAGGGGTTGACTTGGGCCTGGGCAGCCAGGAGGAATGCCGTTAGGCAGAGGAGGAGGGAGTGAATCATGTGCATCGTGAGTACGCGTTGAAGAACTTGAATGTGGATGCGTCTCTAATCATGAGCGGATGAAGCGGCTCCTTAGCAGCACTTTATGTAGGTTTTTTTCCGTCGACTGGTCGCCCTCAAACCCCATCGCGCACTGGTTTCTGTCTGGCGGCCGTCAAATCTCGCGATTCAACAGGCAGGCAAGAAATGTTGCTCAAGCATTGGAAGCTGGCCAAATACGGATCGGAGATGTTTTTTTTTCGAGGCTTGTCTACCATGACTGACAGCACAAGGCGGAGCTCATTTGAACCGCAGCGAGCCGGCGTCCCCTAATTAGACGCCAATTAAACCGTCAAGATTTCCTGCCAAGAGACGTTCCCCTGTCGTTGGCCGTTGCGGCTGACGAAGCTTGTCCGAACCAAGCCTCCATTGCGCCGCGTTGGATTCGCCACCGCCGACTTCACTAAGTCGACGGTATTATCCCGGAACTATTTAATTTTCGATTTGAAGCATCTAGTGGCTGGTTGGTTGGCGGCGGCCCAAAAACGCCATGGTGCTCAAAGACAATCGTATGGTCGTAATTATAAGAGAGATCAGGCAAGCTGAACGTGAGCCAGACTGGCGGGTTCAACGCATCCATCCGCAGCCCACACCAGGGTCAGCCCCAAATGCTCGAAGCCGTCTTGTGGCGGTGTTGACTAAAGGTCTGGGGCAGGCACAGAGCTTGCACCGCTCTGCAAGCCCAAATAGGCACCCCCAACGAGCATTTGTTACGCAAAACGTAGTGGCAAAAAATGGTAAAAGTCGTGTAGTGTTGAAGGAACTTCAAGGAAGAAAGAAGCGATGAATGCTCTGCGTATTACAGATAAGCCGTTGTTGGTGGATATTAGCGCTTTCAACGCGCCCCTCCAACGTTAGCGTGTCGGAAGAACGCCTACATGTACAGTGGGGACGCAAAAGTTCCAAGCCCCACCCACTTTACGCGAAAACACGTCGCAGTACTAGTAGGTAACTAACCTCAAACTTCAATTGACAATTCTACGCCCAATTTCCATATAAAATACGTAAAACTAGATACAAAATACTCACAAGAACCCCCGCTATCTGTTGATACTAATCACAAACCCCCTAGGACTTGGTATACCACCCATGGTATACCACCCATCCGCAGCGATAACTGCCGCCAACCTGCGCCGCATGCTCTCCGCCAGCTCCTGAGAAGCTCATTTGGAAAATCGTTCCACACCTCATCCGCTGCTTCTCGCAGCTTTTGTAAGTTTTTCTCGGTTTTGGCATATCCGTAAGCTCCGGATACCTTCTGCAGATTTCCTCTTTAAGCAGTTTCCAGAGATTTTCGATGGGGTTTAAATCAGGTGAATATGCTGGCCAGTCGATCAACTCAATGCCTTCCTTCTCAGCCCAAGGAATCAACCAATCTTGCACGATAACTGCTGTATGCGTACGAGCGTTATCTTGTATAAATATAGAGCTAGGATCATAAATTTTAGGTGGCTGGGCCTGAAGGGTTTCGAGTATTCGCTGTGCGTTGACACCTCCGTGGGGAGAATCAGGTATTACAAACCACTCGACTGTGAGGGTCGTCTGTCTGTAAGGGAGCACGGGCTCCACAGAATGCTGGGGTTGGTAATTATGAAGATAGAACAAAGGGCAAGCTCCTATCGCACTGGTAATACAGTCAAATTGGAATGCCATTCAAAGTGTATGAGTGCAGTGAATGTGTATTGCTTGCTTGAAGAACCAAGCAAGAACTATCTAAGACCGTGGCTACGGTCGTCGTATATATCTATCTAGGGCGGGCCAATTAGGTCGTTGCTCCGTTGCTCCCTGGCAGAGCCATAGAGCGTTGCTCCGTTGCTCCCAGGCAGAGCCATAGAGCGTTGCTCCGTTGCTCTCTGGCAGAGCTACAAGCAACCCCGTAGAGCCAACCAAACCGTTGCTCCGTACCCCACCGCACAGAGCAAATGCGGGTCCCTGCCCCGCATGCCTGTCTCGTCATCCCTATTGGCCGGCCCCACTTTCAGAGCTATGACTAGCCCAGAATGGGCGCGGTTCATCACATCAGGATGGCCATATAGTCTAGAGGGACCAACGCGGACTTTCTAAAGAAAGAAAAGGCTCCCCAGAACATCTGGCTATGCCTAGTTGGTTTAGTCTTGCCCTGAATATGCCTTGGAAGTAACCGCTCCCGATAAACGTTATTAGTAATAATAATATATAGGAGGGGGTCAAACGTACGCGTCGGTAGAAAACCCACTTCTGCCGTTCACCATCACCATGTGCCATAGTCGCCTCGTCGCTGAAAATCCATAGCTTCTAAAAGTTGTTAGGCTTCGTAATATACCTTTGGGCAAACCCTAGGCGTTTCTAGGCAAGTTCTGAGTTTAGTTTCGGCCGCCGGAGGGCCTTCCTGTGCCGGATGCCCTGCGATTTGAGTCATTGGGTTATCGTGTCGACATGGCAGGCTACATCGGCCTGCGTTTTGATTTTCGTGTTGGAAATGAAAGGATCTTGGTTGATTAAGCGTAGGATATGCCGTTTATCGTATTCTGTAAGGACCTTTGGCCGGCCTGACCTGGGTGTGCGACTGCTGATTGTTGGACGCGATAGCGTTTCGTGATGCCATGGACCGACCCCGGCGAACAACCTCTTCAGCGGCAATCTGGGCCCTAGATTTGCCATTCTGTACCCAGACGGCAATTCTAGTACGCTTGTGAGGGCTGTAATGCTTATTTGGAGTCCTTGCCTCCATTTTTGGTCGATTTGCAGCTATTTGAAAGAGGGAGGGCGTGGGAGGGTGGTGCGCGACCGCGACGCGTAAAGTGGGTGGGCTCGGAACTTTTGCGGGGTAACTGCAGGTAATTATTGCTAAGCACCCTTTTGCCCTCTCCTCCCCCTCTCGGCGACCTTTTTCCTCATTTCCATACGTACCTTTCCAAAATGATTGCAGAAATGAGGAATTTGAGATCAACCAAGTGCGACGAGTTCCAGCTTCCCAGGACCGCAAGATAATAAAATTCATCCACGCCAACAGTGCGGCCCGACAATATCACCGTTTTCTTTTCGCAAACCATCCAAACCCCACTCAACCTCCAGCAAGATGGGATCAAAGCAGTATCGTACGGAGCATAATCCCCCGATCTCGGTGAATCCAACGTGGACGAATGTTTTGTTGTCGTTTCTCGACACAACCGTCCGGAAAACGATGTGGTGTTTGGTGAGGTGCACATTCTCTGGTAAGTCACTTCTATTGCATACGTGGACGCCGTCTGTCGGGGTTGCATGATCGGCCACCGAACAGTCCTGTGGGTTGTCCAGCATCGGTATCAGCTCGCCTGATATCTCGTCGAGTCGGTAGTAGGTGTTGAGGAAATGCGGTCCCATGGTCCCTTTGAGGAGCTCTATGCCCACATTGTCGTAGCGCTAGGCGGACCAGCTCCAACTTGGAAACTCGCCAAGACCTCGCCGGCTGGGCAGCTCCTCGCCTTTCCGGTAGCTATTGGGGCCGTTCCTTTGCCGTACTGCCGAAACCGGGAATCCTAGAGTCTGCTGGATCCCCCGAAGCGGCAACGATGGTGAATAGAGGCGCTTCGGTATATATCCTTCATGAGAGGGATCTGGAGAGCATAGTCGAGGGGATCGTCCTAGACAATGCACAAGGCCACCCAAAGATGGGTATGTCCACCCAAAGATGGGTATGCCCAAGGGACTTCACGACACAAGACGTCCGAGATGGTTTTGGGCAGTTGACTTAACCCTCCAAGTTCGTGATAGCGAGGAATGTTCTTCTAGGTGAGCAGGTAGCTCTTTGAATCTTGGTTCCACACGTAGCTGAGAGCGAAATAGACTAATCCGCTGGTAGTAGCCCCGTCACCGAAAGACCTCGGGCAACGGCGCTCCACGTTGACGAGCCGAAACCTACCCCCGGCGCCCACCCCCGACTGCCGTGGCAGATGACACGCTCCAACGCTGCGGCTGCTGTTGCACCTGCGTATCAGATTGCGGAGGACAGAGAAGTCGCAGCGAGCGGGCCGGTACCGGCCGATACACTCAGGCAAGGGGCCTAACAGCAACATGGAACCGAACACGCCCGCCTCCATTTCGTAGCCGTCCACTCTCCACCACCAAAGATTCTCGCCAGCGCATCTAAACACGATGCATCTGACCTCGACTCCGTGTTTGTACGCCACCTTGCCGTACCAGCCGTCGGCAGGAGACATGGCATCGGCAGTCAGAGGCATACAGGGCCGGCGCTCGATGGAACACCTGAGACGGCGGTAAAAAATGCCTCCACATTGAGGGTTTGACGGCAGGTGAACCCTCGCCGACTTGGTGATGCATGCGCAGAGCGGGCGGCCAGCAGCCGCAGGGAGGTCGATCCCCTCGAATGTTCCGAGGTCGTGATAGCCAAGTTGTCACGCGCATTCACAGGGCAACGGAAATGGAGCATTTGATGCAGGGAGGTAAGGCTTGAATTGTCTGAAAAGGTCTGTCTTTGTTTCCTTTGGGAGGGCCAAAAGTCTCTCTTTTATAGTTATGAATAGTGGCAAAATCTAGTGGCGAAGAATCAAGTGGCAGCTTCTAGGTCCTTTTTTTGCCCACTAATCCCTATTGTCGTGAGACAAGTCGAATTTTTCCTTGTTGGCAGAGAGTTCGCGCTCGAGCCTGAGGATTTTGTGTTCGTGGTATTCTGGTCATACCACTGGTGGCTGGGTCCTGAATAGGTCGTAGTAGTACTGGTGTTGGGGGGGAGGGGGGGTAAGGTTCTCATATTTGTTGCTGTCATGTTTGTTGCTGCTTTAAGAACTAATTAAGGTATGTGCGATCTTGGTTTTGGAGATTTTGCGCAAGTCCCGTGCGCCCAGTCGGTACGTGAGCTAGCACGTGACTTACGCCATCTCCCTCCTACACCAAAGGTACGGTCATGAATGTCGCTATTCCAACTGAGAGCGTCGTGTCAAAGGCGGAAAAGAAGGTTGTCAAGCAGAGCATTGTCCAACACGGCTCATGCAAACCGTGTCCAAACAAGGACAACAGTTCTCGAATCGAGTTGGTTTATGTTACGTAACTAGGCCTAATCAGGCCAATGTCTTCTAAGCGAGGATCTACGCCTACACCGGCCTAGTGCTTGCATGTTGGAAAGGAGCATTTTTTTTGAGTGCGTCTCCTACTACCGTCAAATCGTCCCGTTATACTGTAATTCACCACACATAACCCTAACCCTGACTGTATACCCCTCCGCCAGTACATGCAACTTTCTGCCGCGCAGTAATTTACCACTTTTTACCACAACGCAGCCGAACCTTACACCTTCTACTGCAACCCACCCTTACACCTTCTCCTGCAACCGACCTTCCACAACCACCAAAAAACATCGTCGGCACTGCGTTCAATCGATGCATTGGTATGGCTTCATTTCTTAATCGCTTATTCGTCGCGGAGTACTAACTAGTGATAGAAATGTCCGTTTTTGAACATCTAAGCGATCTCAGCGACTTTGGCGATGAAGGCTGTCAGTTGCATGCAGTTGTGAGTAGTGTAAGCAGGCCTGTAGTTTTTTATTGCATTTTTGGCCCTGTTACGTAAGTGAATTCAACGAAGTCAGCTTCGCTTTTTATTGCAGATTTGAACGATTTGAGTGAATCTTGAATCTACGGCCCTGAGGTGGAATTATCGCATTCGGAAGTATGTTGACGTTGGCGACGGCGGGGAGGTGTAATTGCGGTCAACTGCGTTGCTAGTGCTTGGAGTGGCAGCAGCGAATGCGGTAATTTTGGGTGTAAAATTTGGTAATTTCCTGGGTGGTGAGCTCTAACGCTTGGGCGCCTATGTACCACAGTATGCGGGGACGATTTGACGGTAGGAGACGCACACTTGTTTTTTCCTACAGGGAGTAGGGCTTTCGCACTGCTTCCTTCCCTCCTTCAACAATTCATCAATTGAATGCACCTATTTTGACTGCTTGTGTGCAACAGTTTAGTTTTCAGTGGTCCACGTCGTGATTGACTGGCAGGAAGGAGCCCTAGTCGATCTCGCGCCATTTCCAACAGATTGTTGATTCTGTAACTGTTGGAGCCGGACATAAAGGCTGAGCATGGTTCATGATGACGACGCTCTGCGCCTTACTGGACGTTGAGAATGCGGCGCAAACAGAAAAATTCAAAGGCTGGTAGCTTGAAGCTGCGGCGTCTCAAGCTGATCTTGAGAATTACTTCGATTTCCATGTCTTTTCCTTTCAAAAACGTCAAAGATGAGTTCGTGTCGTAGGTTGCGGCATGGCAGTGTTGTCAGACAGGCCTTACTACTTTCGGCATGGTCTAGTGTGCCCGGGCAGGGCCCGCACAGGGCACCTAATTAGACCGCGGTTTTACCGGGTCAAATTGGTCCCCGGGCCTTCAGGGGCAGGCCGGTTTTTCCTTCCTAGAACACAACACAATACAGAATTGGAATACCCTCATTTTTTGACTGCTTTTGCATGCTCTTGGCCTCTGAGAAATGTTGAGTAGCGATGGCTACTTGGGCTTCCCTCCCTCTCACAGCACGGCTGAACTACAAAAAATCGTAGTCGCTGCGCCTCGCGCCATAGTTTTCGCATGCACTAATCATAGGCCGACACAAGTAACGCATTTGGTAGCACAGGAGCAGACCTGTCTCAAGAGCTAGATAATTGGGCACCAGAAAACTGAGTCTGCGCCAAGTCAATCTCGAGTCGGTGCAAGTGCTAAGCAACGAGAGGAGCAGCTGCTAGAACAAGCTGCCGCCACGTCGGACGTGCGAAAGAGAGGAAGAAAGGAAGGAAAGAAGGAAGAGAAAGAAAATATCGGCCGACGTCTAATAACCCCCTCGGTCAAGGTTGGTGGTGAAGCGGGCACACAGACTTGACCAAAAGGAAGTTCTCGCGAGCATTATCATATAGGCAGGCAAACTTGAAATCTGAGCTTCGGGAGTTTCGCAACGCATAACAATAAAAACTAGTCACAATATTATAACACGTGTACAAGGCAGAGATATCCCCTGGCTTATACACCCGCGTCCGGGTCGTCGCGTTGTATCACAGCGCAGCCAACGCAATAGCCACCGCGACAAGCAGCGCCAGCACGACCGCGACCACCGACACAACGCCCACAAGACAAGCCAGACACGCCAGCCACGCCAACAGCAGCACCACAGAGCGAGCAAGCAGGGCGGGCGCCCAGCGCAGCAGACAGACGGTTCGCGAAAGGGACGCTTCCGCGGCATCAAGCTCACGGCGCAAGCCGCGCAGGCTTGCGTCCATGGCGGCGTGCGCGGCGTCGATGGGCGCGCCGTGGGCGGCGTGCGCCAGCTCGGCGTAGTACCACAGCAGGCCGAGCGTGGTCATGGGGTACTGGGCGAAGAAGAGCAGGGTACGGAGGAGGCGCGGCAGCGCGGCCGTCTCGTGGCGGTTGGCGCGCAGCAGCTGGATGTGGAAGGCCGACGAGGGCGAGAAGCTGCTGCTGGACCGCCGCAGCGTGGGGGTGTCATCGCCGGGGATGGTGTTGCCGTCTCCTGTCGATGCCGTGGTGGTGATGACATCTTTGATCTCGGCCAGCACGTCGTCTTCGGCCACGGCCGTGCTGCACTCGGCGGCGAACCAGGCGTCGTCGAACGCGGAGAAGCGGTCTCGGATCCGCTGCCGCAGCCGGTGGCGCGCTTCTTCTTTGCCATGTTGGCGAGAGGGGTCGTGGTCGTCGTGGTGGTACTGGGGCAGCGCGAAGTCGGCAATGTCAATCTCCCACACGTGCGGCGAGCCCAGGTGTCCGATGCTGACTCTGCGCAGTAGCTTGGTCGGCATCTTGGGCTCTTGCAGCGTCAGGGACCCCGTCAGCTCGTTGATGTACGCCTCGCCGCGCTTGATCCATCCCCGCGGCAGCGAGTGTGCATTGCCTGCGACGGAGCCCGCGGCGGAGCCCGCGCTCGCGGATTGGGTGCTCGGTGCAGCTGTTGCCGTTTCTGCCCCGGGTGTTGCTGAGGGCCCATTTCTGGGAACGGTCAAGTGCTTGCCAGAGGCCGCGCCACTTCGCTCCCAGGTCGGAGTCCGTGAGAGGCCCCACGGGTTGCGAAGGAGAGGCGTCGTCTCGTTGGGTCGGTCTCTGGCCCGGGCAGCGTCGATGTCGTTTTGCTCAGCCAGCAGGTGCCGGAAATTGAGCCGCAGAACCTGGAACACGGCCCCGTAGTGTCGACGGTCGAGCGCCATGTCCTCCAGGGCCGTCGAGGGCGCCGCCGTCGTGGTGTCGTCAGCGGTCGAGGGCGCCGTCGTGGTGTCATCAGCCGCACGACTCGGCCCGTCGCGCGAGGCCACCGTCATGAAATATCTCGTGGAGCGACCGCGGGTTGAGCCGTGGCCCGGCGCCGTTCCCGCAGCCAATAATACTTGCTCGTAGCGACGGCAGATCTCGTCCGAGACGGCAGGAACTGTGGCCACGCGGCAGCTGCGGAGATAGTGGCCCAGTATAGACCTCAGCGCCGGCAACGTCGGATGATTCTGCAACACCTGCTCGATGCGTGCGCCGAACTGCATCAGGAGGAGAAACCGCTCGAGCCGGGCCGACTCGTCCAACGTGTCGGGGCTGAGGAGCACCTCCCACACCCCGTACGAGGGCCGCAGGCTGTACACTTCGTGGGCGCCGATCTCGCCTCTGCACAGCCAGGCGAGCGTGCAGATGTCGAGAGGGGGTCTGGCCTGCAGGGCGAGCTCGACAATGTTCGTCCTCTTGGGGACTCTGTTCCACTCGTCTAGGTGGAGCGCCTTCGCCCGGAGGCAGGCCACGCCGTACGGTGATCCTGGCCCATCCATGTTGCGCGTGCGCGACTTGTTGGAGATCAAGCTCTGCAGGCGATCATGCAGCTCCTGGACGTCGCCTTCACTCTTCTTGGGCTCCCAGGGCCGCCAAGTGCGCCGTCTTCCCCTCCACCATGCATCGAACGCGGCCGACTGTTGCGATTTGACGCTAGGCGCTAGAGAGCGTGTGGGTGTGACGCCACTATCGGAGGTGCTCTGTGTTTCCTCACTCGAGCCAGGCCGAGGAGATGCTGCGGGAGGGGCCGCAGCCGAAGCGTCAGCTGTTGATGTAGGGTCGGGCGATGCGGCGGGAGGGGCTGCAGCCGAAGCGTCAGCTGTTGATGCAGGGTCGGGCGTGGTGACGGCGGTGTCGGGTGTGGTGACGGCGGTGTCGGGCGTGGCGACGGCTGTGTCGTGGTTCAATGCCGTGCCATGCCTGGCTTCCAGCCTGCTTTCTGCTGCCTTCATGCCTCGCCACAGGGCGCGGGCGGCGCGCTCCGTCCTGCTGTAGAGGTACTTCCACGGGCGTTTCTCGACACGGTGTTTTGGTTCAGCGATATCTGGATCGGCGTCGAGCTCGTCGGCCAGCAGAAAGCCCTCGCACACGGTGCTATCCACCAGACGGCCGACGTGGCGAACGAGCGCCGCCTTGCTCCCCATCGGGCTTCTGTAGCCGCCCTTGGGGTCCATCTCCTTGAGGTGCCCGGGGAGGTGCACGCACGGGTTTCCCCCCCCGTCTTCGGAGATGGGCGGCTTGTTGCCGCGGAGCGTGGGAGAGAAGGCGCTCCAGACCAAGGCCCCGTATACAGTGCGGTCAAATGACATCAGGGTCTCCCGGTCGTGTGTCTTCACCAGGGGGCCGAACCAGTGTGGCCGCCAGTCTGGGGTGCCTCGGTACCTATATCTTTCGGTAGCTGCTGTGTCAGGATCGCCGCCTGGAGGAGCGAATGAGCGCGAGTGGCCGAGGTCGCAGAGCTTGGCCGTCCACCTGGGGCGGTCGCTCGAGACAAGCACATTTCTCGGCTTGAGGTCGCCGTGCGTCATGTTCAGGTGGTGGAGGTGCTGCAACCCGTGCCCAATGTCGATGCACAGCCCGCGTACGACCTCGTCCCTGTCGATGCCCTTGATGATGTGAAATCGCCGCGATTCGCGCAGTGTCCCTGGCGTGTCGACTCCTGCTGCACCGTACCCATGCGCGGCCTCGGCCTGGAAATCCGCCGCGTCCGCGTTCTCACCACCCACGTATTCGTTCAGCGTGGAGCCCGAGAGAGAATGGCTCTCGGGGCGGGCGGGGCCTTGAACCGTCATGTAAGGTGTAGACACGCCCTGGTCCCCGGATCCAGGCTGCAGCAGTGGCGTCGAGTGCTCCACTCGGCCGAGCTCGGCAAGCGACTGCGGGTTGTGGTGGCCACTGGCCGAGGGCTCGTCGCCAAACAACTCGTACAAGAACTCCTTGAGATCGCCCTCGGCACGCTTGAAGACCAACAGGGGCAGGTGGAGGCTGAAGGCGGACAGGTCGGTCGGCGGCTTGGAGAGGCTCTGGATCCATTCGATGGTGTCGAGACAGAGCCCCCAGCCCTGGAGCTGGATGATGTTGGGGTGGCCGTCGGGCAGTTTGGAGAAGGCCTGAATCTCGGCTGCGGCCGAAGCCAGGTAGTTCTCCAACCGTGGCCTGGGTTGGCCGGGCGTTGCGGGCCGCGACTGTGGCCCGTGGCGTTTGATGGCGAATTTGTGGGCGATCCACCCGGGCGAGTGGCTCTTTCTGGCTCTGAGGATTTTCTCCTCGGCCTCTTTGTTGGTGCCCTGGACATTTCCCTCGCCGCCGTATCCCAGGCTCTTTGAGAAGTCGGACCAGGAGCGGAGCAGTTCCGGCCCCGGGATACCGCTGGCTCTCAGCGTGTCAACCATCTTTTGCAGGATCTCGACGGGGTTGTCGTCTTGGGCGCAGTCCCTGGCCGACGAACGCTCGCCCTCCCTAGCCGACGAATACTCGCCCATGGAGAGGTGGCGTGAGAGGCTAGGAGGCCGAAGAGCGGTCCGAGGACCCAGATCATCTGCATCGTCACTTGCGCCGGCGACGTATGGGCCAGGAGCCTGATCGGTGGTGTACTCCGGTTCGTTTAGCTCCTCGTTGGGGGTCACGATGAACTGCGGCTCGTCCCCTGTTTCCCTCAAAGCCGGCGTCTGCAACTCTTCGTGGAACCGAGGTCGAGCCAGGCCGCTTCGCGTGCTGCCGGTGGAGCTGGTTCTCTTCAGGGCCAGACGAGGGTGCTGTCGATGGATTGAGGTGTCCTTGGTTGGTGATGGCGGAAACATGGTGCGCGGCGTCGGCTCAGGCTCGAAGGCGACATCTCCAAACTGCACATGGCTTGTCCTGATTGACTTTGTCCTCTTCAATGCCGACCGGCGCTCCTTGGAGGGGGTAGGAGGGGTCGGAGGTGGTTCGGGGGAGTAGAGCGTGGCGCTGGGAGAGACGGACATATCCATGGTGATCGACATCGGCAGACGCCAAGTGCTCTAGAGGGAGTTTTAATCTGGTTGAGTCTCAGTATAATTAGAGAGCGGACACGCAGAGGATATGGCCCGCCCAGCCTAATAATTCCTTGGACCAAGACTGAACACGAGGTGGGTGCAGTGTGCTTCGGTTTGCTCCAAGTTCGGTTTGCTCCAAGTTCGGTCTGCTCCAAGTTCGGTCTGCTCCAAGAGCGCGCCACAATCGAGGAATGGGAGGAGCAGAAATCATATCAAGCGGCCGCCGGCATGTCCGAAGAGTCTAGCGGGCGACAGACAAGCGGGCGACAGACAAGGGGGTGAGAGTGGGGGTGGGAGCACCATGGCTGGACGGCCGGCCTGATCACGGCAGCTTCGGTCAGCCGCGAATATCCTGCAGGATGTGTAGGCATTGACAGCGCAGCTCGTCGAGAGAATGGGGGAAAAGGCGGCGAGAAGCTGGAGGCCATTGGCCAGAATGCGGTGGTGGTGAGGGAGGACGTGGCGCGATTGGATGTTTCCTTGCTCCTCACTTTCGATAACCATGCACGAGCTGCTTCGGGCTGGGATGGAGTCTGCTCATTGGATGCAACATTCGGTCCCCGGACCCATGAGCTGGATGTTTGGTGTGCGCAGCGAGCGAATCCGTAGCCTGGTTTCGCTGCGGCTCCCTTGGGTGAGCTCGGTAACCTGAACATGCCTGCCTCCCTCACCTCGAGAGATGAACCCGATCCCCCTCGAGAGTGATTAACCCGATCCCCCTCGAGAGTGATTGACCCGATCCCCCCTCGAGCTATGCCGGCCACGAATTGTGTCGACTTTGGCTCCTACATTTGCCAGCCACGAATTGTGTCGACTTTGAATTGTGTCGACTTTGGCTCCTACCTCTTGCAGGCGTGATCTGCAACCTCGTCGCCAATTCGGGAACCCGCACCTGAAGCTGCCATAGCCAACATGGCGGACCCCTTGAGCATCGCCACGGGCGTCTTGGCCCTCTTCCAGGGCGTCTATCTCACGTCTAGGTTCGTTTACCGGCAAGTCTTGGTCGCGAAAGGCTTCCACGCCGGGAAGGCCGAGATGGCGGGGGACTACCGCTTCCAGATCGTGCGGCTCAGGACATTCTGGATCGTCCTGACGCGTGAGATTGGCCCCAAGACCACTGCCAACTCGCTTGCCGGTCTTCACAAGGCATGTCCAGTATCCACGGAGCGGGGGCGGACCGGCGGATCGGCGCATGGAGACCACAGCACTGACACACTGATTAGGAGGTCCTGGGGCAGGTGCATGCCGTCATGCTAGACATTGCCACCGGGCTGAACGCATACGCGACAGTTGCCAGAGAGATGGATGAGGAATACGCAAGATACTCGGAGAGAGCATTCGTCCTCACCGATGCCAGCAAAGCGCTGCTGGAACTCCCGCTCGACCTCGACGACGCTGCCGGGCCGACTAAGGCGGAACGCGATGCCGAAAAGTGTGCGGCAGAAGACGCAGCCGAAAATTGTGCGGCAGAAGATGCAGCAGCAGCAGCAGCAGCAGCAGCGCCCAACGCCAAACCCGAGCCCCAAGAGAGGGGTTTCTGGAACATTTTCGGCAAGAAGCAAGACGAGAAGCAGGCCGACAAGCAGGTCGACAAGCAGGCCGACAAGCAGGCCGACCAGACCAGGTCCGGTGTCCGGTGGAAGGAGATACCGCGGGCGTTTGCTTGGTGTTTCGAGGTAAGGCGGCTGCGGAAGTCGCTCAAGGTGCTAACCGGCAAGATCGACAAGCTCCTACTGCTGGGCCCGTACCTGGTCGCGACTCTCGACCACAACAGCACCGTCGGCCAGACAATTCAGACGGCGGACAGCGGGAGGGCCTTCCAGAGCTACCGGGCCCACCTGATGCTGCAGAAAAAGGCCGCTGACGTCAAAAGCGGCGTGAAATGTAAGTGTAATTATCCAATCCCTCCTGTCTCTCTAGTTCACTGCTAGGTCTTTGTTCACTGCTAGGTCTCTGTTCACTGCTAGGTGACGTGAGGCAACTGGTGCTCGTGGGCCGTGGCTGACACGCACACGCAATGCTAGTGACCGACGTCGACGAGTCATCGTGGAATATCATGCAAGCCTACATCGCCGACTCGCGCCAGACGTCGACCCGTATCCTGGTGGAGCGCAAGGTTTCGAGCAACTTCGCGCGCAGCAGCATGGACCCGGCGGCGGTGCGCGAGAGGAGCGAGGAGGTCAAGTTCGCGCCGCAGCTCGCCAGCTTCCTTGCCGTGGCGGGCCAGGAGTTCCTCGACGGCGCCACGCTCGGCATCCTGCCGTTCAAGGGCTTCGCTAAGGACCCGGCGCCCAACGGCTGCTTCACCTTTGCCTTCGGATTCCCGCGCGGCACGCTGAGCCGCGCGCCGCCCAGCCTGCACGAGCTGATCGTCTCGGACCGCAAGGCCCACCGGCTGGGCCTGCCGGCGCGCTTCCAGATCGCCAAGGCCGTGGCGCAGTGTCTCGGCACGCTGCACTCGGACTGGTGGCTGCACAAGCGCATCAGCAGCCGCGTCGTGCGCTTCTTCTTCCGCCAGAGCCACGGCGGCGGCGGCGAGTCTCTCGACACGGCGGCGCCGTACCTAACCGACTTCGCCTTCGCGCGGCCGACGTTCGGCGTCTTCTCGGCCTACGAGAGCGTCGACAGCGTGGTACACGACATCGACCGCGACGTGTACCGGCATCCAGAGCGCGTCGGCGCGCCGCCCAAGGCCTACTACAACCCGATGCACGACGTCTACTCGCTGGGCGTGGTTCTGCTCGAGATTGGGCTGTGGCGCACGGCGCGCCAGCTGTACGACGACGACTTCAAGGACGCTCAAGGGGTCACGGGGATTGATGTGACGAAGGCGTTCCTCAAGCGCGCCAGAACGGAGCTCGACCACCGCATGGGGCCCGCATATCGCGACGCCGTCGTGCTGTGCCTCGACGGCCGCAAGCTGGGCAGCCACCAGGGCGGCAAGAACTTGCAGTTTGGCATCGAATTCCAGAAGCAGGTCGTGCAAAAGGTCGACGTTGCCTGCCTGAACGCCGTAGCTACCGGTGACTTCGTGGACGACGATGCCGCGCCCCCGTCGTATGAGGATGTCGTGCCCGTGCGAGGAAAGCTGCCAGCTGGCTCCACCTGAGTCGGCTTGTGCCGGAAGAAACCGGCGGCATGGATCAACCGGCAGCATGGATCAACCGGCAGATGGATCAACCGGCGGCATGGATCAATCGGCGGCATGGATTTGATGGCGCACATACTGGCCACCTGCGGCCTGACGAATTCAACAAGACCCATTCGACACGCAAAGTAGGGTATCGAGGCCATGGCTGCCTCTCTTTCTTCCTTCTAATAGAAGCACTCCTTTTACCGCGTCCTACATGCCGTCGTACTTGACATCACATCTTGAGGCCTCGACACTAGACCCGCGTGGACCATGGTGCTTGGGACTGGCAAATCCGGTAGCGACAAGACTGTGTAAGTCCGGTAGCGACAAGACTGTAAGCTAGCAGGAACGGCACAGGGCGGTGCTCCCGGGTTTCCCTGCGGCACTAGTCGCGCGCAGCCGCATGGCCGGGCCGGCGTCGTGGGTGGTGCATGAACCTTGGCCTGTTTTTGTCAGGGGGCACGAGCCCGATTGGCGTATAGTCCCGTGGGCCGTTAATTTTATGCTTGTCTCTCCCGGCAAATGCGCCGCGCCCGCATTGTCGCCGTCACCCCCCCCCTCCCCCCTTTCCCCCCCCGCCTTCCCCCCCCCCCCCCCCTGGCCCCTCCCCTCTGGCCCCCCCCGGCCCCCCCGGCCCCCCGGCTAATCCAGCCCGCGGCTAGATCCAATATAGATGCGGCTCTTTGGCCTCCGAGAATGCCACCTTGTACTTTGAGCTTGGCAGACGCCACCACCACCGGACAAGACTACCTGTGATCTTTCGGTGTCTGCTGCGTGTTGAGGAGAGAACAAGCTTGCCTGTCTTGTGTGGCCAGCTACCTGTCTTGCGTGCAGCTACCCGTCTTGCGTGGCCAGCTGGCGAAAGCACGCACACAGTTTGATAATTATGGCCGTTGTTCAAGTTCCTGCTCTCCCAGCTGCGGTGGCCGCCAAGGCCCTCGTCGGCCAGCCCCCGCCCCGCAAACTGACCAAGGAGGAGCTGATCAGGACGCACAAGACCCATCTCAAGAAGCAGGACCTGTCGCCCGACGAGGCACGGCCAGTCAAGCAGCCCGTCCTGTCCGAGGCCTACCCGGCGTCGACGAAGTCGATCCGCGATGTCGAGTTTGTCTGTCCCCCAACATCTGCCGAGAATAGCATTCGTCCGAGAAGCATTCGTTGCTGACTTCTTCATGTAGATGCCCCTGAGCGAGCTGCGCGTGGAGACGCACCACCGCGGGCGCGGCGTCATCGTCAAGGTGATCAGCCCGCCGTACATTGGGGCGGGGGCCGTGAGCATCGTCGAGGACGGCTTCGGCAACGTCGACAAGCTGGCCATCTACAACCAGCCCGACTCGTCCATCCTGTCGGCCGTGCCCGAGGGCTGCGTCGTGGCCGTCAAGGAGCCATACTACAAGCACAACGGCGCCGAGCACGACTACATGATTTGTGTCGACCACCCGTCCGACGTGGTGCTGTTGCGATTCGCCGACCCCCTGATCCCCGAGCAGCTGCGCCTCGGCCCGCTGCTCAAGTCGGCCGACGAATGGCGTGCCGCAGGTGACACGGCGTTCATCGAGAAGGATCTTCCGACGGCCGTCTTCTGGTGCGTCTCCGAGGCTTGACCTTGCATGAGAAGGAGGAACCCCCAACCACGCTGACACGGCCTAGCTATACCGAGGCACTGGAGACGTCCGAAGACGAGAAGTTCAAAGCCCCCGTCTTCACCAAGCGCGCCGGCACCAACCTGCTGCTGGGGCGGTACGACGCGGCCATGGCGGACGCGCTAGCATCGCGGACGGGCGGGCCAGGGGACTGGAAGGCGTACTACAACGCGGGGCGGGCTGCGTACGGGCTGTGCCAGTACGCGGCGAGCCGCACGCACCTCGAGCAGGCGCTGGAGCTCAGCTCGGGCAGCAGCAGCTCGGGCAGCGGCGGGATACGCAAGGAGCACGAGCGGTGCCTGGCGCGGCTGCGCGAGGAGGAGCACGGCGACTACGACTTTCCGGCCATGGCGGCGTCGCTGAGCCCCACCGCCGTGCACCTCGACCGGGGGTCGTTCCTGCGGCGGACGCGCGTCGACTCGTCGCCACACCACGGCCGCGGGCTGTTCGCGACGCAGGCCATCGCCGCAGGCGAGCTCGTCTTTGTCGAGAAGGCCACGCTCATGCCCAACCAGTACGAGCCGTCTCGGGCGTCGGCCGCCTTGTACGCCATGACGGTGCGGCAGCTGTGCGACAACCCGTCGCTGGCGCAGTCGGTGCTGACGCTGTACGCGGGCGACGGCGTGGCGGGCTCGCGGACGGGAGCAGAGGACACCATCATCGACGGCAGGCCGGTGGTCGACGTGTTCCTGGTCGAGGGCATCCGCACCAAGAACTGCTTCAGCGCGCCGCTGTCGACCGTCGAGGACACGCGGCCTGCCGCGCCGCCTGGCCACATGGCCAAGGGTCTCTGGGCGCACGCCAGCCACATGAACCACAGCTGCGTGCCCAACACGATGCGGTCGTTCCTCGGCGACATGCTGGTCAGCCGCGCGACGCGCGACATCGCCGCCGGCGAAGAGGTCTTCCAGCAGTACGTGCCCGTCAAGTCGCTCGTCAACCTCCGCAACGCCGAGTACAAGGCCGGCTGGGGCTTTGAGTGCGGCTGTACGCTGTGCTCCGGGGAGCGCAAGAGTCCCGCCGCCAACCTCGACCGCCGCAGGGAGGTGCTCATCGCCGTCGAGAAGGCCTGCAACAAGCGCGGCCCCGGAGCGGGCGACAAAGGCATCGTGCCCAACGCCGTCATCCGCAACATTGATCGCCTCGCCCAGAAACTCGAGGACCTCCACGAGCCCGAAGTCTACGATGGCCTGCCGCGGCTGACGCTGATCTATCCGTGCAACTGGTATGTGATTTTATCCAAGCTCCAAATTTTTTTCTTTTCTTTTGTTTCTTTTCTTTTCTTTTCTTTTCTTTTCTTTTCTTTTCTTTTCTTTTCTTTTCTTTTCTTTTCCCCCATTCCTTCCGTGTCTGCCATCTGGGCATGTGTATATCTCCGTCGCTGTAGTAGTGGTAGTCCTTCCGTGTGTCTGCCATCTGGCATGTGTATATCTCCGTCGCTGTAGTAGTGGTATTCGATTGCGCGTGGCAATTGGGAAATCAGACACGAGATCGAAGGGTCGAACGAAAGCGGCAGCTAATTTGGATCGGTGGCACAGGCTTGTGGGAGCGCACCGCGGGCGGAAGAACCACGCCAAGGTTCTCAAGTACGGGCTGCGGGTGCTGCGCAACTTTGGTTTCCGTGTGCCGCTCGAAGAGGGGAGCGCCTGGGAGCCGAGGGACATGTACACGCGGCCGGGAGACGTGTCGCTGATGACAATCCACGTCGTGGCCGCGCTGCGTAAGATGGCCGAGGCCCACCAGGCGCTGGGCCAGTCTGTCATGGCTGCGCGTTGCACCGAGGCGGCCGAGTTTGGATTTCTAATGGTCACTGGGTTCAAGAACGATCCGAGCATCATCGAGCCGTGAGGGGAAGCGAAAATGAGATATTGTGTGTTTACTTGAGGTGTCTTTTTGTAGGTAATCATTGAGCCTGGTCTTGAGGCCTACGAGCGAGCGTATGATTTTGGGCGGGAACTAGGTGTTTTGCGGCTCCTTCTTTCCGTGGCGAGCAGCGGCGGGAACAAGGCGTGGCTAACTGGGCCGTGACATGCGGCGGCGGTCGGGTGCTTTACAGGGCACGTTCACAGGGCACGACGGGCTGCGGCATGGCGAGACACAAAGACTGCGGCATGGCGGGACACAAATACAGCAAAGATAAGCCTGAAAAAGCAGAAAGAATAGAAGTTTCTTCTTCTCCATGTCACCACATAGTGCGGTGATCACAGTGAAAAAAAAAAAAAAAAAAAAAAAGATTGTTCGCGTTACCTGGAGGCAGTGTAATACCAGGAGCACAGTGGTCTGCTCTCGAAGAGAACACGACCGGGTTTTCAAAAATTGATTCAGTATGGCACGAGTATGATAAGGATTCGCCGAGAGCACCATAGAGAAAAAAAGAAGGGAAAGTCGAGGGAGAGAGGGCAGAGGCAAAGATATTTATAATGAACCAGGTTAGTCCGTGCACGGCTGCGAAAAACGAGGGACCCACCTCTGGCGGCTGTGTGGTCCCCCTGATGCCTTGCCCGGCGTCCTCAGGCGCGGGCCGTGACGTCAGCCGGGCTGTGGGCGCTTCCCTGTTATCCTGCCGACCTGGGGACGCCGCTGGGATGCTACTCGCCCTCCCTGGGGCTCAGCTGGGACAGCTGGGACGGTTCTGGGATCTGCTTCTGCCTCCATCTCTACCAGACCAGGCACTGCCTTGTCGTTGGCGTCCATGGAAGCTCCTTTGTTGACTTTGTCTGTCTTCCCTCGTTCCATGTTTGCCGTCACTACCGACGCTCACCAAGCAAAGCACCGCTCTGTCGCAGGGTTGTCTTCCACTGGCTGGACTCCCGAAGTTCCTACGCACAGGGCAGTCTTCCGTCCCCCTCTCCCGTCAGCTAGAGCACTTTGTTTTCCTTTTCGGGTCCGATCATTGAGCAACTACAAGAAGCACCACAAGCCGAAACTCCAGCAGCCTCCAGCAGCCTCCAGCAGCCTCCAGCAGCCTCCAGCCACCCTTCTGCAGACTACCGTCCAGCTGCCTAGCATAAACCCCGCCCAGGCACCACAGATAAGCACCCACACACCACAGCGCGATTTTCACAACCTCAAACTCTTCATCGCTGACCCCCGATCTGCAGAGTCCCATGTCTTCCCCAAGACGTCGCTCTCCACCGCATTCGTTAAAGACCGGATAAACTCGAGACCCTGATCACAACCTGCAATCATGTTTGACACTTGTGCCAAAAGTGACTGTCACTGTCATGGAAGAACGAAACTGCCATGCCGTGTCTTACGTGCCATTGTTTAGCAAACGAGAGTCGCTCCGATCAGCCCCGGAGGACTTGAGGAGACGGGTTTGTTCAAGACGAGTTCGTGGGCAGAATACTAGGAGCAGAATGCAAGAATCAGAAAGAGACTTTATTCCGAGACTGTGAGCAACGATAGCCAATCGGTCGCTGGCTGATGTGAGAGTGTAGTACACGAAAACCACCCGCGAAGAAGTCCCGCTGCAACGCCCTCCCCTCCCTTGAATGTCCAAACCAAACCCTCCAAAGCCCCAGCTCCAGACAATATCCCCGACCCGCTTTTTTTTCCACCCCTGCCGTGCCCTGAGATGCCTCTGTGTCCGCGATGCCGTTACCGAAGATGGCAGCAACCATTGCACATCCGAGAGGATTGGTGATGAGTGTGTCGAATTCCGGGAACCGAACTGAGAGTGGTCGCAAATGAAGATGTGCATGCCGCTGGGCCCCATGAGCCTCGGTGATCTTGCGAGGACCTGTCGACTTGTCTGGAGTGCTTGTCGTGCACGTTCAACATGTGACGAGCTGTGTCGTTGTCTCCGGAGCTGTCAGGCTGATGACGGTCGCTGACTGTCTCCCGCAAACGAAGTGCATGTCGTGTTGGGTGTGGGCAATTTCTGGTGCTTGTGGCATTAGCTGCGTTCTTGCCTGCTGCACTCGTCATGGCAGAAGACGGAGCCGCTGTCAAGTCATTGTGCGCAAGTCACTGGATGAGGCACTTACCTTGCATTGAATGACTCTGGGCCACCACCACCGTCTGTTGTGACTGGTGGTGACCTCCACCACTCTGTTGCGGCTGGTAGTGGAGGCCACCACCGTCTGCTGTGGTCTGGTGGTGACCTCCACCACTCATCTGTTGTGGATGGTGTGGTGACCTCACCATTCCTCTGTTGTGGTTGGTGGTGAGGCCACCACCGTCTGTTGCGGGAGGTGATGGCCTCACCATTCATCTGTTGTGGTTGGTGGTGAGGCCACCACCGTCTGTTGCGGGAGGTGGTGGCCTCACCATTCATCTGTTGTGGTTGGTGGTGAGGCCACCGCCGTCTGTTGTGGTTGGTGGTGAGGCCACCGCAGCCGCTGACCGAAGCTGGAGAGTGACTGATTCAAATAATAACTCACCCTCTGGTGTGGGTGATTGCCGAAAAAAATGTAAAAGGAAAAAATGAGTGTTGGTTAGGAGGATGGCTCGGCCGTTTTGTTTGGGAAGAGAAAAGTGTTTACATGGTCGCTGCTAGCGCGTCGAGTCATATTTTTGCACGCCCGAACCACATCCAACAACATCCCTGCTGCAAGCAGGAGCCATGGACATGAGCGATTTGGTTACACCGTTGACTCCTGGAGTTGGTCAGCGGGATAGGGACTGTAATCGTCGCGCTTTCCTTCAAGAGTATTTCTACTGGCGACTTGGACTTTCTACCTCTTGCTCCCTCTTCCCACACTTCCCTTCCCGTCCGTATCTCAGCGCCAGGTTTCCAAAGGTACCTTGAATCTGTACCATTGCAGTCTTCGCGCCTTCCTTCTCCATTTCCTTCACGTCGACGAACGTAGCCGACCATCTACTTGCCGAGTTCCTATCATAGATCAACACGTCTTTAGTGACTTTGGTGACTTGGTGACTTTGGTGACTTGGTGACTTTGGTGCCATCTCCTAGTAGGCGAATCTTGGCGATACTTGGTGATTACAGGGTAGAGGAATGATCCTCCTTCGTGTGCTTTCACGGGTAATGGAGCGTTGATCAGAGCTGATCAATTGCCCTCCTACAGCCGTACTCTTCCGTTACCCGCAGCCTCCCCCCTCAGGTTGATATCCTCGCTTTCTCCAAGCCACCTGACATGCCAGTTTTCAGTGTCCAACAACATCAACTTTGTTCTAGTGCCTGTCAACATGTCAACAGCAATGGCGGAAAATTCAATGTTCAAATTTAGAATCAATTCAGGCTTCTATCGTGGCGAGCTACCGAGGCCAGGGTGTGGACGTCTACAAGTGTGTCGAACCCAGCCGAACCTGCCAGTGCTAACCAGTAGTACCAGTTTGAGTTGTGCGGGTGCTGTAAATCAGGTACTGGGTAACGGCTCATGCAGCCCGAGGCAGCTCCAGCCGCCAACCCTGAATTTGCATGTTGCCTCCAGCCGTTTCGCGAGCTGGTTTAAGACCACACTAGCCGACGGAGTAAGGAATGAAAGATCGTAAGTGCCAGTAGATCTGTTGGAATGTGGGCCTCGAAGAAGCCAGGCGGAGGATTTGCAGCCTACTTCACGGCCTACCTCGCAGCCTAAATCGCGACCACTTCGCGGCCTACTTCGCTACCTATTTCGCCACCACAATAGCAGTATAAAAGGGGGCTTTCTGGCACTGCCAGAAAGGGAGAGGAAGAAGATATACAGAACAATCCATCACTTGACCACCAGTTTTCGGCGTACAGTTACGCCCTGTTACGCCCTGTTGTGTCCAGTACCGGTACCCTGGTGAATCCAACAAGATCTAGTCAGGCTGGCGCACACAGCAGTGGAAGCCTTTGAGCTTGGGCCACCCCCTTCTCAGCCAGCGGCAGATCTGGCGGATGACGCCTTGGGGCACCTCTTAGCAGTCTGGAAGCCCCACCTGCTTTGCTCTCCCGGTTCCCTCCAGCCTCAACATTCAGGCGTGGAATGATACAGGGGGTGTTCCTTCCTCAAGCAGCATTGAATCTCCAGGCCCTGGAAGTTCGCAGGACTGGACCTGGACACAGGCTCCACGGAGTCCTTGGTTCTCGTGCGTTCCTTCCGTTGCCCCAGCCTGACGCTGACTCCTCGAGTCCTCTGTCTGCTGCGGCAATCACGCTGACTCCCCGAGTCCTTTGTCTACTACGACAATCACTACTACCCTATACACGATAGGGATTGACTACCGCACGTCTCAAGATTTGACGCGTATTCATCGACATCATTATGGGCTACTTCATGCTTCCTCAACTATAGGCTCCTTCCACACCCCACCCTCCAAGTGTCCTCACTGGTACGGGCCTGTATCTTCCTCGTGATGGCGTGATCAGATGGCTGCTTCCTGCCTCTACTTCCTGCCTCTACTTGCACTCCATACATGTTCCTGTGCACCCTGACCGACACGTAGGTGCCTGAACCTTCCGGACTTGTGGTTCTTCCCTCGGGCGCCTCGGCCTCCTCGGCACCGCTACTGTAGGCCAACCCACGGCGTAATTTCATACCCAGTCATGTTTCATACACAGTCATTTTCGTCTCTACCAGACCACGTAATGTGCCAAGAACAGTGACCAGCCAAGGGTAAGCGCTTTCCACTTCGTCCTTTCACCTGAATTCAGCGACCCGTTAGAGCTTAGGTGCTGCGGAAAAAGTGCTGCGGAAAAAGGGACACGGACTGTTCAGACGATTATCGAGTCGCAAATAATGCACATGTTGGGCCCAGATTTGATTTATTTCGGTTAACAAGCATAGAAGCTGGGAAACGAGGTCGGCGGAGTGAGTCCACTGACTTTAGTACTGGACTACATCCAGATTGTGTTCCTCAAGGTACAGTCGGGTACCAGTGCCTAGGAAAGCGTTTTCTGTCGGCGTATCCTTCTTAATCTTGCCTCTCCAGCTGGACACGAGACGCGAGCAGGTAATGAGCGTTGCTGTCTGCTTTTTGCGGCCGGGGCAGGGACGCAGGATAGTCCTTTGAAACCTGAGCCGTGTTGCAATTAGGGGTGGCAAATTATGTGGGCCCCGACGGTCTTCTAGGCATCAGATGAACTTGCTCTCTGGCTCCGATTTTGATTGGCGGCGAGTCAAGTCCCGCTTGTTCTCCGAGCGACTGGTTGCCCCACCCTTCTCGCAGTCACCGCTCCAGGACGCGAGCAGCTGCTGCCTGTAGTTAGTTCGGGAAGGAACGGGAAGGCAGGCATGGCACGACAGCACTGGCACTTCTTCAAGCAGTCCTCACAAGTTTTGGCTCCGCCCCTTTCCATTGTCCTCTTCAGGTACCGCCAATTTATTTCGTCCGGTTTCGCCCCCGTTCTTCCGACCTAACGCGTGTCCTTCTGTCACCCGCGGGCCGTCTTTGACAGAGAGCTGTGCCGGGAAGCCCTATCGATGCCTTTTTTTTTCGGCGATCATTTACCTTGCGCCCTCGTTGTCTCTTCCTTTCTCAGACAATTTTTCGACACCTTGGCAGTCTCCCACAGCATCCTCAACACGTTTCTTTGCACTCCAATCTCCCGCTCTCCTCCGCCTCTTCTTCTTGTTCTTCTTCCGACCCAACACGGTCGGCCACTTTGGCGGTCTGGGTCCTGATGGATTGCTTCCTGAATTTGCCTACTCTGGATCAGGTGCTTGGCATGTGTGCAAATTCTCTCGTTCCATTTCTGTTGTGGCATTTCACTGACTTTATTAGAGCCGCAGGGTCATCTTACCGACGCCGGCAACACGGCTACAACTGTCTGACGCAGGCAACACTCCTACAACGGTCCTACCAGGACTTAACCTAGGCAACCGCCCGATGACGACAGACTTCTGCTTCTTTCAGCAAACCTCCAGTCATACACCCCACTCAACACGGCTCCATTCTTCTTGTGCACCAGCATGTCGTCCAAGCTCCTAGACTCGCCCAACCCATGCTCTCGTTCCCGTCCACTCAGGCCAACTGAAGCGATAGCGCCGTTCCTCTAGACACATTTCAGCAAAATCACAGGCAAAGAGGACTTGAATTGGTAGAAGGCCGCTAGAGACTGCGGCCAGTCGGGTCGATACGTCCGCAGTTGAGGGCTAGAACTACTAAAACCTATTTCAAGAGTTGGATCGACGTTGGATGAGTTCTTCTTGGCCATCTGGGTTTCTCTTCTCTCGGACGCTTTCCCGGCGAGACCTGCTGCAACCACTACCAGGACCGCGGCAACCACTCCCGGATTTGCATCACACCGGAAATTCCGAGAGCTCAATCGCTTCCGCAGTGACAACCTTGTCATGGGTTGCGCTCTGGACACGCACTCAGGAGGAAGCTGGATCGTCTCACCCAGAGCCAGAAGTTGGCTCTGATGGCGTGAAAGATTGACATAGCCAACGCGATGCGAAGAGTTTCTGTCAGATGGAATGGCCTAGAAGGTTCTGGAATCTATGGTGCGTAATCTTCGCCACTGGGTTTCGTCATGTAATTGCCACATAAGGAAGTATAAGAGAGAGAGTATTTTGTGGAAAGACTGGAGGACGAGAATAAGAGCAATTCACTCTGGTGCACACAATCCTAGAAGTGCTGTTGCAGTCTGACAGTTTCTTCAGTTGAATAGGCTGTTGCTGTCGATTACCGCAAGTACAGCGGCGGGCCGAGAAGTTTGATGCGGCCTTCGACAGCATCATTGCCCACAACAATCTCGGCAGCATTCCAAGCATCATCGCCAGCAGCTTCGAAAGCCGCATCATCATCAACATTACTGCCAAAGTATGGCTGGTTACTATAGCTATAAGGCCCTAAAGTTCAGGGCACTGTAGTGGTTGTATTGGTGCGGTTGTGGCACTGCACAGTATTGTGGAAGCAAGCATTGCACTCACCACTCTTTGTACTCACCACTCTTTGTACTCATCACTCTTTGTACTTACACTCCTCATAATACAACTCCTCTCTGTCTTTTTCAGCACTTCCACCGCCCAAAAAGACCCTGACCACAGGGCAGAGTCCCCTGTGGCCCACGAGGTAGACTGCTGAGCACAGTCCTCACAGTCTAAGTGGCAGGTCTGTAGCAGAGTTCTACAGGTCTGCAGCAGTCAAGCTGCTTACCTCAGCGCCTTCTACAAGGCACTGTTGTACCAGACCGTAAGGCACGGTTCCCTGCGATCTACCCTGTACTTGGCTCCCCAGCCTACGCTAAAACGCTTCCACTTCGCCTGCCTGCCACACGCAGTACAACAATTATCATTATCAACATCATCATCAATGTCATCACCATCATGAACACTAGCACCACCATCTCTTGCCGAGTGACTCTTGGGGTTGGTGGGGAGATTCTCCGAGGGGCGGGAGCCAGTGGGTTGAAAGACGTGTTTTTTATGGGAGGTTTGGGGGAGGGTAGGGGTGGGGATTGGGTTGATGGTGAGTTTTCTTGTCTGGTGTTCGGATCCCTCGACTCGTTGGAGATTGGACCCCTCCGGCAACATTGCCGAGCCACCTGCAGCGAGGTTATTTTGTGAGAGTGGGCGTCCACTCCAACGAGGTCACTTGGCGAGGGGCGGCCCCGGCGGCATTTAGCGTGGAATCGGGAGACTCCAGTAAAAGTGTCTCCCTAACCCTTCTCCACGTCAAATGCTGTCGGGGACCGAACTCGCCTAGGGAGACTCTTGAAATATACCAACTTCTTGGGTCGAGGTTGATAATTGATTACTTCACCTCATGCATGTTCTTTAACGCCCCGACGTGCTGCTCCGTTGTCGGCGTCTCTAAGAGTCTGTGGTTCTTGATTGCCATGATTGCTATTAGACGCAGTTGGTCTGGTGTACCAGACTAACTTCCCCTCCATGTCCCACTGTAACACGTAAACTCGACCAAGAACTAAGCAATGCAGTTTGGCAGTCATCACATGTTGCCGCTGTTCTTTGTACGCGGGCTGTGGAGTGCCCATTTCTTTGTTCCTTACCCCTTTTCGTTGCGGGGTTACGAGGTGCCCCTTTATTAGTATACGTGATTAGGCACTCGGAACATAGTGCTTCATTCAAAATTCTCCAGTGCGTCTGAGGTGTTCCATACTCTATTACTGCCCGCCATTTGGATGCGTTCAAACCTCAGCCCATGTTTGCGTGCAACACTCGTGTTTCCAGTGGAGTCGACCCTGAACAGTCACAAGATCTGACGTATGGTCGACCGAAGTAAACCCTTCATAGGTCAGGCCGTTACACGAACGAGGCTCTTGTCTGCTTGAGTCAGGTTGTCGTACCATCGTCCCTGTTCATCTCGTTCCCACAAGTGGCAGGCTACAAACTTTGACGCCGGGCTTCGAAACTCAACGCATCCCTCCTGAATGTGCAACATTCCTGCTTCATCTCCTATATTGCTATAGAATATATATATCGGCCCATCAATATGTCGATTTAAAACTGCTTCCCTATTTACTTAAAACATCAATTTACCCTGCGTCTTATATTCCACCTACTTGCTAGTTTCCAACAACAACCCTTAATGTGGCCCTGCGATATCCGAATCAACCCAATCTGTTGTCGTCCTTCCGCGCAACGCGCTCAGTACATGACTGGTCTGGTAAGAGGAAGCCTCGCTGTGAGATTGATGACCCGCTCGAGGAGCCCAATTAACGCGGATAATATTGCAGCGGCTAACAATTTTCTTGCGCGGATCAGAGAGATGGCGGACGCAGGAAGTGCGAATTCTAGGCAAAAGGAGACAGTTACTATCGGTAATTTATGGTACACTCTCCCTGCAGGAAATATTCCACCTCCCGCAGCATTCAACTACGGAGCTTTCCAGAGCAATAATCCTCCAGGAGATATTCAGACCGTTGGGCCCGGGCGCACCCCCCCTGACATCGGCGCTGGAGAATACGTTGGCCAGTGGACAAATTTGGACAAGGTTGCTAGAAACTATTCCCAATCTTTGTACCCTGCAGCCCAGAATTATCAGGCTGCAGACGATTCCCATTACGCAGCACACAACTTCGGGTATCAAGGATACGATCGGGGCGTATATCCTGGAAACCAGCAATGCCGTAGGCATCAGCAACATGATCATTGCAATACCCATGGGCAGTAATATGCGACCTGCGATGCACATCACCAGTACCAAATGAACTCCAACACTCAACAGCCACCCGGACATCAAGTCGGAGGATACACATCGCGGGACCCGGGTTATCAACAAACCGGGTCGCAAAGTCCTCAGGCCACGGCAGTCGAAGAGCACGAATTCTACAACACGGACGCGGAAATGGCGTCTCCATGGTCGCAGCCAGAGGGCAATACCAGTGGTTCCATGGTGCTTTCGAGCAATGCGGTAGCTAGACGACTGAAATCTAGTCATAGCAAGAATAGCAAGAAGCTAATAGCAAGAATAGGAAGAGGCTAAGGTAGTTCACAAAGGGGGGAATTGACCAGACAATTGGAGGTGGGATTTCTTTGGCAGTCTGCGAGTGTGGATATTTACTGGGCGGATGATTGATCGGTTCGTTGAATGGACCTGCTTGGGCGGAAAATAGATGCGGTCGTGGACTCTGGTTGTTAACTCCGTCTTGTTCTCTTTGAGGAGCATGGCTTTGCGCAAGAATGCATATCGACATGAGTGGAAGGGGTGCGAGAATGACTTTTTTATTTCTTTCCTTCCCGAGCTGTGCGCACATCCAGTCCTGGGGATACCAATTAGCAACCGTTTATCTGACCATACCTTAAAGAAAGTTTTTTGCCAGGATTACGGTATCAATGATTACTTAACGAGCGGACAAACCAATTCCTCCGTCCAATCTTAGTGCCCTGCTTATCCGGCATTCCAAACTTCGATCTCATGTTCTCAGCTGCCCCGGGAACTTTTGCGTTACGCGTTGACAACTCGAAACCCGCCCTCTTTCAACCATGTGGACTCTCTGAACTCAGTTTCAGCCGTGAGCAGTTGATGACCTGCCGCGTCATGTACATCCAATCCGAAACTTGTCTTTCTAGCCACATTAATTCGCCTGTATCCGTGGTATACATTTCCAGTGGTATAAATGCAGACACTATTGACCAACTAAATCAATTTCACTTTCTCGTTCATATCGCACAATCACGCATTTCGCCACGCTTCCAAGCCAGTTCGACCACAGGCTTGCACAACTCTCCTAGATTGACTCCATACAGTGGTATATAAACGAATCTTTATTTTCTTTGGCACGCAACACTACCCAACGTTTGGCCTTTTCCAGAGTAACACTGTCAGCACCATACCCCAGACTGTCGAGCAATTTGGAAGGTATATTGGACTCTTATTCCACTGTAGATTATCAATCTCGCTGACCATAGTTTAGTATAGGCGGGGTTATCGATCAAGGACCGTGGCAATGTCGTCCTCCGTAGGCGACGAGGATGATGATATTGAGCAAAGACGCAGGACACCCACTAGGCCCAGTCATTATTGGAATTCAAGGAATACAATCGCCTACTGGTTCCACCAAAGACTCGAGTCAATCGCAGTCTTGCAATTCCGATACAATCGTCCAACAGCCACCAAAGCCGTCTCTGCGCTCCAGGGCATTTGGAAACTCTCTCGGACCCTTTTCAGATCTGGCACACAGTTACTGAGCCACTTTAAGTGGTGTCGACCGCCAGAGAAACCTATCCACTTTCTCGTATGGGCTATTCGTGACCAATTGGTCACAATTGGCCAGAAAGGGGATCACTCACACGGACGGACCAAGTTCCGGAAAATGCCATCCCAAACCAAGCAAACCGCTCCGGGCCCGCCAGAACCGCCAATATTCGCATGTATGTCGAAGAGCTGAAGAGTCGTGTGGAAATTATGCGGGCGCTGAACCTGAAGAGATTGTGATTCCGGTCCCGCTGGGTGTGATTCTAGCCCCGATGGGCCGAAGCAACTCGGAGTCGCGCGATAAAGCCTCTAAGTCAGGTCATAAGAAAGGGGGAGGCAAGCCAAAGCTCAGGGCAGGGCTTGCTGCGAAAACGGTCCTGTGGGCCGCGGGTGCGTCAAATAAGGAGAAAATGAGAGTCCAAGGTCTGAAGACATGGAACAAGAAGAAATCATTGGAAAGCTGCCCATTCCGAGACATGAATCTTTGTAACGTCGGTGAACTCAGATGCAAAGTATTCAATGTCAAGGGCACGAATGCTTCTGTTTTGGCAACTGAAACGTGGTCGTTACTGTATTCCGCGACTGTTAAGTCACTGCTCGGATGGAGCACTCGTGTTGCGGATGGTCCACCGATGATTTCTGTGTCAGCCATCTGGATGCTGCATCCCCTGCTTCGACAGTGCTCACTCGCCGCGTAGTGTGTTTGCTACGTCATGCACCGCGAGCACGAAACGCGCCCTCTTCGGCCATGTGAGCTTTACCAAGACCGACGCGCGATGGAGTATTAATACCTGAACGGACCATGCCCGCTCCAATTCCAACCTTTTGCCATTTGCATCGTCCCCAGACTCGAACCACCCGCGGCACAATTTAACCAGAGCCTTGCAATCGCTTTCGCACCTTTGCTTGGAAACCACTAAATTCCTGTCTTTGCTTCACGCCCCACCTCGTAGCATTGCTTGCTTCACGCCACACCTCGTAGCATTGCTTGCTTCACGCCACACCTCATAGCATTGCTCCATCTTCCAGGGGCGAGTTCAGGCGATTGATCACACCCTATTTAGCTGGCCTGAAGGTATCATTATCTAGGTGTTTTCCATTCCACGGCAATGTACCAAGTTGGTTGACTAAATATGCAGACTATACTCGACCAGCTCATAACAATGGAGCACAACCTAGACGATCATGGCAGATTTCTCAACACTCAGCTATCAGCCTACAATAGCGGCGAGGCATCTCACGACAAACGCTCCCTACCAAGCAGCCAGCGGCCACACCGCGATGGCAGTGGGGCTGATTTCCAGGACGTACCAGATCAAATAGCAGCCACGATTAAGAACAGCGATAGGTTTATAGGCTCCAACCCAGACTTCGAGCGGGCGCGCCGCAACAACGGCGGGGCTTCTTCACAGGACGTACTGGAACCAATGCCGACCAACTTCGCCGGTGCAGGAGAATTCATAAACACCGAGCCAACTTATTACCCTTGGGCAATCTCCACAGCGAACGGGGCTCATCCCTACGGCAAAGATCTCCAGAGGGACAGCCAGCTGGCACTCCCCAATGACGGCGGAGTACCTGCTCAGGGCGAAACCATTCCATTGTCACCCATCCTCGATAACGATGAGACGTTAATAGACCCCCAACCAAACAACGCACCGGCACGCCCAAATCAGCACGGGGTTTTCTACGAGGACGTTCCGGACCTAGATCACTCCGCGGAAAGCGACACGGCCTTCGAGTTGCACGAGATTGAAGGACCCGAATATAATGTCGCCATACAGCTTGACGAAGTTGAGGCCTCGGGGCAGGATTTTTACGACCCGGATATGAATCAAGAGTTTTCAGGAGCTCCTCCACTACGAATGTATCCCCTACGAATGTATCCCACACTGAGAGGTGAGGGCGAAGCGGATCGAGATTAGGAATCCTTTCGGCCCCGCGCCCTCGAACAGCCTAGACATGGGAAGGGACATAACCGCGTTCAAGAAGCCCCAAAAGCCTTGGAGAATACCAACCTTTACGGCACTCAGTTTCAGGGGGCCCCGCTAGTTCACGATGAACGGCAGTTTGCACATCAGGGGCAATTCCAAGTGGAACCGAGATTCAAGCAACATCGTTTTGCACATCAAAGCGCGATACGGAGCCGTTGGCATTGCAACACCGAGTTGCATACAACGAGCCGCTACGGATGCACCAAAACAACCCCCCACCGGCAGTGTCCCCACGAGCGAGATACACACCTAGAGACCAGAGTTCAACACCTGCCAGTTTGCGAGTGGGTCAGAGACCCGCACGTGGTCCCAAAGAACCACCTGCCAACTTTATGAATCACGATCGACACCCAGGGGCAAGCTCAAAAGGAACATATCACCGGCCGGTACCAGCACCCCAGCAACCGGAATATGTTCCCAGAAGCTGGTCTGCGACACCTAACAGTCGCCCGTCTGCGGCTATGCCCCATCAATCAGAACTCTGTCCCGGAAACCAGCGCTTGGCGCCGAGAGCTAGCCGGGGCGGCTCGAAAGTGCCCCAACAGTCAAAGGATCCCACGCGTCTCTCACAGGGCCTGCCCAAGACCCTAGACTTGGCGGACCCTTGGGCGCAAAACTCGTCGGCCGCAGTCGGACAGAAATGGTCGGCGTGCAGCCCAACGGCCCCATTACTGCACTTGGAGTAAACCGTTCAACTACCATGCCCGGGGGGATCCCCATGCATAGAGCCCCGGGCACGGGGGTTGCTCAGGCTGTAAAGAAGTCCCTTCTTCGACGAATTTGGACTTCTATATGAGGTCCAAGGAAACTAACTAATCAACGCGTCCAGGCAGCTTCTCCCCAATTACAAAGCCAACTGGGAAGAACCGGTCCTCTGCCACAAGGAGGTCAACAGGTACCGGTGAGTAGACAGCACCCAATGAGTCAACAAGCACAGCAACATCCATTCGCACTGGGAAGCACCCAGGGACTAGGGATTTTTGACGCGGGATATCAACAAGCACTGGGAGGCACCCATAGACCAGCAAATCCTCAAGGAATAAGAGGTCAACGGGACCCAAGACGTCAGGAAGGACCGATGGATAAACAAGGACCAGCAACAAATCAGCTAACACGGGTCCGCGGGCAATCACCTGCGCATGAGCAACCAGCAATTCAAACGAAACCGCAGCCTCCTCCGCCGCCAGCAAGTTACCCGCCACGGCCAGTTTTTCCGCAGCCAATACCTCGACCGCATACAGCACCTCCCCCGCTAGTTGTTCCGCAGCCTGTAAGTCGATTGTACACGGCACCTCCACAGGCACCAGCACGAAAGCAAGCAGCCAAAATGTTAACAGCAGCCGCGAAATTAGGAAGCCTCTTTAACAGATCCAAGACTCCAAACCCAAAAAGCACCAGAATACCACTAGGTGCACAAATGCTAGCAAAGCCCACGAGGGCCGCGACCATTGCGAGAACAGGATTCACGACAGCGCCAGTGAAATCATCAGGAGCAATAAAGCCGCAAAAGCCCCCAGTGACGAGAAAGGCCCTGAGGACAAGAAGTATCATGATGCCGAGTAAGGCACAAAGACAAAGTTTATTGGTAGCAGAGATCCGTGGTATGCAACAGAGAGAAAGTGAGAAGCAAGCGAGAGAGACAGAGAAAATGGATGCGAAAAGGAAAAAAGAGCAGGAGGAACAACGGAAAATGGAGGCGAAGACTAAACAGCAAGGCTGCAAGAAGCGGCAAAGGGAAGCTAAAATAGAAGCGTAAGAAGTCGAGAAGCAGCGGAAGGCTACAAAGTAGTAGGAGAACGAGCGGAAAAGGAGGTAGGATAAAGCTAAATAGGAGATTTTACAAAAGACAAGCAAGAGCAAGGCGAAGAACAACGACAAGGTAATGGACATCGGAAGGGTCATAGCCAAGGGTGAACAAGCAGAAACAGAAAAAGCCAGAGGGCCAAGGCAAAAGCTGGTAAAGCGGGGAGAAAAAGGAAGAACGGAAAGTAGGAGGTAAAATGACCGCTTACGTACTACGTAGGGCCTTGGCGAGATTCAGATTCGGAATGCGTACCCAAACTATGGCTAGCTTGTGGGAGGGGTGGGAGGGGAGCTAGGAGGATATTGTGTTGGGGGCTGAGTTTGTCTTTGTTCATCAGAAAGATTGGGCTTTTTTCTTCTCGTTATTTTCATTTACCTATGTTTTTTCTTTATTCGCCTTATTATACGATGTATAACTCTATCCATAGGAGACTGGCCACAAATTTACTAGTCTACTTAGTATATATATCTGAGTTATAAAATGGTGACTAGATGTGAGATAGAGGTGTTTCCACTTCTCGGATTGGAAATATTGCTGGATTGGGAATATTGTTGAATGTTGGTTTTCGACACTGGCTTTTTATCATCATCTGCACTATATATACTACTGAGAAACCTCCTCCAGTAATACGTGTGTATTTGATGTACTTAGATAACCTCTCGATACTCATTTATTACTCCTAGTTGTTATCATGTAGTGTTCAGCATTTGAAGAAAATGCCATCGTTGCCTTGGAAATTGTGTAACAGACATTTGGCAGGATAAAGTCGAGTTATCGTTACCAGAAACTGGCAGTTGGTCGCGTCATTCTGAGATTACATAACTCGACAAAAGTCATGGGCAGAGCCATACCCGCCCCGAGCTCTGACTGGAGAATTGAGGCACACAGTTTTGAGAGTATAAAAGGAAATACAATCGGCCTCAATCTTGCTCAAACAAACGTCAACATGGAACCTTCAACGATCATTCAAGAGCCAAAACACCTCGTACCAAGACCTATCCAAAAACTTCATTTCCAATATCTTGCCTTAACATGGAGAGCAGATCTAAAAAGCATGGAGACACCCACTATACCTCGCCCCATGAAGGCGAGGAGCCAGCATTAACGGAGCAACTTGGAGAGCCACTGTGGACGTTCGACTCGATTTATGACCTGTACTCTACAAAATCGCCAACAAACCCTGGAGCGACGCAACACTTCGACCTATCCACATACTACGATTCCTTACCACCACCGACCTCTCCGCCTCCCGAAACTGCGCTCCCCCAACCACCGTCCCAGTCTTCGCAGACATATTACGACGTCTCCGGTGTGCAGTACGCGCCACCCAGCGCCGAGGCCTACACTTCACCAACACGGAGCGCTGCCGTGCTGGAACCGTCGCTGTCGTACCATTACGGAAACAACGCCGCGTCTGCGGGCTACGAGAGCTACCTCCCGAGTTCTTCAAGCAACACCTACACCGCCGGGTACGCGAGCGGAGACTACACCTCGGTGTATGGGGCCACGAGCGAGATGTCGCGGCAGGGGAGCAGCGGGGGAACGTACTACGACGGGCTCGGAATCTACATTCCCGACGGCGCGCCAATGTACGCGAGCCCGACTACTGACGCTTCCAGCCCGTACAGCGTGTCGTACTCACACGCAGCGACAACCTCCACCATAGCCCCGGCCGTAGCCTACATCCCCGAATCGCCTATCCCGGCCCCCGTGCCGCCGTCCGCACCGACCCCTCCCGCGGCTGCCGTCATGCATCTCCCCCAACCCGACCGCAAAGGCAAGAAGCGCGAGCCCGTGCTCGTCCGCAAGCCCGTTCTCGTCCGCAAGCCCGTTGGGTACTTTCTCGACGGGTCCAGCAGCAGCAAGTCCGACGACGAAGGAAAAAAGCCCGGTTTCGCAGAGAAACTCGTCTTGTTTGCCGCTAGCGCTAACGGCATTAGCTCGTTCAAGGAGGTGAGGGAGAACTGGAAGGATTATAAGGATAAGGATTACAAGCCGACGAAGAAGAAGTAAAGTGACTTGGGGGCTGGTGTGGGGTTTGTCGTTTGTTGAGCTGCGGTGGTGCGCTGCATTCTCTTGTATTTGTGAGTGTTGCGCTACTGCGTTCTTTGTCAGGTTTGCTTTTCAGGGGTGTGACAGATAATAGTGGTAAGTAACTGCTGTTGTGACCTGCTTTGGGGTTATCAGTGGGCCTTAGCTCTACCATCTTGACTGTGTTTGTCTCGTAATTATGTGCTTGCTAAACGGACGTATGTGCTTGTTAAACAGACGTATGTGCTTGCTAAACGGACGTGGTTTTTTTGTTTACTGTATCACGTGGCTCGTGACCTTGGTGGCTGAACATGATCGAGCTATTGGGTGGTGATAGTACCGCGAGTGTCTTTTTTTATGTTTTTTTTTTTTCTAGTCGATAAAACAGAAAATAAAGGGCGGTGTGCGAAGCGGAGCTTTAAGTCAGTAAGTTAGGTGGGGGAGTAAGCGAACGCCACTGATCCAGAACATTCTAGATAAGCGAGGAACACAACCAACCCTCTTATATAAAAAGCCCATAACTCAACCAATTCTTTTCCAATTCTCTTCATCTTCAATTCGTTTTATTCTTCTCTTGACAATGGTTTCATATACAGAAGAAGACCTCCGCAAGGCTTGCGAGGAAGCCGTCAGAACACATCAATTACGCAAAGTCGCGCGAAAATGGAACGTTCCACCCTCCACCCTTTATGGCCGTCTACATGGCTCCCTACCTCGAAATGTTGCTCATCAAGATGAGCAAAGGCTTACACAGACCCAAGAGGATCGTTTAGTCGAATGGATTCTTCTTTAACAAGATTTAGGATTGCCCCCTACACATGCACAGATCAGGGAGCTTGCACGCCGTATTCTAGCTGAAAGGGGGGACTCCTTACCACTTGGAAAGGGGTGGTGCCGTGCCTTTCTTAACCGCAATCGAATTTTGAAGACTCAGAGGGCCAAGAGAGTCGATTCGGTCCGCGTCAACTGCGCTACAGAGTCAACAATTCGACCTTGGTTCAACCATTTCCAAACACCAGCTATCAAGACGATTAAGCCAGAGAATCGCTGGAACAAGGACGAATCTGGTATTATGGAAGGCAGAGGAACTAACGGCCTTGTCATTGGAAGCCGTGCCTTTAAGGCGCTTCAAAAAAAACAGCCTGGAACCCGCACTTGGACCACTTTTGTCGAATGCATCTCAGCAGCTGGCCGTTGCCTTCCTCCTTTGGTCATTTTTAAGGGGAAAAGCGTTCAACAACAATGGTTTCCTTTGGATATGAAGCCATTTCAGGATTGGTTCTTTACAGCAACTGAGAAAGGATGGACTACCGATGAGACAAGCCTCAAATGGTTAAAAAATGTGTTCATTCCTCTCACCAAGCCAGCAAACTCCTCTGAGAAACGACTCCTTATTATTGATGGCCATGGCAGCCACACAACTGCCGATTATATGTGGGAGGCATTCACAAACAATATTCACATTATTTATCTGCCTCCCCATACTTCCCATGTCCTCCAACCCCTAGATTTGGCCATATTTGGCCCCCTAAAACGACTTTATCGCAGACGGCTTGAGGACCTTCTTGCTAACGCCTTTGACGACTCTTCTGTAGCCGGAAAACGTGCGTTTCTGGAATGCTACCAGATTTCACGCACAGAGGCAATTACTAAGAGTAATGCTAAGTCAGGATGGAAGGCATCAGGCCTTTGGCCCTTGAATGTCAACAAACCGCTAAGAAGCCCACTCCTCCTCAAGAATTCTAATACTTCACGCCCCTTAAGAACTACTATAGTTACCCCAGAGGTTCGCACACTCCGTATGCCAATCCTGGAGGATTATGGAGACGATCGGGTGCAGTGGAGGACTCCTAGAAAGGCACGTGATTACGTTGAGCAGGCAAAGAAGTTCGCACGCATCATCAAAGCAATGCCAGCGGATAAGCTCTTCCTCAGAAAGATTGGTAAGGCTTTGGATGAATAGGCCTTTGAACTGGCTATTAGGAAGCGAAAGATTGAAGGTCTAGAACACACTCTCGAATCAATAAGAGCCAGAAAGAAGAAGAAGGTTGAAGAAGATCCAAATACCACCTTTGCGAATATTCAGACTATTCGTGAGGCCCAGAGAGCTGTAGGGCGTGCAGCAGAGGTTTTAGAAGATGCGGAAGAAGCGGATGATTCAGAGGATATCAAAGATTGTATTGAAGTTTTGTAAATAAAAAGATCACCCTTTCTTTTGTTGGAGGGTTAGTTGGGACTCCTGCTTATACAGAATGTTCTAAATCAGTAGTGTTCGCTTACCCCCCCACCTAACTTACAAAGTAAAATACGGAGGCTCAGGCCAAAAAAAAAAGGGTCACCTTGGCAGTGCCCAACAAAATCAAGCCACGGACCAAAAGAGGCATAGCAACACCACCCCCCTGGTCAAGCCAACCGAGTAAAAAGAAACAAAAGAACACAGCTTCTTCAAAATGGAAGATTTTTTAATTCTGACAACTTTTATAGAGGTGTAGCCTCTGCCTACCGCGTCTCTCGTGTTTATCTACGCCCCCGAAAGTCTACGAGTAACCGAAAAAGGTCAGAATTTTTTAACAAGCATTAATGAGTGATGTGATGTGTAGTATAATAAAAGTGCCAGCACTATACCTATTATATGTGCTGGGCACAGGCCAAACCTCACCCAGCAGGTCCACCAAATGGCCCCTGCGGATCCACCCTATCCATGCCATATAGATTTCCCGCCTGCGGGCCGATAGATTTTAGCTTCCCCAAGCAATTCATCACCTTTCATACATCGCCGTACCTCGCATATTATATTAATGAACGACAGTCTTGCAAGTTCGGGAGTCACTTACCTCCTTCCGAAATTAGCATCTATTACACCAACGGGGAGCTCCAAATTTTGGTTTGAACGATACACGGCTACAACGCAATCAGCTTCATTACCTTTCTTGTCCCCAGTGTTCTGCTTAGTTCTGTGCTGGTCACCAAAACCTGTGAGTTTGCAAAAGACTGAAAACCAAAATCTTTCCTGGCACGACCAAGCCTCATATACTAATCGCGCATGCATTATTCGTCCGCACCCCCATACCCCATGTCCGACACCGTCTCTAACAGGACCTAGTGCATTTTGCTCACCCGAAACACCGAGGTTGGACAGCCCAGCGGCGGCAACGAGCCCCACCCCCTAGACAGTCACCCTACCCCAAAAAGAGTACCAGCAAGACTGCCGTGAAGGGCGATGGCCTCGGCGGGGAGGAGGCCGATGTCACCACGTTCTCGACGCCAACAACGCCGCTCGAGAAGCTGCCGCGCGTTATCGCAGCTAAGTGGTGGCACCTCTGCACGCTCGCGCCACGCTCGCGCCTGGACGTTGAGGGGCTGGTGCACGCTCGCGCCTGCGCCGACTGTGTCTTTGCCAGTCACTACGGCACGGTCGCTGGCGGCCGCGCGAGCGCCAGCGCCACTCCGCTGCGGTGGCCGCGCAAAATGAGCGCGAGCTCTTCATGATCTACCCACATTGCCTCAGGTAGTGAGCAAGGTCGGAGTGAAATGAGTGGTGGGTGGCTTTTGTGTTTTGAAGCACGCGGGGAGAGGGCTTGTTTGCCTGCGCGGGCGGATGGAAGAATACTGTTTGGCGCGGCGTCGGGGCGGCACATGTGGCTGATCGGTTGCTTGTTTTGCTTGCTTGCTTGCCTGCTTGCTTGCCTGCTTGCTTGCTTGCTTGGGGGACAGAATAAAGGAGGGATGTGGCAAGGGAGGCACGGCGGGCTAATTAAATGAAGATTCTGCAACTATTACGGACAGCTCTACTGAGCATGTCATTTCCGAGAGATGTTTGAGTCTGGGCAAAAATCTTATGATGCCGCGAGTTTCTAAGCCAAGTGCGTGGCAGATATATCACGCCACTTTTGGCTGCTTGGCAGCCGTGCATGAGTTTGCCGGGCTTGTGCCCCAAGAAGCCATCGGCTATTGCAAACGATTGCGTAACTAGTTTCGACTCTCCCGCCGCTGAATAACACACTGTGCCGTGAGTCTGGCTGGGCCAAAGCTCTTTGAGTAACACCAGGGAGAACTTAAACAAGAGACGGATAGAAAGCTGAGACATAGCAAGTGTTGCATTCACATTCTGGCCGCTCTCGAGTCAAAGGAGATCGGCTCTGATTTCATCCCGTCGCATTTATTGCCTGCCAGACTTGGCCTTGCCCAGCCGCAACCCTGTTTTGAAGGCCAAGAGCTGGCTGACCTGGGGTGTACTGATATAAGAGCTGAACCTGTTGGCGCGCGTGGGATTTCGACCAGACGGCGCGGACAAGGTTCAAGATGCGCTTGATGCACAAGGCCAAGGTAGCGCGGGCGCAGAGCGAGAGCGTAGCTTTTAACGCAGCGTTTATGTAGGGAACTTGATGGTGTGGGAGCGTGGGATGGGCTCTGGTTCTTGGACATCAAATATAACCGAAGGGGGCAGAGGCGTTGAATCAGCTGGAAAGATGTAAGGGAACACGAAAAAGGCAAGATATATAATAGCATCAGACTTGTGCAATTACCCGAGACCTCCGCCTTGGTTCTTAGATAGGCAGAAATATGATGACAACCTTGGTGATTACTGCTGCATTTGTCAAGATAGTGAGTCTTGTTGTTCTACTTACCTAATTATTGTCAGTGAATCGGACTGTGCCTATTACTACAACGCAACGACACCCTGTTGTGCTTCTAGGGTCGTACAGGGTGTTTTATGAGCACATACTTAGCTACCTGAACGATCCATAATCTTGGCAAGAAGTTTGAGTCTAGTATATGGCTGGCCTGTTCAGCTGTCGTCCTCCGCAGCCTGAATTACTACATATGTAAATACTCAGTAAATACCAAGTCAGGGGTAGTTACACCTGCTCAGGAGTCGCTCAAAATTTACTCACCATAGGGCTGGAATACACTGAGGATATTCTGAAAATGAATGTCATTCCTCTGACGGGGTTCATCCTGGGGCTCGCCGGGACAATTTCTAAGAGAGTAAAATAAATATCCTGCGACGCCAGCCTGCCACTTCTCCATTTTTAGAAAACTGAGCTTCACCTTTCCATTTTCCTTCACAAAAGAAAACTCGTCCAGAAAAGTCCATCGTATGTTTTTAATATTACTCCTTCCCGCCCATAATTTCTTGCATTCGAAGGCTAACCATTATGCTCACAGATTCACAAAAAAACCCAACCGCCGCCACAAGATACTTCGTACGTATATCTGTGCTCCTTTTCGCCCATAATTCCATTCATTCAAAGTCCCTACCCTTAGTTCGAAGGCTAACCACCCGTGCTCACAGACTCACAATTAAACCTCGACCAACGCCATCACAAGATGGCATACCTGTCCCCACCCCCCGGAGCCCAGCAGCAACAGGCCCAGCAACAGGCCCAGCAGCAGGCCCAGCAACAGACCCAGCAGCAGGCCCAGCAACAGGCCCAGCAGCAGGCCCAGCAACAGGCCCAGCAGCAGGCCCAGCAGCAGGCCCAGCAGCAGGCCCAGCAGCAGGCCCAGCAGCAGGCCGCGTCGCCCGCCATGCCCGTCCAGCCCTCGCCCGCCCTGCCCGCCGCCGCTCACGGCCACGTCTGGGACGACGACCCAGCGCGCCCCGTCCGCTGCACCTACTGGGTGCACTTCTGCACGGTGGCCGACGAGTCGGTCTACATCTCGACCGAGTACGTCGAGTCCTCGGTGTCGGCGGACCCGGCCACGGGCCAGCCGCGCTGGGGGTGCGCGGGTTGCGGCGCCGTCAGCCGCGAGAGCAGCGTACTGGCAAACGAGCAGCGCCAGTACGTGCAGACGGTCGAGGGCGAGGTGCTGATGGAGGAGCGCCTGCGCAGCGCCTTCAAGCGGTGCTGCCAGTGCGGCGCCTGGCGCACCAACCCGCTCGCCGTTGCCGCCGGCCCCGTCCCTGCTCCCGCCGCCTGCGCCCACTGCGCGTGCCGTGCCTGCCCGACCTGCGTGCGTCTCAACCAGTTCTCCGAGCCAACGTTTTTCATGCTGCTCGACCGCGCGTGCCCCGTCCCTGGTGGCGTGTGGGACGCGCACTATCGCGCTGTCCAGGCCAAGGCGCTGCGCGAGGCGGTCGAGTCCGTGGCTGGCCTCGAAATGCCGCTGCTCGACCAGCAGGTCATCGACCCGGCGCTGCTGAACACGGGATCCACGGATTAAGGCCGGCCAAGAGATGACGAGGGAAAGGGTGTTTTCGGTTGGCGGCTTGACCGCCGGGTTGTCTTTTCTTTGGGGGCCCCATCACACAAGGCTCTAGGAGCAGCACTGGCCCTGAAGGGGTGGAGAGGCGACTTTTTAACTTTCTTTCTCTACACCGTGGCTGGGCGTCTCTTTGCCGTTAACATGGGTATCCCGGCTGTTCTGTCCGGTGTGAATCTGGTAATTCGTTGGGACTATCTGGTGACTCTTGGGCCATGCGTGATGATTTTGCTTTTATTAAGGGCTGTAATCCAGGCACACTATCTGTTCGTGGCGCTCTAGCCACGGTTGTGCCTAGGCGTTGTGTTGCGATGCAACCTTGGGGGGTGATGAATAGTACGTTTGATTCATGTTCTATGCTACTTCTAGTTCCAGCTGTGGGGGCCTAATGAAGTAGGTGCGGGGCGACGCCCGTGCAGCACGTCCCTCCGTCACGTGCCGGCGCACCCGACCCTCTCCATCCTTTGTTTCACGGCCCAAAGTGTCGCTATTCCAACACTATCTAAAAATCAGGACACCCTACTTTGCATTCCTGACACCTGTTGGCAGTTGTGATACTCAGAGCCTAATTTAAGCGAGTAAAATCTTGAAGAGTAGTGTTCGTGGTACTCAAACTACGTAGGGATCCTACAGGTCGAAGGGCTGGTAGATCTACCGGGGGTAATGTTGTGTCTATCTCTCCCTCTCTCTCTCTGCGGAACTTAAGGTAGGTTCTGCGTGCGACCGGGGTTTTTGTGTGTGTGTGTGAGAGGCCCGCGCGCCGCACGTGCCTACTTGCACGTGCGTACTCGTGCGATCTCTGCTTCCTCCCTGCTAGTGTGCGGTCACCAGTATCGCTATTCCAACAAGTAGAGTTATAGGTTCGAGAGATTGACCTCAATGTCAATTTATCTGCCGAGTCCGTTCCATTTTCCGTCCACCAAACCAAGGGGCAAACTAAGCACTAGCCTAACATAGGCTAAGCTTAAACGCTCGTAGAGGCACCATCAAGGCTGCAAGTAAAGAATGGCTGAATTTGTAAATAACTAAGCTAAAGAAAGGAAAAGGAAAAGAAGAAGCCTGCGAGTCCTGCAGGCTGCAGTTTTGATGGTTGCGTGCGGGGAAATTGCGCTAGTATCGATTGGGAAGAGTGGGGCTGCGACACGGGGTTTGCAGCTAGGGCATGGTCGCGGTACCAGGACTATAGTTCGGCTGTGCGTTGACACGGGCTTAAAAGTGAATTGAGCATTTCGCCATCTACCGGATAGAACGTAAAGCTTTAGCGCGCTGTAGGGAATGTTAGTTCAGCATATGCTGGGAGCGACTATTCTACATACTTCTAGCCTGCATTTGCATGATTGACTGCAATATTGTTCGTGTGCGGGTTGAACACTGATTCTTACCCGCTGTTGGATTGGCCCGGTACCGGTACTGGAAGTAATAGGGCGTAACTGCACGCCGAAAAACTGGTGATTCAGGTGATGATTGTTGTGTCTGTATATCTAGAAGAAAGAGCTGGCCTACGGCCACTTATATAGATAGAATTTGGGACCCTGCGCCTCCACTGTCACTCTATGTGGCTGACTCGCGCGGTATTCCAACATCGGCATATGATCAGCTGTGAAGGGTGATCACTACCTAGATCACGGAATGCGAGTGCAGTACGTGCAGAACGTGAAAAGTAGGTAAAAGGATGATTCTAGAAAGGAAGGTCGGCTCGAGAGAGCTGCCCGGCGCGGGCACCTAAGTGCCCTGCGGGGTGGCTGACTACCCCGGTCTTGGGTTACTCATTTGCTCCATGTTTCTTTCCAAGGGCCTGCCTTTCAGAGCCAGCCTGATTTGTTTTTGGGTTTGTTCTTGGTCTCCGTCCTGCCGACATATTCTTCGAGTCTTTCACTTACCTAAAAGCCCTGGGAGAGTAGCGGGGGCTCTCGCCCTCTAGGAGTTTGTGCTTCTTCTTCTCTGTCTGACGAAAAAGCATGCGCAGGACGATGATCCGCAGTTTCTTATGCCCTTTCCGTCAGTGATGCACTCTTTAATTCTTTAATGATTAGATCATCATCAACTTCTTCTCATAAATACATCCCGGCGTGGCCTAGATAGCTGCAATCTCGGGCCCTGGCCAACGGCATTCCAACATCAACAGCAACAAACGATCAAGCACACGGAAACTCCAGCCGCCGGTGAAGCCGCGCGACAATCTCGACATAATCCCTCTCCCCCTCCGGGGTGACGATGCCGTGACGGACGAAGAAATCGATCAGCACGAGCGCGCAGTTGGTCTTAAACTCGCCGCTCCGCAGCGCGGCGCACAGCTCGGGCAGGCGCAGCAGGCGGAAGTCCTCGGCCTCGTTGTCGTTGGGCCGTGGGACCAAGTCGGGCGGGACCTCGAGGTCGTAGACGTACATGCACTCGGGCTGCAGCAGGCCGGTCTCGGTGCCAGGGGCGGCGCGCTGGTCGCGCACGTCGAAGTAGCTGACGAGGCCGCAGCAGCGGGCGTTGCGCGCGACGTAGTCGGCCGGGAACGAGGCCTCCTCGGCGGCCTCGCGCACTACGCTGGCGAAGGGCGCGTCGCCGCTCGAGATGCCCCCGCCGACCGTGTCATCGAGCATGCCCGGGTACGTCTGCTTGGTCGCGGCGCGGCGCGGCACCCACACCTGCAGCCCCAAGTCCGTCTTGACGTACGCCGTCATCTGGACCCCGTACGTCACGACGCCGAACAGGGGGCTGGCGGCGCGTTCGACGTTGACGAGGACGTCATGGTCCGGCCCGTAGACCGGGTAGAGCTCGTCGCGCCAGCCGGTGAGGACCTTGAAGTGGGACCGCTGGCGTTCGGCGGCAAGGGTCCGGGCCATGTTCTCGTCCCTCTCGCCGACGCTTGCGCCGCAGAGCAGCACCGTCTTGCGCTGGTGGTCCACCTTCCAGGCGCTGGACCACTGGAAGTCCTGGACAATGGAGGGAAGCATGAAGCCCAGCACGGAGCTACATCCTTCCACATGGAATTTATAGATTGCCGAGACCTCGCGGGCGTAGGTCTCGGGCTCGGTCTGAGCATACGGAAATCTTGCATATTGATAGAGTCAGGGTGCTGCGATCAAAATTGATTTGACCGCGAGAGGATCCTTACTTGTCGCATTGCTTGACCAGGTCAAGGTTTGTGTATGTTGTTGGCATGTTTGCGGGAAGACGGGGCTCGGAAGTCATGGTTTTTGCCAAGCTGGAGGCCAAAGTTATGACGACGGAATGAAGTCTCTTTGGGCCCGAGGCAATTATCTAAGCACTAGCCGTAATAGGCATAGAATAAACGCAGCTTCCCGAGTCGCATCGGCCCGTGACGAATGAGGTCACATCCCGAGTCGCATCGGCCCGTGACGAATGAGGTCGCAAACGGCGAAGTGGGTCTTCGCTCTCAGCCCCTTCAAGGCCAACCACTCCAGGGTTACTCGCGGTTAACGACCTCTGATTGGCCGAGCGTATTCAAATTATTGGCGGTGAAAGTGTGGATTTTCAAGCAACATGGAGATGGCGGTGTTGTCGGGAAGCTCAGTCGGCGCAGCTGGGTACGGCTTCGAGCGTGTCGTGCCCCATTCGGCAACCTCGCGCATCTCGTCAACACCCAAGCCGTCGATCCACTGATTGAGCCTCAGGACGAGGATCCGCGGAGGTTGCCGGACGGTGTGGATATTAAAGGTGAAGAAGCCCCTCGCGAGGCCCATGCTCTCGTCCGCTTTGACGATGGCCGCTACGCCTTGATCGTGGCCATGCATCGCTGCGAGGCTCACCGGGAGCAGGTCCTTGAGCTCCGGAATGGGATCATTGACGCGGGCGCCGCAACTGAGCAGAAGCTGGAGACACCTTGTCCGTCCCAGCATGGCAGCGAAATGGACGGGCGTCAGGGCGACCTGTTTTGTGGCGCGCCAGCTATTCGCCTCGTACTCGAGCAGCAGACAGGTGACAACATCTTCGTGGCCCTCGCAAACGGCAATGTGAAGAGGTGTCCGGCCGTACATGTCGGCGTGGTTGACTGAGGCGCCGGCTCTGGCAAGCCTGCGTACGCCGTCAACGGATCCAACTGCAGCCGCGTGCCAGAGCGGTGTTCGGCCAAAACGGTCTTCTTCGTCCAAATTCCACTGTTTCACAACGCTTAGAAACCACTTCAACGCCTCCGGATGTTGCGAGGCTGCAGCTCGGTGGATCGGACGCTCCCCCTGGAGGTTTGCCAGCCCGGTCCAGTATACTCTCTCTCCGCGCGTGCACAGGGCGTTCAGCAAGGCATCGCTGCAGTAATGCGAGGCAGCAGCAAGATGAAGAGCCGTCTCCATGCTGCCCCCGGTCTGTGCCATCAGAAAGCGCTTTTCGGTGCCCGCGTCGGGTATGTGAGACAGCAGAGTGGTGACAATGGTCGTGTGGCCCATAAATGCCGCGACGTGAAGAGCTGTGAGTCCGCCATCCGCCGTGTTGAATATGTCTGCCCCTTGTTCTATTAAATGTTGGACTGCGGCATACTGGCCAGCAGCTGCTGCCAAGTGTAGTGGGCGCCAGTTGTAAAAGCCTCTCACGCGAGCGTTCATGTCGAGTCCCATCTTGGCTGTCTCTGAGTAAAAGGTAATTGGCTGGTCCAATTCGCCGTCAACGCAGAACTTCAACAGCAGTGAATAGAGCTTCTCCATCTCAAACGTTATCCTAGGTATAAGATGTACTAGCGGCTCCATGACTTTGGCGAAAGCGTAGAGAAGGGTTTCGCTCTGCCCAAAGCCTCCATAGTCGGAACAAAGCCTGATAAAATCATGGTGCTGTGGCTGCGTGTGGCGGAGCAGAGGGTAGACTAGGTTATCCGTTATGGAGACGGGCCGCAGAAGAATCTCTAATTTAGCGGTGATCTCGTCGAGATCCCGAGGGGAAAATATCGGCGTTTGCGGCAACACGGGCTTTGCCAGCATAGGAGTGGCGTTGTAGTCGGCACGTCGAGTAGGTCTCGGCGCAGGCACGACCTCGTACGAGATGCCGGCGTCCCCCTCAACTTCGCTCTTTCTCACAACCTCGACCGAGAGGCAAGGCCGGCCGCGGCGACTCACCTCCCGCACAATTGCCTCGCACTCTAGCTCGCTGAGTCTTTGCTCTCTCCTGTTTGTGCCTATTCCTCCTGCTCGATTGTAGATGTAATAGATGTCTTGCAACGTCAATGAGCCGTCCCATGTCTCCAAAATGTGATCTGCCTCGTAGGCGGCATCAGTGCTCCGCAGCGTGACAATTACGGCAACTCGCCGCTCGCCCGAACTGGTCGGCATGGAGAATCCAAAAACGCCCATTACCATGCCCAGCCGGCTGCGGTCGGATTGTAGAGCCATGGCCAACGGGTCCCACCGCTCGGGCGGATAGACATCGACTAGCATGTACTGGCCCCTCGTCTGGTACCTGATTCCGTCGCCGATGGAGACTCCGTCGTACGAGAACTCGGGCAAGATCCAAACAGGCTCCCGCTGAACGTAGATGGCCTGGTACCTTCCCTCGGCCTCGCTCGCGCTGCTCTCCGAGCTTGGTAACTTGACCATGACGAGAACGTTTGAGCGGATGCGGGCGTATTGGTTACCCCAGAGGCGCTGGAGGACAATGGCGGGATATTCTACGGCCCCGAGCCAAGACCGCACCGAACAGTCGAGAATGCCGTAGTAGTGGGTTTTGCCGACGGGCTTGAGGAAAAGCTGGACCTGGAGGCCCTGGCTAGACATGACGGTGGGGACCTTGTCGCCCGTCAAGAGCGGCGGCAGGGCGCGAATATTGCGGGCGGTCTGGAACAGCTTTGGAGAGTCTGCCAGCAGCCCCGAGAGGTGGTTGGGTGCGTCTCTGGAGAGGGATTTCCAAGCGAAGATAGACTGGTCGTCGGTCTCGCGAAGAATGGCTTCCTGTAGCCGAACAAAAGCGCGACGGCCCTCCCCATACAGCAGCGGCATATTGACAGAGAAGACGCCGAGCAGGCAGTAGGCAATGTCCTCCAGCCGCGTGGTCTCTCGCGAGGCTGCCCAACTCATGCGGGTAGCGACGCTGACTTGACGGGGCTCGAGGGTGCCTTGGAGCACCCGCTGATCGATCGAGGTTATTTCAGTGAGGAGATTTTTGCCGATGATGTTTGGAGACGGGGGGATACTGGAAGGAGCCGACGTCGAGGCCGTCTGAGACTGAGAGCCGAGATAGGACCAGTCTGATGCGAAGAAGCGGACCTCTTTCGGGGCCAGCAGCTCCTGCAGCGTCCATCCGCGGGTGAACCACCTGCTGCGTCGAAAGGTCGAGTTCGCGGCCGAGGGCAGCTCCTCCCTGGCAGGCACGACGTCGGAAAGGTAGGCGTAGCACAAGTCCGACTCCTCGTACCAGCGGTACATGGAGTTGATGGCTTCGGAGAGCTCGGCCGACGAGGCCTTGTCAATGCAGCACGTGTCGATCCACAGGTAAGCGAAGCCGTCCTCAGCGGCCAGGGCGGCGGCATTCTTGACCTTTGCGAAGCCCTTCTTGCTCTTGACCTCCGAGTCGAGATTGAAGACGGCCGACAGGTTGCGGCTGCCGCTGCTGAGCGACACGATGTCCTGGTATGTGATTTCCTGGTCGCCCCACGTGTGCGACAGGATCGAGTAGCTGGGAATGGCGTTGTCGGCAAATTCCACGACGCGCAGCTTCTTGGTATCGAGGAGCCGCATTTCGTCTGCCTTCGGGGTTTCAGTCCCGCCGGGCCTTCCAGGTTTGGATGAATGCCAGGTCGGAGCGAAGCGCCAGGTGTAGGGCACTAGGAGGGCACTAGGGGGGCACTGAGGGGGCACTGAGGGGATTCCGGGTCCAGGCCAGAGCAGGCTGCGAGCCCAGGCGAGAGCCAGTGTGCAGGTCAACTGTCCCAGTCCCCTGCACCTCACCTGTCCCACCCCACTTTTCTTTTGATGTAAAGCTCCGCCGACCTGTCCCACCCCACTTAAGGCCCACATCTATACTATTTAGGTATAGCGCCACAGCGCGCCCCGCAAACTGAGAATTTTAACAGACCTCGTCGGAGGGAATTGAACTTCAACATCTTTCCACAAGAACAAAAGTATGGGCAAATCCCTACAGGTTCCAAATTGATTCTCAATTGGTTCCAAATGGATCCGGACAGAATTCCATTATCTCTCCTCGACCACGAGGTCACAGCAGCCATATGGTCCTCTCAGGGCCTAAATAACAGCTATGAAGAGTCTGACGAACTTCTTTTCAACACTGAGGAAGATATTCCTGAAGATGAAAATATCGACAAAGACCCTGAGGAGGGAAGCTTAACTAGACCCGTTCTTAACAGGTTTGGAACCAATTTAGGACTGATTCTTAACTAGTACCAATCCTCATCTCTGCCAAAACCCAGAACGGTCAAGCCGCTAATTCAGATCCAACAACGGTCAAGCCGCTACTTCAGTTCTAACAACGGTCACAGAAGTTATATATGTAGCGACTATTCCTGACTATCCGAAGACTACTATAAATGGTATTGCCTATGTTATACCAATACATATTAATTATGAAGGCGTTGGGATGCTCGGGCAGTATAAAATTAGCTAGGCACACGACTTGGTATGCTTTATAAAATAGGTTACCTGACGGGTCAGGAAGGGGTCAGCTGAACGGAGCCTCTTTTTTTCATGAATTTTGCCTCCGGCGGCGCCTGCGGCGGGCTGCCCTCGCTTCGCTCGAAGGAGTGGGTGGCTGAGGTTGAATTGCGAGATTAAGGAAGAAAGTGGTTTATTTTGGGGGGAGGGGGGGGCGGAGGGGGCTGGCTAGAAAGTTGAAGGTACCGCACGGACGGATTGACAGCCATTTCCACCTCACGACACAGCAAAGCGGCATTTAACGGGTTAACACGTCCGAGAACTATCCGATCGACCAGTCCCCCGAGCCCATTTCGACACGGACGAAAACTAGCAAATCCCTAGGCGAGAAACTTTCGGCACCTTCACGGTAAAGTAGAAGAGACAGCCTCTCTAAGCCACCTCCGGCTCGCAAGCTCGCCTACGGTGGCTCCGTTCAGCTGAATCAATAACTACCGAACCGATTTAGTACCCGTTCTAAACCGGTTCAGAATGAGTTTGGGGCTAATTATGCTATTAATACCAGATCCAGTACTGTAAAAAAGAACTACGCCACCGAACCCCAGGCATTTTGGCGGTGAAATTGCCAAACTAGTTTGGAATCAATTTGGAAGTGATTGCGGACTTGTGTTGTCTGACCAGAAAACCAAGTGATTGGGCCGTGCACGCATCAAAATATTGCGCTACCTGCGCTAGCCAATCAAAGTGCGCAAAGCAAAAAAGTGGGGTGGTACAGGTGTAAGGGACTGGGACAGTTGACTTATGGTCTCGAACATTTAAGAATTGAAACCTACCTCGCTTAAATTGGGAAGTGCACCTAGGGCATTACACGGGCGCGGCACTAAATTAATTAACTCGCAGAGAGCAGAGTTACCATTTTTCTGATCTTAAAATCCTCCTGTCTCTCTCCGAGCCTTTTTGCGCATTGCACCTGTGTTGTTCTCCCACCGTACAGCAAAAAGATCGACCTCACGACAGACCCTCTCGAGTTAAACAACTCATTCATGCGCTTGATATTCGGGTCCCCTCCGAATATGCCCCCACCTCTACGTAATTCATGAAGAAAGTGGCGCATTGCTGTTTTGTCGTCTATGCCTTGCCCGTCAGGGCGGTCGGCGGGAGCGGGATGCTCCTCGGTGAGAACCGAAAGATCAACGACATCCTCTGCGCCATCGGCGTCGTAGTCAACATGCGGCAGTCTGCTTTCTCGCAGCTTGCACGCGAGTGACGATAGTGCAGAGTCGAAAGCACTGGGCGTCCATTTCGAGGTATCGGAACCATCCGACACGACAAAGCCGTCCCGGGGTGGAGGCGTCGTGTCGAGGTCGGGAGAGCGTGAGAGCTCAGATAGCCTGAGCCAGAACAAGGTTTCGGCCATGTGAACTCGCTGCTTCAGGGTGGCCAGATCGTCGTGGCTGATTATATCCAGGCTCTGCAGTCTCTCCACACCTTGGGCCGCAACTCTGGCAGCGCTGGCATCAATTCAATCAGGCCAAATATGAAGCCTTATTTAACTGTATTTGAGGCCCGGAGTGGTGTATTTATCTGTGTGTAGGGCTCTCTCTGATTGGGTGGGTTTTATTTGACTTAATTGACGGAATTTGCCGCTCGACCAAAAAAACAAGGAAATCGAGCCCCGAATAGCACCCTAAGACCGGAAAAAAGCCCTCGACCTTCAGGACCTTTATTTCGTCGCCCAATTCTTCGTGCACATGAGGTAATTCAGGGTTTCGTCGAGCATACCATGCCTCTGAGTCCCAAGGATCAGTTTTCCCTGGCTGAATGCCCTCTCGCACTCTGTTGACATAGACGGTATTGACAACAAGTCAAAAGCCATCTTTGACAACCGGGGCCAACGCTCTCTTCTTTCCTTCCACCAAGCCAGTATGTCATCCACCCGCCTGACACTTTCGTAAAGGTATTCAGCTACTTCGTTCTTCAGGTTGGGGTCATCAGGGTCATCATGGTAGTCGTGGGTGATAAGATGACTCCCTCGACCTTCGTGAGGCGTACGAACCGGCACTGGGAGAGGGATGCCGGCGTACTCGGCCTCGTAGAGATCCCGGAATGCCCTCATCGCTTCTTCAGCCCGGTCGCTGCCCAGGAACTGGTTGACCCACTTCTCCTTGTGCCCTGGGTGTAGTATCATAGCCGACCAGTATGCTGGGCTCTCCTCCATCAATCTAACGTATTCTCTGAGCTTCTGAATGGCCAGGCCAACGCTTGTTCGAAGAAAGGATAAATGATCGTCGTCAAGATCAGGTGGTGACGGCGGCGGGGAGTGTAGTGGTTCGTCTGGTAGGTCTTCAACAAGGTCGGCAACAAGGTCGAGGGAGGGCGGCCTGATCTGGCCGGTCGGCAGGCGCCGGGGTAGGTCGATGACCGAGCCGTCGAACCGGGTAGGAAGACGACGGTTACGCTGCGACCGTTGTGATGCTTCCCCGGTAAACAAGACGCCGTTGTCATCGTCGTCGTCTATACCGAATGATCGAGGCTGTTGGCTTGCGACCGTGATCTCTGGATGGGTGTGTACCGGGCCACCGGTAAAATCGGTGACGGCTTCAAGGTTCGGGTGTAGGGTTCGAAGGCGATCCTCAAGCAGATCGATTAGCCACTCCTGCGTAGCGAGGACTTCAGGAAAGGTAGCCGCGCGCCCTTCAAACCACTTCGTGATCTTTTTGAAGGGTTTAAGAATAGACAAAACAATGGAAAGCAGGTGCCAGTCACTTGGTTGTAGCAGGTCGGCGGCGGGCATGCGCTTTTGAGGGTCCTTCTCGGTCAGATTTTTATGGCACCAGTAATCCACTTGGCTCTGTAAACGCACTGCGCGTTCGATCATGAAGAAAACAGAATTCCAACGCGTAGAATTATCGCCACAAAGCTGTAAACCTTCGACTGACCTGTCAAATATAGCCGCGCCGAATTCCTGCGCATCTCCCTCGCCGATCTGATTGCGCGCGACCTGTAGAAAGGATTCCCGGCGTTGTGGTGACCTCCGAATGAAGTGGACGACGTTGTGGAGTTTTCCAACAGGCCCTCTCTTTCGCCATATCTTCAACAACGCTTCTTCCTGCTCGGGCGGTAACTGGCCGACGAAGTCATCGTCAAAGGTTCTTTCGAGGTTAGTCGACTTGCCGAGAATGAAGGCCTGCGCTGCTAGGTTGAGGATGTGGCCGAAGCAGCGCACACGACGCTTTGTGCCTAAGGAATCCCGGGAAAACCGGTCAAGGCCAGGAATTAGCGACTCCAAGGTAAATTTTACTGCCCAGTTGTTCGAATCCACGTTGTCACACTGAAAATAACCGACGCTCTTAGCGAAGCCGTAGTCGTTAACTAGCCGAGAGATGTAGAGAGCCTGGTTCTCGCCGCTGTGAGAGCCTCGAAGGTGGGGCATTCCAAGCAGGTCTTGTTGTATGGCGCCGTCAACATCAGTGTAATGTACGAAGACCGCTAGGTAGGAAACTGTCGCGTTGGAAGTCCAAATATCGAACGAGAGATGCTTCTTGTATGGCGATGCGGCTAACCTCTCACGTAGGGCCTGTTGTTCAGCCTCAAACCTCTTTCGAATATGCTCTCGAATGGTATTGTGCGAGGAAGGAATCAGGGTAGCTGTCTTCTCGGCATTCAGGTCCATACAAAAATCCCGAAATCCCTTATGCTCAACGATGCTGAAAGGCAGGTTCGAGCCGACGACTAGATCGACGAGCTTTTCTTCCAAAGAGAGCTTGTGAGGCAGTAAAACAACCCTCGCGCGCTTTGTATTGACAACTTGAAGCGTGCCTTGCCTTTTTCCGGGCCTATTCATACCAGTAGACGATGACTTGGGTGCGAATGTTGCGTGCTCTTTTTCCAGATGTATAATCGCCGAGCTTGTTGAATCCGCCTTGAACAGGCTCTCGCAATAGTGGCATGCCCAGAAATATTCTCCCTCGATGATAGCGTTGTTGATGATCTGGGCGACCCAGTAGCCGTGATCACGAATCCACGATGTCCTTTTTGGTGTTTTTCCCGCCCACTTTTCCGGTATAAAGGACCCTCTTGGTATTTTTATCTTCGGCCAATCCTTGACTGGAACCCCGGAAAGATCTTTGACATCTACTCCTTCTTCATGGAGCGCATCGTGCTGTCTCGATAGTCGTGATAGCTTCGGAGGAAGGGAGGGAGGAAGATTTCCGGCGGTAGGGAGGCTTGTCGAGAGGGTCGCGACATCAACGGTGGAGGCAGGCATTTTGTCGAGGACTCGGGAGCCAAGGAAGTAGGGAAATCGCTGCAAGAAGGTAGGATTCGGTAGGATTCGGCAGTTTGTTTACAACGGTTGGCGATAGTTGCATTGTAGCGGCACGGCGGCACTCGAATTCAGGGCATTCGAGGATTTTCCCGGGGCCAGAAAATGCAGGGTTGGCCTTGGTCAGGGACTGCCCTGGCGCCAGGAAAACCCGGAAAATTGGGCCTAAAAATGGCCTAACCAATGGAAATATTTGCAAATACGCCAAATAACCGGGCCCTCAATTTGGCCTGTATTTGACCTCAAAAATGGCTTATTTATTTGCAAATACGGATTTCCTTATTTAATTGAATTGAATATATTTGGATTGGTGCCAGCGCTGAACTCTGGTAGCAAGATGGACGAGATTTATGGCTAGGCTGGGTGGCACCTCGCTGGTGGTGATGGCGAGGCCATCATGCCAGTTTCGCCGTCGGATTTGGCCGCCCCGTCCGCTTGTTTCTGCTGCCGCGGTTTCATCGCCGTCGGTGGTGTAGAGGTATCTACCTGCGATATGTACATGGTCTCGTTCCAACCTCGGCGGTACTCGGACGCCATGAGTTGGTCGAACGCCTCCATGTGCCCGGCCATGACTGCGAAACCAAGTGGCGTTGTCGCTTCTTTGTGGACGTACAGATCTCCGAGACTTGGCGGGTCAGGGAACATCTCGAGCACACTCTGCAGGATGGATGCGGAGATCTGGCCATGACTACTCCCTTGTCCACTCATATTGGCCACGAGCGTGTGAATGACCGATATCCCTATCCCGTTAAATGACCTAATAGCGAGAGGTGAGAGCCGTATCATGCTGTCTTTGCGGTTGTGGAGGGCAGCCAGGTACTTGACCCCTCGGAGGTTTGCTGGCTTGTGCTGTTCCGTCATAAGACCTAGCAACGAGCTCAAATCACTCGCGCCGCCGGCTCGGGAATGAAGGCAGTTCAAACTCTGCCCAGCCCCTCTTGAGATAAGAAGATCGGCGAGGTCATAGTAACCGCTGCCGATAGCCCAGGCCAGCGGTGACGGCTGGTCGACAGGATCAACGGGGCCATCGGTCTTATCCAGGAGATACTCGGCAATGACGGAAGAGTCCGAGGGTGTCCATCGAGGGCGCGAGGCCAAGGCACCAAGAAGAGAAGAGGCGTGATCGGGGACAGACAAAGGCGAGCCTCGGCTAGTAAGCAATTGGAAGATGTCGAAGTATTCTCGAGCACGGCGACCTCGATAGGCCGGCAGCCTGGGGAACCCTCGACAGGATGGCCCAGGTCAAGAAGAATCTCGACAATCTCGACATTTCCCAGGCGTATTTCCTCGCACATCTGACGTCCCGGAGGATGCCGCTGTTGACCAGCGAGCGCCGGAGAAGTCTTCGACAGCCTCTGGCTGCGAGCGCTCAATATGGCCATGGTCCTCCTCAGCCAGTCCTTGTAGTGAGCTCCGCACCGGACGACCCTACTTTGCATTGAAAGAACGTCAAACTCGGCCAGCTTCTCCATGCGTGCCATCTCGAGCATGGCACACTCGTCCAGGACGTCTTGCTTGGGATTCGTGCGGTTGAGGGCATCCAGCAGCTCTCCAGGACGTCTTGCTTGGGATTCGTGCGGTCGAGGGCATCCAGCAGCTCCTCGAGGATATCTGGCAGCGTCAAGATCACCGCCAGCTCAATCGGAGACAGCCATATACCAATCTCTGGCCTCTTCTCCAGAGGATTCGTCCCGTGCTTTAGGAGAACCCGCACCGCTGGCAGACTTTGCATGAAAACCGCCCTTCCCAAGGGCGTCACCTTCAGCCCCAGAGTCTCGTCCCAGTCCGCAACATATAAGCCCCTCTTTCGATCCGACGACTTCTCCAAATCGGCGCCTGCGTGCACGAGTCTCGACACGACCTCTTCCATCTCGCCTTCCGAGCTAAAGGAGCTGATGCAGTGCAACGGCGGGTCCCCGGTATACTCGTGGCCGTCCGGATCTGCGCCCTTCTCGAGACAGTACAGGACGCAGTCTAGCCATGCCGAGCGGCAGGCACACACAAGAGGCGTGTCCCGGGTTCGCTGCGCCTGCAGGTTGAGGTCACACGTGTACATCTCATACAGGTGCTTCAGCATTTCAAGCCGCCCGAGAGAGGCAGCCATGTGCAAGAGTCCGTGGCCCCACTTGTTGACGTATATGCGGTCGAAGCGATTTTGCCCCTCGCCTCTGAGGCTGATCGCTGGGTCGTCGGGCGATCTTTCTGCGGGAGCGTTTATCCAGAGACACGAGCCATAGCTGGGCCCAAGGATCTGTTCGATTTTAGCCTCGAGGAGCTCCGGGTCCTCCATGTGTTTAACGGACCAGTTGCCGAGCAGCTGCGGTGCACGGAAAAAGAGCATCCCTGTAGAGCTGGTCCCCATTCGGTAGCTGGCTATGGCGTTTCTGGAGAGTCTGTTCCATTCGGATTTGGCGGCGTCGTCAGCATTACTAGTCTCGATAAGACTCTTGGCCTCGTCGATGCAGTGTCGAAACCCGCGTTCAATCCCCCAGCGGAGATAGCGCTTGAACCGTATCTCTTCAGGGTCGGGATTTTGAACAGTAAACGCCTCGTGGACCCTGCACACCTAGGCGTGGGACAAGATGTCCGTGGTGGCAGACAGACTATGGCGATGGCTGTACTCTGCTGCTCTGTGAAGCCAGTAGCACGCCTTTTGCGGGGATATAGGCACGCCAAAGCCGCATAAGTACGACCGAAACAGAAAGTACGATGCCTGTGACGGGACGAAGCTGGAGCCAGAGCCCTGCGGAGGGCCATCAAACTTTGCGGCGGCTTCGAGCTCGTCGACCACTTGTTTCTGCTGGCCCTAGTCCAAAAAGCGCCTGAAGGAATGCGGCTTGAACGAGAAATACATGGCGGGCGGATGTGGAAGATCGGGACGAAATCCGGGGAGGTTGATCTGGGCATCATAGTCGTCCCCCATGCTCCCAATCACAAAGCCTGTCTTGTCGAGGGCTATTCTCTGCTGGCCCGGCGGTCCCCTTTCGTGCTCCGCGTCGTCCAAGATGGCGGCATTGGCTTTGTCCTTGATGTCGGCATACAGATGGGCCTGGACAGCGTCCAGACCTCGCATGCGCGCTAGAGCGCGGTCGAGGGCCCTGTGTGCCGGATTTCCGCGCAAATTGTATCTCAGTGCCGCCGTGGCAAGAGAGAAACTGTGACCCGGGAGGTGGTTGGAAAAGAAATAAGCAGCCAGATTGTGGGTGGCAGCATCAAGAAGCCCATCGGATATCTTCAGCCACCTCATCTTTTCTCAGTGTTGCTCGGTCAGAACCGCCCCTTCCTCCCATCCGATCGTCTTGAAATGAATCTCAGATGGGATATCCTTGCAATCAATCACGCATCTCCAAATCAACATGCCGTAAGAGAATGCGTCCGTCTTCTTGGCGCCGTCTGCCGACAGCTTGTCGCCGATTTCTGGAGCCTCGTAGGGGAAGGTGTGCATGCGGACACGATGAGTGCCGGTTCCATCGCGGCTCATGTCCATGACGGTTCCACCAAAGTCGGCCAGCTTGGCGGTGAACGGCTGGTTCGACGGCTCGGCGTATCGATTGGCGAAGACGAGCACGTTCTCGTGCTTCAGATCCCCGTGGACCATGCCACAGGCGTGGATGATGGACAAGCCACGTCCGACATCGTAGCACAGCTTCTGCTTGATGCTGAATGGAAGAGGTCGGAGGTCCTTCTGGATCTTGTCAAGTGTTCCGAAAGCCGCGAACTCCTGGACCAGGGCAGGGAATGGGGAGCCAGTGTCGGTTGACGAGTCCCACCGGATGTCGAGGAGCCGTACGATGTTGGGATGGTAGTGGATCGGCTTGTGCATCAAGGCTCGAATCTCGAGCAGGACGTCTTGCCATTGGCCTTGTCTGTCTTGGTCATCTCTTACCGTCTTGATGACGACGGTTTTGCCCGGGCCGTCAGACGCTTCGAGGATCACACGATGGACAATAAATGACAAGCCCGCGCCAATCCTGGTCTTCTCCACGATACGTCCATGGTGCTGTGGGTTGGAGAATGTGGACTGCCGGCCATTATATCGGCGAAGGCCTTCCCCCAGAAACGATGCATGGCAGAGCAAAGCTGCGAGACCATCTGTCAACTGAACGGCAGGGGCGGCAGATGAAAGAGTCGGGGCGACGACGGCTTTGCTCTCGGCCGTTACTGTAGAGTCCGCGGTGGCCGAGGTTTGATCCTCCGCGGCGAACGCTGAGGGATAAACGAGACTAGACATTGTCCACCAGGGCTCAGAGAGAAAAAGAGGGTGGCGGGGTGGTGAGGGACGAGAAGGCTGGGAATCTCTATGTGTCTTGTCGGGCTCCGAAGTTATGTGATGAGCTGCTCCTGCTCAGAGGGCTCTACTTCATGGTCCTCCCACCGCTCTCTCTCGTGCTTCAGCCCCCATTACCCCTCCTCAACAGAGACTGCCAAGCACACCACCGACAGCTCATCGAGGCGCGCTTGCAATAGAGCCCGGCACGTACATCGCCGTCATCACGCTTTCCTACGCGTCAGCTTGTACAGCAGTCAAGACATTCAGAAAGGGCCTCAACTATGGCAAAGATGCCAAGAGGCTGGTCTTGGCGCTCGAATTCGAGAGGTTTCGGCTCCAGCTCTGGGGAGAAAACTCGGGCTTGACGCCGCGAGATGGCGAGAAACCCACTCTCCCTGGAAGATTGCATCAACATGATCGTCGTTGGAAGCGCCATAGACGATGCATCACTGCAGCTCATCCGTGCCGCTGTCCGGTCAGACCCCGACACATCGAGTCTGCGTTCTGGCATCGAGCGCAGGGCCCTCCTCGGCGAACAGTCTTCCTCCGAAGTGACAGCAGCCATGATGCACGTCGAGCCGCTTTCGCTCTCCATGTTCGACCTGCCCGACGACTTTCCCACCGCGGCTCGCTTTCTCGCACAGAAGACAACCCAACCGGATGACGGGAGTGATAGCATACCTCTCCTGGACTGGTATCTGTTCGAGCGCAAAGACTTTGACCCCAACATCAGCCCCGAGGACAAACAGAAGCTCTCCAGCCGCATGCAGCGGCTGGTGATGCTGCTGCGCAAGCCGCGGTCCCCAGCCTTCATGACACCGCAAGCCGGAGGCTACATCCACGATGCTTCGTCGTCGTGCTGGTGGCTCGTCCTCCATTTTCCACTCGAGCTGCGCCTCTCCCTGCACTACCAGCTCCCTTCGTCGACACACCTGACTCCGGTGTCGCTACTGTCCCTCGTACGGTCCAAGACAGCCCCCAAACCGCGGCTCGAGGCGCGGATCGCACTTGCAAGCGCCATCTGCACGACCTTCTCGGAGCTCTACACCAGCGGGTGGCTGCACAAGGGGGTGCGAAGCGACAACATCCTGTTCCGCACGTCGTCGCTCGACCCTCTCCTCCCCAGCACCACCGGGGGAAACCAATCACCGCTGCCGCGACAAGACTCTCCTTCACACATGGCCACGCTACTGCAGTCGTTCCTTGTGGCAGGTTTCGACTACTCGCGCCAGGAGAGCGAGGGCGCCACCATCGACAAGGCCAAGACGTCAGGCAACGTGGCCGTGGCGATGTACCGCCACCCAAATTACCAAGGCGACGCAGCCCAGGGGTACAATGTGCAGCACGACATGTACTCTCTGGGGTTGGTGCTCGTCGAGATTGCACTGTGGATGCTGATTTCGTCGTTTCTAGACGCAAAGCCGGCTGCGGCGGCGGCGGCGGCGGCCGGCATATGCAGTAGCTGCAGGAAGAAGAGGGGACGACGGGGTTCGACATCAGCGAGGGCTGGCGGTCAGGCGGACGGCTCTGCGTCTTCTGCTGTTATTCTGTCGTCTGATATGAAACTATTCCACGAGCCGCATGCTGTCGAGCTCAGACGTCGGGTACTATCCAGGGCGGACTCGGAACTGGGGTTTCGCGTTGGGTCCAAGTATTATGGTGCTGTCAAGTTTTGCCTCGAGATGGATGACGGACGGCTAGGAGCAGCTGGGGCCGCGGCGGAGGAGGACGGCCTGGCAATTCCCTTTCACCCGGCCATGGAGTTTTACAACAACGTCGTAGTTCCGTTGGCGTCGGCAAGTCATGGGAGCCTGTGAAGCCATCAGGCAGTGTGATCTGGGGGAATGGGCTGCTCTGTTGGCTTTTAATGTCGCTGAAAAATCTGTTGGCTTTACTGTCGCTGAAAAATCTGTTGGCTTTACTGCCGCTGAATAACTATGTGAACGCTGAGGTAACCCAGGTACCCAACCTGGAATGTCACTCAGACAACTGTAACCACACGCCGCTCCCACGTCTGCAACCCAACTTCGTCCTCGGGCTTCAGGGCCGCGTCGTGCGTCTTCCCGACGGCAACTTTCAGCATCGCAACCCCGATCCTCCTGTACACCGACCCCGTGCCATCTACCGCTTCGAGAAGCAATCCGCAGTACTTCCGCACGAGCCTCGAGATACTGAGCTCTTCCCTCCTGAAATGCCACTGCCAAATGCCCAGGTGCAGAAGAAGCAAGCGACCCGAGGAGGGGCTCGATGTGTCGAGAAAGGAAACGCAGGTTCGCGTTTCATTATTCGGAGGCTCCCCCATGGACTCGGCTAGAACGTGGTAGTTCCTGGCCAAGACTGACGTGCCCTCGATGGCGTGCCCTTCGATAGCCAATCTAGGCTCTTCCTCGACAACTCTCGCCATGCTGCCGGTGCCAACCATCTTGGGCATGATGCCGTTGCTGTCAATAACCACCTCGCACTGAACTCCACCGATCAGGGACGCCCAACTCCATGACGGTGCCGAGCAGGCGTCCGACTGCGGACGCAACGTCGACCTGGCAGGATCGATGCTCCTCCAAACAAAGCCTTCAAGTAAGTGGCGCCGGAAGAGTCCGGCAAGATACCTGTCGCCTAGCCGCGCCTGAAAAACCGACGCCACACCGGCCAGGGCTGGAAACACATCCGACGGCACCGTCAGAGCTCGGGAAGAGTAGTTCTCGACCACTCTGAGCCACAGGCTGTGCATCTCGTCTCGGGCCGCCGCGTCCGCCGCCGTCCCGGCCGGCCAGTGCAGCACCGAAGGCAGCATCATCTTGTACGAATACACATGTGGGGCCTGCAACGCTGTCATCTTATTATCGGGCAGCGCCAGCGCGTCGATGCGGCCCTCGGCGTAGGTGGCGTGCGTGCACTCCCAGAACAGCTGCTGGCTGGCGAAGTGCAGGGTGCGCGGCGACAGCAGCGACTCCTGCAGGACCCAGCCGCGCGACGCGAGCGTGTTGTGCTGCCGACCCGTGATGTACTCGAGGTAGTTGTCCCAGCGCCCGGCGCGCAGGTAGAGCCACTCGCCGCCGATGCCGAGCCTCTTGCTGTTGAACGGCAGCCGGACAGCGGCCAGCGCGGGCGTGGTGCTGCTGCCTCGCTTGCCAAAGATGCCGTCGCGGCACCCCCGCCCAGAGCTCGCGCTGATGTTGAGCACCCCGTGCCGGTACACGTCGCCCATACGCGCCGCTTCGCGCTCCCAGTCTTGTCGAGAATCTTGCACGATGCTGTCGACCAGTCAGCCAGCCAGCCAGTCAGTCAGTCAGTCAGTCAGTCAGTCAGTCAGTCAGTCAGTCAGTCTGCCGGTCAGTTTACTATCGGCAACTTGGTGCAGGATGGACAGTCGGAGATGTTCGAAAGGGAAAGTAGGCAGGCCAAGTAAATACCAGATCGAGTCAATCCACAAATGCCGATACCCAAGGCGCCGGGTGATCGATACGGCATCGCGGAACGTGAGTGGGAGGAGCGGCATCGGGATGCCGGAAGCAGTCCACTCAGCCAACGTGTCGTGCGTGAGCATCAGCGGGGAAGAACCGCCCCAGCAGTGAGTGAGAGTGAGCCAAGGCAGACGCTGTGGCCAGCCGTTCCGAGTCACGGGGCCATCCGTGTCGTGGACCGCCAGGCGAGGATCTTCCGAGCCATCGGCGGCTCCCACGTCGATAGTGCGAGTGGGCATGAAGGACGATGACGTCTCAGACTCTAGCTCGTTCTGCTCAAGACACTCGTCGAGCCACATCCCAGCCAGCCGGAAGCACTCGTCCGAGTTCGAAAAGGGGCTGACCGGCCGCCCCATGATGCCCAAGCTGTGACCACATCGCGTCGGGTCGCTGTCCGTGTTGTCAGTTGGGATCCGCTCAACCAGGCCGGGTAGGGGGTAGGGGGTAGGGGGCAAGGGCAGTGCAGGGGGCAAGGGCAGTGCAGAGAGCAAGAGCAGTGCAGAGAGCAAGAGCAGTGCAGAGAGCAAGAGCAGTGCAGAGAGCAAGAGCAGTGCAGAGAGCAAGAGCAGTGCAGGGGGCAAGGGCGGCGCATTAGCTAATTACATCTTATTGGTATCGCACTCCGCCTTCGTCCGGTTCACGAAAACGCCGTACATGCCCAGGAGCGTCGTCTGCGCCCCCCTGTCGGTGACGAAGACGATGAGGGTGGAGCGGTCATGCTCGATCCCGATCCCGTCGCTCGAGGGGACCAGACGGAAACACATCTGCTCGCCATGCCAGCCAGCATCTCCACGGCCGGCGATCTCCATGATCTGCGAGTCGTCTTTGAGGGTCTCCCACAGCCCCGCGCAAAACGCACAGTCGCTGCATTCTGCCAGGGCGGAAAGGGATGCGTGGTGCGCGTAGCCCGACGGCTTCCACTCGTAGATGAGCTGGTCGAAATCGACATCTCGACATACGTCGCATAGCATGGCTGGAGTGAAACGGCACGAGCCGTCAAGGTTCGGCACTGAGGTTGCGGAATAGAGAAGAACAACAAAACAATGTGACGGGATAAGCGAGAGTCGCCGGGATAAGCGAGAGTCGCCGGGATAAGCGAGAGTCGCTGGGTAAGCGAGAGACGAGACGAGACAAAGGGTGGCGGCATGGCAGCCTAACCGTCTCACCCCGCCGTCGTGGAGCACATCAAGCTGCTGGTGGGGAAATTCTGGCCAAGGCATGTTCATACAGACCCGGTCGCCTATTGGTGCCGGACAAGTGCATTGCTGCAGTATCACCCCGTCATCGCCTCGAGGTCGTCATCGCCTCGATGCCGTCATCGCCTCGAGGCCCGTCATCGCCTCGAGGAGGGAGTCGAGAGCCCCTGTCAAACAAATCACGCGCCGTCCATCATGGCGGCCATCCAGACCAGCGACCCAAACTCATCGATAGTCTCGCACCAGTGTTCCAGATCCCTGAAGGTGCCCTCACGTCCAGCCGCGTCAGATGCCGACTCACACGTGGCAATGGTTCCGCTCCTCTCCTGGCGCAGCCGCCACAGATCCTGCATGACGAGGCATGTCCCCGGCTGTCGGCGCGCGGAGGAGGAATAGCTGCTGCTCATGGAGTTGTGCTTCTGGTACCTGGCCGTCCACGTCACGTTGTCCACGGGCTCCCACAGGTAGCGCGGCGAAGGCAGCGGCACGTAGCAGTGGCCCGCGCAAAAGTCGCGGCCCGACGACGAGAAGATGACGTCAAAGACGCGCTCGATTCCGTATAAGAGACAGATAGTCCTGCAGCGGTCTTTAGTCGGAGCGGTTCATCTAGGGACCATGGGCAGCGCGTCTCGTCTCTCACCTTCGCGCCGACTCCCGCGTCACCCACTCGCGCCGGCTTAGCACACCGTCGGCGATGCCTTGGTAGCCGTTGAGCAGGTGCAGCCGTGTTCCGATTTCCTGTTCAACTACCGTGAGCAACTGGTGGACAAACCACCGTGAGCAACTGGTAGACAATGCCGTTCCGCCTTAGTGATACAATCTCGAGAAGAAGAGGCACACCCACACTTGTTGTCGTGACCAGAGAGCGCGCATCGTTCTTCTGGATCGTCTGCAGGTCCAGAGCCTGTATCAAGATGTACATGACTGTCGCCTGAATCGCCTCGACCAGCTCCTGAACGTCGAGCGAAGGTGTCTGTACAAGCGTTAGATCGAGATCTCTGTACATAGGGGAGGTGGAGTGAGAATGAGGACGAGAGCAACGTACTCTGCAGCGGATTTGCCGCTGGTGGTCGAATATCGTCTTCCACACAAAGTCGCTGCTCGCCGCCGTTCGGGTGAAGAACATGTGCAGCAGGCTGGTGCACGTGGCGAGCGTCTCGGGTAGGCAGGTGTGGTTCCCGCTGCCGCGAGACGTGCATTCCGTCGCCGACCTCCCGTCGAGGACGCACTGCGGGTGGATGAACGGTGGCAGCCGCCCGCTGCCGTCCGTCATCATCTGCGGGTATGCCATCATCTGGCCGAAGAGCACCTTAGACGACAGATACGTCTCTAGCTTGGCGATCTTGCGCTGCGACAAGGTCCCGGGATTCTGGAAGACAGACAACGTACTACCTAGCGGCTGGACAGACGACGTACCTAGCGGCTGGACAGACAACGTACCTAGCGGCTGGGGCGCGTTGTCGCTTGTCGGAGGAGGCAGCGCCATGCTGCTGCTTTCCCACTGGTCCAGATAGCCGACTGTGCCGGTGGTGTTCACCTCGCAGCTCGTGGCCGATGCCGGGAGGGAATCAGCCGCGACGGTGTTAGGCAAGTCCCCAGCGTTCAGGTCCTCAAACACGTCATTCCCAAGCGGGAGATGCCAGGGTCCGGGCAGGAGATGCCAGGGCCCGTGCGAGGGAACCTGGCGAGCATCGGCGTCGTTCTCATGGCCCTGCCCTGCTCGCGGCGAAAGGGGCGCCGCAGAGCGAGCAATCTTCCGGTAGGGTCCGTGGCCTTGGCCCAGCGCTGGCGCCGGCGCTGGCACTCTCTCGTATGCACAGCGGAGATGTCGCTGGACACATCGCGCGCAGGGTAGGTCCAAGCTGCAGCGCGTCTTGGATCCCCGACATGACGAGCAAGCCTTCTTCCGAGAAATGGGCATCCTGCACGGATTACTGGTCAATAGTCATCGGCGAGGGTGTTGCTGAACTGCAGCCGCGCAGCGTGTCTTGCAATGGTGGCATCGAGGAGCGGAGACGCGGGACGAGCTCAGTGTTGCTAGCTCCCCCAGCTGCTTGCCGTGTTGCCGTTAACGCCGGAGCGCGGAGTCGCGACCAATCACGGAGCCCGGAGTCTGCTGCGAATCACGGCCTTCGTCCTTCGGAGTTCAAGTGGATCCGCATACGCTGGCGCCGAATTTACGTCGGGGTTGGAATGGGTCCCATGTCGAGCTATACGACAGCTTTCGGGTGCTAATCGCCAAATAACTGTCCTGATGTTACTAAATGTCTGTGATGAGCTGACTAGGCAATGGTGGCTGGCTCCCTTTTATAAATAATTGACAATCCCCGATCAACAATCCCCAATCTACAATCCCCAATCTACAGTCCCCAATCAACAATCCCCAATCAACAATCCCCGATCAACAAAGCCATATTTCCTTCTCAAACTCATCGCAGATATATCGATAAACAACAGCCCCCCCTTTCATTCACATCGCAGATATATCGATAAATAACAACCCCCCCTTTCATTCACACAGCTAAAAGTTTGTCTTTCTCGGCCATAGTTCTCTGTCACCATGGCTCCCCCCATCAAGGTTGGCATCGTTGGGCTCACTGGTCGGTCTGGCGTCTTTGAGCCTGGCCAGTGGGCAGTCAACGCCCACCTCCCGCCCCTCGTCGCCTCTCCGTCGTACGAGATCGTTGCACTCGCCAACTCGTCCGTCGAGTCGGCTCGCAAGTCCATTGCCTTCCACAAGCTGCCTCCCACGACGGCAGCGTATGGCAGCGGCGAAGATCTGGCCAAAGACCCAAACGTCGACTTGGTCGTCGTGAGCATCCGCGCGCAGAAGCATTTCAGCCCCGCCAAGGCAGCCATTGAGCATGGAAAGGACGTCTTTGTCGAGTGGCCCGTCGGTTGCAGCCTCGCCGAGACCGAAGAGCTGGCCAGGCTGGCCGAGCAGGCCGGCGTTGAGACGGCTGTCGGTCTGCAGGCGCGGTCGGGCAAGGTTGTCGCTGCCGTCAAGAAGATCCTGGCCGACGGCACCATCGGCAAGGTCGTCAGCTCCCACGCGCTGGGGAATGCCAGCTTGGTCCCCGTCGACACGTGGTGGGCGGGCATGGAATACTACCTGGACATGAGCAGCGGAGCAAACGAGTTCCACATCTACTTTGGCCATTGTAAGCCGCTCTCCCTGCCCTCTTCCTTGCCCCCATGTCAAGGCCATGGCAGCTACGGAAGCGCCAGAAGCCCAGTGCGAGATGTGCCGAGTGCGAGATGTGCCGACTGCGAGATGTGCCCAGTACGAGATGTGCCCAGTACGAGATGTGCCCAGTACGAGATGTGCCCAGTGCGACATGTGCTCAGTGCGACATGTGCCCAGTGCGAATGTGCACCCAACTGACTCTCTTCCAACAAAAAACAGTCCTCGACTCGTTCATCGACATCCTCGGCGACTTTGACACGCTCCAGTCGACCCTCACGACGCAGTGGCCCACCGTCCCCATCGTCGATAAAGCCGGCAAGATAGTAAACCCCGCCTACCCAAGGACCGTGCCGGACCACACCATGGTGCAGGGCCGGCTAGCCAGTGGGGCCGCAGCCTCGCTCAGCTTCCGACACACCAAGTCGTCAGGCGACGGCACGGGCATCCGGTGGATCATCGCGGGCACTGAGGGCGAGATAGCCGTGACGCTCCCCGAGTCGCTGGCCGACATCTCGGCGCAGTGGCAGACGTCGTACCCGCGCGCCAAGGTCCACGTCCGGGTCGGCCGGGACGAGCCCGTCGAGGTCGACCTCGACGCCGGCTTCGCCGCCCACGACCCAGCCGTCCTGGCCCTCGACCACACACCCCTGAACACGGGTCTGGTCTACGACGCGTTCGCGCACAGCGACAGGAGCCGCTACGCCGACTTTGCCAGCGCGCTCAGGACGCGCCGTCTGCTGGAGCGCATCGCCAAGGCCGGGGGTTATCCGTGAAGAATTGGATCGGAGTGATGTTGAGTTGTTGATGTGGTTTTGGCCAGTGGATATCAGCTGAATGCAAGACATGAAGCTCCTTGGTTTTTGTGGTTGGTGTTATCCTGGGTCTTGAACCAAACTCTCTTCCCCTGAGCCTACTTTGACGGTTATACGTGTCCCTTATTGAGTGAAAACAGAGACAAAGGCGGACCAGATCTTGGAAAGGCTGACATCTTTCTTGCCCTTGGAATTTGTCAAAATGGTGCCCAAGAATCTTGTTGTTTAATTAGTTTTCTGCAGCATCTTTTTTCTGCAGCATCTTTTTTCTGCAGCATCTTTTTTCTGCAGCATCTTTTCACGCAAAAGCATATATCAGCAACATCGCCGCATTCGCATTGCCCACAAAGCACACAGTTGGCATCCCCCCCGTGCAAGTCTTCTCAATGCCAAATCTGACAACACTGGCATGGCCATGATATCCAGGGAGACAGGCAGGAGGCGTTAGACCTCTGCCTACGAAAAATAACCGCCGTCTTCCTCAAACGGTATCCTCCCCATTCCTTCGGCTTGCGCGGGGAGGCTCGGTTCGGCTGCCACGACCGTAAACGCGTATTCGATACGCAGCCGCCGCCGGTTGTGCCTCAATGCATATGCCCACGCCTCAAAGGAGATAGCCAAACAGTAGTACGGTCACACGACAACCCGAAATCTCCCGCTTTTTTCCCCGATGTACGCAGCAGTACGTCCCGCTCGCGTCGCGAAGATATATAGACGTAGCTTGGCGCGCCCTCTCTCCAACTCCGTCTGCATTTTCATCGTCAAATCGCCACAAAAACAAAAAAGATCAGCGCACGCAAAGATAAACAGTTTAGTCCCGCATACATACCGTCTAACACGCCGATATAGTCACAAAAAGAAAAAGAAAAAAGGGAAAAGAAAAAAAGGGAAAAGAAAAAGGGAAAAGAAAGCCATCCCTCATGGCAGCCCTAGCCAGCGCACTCGGCCTTGGCCTCGGAACCGGTGCCGGCACCGGCACCTCACTGCTCTCGACACCAGCACACAACCACGCAGCCGGCCTCCTCGGCTTCCACTTCGTCTGGGCGTACGTCGTCCTCGCGCCGCGGACACTGAAACAGATCCACGGGATCGACCACCAGGCGTCGCCGCGGTACGACATAACACTATACGGCGCGGGGGCCGTACAGGCGGGAACCCTCACACAGGCACAGCTCGAGATGATCCAGCGCTGCGACTCGGCGCACTACAACTCGGTCGAGAACTACGCGCTGCTAGTAGGCGCTTTAGGACTTGCCTCGCTCGCGCGCGTCGACGCGCGGGCCGTCAACCGTGCCGGGCTGGTGTACACGGCTGCGCGCGTGGCCTACGGGTTTGTCTACGTGCTTATCGACCACCCGCGCTGGTCGATCAGTCGTGGTGTGTTGTGGTGGATTGGTAACGGCAGCTGCTTGTTCCTGCTGTGGAAGGCGTCGGAGAAATTGGGCGTGGGCGGGTGAGTTTCCAAGGGGGAAAGGGGGATTGCCCCATGGGTGGGATGTTACAGCCGAGAGAGGCGTGCTGGGACTCTGGGAGCGAGCTCCGTGTGTAAGATATTATTCACTGCCGTGCTTATACTCAAATTCCGCTCCATGATGATCCAAGCGGGTTGAATCCCGATTGCTGTAATTACTGTACGTTATAGTTGGGTTGGAAAAGCGAAGCACGGCTCATTTACTGTTGGAATCACCAGGTACCGGTACTGGAAGCAACAGGGCAGCGTTGGCAATGGCTCAAACAACTCAATCTTGAGGCTATATTTGGTTGAATTGAGCCACCAAAAATGGATATGTGGCTGGGTTGAGGCTAGAATTGATTGATATGGTAACAATTGATGATATTTGACGGCATCTTTAGCTCCACCAAAAAAGATGTAAAAAGTTATCAAAGAGGTCTAAAATAGTAAAAAAAATGCCCTAAAGCCTAGAAAAGCTCGTCAACGTACCCGATCCTTCAAATACATGATGTTATTGAAGGTATCGTCTCCCATTCTATCTATGCGCCGAAGACCAGCTTATCGTTACTGAATGCCCTCTCCGGGTCCGCTGACACAAGTCAACTAGGCCAAAAGCGGAACACCCTGACTGCGGAATTTGCCGTAAGACACAAACCCATCACATCCTTCGCGCAGGTCACACCGCCCAATACGCACAACTGCTTCATTGAACGGTAGTAATTTGTGTTGAGGCTCTAGCTTACACGGGCGAAAAAGCGCCACCGGCATGTTCCGCAGCTAGGGTGTTCTGCTTTTAGCCCAGTTGACTTGGACCTCAACGCCGTCTTCCTCGACGTAAAACTTTCGGCATGCTCCCTTTGCAAATGGCCTGCCGCCGAGCTTGTGCTTACGGCCGTGAAGAACTTCTCGTAAAAGTGATATGTCTAGAATCGCTGTAGGAATGGAAGGTTCGGTAGAAAGGTCGGATTCGGTAGACAGGCCGGATTCGACTGTTTATTTACGTCGTGATGGTTGTATTGCAGCTTCAACGGTGCATTGCAGCGACCTGCGGCCTGCCTGGCAGTCAGAGATTTTCCCGGGCCCAGGAAAATACGGGGCTGGTCTTGGTCAAGGAGCGCCCTGGACCCAGGAAAATCCGAAAAATCCGCCCTAAAGATGGCCTGGCCAATGGGAAATAATTGACAACTCGCCAATTATTTTGGCCCTACTAGTTGGTTGAATTTGACCTCGAAATCGTGTAATTAATTGCTCTAAATGGCTATATTTGATCGATTGAATTGGAAAAATTTGAGTTGGTGCCGGCGCTGCAACAGGGCGTAACTACACGCCGAAAACCGGTGGTTCAAGTAATGGATTCGTTCATGTCTGTGTATCTCTATGACAGAGGGGAGAAGTCCTACGGCCACTTATATAGAATCTGTGGCCCTGTGCCACCACAGCCACCTTCGTGGATGGCCCTCCGTGGCTGACCAGCGCGTCATTCCAACATTTACATTGTAAATAAATGCCAAAACTAGAATTGACATACTCTACCGGCATTTCCCTCCTTTGATCTCGTGTTCCCATTTATTTATCCAACGCTCTAGGGATTAAGTATACTTAGACTTTCCTCGGCTTCCGCACGGCTAGCTCGAAACGAGGCAAAGCGGATCACGAAGACGGCGAGCTACAACGGCGGCAAGTTTCAAGCTAGGCCAATTATGTTCTAGGCGAAATCTGGAAACCCCTCCCTGTAAAGTTTCTGCATGATGCTGCACTGCATAAGTGCTTTGAGCTTAGCTCGTGTCCAGCCTTGCGAGAGCGGGTCTTGGTCTAGTACGGCACGGAGCAATCAAGGTGCTGTGTCTCGGGATCAAGGTGCCGTGTCTCGGGCTTTGTGCAGATTCACATCAAAAATAACACTCCAAGTAACAAGACTCCAGTTATGGCTCCAGTTATGACAAACACCGTGGTGGAATTACAAGGCTACATCCTAAGTGGCGACCCTCGAAACAGAACAAGAAACATGTCCACAGATATTACTGGAGCAACTTTTTCACAACATCCCAGCTCCGCACCATGCCCCAGAGACCACCCTGTCTACCCAACAACGAGCGCTGCCCGGTGTGGGCCGACGGACTAGCCCCGTGTTGCTTCTCTCTCTCAGGCAGTCACGTCGACGACCTTCTCCAAGACCTTTCCATCGGCCACGATGACCTTGTCGACCTGGAGCGACGCCTTGACCGGGTTGGGCTGCTGGTAGACCCACTCGAGCTGCTCGATGGTGCGGCCCTGCGACTCGACACTGATTACCGCCACGAGTTAGCACAATTTCACGGCAACAGGACTAGAGCGACGTCTAAACTTACCCAAACAGGTACCACAGGAGGGCCTCGACGACATCCCAGCCGACAAAGACGTAGATGTATTGGTAACCAATGTTGCCGAGAGCAATGGGTCCGGCGAACTGGTTGATGAAGCCGACAGCATTGACGAGGAAGCCCGAGAGAGCGAGGCCCTTGGCGCGCGTAGTCGTCTCAAGAGCCTCGGTGGGGATGGCTCCCTGCAGGGGCGTGTAGGTGAAGGAGAAGATGACGTTGAAGAGGAAGTACGAGGCCAGGGCACCCTGGCCGTACGAGATGTCGATGTTTGCGCCCTGGTTGGCAAGGGCAGCCGAGAGACCCGAGTTGGTGGCGAGCGTGGCCGAGCAGAGCAGCGTTCCAATAATGAGCACCTTGCGGCGGGGCATCCTGTCAGTGAAGGCAACAGCCGTCAGGGCGCCGACGGCCGACAGGACCTGGTTGAGAATGTTGTAGCCGAGCTGGGTCGGGACGCTCTTGACGCCGAGGTTCTCGAAAATGACCGTGTTGAAGTAGCCCAAGCCGTTTCCGGAGAACTGGCCGAAGATGGAAATCATGAGCACCTGGGCCATGCGCCAGCGGCCGCTGTGGGTGAGGAAGAGCGGGCGGTAGTCCCACCACACCTTGTCGATGCCGTCGAGCGCGATGCCCTCCCTCATCTCCTCGACCTGGAGCACGACTAGCTTCGCCTCGCGGTTGCCGTTGCCGTGGAACTTGGTCAGGAAGGCGATGGCCTCTTCCTCGCGTCCGTTGGCCATCAGGAAGCGCGGCGATTCGGGGAGGAAGAAGACGGAGCCCAAAACGATAAGGCAGGTAAAGGCCTGGAGGATCAACGGGATGCGCCACGAGTAGTCGTTGTCGATGTAGTTGGTGCCGAACGTGACGATGGCGGCCGGGATGGAACCACCAAACCATCCGCAGTTGTAGAAGCCCGTGCAGCGGCCACGCCAGTGCGGCGGCGCGATCTCGATGGCGTATGCCGGAGCAGCCACCGTCATGATGGAGATGCCGAAGCCGAGAATGAAGCGGCCGACGACGAACTGCGGGAGCGTGCCGGAGCTGGCGATGATGATGGAGCCGAGAATGATGACAATGGCACCGCAAAACATGCCCTTCCTGCGCCCGAAACGATCCGAGAGCACGGCGGCAAACGGAGCGCCGACCATGGAACCACTGAAGTTCGCGCGGTTAGCAAACGAGGGGCCACACACGACGGCGCCCGGGGACTCGGGGAGACCAACACAGTGTAGAGGGAGAAGATGACCGACACCTGAGTGCCCGTCTTGCCGGTCTGGAATACGTTTTGAAAGTGGTCCATGGCAATGATGGACGTCATCAGACTGCCGTCATAGCCGTTGGCGCAGGCGCAGCAAAAGGCAACGAAGATGCAGTCTTGGCGTCACTTGTCAGCTCGGGTTCCACCTTGTCTCGGGCATCACGTATGGCTGTGGGGGCACCAACAGTAGAGCAGGAGCGACTGCTTGCTCCAGGCTCTGATTTCCGACTCTTGGACGGCGGCGAAGAACTCGGCCTGGCGCGCTCAAGTGGTTAGCAAGATAGATTCGACCTTGGCCGGGGGCGGGGGCGAGGGCGAGGGCGAGGGCGAGGGCGAGGGCGAGTTGTCGAGGCTCACGTTATGGACTGTTTTCTCCTGGGCGCCTTCGACCTTGGCGGCCTCGCCATGGCCGGCCTTGACGATGGGGATGCGTTGGCGGACGCCGACAGGCTCGATGTCGTGAGAGGCGGCCGTCTTCTCGGCGCCGCTGCTGGCGGCATCGTGAGACCCGTGCGACGACATGGTGGACTCTTGTCGACTCGAGGCGAAGGGCTCGGACTCGGGCTCGTCGTCAGTGGCGGGTTAGTGAAGGGAGGATGTTGCGAGCACGACCACTTGGAGCACGTTCTGACATGTTTGGGCGCGGAAAGCATGCCATCTTTATCAGAAAGCGAAGCCAGGCGACGGTGCGTATCCATGGCCTAAATTGAAAGGGTCGCCATCTTTCCGCTTTCGGACCGGACGGGCCGCCTCCGAGGTGCCAAAATGGGCTGCCATCAGCGTGCCACACTTGACCGTGCCCGGTCCCGTCGCTCTGCCAGGCAGGCAGGCTCTGCATGGTTAGTACAGGTATGTACTTGATTAGAAGCGGCCATGGAAGTCTAGGTCCAAGTCCAGGTCGAGGTCCAGGATCGTCCCGCTCTTCCCCAGGCCGCCGTAGCGCGAGCATGGCTGACGGCTGACGGCTGACGGGGCGACAAGCAATCCAACTCGCCCAGAGTGAGGGGATTTTTTTCTGGGGAAATGCTGACGGCCCACCGGCTGCCCATGGGGTTTGGAGCCTCGCGCCCCCCGACCTGCGGATGTCGGGCCTCAGTTCCCGACAGGGGCCGCTGCCCTTTGCAGCGTAGCGCCCAAAATACACTGGGTTCACGGCTGCCCCCAGGCGACTTGGCGCCCTGAGGCCTGGACAATGCGCGATCGGTCGGCAACGTGCAACGGCCTCTGCAGACGGGGCCAGGGGTCGTATACCCGAGGCATTGGGACGAGACCCAGTGGCCTGTTCGGTGGAGCAACATCTGCAACTTCATATCATCCACGCCGTCCAGCCCTCGCTTGCATGCCGTCTCAATCACGAACCGCTGGCCGCCGCCGCCGCCGAGTCGAGTTCGCACGGCAAATTATAGTGCCCTCGCCTGTCTGGGTATCTGGGAGACGCCAGCCCGCCCGCCCAGGACATGCGACACTGTCATCTCTTGTTGCGGCCATGCGTGCAGCGTGCCCAGCAAAGCGCAGAGGCGGCTAGTTAAGGGCGGGACATTAATTAACCTTCGCTACCGCAGGGCGTCTTGGCCTCGCTGGCTTGGTTTCGCAAGGTACCTACGGAGGTACGGTAGCTTGGGATTAGTATATTTCACTTGGCGGCGCCACTTAGCGCGCGCGCCACCAATCGACGTGATCTGGCCAGGCGTGCTGCACTCGTGCGCTGGAACTAAGGTAGTGTAGTCCTTACCATCTTGGTACGCGGGCCGCCGTTGCTTGCTTGGGCCGGGGTAAAAGTTGTTTGGTGGCCGCTGCGCGATTAGGAAGTCTACGCCGCCTCCAAAAATCCGGGGCCCCTCGCTTGCCCATTCGTCGCGTCGGAAATGTTTGGCCCGGGTCCCGTCTGCTGTTCTGCGGAGAAGAGACGAGGTAGCACCGGTGTCCGGCAGTACTCCATCGGAGGAGGAGTCGCAGCCCACACCCCCTCAACCCATCCCTGCCACCTGTAATTGGCCTTGAATCTCTCTCGGCTCTGGACCAGGATTGATGCCCCGGGATCCCGCTAGCGGCTGACAGACTCGGTTCAGAAGGCTGTAGCTTCCCTTAGTTCTCGTTTGGCGGCGTGTGCCACGTGCACATGCGTCGAGGTAGCGTTTACGAGCGAGTCGACGTCGAGCTCTATCTCGAGCCACGGAGTCGAACGAAGGAGGCATTGCAGGCCCAGCTTAGCTAGACGCCGACGCCACCGACGCCACCAACGCCGCCGACACCGCCAACGCCGCCAACGCCGCCAACGCCGCCAAGCGATGCGGCTGCGTTTCGCGCTCTAATCGAGCCAAGTCAAAATTGAGGTGCTAGCTGTTTCGGGCGCGCCTGAACCCATCGTCGGTACTGTTTCCCGGTCCCAATCCTGGCCCGCGGCAGGAAGGACGGCCCGCACAGCGACCAAGGGCTTGTCTCTTCTCCCAGCGCTGAGGGCAACATGTTTACGCAGCTTTTGACTTGTCACGCGACTCGCTGGCTTCGGGCTGGGTGGATGTTCGCGCTAGATTCCTGGTCTTGGCTTGCGGGGCTCGGCTACCTCTACGATGTCTTGGTATTGGTAGTGTCTAGCGTATTCGCCGTGGAGCCTGTTCTGTCTCCTCTCCTACTAAGCAAGACTCCGCTGTGGAGCGAATGACTCCCCAACATGTGCCATTTGGGATTCTCCTCCCACTGGCACCTGATTTCCGGGATTTGGCGACCCGTCTTTTGTTGTTGGTAATTAATGTGTGATTTTCCGTCGACATGGTGAAGCTCTGCAAGCTGTTCTGCAAGCTGCTCTGCAAGATGCTCTGCTCGTCGAGGTCCCGTTGGAACATGTGTCCGTTGTGTGATTCGTTTCTTGAGGTGCTTATCGGGTTCCCACTCTTCACCGCAGCGACACCGACGAACCTGCCACAAGTGATTGTGTCTGCCTCAGCAACATATGAGGCTAGAGGCTCTGCTCGCCGGCAGGCTCACGATGCAGATAGCCGCACCACGCCGAGCATATGTCCAAGACGCCGATCATGCCATATCGCTCAAGTTGGGCGCTGTTAGTAGCGGCGTGCCTGATCCGTTCGATGTCGGCGAATGGAAGGCCCGTTTCCTCGGCAGCCGGGATGCACTGCGCCGCGCAGTAGCCCTTGTCGCCCGAAACCTGTTTGGCGAGAACATTGTCTTTCGCTTGGTAATTGATAAGTTCCGTAGACTGAAATCGCCAGCTGCCTGGTCAACAAGCCAATCTTTCACAGTGCAAGAAGATAATTGTCTTTGGGGCTGTTCCAGGGGGTCAAACGAAGCTTGAATGGATCCATAGAGTGTAGGACGGCACCTAGCAGACAAACTCGTACCCTAAGATTTCAAATCCTGGCTACTGTGGAGGGTGACCCTTTCTTTTGCCTGAGCCTTCGAAGTCGCCGGCAGGCTCGTGATGCGGCTGGATTCAGAGCCGCCGTTAGTATGCCTGTGTGGGAATGACGGAAGGAGGAAATAAACTAGGCATCACGCACACTCCCGTCGTGCAGCCGCAGTGACGTTAGGCAGTCGCTATGCTCCTCAGGGCTGCAAGCGCGATCCATGCCGTAGTCGGTGGCACGCAGCGGAATGGTGCAGGAGTCGAGAAGGGGAGAGGAGAAATTAAAACTTGGATAAGGTAGCTACCGCATTTCAAGAGTACCGCATTTCAAGAGTGAATTCTTGTCTGTTCCAGGCAACAGCTGCTGCATTGTCGGCAGACTCCGACAAGCCCAAAGATGGTTTCGTTGTTTGCCGACAAATCTTTCGTGCTGTTCCGAGAAGGCTAAAGAATATGCTCAGTCAAAACCGTACCTGCACTTACCTGGGCCTGTTTGCTAGTCGGGCGAAATTGTTGCCAAAACTGATGCACCTCGGGTTATCAAGGTAGAAAGTGGGTCCAGGGCCGAAAGACGAAAAGACGGAAGGCGCGAGTGATAGCATTCCCGTTGCGTCTGGGCTGCCTAGACTAAGATTTGCTTTTTGTCCCATTGCTCCCCCTCGGTGTAGACAATTCGCTGATCCAAATCTTTGCTATTTCAGGCCGTAAGGATTTCTTCGAGGGTTGGATTATGGTGGACTTGGTTGGCAGGTTTGCATCCTAGCTAGGTAGTCTTGGGCTACCGAGAATCCTGTTTTCTTCATCGACGGCCTTGAATGTAACCCTTAGATTAATATAATATGCCTTCGATCGTGGGTCTGTTCCCCCAGATCACAGCTCTCCGTCGTCGCTGGCAGTTTCCAAAACTGGACATTGAAAGGAAGGACGGGTTCTAGGTTACAGATAACTTCACTCTCTAGCTTCGAGTTTTACAGCCGTCCTGTAGCAAAAGAAGTAGAATTCGGGATCCTTGTCTAGCATCCTCAAGTACAAGCAAGCTAGGCTTGCTTATAAATTTGGCTAAAGCACCCATTTATTTTCTTTTCCTTTATATAATACTTTTTTGGTCTTGCCGGTTCTACATTCACCTATCTGTTGCTAATTATATCCAAATCTGTAATGAGCCTGGTGAGCCGGTTTCCCGGAAAGACCTGCACGATGCTGTCTTACTTCTTTCCCAAAATTTCCGACCCCCATGTTGAGCGCGTGTGTACTTATTGTGAAGTTCAGATGAAACAATAACCACAACTACCATTAACTGCGTCTCCACTTTCAGCGCGGCCGGACCACAGGTTAGGGACGAGTAAAAACCCAATACTCGAGACCTGCACTCTCTTCTCTTACTCTTTTTTCTTCAGGTTTTCGTGCACATAAGTACACATACCATGCCCCACCCCCCAACGGATCACCCTAGCAGTGAATCACCCTTTTACACCAAAATACTACATCTTTGAACAACAAGAGCTCACTCAATTGTGAAGCTATTTACAAGCCAAACATAGCAAAATGTAGCTAATTGACTGTTTAATTCATATATTGTGCTGACACACAAAGTGCACGGCCAGATTCTGTCAGTCTTGCAGGCGACTCTTCTTCAGCCTCTTCTTCATCATACACCTCTTCAATTCAAGGCTCTGCTTGAGGCTCTGCGGAAACCTCGCCGTCCAGTAGTATAGTCCCTACATCCATGAACCGCTTGTTAGGATTGGGACTTTTCCTTCATTTTTGGGGCCCAATACGCTCCAGTTGAGCCTCCGGGGCTTCAATGCGGTGTTGCTTGAGTACCAATTCAGTCTGAGGCTTCTCAACGGCTGCCGCGGCTTTCTAGAACTTCCATCCAGTCTAGGGACTGCTTTCTTTGCTTTTGCTAAATCCCTAATCTGACGCCCTGTAGTCAGTGTACTAGGGACTCCAGAGAAGAGAGGGGGTTCAGGGGTCTTCGCCCTGTCTTGCTGAATCTCTGGGTGGCTCAGGGCTTTTTGACTATTAACAGGCCAATTTCCGGTCGTCCGGGATGATGATTTGATGGTTCTTCCTATCAATGCTTCCTCCCTGGCTACCTTGTAGCAGCGAATGAAGTTGGTCTTATCAACAGGTGCTGCGTCGGTTAGACTAGCCAACTTGGCTAGCTCACGTCTATAGAGAGCTTTGATAGATTTGAAAGGCCCGTTATCAAGTGGCTGTAAGCCGTGAGAGGTGTGAGCCGGCAGGAAGCAAAGATATATATCATTCAGGCCGCATATCGTCAAGAAGTCGTCCTATATATATTGTGAGATTACTGGATGAAAGCGCGTACGGGACTTATCTCTTACAGTTATGTAGCTACCGTGGCCATCAAGAATAAGCAGCCGAGCCTCATTTTCGTAGTCCAGGAGCCTGTCGGTTTGTGGAATAAAAATATCCTCAAGCCAGCTGATCGCTATTTGGTTGTTAGTCCAGCCCTTTTCTGTTGTAACGAAGCGCCAGTTACAGATTTTCTGCATTTCCTCTTCAAACCACGATGTTTGAAGGCCTTTTCCTTTAAAAATGAGAGCGTAACCAACCCTCCACTGTTAAATCGTCGCCATGCACTGTAAGTACAAAGGCGCCCAAGCGTTACGGCCCACCGCCCAGGAAAATATCACATTTTACAGCCAAAATTACCGCGTTCGCTAGCTGCCCCGCTCCAAGCGCTGGCAATGCAGTTGTACCGCAATTGCACCTCGCCGCCGTCGCCCCCGGCACTAATACATTCGATAATGGTGGACCAGCCTCGACCTTAATCGCTTTTTAGGCAGGCTTTCTTCGTCTCTAATGTCCCTAGGACCAATGAATCAAGCCCTAATAGTATAAGTAATAGATAATATAACTAGGCACTATTTACTTACCAAAGCCCGCCATAATGCCGGCCTTATCGACATTGAAGGTAAGCTCAGGCCTGATCCAGTCGTATTCTTTCTCCCTTATATTGAAGCACCTGTTGACGGCTTTGGGAGTAAACCCGTTAAAACGAGCGGCTTCCATCTCTTGCCTACTTTGGCTCGAATGTCGGGGTTTCTAGCTTTAGAACTAGAAATCCAGTTTTTCCCTACAGGGCCTTTTTGCCCTGCTTCTTTACAGAGTCTTGTAGCAATGCTAGATACTGTTGAGTAGCTCGGAGCAAAGCCGAGTCTTTCCTGCTTGACGATGCACTCAATGAGCCGCTTTTCTTGAGGCTCTGTGAGCCTGCATTGTGTTTGGAGGGCCTCGTCTTTGGGGGGACTCCTTTGAGTCGTCGGTTTAACGTTGTATAAAAAACTCCATGCTTTTGAGCCGATTGACGAATAGACAGCTTATTGTCTGTGACTTCTAGGTACGCATTGACCATATTATCGTCACTTCGTTTAGACATTGTGGTAGTACAAGACGCAATTCACACTCAGAGGTAGGGAGAGAAGAATGTCAGGAAGCTAATTTGGAGTTAATTTGGAGTTATTTTGCGATAATGTAGCGAAAAGAACGTAGGGCTTCTGGGCTGACAAATCCGTACTAAGATTAAACTAAATTCAATTACATAACTAGCTCAACTGTCTACTTGCGAATAGCTTCACAGTTGACTACGTTATTGTTGTTCAAAAAGGGATTGTTTTGGTGTAAAAGGGTGATGCACTGCTAAGGTGATTCGTTGGTGGGTAGGGTATGGTACACACAGCGCGCGCGCGCACAAGCCCACACAAATATACACATCTCTCTCTTTCGGCTAGCTTCCTTTTTTTCCTTTTTCTTCTTGAAAAGAAAAGAATCCTCACCTACGAGTTCTTCCTCAACCCGAGAAGCCCGCCGCCCGTCTCTTGTCCAGCTGTGCCCACCTGGCACCTCTGGCTGCGCTCCCGCCGCCGCCTCATCCTTGGTAAGTTTTACTCCTTTTCCTTTTATTTCTGTCATTTGATTTGGTTCTCGTAGCGTTGCCTGCTGTTCCTCCCACGGCAGTCGCTTTACTCTTTGTTATCCTTCTCTCTCAGCCTTATTCTTTCCTTTTTATTGGTACTTTATAAACCATTATTCGCCCTTACCCTTTCCAAATCACGAAGAAAGTCAGACTAGCGTACGGCATCTGGACATGCAACACCAGAGCATGCCGTGCTAGACCGCCGACGCCTTGCGCTGTAAGTTAGGTGGGGGGGTAAGCGAACACTACTGATTTAGAACATTTTGTATAAGCAGGAGTCCCAACTAACCCTCCAACAAAAGAAAGGGTGATCTTTTTATTTACAAAACTTCAATACAATCTTTGATATCCTCTGAATCATCCGCTTCTTCCGCATCTTCTAAAACCTCTGCTGCACGCCCTACAGCTCTCTGGGCCTCACGAATAGTCTGAATATTCGCAAAGGTGGTATTTGGATCTTCTTCAACCTTCTTCTTCTTTCTGGCTCTTATTGATTCGAGAGTGTGTTCTAGACCTTCAATCTTTCGCTTCCTAATAGCTAGTTCAAAGGCCTGTTCATCCAAAGCCTTACCAATCTTTCTGAGGAAGAGCTTATCCGCTGGCATTGCTTTGATGATGCGTGCGAACTTCTTTGCCTGCTCAACGTAATCACGTGCCTTTCTAGGAGTCCTCCACTGCACCCGATCGTTTCCATAATCCTCCAGGATTGGCATACGGAGTGTGCGAACCTCTGGGGTAACTATAGTAGTTCTTAAGGGGCGTGAAGTATTAGAATTCTTGAGGAGGAGTGGGCTTCTTAGCGGTTTGTTGACATTCAAGGGCCAAAGGCCTGATGCCTTCCATCCTGACTTAGCATTACTCTTAGTAATTGCCTCTGTGCGTGAAATCTGGTAGCATTCCAGAAACGCACGTTTTTCGGCTACAGAAGAGTCGTCAAAGGCGTTAGCAAGAAGGTCCTCAAGCCGTCTGCGATAAAGTCGTTTTAGGGGGCCAAATATGGCCAAATCTAGGGGTTGGAGGACATGGGAAGTATGGGGAGGCAGATAAATAATGTGAATATTGTTTGTGAATACCTCCCACATATAATCGGCAGTTGTGTGGCTGCCATGGCCATCAATAATAAGGAGTCGTTTCTCAGAGGAGTTTGCTGGCTTGGTGAGAGGAATGAACACATTTTTTAACCATTTGAGGCTTGTCTCATCGGTAGTCCATCCTTTCTTAGTTGCTGTAAAGAACCAATCCTGAAATGGCTTCATATCCAAAGGAAACCATTGTTGTTGAACGCTTTTCCCCTTAAAAATGACCAAAGGAGGAAGGCAACGGCCAGCTGCTGAGATGCATTCGACAAAGTGGTCCAAGTGCGGGTTCCAGGCTGTTTTTTTTGAAGCGCCTTAAAGGCACGGCTCCAATGACAAGGCCGTTGGTTCCTCTGCCTTCCATAATACCAGATTCGTCCTTGTTCCAGCGATTCTCTGGCTTAATCGCCTTGATAGCTGGTGTTTGGAAATGGTTGAACCAAGGTCGAATTGTTGACTCTGTAGCGCAGTTGACGCGGACCGAATCGACTCTCTTGGCCCTCTGAGTCTTCAAAATTCGATTGCGGTTAAGAAAGGCACGGCACCACCCCTTTCCAAGTGGTAAGGAGTCCCCCCTTTCAGCTAGAATACGGCGTGCAAGCTCCCTGATCTGTGCATGTGTAGGGGGCAATCCTAAATCTTGTTGAAGAAGAATCCATTCGACTAAACGATCCTCTTGGGTCTGTGTAAGCCTTTGCTCATCTTGATGAGCAACATTTCGAGTTAGGAAGCCATGTAGACGGCCATAAAGGGTGGAGGGTGGAACGTTCCATTTTCGCGCGACTTTGCGTAATCGATGTGTTCTGACGGCTTCCTCGCAAGCCTTGCGGAGGTCTTCTTCTGTATATGAAACCATTGTCAAGAGAAGAATAAAACGAATTGAAGATGAAGAGAATTGGAAAAGAATTGGTTGAGTTATGGGCTTTTTATATAAGAGGGTTGGTTGTGTTCCTCGCTTATCTAGAATGTTCTGGATCAGTGGCGTTCGCTTACTCCCCCACCTAACTTATCTTCGGACAAAGTTTACCAGGCTTCTCTAGTTCAAGTTCGCTCGATCACACGAGCTAGTGGGGTGACGGACTGCGTCGATATATACGCCTCCCTTCAAGTTCGGAGTAGCAGGGACGACTGATGAGCCTGGAGACGAACCGTCTTTCAAGTTCCAGCAGGCACCACCTTGGGCGTGACCCAGAGGCCAAGAATAATCGGCTATGACGAGGACGAGGACGAGGACCACTGGCGACTTCCGCGCCGGCAAAAGAAGCGCGGCTCGATGGGCAAGAAGATGGAACACCGACGATGAAATTTTGCGGCGTACGGTGCCCCCGAGGTAAGAAGGGGCAGGAGGGGGGGAGCCCGCGCCACCATGATACCAGTGAGCTCCAGTTTTCTTTCCTAATCTCTTTTCTTTCCGCATCTCTTTTCTTTCCGCATCTCTTTTTTTTCCGCATCTCTTTTCTTTCCGCATCTCTTTTCTTTCCGCATCTCTTTTCTTTCCCCAGACCAAGTCTTTCTATCAGCCGTGTTTAGAAAATCCGAGCAGCTCACAAGCGTCAACGGATCTAAGCATTGGGACGGCGGGATTACCAAGACTGGTTTAGTTACATCTTTGACAGAAATTGCACATTTCATTCTTCCATATTTGTTTTGTGAGGATTTGTTCTGTGAGGATTTGTTCTGTGAGGATTAGTTGCGTAACAAAATATTTCCAAACGTGTTTTGAAGTGAAGTGACGAAGACTTTGAGGAGAACAACACTGCCTTGTTTACCTCGAGCAAAACTCCAAGCACCAAGCGTCGCCTCATATTCATGCTTAACTAATGCATGGACGAATGTAAGTGACCCGTCTCCTATTACAATGGAGGCAGCGTATAGGTGGAAGTGTATACTCGCGTGCATCATGAGCCGGAAAGGGTTATTTAATTACCGCCTACCTAGACATCTATAGGTCCCGCCCGGAGACCGATTCATATCCTTACCTAGACTAGTTCATATCCACCTAGCTCTAATCTCTACATCGTCAGAAATATCTAAACTCTACAGCTGCTCTAAGCTGCATATCAAGATCAGCTAACCTTTAAGGAAAACCGGGCCTGCACCGAGATACAGTGCTCGGGATCTAAAAGAACCTCCAGATGGAATTGGGGCCCTTGGTCTGTTTGAAAGCGCCGTACCACCGGCAGAGAGGGTACAGCAAGGCGAGCGCCAGCGTCAGGTGCGCCCAGTAGACATACAGGCTGGGGACACCAATGGTAGGTGCGTCGTCGAGGGGGTCCTGGAAGGACGCAGGGCTACCCATGAGAGCCCTGGAGGCAGCGCCGAAGCCGAATATGACGAACAAGTGAACGACATAGAAGAACAGCGCCGAGCTGCCGAAGACGAGCAGGACCTGGAGCGCGCGGGCGGCAGGGCGGGCCGGCAGGGCGGCAAAGACGGCGAGCAGCGCGAAGTTCCCGGCCATGCTGAACGCCCAGTACGAAACATCGGGGGGGTACTTGGCGATGTAGAAGAAGGAATAGGCCGACACCAGGAACTGGTTCGCGTCAGCGGGGGCCGCGTCGTGCTCGGGCATGTGCAGGCAGCCCTCGGTGAGGTTGCCGAAGCGGTACAGGCGCGTGAGCACGAAGGCGACGGCGAAGGCGGCGCCGGCGAGGGCGTTGCCGGCCACGATGGCGCGCGTGCTCCAGGCGCGCGCGAGGATGACGCGGCCGTAGACGAGACCGAGCACGGCGAACGACAGCCACGCCAGCGGCGGCAGCCCGGACAGCACACGCGGCCCCTTGACCTCGTAGAACCAGACGCGCACCCAGCTGCTGGCGGGCAGCAAGGGGCGGGGCTCGGCGCCGCAGTGTCCTCCCGTGGGGCTGAGCCAGATGTTCCACCAGATGGTGGCGACGGCGAGCGCCATTAGCGCGACGTTGTGCAGGTGCCACGAGATGTCGGCGGCGCGCGTGATAGTGCGGTCCGGCGCGACGCGCTCGTCCCCCGAGCCGCGCGCCTGCAGGAGCGGCTCGGCCGCGTCGTCCTTCTCCTGCTTGGGCAACACCTTGAGCAGCGCCCAGGCGAGCGTCTGCTCGGTCCTCGCGACGGCCAGCCATAGTAGGCCGACCAGCAAGTAGTCGACGCCGAGGGCGAAGAGGATGACGTTGAAGAACCACAGCTGCCCAAGGGTCAGGATAAAGCCTATGGCCTCGGTGGTCAGCGTCAGCACGACGCCCCTGACGAGAAAGTGGCGGGCCATCTGCGCGGCGGACCAGCCGAGGCTGGTGCGCGACCGGCCAAAGTAGACGACGCCCATGCCCAGCAGGAAGGTGAAGCCCGGGGCGCACAGGTGGGAGAGGGTGCGGACGACATAGGCTACGGGGCGGTTCCACTCGTGCACCACGGCCGAGTCTATCTCGCCGTCGACGGCAGTGCCGTGCGGCCAGGTGCGGAGGGCCAGCGCGTTGTGGTCCATGGCCATGAGCACGGTCAGGGCGCCGCGCAGCAGGTCGGGGGCCAGCGCGCGCGCCGAGGCTTTGCGGGCCCCCGGCGGAGCCGGCTTTGGAGCTTTGGTGTTTTGCTCGTCGGGGATGGGTCGGTGCTCGAGAACCTCGAGCTCGGGCGCGGCGTCGGCGGCAAAGCTCGTCTCCTGCACGCCGGCTGCCGGCTGGGGCGGCATCACTGCCGGCTTGGCGTGTCGGCGGGGCATCGTGCTTGAGCCAGCAAATTTGGCCAAATTGCCTTCTGGCTTGGCTGGGTCGTGCAATTTCGGTCCCGCTCCGTTCCCAAATTTATTAGCTCGGATTGCGGTCGCGGGATATTGCAGTCTGATGACCTGGGAAAGCCAAAGTCGAAGGGGTGGGGGGAGTTAAGATCTGCGGAAAGACGATTGGGAATTTCACATGGGAGCATTGAGCTAGTGCAGAAACGAAGATAACGCCGACAAGGGCCTCCCTGCACCCGCCAAAAGGGGCAGGCAATGCCAAATATCTGCTGATTCTTGCTTGTCAGCGGTCAGCTAACTGCCAACAGCAAAATCTCCTGTCTGGGGTATCCACAATATTGGATCCTTCGAGTTCCATCACGCCACATGAACCCACGGGCAGAGTCTCTCATAGCCAGCGCACGAGAACATCAGATGTGGCTGAAGCGCATGGAGATCGGTTGCATAATCCGCCTCGGTCTGTCAGCCCTCGGTTCTCCGTAATGCCACCCTTTTCGAGATATGGTCTTCTTGCGGTCCCTCAGCCTTGAATCTTCTTGCGGCCCCTCAGCCTTGAATCTTCTTGCGGCTCCCCAGCCTTGAATCTTCTTGCGGCTCCCCAGCCTTGAATCTTCTTGCGGCCCCTCAGCCTTGAATCCTCTTGCGGCCCCTCAGCCTTGAATCTTCGTGCCGACGACTTCCGCTGACATACAAAGACAAACTCGGCAATGCCGGCGCCGGGAAGGCCCTGCTGGTGCGCGGCTTTGAAACGCGTCACCAAGAGAACCCAGGTCTGACTAAGAGATGGGGGATACATGTCTGAGCCAAAATTGATGGCTTCAATTCTTCAATCTCCCCGCCTAGAACCATTGCGGCATCGGCCTCAATTTTAACTAATTATATAGGGGGTAATCCGGTGTGAGCCGCGTGCGGGAGCCGCCGATATTTCTCGCGGGGGAATGGCAGGTTTTGGGAGACTGCGGGAGATGACGGCGAGAACGGAAGTCGAGGGCCTGGGGACGATGCGAAAGGTGCCTACCTAATTATTCGCCAGGAAAGATGCCTGCCCTGTGGTCAGTGATCGATGGTTAGCCAATTTCTGTTCACTGAAGTCGCCAACGGCGGGAAAACGAAACAGGATAAGAATGAAGGTCCTCAATAGAAGCAAGCCAAAAACGCGTCGCAGGAAGTTGTCTGTGGTGATAAATGTCGGAAACGATAGGAAGAAAGCGAATTTAAAGACGAAACAAAGGATTGGATAGAAATGCACAGAGAGTGGGGAAAGCCTAGGTTTGAGAGCCAACTCAGCACAGAACATGCAGAGAAAACGCCACGTGGGACGTAGTTGCAGTTCATGGAAGCTGCGAAGCGTTACAGGCCCAGAGGGTTTTTCACCACGCCCCCAGCTTAAGATAAGGTTCACAGGGGGGGGGGGGGGTGGCTCAGTCATTCCGGGCATTCTTAGATCTCCTCTATCCCCTCACTTCAGCTACCTAGGCACCTACCTATCCTTGGCTCCCTGGCTCCTTCCTAGCACAAGTCTGTTTCGCTTCGCCCAGCTTTATGACGGCGTCTTGAATCGGCAATTTCCTGTCAAGCTTGACCATGCCAGAAATTCGTGAGTGGAAGCTTGGGGCAGTCCCTACGGTTCTCTGTCGAACCCAGTCCCTTGGTCTCTTGATCACCGCCTCACGCCTTCCCTGCCCCAAGCCCTCCCGCTTTTGCCATCCCGCAGGTGGAAAATGCTACATAAATTGTCACTCTTTTCACCAGTGCAGCAAGTCGAGGCCGAGGAAAGCTGAGTGGCACCTGTCAATTTTCATTTCACATCGCCTATCGGCGTGGATAAGTAGGCTCGCGCCTCTAGCTAACCAGTTGCCGACGGATCGCAGGCCGCCCATCCGAAATGCACCTGCTGCGTCAAGGCAATAGAAGCGTCGTCGCCCGTGAGCGTGCCCGACGCGCTGTCGTTGTTGGAGTTGAGGTTGATGCGCGTGCGGATCAGCAGCGTCGTGTTCTTGCCGTCGCAGGGCCCAACGACTCTTGCCGCGACGGGCACGACGTCGTGCTTGGTATAGACGGCGCCGTCAGCGTAGGCGCCACCACCCGCGATGGTCGTCTGCGTGGCACTGCTCCGGCCGGCGCGGCCGGTCCTGCGGTCGTCGGGGAACGAGTACGACGAGCTGACGCTGCCCACGACGCCGCTGTCGAGCTGCGCGAAGCCGTGGTACGTGGCGTCCAGGACGGCGAACGTGTACCCGCTCGGGTAGTGCAGGTTCAGCCGGATGTCGCAGTTCTTGTCGCGGCTCGTGTTGGAGTTGCCGTAGCGCCGCCCGAAAAACGTCTGGAACTCGTCGAACCCGAGCGTCACGACCGTCCGGTCCTCGCTGATGTCGATGGTCACTGCGCGCCGCGGGCACCCCGATCCAGAGGTGCGGACCGAGTTGATGGTGATCTCGTCTTGGGAGAAGGGCACGATGTCTGCAAACTTGGCGAGGGCCGCACGCAGGGGAGACGCCAGGGCAGCATGAGCCGACGCAAGGCCGTAAACTAAGCTGGTGATCTTCATGTTTTAGACTTGAAGAGAGTCGTTCTTGTCGCTTCAGCAGCGGCGCCCACAGGTCCAGAGACGGCTGCCCTGGTTCATATCGTCTTTGAGAACGAAGGGCGTCGAGCACAGACGATGCACGGTTTGCCATTTTGGGGCTCAGCCGGCCCTCTGGTCCCTTTCCCAGCCGTATGGTAGCAATATAGGAAGCGGACGGGAAGCGGGACGTGGCGTCAATGTGATGCTCCGCGCGAGATTGAGCGAGCGCGGCCAACGGGGTTAGCGCATGACGACGCAGATCCGTGCAGGATTACCAACCCAGATGCAGGCCGGCAACTTATATTTAGCTGTCCGCTGCCGGTAATTGGCCCGGACCCAGATATTTGCGCCGTTATAGGTGAAGCAGGTCCGACCAGACGTCGCCTTGTGACCACCCTGAGGCCCTCTGGGACGAAAACACTTGGCATCGAATGCATCCTGATGTTACCGTGGCAAGGCAGGTAGCATCTCCAGGCCATGGTGATAAATCCTGTCAGCCCCTCCCTGCGCCACAAAATGAAACGCGGGAGCGTCCTTCACAGCGCTGTCTTCACCGAGACCCTTGATCCTTTGTTCGGCAGTTCGCCGACACTCGCCGCCCGTGAGATCCCCAAAAGGGAATGTGAGATTGTAGGTTATGTGCTTCTGCCATTCCTGACACTGCCATGATGCGAACTTGTGTTTGTGTCCACTAGCATATTTGTAACAGTCAGGTACTAGACGGCCCGTCAATCTCAATCCGTCATCGAGTATTTGCTAATTAAATGAGATCCGAGTGAATAAGGGACCTCTTTACGCGCGGCTCCTAATCCCTTACTTCGCCAATTTGTTTCACTTGTGATGGTTTTGATGTGATCCATGATTGTGACCTTACCTCCGGTGAGCGGCATTGGCTTAATCAAGCGGCCTTGGCTTAATCAAGCGGTCCTTTGAGCTTTGTTTATTACTTCGAACTGAATGTACTTTGTTCTCCTAGTGTAGTAGTACGGGTAGAGCACGAATAATTAGGTGATAAGTTTGTGTTTCTAAACGCCGACGTGGTAGCCGAGAATTCTTTTTGCGACCCAAAGATGCATGAGGTGCGTATTTCTTTTCACAGCCTCAGTCTAATGAACGACCTAAGTCTGCATCTATCATCTCATATCATAGCGGCATAAAATAGATACAATGGTGCTTAAGCGTGAAATACACTCTAGGTACCGAGAGTCGGGATGTGTCAGAACGGAGGAAAAGTGTGCCTTTTGAAATGTGATATCGGAATATTGCATATTTTTATAGGTCTGGATCTAGCGATATGTTTAGACACCAACTACAAAGTAGCAACAAAATATACGCAGCTCGGTTGGGGAAGAAAGCACTTTGCCATTGTTGCCCTGGTAAGAGCCGGGCTGTAGATCAAACTCCGGATCAAGGATACAAGCCCGTGAATACCGGAGGTAACTACTATATATACTAGCTTAGCATAGCCAACCTTTTTAATAGAAAGTTCCTCTATGACATGTGGCAGCGAAGTCACTGAAGTCTACACGTGGATGACGGGTGGGTCTTTACCTGCAGGTAAAGGCTGGGGACACACGACCCTATGTCGATCAGAGCCGGTGAAGGGTCCGCGAATAAGACAGTTTTGACGGCAACTGAGTGCCGAGGCGCTGACTCGGTGTTGGTATACGATGGTGCCTATTCTAGCCGCCGAGAATAAGTCGCGGTAGGTGTAACGCGTCTATCGCGGTAAGAAAAAAAACTCAGAGAGTGTGAAAAAGGATGTCAACCCTTTGACAACAGGGAGGACGGCGTTGTTTCCTGCAATATGGTAAAGTGAACCAGAACACAACTAGATTATTCACCCAAGGTCTGTGAGCGTCTTGCAGTATTACGGCTAGTCTGCATCTTGCAGTATCACGGCTAGTCTGCGTCTTGCAGTATTACGGCTAGTCTGCGTCTTGCAGTATTACGGCTAGTCTGCATCTTGCAGTATCACGGCTAGTCTCGTAATTTGACAAAGTGTTGATGCCCAAATGTTAACTCGGGCCCAATACCTACTACCTATTGGATTATTCCAAGACTCTTGTTAAAGTTGAAACCTATGGCACACGGGGCCGAGCTGGCCGTCCCGAAACTCCCATTTCTCTGGAAATGCGCTCCGGCGTTCTCCACCGCTAGACTGACGTTGTCCAGCAGACTCCACGGCGGTCCGAGGATTTGGGGCCTTGGGGAATCAGAAAAGGGGGCGTTGCCAGGTGACACGGTGTAACCCGTAGCGGCAGGTTACCTATGGCAAAAAAATTCAGGCCGATCTACAGTACCCGTTAGGTAGGTACCCTGTCGTTCAAGCGTCCCACCACGGCATTGGCTCGGGGGCGTCGGCCATGAGGTGATCGACACACAGTGCCATCTTGCTGCAGGTTCTTACTGTGGTACGCCGGTCGGCTGTCTGGGGCCGTTTTCGGAATTGCAGACCGTCTCTCGGTCTGATAAGAGAATTGCCCAATGCTTGAGATGTAGTGTGTGGTTTAGAGTTCATTTGTGTTGGAGAATAAGGTAATAGCACTTGCGACTACGCTTAAACTATCTCAGGTTGTGCAGCTAACGTCGGAGTCGAAGGCGAAGCTGGGCATGGCCTCGTCTCTTGGAACAAAGTAAGACGGGCAAGACGGGAAGGAAGATCCGGATTCCGCAGCTTTGTCGCTGACGAAGTTGCCGACATGCTATAATCATGCACAGCGAAGCTCTCGATCACAGCGCAGCGACGACCAAAAACCCCCATATGCCGATCGTGACATAATGACTAACGCTCTGGAGTGCCTTCCACCAATTCCAGCGTCATGGATCCATCGGGGTTGGGATGTGTCAGATCCAACTGCCCACCCAGTGCCGAGATGGGGCTGTGCATGCATACCGCAGTACACTGCACCGCAGGCCACTTGCAGGTACTCGTCCCACGGATAGAATTACTTTATTTACTCACAGCGTCTTTGGCTTGAAGATGAAGGCGGGCAGATAAGCAACTGTTGGTTCCCTAGAACCGAGGCACAGTATGAACCCAGTGTCTCGAAACAGTGCCAACCTGATCGGGGTGGGGGTGGGAAGCGTGGCAGATGGCATGGCCGCTTTCCAAAACTGGGCAGGCAGGGTTGCAGTCATGGTTGTGGCATTCCTTCCTTCCTAGCACCTGCAAACCGACTGACTGTGGTGACTGTGCAATGTGGTACATGGGCAGGCGGGGTCAATGCTGGATGGTAATTACATGGTACAGACTACAGCCCGACTTGCGTGTTTGCCTCGGGGGAAAAGAATCCCATGACGGCAACGTTTCAGTTGCGCGCAATGTCTACGACTACTTGTGTGTTAGGTCTTCGGTATTCCACTGACAGGACTCGGGCTGGACCAAGTACCAACAACACGTGGGGGTCAGGGTGTCTAAGACGCTGCCTGCGGAGAAGCCACAGCTGAGAATTCGGGAAAGAAAATCGCATTATCTTGGGATGGGGCAGAGAATGGGATTTCATGAGACCCCCCCAGGATTGTTTCGTGGTCAGCGAGTAAATGACATTTCATCATTTGGTGACACGAGACTCTGCGTCAACCCTGCCGACCCTTGGCCATACAGCCGGGCTTCCACAAGCCAATCAGTGGGTCCCACTCTGGCGTCATAGGGGCAGATCGACACCAACTACATCCGGACTAACCCTTGAAAAGGGAAAATGGCCCCACCCCACCCCACCCCTGAGGGAGAGGAAGGTTGTGTCTGCCGGAAGGCTGGCCGCCTACTGTGTTTACCCACAGAACTCGTAACCGAGTAGCAGGGTATCGCAAATTTTGCAGTCGCATTATTCGGAGGCTACGATTATTCTATCGCGGCTATTGGCTAGTAACGGATTTAAATGGGGAACTTTTCACTAGTCTCTTATTAATTCTGCGAGTCGCTGCGGTTGATAGGTAGGTACCTATTCCGTCTGTACATACCGGGGCCGCAAGCGCTTGGCACCCAGCGCCCCAGGCTGCGCTGCCTGCTTCCACTGCAGGCCAAAATCCAAGACAAGCACCAAGGGCCACGCGACGGAATGCGCCATCTCAGCCCTCTATAGCCTCTCACATCTCACGAACCTATCTGAGTCTGCGACCGGCACTACGCTGCGTCGCCGTTTTAATTCCATACGACGCCGCCGAAAAAGCCTCGAAATAAGAGCGAGGTGGACGCTAGACCAGCCGGCCGATTGACTTCTTAAGGTTGTCCATACCGTGCGCCTCCCGCTTCTCCTCCCACGATCGACAACCTACCTTCCCAGAGTGTCCTAAAACAGGTCCTGGGCCCTGCATTCCAGTGACCACACACCGACAACGACCCCTCGCCACCACTCAAACGCCAGAGGCAGCAAGGCACAGCTTGCTGATCGCGGCAGGAAAACTGGACACGGAATCACCTCCTGACCAGGTCCCCCGCCTTCGATCCGTGCCTCCTTCCTCCAGCAGGGCACCGCAAAACCCGCAGCGGCTACCACCGCTCCGCAGTAGTCCTCGATTCGCTTGCTGTGCTTGGCCGCCGGCTCTGGCTCTGCCCGCAGCTCTTGATCTCTGGGTAATTGCCTCTCTAATTGTCTTACCCGCCGCTACCTGACCTGTCCGTCCAACTTGTTTCCGACCTCGTCTATCCGCGAAAGCCTCCTCGATCTAGGGCTCACTGCGGCCTAGCCTACACTGCGGCCTAGCCTACACTGCGACATAGCCTACACTGCGACCTAGCCTACACTGCGATCCACAGAGCGCTTGCCAATCTCGAAGACGACTGCCACACCGTCCACCCCTTCGGATTTCCCCTCTTGCGCCACCTTCCGATCCATTCTTCTAATACCCCTTCAAGCCCAACCCTCCTCTTCCAAGATTCACGATCCCGCGGCCCCCAGCCCAGCGGCACGTCCCCAAGACGACGAATGGTTGCGACAGTCGCTGTGCTGAGCTGAAGGAGACGGAGGAGGTGGATTGTCTTTTCTCCGCATCACACGACAGTGTCGCTTCACACTATTGCCAGTGACTATTGCCAGTGCCGCCCTTTCCCGCCGAGTTGCCATTATCTGCGACAACCCGATACATAATAAATAATGGACGAGATACCGCCACCAACATCCACCATGGACTGGTCTGACGCGTCGTCAGGATCGTCAATCGACCAAACCAGCATTGCGCCAACTCCCATCAGACCCCGTCTGCCGAGCCGAAAAAGCAGTGGGACCATGATTGTACCCCGAGATTCCTTAGAGGTAGGGCCAAACGAGATGAAGCTTGGCCCGGACGACGTCAGATCCATGAGCCCGAGGAGAACAACCGAAGACATAGAGGCCCTAGGTAAGGAGGCAAGAGAAGAGCTGCAAAGGTGAGCCAAACCGGTCGGGCCGTGTCACGGCTCCATTCGAGGTCGCTTGGATATCTTAGAGGGTTTCTTCTGCAAGGGTGCCTAGTGCTAACGGCTTCATTAGGCACGCGAAGGCTCTTCAAGACTCCCTCATCACCCTCTTCAACCGGATCGAGGCGGTCAAGGAGGAACACGACAAGCTCGACAACAACAACAGGTTCTTACAAAAGTACATCGGCGACCTGATGACGACCAGCAAAATTACTGCCCCCAGTAGCAGGTCCAAGAAATAAATTCTCTTTGCCTATGGCGTACCAGGGGAGCGTCGAGGAACGAGGGGGCTCGACTTGAGTTATGCTCGGTTGGGTAACCGACATATTCGTCGCAATCTCGAGAAATCCCGACAACTGTCAGCTAGTCATAGCGACAGCGCGGCTGTTCGGCAACCGCTGGACTTTAGTTTTTTATTGTTTGCCACGAAGACGTGTGGGCTGGCTGTCTTGTCCTTGATCACAATATTAGTGTGACGGCCCTCGCTAGGATCCCCACCTGGACGAAGCGCGACAATCAGAGCGGGCCATCATCGTTACAGGACTCGCTGTCGGCTAAGGACAGACAATGGGGCTTTTTGACAGGATGCAACGTCATTGTAAAGGTGTGATTTTTATTGTTTGCCGTTTTGAGCATGGATAATATGCGTTTATACCACTATTGCGCCATGGGGTCACCGGCTTTTAGGGGCAAAACACTACGGAACACAAAAACTCATGGCCAGGGCAACGAACTTTCTGTCAAGCAAACTCGGCGAGTAGTTGGGGATTTGGGAGCATACCACTATGGCGTTGGCTGGGGTTGTGTTTTTTCTTCTTCGTCATTTTGTTTTTATTTAGCTACAGTGCCCTGCCGTGATCATTGATAACCCTGTAACTAGGTAGGTTGCTCCGAAAAGACAAAGAAAAATGGAATTTGCATTGCCGCATTAGTTCACTGCTATGAGGAATGCAATGATATCATCGGTGTTCCGCCTTGGGCAAAGGAAGCTTTGCCACGCCGCCGCCGCCGCCGCCGCCAGTCCAGTCCCTCGGGTAAGCGATAGGGGTCTTTTTTGTGCGTGCAGTCCAATGTTTTTGCTCCCATTGACGTCACAGCTGCGGCTGAGTGATGAGAAACCTTAGGTACGAAGTACTCGTCAGCACAGCAAGTACTCGTCAGCACAGCTCCGCTTGACTTTTAGAAGTCGCTAATAACTTAATAACGTCAAGTCGTCTCTCTCTGGCTCTCTCCACCGTTCCCGTTCTGGAGCTTTCCGTTAGCTAGCCCTAGCTGCTTCCCCGTTAGCGGCGTGTGTGCCTTTCTGGACTAGGGGATTTAGTCTTTTTCCGTGATTGCCGTGATTGTGATTTTCAGGGTCCCCGCAACCCCTTTTCTTTTTTATTTCCCTTTCCCCTCGATTATTCCAGGCTCCTTCTAGGCTTGCTCCACCCTGTGCGGCGTCGCCTGTGGGCCAACAACAAACGCAGCATGGATAGATGTCGGGAGTTTTTCCGTATGGCGCAGGAAGACGAGCTTGAGCTCCGCCAAGTTCCAGCACAGAGAGACAGACCCAACGGCCAGGTCACCCACCGTGCCCCGCCCCGCCGCGCGGCCGCCCTCTTCTTCTATCTGAAGCCACCAGCGGGTTTCTGCCGTCTCCCATCTGCCACTGCGTCTGCCTCCCTGCCCCATTATGGTTCCAATTAACGCCCCTACTCTCAACGAGCACAGATGATGGACTTCCTCCTGTCGACACAAAAAAAGCCGGCGTGGCGCAATTGGTTAGCGCGTCAGACTTTTAATCTGAATGTTGCGAGTTCGAGTCTCGCCGTTGGCGGCTTTCTTTTTTGGTCTTTTGTAATTATCTAATTTTCATTTTTATTTTGGTTTTCCATCGGCGCTGTTAGAGGTTGCATCGATTCACCAACCGCCCAGCTTGGGCAACAGCCCCAGTACTGCACTGCTCCCGGCGCTTCCCGCCCGAAATGCCACTGCGCCATGCACCTCCTCAGCTACTACCCCAACCCCCTTTTTTGTTCTTTGTTTTTCGCACTCTCGCTTGCGACGATCCGAATTTTTGTGCGCTTTGTTCGTTTATTTATTTACCTAGTCAAATAAAACAGCTGCTTTTCTTTTTTTTGCCGTTCATCTCTCCGCTGACGCCTTTTTCGTTTGCCAAAACCAACTGTGCGGCGCGTTCGGGCACAACTTGCTTTATTGTGGGTCCGGTGGCCTGCTGTGAGCGTTTGGCCGCCCCTTTTTCTTCTGTAAACTGCGCCACGAATTGAGGTTCTAACTTCGCTGCCGATGAAATAAGTGGATTGGCTTCTTTGACCCGTGCTGCATTGGTCAAATCCGGATCAACAGCGTTTGTTGACGAATTAATATACTCTGGGCTAGTGGAATGTTGCCTCGATATTTGGCTGTTATGTCGGCCCACTGACCATTCTTCGTCGAGGGTCGTTGACACGCCGCTAAACAACTAAGGTGGGCGCGTAGGCTGCCTAGGTTATTTGTGGCCGAGATGTTGCTAGCCTGCGGAAGGGTGGTGACGTCGTTAGCGAAGACGACGACAACACGATTATGACATTAGTACTGCATCACCCTATCTGTTTTACCGGTTATCGAGCAGGGGACAAACAGTCACAGACGCAACCAACTCATCAGCAACTACTGAACAAGGTTGTTTCCCAGCACGGCAGCAGAGGCTTTGAAGTGAAACTAAATACTGGCATTCTGCGTTGTTAAATAACATCTACTCTAAGCTGAGAACTCCTCCCCTTCTACCTGTAACAAAGAAGCCAGATGCCTCGGGAGACACTGGTGTAACTGGACCAGCACTTCAACCAGCCAGGGCTTCCCAACGGCGCAAGTCGTGGGGACGCGGGCTTGTGCAGGTCAAGCAATGAGCTGCCTTGGTTGGTTGAAGTGCCGGCCAGCATTGACGTGCACGCTGCCGGCGTTCCCAGTTGCTAGGATAGTATTTGCCAAGAAAAAAAGAAATAAAGAAAAGAATAACAAAATAATCATGATAAATAAAAATGCTGGGTAAAAAAGAAAAGACAAAAAAAGAGTACCAAGAGTACCAAAAATAGTAAGGAAGAAAAAGAAAAACCCCTTCCACAAACACTTCAACACCCCAACAGCATTCCCCCTCCCAATGCTGTTTGTGTGTTGTTTGGGTGGTTGGAATGTGGGTTGTGTGTGACACACAAGCACACACGACCGAAATAAAGTCGAAATGTGGTGAGTTGGGCTCCCCCCTGCCACCAGGTGATGTGTGTGGCAGGAGAGGCGCCGTCCAATGGGAGGCCGCGGGGGGCCGAGCCGACCGTGAAACCATGGTCGGCCGGCCGGGCCGCCCGCAAGCGAAGTTGGTTTTTTGTGTGGCTAGTATGTGAGCTGTGTGTGCGACGGAAACACACGACCGGACCAAGTCGAAGTGTGGTGAGTTGGGCTCCCCCCCTGCCGCGGGCTGACAGGTGTGGCAGGGGAGGCGCCGTCCGATGGGAGGCCGACGGCCGATTGCGTAGTTGATGTTTTATTTCGTATGCTCAATGAGGCTCCCCCTTGCTCTGAGTGACGACTGTGGTTTGTATGTGGGGTATGTGTGCGACTCAAGCACACCTGGCCGCATTAAAGTCGAAATGTGGTGAGTCGGGCACCTTCTCCGTGGCTGGGTGACGAGCGTGGCAGCTGGCGGGAGGGCGCTCTCCGATGGACGGCCGATTGATGATGGGTGGTCTCTTCTGGACGGAGGGGAGTGGATGTTAGTTTCCTCTGCCTAGTTAAGATGGCCGCGGTTGAGGGGACGATGGGTGCTGTACCTGAACAAGTGCTGGCAGGACTGAGGTGGCTAAAGGCAAAAGCCGAAGTTGCTGGACGCAGCCGAATGACGAGAGCCGCAGTGAGCCGTATGGGTTCGCTGTGGGAGCCCAGAGAGACTATCTCCGGGGCGGAGTGCCGTAATGGTTTTGGACGATGCTCTCTAGTGATGTCGAGAAAAGAATGCCGATTAAAAATGAATTTCAAAAAGAACAAGAACAATAGGATTTAACGGAATACCGGCTTTGCGGGGTTTGGCTTGCTGTTTGGCGAGGATTTTGCTGTTGCGTCGTGGAGAAGAAGAGTGAAGAGGAGCAAGAAGGGAGAAGAAAAAACGAAGCGAGTGGGACGGAGGGGTTGTCATCTCTGGGGGGGAATTTTGCTCGAGCTGCGAGCCCAATGCCCAAAGAGAAGGCCCGAACAGAACACCGAAAACAAGATACCTGAGGGAGACTCCTAGCCTGTCAAAGCTCCCACACGCCTGCCTATTCTAGCTCTTTGGCTATTGGATGCTTCTGGAACTCTACGTGTGGGAGCAGGAGTGCGGAGTTTTCTTTACTGCAGATGGTACCAGGGCGAATGCCGCTTCTCTCTTCTAAGTCTCCTTATGGGCTGATAGTGACAGTCTGTTTCCTTATTTGGCCTGTCCAAGGTCACGGATGGGAGAAAGAGTGAATGCAACAGTCTAACGGTCTGGCTGCCAGATCAAGATACATGCACGGCACACTTGGTCCCTGCCCGACGTTGCGAGCGCTGGTAGGCTCTATATAGTGGCTATAACCTAGTAGCACTATAGAGGCTGGCAGTGTTTCCCTACTCGTCTCCTATTGTCAACTACGGCAGGTACTACGGCAGGTACGGTTTGGGGGAGCTGGGATGAAATGCCGTCCGTTTTGATTGCCAAGCGACTTTTCTAATTCGAGTAATTCCATGCTGCTAACACCCGGGGGGCTGCCATATCAACGTCCACTGGGACTTGGGTGGATCCCTGGTGCCAGAGGTTGCTGGCAGGGTTTGCGTGCTTTCAGCCTGCCGGAGATTCGCATCCGCAAGCGGATTCAATGCTAGTCTAGAATTGCCAGAGGGCTGTCGTCCTTGACTCGCCACAACAGCACACACAGGTGGGAGGATAATTAGCAATGGCGTTGCAGTCTAGCTCCTGAACAGCTTCTCTGTCACAGAGACGCTGTTCTGTGACAGAGACAACGATCTGTTGCCCTGGTGTTGCAGAACAACGCCGTTGAATCTGCACTTCATAGCACCCCGGGTGATATTTTGTGCCCTTTTACTGTGCAGTACATAGCGCACCTCTCGCCTCTTTGACGAGAAAGCCAGTGGAATCCTGGACTGGCGGCCCGCTTTTCAACAGATTTGTCCCCACGCCATTCATTCAGTCAAGGATACCCCTAATAACTCTTGACTGGAAATTTGGCAACGAACAAGTCTGTATCTGGGTCTCGCGTGCAATTATCAGAAGCCCAGGGGCTTGACTCTTCGTTGCTAGCCTCAAGGTTTCATATATCAGCGGCTAGGAGCACGCCGCAGCTGCTGCCAGGCCTTATTTGCGCCCCCAGATTTCCTCGACCAATTGGGCTGCTGGATTGCTGCCTGTGGCGTAGCCAGCGCCGAGCGTTGCAGTTGGCTGCCCCCTGTCAGGTCCGCTAACGACGTTTCGGCGACGGCAAAATGGAGAAGCCAAGCCCATCCTCGTCCATCACCTTCTTCCCTCCCGTCTTCTCACCGCCCGCGACGCCACGGAAGACGCGATCGGGAACCCAGACCCCCAGAGTCAGCGCCGGCCACCGGAAACACGACGCCATGTCTTCAGAGACGCCCGCTTCTGTTGACGGCGAGCGGACGGCACTCCTCAGCAGCCAACACCCCCCGACACATGACGCCGACGCCGACGCCGACGTCGACGTCGACGACATCGCGAGCGCGGAGCCGTCTCTGAATGGGACAAACGGATGCGACTCTGAGCACGGCGTCGTCGGCGGCACTTTTTCACGCAACCTAGGCGCCCTCGAGGCGTTTGCTATCGTCATTAGCATCGTCATCGGGAGTGGCGTTTTTACCTCGCCCGGCTCCATCGACACCAATGTGCCGTCGCCCGGCGCGGCCTTGATTGTGTGGCTCATTGGCGGCGTCCTGGCCTGGTCTGGCGCCATGACGATGGCCGAGCTAGGCACGGCGATCCCGGGAGAAGGTGAGCTGGCGGCCCCCCCCCTCCCCTCAATGGCATCACGCCGTTTCGTACTGACGCCATCTGCAGGCGGCGTGCAGCCGTACCTCAAGTACATTTTCGGAGACGCGTTCGGGTTCCTGGCCGCGTGGACGTGGATCGTGGCCGTCATGCCCGCCACGCTCGCCATTCTCAGTATTGTCTTCGTCGAGAGCATCTACTCCGCCGTCGGCGTGACGGGCGAGGGCGACAGGCTGGTGCACAAGGTCCTGTCCATCTTGGTTCTGTCGGTCATCGGCGTCGCCAATTCCATCAGCACCAAGGCCAGCACCGGGCTCAACAACTTTTTCGTCGTCGTCAAGTTCGTCACCATTGCGGCCGTTGTCGTGACCGGGGTTGCCGTGATAATCCTGCATTCGTCTGCGCCAGACCGGGACGTCGGCGGCGGTGATTGGTTCAAGAAATCCTGGTTTGCCTTCCGCGACAGTATCAACCCTGATGGCAGCATAACCGACTGGACGCGTTTGAGCCAGTGGGAGATGTTTGGGCACTATTCAGCGGCGCTTTACGCCGCACTGTGGGCGTATTCTGGCTGGGACAAGGTGAGCTGAATTGTTTGAATTGCAGCACTGAAGAAAGCCTGACAGCCTTCCAGGCAATCTACATCTCGGCAGAACTCTCGACGCCAGCGGTCCAGCTCCCACTCGCCATAAACACCGCCCTCCCGACCATCATCGTCTGCTTCATCACCGCAAACGCCGCCTACTATATCTTGTTGCCCTGGAATGTTGTTTCCACCTCTGACAGCGTGGCAGTGGTACGTGCATATATATATCTGCCATCTTTTTTCATGCCATCTTGTTTTCATGCCATCTTGTTTTCATGCCATCTTGTTTTCATGCCATCTTGTTTTTATGCCATCTTGTTTTCATGCCATTGCTGACATGGACTAGACCGCCTTTAGTACTCTCCTTGGCCCCGGTTTCGGAATACTAGCAGCCGTCTTCATCTGCCTCGTCGTCGCGGGATCCCTGCTGGGCAACTCGTTTGTGGCCGGCCGCATGGCGGTTGCAGCGGCGAACATGGAGTGGTTTCCCGAGGTTTTCAGTATCGTCGGACGCGCCGGCATCAAGAGGACCGCGGACGACGATACTGCTGCACCTGCGGAAAACGGCCTCGTTGCCCCCAGAGCTTCAAAATCTGACGCCCCCATCAACTCCATCATTCTCTCGACGGCCCTCGCGGCCCTGTACATTCTGTTTGGCAACTTCCGAGCGCTGCTGACATTCAACGGGCTTGGCGAGTTTACCTTTTTCTTCCTGACGGTCGTCGGCGCGATTTTCCTGCGGTTTCGCGAGCCCGGCCTTGCCCGGCCGTACAAGCCTACGATTCTGATCCCCGTCATCTTCTCGCTGGTGAGCGGCTTCGTGGTCGTGCGGGGAGCCGCATTCGCTCCCACCCAGGCTATCATTCTCCTTGGTCTCTGGATCCTAGGGCTGGCCTTTTATTGGGCTAGAAAAGCATATCAAAGGCGGTCAGGGGTCGTTAGCTCCTGACTTGTTTTTCTTTTCTGTTTATTCCTTCAACTATTTTGTTTAGCCTATTTCACTAAGATGTGTGTGTGTAGCTTCGATACTTTGTGATTGGGTGTTTCTTATATCTTTGCTAGAGTCTTGGGGCGGTGGCTTATGACCGCTAGGAATTGCAAGCTACTGCAAACAAACTTCGTATAAATCTTTCTCGGCTACTTCAAGTCTAGAACATCTCGAAGCACCCTCGCCAGTTCCACCTCACGCCCCGTGCTCCTCCCTTCTTCTACTCCAACCCAGTCTATCTCGTCCCATCACGGCATCGTGGTCTTGACCGTCAGACTTGGCCCCGACGGGTTTCCATCCCTCGAGAGAGGCGTAGGGCCTGCTTCGGCGAACAAGGCAAGCCGGCCTCCGTCCATGCCCAATTCCCACGCCTTCGGCATCAACTATGACTGTGACAAGCTCCACGTGCCGTTGTTGATTTTACCATCTTCCCATTAGAACTCCACCATTACACTCGGTGAAGAGCATCTGCTCTGCCTGCCGCGTGGCCTTGGTGGTCGTATGGCTCGATGCTGAGGCATGGGATTCGCGCCACATGGCACAGCAGGCCGCGTCCCTCCACAGCCAGACTTCAATATATCTGTGACTTCACGACACTCATAAGAGCGGCGATGCGATGTGGTCATCTGACACATTGGCCCTGCGGGCGCGGTTCGTGTGCAATGCGTGCTAGGAGCAGAAAGGCTTGGTTTGGAATCTAGGAGCAGAAAGGCTTGGTTTAGAATATAGGAGCAGAAAGGCTTAGTTTGGAATCTTGGCCAGCTGTGCCACCGGGGGAGGTCAAAGCAATGCGTACCCGAATCCCCAGGATCCCAAAAGTGCAGACTGCCTATGTCCCATAGGCCCGAAGGCGGCAACTCGGCAGCCGGCATTGGATTGGGGGCGGCTCGCGAGAAACCTTAGCTGGGCTCCCTTGTCGAGTGCCTGGACTGGGTATTCAGAGAGCTGGGATGTTCAACCACCCAATTACCTCCCCGCCTAATTCGGCAACTTTGCTGTCGAGATGTGGAATCACGCTCTGATTAATTGCTGCGCGGGTACAAGTGCCGGACTTTCGGTTTTTGTGACGGTTGCATCAAGACTGAACAAACGAAACACGACTTGGGGGCTGAAAAAAGAAACAAACGAAACACGACTTGGGGCTGAAAGAAGAGAGAAAATCACAACTTTGACTGACGGGCGTGTTTTGTATTTGGAGGCTGTAAAGGAAGGTTCTGGTTGAGAATGGGTTGACGCTGGAAATAGTACGTAATTAGTCCGTTTTCGGCAGATTCTGCCCTGAAACCTCGTCTCCGCACCCCTCACGGGCTCACATCAATCACAACTTACTTCCTCCCAAGCTGCGCATCACCATAAACGAACGAAATGACGCTCCCTCGGCTCCCTCGCCATGCGGCATACGTACACCTCTCCAACCCTCGCCGGCGCAATGCCCTCTCGCTCCAGGTGCTGCGCTCTCTGCGGGACCAGCTGATTGCGCACAACACGTCCCCCGCCACGGGTCAACGTCTGTTCCTTCCGCCCTTCAAACCCGCCATGCTCACCCAGCTCGAACAAGCATGCAATTCCAAACCCACACAAGACACCAGCTACGCCTGGCTCGTGTCTGCCCGGGCCTGGGCACGAGACCGCGCCGGCCTGCCCAACATGCTCGTGCTCGCCTCCCCCAACGACTCTCCCGAGCGCGCTCCCGTCTTCAGCTCAGGCCACGATCTCTCCGAGCTGCGCGCCCTCAGTCCCTCCGACGTGCGCGACACCTTCCGCCTCTGCGCAGAAGTCATGTCGCTGATCCGCCGCAGCCCGGCGCTCGTCGTCGGCCGCATCCACGGCTTGGCCACGGCCGCCGGCTGCCAGCTGGCCCTGTCGACGGACCTGCCCGTCGCCCACGCTGCCGCCACCCATTTTCAGCTCCCCGGCGCCGCGCTTGGCCTGCCCTGCTCGAGCCCCGCCACCGCCGTCAGCCGGCGCCTCGGCAACGGCCGCGCCTTCCGCATGCTCGCCATGGCCGAGCCGGTCCCCGCCGCCGACCTCGCCGGCGCCGGCGTCTGCCTCGTCTCGGGCGCCGCAGACGGCGACCACGCGGCCCAGCGCGACGCCCTCGACGCCGAGGTCCTCCGCACCGTCGAGCGCCTGGCCCAAATGCCCGCCCAGCAGAACGCCATGGGCAAGTGGGCGTTCTGGACCCAGGCCGGCCTGCACGGCCAGCACTGTGATCTCCGCGACGGCGGCGCTACGGAGGACCCCCGCCGAGGCAGCGGAGCCGACGGCTACGAAGACGCCGTCGACTGGGCCGGCCGCGTCATGGCCCTCCACGCCCGCAGTGAGGACGCGCGCGAGGGCTTCGACGCCTTTGCGCACAAGCGGAAGCCCGTCTGGGTCTGTCTCGGTGGCGCGGCAGACCCTGGGCAAGACACCAGCGACTGATTTTGGAGACCCCTGTCCTGCGGGTGGGTTTGCCTGCTACCGAGACAGACCCAACACGGCTGAGATATTTCGGTGAGCAAAATCAGGGCTGTTACTGATAGCCCCCCTGCTGCTGCCTGCCCTGTGCAACCAGCTACGGGCTTCAAACAGCCCTCCTTCTCTCCCGTATTACTTCTGTGGGTGACACGAGGCAGTACGAGAGGGGCGTGTCTGGTCCCACGAGACAGAGAGTCCGGCGGGAGGGGCGGAATTGCGAGCCGGCCACGGAAAAATGAACAATAAGACTCCATCCGAGACCTGTGACGAAATATCTGGCCCCCTCCAGCCTCCGTGAGCCCGTGAGTCCGTGGCTCGTCTTGTGAACCACAGTATGGGTCTACTGTGTTTCGCTGGAGGCCACCCTGTGCCTCTCCGTCGGAGTCTAGATCTGTTTGTCCCTCAAAATACGAACAAAGCGCCACAGAAGAAAACACGCACGTCATTGTCTCCCAGCTCTGTGGTTTTGCCGTTAGCCAATTAGGTACTCTTGCTTATGACGCGGGGAAGGATGACAGGCAGATGTCGCGTTGTTGTTGTTGACACGCCAGCAGCCCACCCCTCGGAGGTGAAACAGCAGAAATTCAAGCACCTGAAACTATCTTCGTATTGAATGCGCGTATTCCGGAGGCTGGCAGTTGCCAGCAAGGTTTCATTCACAAATAAAAACAATAGCACAAATCCAACACACCATGGCTAGAACTAGAGCCAACCACTAGACTTGGGATTGCGTGTGCCACCTAAATATACCAACCCGATCCCAAACACACACATGAATAAATCACTTGGGCACAGCGATAATGATTGAGTCCTCGGACTCCTCCGCATACCTCGATACGGGCTTGACGACAAACCCGGCGCGGTCGGGCAGGGCGTCCCACTCGGCGCGCGACCGCTCGACGGCGGCTAGGCACGTTACCATGGCCGTCGAGCACCTATGGTTTTAGATCAGTTAGTAAGTTACTGGCCTACGACGACAACCTGGTTCTGTAAGACAATACGGCCGCCGGCCGCGGGGAACCGGTCCTTGAGCGCGATGCGCTGGTGGCCCCTGGCGCCGCCAATGTCGACGAACAGCGGCGCCCACGGGTCGGCGCCCGCGGCCACCCCGCGGCCAAAGTCGACCACGCGGAGAAGCTCGGCTGGCCTCGCGGTTGGCCGTCATCTAAGACAGAAACGTCGCCATCTGCTCCAGGTGCAGGCCCTCAAGTAGAAGAAATAAATAAAGAATAAGCTTTATAAAAGGAAATAATATATGCTGCAGCCACGGGAACGGGAGCAGCTCCGTCTTGTATGTCGGCCTACGGCGGTGGTTTCAAGGGCCAATCACAAGAACTGAAGTTGCAAGCCCTCTCCCTTGCATGGCGACCTTGTGACCGGATACCTTTCGGTGTTGAGGTCAGTAATTACCTATTGCGTGGCATTTTATTTGTTCTCTCCTCGTTTCCTTTTTTTCTTCTTTTTTCGTCGTTCCTTCTCGGAATATGGATGACACGACTCCTCCTTCTGTAAGAGAAGGGCAAAGAGAACAGAAAAGTGCCGTGATGATAATGCTAATTGCTTAACTCAAATAATTAGGAGCAATGACAGGTGGTTTGATGTGTGGAACCCTGCCGAGAGAGATGCATGTCTGAGCCGGGGGTGGGGGGGGGGGGGGGGGGTGAAGGGGAAAGCTTGTCATCTAATTTCTCGATCTTACTGTGTAACCCAGACTGCTACTACATGGCTATAGAATACAGCCCTCCAAGATCTATCCTATCTAGTCTGCCAAACACAAATCTCTTCCACCCCCACGGCCACATCTCACACCATGTTGGCGCCATTCACCCTAATAACCTGCCCCGAGACCCAGGCACTCTCTGGCCCGGCTAGAAATGCAACAACACTAGCGATCTCGGCGGGCTCGCCGAGGCGGTTGAAGGGGCTGGCGGCCTTGATGGCCGAGACGAGCTGCTCGCACTTGCCGTCGAAGAAGAGCTCGGTGGCGGTGGGGCCGGGGGCGACAGCGTTGACGGTGATGTTGCGGCGGGCCAGGTCTTTGGCCAGCACGCGCGTCAGCTGGTCGACGGCGCCCTTGCTGGCCGCGTACATGACGTAGGCCGGCGACACGTTGGTCGACGTCGTGAGCCCCGACGACACGAAGATGACGCGCCCCCCGCCGCTCGTCGGCATGTGCGCCACCGCCTTCTGCACCAGGAACGCCGCGCCCTTGACGTTGAGGTCGAAGTGCCGGTCGTAGTCGGCCTCGGTCGAGTGCGCGAGGTCCTTCATGCCCATGTAGCCCGCTGGCCGTTGTGTCTCTGTCAGCGGTTTCCACGGGCTCGGGTCCAGGGGATCGTCTTAAGCCTTATCAGCAGGGTCTAAGTAATTACCATTGGGCATGACCACGTCGATTTTGCCGAATTTCTCGACCGCTGCAGCCACGAGCCTCTCAATGTCGGCGACCTTGGACACGTCGGCCTGTACGGCCAAGGCGTTGTCACTGCCAATGCGCTCGACCATTTCCTCGGCAGACTTGCTGTCGGACAGGTAGTTGACGACCACCTTGGCGCCGTCGTCAGCCACGCGCTCTGCAACGGCTCGGCCGATGCCTTTGGAGGCGCCCGTGATGAGAACGACTTTGTCGGCGAGGAACATGGCGGGCAATCAATTGGTCACGAGGCGAGACTGCTGGTTCGTGGTCAAGTGGCTGCGAATAATGAATTGGACTTTTTTTTTTTTTTTTTTTTGCAGTAATGTGTTTAATTGGGCTCGATTTATCTGACCAGAGCCTGGCTGAGCGTCTGCCATGTCCGCAAATTCCAGCCCGCGAAGCTAAACTCCGCGAAGCGAGCGCGAGTGGGTTAGGTTTCCAGTCAGTCATTGGGTAGTTACCTTATCCTCTCAATTAACCCAGTTGGGTGCCAGGGGTGCTAATACGCGGCAAGCCGAGAGGCTATACGCTTTTTTTTCGTCTGAGCCTCTGGCCATGCTGCCAGGGGAGTGGGGATGGGGAGTGCCACGGGAGTGTTACGGGCAGCTTAGGGAGAGGGGTGATTTCTACTTCTCTTTCCACTTTTTTAGAGAGGCGACTGCGGATTAGACTAGTTTTGGAACTGCGGATAGGTTCGGACACAGTGGAAAAGAATGCCTGGGTTAGGGTTCGGGAATTCGTTGCCCTGTACGGAATAACGGATAATTATCCTCCAGACCCCACATAGGATTTACATTTCGAAGTTCTCTACCTGAGCAGTGCGGAACAGCTCGAAGCACCTTGGTAGGGACAGCCTCAACCCAATGGGAAGGGCGTTACAAATTCCGTATTTTTGCGCTTCTTTGCCCGATGCGCAGAACGCCATGTTTCGGGTTAGCGCCCGTAGCACCCGCTGATAACAGCGCCATGAGCCAATAAACGGCACCACTCGGTCTTCGGAACCGGGCTTAACAAGATCGAATCGGATTTGGAACAATTTGGCTCTATAATTCCGACGGCGGGCCAAGGAACGTCAACGTTGGTTTCGAGCGGTGATGCCGGCAGAGACGATGCCGTCGGCAGCCAATCATCAAAGCCCGCTGCGGCCGCCATGTCGCAGCCAACGGCAGATATCTAACTAACACTCGATTTAACATGACGTCCGCGGAGCTTAGGGCCTCGATGGCATACGGGTCCTTACTCAGCCCGATCCCAGTGCCCAGCGCGGACTCGAGACTCAGACTAGCCAAGACTCTCTATCGGCCGGGATGAGTCGCATCTCTCGGATTCCCTCTCCAGCTTCGCACGTGCCTTTGTCGAAACTGTAATTGTCTTTCAGGTATAAAGTCGGGCCCGAATCCAGCATTTGAAAAGCCTCTGCAATTTGTCTTGCCAGACACGATCCTGACACAACAGAGCCGGTGAATTCAACCGAATACCATCACAACTCCACAACTTCACAACTCCACAACTACACAACTTCACAACTCCACAACTACACAACTTCACAACTCCACAACTCCACAACTCCACAACTACACAACTTCACAACTCCACAACTCCACAACTTCACAACTCCACAACTCCACAACTTCACAGCTCCACAGCTCCACAACTCCACAACTCCACACAAACCGAACCTTGACCATGTCGTCTCTCCCCAAGACATACAAGGCCGCCGTGCTCAAGGCCCACGGCGCCGATCTCGAGCTCCAAGATCTCCCTCTGGTGCTGCCAACCAAGGGCCAGATTCTCGTCAAGGTGCTCGCCTGTGGTATCTGCCACTCGGATGCCTGGCTCCAGGAGTCGGCGCCCGTCACGTTTCCCGCTGTTCCCGGCCACGAGATTGTCGGCGACGTCGTGGCCATCGGCGAGGATGTGACGCTGTTCAAGGAGGGCGACCGCGTGGGCAGTGGATGGCACGGAGGTTCTTCCGCCCCGCTCACATGATAACCAGACAAGAAATCCAAGAGATCAGATGAAAGACTAACCTTGTGCTCACATCAGGCCACGACGGCACCTGCCGCACGTGCCAGCGCGGGCACTTTCAGAACTGCGAGAGCCAGGCGGTCAACGGGCTCAACAAGAGCGGCGGCTACGCCGAGTACGTGATCCTGCGGGCCGAGGCGGCGGCGCGGGTCCCGCGGGACATGGACGTGGCCACAGTAGCGCCGCTGTTCTGCGCCGGCGTGACCGTGTTCAACGCCATCCGCAAGATGCATGTTGAGCAAGGCACGCTGGTGGCGGTGCAGGGGCTGGGCGGGCTGGGCCACCTGGCGGTGCAGTTCTGCCGCACCATGGGCTACAAGACCATCGCCGTGTCGCGCGGCACCGACAAGCGCGACTTTGCCTTCGAGCTCGGCGCCCACGGCTACATCGACACCAACCTCGAGGACCCGGCGGCGGCGCTGCAGAAGCTCGGCGGCGCTGCTATGATCGTGTCGACGGCGCCCCACGGCCCGTCTATGACCAAGCTGCTGCCCGGCTTGCAGCCTTACGGCAAGCTGGTCGTGCTGGCCCCCGTCGGCAACGTCGAGTTCGACACCACTGCCATCGCTGTCCAGGGCCTGCAGGTCGTCGGCTGGCCGTCGGGCATCGCGCTCGACTGCGAGGAGACGCTCGACTTTGTCAAGACGCACGGCGTCAAGTGCATGGTGCAGACGTTTCCCCTGGCCGACTTCCACAACGCCTTTGAGGGGATGAAGGCCGGCACGCCGCGCTTCAGGAACGTCCTTGTCATGTAATTTTGGATGGGCAAACGCGTTGCAACCGGTTCCATTCCGCGACGACGGGTAGCTCGCGCCGGAAAGAAAGCCGTGGGCTACGGACCTGGAGTTAGCTTGACGAGACAAACGAAATTCAACTACAACGCTTCTTGCACTACCAGGTTTTTGTCGGTACAAGGTGCCATCGTTGTTCTCGGCAACCACCCCTATTGATACTATTGAGTGTGCTCGTCGAGCTTCCTCTCCGTGCACAGTTCGCCGCATATGACAGGTTTTTCGAAGTTCGTCCACTGGGTCAGCAAGCAAACCAAACAGCTGACGTGTTCCCGCTAAACGTTGCTTCAAGTTAAAATTGCCGAGGCAAACTTGTGGTGCAGAAAATCCGTACAAGACACGCAGCGGTAGGTTGGCAGCGGATGCCGCTGGAAGAAGCAAACAAAATGTCACTGGTTCTTTTTCCCGCCCAGCTCGCAAGATTCTTTGATGCCATTAGCGACCAAAAAAGTGAAAACTTCCCGCAGCGCACCAACCCTTACTCCGGCACAACCCAAACACTCTAAACGGAGAAAGCAACCGAGACATCGAGTCTTAATATTACAAGTAGAATACATGAAAAATGACCAAAACACCAACAAAGCTGCCAGATACCCTGCCAAAGGCCAAGACGCGACCTCAGCTATGCGACGCGTCGCCGCCAGCGGGACCGTAGACCTGCCGGATGAAGCGGTCGGCGTCGGCGATGATGCGCACGCTCTGGTCGACGGAGGGGGCGGTGGGGTCGCCGGCTACACGCTGCCAGCCCTCCAGGAGCTGGCGCAGGTGGTCGCCGGCGGCGAGGACCTCGGGGCCGATGAGGTTGCGCAGGGCCGGGATCTTGCACGCGGCTAGGAGGACCAGCATAGCGCCTGCCATTCTATTTTCGGTGTGTGTCAGATTGGCGATAGAATAGGGGTCGTATAGAAGATGGTAGGGATAGATGGGGGGGGAGGGAGGGAAAAGGGGAACGACTAGAGATCAGGAAACGAGAGACGGAAGATGGAAGACAGGAATCAGGAATCATACGAGAGCGAGCAGATCCACGTGTCGACCAACACGGTCTGTGAGAAGCCCCTGAGGTTCAAGATATGCAACAGACACGCGTCCAGGCAGGCCTTGCAGTTCGTCAGGACCTCAGTGCTGGCCGCCGGGCGCGCGACGCCGCTGCTGCCGCTGCTGGCGATGCTGGCGCGCCGGCCGTCCGGGACAAGGCCTGAGCCGCTGCCGCTCAGCATCCACATCAAATATCTGCCACGCGCCACCCGGTAAATGTCAGTGGTCCATGTCTGTCTGTCTCCCCGTTGCAAACTTACGGCCGGTAGATGACGCTGCGGCAAGTGAGGTAGCGCTGGCGCAGGAAGCCGCCGTGCTCGGTGGCGGTGGGCTCGCAGTTGAAGCCGACGGAGAAGGCGAAGGCGGGCGGCAGCACGTCGCGCCAGTCGTCGAGCTGGTGGTTGAGCTCGGCGACGACGTAGGGGAAGCGGGCGTTGTCGAGGGAGGCGCCCGTGTCGCGCGCGTAGAGCAGCTGGTGCACGCGGTTGAGCAGGCGGCGCATCGAGATGCACGCCAGAAAGTACAGCGACGACTGCTCCTCCTCGAGCGCCGACGTGTGCGTGTGGTAGCCGCCGGGTAGGGGGATCGACGACTCGATGCGGGCGATACCCGACAGCGGCAGGCTGGACAGTTCGGCGAGGTAGTCGCTCTCGAGAATGTAGCACGACCAGAAGATGCGGCGGATGCGCTCCAGGTCTTCGGGCGTCTCGTCCTGTGGCGGGTACGAGAGCAGGAGGAGACACTTCGCGGCGGCGGCGCTGATGTACTCCCACGCTTGGAGGGGGCGGCGGAGAAAGGCGAAATACATGCTAAAGTTTGGCGAGTTCAGCTTTGTTGGGCTCAAGATATACACGGCAGGTGTCAAGTAGAGCGTACTCACGCAACAAAGAAAAGACAGTGTGTCGCCGTTGAGCTGACATGTGTGTGGGCAAAGTGCAGCTTCTTGAGCACGCCGTCAAAGTAGACATCACCCATGGCCCTGCGGCTCGCCCGGCGCTTCCCGTCTTCTTCGGACAAGTTGCCGACATTGGTTGCCAGGCCCGCTGTGACTTGGCTCGCGCAGCCGAGGGCCATGGTGAGCAGGGCGAGACAGGTGGACGGCCCGTCCTCGTCGAAGACGCCGTCAGTGACGATGGTCCGCGTCTTCTTCAGCTGCTCCTGCGACATGGTCGGATACCAGAAGTTGACGGCGTGCTCAAACGAGTCGACGATGCCGCCAACATCCTCAGCCGTCACGTACGGGTACATGGTCGACGTGCGCATCCGGACCGGCGGCCGGGACTGCTCGAGCTGGAATATGGAGACGTAGTCGTCGCGCAGGCTCGGATACACGTCGAAATGCGGCCACTGCAGCAGCGATTCCGTCGTCGAGGTATGCCACGAGTCCAGCACGGCGTTCTCGAGGCTGTTCGAGTGGTGCGGCTCGCTCAAGGGGGTCTGCTGGCGGTGATGTTGCGGACCCGGGTGGATTTCTGCTAGCGGACTCCCAGAAAAGCTCTGCCTGCCAATCGATGACCCTTGGGCTCCAGGAGAAACCATGAGTTGGCGAGCACTGTCGGCATATGACGACGACGACGAGGCGGCCTGGCAACGAGTCAGCTGTGCAACCTCGGGACACCGGTGCATTTAATGCAGAGAGACACACTATAGTCGCGTTTATTTCCTGGAGAAACCTCTCGACGCGCAGCACGCCCTCGAGGATGAGGTCGCTCTTCCCCCTCCTTATTGGCTGTCAGATGCGCACTGTTTTTTTTTTTACTTCAGGGGCGACAGGGAGCCGGGGGGCTGCACTGACGAGTTCGCATCCGAGCCATATGTGCAGTCATTGTCGGCTGCTGCACAGGCGGCGCAGGGCGTGTTTCCATTACATCTGGTGCGAGCGCGAAGAGTCAGCACGTAGGCAGTTTGGTTCGTCGTCGAGGACGATCCCAAGACATGACGCAGATCTGAGAAACGCCGAGACCAACCGGATTTTCCTAGCTCGGCACACATCGCACTGGTCAAGAGCGTCTACATTAGCGCCGGTTCCCAGACCTGGGGAATGCGATGGGATGGGGACCCACTGCATGCGAGGTCCTGAGCCTCTTCCTGTTCGGCTCACCAAAGGGTTCGTTGTCCATCGACATGATCACCGGCGACTTACAACTGGCTGCTACATTAGGTAGTCAGCAAGGCTTGCTCGACGACAAAGCAGCACTCGATCCGAAGCGGACCGAAGAGCGGAGGTGCAGCAAGATCAGCAGAGGAAAAGAGGGGCCCCATGGGCAGACGGGACTGGGGACACCTGCCTTAAACCCTCTAGACGATGCGGGGAAGCGGAGACGGCAGTCTGGTACTTGGGGTCTGTAGCCGACTGCCTGGGACCTGTCTCGATGAAACCGCTATTTTCGGGTCTCGTCGGTCCGGTGGGCCCAAACATTCGTGCTTTCCCGTCTGCTTGTCACTGTGTCAGGGCACAATGTGGGCCAGTTGCCCGAACCACCGCCACGTGGGTTCGTGGGTCATGGTTCACTGAGAATTAAAACAGCTAGCCTCGACGGGACCGCGTCTTGGCTTATTTCCATTCGACAGACTGTTAACTGCGCTGTCCTAAAAGCAACCGACCCTCCGCTGCCATCTCCTCCTCCCCGCTTAAGCAGCTTGGGGGAACTTCTCGCCACGAGAGGCACCAACAGTGTTCAGGACTGTCAGGGCGTTCCTCTTCTCCAGACTCTTCTTGACAGGGTTGGGGGCCGAAAACACCTCTTCCAACTCCTCAAGCGTGCGGTCCTTGGTCTCTGGGAAGTAAAAGTACATGACAGCACACTCAACCAGGTCCCAGAAGACGAAAACGAGATAGAAGTAGTAGCCAATCTTCTCGAAAGCGGGCCCTGAGGCGTACTGCAGAATTGTCGAGGCGACCGAGGATGAGAAGTTGCCAACAGCGGTACCTTTCGCGCGTGTGGCCATAGGCAGCGTCTCGGCAATGTACATGCTCTGCAACGGTGTCCACCCAAACGAGAAGACGATGCCGAAAATGAAGATGAAGGCGATAGTCGTGTTAGCCGCCGCCACTTGGGTTGGGTCGTCTGTGGCCAACTTGCTGGTGCCCGTGATGATGGCGAAGCACACGGAGGCGAAGACGATCGAGTAGAGCAGCAGCGGCCGGCGGCCTATGACGTCCGTCATGCGAGCACCGAGGACGGCGCCAAAGAAGCACAAGGCTGGGTTGATACCATTGAGGGCCAAGACCTTGTGCTCGTCCGTGATGCCAGCCGACTTGAGCATGTTGACCATGTAGTAAGACGACAGGCTGTTTCCGCTGATCTGGCCAAAGCACGCCATGCCAATGACGCAGATGAGGCGACGGCGGGCAGAGTGCGTGTTCCAGAGCTCATGGTAGTCGTACCACTTCTTGTCCGACGCCTCGGTCGAGATCTGGTTCGCCATCTCCTTCATCTGCAGTTGAACAATGGGGTGATCGGGTCGGCCATCGCCATGGTATGTCGCTAGCACCTTGATGGCGTCTTCGTGGCGGTCTTGGGCCATCAACCATCTAGGGCTCTCGGGAATTAAGAAGACCCCCAGAACCACGAAGCCAGACGTGATCAGCTGGCACCAGACGGGTATGCGCCAGGCATCGGTAGTGTCGAGGTAGGAGCAGCCATAGACGACCCAAGACGCGATGATGCTGCCAATATACCACGTGCAGTTATACAGGCCGGTCAAGGTGCCGCGCCACTTGGGGTGGGCCATCTCGCTGACGTAGCACGGGGCCGAGACACAGCAAAAACTCACGCCGAAGCCGAGCACGAAGCGGCCGCCCAGGAACTGACCGCTGTTGACGCTCGTCGCCTGGACACAGGTCCCGACGATGACAAGAGCAGCACCAGTAAACATGCCCCATCGACGGCCAAAAAAGTCGTTGACGGGTCCAGTGATGAAGACGGCCGCCACCGATCCAATGTTGTACATGGCAAAGACCAGGCCTGTGCTAGAGCCTGCAGTTGACCTTGAGTTGATGGAGGATGTCAGCGAGCCGGCGTCGCAACTTGTTTGGCCCGACAGGGGCCTTTTGTGGAGCTGGGAGAAGAGGCCTACATGTTGAAGTATTGCTGGTAGGACTTCATGCCGTTCAAGCCTCCCATGAGACTCCCGTCGAAGCCATTTAGACAGCCGGACAGGTAGGCCACAGATAGGACGAAGTACAGGCGGAACATGGTGGGAGACCACGGCGGGTACTTGGTGTCGTCGACATCGTGAGCAAGCTGGACAGCAACATCGGTGTCGGCGTCATCGTGATCGCGGTGGTCGAAGCCTCCTACGGCAGCGTTCTTCTCGGTGCTGGCGGCCATTACGGTGGCAGACAGGGTAGAGGGACGCGGTGATGCGGTGCTGCAGTGTCTCAGTCAATGTTGAGCGACAAGCAGGCTGGTCCAAGACGGTCTGGAGTCGAGGCGATGTCCCGGATATTAAATGCAGGCCCGGCTGCTTGATGGAGGCTCGAAGCTGTCGAGTCCGGGGTCTGGCCTGAACCTCCACCTCCACGCCTTGCTCCATCGCTTCGCCGGGCGGGCGGGGTGAATGCGACGGTATCTTGGAGATGAATTGTCGACCCGTCAACATTCCCGGGGCCATCCAATGGTCCCATGCCTTCATAGCCAACATCCATCGCCATCCAATGGTCCATGCCATCGCCATTTCCCTTCCGTCTCTGGCGTGCCCCGCACGACGACCGACGGCCAGGGGTCATGTCGTGTTCTGGTGGTGTAGTGCAGCTGTACGTGGGTAGTGTAGCGAGCGCGTGCGGTGAGGGCCGGTAAATGGGAGGTTTCCCGGATATTGCCTGTATGCAACCTGCTTTTTCGCATCATTTGAACGGGCCTTCTTGCACGCAAGCTCCCTGGATGGATTGATTCTGCTCCATCCGGTGATCAGAGTCGGGGGAGAAAAGTTGGGGTACCTTAGCGCAGAGTGGCAGGGGTTCGGGTTCTTTGGGGCTTGTCAATTGGCTGGAAACTTGGGAAGGCGCTTTGGCTCGCGCTCGGCTCCGACTTCCCCGCCAAGGAACCTACAGCGTCCAGTCTTCCACAACGAGCCTAGCGCGGCCCGCACCGGCTGCGTCGCTGCCAGAGTGATGAAATCGTCCAGTCGTCTAACGTTGCGGTCCCTCAACTTCCATTGGATTGCTGGTTCCATAGTTCGCAATTCGAACTACTCGTAACGTCTTGCTCGGGTCTCTCTCCCCCGCGACATGTGTGCATCTGTCGCCTGCTCCACGGCAGCTAGGGACGCCTCCGCTCAACAGCTGCCGCTCGTCACAGCCGATTGGAGACACGAGCTTGAAGAGGTGCGCACCCGAAAACGGCCCGTCTTGCATCTTTCATCCATTTCCATTTGCTGCCTGGTGCAGGTAACACCGCGGCTCGTCCAGACACGGCAATCCACATTTCATCTGGGGCGGGCGACTTGACTTTGTAATGCCAAATTACTGGTGAACTGGAAGGCCAACGCCGCGCACCATTTTGGGGCCATTTGGCATGCATCACCTCGGATTAGGGGCTTTTACAGTGGGCAACGCCGCCGACACGCCCGTTCCACAATTGGAAGCGCAGGTAGCCCAATGGCGACGGGCAGCTGATGCCTGGAAAGACTGGAGCCCGATCTGATCCGGTAGAGGAGCGCAAGCTGGTCTCGGCGTAAGCCGGTGCCTCCTCCGACGGAGCATCCGCAAGCGCGGGACGGCCTGCACGCTGCATTGTGCCCCCTGTGCCCCGCGCCCCCGCCCCCACTCAGCCTCCACGCTCTGTTTCCAGGACGATATAACTAACGGGCAAGTGCTCTCGGTCTGTACGTGCTGTACCAGATGACCGGAGTGCTAAGCAGTTTCTGGAAGCATTGAGTTTCTGGAGAGCAAGACTCGTGGCGTCCCCGTCTTCATCCTCCTGCCGTCCCCCTCGTCCTCGTCTTCAGTTAGCCATAGCCACTCCTCAGTGAGCCATAGCCACTCCTCAGTGTTTGGCTTTCCCCTTTCATCTGACTGCCTTTGCGACTGAGACAGCAAGAGAAGCCGAGGCAATGGCATCCACGCAACGCGGTATACCAACCCAACAGGTAGACGGCACTCCCGACTACTGCAACGAGGAGGTCTTCAGGAGAAACACGCTGCCGCCACGCTCGTACTACATCCCCGAGACCGCTCTGCTCCTCAACGGCCAGTGGGACTTTCATTACGACTCGACCCCCCTCGAGGCGCCAGAGACTGCTTGGGCCAGCGAACCGGCGGCTGCCCAGGGCGAGGACTGGACCACCATCCAAGTCCCTGGCCACTGGCAGCTACAAGGCCACGGCATCCCCCACTACACCAATGTCCAGTTCCCCATCCCCGTCTGCCCGCCCTTTGTGCCTACAGAGAACCCAACGGGCACGTACCGGCGCACTTTCTACGTCCCCTCGTCGTGGGACTCGACCTCGCAGCTGCGGCTGCGCTTTGACGGCGTCGACAGTGCCTACCATGTCTGGGTGAACGGCGTTCTTGTGGGGTATGCACAGGGCCCCCGGAACCCCTCCGAGTATGATATCTCGCCCTACGTCGACAGGAGCGGTCCCAACGAAGTCTATGTGAGAGTCTACCAGTGGTCCGACGGCACCTACATCGAGGACCAAGACCAGTGGTGGCTCTCGGGAATATTCCGTGATGTCCACCTCATTGCCTTCCCGGCCGAGAACCGTCTCGAGGACTGGTTTCTCCGAACCGATCTGGACAGCAAGTACGAAACCGGCACTCTTAACGCAACTGTCAGTGTGACAGCGAGCACGCCAGCCACCGTCAGAGTGGTCCTTCACGAACTGTCCAAAAATGGTGGTGGTGTGGTATCCGTGACAGAAGGCACCCTTAGCGCCGACGGCAAGATTGATCTGAGTCTATCCATTGACAGTCCCCGGAAATGGACCGCTGAGACGCCCAACCTCTACGATGTTGAGATCTCCCTACTGGTAGGCGAGACCACAGTGCAGAATGTGACTCAAAGAGTCGGGTTCCGCAAGGTGGAGCTCAAAGACGGCCTGATCTCGGTCAATGGCACGGCTCTCAAGTTCAGCGGCGTCAACCGCCACGAACACCACCCGTTGTTTGGGCGGGCTGTGCCACTCGACTTCATCAAAAGGGACCTGCTCTTGATGAAGACGCACAACATCAACGCACTCCGTTGCAGCCACTACCCCAGCCACCCAAAGCTCTTTGACCTTGCCGACGAGCTGGGGCTGTGGGTGATTGACGAGGCGGACCTGGAATGCCACGGTTTCTACGACGCTGTTGCACGACCGCAAGACATCCCGGAAGAGATGGACTACGAGGAACGCAAGAAGATGACGTTTCCCAAAGCCGCCAAGTACACGAGCGACAATCCCTCGTGGAAGGCTGCATATCTGGACCGCATGGTGCAGATGGTGCAGCGAGACAAGAATCACACCTCGATCATCATCTGGTCTCTCGGAAATGAGGCCTTCTATGGTCAGAACCACAAGACCATGTATGACTACGCCAAGGAGGTTGATCCGGGGCGGCTGGTGCACTACGAGGGCGACCCCCATGCCGAGTCTGCAGACATGTATTCCTTCATGTACCCGTCGGTCGAGGGCTTGATCAAGCTGGCCAAGACTGAGGGCGTCGACGCAGATGGCAGCTTCAAGAAGCCCATCATCCTCTGCGAATATGCCCACGCCATGGGGAACGGCCCAGGTTGGCTTGAGGACTACGAAGAAGCATTCCGCACATACCCCCGGCTACAAGGAGGTTTCATTTGGGAATGGGCAAACCATGGTCTCTGGAAGGAGAATCCCGACGACAAGTCCTTTTACGCTTACGGCGGCGACTTTGGCGACACTCCAAATGACGGCGCTTTTGTCCTGGACGGCCTTCTTTACAGCAACCACAAGCCAACACCAGGGTTAGTTGAGCTCAAAAAGGTCATCCAGCCTGTGAGGGTGAGCGTTGAGGGGGATGACATTGTCGTCCTGAATCTCTACGACTTTATCGGATTGGACCACCTCGTTGCCACGTACATGGTAGAAGATTTTGGCGAAAGGTAAGCCATGACATGACGTCCCGCTCGTTCAATCTTGATCTTGTCTAATTCTACTCACAGCGCTTCTCTCCTTGACTCTGGTGTTCTTGAGTTGCCGCCAATTGCACCTAGGACGAGTGCAAAGGTCCCACTACCTTCCTCTGCTTTGAGCATCAAGTCGGAGAAGGAAGTCTATTTGACTATATCGCTCAGCCTCCGAGACCCAAAGTCTTGGGGAAATGCCGGCCATGAGGTCGCGTGGTTTCAGCACAAACTCTCTAGTTACGAGCCGTCTCTTGCGTCAACGGCCCTAACCCGCGTGTCTTCGGCGTTCCGGTGCGAGCAAGCTGGCGCCAAAACCATCATCAAGGGCAGCGGATCTTCGTTCGTCTTCGACAACGCGCGCGGCCACCTCACCAGCTGGAAGGCCGGAAATGTCTCCTTCCTTGAATCTGACCTCGCTGCCAACGGAGCCGCCATCAGCTTGTCTTTCTGGCGCCCGCCCACCGATAACGACAGAGCACTGGCACTCCCCTACTGGCAGCGATTTGGTGTCGATGCCATGACAAGCCAGCTGCGGTCTAGCAGCATCACATGCACGCCTGAAAAGGTCCAAATCACCACCACCGCTTTCCTCACCCCGCCCATTCTCGCCTGGGGCTTTCTCGCCACGACGACCTTCACCATCTGCCCTCTCGGGACTCTTACCATCGCCGTGACCCTCAAGCCGTCCGGCTATGCCCCTCAGGACGTACCCCGCGTTGGCCTCAACATTCGCCTTCCCCGCCGCCTCAACGCTGTCAAGTGGCACGGCCTCGGGCCCGGCGAGTCGTACCCGGACAAGCGCGCCGCGCAGCGCGTCGGTGTGTGGGCCGTCGGCTCAGTCGCCGATCTGCAGACGCCTTACGAGGTGCCGCAGGAGAATGCCAACCGCATGGCAACGCGCTGGGTTACCCTCGCCGAGCCCCACGGCCGCGGCCTGCGCGCCATCGCCGGCGACGCCGCGAGCTGGTCCGCCAACTGCGACAGAGCGTTTAGCTTCGCGGCCTCGCACCACAGCGCCGCCGCTATCCACGCCGCCGCACACCCTTGCGACCTCGCGGAAGAAGATGCGACGCTTCTGCGGCTCGACGCAAAGGTTGCCGGCGTCGGCACTGCGGCGTGCGGCCCCGGTGTCCGGGAGGATCTCAAGGTGAAGGTCGAGGAGATGGCATTTTCGTTTGTGCTCGAGGCCGTGAGTGTTTGACGGACTCACTGAGTATCTGAAGTGTTTATATATGGTGCGCGGCAAAGTGGAATTCAACACTGTCCTTTGCGATTCTCCGGACACGGTGAAGGAGGAAAACGGAGGAATACTTATATAGGAAGCACATTTCCTGCCGGCAGTATAGTGCAGGCGTCATTATTGTTTTAAATTTGTCATTCTTTTTGCATCAAGCATCACCATTACCCCATTGGTTCTCGCATCTATTTGGTAAGGGGGGATTACTGATGCGTATCGACCGATCAGATCCCTTTGAGCAAACAGCCCAGACGCTGACAGTGCTTACTTCATAGCCGCTTCGGTCGCAGCAAATAACACCAGTAAAACACGTCTGGGTCCGTCACCCGCTGCTTCGGCGTCGGGATCTTGCCAACGACCTCAACCTCGAACGGCAGCCCCCCTTCAAAGTCCCCGCCATCCAGATCGTACCTCGACGCCGAGTAGCTCAGCGAGATCCAGACGCCACTATCACTCAAACACTGCCGCACATTCTCAGCCATGGCCAGCACGGCGTCGTTCCTGCCGCACGCCACGGCGTCGGCCGTGCACTTGTCGATTGCGAGGTCATAGTACTTCTTCCCCTCGCCCGCACTGTCTCGTCCTCCCAAGTCCATCGAACCAAACTCGAGATTGAGATCCAGACTTGCCGAGAGCTGCACGCCGCCGTCACCGCCACCGATGACATCGGCCGCGAGATAGCCCATGCGCACGTCGCCAAACACCTGCTCCTCTAGCTGGCGGCCCCGCTCCAGCGCCAGCGGCTCGTAGTCGACGTTGGCGACGCGCTCGAACCCCCGCCGCCGCAGATCAATGTGCAGATCGCTCGTGCCGATACCCAAGTGCAAGATCCGTGCTGCTGCCCCCGCCGCGGTCAGGTGCGGCTCGATGAGCGCCGTGAATGTCGCCGACGGCACGAGCCACTCGAAGTTCTCTTCGTGCGCGAAGCGGGCGTGCCAGTAGCTCTGCTTTTCGAAGTCTAATGGCATGGTGGGGACTGAGTGGGCGAATGCTTTTGTTGGTATGTGTGCCCTAACAAGAGCCGACCACGGCAGACAGGTTTTAAAGTATAGGTTTGTAAATAACAAGACGGGTTGGCTGTGATTGTGCTGGCGGCGGCTAGCTGACCGAAGTTGTTCCGATTGTAAGAAATCATTGGAAGATGCCTTCACCGACAGACCCGCGCGGAAAATGTCGCAGGTTGATTATCTGATATCCGTTGATAAGTTGATAAGATAGGCGTGTTCGAAATACCTATTATAGGAAAATTAGCTGGTTTCTTTACCAAAAAATACTAATCTTCACAAGAACCTTGGTAGGTAGGTACTCCAACGCAAGCTTCCTCGGGACCAAAAGAAGAGTTGTGATCTGGGCACCCCATCTAAAAATCAGGGCACCCTACTGGGGGTCCCTGGTACCCGCCAATATAGAGGCCGCTTTTTGTATGGTAAAATGCCGTATTGCATGGCGCTACCCAACGACCTATTGGGTAGTTGACACCAAGGAACCCTGGCGAAGTCAAAATGAAGCCACCTTAATTACACTTTCAAATGCAGGGCTTAGTGCGCGCAGTTAGTGTTTGAAGACCTCGAGGCTAGAAATAACACATCGTTAACGTAGCTAAGTTGACAGACTCAACACCGCGGAAATACATCACTATGACAACAAATCATGATCTAACAGACTTCATAACCTATTCGCATGACTTTTGGCAAATTTGCATACAAATCCAGGCCTCAGGGTTTCAAAGGAATGCCTAACCAGCAATGAAGAAATCGTCACAATGGAAAACACCTCGGGAAATGCGTTTCTGGGGCTTGTGGCAGTTTTGACGGCTTCAACGTTGTTGACCGGGGCGCCCGGGCTGCATAGCAAGCGTATGGGCGGCGGGATAGTAATCTAGGATTCTACCGCTTGTATTAGGCTCTGAGTATCACAACTTCCAACAAGTGTCAGGAATGCAAAGCAGGGTGCCCTGGTTTTTCGATGGGGTGCCCAGATCACAGCTCTAAAAAAACATGACGAATGAATGGAAAAAGCAGACAGAGAAAAAGCTCCTTGTGTTGCGCCCCCCAGCCCCCAACTGGCCAAGAACCGCCACTGCTGCCCATGCCACGATCCCGAGTGCTTAATAGACCAACACACCCCCAGCCATCATACTCGTTTCCAGTTCCTTGCCCCCGATAATGAAAGTTGGCGCCATCGTCCTATATAGGTGCGAGAAGTCTCAGATTCCGAGTCGGGGCACCTAGTCGAGTAAATGCTTCCACGGCGGTTCTAGAAAGCAGAATATTCCCGAAGTAACATTCTCTGAGTCATGTTTGACCTTTACATTTGGCGTCTACTTAGCTGGTCGCTTTGCAGCGTTCATAATACGTTCATCCGTTTGAGGAACTGTCATAAAGCTGGCTTGATTAAGACTAGACGGCGTAGGCGGTTTTTCATTGCCGAATTGGGCATTATTGATGGGAGGAAATGCCAGTCGGGATTGGCATTGACCCCCGGAAGCGGTGGTTGGCCCGCTGCCCTTATTTTTCTTGCTCGACAACGCTGAGGCCTTCGTAGAGCCGTTAGGATTGTTGTTCTGGCTAGGCATGTTCAATGTTGAGAGGCGTGCAAACTCGGTGTAAGAGGGGAGTCGCGGGTATGGCGGTTCTGGGTTCTGTGGCTATAGGTTGGTTGTGTCAGCTACTAGTGATGATTTTGGAGGGAGATGGTTGGGAGAGAGCGATGATTATATACACAGAAAGAAAAGAAGCATGACGAGTACAACGGAGGCCAGCAGGGCGTTGAAGTGCACAATGAATCCTCATATTAAAACGGGTCAGGCAGAGTGGCCATCTGATCCCAAAAGAATGCGGAATAGGGGCTACTCGTTTTGGCATTGTATTGACACAAGTTTGGACGAAGCCCTCGTGAGTGTACATACGTACGACGGCAATGTGATAAAGCTGCAAAAAGTGGGAACTAGGCCCAGATCTGCCATGCTTTGATTGATGACCCCCTATTCTCGTTCAACTCGAAGCAAAGCTCCAACGGCTGAACCTCAACAGCTGAGCCGTACAAGACTGTAAGTTCCAGCCAGCCGTGTTTCGCAGATGACCAAACCATCACAGGCGCCGCTCAGTTGCGCTATATGAGGTACCAACCTTAAAACAATGTCAAGTTTTTTTCCAAGATACGTCACAACCACCCTGAAACTCGGAGTGTCTCACGGATTGCAGCCACATCACGTTGCATGGCAACCTGCCTTTGACCTTCAAGTTAAGCCGCACCCAACATTTCCAGCGCTTTTCGAAGTTCCTTCACAGCAGTTGACACGTCCTCAAAGTTGAGTGCTGAAATGGCCCATTTGGCATGCTTTTGCGCGCCGACCATCGCCGCCTCGTCAATAGTAACGGTTGCCGCAGGCTGAACTGGTGCATATCGTGCAGGTTGAGCCACGGGAGGAGCAACTGGCCTTGAAGTGTGCGCCGTTGGAGTCATGTTCATATAGTACGGGTCGGTAGGGGGGTTGACAGGCGGCGATGCCACCGCCGCCGTTGATGGAGGGCTCATGGCAAACGTCGGGGGCGCAGTTGGAGGGGCCGGGGGCTGGTAGGTGACAGGGTTTGGTGTCCATCCAGTTTGCGGAGGCGGAGCGCCGGGGGCCTGCGACCATGCCGCCCGGGGCGGAGGAGGGATATCGGGACTGGGCTGGCGTGGCGCCCATCCGGCAGGTGGTGGCAGATCAGGTGCAGACTGGTAGCCGTGCGAGTCGTGTATCGGCGGCGATATGGGTGATGGCATGGACTCGGTGTCAAAGTACCCGGCGTGCGATGCAGGAGGGCCGAGTTCGGTAGGTACCCCGGGCAGCCGGAGCTCGCCATCAGAGGGTGGAGAAGGCCCGGCCGAAACTGGACTGTGTGGCAGAGACACACCAGCAGCATCCCTCCGCAAGTCCACATCTGGCACCTCTTCTACTGTTGCTGGCCGCGGTGCTACGGCCGGCGAAGACCTGCCCAGCATCTGCACCTCTGGATCGCTTAGATCCAGTGCTGGCTGTTGAGGCTCCTCATGCTTTGGGTTCGACTCGTTGGGGTCTTTGCCGTCCTTTATCGCCTTGGCTATACGAGCGGCATTCCATTTTGCGTACTTGATCTTCTGCTGCGTCTCCTGATCCGGCGTCCCCCAGATGTTGACCAAATGAAAGAAGGTAGCAGCCGCGTCGAAAGTCGTCGCCGTTTGTCTATCGTAAATTTAGCTAGGTCCACATTGGAGGAGAAGCGGTTGGTCATACTGCGTGACTTTGTTCGCCTTTACAACACGCTCCGCGCGATCCAACGTTTCCTGTGCGAATTGCTCGACGTATGCCTGCCCAGCCGCGTCATCCAAGATGGCAGCTTCGTTTCCGTACTCGGCTTTCGTCTGCAGATGGCGCGGTTAGCGCGATACGGCCTCGACGGATGCAGCGCGGTGTCTTCGAACCTGCTCCAGCTTGTCCATCAAGTTGATCGTGTACTGCATGATTTCATCGTCGGAATTATGTAGTTGTTTCGCAAGTATTTGGTTGACCACCCAGTATTCGCCTGTAGACGTCAGCGGATGACATCTTTGGCCGGTCGCGAGACATACACCAATAGGTAATTATGGGCTTCACCAACTGGAGCTGCCCTGCCTTTGTCGCGCATTTCCAAAGGTTGATGTCGGCCTGCCGGAGGGCCGCTGGGATCTTGTCGGCCATGGCGGGCGACAAAGTATCCGCTCAAGGAATCGACAGAAAATCCGCAATCGAGTCAGGTGTAGTTAAAGATAAAACTGGCTCGGAGTTCGACGCTGATGCAGACAAATAGCTGGCTTGTTGGACAGGTGCTCGAGGATGACTTGCTTTCGCTGGAGTGTCGCCTGAAGCTCCGCGTAGCGCGGCGACGAGGACAACCCCACATTGGGGGGAAAAGGGAGCTTGGACCACGGAGCGGCCAGGGCCGCAATGGGGCAGCCATTCTGGCAGATTCTCGATTACCTCACAACATGGCAATGTGTTCTTTTGCCGAACAAGGAAAGATGCCAGCTTTTCCTTCTCACGCCGCCGTCCGGACTGCAAACCCAGCACCCGGCGACTGAACAATATATGCCTCGGCAGCATTCCCATCTGGCCTCGATGAAATAGGTCCATCCTCCAGCTTCCCTTTTTCCTTCTCCCAGCTTAGCCTGCCGTTCTACCGTACACATCGCAGCAGCTTGCTTTGTTTCTCCACACTTGTTGGAACAGCTTCGCTAGCTTCGCCAGCTTTGCCATGCATCACCCCACCATCTGCGTCCTGGCAGTCAGCCTGCTGTCTGCGCTCCCCGGGGCCCAGGGGATATACACCAAGAAATCTCCTGTTCTTCAGATTGATGCGAAGAACTACGATAGACTGATTGCTCAGAGCAATTATACTTCTGTAAGTGGAACAGAGGAATTAGAAGTGCAATTTAGATTGCTGACTCCTCCATCTTTAGATCGTCGAGTTCTACGCCCCATGGTGCGGCCACTGCAAGAATCTCAAGCCAGCCTACGAAAAGGCAGCCAAAAACCTCGAAGGGCTCGCCAAGGTTGCGGCAGTGGACTGCGACGATGATGCGAACAAGCAGTTCTGCGGCTCGATGGGCGTGCAGGGCTTTCCGACACTCAAGATCGTCCGCCCAAAGAAGGGTGGTGGCCGGCCGGCGGTCGAGGATTACCAGGGCCAGCGGACAGCGAGTGCCATTGTTGAGGCGGTTGTGCAGCGCATCAATAACAATGTTGTGAAGCTTGAGGACAAGAATCTGGGCAAATTCCTGAGTGACAAGAACGACACAGCCAAGGCTATCCTGTTTACCGACAAGGGCACTACCTCGGCTTTGCTGAAGAGCATCGCGATCGACTTTGCAGATGTCATCACAATCGGCCAAGTGCGGAACAAGGAGTCGAAGACAGTGGAGACGTTCGGGGTGGACAAGTTTCCAACCTTGGTGCTGCTCCCGGGAGGCGATGCACCTGGCGTTGTCTATGACGGCGAGATCAAGAAGGAGACCATGGTCAAGTTTCTCTCGCAGGCCGGAGAGCCGAACCCCGATCCGGCGCCACCCAAGGCAAAGGGAGAGAAGAAGGAGAAGAAGTCATCAAAGGCGCAAGCCAAGACGGCCTCGTCTGAGACATCATCTTCGGCAGCCGAGTCCCAGTCCGAGACTCCTACCCAACAAGCGCCAGTCATTGTGGAGACTGCGCTGCCGATTCCAGCCGTCAATACCCCCGAGAAGCTGATCAAAGAGTGCCTGACAGAGAAGTCCCACACCTGTGTGCTGGCATTTGTCCCGTCGGGCGAGGACGAGAATGCCAAGGAGGCACTCGCAAGTCTTTCCGAATTGGCCTTTAAGCATGCCCAGAGCAAGCGCCATCTATTCCCCTTTTTTGAGGTTCCCAAGAGCAATGAACGCGCTGCGTCTCTTCGCAAGGCGCTGGACTTGAGCAAAGATGTGGAGATCATCGCGATCAACGCCCGCCGAGGATGGTGGCGACACTACCAGGCGGCCGACTTTGGCCGCGTGAACGTTGAGAATTGGATTGACGCGATCCGTCTCAGCGAGGGAGTTAAGAAGAAGCTACCTGAGGGTATCGTTGCCATCTCCGTCGAGGAGCAAACGCCGGAGCCAACACCGGAAGAAACACCAGAACCAACTCCCGATGCCACAGAATCCGTCAGCAGCGAAGAGGCAACGCCAGTCACTCCCGAGCCCAGCATCGACGCTGCTAGCGACTCGTCCGAGTCCACGCCAACGCAAACTGTCGACCCCACTGTGGAGCCAGAGACTGCGGCAGAGACACCGATCAAGCACGAAGAGTTGTGATGCGGTCGGCTGGCCGGTTTTACGTTTTACTAGGTATGTCTGTCATTTAGCTGGGAGCTCTGTAGCGCTGGTCATCATTTAGTCATGGAAAATTGAACTTGGAAACATTAAAAGGCATTGAGATGTGGGCGAGGACACAAGGCTGGCAAGATAGGAGAATGAGTCTTCTCACCTAAGCATAATGTCATGGTTGTCATAACATTCGTAATTCGGACCCGAACCGACCCATCTAACGGTACACCCAGAGGTTGTAATTAAATGCCGGGCTGTTATTAGTCGACGTCCATGTCGTTCAGACCAACTCCCTTCTCCACTGTGCCCTCTTGCACCATACGACGTCCCTTTTCCCGGACTACACGATCTAATATCTCTCTGACTTGCTTACAACCGTCGACGCCTACCGCCAACATGCCCTCTAAACGGCTTACCTGCACCCTGCTCTCGCACACCAGCACTGTCACACGGTCACTGTCGCCGAGCGTAGCGACGGTCAAGCCCGGCAGCTCCTGCTCCTCTTGGTGATTGAGATCTAAGAGGGGGTCTGCGGCTTCGTCGTTCGCAGCATAGGTAGATGTCGAACCCGCAGTGCAGGCCGCCATGTAGTCCGTCATGGGGATGCCGGCGTCCACACACGCCAGCGTGGCTGCGTTTATAAGAGTCGCCAACAGCGATCCATCCTGCGAGAGGACGTGCAAGGAGATGTTGATGGCGCTGTGTGGGAACAGGTGCGTGTGCAGGCTGGCGGCGAGGGCGTTGGAGATGGTAGATTGAAGCTCGAGGATGCGTCTTGATTACAGACCGAGTTAGCCAACCAGTTACAGATATAGGAGCAAATACGGTAATACAAGGAAAACACAGATCCCACGCTGGGTCGGGCCGCCAACAGGCCAACCCCGGGGGAGGGGGACTATGGCTGCTAAGAAACGGAAAGAGATGAGCCTGCGGCCAGGGAAAAGAGCTTACTTGTCGCCCCTCGCGGTCCGCTTGCGGTCGACCGAGCTGAACCCGGCGATTACAATGCTCACGGCGACTTCGGCACCCTTGGACTGTGCCGCCCCGCCGCCCGCCCCGCCGCCTCCAACCCCGCCGCCCGTGCTGCCGATTGCACCGCGGCGAGAACCAGGCTCGCTAGGCCCAGTCACTACGCACATGACCTTGGTGTGTCCAATCTCCAGGTAGCTCGAGCCATCTGCCGCGGCCTGCGTGCGGATCTGGGCGTGGATGCGCCGCAGCTCGTTCCACCTTCGCCCGTCGACGCGGAGCAGCGCAAGGTTGTAGGCCGACGTATCGAGGGGCATCGTCTCTGTATCTGTCTGCGCCGAGGAAGTGGAAGTGGAAATGTGAGAAAGATTACGGAGCTGTCGCTGCCTGTCTCTCGCTGTCCCTGGAGAATGCCGTGTCGGTCCGCTCCGTTGCTGACGAACCTCGAAATATGAGCTAGGGCGGATCTTACTCGCCTCGTCGGTCGCGGGCGCAAAAAGGCCAGAGGCCCAGTGATGTGGCCTTGCTTGGGAGAAACCCCGGCTGCTTGGCAAACTAGAGAATTGAGTTTCTGGCGTGAGTAGACTGGTTCCGAGGTTGTGGGTGGTGCAAGATCGTGTCCGGCTGGCTGGTTGTTCAATTGTCACGGGTTGATGACTTTTCGCAGCTCTCGAATCCACCAACCAATGCCCAAATTTAGAGCAGGATAAGTGCTTGGTGGGATGGAGCGTGACGCGCCAGCACAAATCTTTCCTGTGGATGAGTGCGGATGTGGGGCCGGCATTGTGGGTCAGAAGGCTCTTCATCCAATAAAGTGCTCAGGCAAATGTTCCGTCTTTTTGTCTTGTGGGGGGGAGCCCACGAGTGCCGATCACAGATCTGATCCAGACATCTGGTCTATTTCGTGCGAGGCCCAAACTGGCCCAAACTCAATACCTTCCTGCCCGTCCAAATGCATTGGACACAATAAACTCTAGATGAAATTGGCCGCTGAAAGGTCGCGCGGCTACGGTTACAGTCTGGATAAGGCCGAGCCCGTGGAGGTAAACAAGGTATAAACATGGCGGCCACGCTGCGTTTGCATGTCACACTGTATGGGGTATCCGACGCAGTGCTACTGTGTTGGGATCGCTAGGCCTCGTACGTCTGCCTTCGTCTGCCTTCGTCTGCCTTCGTCTGCCTTCGTCTGCCTTCGTCTGCCCTCGTCTGCCCTCGTCTGCCCTGCAGTGAGCGTTTCAGGAATGCGGGGTGAAGCAGCGTAGCTCTGTGCACCAAAACAAAATGATTGGGCGACGGTCCAAACCCTGGGCGAGTAGCATCGTCCCATTGCAAGTTCAGAGGGCCAAGAGGGCACCGGTTAACAGAAATCAGGCATATCCACCAACGATAGTGTTAGCGTAGTCTTGCCGCGCTGGCGCTCTCGTCTCAATTCCCGCCGCCCAGACGCCGACGGAAATAAGGCCACGGCCACGCCAGTCGCCACGGCCAACCGACAATCTTCACCAGCCCTGACCGAGAGAGATAGCTACGCCTCGGTCCGCCAAATGCGCTACGGGAGCAACGCGGCCAGGAAACTCGCGCAAGCGCATCTGGGCCATGGCCTGCAAGGAATGCGGTGGAAACTTCCGAGATCAGCAGCACTTGTTGACGTCCACGACCGGGTCGTGCCTGGCAGATGTGCCTGAAAAGCTGGCCAAGTCCGCATTAGTCCCGGCTTGCGTGGCACTATGGATCCAGCAAGCAACACGTTGGCTGTGCGCGTGAGCCGGGACAAAACAAGCTGTTGGCCGAAATGGGCGCTGATTGATTGACGCTTCCCGCAGATGGCGTGGGTGCCGTGGGTGCCAACCGGCAAGAGACCGGCTTAGTGCCAATCGTGGCGGCGGGGCCAACCTTGATCCCAAAGGCCAATGAGAGGCGATTGGGACCTGCGTGCCCGGGGGCCAAGGCGAGAGCACAAATTGAGCCGGGATTTATTAGCACGCTTCCAGGCTCATTTCCTGGCCCCCCTGCTCTCCAATCTTGGGTCGTCTCTCTTTTCGACACACCATTTATCTGTCTCTCCTTTCCTTCTTGCTTCTTCGAACGCCGTCGCAGTTTCGCGCTTCCATCCACTCTTTTTTCGAGATATCGCATCTCAGCCGCTCCTTTGGCATCGTGCTAGGCATCACGGTCGTAAATCGCTGTCCCGATTGCAGAGCATCGATTGCACGCATCGCCTACCACCGCACCCTGACCCCGGAAGCATTGAGAATTCGGCAGATAACGGTTTGAAACCTCGAAGAGTCTCGCCCACACGCGCCTACCTGCTTCACCAAGCTCACATCACAAGACGTCTCGAACGATCAAAACGAACAACGCAACGACTTCACACGTCATATAGACACGCCTTTCGGCAACATGCAACTCTCACACTTTCTCTTCGTCGCCGGCGCCATTGGCGCGGCGGCGCACCCTTCTGGGCACCACGTCCACCGCTCGGCCCACTTGAAGCAGCGCGATGCGCTCGAGTTCGTCAAGACTGTCCACACCACCGAGGCGGCCAACCCCGCCGCCGCCGCCGCCGCCCCCTCGGCGTCACCCGCGGTCCTCAAGGAATCTGCTACTCCCACGCCCTCTCCCTCCGCGTCGGCAGCGCCCGCCTACACCCCTTTCTGCGGCGCCAACGCTAAGGTGAAGCGTGCAACCCTGGGTCAAATCCTGTATGAAGGCAACACTGGAAAGGCCAACGGTTGCAAATGGGGCTCCAACTTGATGGTCGTCGACAACTCGATAGCCGACAAGTACGACCGCGTCATGACGTACACCAACCACGATTCCGTTCCCTACCAGGTTATCTGCGCCAACAAGATCGGCCCTGACGGGGCCATGACGCCCATGTTCCCGACCGATGGAGAACTCAACTTCTCAGTGGCGCCCGGTCAGACCAAGACCGTCGTCGCTGACATCAACAGCCAGGGCACATGCGCGTTTGCTCCCAACGAGATCCCGAAAGCGGAGAACGGCCAGTACGCAGGGCTTTGGATCGAGTTCGACGTCGGCAACACTAGCAACGGCGGGTGGTCGGGCGCCGACTGCTCGGCCCTGGTTGCTCAACACTATGGTCTTTCTGTCCCGACGGGCTCCGTCTGCAACTTTGGCACCACATACTGCTCGCACATGCTCCCCGGCGGCACGGGAGATAACGCATACACCAAAGGCATGGAGGCCGAGGATGGTGTTGGCCTCAACTTGAACTCGCCCAAGGTCCACCTGGAGATTTCCATGGGCCAGTACTAGATGGATGTGTAGTCACTTTCCAAAGCCTTCTTACAAGCCGACGGTGTTCCAAGCAACAGGGGCACCTGATAGGGGATGATTTTTTTCCTTTTTTGCTTCTGCTTTTATGGGCTTGTCTTCTGACATGTTTGTGTCTGGGCCAATTTTCTTTTTTGGATCATGATGGATTTTGGATAGGACATACCCCAGGGCAAGGAATAAGGTCACACTCCTGTACATTTCCCGATCACCATCCAGACACAGATACCGCAATGTCAAACGAGTTGTTCAGAGCTGCTTTGTTGTTTTTCGCCAAGCCAACGCGGTATCCTCTTTAGGCAGAACTAATTGTTTCCGTGGCATCCTGGTAAACATGCCGGGTGTTATGTTAATCCCGGGAAACTCAGTATGCTAATTGACCAGACAATTGGAAAATCGCGGCGATCAGGCAATCAGGGCTGTTTAACCAAATACAGGGACCGTGTTGTTTTGAGTAGACAAGATAAGGTTATTTTGGCCTGTGCCTTTCCTCGTCCAGTGCTTGGTTCTTCTTTTCCCGATCCGATGTTTGTACGATCCTACCCGCACGCACCGGCAGTCCTTTTCCGAACCTTATCTATATGGCCCTAGCCTATAGGCTGCCGGGACGCCCCGTGGCCTGAAGTCCGAACAACCTCGGACTCTCCGCAGCCACGGGATAGGACCCTCTGGCGACCCCCCTTGCACGGCAGCTGTACGGCGCCGGACGCGGGGTATCCAGGCCCGGCCATAGGTCAACTGTTGCGAGGTGGGCTTGCTCCGTCATCCGCGGCTACGCAGACATGGTCTCGCCTGTCCTAGACATATCTTGTACACGTAGTACAAACGTAGTACAAACGTATTACACCATTCCTCGCTTGTTTGTCTGGTAGGGAAGCCAACAGAAAGTCGGTCCACTCCCGCGCCTGTGCGCTGTGCGGGTGCCCTCTCGGTCTAGGATGGCGGTTTCACTGCATCGTTCGTCTCGTCTCTTTCCGAGGGCACGCCCCGCGGGGGAGGACTCATGTTGGACGACATCAACCCCTTGGATGGGTTCACTCTACCCTACGGAAGCGAACCGGCCCGCACTGCAGGCAACCTACGCAACCCACCCCGCGTACTGGCCTCTTGATGGGCAACCCGGAAAAGGTAAACATGTAACACAGCCTGCAGGATAGCGAATAGTGCTTCGTCTTATAGCGCTTTGTGTTTCGAAACAACCAGGTGGAAAGGGGACGGATGCTGCACAGCGCTCTCTCTTGCGGAAAGGCTTCCTGCCATGTGAGGACAGAGCTGTCCTCCCCTTCTGTGGCACAGTGACATGTTTCCGCCGTGATCAGTCAGGCAGGGAACTATTTGGCTCGCTCTAGAGTCTAGACTGTACGGATCCGTATATGAGACCAGTCACTGCATCCTCCTTTATTTTCCCTCCCCGTCACAGCTTCCCGGTCACTTGCTTACCAACCTCCCTCGCTGGCTACCAGTTAATTACTTCTATGCCGAGCCGCTGGAGTTGTCGTCGATAACTGGTTGACGGAAATGGTAAGCTGCAGGGCCACGTCTGCAGGGCCGCGTCTGTAGGGGGTAGTCAAGCAAGCCGGCAAGTTGCTAAGCTTCTATTCGGTTTCATGACCCTCTGCTGCTGTGAACCCGCGAGCCTCTGCCGGTGCAGCTACCTGGGCTAGCACCCAGGCTATAGTATAACACGAAGATTGGCGCCGGGAGGTGCGAAACCGAACTTTGTGCTTCTCGGTGCGCCTTGAGGAAAGGTTGCAGTTCATACCTAGTTAGCATACTACCCGCCCAACATCGGATGCGTTGGCAACAGGCTATTACATTTTGACCTTTTCCTCAATTCCTTTTTGTGGCTCCTCTCATGTTGTTCTGCGTCTCTCCTTTACCCATCTACAGTCTAGTCCTGGATTTTTTATTAACGGGGGACTTTCTAAGATCTGAAAGGCCTTAGCAACGTACGGTTCGTTCTAAAGACTTCCGCCGAGGTATGTATTAGCTCTTAGAGTCCGTATTTTAGAATCGTGGAGGACTACCCACCTCTTCACCAACTATTAGAGAGATTTCCTAGCCGGATTTTCACATTATTCTTTTCATTCTTTGTCTGTACTACGACAATGAATATTCAAGCACTGGAGTGTAGACTTGGTTTATAGATCAAGTCCTTGGCTTCTTTAGAGGGCTTCATGAATAATCATATCGCCAGGTTTGGCTGTAGTTCGTTGGTTGTCTATGCAAAGAAAATATCGGAAAGCGAGGGAGTGTAAGCGGTGTCGTTTACAAGCTATAATATTTACCTGGAAGTCAGGCAGGCTAGCAACTCCTGGGTCCCTTGCAGTGACCTTGTGAGGGTTTCCTCCGCCGAGAATGAGAGGAGGTTAAGTTGTGAAATTCTATCTGACCTCTAATACAGCTCTTGAAAACAGAGAGGGATTTATTTTCACATAATACTTTCCTCTGGATTAATCAGTCTGGAAGTGATATTTTGCACATATTGGGACTTTGATGCAAATTTTTTTCTCGTCTAATGAAGAATTGGTGTTACGAGACCAAGTGGTATTGCCTTTTTTCTGAGGGTGGGCAAAGGAGCGACTCATTATAATTTTTACATAGGGGGTTGAAAAGTCGAGGACTAATAAATATTTTAGTCTAGCTATCTCGAAGTAGTTACATAAAGGCCCGTTCGATGGTAGACCGAAGTTTGGAATGAAGAGTTGCCCTAGCTATTTGATGCAATGGCTCAATGGATCCAGCCAAGAACTGTCCTCGCCGAGTTACCACCTTGGTGTTTGGGTTGAGTCTTGAATCACTTGGTCGATTTACTTACCGCCCGCGGCACGTCGGAAAATGTCACAAGTCCATCAACCAAACCTCGTAATGACAAAAGGTTAGGACAAAAACAAAAGAATGGCAAAAAGAATAAACTAAATAGTCGTAGGCCGGATTTGAACCGACGCTCCCGAAGGAACAAGATTTCTAGTCTTGCGCATTAGACCACTCTGCCACCACGACTCGTGGTTCAGCTTTGATTCGCTGCTGCTAATGACTACCAAGCGAGTAAATGCAGCTTACCAAGGCAGGCGGGCGGGCATTTTTGCTGTCGAGGAACGGCCAGCCGCTTACCCTTTCCCGTGGGGTGGATTGCAAGTGGATACATCACTGAGATTCAGGGGTGGAAGAGGGGCGAATGTGCTGAATTTTGACTATAGCGTCTCTGGGCATCCGAGGTGGGCATCGCATCTAGCCCGTCCAATTGCCCTCGCACGGATTGCCTGGCCCACGTGAAAGGTGTTTGCATGCCGGGACCTGAAAGCTACATAGCTACAGAGTTCAGTGTTGCATCAAGACATTTCTAGAAGCTAATTGAAGATACCGGCTGAAAAGTCGACGACAACTGTCTTCAACTCCTCCACCAATTCGCCAATGATGGCCTTGAAGGCCTGGTGCGCAGGGTCTGTGTTCACATAATACTCTCTGTCCACGGGCGAGGCAAACTCAACGACAAAGCCATGAGTAACGCCGCGCTTTTGGGATGGACGGTCAGCAGGACGAGGACAACTGATGTGGGAAATTGGGAAGCCATGCCTGGAGACCTTCGAGCGAGTTATCTTTGCCTCCCTTGAGGGAGAGAATGTACGGGGTCGTCGTGCCCGGGAGGACGCAGGCGTCTTTCAGCGCGAGGAAGCTCTCACATGCCTGGCCACAACATCAGCGCCTGCCTGCGGCACGCTGTGGAGGTGCGTGAATAGTTGAGACGTACTTTGTTCACAACCTCTGGTGCGATGCCTTGCTTGAACCCTAAGAGGACGACGTGAGTGATAGACATGGTGTTGGGTGTTGGATCAAAAGAGCCTAGAGATTGATGTCACGCACAGCGAGCGGGGTACCAAAAGCTGTCAAAAAAAGGCAGTTTCGACTGAGGGCAAATGGCGACAACGAGGGAGGAGCCCTATTTTACAGTGAAAATAATGCCTTTCAGCTTGCATCGGCAACGCCATTGTCGACCATTTTGGTTTACCACATATTGCAGCTCAGCTTGCTGTCAACAGCGCTAATGTCGATTATTTTGTGTAGTTTGGCTGACTACATTGCAGCTCAGCTTGCATCCATAGCGCTGCTGTCGGCAATTCAGGCATTCTGCTTCGGTTCAGAGAGGCAGAAAAGCGAACGAACAAGTCTAAAGTCGGAGCACTGGGTCGCGGCTTCTCCCCACTTGCGCATATGTGTACATGTACATCGGGTTCGTCGACGCCCATCGTGAATGATCCTCCTGTAGGGGATTTCTGTAGCAGCCTACCCCGTGGGTGATTTCTGTAGCAGCCTACCCCGTAGGTGGCGAGGGGACCTTCCTGTAGGAACTGAGCAGCCAGTGCCCCTGACCCCGCACGCCTTCGGCCACAGCACAAGAAGCCCCACCAAACACCCGCCCACTTACCTTACTTTCTAGTCTTCCGCGGCTTGCCCCACTACGGTCAATTCTGCCCGAGAACCTGGGGGCTTCCAGACGGCGATCTTGCCCGTCTTCGGTGGACCATAGCGGCCTTCAACAACGTCGAGACGCCGCTAGCAGCTCCATACCGGGCCCCGGGCGCACTGCACGTCGTGCACTGTCGACATGGCCTTTACCAGTAAGTGCCTATACCAGTAAGTGTTCATTTTCGCTCGCTGCCTTCCACCCACGCTGCGTCATCGCGCACGAGCATCAGTGGTTGGGACGTATGTGCCAATCCAGCACAAACAGAAACACAAACACAAACAACAAGACACGAAGAAGTCAAAGCTATTAGGCAAGGCAGCTAGATACCTTGGGTACCGCTGTGCTGACCTCGCCCCCAGATACTTTGCGCCGGACCAGGCCACGCGCCCTAGCTCGTCGGATGCCGCGCTGTCGGCCTTTGCCCAGCTCGCCGCGCTGTCGGCCTTTGCCCAGCTCGCCGCGCTGCGCCTGAAGCACGCGCGCCTTGATCTCGCTGGTCCACCGGGCTAACTAGTACATCCTCACTGAGGCTACCTAGACATCTGGTCTCTTGTCGGGCGCCACCCAAGACGGCGACGATGGACTGTTGTTTGGCGCCACGACTCTGCCCAGTTCCCTCGGGCTCTGCGGAAGCGCCCTCGAGGTGCTCTCGGCGCAGGATGATGGCCTGCGCCAGCGGTCGTGGCGCGTCGTCCCCCTGATAGTGAACGACCTCGCCGAGGACCACGAATTCAAGAGGCACCCCTTTGTGGCCACACACCCCTCGGTGCGCTTCTTCACCGCTATGCGCATCACCACCAAATCGGGCTTCAACATCGGAACCCTGTCCGTCAGGGCGACGAGTCCCGCCAAGGACTGAGCCAGGCCGAGACCAAGTTTCTGCGCGACATGTCGCTTACCATCATAGCCCATCTTGTCATGACCAGGGCCGACGAGAGCCACAGACGCAGCGAGACGATGATAAAAGGCCTCACCGTCTTTATCGAGGGCCGTACCGACCTCGACGACTGGTGGCTTGGCCTCAGGAGCAACAAGCCGCGATCGCGATCGCCACAACGAGCGTCGCGTCCCCAGCCCCAGCCCCAGCAGCACAAGCCCCAACCGAACTCCTCTCAAGAGGTTTTGGCCGCAGCCGAAGACACCAATGGGGATTTGGTAAATGGAGACGTGGCAGATCATAGCCCAGTGTCTGCCCCTGTCGAACCCGTCAAGGCCGACGTCGCTGATGCTCCGTTGCCTGCTGAAGCAGAAATATTGCCCCAGGAAACTCCTGGGACTGGCCTCTAATTTCAAGTTTCGCCATCTCGAACACCCCCAGGAGAGTCACTCTGATCTCCAGGGCCTCCAATGCCGGACGCTCGCGTCGGGCGCATTCATACCGTGTTGGCGGACCGAGGTCGATTCTCTCAGACGCCGAGGCCGACGCGCAGATTCGTCCACCACGCCCAACTAGAGGGCCGAGCGTTGAATCCTTTGCCGCCGACTTTCATGAAAGCCTCATATCAAAGAGGCTGAAGGAGATGTCTTCCCGTGCTAGCCATATTATCCAGGAGTGCATCGAGGTCGACGGCGCAGTGTTTCTTGATGCCGCCGTCAGCACCTAGAGCGGACAGTCAGGTGAGCAAGACTTTTTCCATTTATTTCTTTTTTATTTCTTTTACTTCCTTTTTTTATTTTCCTTCCTCCTCATATTTTAATGGAAACCCTAACCCCCCCTTTCATTAATTCATCGTTTATTGGTGACCTGGCAGGCTGACACACCGCAGCTGATGAGGACGCGTCCGAACCGGAAGAGTCGGAGGAGTCTAGCCTGGAAGCTTCGAGCGAATTGGCAAGTTCAAACCACTCCGATGAGGGCTTTGGTGAAAAGAAAATAGGCCAGCGAAGGAGGTCGTGGAGCTAGTGAGGGAAGATCATGAGACAAAGCCGTGCCGAGTGCTTGGGCTTTGGACAGGAGAGCATTCGAGCCTGCACGGGAGAAAGGTCTCGACACTGATCCCCTCACAGAATCATTTCTCCGGCCTCTCCTTCAGAAATACTCCCAGGGGCGGCACGTATTCAGCGCAGATGAGGCGCGCCATGCAATGTCCAACAACCACACAGAAGACTCGGATGGGGGGCAAGGGACGGGCAGATCGTCCAAAAAGAGGCAAAAACGGCATCCCAAGGAGCCCTATCCCAAGGAGCCGGACGAGTATGCCAAAACAAAAGCGCTTCTGGGAATGTTGCCCGGCACGCGGAGCATTGCCTGCGTCCCGCTCGGGACTCGCACGGGGAGGGGTGGTTCGCTGGGAGCTTTATGTGGACCGTTCAGCAAACGAGGCGCGTGCCCACCCGCACCGAGGACTTGGATTATCTTGCTGCCTTTGGAAACAGCATCATGGCCGAAGTTGCCAGGCTCGATGTGGTTGGCGCCGATAGCGCCAAGTCGGACTTCATCTCGTCCATCAGCCACGAACTTCGCTCGCCCCTTCACGGCATTCTTGCCTCGGTCGAGTTTCTCCAGGATACGACAGTCGACATGTTCCAGCATAGTATGGTTGACACCACCGAGCGACGTGGGAGGACGCTGCCTGATACGATCCAGCACGTGTTAGATTTTGCAAAGATCAACAACTTTACTGGAAGTAGTACGAGAGAAAAAGAGAAGACACGAGAAGCTAAGGAAGCTGGCGTACCATTATCACCCGAAGCAGAAAACTCGCGCCTAGCTGTGAACGTCACGGGTTTGGCTGTCAGTGTCGACCTCAGCTTGCTTACCGAGGATGCCATGGACTCGGTGTTTGCCAGCCACGAATTCTCTCAGGGCAACTTCTCGCGTCTGGTTGTGGCTGGCGGCGAGACCGGATTCCCAAAGGAAGGCCTCCGGAGGACTGGCGCCCACGACGACGGCGACGACCCCCCTGGTCCTAAAAAGACGTAGTCCAAAAAAGAGCGAATTGATGTTATGATCGACATTTGCTGGAGACCCAATTGGACGTACAACACTAAATCCGGGGCGCTGAGGCGAGTTTTGATGAATCTCTTTGGCAACGCCCTCAAATATACGGACAGCGGATGGGTCAAGGTTTCTCTCAAAGCCCAAGACATCGAGCCAACGGCGCCACTAGAACTAGAGAAGTCTATCATTACAATCACTGTCAGCGACAGCGGCAGAGGAATCGAGCAGGAGTACTTGCACAGTCGCCTGTTCACCCCCTTCACCCAGGAGAACCACCTGAACCCCGGAACCGGGCTGGGGCTGTGCTCCAGATTGTGCGCTCGCTTGGCGGGATAATTAACATCACGAGCGAGCAGGGCGTTGGCACCAAGGTTGTGGCGGCGCTTACCTTGAATAAGGCCCCGGCTGGCAAATCCCCCACACCTGGTTTTGACGTCGAGAACATGATCAAAGATGCGAGGGAATAGATAAAGGGACTAATCGTTGGCCTCGTTGGTCTCAGTTCCGAGACATACGTTGCTATGAAACGGGCCGCGGGCTCAAAGCTCAACCCAGAGGCCTCCAGGAGGAGGGGTCGATCGAAGCCGCAGCCAGCCACCGGTTTGACATGAAAGTTTCGCCCGCGTCAACGTGGAAAGTTTCCCCTCTAGATATTTTCATTGCAAACGAGTGAGTACACCCGTCTTCGCTATTAGGTGAACCGCACGCATGATGCTGATTCGAAATCTGGGAGCCTGGGCCTTCGCAGTGCATTCCCCGGGGTGTCAATTATCATTCTCTGCTCCCACGAAGCTCTGTATCGCGAGCATAGCTAGAGAATTGCGCAGGGCGGAGCTGCGCGTCAAAATGCAGCTATCCACTTTGTCTCTAAACCGTACATATCCCACTGTCTTCCAGCACGAATCCCTTGTCCTCCCCCAGACTTGACGATGCTACCCGAATCTTTCCTATCCTGACAGATGCGGCCCTCATAAGTTCGCCAAAGCTTTCGCGTTATGCCTCGGCAACAAAGGAATTTTGCCCTTTTCTCCCGGGTTCGGAGTTGGCGTCCCGCTGGACATGGCCTCCCCTCAGAGCCTGTTCCGAAAATCTCCTGAAGAGTACATGTCTCGGATGGGGCAGGACACTACGGATGGGATAGGACACTACGGATGATTTAAACTTCCCTCCAACGCCCGCCTCGAGATCGATTGACAATGACATCGACCCCTTGGCCGCCATGGGCGCCGTAATGGCCGTAGAAGAAATAACACACGTCCCTGAGAACCCCAAGCCGCTATTGCTTCTGGTTGAAGACATTGTGATTAACTTACAGGTTGGTCGCCCGTTCTCGAGCATATCATGCGTTTCTGGGAACTGGAGGCGTTGGGATCAGCAGCTGACATGTCGTCCAACCAACTATAGCTTCTTACCACGTTTGTAACGAAAGTTAAATACGAGTTCGCAACAGCGGAGAATGGCCTTATTGCGCTGGAAGCTTGCCAGAATGCAAAGAGATCTTTCGACATAATATTCATGGGTAAGCCGCCCTCTTGACCATGGTCCGGCATAATGCTAAACTGGCCTAGACGTTTTGATGCCCGTTATGGATGGAATGGCGGCCACGCGCGAGATCCGAAGGTTATAACGCAGCAGGCGGCAGAAGCCCGCCCTAACCATTGCCCTGACGGGCCTCGGCTCGGCTAGCAGCTAGTAGGAGGCATTCACGAATGGCTTCAACGTATTCCTGACGAAACCGGTCCGCTTCAACGCCCTACGTAAGATTCTGACCGAATGGACGCATGATGCCGAAGCGGAAAAGAGCAGCAGCGTCGGCATCTTGGGTTAGATGCGCGGGGTTTTCGATCACTCATTAGCTAAGGGAGGTTTATTATTGCAAAGGCTCGGTAGGTTCCGAAGGAAGTAAGTACCTCCCCACCCTGAGTTTCTTTTCTTTTTCTTTGCTCTCGTCTTTGTTTTCTTTCATCTAGTTACTGATGGCCAAGGCCATGCGACAACAGGCTCGTCGGGCACTGCCGCTTGGCAATATCGCTCTTCGAAGACGTAATCATGCTAGGTTGCCTCTAGTCTTTTGACCGTTTCGGAGACTAGGGGGCGTTTGGCATGTTTCGGGTCGTTGTCGAGTAGTGGCTCCCAGCCAGCTCGAGTGCCTGTCTACCTGACCCTAGCTCCTCACGTGAAACCGGTTGCCGTCTGATCTGACTATTAGCGTTCATAAACTTATGCCTATGCATCTCTATACTCGGACCTGTCTCCAGTCTCGTATCTGCTAGCAATAGGCAAATTAATGCGCGGATGTTGATGCTATTGGAACATGTGATTCAATTATTAACTATATCGGCGCCTATATTCATACTGATATCATCAATGCGTGGAGATAGTAGTATACCTTTTGTTTCACGCAAGTTTTAGGGAGTTTGCTTGCTGAAATATGAGTTCGAAGTTGATGAACCTTGGCGGGTCTGCATCATCTCTCCAGCCTCTGCTTGCTTAGCTGGACGGCAACATCGGCCGTGGCGCCGTCGATAAAGTCGTTCATTAACACGACCAGCTGCTCGGTGCCGCACGTCTGCAGCACATTGTCCCGGACCCACGGCAGCGTCTTGGAGTCGCAAACGCCTTTGGTAGCCAGCAGGCAGCTCGTGGTCGTCCCGGCCTCGAGCACCGAGTACACAATGGCCTTGGGTATGTTGCTGGCCGTAGCCTGCAGCTGGACATTGATGAAGGCCTTGCCACGAGCCTTGTCGGCCGACAGCACGCGCGGGAACTCGGCCACGATGCTGTCGCCGTTGAGCGTCGCGTTGCCCTCGTCCGTGTACGTCGACAGCGAGTCCACCCCGACCACCACAATCAGCCGCTTCTTGTCCCGCCGCAGCTGCCCGATGCTCGCCCGCCGCAGATCGTCCTCTCCGCCGACCGCCAGCTCGCCGTGCGCCTGCCCCAGCGCCGCGTCCAGGTATTCGCGCTGCTCTTGGTCTGACGGCCGTGCGCAGTCGTTTGGCACGCCATCCCACCGCAGCTGCACCACTACGATCTCCGTCGGGTGCGCCAACAGGAACGACACCACCCCGCGCAGGAACTCCTCGTACGCCATGCCCGGGATCGCGCTGTGCTGGAAGTACAGTCGGTCGGGCAGGGCGCCCGTCGGGACGATGGCCTTGTGGCTGTTGAGCGTTGGTTAATTGCCCAGCTCTAGTGACTGAAAGGTCATGAGACTGTTGAAGAAGAAAACTCACCAATGCGCAGGCCGGAACTCAAAGTAGCGGGCGCCGATCTGCAGCATGGCGTCCAGGCTGTCCTTTTGCGTCATGGCAATGCTGAAGATGATGTTGGGGGCAATGAGCGAGATGGCGCCGCCCGAGACGGCGTCTGTGATCTGGCCCAGCACCTTGCTCTCGACCATGGTGGTGACGATGGCGCCGCCGACGCGCTTGAGCACGAGCTCACTGCTCTGCATGCTGTTCATGCCGACGTCGTGCGCCGACGGCAGCACGAGCCGGCTCAGCGGCTTCTGCTCGAGCGGCGAGCCCGCCGGCGCCACGTCGCCGATCCAGCGCGCGTAGTTGGGCGCCACCGTCACGTAGCACTGGTGCCGGCTGGGCAGCACGCCGTGGCCGGGGCCCGCCTCGTACAGCCCGTACGACACGACCACGTCGCTGCCGTGGAAGACGGACGGCGTGTTGCTGATGGTGTCCATGGTGCCGCCGCTCGCGTTGCCCGTGATGGCGTTCACGTCGATCCACTGCTCCGTCACGAGGGTGCCGTTCTGCCACACCTTGAAGGTGAAGCGGCCCTTCTTGTCGAAGAAGCTGTCGATGTTGCGCGCGTCTACCTCCATGCTGCCGCTCCAGAACTGCCGCAGCTCGTTGCGCTGGATCGTCTGCTTGGGCACCGACAGCTCAATCGAGCAGCCGGCCACGGCGATGTACGTGTACACCTGGACTCCTTTGCTCGGCATTTTGTTTTGGGTTGGTGCTTGCTCGCTGCGGAGGTTGTGAGAGGTAGGTATACCGGCCAGTGTATTTACCGGGACAGCAAAAAGGGCGACCGAGACGGCGGGTCGGCGGGTCGGCGGGAGCCCCGAGATCGGCAGTGGATACTTCTCCTGTACCATGTATCTGCACCCGAGTCGTGGGGACGGCGAGATGCAAGGGTATTTGTAGGTCTGTCTGTGACTCGCCCGAGTCAGGATCAGGAGGGCTGGCCAGCTGATTCGACCACGGGGTTGTGCGAGATCCAGCCACGTCTTTTGCTGTTAACAACTGAGGGGTCACCTTGGGGTCTTGGGTCTTGGGTCTTGGGTCTTGGGTCTTGGGAAGAGGGCTTGCATCGCCACAGGCGCGCGCATGAGCTCTTCTGCATGTTCCCAGCCCTCGCTGGGGCGCGGCCTCTGGGGTCCACGAATGTGGAGAGCTGAATGGCCCCGGCCAGCCCACTCGGCGCTGCAAGCCAAGCGCCAAGCAATGCAGGTAGGTGATGAGAGGGATAATTAGCTATCGTCTCCAAAAAGTGCGAGAGGGGCTGCATGAGCTGAGGGCCAGCCAAATAGGACAAATCCGAGTATTTGCTCGCACGAATTATCACCTTATACGGAGTAGTGTGTCGTAAGTGAAAACATGGCGATTGTTTCCCACAGCTCGGATGATGCTATAATCAGATGATGGGAATTCATGGTGCCTGGAGTTGATCGAGCCTGTCACGATGACTGCGCCACGTGATGGCGTAATCAATGTCTCAAGTGTGAATACAGCCGAATCCCGAGATGATTGTTGCCGCGATGCTTGTAAAAAAAAATTGTAATGGGATAACTAGGAATTTCACAAGATGAAATCGGGTTGGAAAAGCCTCTATCAAAGGCGTCTCGATAATTACCTAGATACCGGCTCAATTTGGGTCTCGGGACAACTCTTATAGGGCAAACTGCGGGGGCGACTAACTACCTAGGCTCCAGCCAACAATCATTCAGGGAAATGGGTGTATGTAATCCGCTGACCAAGCCACCAAAGGCCAGGTGGGGATACCCTATTGGTATCATTTGTGTGCTACGCTGGGTTGTCCCAAGTTGGAGGCTCTGAATTTGCAGTCTGGACGACAATTTGAGGAAATGGAAATTAGCTTCTAGATCTGGAGATACAATTTGAGTTGACGAGATACAGCATGTATGTGCATACATTCACTAGGTACTTTGAGTACGGTACCTACCTACCTCAGGAATGTCCCTTCCGATCGCATGCGGCAATCTCGATAATATACACCATCATCACGCGCTTCCGGGTTCTCTTATCAATCCCCGAATGATTATTAACGCGGTACCTAGGTAGATACTTCGGAACAATAAAGATTATAATTAGCAAATGAACCGCCTAGAAAAGCCATTGATGGGTATTTCTATGAGAAGGCCTACAAGAATTAAGAATTATATAATGAGGATTTTCTGTAATCCGGCAGCCTGCTTACCTGGCTCAAAAAACACCTACTTTCGGTGCTCAAGGCACTTTCAATCTGAAAGATCTAATGAACGGGCTGTCAAGCCCGGCCTGTGGAGTGGTGACATTTCTCAATTGGAATAGGCACAAATACATACCTTAGGTGGAAGCCGAAGTGCGGGGTTTCCTTGCATTACAGTGCTGCAATGTGCTGGGTGCCTGTTGTTGTGCTATACCAAAATTTGTCAAAACTGTTCACGCCCGCAGGCCGAAACAAGTGTGTGTGTCAGCTCTTTGGCGCTGCGCCGACCAACCGTATCCGAGTGATGGCCCTGCTCCTGCCCCTTCGGTTTCTCCGGCCGGCTCACCAGTATTTCTGTCTGCCACACTCATTTCCCCCCTCCCACTCCTGGCATCTCCGAAGGAGAAGGCAAAAAATCAAACGCTCCAAATTTTGAAATTCTTCCCTCGTCTCACCAATTTTTGAACCCTTGTCTCTCGCCAACGTCGCCAACCCAGTTCTCCGACAATCACACCCTCGATCCGATTTTGCTAAAAAGACGTTATCGGTGTTCAGACGGGCCTTGGCCACCATCGGATCGCCTCTCTCATAGGATTATTAATTGCCTACCTTGCTTAGGTTCCTTAGTAAGAGCCTGCTCCTGGCTTGATTCGGAGTCGTCGCCAATCCTGGCGTCGGCAATAAAGCGACGGCCCGTATCGGCGGTGGCGACCCGGGCTTGGATTCGCCCAGGTGACTCACTCGCCACACACGACCTGAGCGACCGGCTCGAGCTAGTCGAAGAGGGCCGAAAGGAAAAGAACGGTGTGTGTGGCTCCAGCTCAGAGTTCCTGCAGACACCAACATTTCTCGTCTCTTTTCTTCCCCCCTCTTTCCTTACCTCTTTCGCCGAGATCCGAAATAAGAAAACTCACCATTTCGCCCCATTCGGGGACAAACATCAATAGACATCGCGCGGAACCAAACAATCTGTAGGCCGAAAAGGTTTCGCAAAATGGGCGTCTTTCGCTTCCCCCAGATCTCCGTAGCCACCATCGCGCCCGACTGTCCTGAGTCGGACGAGGCTCGACAGGCCGCCGAGATCCTGCTGAGTCTTTGGTGGGGATCTGCGCTGTCGCCCTCGTCGCCCTCGTCGCCCTCGTCGGCGACCAGTTCGCCCGAGGCCGAGACGGCCCTCGGCAATCACGACACCATCATCATTCCCGCCCGTGTGCAGCGGAAGCGGAAGCGCGACCAGAAAAAGCAGCAGCAGAAGAAGAAAGCGACGACGCTAATCCTGTCCGGCTTCGAGAACGGGAAGCCTCGCTACACCGAGAAGGTCGAGGAAGTCAAGAACGAGATTGTTCATTCCTTTAGCCGCTGACCCTAGACTGACGAGAACCAAATGGTGAGCGAAATAACGCGCGACAATCAATAGCCACGCCGCCCCGTGTTCACCTCTCTATACCTAAATATCGACAGTATACTAAATGGCTATCCTCTAGGCCCGCATCTTTCCCTTCCCCGAGATGGTAACGAAGCGGCGGTCGGGTTTGTCCCTGCCATCCGCTCGCGGGCCATGACGATATAATGACGATAGTGACATCACGACGATGGACGGCGCAAACAGCGCCGCCCCTGTAGACGACGGAAGTATTTCCCGTCGTCGGCCTGGCTTTCACGACACCGATTAATTGATTATCGCGGGAATCAAACCCGATCGCGAGCAACGCCGACGGGCTGGCGAGCAGCCAACCTCTGTCGATTGATTGATTACGGCGCGCGCACGTAAGCATCGCCACCCGCGCTTGACGATCAATCCCGGTCGATCCGACTCGCCTAGAATAGGTTTTGCGCCATTTTAAAAAAAGCTCTTTGGCGTCTCGTTGGCGCATTCAAGCCGCTTACTTTTCCTGCGATGCTTGACGGGGCGGTACTCGAGCCGGATGGCTTCGGCGCAAAATCGCTCAGCCACGCCGGCTGCCTCGCCGCTGGTCCACGCGGCCTAATGCGGCGCCCAGGCCATCCCTCCCCCATCCCTGGACGGCGCGCGGCCGCGGCGCGCAATCCACAGACCGTCGCTGGAAATATCCTCAACGACCTCAACCCACACAGTCGGGGAGGCAGATTGACGGCGCACGCGCGACGCGTTACGAGCCGCTGCGACCGCCCCAACAGCACCATTGCGCTCTCCAGAAGCCGTCGCCTTCCCTATGACGGCCCAGCTGCCTGAGCTACACCACCAGCTGCGGGAGCACTGTAGCCGTTTGCCGCTGCCGATGGAGGAGTTACTAGCAACCATGCCGAACCAGCGAACCCATGCGTGCGGAAATCCGGCGCGTCGGAGCCGGTACGGAACGCCCGGACTAATTAGTCTTGGGGAGACGGGCTCCACCTACCGTTGCGCCTCGGCTACGAGATTGGGCCAAACCGACAGCACCTGCGCTGGTGCCGAACCGCTCGAAAGCCAGGGAAAGAGTCCCGCCACGGGCATTATCGCAATCCAGCTAGGGGGCATAGTAGTTAAGGGTCGTTGTGAGACGCTGCGGGATGGGTTATATTATCGGGTCTGAGTAAGTGCGGTGGGAATGGGCTACGAAGGGGTGTATGTGAGGTCGTTGGTAGCGTTGCTACTTGTGGTGTATATTTTCCAAGGCAACTTGACAATTGTGATGACTTAGATCGGCCCAGCCGATCTGCTTCATGAGTTAACGACATAAACCAAAAGCAATGTTCTGTTTCAAGCTCGGCGTGTTCTAGGTGCATGGCCGACTGACAGATGTACCTACTTTTGACTTTTCGTGTAACTTCACTTTCTGTCACGGAATCGTGGGCTTAGCGGCTCAACTTTAGCACCTCTTGCGCCACAAATTGGTGAAATTTATGTTCGTTTCAGCATGGTACTATCTTTGGGCCTCACTCTTGTCTGCTGGTTGAGTGAGTAGCCTGTTGTTTGCCAGCTGCGATAGTGAGTCGGGCGAAACGCGTAAAACGGATTGTTTGCCTGGCACGACAAGAAACGAGATCTCTGCGACAGGGGGTGGTTATATCTGAGTAACTGGGAAGCATTGAAACGGGTCTGCAGACTGATTTAAAACAAGGGCAGCCTAGCAATACAAATCATCGCTATCTCATTGGCGACGGGCTATAAAAAGATTTGCTCCTACCTAGCCTACAGAGTGGTCTTTACTCCTCAAACAAAGCGGCACTTTTCCAGCTCCTTGAGAAATTCAGCCTCGATGTCCTTTTTAATAAAATAAGCTACCTGACCAGTCAGGAAGGGGTCAGGTGAACGGATGCCTCCGGCGGCGCCTGCCGCGGGCTGTCCTCGCTTCGCTCGAAGGAATGGGTGGCGGGGCCATTTTACTAAGAAATTAGTAAGGACAACCCCGCTTTGTGCCATAAGTCGTAGCCAAAGGTAGACTCAACTGTGTCAACTGTGTTAAAAGTAAAAAACACAGGAGAGTCATCACAACGTCATGGTGTTGAGGCAAAAAAAGTTGATTCTGCTATCTAGGCTACACCCGGAACCAACACCTCGTCGGCGTCAACACGGCGCTGGTAATCCGCCGTACGCAAGGCACTTATTACGTCATACTTATCCATCTTGACAGGCAGGACAAAGGGAGCCTCGCGGCGAGCGTCTTCCACGTCGGCAGCTCAAGCGATGTCATAAAACTTCGGAAGGACTCTGCCCGGCTGAACTTCGAGACAACGGATTTACAGCTATTCTAGCCCTTCAATACCAGAACAAATTCTCATGATAATTCCATGTTTCGATGTTCATGGTCTAATTGTTGGATTTCTAGGTGGCAAGCCCCCTAGGACCCCTAGTGCCTGCGACGCTCTTGGCCTGCGGCACTTTCCTTCATACAGCTTACGCGTTATATCTACTAATTGGGAAATTTCTCCTTCCTGACACAACCACAACACAGCAAAGCGGCATCTCACGGCTTAACCGTCCGAGGTTCATCCGATCGGCCAGTCCCTCGAGTCCATTTCGACACGGACGCAAACTGGCCAATCGCTGTGCGAGAAACTTTCGGCACCCTCACGGTAATATAGAATACAGCCTCTCTACGCCACCTCCGGCTCGCAAGCTCGCTTACGGTGGCTCCGTTCAGCTGAAAAAAGGGGGCTTTCTGCCCCTGCCAGAAAGGGCGAGGAAGAAGATATACAGAACAATCCATCACTTGAACCACCAGTTTTCGGCGTGCAGTTACGCCCTGTTGCTTCCAGTACCGGTACCCTGGTGAATCCAACAGGAATGAAGCAAAGGCGAGTGGAAAGAAAGGAAAGATTTTTGTTTTGCGAAATATATAATTGATAACCCCGCAGTCTCTACCCTATAGGTTTGAAGGAAAGTGCGGGGGAGGGGGAGGGTGGGGCCACCTAGGCCGCGTGATGTATATACATATAGAGTACTTCCGAGGGACCGCGCCCCTCGCTGTCAAGGCCGCCTCAAATGGCGGCATGTGCCAGCTGGCTTCGGCGGCCGTAACAGTGCCTTCTCGCATTAACCTGTAATTACTTTAATATGACATTTATATAGGAATTTATTAATTTTCACGAGGTTTTGCCATTTTCGACTGCTTATAGCAGCATTGGGGTATATGTTACACACGAACTCCGGAAACCCAAGTGAAACCTCACCCCTTGGAAGGTTTAAAATTCGGTTTGCTACGCTAGGGTAAAATATAAACCTCACGCCACCCCCCTAGTGGTTCATTAAATAGCAATGTCATGGATCGGTGAACGATGGGAAGGGGACGACGAGAAACTCCGCATGCTATTTATCTAACCAAGTCTTAGGTTTGTTTTCTGTATGGGTAGTAATTGTTCGTAGACACACCATTATACAGGATTATGGTCCTCCCGTCCCATGACTAAATGGGTTGAGTTGTACATACAATAATTCAGTTTCAAGCCGCCTTGAGAGAAAGCTTCAGAAGGAGAATGCAACGAGCCAAGTGTTTGATATCATTGCACAAGGACGAGATGGCAAACGTGATATCTTAGTAATAGCTAGGCATTTCCTACCTGCCAGAGTTTGGCTGACGGATTAGCGGTTTGGAGCCCCCTCCCTCACGCGCGAAACTGGAGCGTGCATGCTGCGACAGTAATCCGACTGCGGGGTTACGTTGTCGCTCGCGTCGGACCTCGAAGCAGTTCCCAACCCCTCGACTTCTGGAACCTGTCTGCATCAAGATTCCACACAAAATGCCATCGCCTCTGCACATCAACCCCGAAGCCAGGAGGTGGCGATATGGCGGCGATAGCGAAGCAGCCTCAACTCTGGAACAGCGCAGGCAGGCCGTGCTGAAGTTTCACGGGCATCTCCCCGAGTACCGCGAGACTCCGCTGCGCAGCCTCCCATCGATAGCCAACGAGCTCGGGCTCGGCCACGTGCTCCTCAAAGACGAGTCGAGCCGCTTTGGGCTGCCGTCGTTCAAGATCCTCGGCGCCTCATGGGCCGTTTATTGCGCCGTCCGCGAGCGGGTCGACCAGCTTGAGGGCCTCGCCCAGGCAATAACTGCCGACGAGGACCCGCTGCTGGCGTTGTCTGTCCTGGCCGGCCGGGTGGAGAGAGCGAGGCAGAAGCTCGGGGACGTGAAGCTCATTACCTGCACCGAGGGCAACTGGGGCCGCGCCGTGGCGCGGATGGTGGGATATCTCAAGCTGCCGGCCGTGGTCTATGTCGCCGCGTACATGAACGAGACAACGCGCGAGCTTATCAGGAGGGAAGGGGCACTCGTCATACCCGTGGAAGGCGGCTATGACGGCGCTGCTGCGGCGGCAAAGCAGGCGGCCGACGAGGACGACAACTCGTTGCTGGTGATGGACATTGGCTGGGAAGGATACGAGAAGGTGCCGCAGGTCTGTGCTTCCCGACTGTCCTCTTCATACCTATTATGATCACGCTGCGGCATCAGGCTAATAGCCAACGGCCAGCGGGTGGTTGAGGGGTATCAAACCATGCTCGACGAGTCGCAGAAGCAAGTGGAAGAGCTCACAGGCGGCAAGCAGGCCACGCATGCCATCGTGCCAGCTGGATGTGGCTCTGTCGCCCAGGCAGTGACGCAGCACTTCAAGAGCCTTGCAAGCGACAAGCACCCCGCAGCGAGAGTGATCGTAGTGGAACTGGACACGGCGGCATGCCTTAAGCTATCGCTCGAGAGAGGAGAGATGACAACCGTGGCGACCGGAGACAGCATAATGTGCGGCATGAACTGCGGGACGCTGTCAACAACGGCATGGCCTGTGTTGAGGGCCGGCGTGGATGCAAGCGTGGTTGTGAACGATGCCGACTCGCACGCGGCCGTTGAGCAGCTCCGGGAACAGGGCACTCGGGCTGGCCCGTGCGGAGCTGCCAGTCTGGCCGCTCTGACGCGGGCTTGTGAGCTGGAAATGGATGCCCTTGGGCTCGACGGCGAGTCGGTTGTCGTCTTGTTCTGCACAGAGGGCGCCAGGGAATACAGGGTGCCCGTCTAAGGCCATGTACGTAGAGTGGACTCACAGGAAATACGGGTTCTATGTTGACAGACCAGAGACCCCCTATTCGGAAGAGGGAGTCTGTTTGGACAGTAGACTACTTTGTTGACTGGTGGAGTCAATCCGACGAGACGGAAAAATCTGCAGGGCTTGAGGTGGAGGCTTGTTCGTTTTAAATGCGGGTTGCATTCAGCATTCAGGGTCTTTAAACACGCCATCCGTACTTAATTCGGTTAATTCGTGTGGTAGGTACCTATTCAGGGCACGTTCGACAGGGCACTCTAGCTGTAACTATAACCGTAAAACGCTCAAGCCATTCATATGGTAATCACATGAAGGCCAGACCTGCGCGTGTATGGTGTAACGGAGCTAAGGGCTCGGAGATCCTGGGAGGGGGCTAAATGTGGAGCAGTGACGCCATAGATAGACAGATGGTGCCTACCATTTTTGCCGATCTCTCCTCTGGAGTTGGATATTCGCTTTCTCTTGCCAAGCACGGATGCCTTGGCACCTTCTTGACTTGACCCTTTTCTCTTTCTCCTTTCCTACAGCCTCGAACGTGATCTGGTTCTTGAAGACCACTCGCGATATTCGAACCCACGCCAAAGGCGACCACGTTTTTCGTGGGCAGCCATCTTGACGGGTTCCACAGATTAGGCGCTATTGAAGGGAGGGCTTTTAGCATCATTAGCACCAGTGCGACAAACGGCACTTTGTGCCGAAGCAACCCCGCAATGATCTCACTCCCCACGCGCGGTGGAGTGGCTCGATCACGCCCTTGCCCGACCGAGTCGGCCAACGGTGCAGCATCCGTCTTGGGCCGGCCCAGCTGCTGTGCTTGGCAGCATTGGCCGGATGCAACATCGCGCTTTGAGAAACAATCTGCATGCCGATGATCCCAATGCTGCATCGTCACACAGGCCTGGCAGACTAGATGCCGCCAACGTTCCGCCGCCAGCGGAGACACTCGGCCACGGCTGCCCAGACGAGCACCTGCACTAATTAGATCAGCAGGAATTCTCCCTGGCATCCATAAACCCGCAGGGACTGGGGAGCGCTTCTCCACGATGGCCCACGCCGGCTCGCGACGGCTCCCCGTAACACGTTCCACTCCGTTTCACCGCATGCTAGCCGGTCCAAGCTTCTCTGTTTCGACTCCGGTCGTGGCCGGTTGTGCGCCTGGTATAAAGGAAGACGGCCCGCCTCCTGGGTTCGAGGCCCGTCATGTCAATATAGCATCGATTTTCTGATGACTTGAGTTGTTTTGATCTGCAGGATTCCGTTCAAATGGCACCTCCAAAGTTCATGGGCCTCTCGGGCCGGCCACTTTCTCTGGCCGTCTCAATCGTGGCAACCACGGGCTTCCTCCTCTTCGGATATGACCAGGGGTGAGTTATCCCCACTCCTATCTCATTCTGCTGTGGGATGCTAACGGGATGCGCCAGGGTCATGGCCGGTCTCATCACCGCCCCCGCGTTCAACAATGTCTTCGAAGCTACGAGAGACAATTCCACGATGCAAGGGACGGTAACAGCAATCTACGAGATAGGCTGCTTGATGGGCGCCATGTTCATTCTCGGCGTCGGCGATTTACTGGGCAGACGCAAAGCAATCATCTTGGGCGGCGTCATCATGGTAGTGGGAGTCACCATCCAGATCACAGCCATGGCGGGAGCAACACCCCTTGCGCAGTTCATCGTGGGCAGGGTGGTCATGGGAGTCGGCAACGGTATAAACACGTCGACCATCCCCACATACCAAGGTGAGTCACGCGAGGGAGCCCACCCACGCTTCCATTGTCCTATCCCTGCAACTTGCCCTGACATGTGCAAAGCCGAATGCAGCAGGACCTCCAACCGTGGACTGCTTATCTGCATCGAGGGCGGCGTTATTGCGTTTGGCACGCTGATTGCTTATTGGATCGACTACGGCGCCTCGTACGGTAGCGATGATCTGACCTGGCGCTTCCCTATCGCCTTCCAGATATTATTTGCTCTGATCATCTGCATGCCCATGATATTCCTCCCCGAGTCGCCCAGATGGCTGCTCAGCCACGGCCGCGTGGAAGACGCCGACAAGGTCATCTCTGCCCTGCGAGGGTATGAGATCGAGAGCGAAGAAACTGTGCTGGAGCGATCCCTCATCATCGACTCACTTCGCGCCTCTGGCGGCTACGGCCAGAAGAGTACCCCGATGAAGACCCTATTCACGGGCGGCAGGACGCAGCACTTCCGGCGCATGCTCTTGGGCGCAAGCTCCCAGCTGATGCAGCAGATCGGCGGCTGCAATGCTGTCATCTACTACTTCCCTATCTTGTTTCAGACTTCGATTGGAGAAACGCACAGCATGAGTTTGTTACTGGGGGGCATTAACATGATTGTCTACTCGATCTTTGCTACTTTCAGCTGGTTCGTCATTGAACGGGTCGGACGTCGTCGCCTGTTCCTATACGGCACAGTCGGGCAGATGTTGAGCATGGTGCTCGTGTTTGCGTGCCTTATCCCGAACGACCAAATGACGGCCCGTGGAGCCGCCGTCGGTCTCTTTACCTACATCGCCTTCTTTGGCGCGACATGGCTACCGCTGCCTTGGCTGTACCCGGCAGAGGTCAACCCCGTCAAGACGCGTGGAAAGGCAAACGCCGTCAGCACCTGCACCAACTGGCTCTTCAATTTCCTCATTGTCATGGTGACACCCATCATGATTGCCGAGATCGGCTGGGGCACTTACCTGTTCTTCGCCGTGGTCAACGCGTGCTTCATCCCCATCATCTACTTCTTCTACCCCGAAACGGCGCGCAGGTCGCTCGAAGAGATCGACATCATCTTCGCCAAAGGTCACGCAGAAAACATATCCTACGTCAAGGCCGCCGAGGACCTGCCGCACCTCCAGCCCGCAGAGATCGAGGCCTACGCCCTGCGGTACGGTCTCATTGAAGAGTCCTCCCTGACTGCCGCTGGGCGGAGGGCGCGCGACGAGGAAGAGAAGGCCGCGCGAGACGGAAATGTGACTGGCAGCGAGGGTTCCATTGCCAAGGAGCGCGGTGTCGAATCTGAGTTTGGGAGCGGCCTGAGCACGCCCAATCGCGCGCATCACATCTGATTATGTGTGCCAGGACGGCGGCGCAGGCGTTATGTTGGGGCTTTGCTACGATGCTAACGTTCGACTTTAGAGCCTGAAATGGGCAGAGCCATGTTGTTTCACCGGAGGAATATAATACCCATAGAGTTGAGTGTGATGAATACATTGACTGGCTGTTTTATCACCCCAAACACCCCCCAACACCCCCCCCTACCATAGCTTGATGGTATTTAAACCCTTGTGCTCAGTCTTTCAGCCCGGGCTTGGTTTCTGTTGCTACTCTGTAAGACCATCTTCGGTGACTCATGCGGTCTTACTAGGCAATCTCTCCTGGTAGTAACTGCTGGGGAGTGAACCCCCGTGCTGCTCGACGTTTCTCTGTAGATTTCCAAAATGACGTTCCTACAGCTTTACTAATACGGATCTAATATCATTGCGCGATATGGTAAACGGGATCGACGGCCTCAAGGTTGTGGCAGTAGGCCGCACCCGTAGCACCAAGAGCAGCAGCAAGCGCGGCTTGGTAGACGGCCGCATCGAGCTCGGCCGCGGGTTTGTCGGCGGAAGCCGCCATATTATTAAGCCCCAGCATCTTCTCGACCCCGGCCACCACGCGCCTTCTCCAGCCTTCGCTTATAGCGCTATTACAGGCGGTATCGAGGCCGAAATGATAGCCCTTATCGATAATATCGAGGACCGGGAAAAGATGGTGACTCCTATATTCTATTAGGCCCATCCTCGTATATAGCATGATGCCGGCGTAGTGGAGGCGGTGACTTCTTAAGCCGGTGGGATAAAAATGGAAAAATGGAAGCTCGGTGCGCTGATCACGTCTGGCTTCGAGGAACTCGTCGTACGGTGGGGGAGGGTGAGCCAGGCTGTTTTTGTTGTTGTGATCGGCGGCGTCGTCTTCGGTTGGAATGCTCCCTGGAGTGTTGTCTCTAGGGGTGAGACGGAAGGGGTGTCGTGGCGCTTGGATTCATTGGCCGCATAGTCGTGAATGATTTGTGCCATATTGCTCTTAGTAGTAGGGGTGATCCTGGCAGCAAAGTGGTTTATTCAAAGTTATGAGTTTAGGTAGAAAGAGATGAATTATTAATTAGAAGAAAATAATCACTACGGGGCGGAGGCCCGTTTATATCGTTGAATGCAAAGCTTAAGTCTCAGGTGAGTCAACACGATGCTTTCTATCAAAGTTTCCCATCCCATTCTTCCCATTTCATATAAGATTGAGATGGTTTTATGACTGAAGTCGGTCTCGGCAATGCTGGTGTCATGCGACATGGGTCGAATCAACATGTGCCTGCCTACCTAGGTACCTTAAGTTGGGAATCTTGAGCGTAAAGGAAAGCCAGATCCAGAAATAGTTATATGCCCAGAACGGACAAGTATAATTCCCATTTCCTCACTGAAAAACCAATGAGCCAATTTCACTATAATGATGTTGGAAATCGGCACCCGCAATCCCCACTCAACATCACCCGGAACCGAGCAGTTGCCGCCTTAGGCTGAGCGAGGGAGTTTCATCCCTCTCCTTCTTTCTTGCTGCCTTAGGCTGTTACAGTTACCGTGGTTCGAAGTGACAGTGAGGGTGTGAGGATGCTCTTTCGAGGCTAGTTTCGAGCCGCTGGTGCTCTACCTACCCGCGTGGCCCCTCATCTCCCCCTCCCCCCCTACCGGAACGAACTTGACCGGCTTATGTTTTCACGACGTTGCAGCGGTGGGCGGGCAATGATCGACATGTCTCTTTCTTCCGCCGTCCCTCAAGTCGGTAGTGCTCAAAACATCTACTGGTGCCCCAAATACAACACAAAGATTGGCCTGTATGGATCGGGTGGCTCGGGCCCGCTAAGTCTGTTCACCACACTAGACGGCAACGAGCACAAGGCGTTGCGGAAAGCGCTCGGCGGCGTGGCATATAATAAGGACCTGTTGGTGAAGTTGTCTGTTCGTGGTGAGTGAGTCGAGGTCGGGATTATGTTCCTCACATCACTCGGGGGGTAAAAACCTTGGGGGACAGTACCCTTCCGACTGCACCCTACGGGAAATTTTCAGAAGCAATGTGGTGGGCTAGAACTCTTTTTGAGATTGTGCTGCCTATATACGTCGAGTGTCAATAAACACACCTCCATTTGCAAACACACGCGCCCATATCTACCTCCCTACCAAGCACCAAGCCATCATTCTACGGCACATAGGAAAGATAGAGATCCAAGTACGCGTGCACCAAAATCTCGGCGTGTGCCGGGCGCAGGCATGTACGTGGTGAGGTGCCCGCCGCGGATCAGGAACATGTCAATGTTCCCGACTCCTGCTCTTCTCCCTCGTCCCAGCAGAACGATGTAGGCCAGTATCCACTCGTAATACAGCATCCACGCGTAGTACAGCATCCACTCGTAGTACAGCATCCACTCGTAGTACAGCATCCACTCGTAGTACAGCATCCACTCGTAGTACAGCAAATTCACGGGGGTTTAATCGGGGTCATATTCAGAAATCTGTATTATTCAGCTACATGGATAAATGTCATCTGTAAAATCGAGCATTCCCCACAAGAAAGAGAACCGCTGCCGAGAACCCTGCAAACTTCAACAGCTTAGATACCAACAAAGGAAAGCGCAAGACATCTTGGGGAGGATGGGGTTGTGACTTACCTTCCTTGACAAGGACTATTGTAGTCACCGGTAAAACCAGACAATGAACGACGCCGTGGCGCTGCCTCTCCATAGGCTGCTGTCGCGGCTCTTCTTGGCGCCGCGCTCATGTCCAAGGTGCACCACTATCCCAAGTTAGATTCACTCGTCAGAGGGCTGGTTGTACTGGTTGTAGTGGGACATCTGGCAGGGGAACCAGTTCGTGGGCTGGATCTGCGGCTCACCGATCTTGTACACGGTCGTGCCCGTGCCGTTGTTATCCTCCCCGTCCAGCTCTTGCACCTCGCAGAGATAGTCCCTGGCGGGTCTTGTGGCAACACCATCTTGGGACGATGCTTCTTGCTGCTGCTGCTGCTGCTTGTAGAGGGAGCGAAGGTCCGCCGATCCGACGGCCGACAGCCTCAGAGACAGAGCCTGGCGGCGGAGCGACGGGGTGCTGTCGATGGTACTGGCAGCAGTGCTGTTACGCTGGCAGCTGCTGTCGGTCGTGTGCGGGCGGGTCGACAGGTCTGAGCCACGGCGGGAATGCACCTCATGCACCGTGCTGCTGGTCCAGTCGTGGCATTCCGGTCCGCTCTCAGATGGTGGCAATGGCGCATGGCTGCAGCGTTCAAACAGGGCCAGAGACTCCGGGTGCGCAGCCGTGAAGGGGATCCAGAAGCGCTCCGCAACCATGTTGGGCGCCGTCTCGGGCGCCAGCCGCTCTATGCTGCCGAGCCCAGCCAGGGCGGCGGGCTTGGGGTGCACGTCGTCGTCGCCGCAGCCGTCGTCGGCGATGCGGTGCAGCAGCCAGAAGATGGTCCGCGTGATGTCGCCGAGCGTCGTCTGCTGCTCGGTGCTGTCGCCATCGCCATCGCCGGCAGTAGCCTGGGCCTGAGCGTGCAGCACCACCCAAGCGCTGCTGTAGTGGTCCAGCAGGCTGGTGAGGGTGAGGACGCGGGCGGCGGTGCGGATCGTGGTGCCGAAGCAGCCGCTGTAGGGCAGCACGGCGTCGGACGCGGGCACGACGCGGCCGAGGGCGTCAAAGACGTCGGCGTCGACGTACTGGATCCGCAGCTTGCGGACCTGGCCGCCCGGCGTCGGCACGCCCATCACGTCCGGTTGCCTCTCGAACAGGTGCCACCCCGACGTCCTCGCCCAGCCGTGGATGACGCTCCTGGTGTCGGCCGGGCACAGGATGCCCACGTGTGTGGGCAGGCGCTCCGAGAACCCCCACACGGCCAGTGCTGCGTCGCAGCTGACGGCGTAGCGGAGGTGGGAGAGGGCCCTGTCGATGGTGTCGAGGAATTCGCCCAGGACCTGGGCAGCCATGGGCTGTGTGGTGGGAGGCAGGGGCTTGTTTAGCATCCTGCGGACCTTCAACTGGGATGGGGAGTTAGAAGCTGGCAGAGGGGTGGGTGATGCCTCGGCGGCGGCGATACTCTGCTTACCGGTTGGAACTGGCTTGCGAGGAATGTTCTGCGGCATCGATATCATGTACTCAACGCTAGCCTCGCTATGACCCGGGTCTGAGAAAGAAAGAATCCGCGGGTCCAGACCAGCTAACCTCTGCTTCCGCTTTGCTTCGTGCCTCTCGTTTGCTTCCTTAAGTTCGAGAAAAGCGTCAGGAGGAGGGCGAGGGTATGGGCGGTATTCATAAGGAGGGCGCTCCTTTTTGCACCATAAACAGGTCAAGGCGATGAACAGTGATGAAAGCATCTGGTCTATGCTGAAAGAGTTTGGTCTGCTGAGAGTCTGGTCTGCTGAGAGTCTGGTCTGCTGAGAGTCTGGTCTGCTGAGAGTCTGGTCTATTGAGAGTCTGGTCTATTGAACAGTCCGATAACAGAGTAGGAAATACTCAAAGCTGAAGATGTGTCAAGCGAGAGATGTGGCTTGACTACCGAGAAAAGAAGAAACAAGACATCGCTGAAATTGCATTTTTACACAGACCAGAAGCTAGGCAGAACTGATCGATTGGCACGAAACAAGAAGGGCGAGACACGACAGCATAAGTGATTCGTAATAGTGCTTCCGAACTTGCATCCCGTGAGGGGTATATATTCCCTGCGAGTGAAACAAGGTAGCAGAATCAAAGACACTGAACTCCTCCCACATCCGACAACACAGGACAAAGGGGCGGCCATGCTATTTGCCCAACACCCGCACCCAAAGCCACACAGCTCAAAGGACCAGTCCGCGGCAGGCAGCAAAGTGGGGCAAAATGCATGTGCTTTCATGGCTACAAGTCTAGCTCCTTGCCCTTTCCCAACGCCTAGTCATACAAGCCTGTCTAAATAGCTGCCCGCCAGAGGTTATGCTGAGGTTGCCGTCTTTGCCGTCTTCACTCATAGCTCCTCTTCCACGTCCATCTCGTCACCGTTGGGGTGGCCGTTGGACCCGGCAGGCTCGTCCTTCTTGGCCATGGTCGCCTCCTTGTCCATCATCTGTCTCGACACGGCAACAATGTTGTCTTCGATGAGCAGCTGGCCGACATCCTCCAAGTGCTTCTTTGGATCGAGCTTGCCCACGTAGCGCGTCTTGAGCTGGTCCTTGGTGAGCTCCGTCTCCTCCTTGACCCGCTTCTCGTAGCCCTCAGCAAGGCTGACTAGGTGCTCCAGTCTCTCCTTGGTCCGCTGGCCCTCTGTCCGGAAGTCCTCCATCTGCAGCGCCTCGGTCCATACGTGCTTGTGCAGGTTCATCAACATGTTCTCCTCCAGCGCCGTTTTGCGGTAGTTTATGCCAATCGAGTAGTAATGGCGGTTGAGGCCGTGGATTAGCGCCTGGATGGAGGGCTTGTTGAGGTGACCCAAGTTGGACGTGCTCTGGCGGGGCTCTTGACCGAGCATCAAGGACTGGGGGTTGATGAGCCGGAAAGCGTCGATGACAACCTTGCCCTTCACGGACTGGATCGGGTCGACGACAACGGCAACGGTTCTGGGGGTCAGCCGCTCGAAACTCTGTTGGGTGTTGATATCAACCGACGAAAGCCAGCAGCCGAAGCCCGGATGCGAGTGGTACCAGCCGACAACGGACTCGGGCCTATAGTATTAGGGTTAGCGGGGTGCTTTGAGCGAGGCAGATGCGACGCGCATCCATTCGTTCACGGCCATCCGTACCTCCCCGTTTGTCGCAGCATGTCCATCATATTCTTTTGGAAGACGTAATCGATAGCTTCGACGCTGACACCGGTTCCGCCCTGTGGCATCGCGAACACATCGATGACACGGACGGTAAAGTCGTCGACAAACTCGCCCAGCATCAGACCCATGACCTCCATGGGGACACCGGCGCGACCGTGCCGGAGCATCTTTAGGAGCGCGAGCGAGGAGATGTAAACGGTCTCGGAGTTATCGATCAGGTTTGTGTTATCCTAGAGAATCCACAGCCATTAGCCCATGGCCGCAAGAGTGCATGCTGCCTGCGTGACGAGCAAGAACCGCCGTGCAGTGCTGCGAGGTCTCGTGCTCGATGCGAAAGTGCTCCAGAATACGTACAGTCCCCGGAGCAGCTCCCATGCCCATGCCCACGGCGCCAAGCATGCTGCTGAAGCGCTCCATGATGGTGTTGGCGGCGATGGGAAATGCGGAAGGTTGAGTGGCAGGTATTTAACGGGAGAATCGTTGAATTCGCTACGCGGATGATGGGTCGAGGTGCGAGGTTGTGGAGGGGAAGCCGAATTTGTGATTGATGATGCGGCTGCTGCTTTCCTTGCCAGGCCAGAGCGCTTCACCCAACTGCTGTTGACGAAAGCTCTGGCAGCCTGCAAGCTCCCACTAGACGCACGGGTCCGTGCGCTTACGTAAGTGTGAAAGTCGCTGACAGAATTCTAAAAATGCATCTAACGCGGCCCATTTTTGCGCTACCTTTTCCTCCACCACAGCCAACGTATCGCAACCAACGTATCGCCCACACCACGCCATGGCTACCTTCCCCGACAACTGCCTCCCTCCCGAAGGCTTTTTCTAGTCTCGAGAGGCCTTATTCGAATTAATTAACGCGTACGCAAAGCCTCGAGACTACGCTTTTACAACCTACAGGTTAACTAAGGAGAAGACAGGCCTTTTAACTGTCATATATGCTTGCGATCGAAGTCGTCGACTACCTTCGTCGCCAGAGCGAGACCGCCAGAGAAAAACGACTACCCGTATGACGAAATGCCCCTTTTTGGTCCTTGCTAAAGAGTCCAGCGAAGGCTGGACTCTAAAGTATCGTCCAGATCGTCGCTTCGCAACCCATAGCCACGAGCCGAGCCTACACCCGTCTGCACACCCTATCCAGCGACAGCTCTCCAGCGGTATATCACAATTACTAGTACTCTCAAATGCTGGCCTTGCGCCAAAGGAGATCCAGACAGTTGTACGGCAAAGCGGTTCTTTAGCAACACGTCAAGACATCTACAACCGTATCGCTGAAGTCCGCCGGGACTCTTGTCAAGGCCAGAGTCCAATCCACGCACTTGCAAATCAGCTCGAGGAAGAAGGCTTCTGGAGCTGTGTACAATATGGGCCAGATAGGCATGTAACGGCAGTTCTTTTCGCACATCCCGACTCTCTTGTCTACCTTCGAGCGTATCCTGAAGTCCTCCTTCTCGACTGTACATGCAAAACAAATAAATACGGCATGCCACTTCTTGATATGATTGGCGTTGATGCAACTGGACGCTCCTTTTGTATTGCCTTTGCATTTTTAAGCGGCGAGACTGAAGAAGACTATATAGGGGCCCTTGAGCGGTTGAAGACCTTATACGAGCAGTGTGGTGGAGTTTTCCCATTAGCCATTTTGACAGACCGGTGCCAGGCAGTTATTAACGCAGCTTCAACTCTCTTTCCGTCGACAACATCTCTCTGTACCTGGCATGCAAATAAGGCAGTTCTTGCGCGGTGCCAACCAGTATTTCCAGAAGCTGAGAAGTGGAAGGAGTTTTACGGTTTTTGGTTCTCTATTCTTAACTCGCCAACTGAAGAGATCTACGAGGAGCGTTTGAAGGAGTTCGAAAATAAGTAAGGCTTAACGAACCTTGCACAAGTTGGCTATATTAAGGAGACATGGCTTCTACCGTTTAAAGAGAAGCTTGTCTCTGCGTGGGTTGACCAACAAGCTCATTTTTGGAAATACGGCTACGTCTCGTGTTGAAGGGATCCATGCGCTTCTTAAGTCGTACCTCCAGAGGTCAATATTTGACCTTTTTGAAGTATAGAAGGCAATTCGGCTTGCATTGATCAACCAACTCTCTGAATTTCGGTCCAACCAAGCCAAACAACAGATCCGTATACCCCTTGAGCTCGACAAAGCTCTATATAAGGCTGTACAGGGCTGGGTCTGATACGAAGCACTACTGAAGGTCGGGAAGCAGCGGCAACTACAGTGGGAAGACCCTCCTCCGCCACCTACCTGTACAGGTACTTTTACACGTATCTACGGGCTTCCATGTGTTCATTTACCTACTGGACGTCAAGAGCCTCTTCTTCTTGAAGACTTCCATTCGCACTGGCGCTTAATACGTGATGGGGCTCCACTTCAGCTTTTAGAGCCCCATCGTATAGAGCCAAAAGCTACGATAAGTAGGCTCCCAGCGTCAAGTACGAAGCGGGAGCCCAGTGAATTCGAGGTCGTCGACGCAACACAGGCAACACGGGCTAAGCGGCCAAGCTAGTGTACGGCGTGCGGTGAAATTGGTCATATACCGACCTCTCGGGTATGCCCGAAGCGTTATTCAGATGTTGTAAGGATTGATTGAATGGCTAGCTGGTTGCAGTGTTGGCGACACGTTGGCTGTGGTGAGGGAAAAGGTAGCGCAAAAATGGGCCGCGTTAGATGCATTTTTAGAATTATGTCAGCGACTTTTACACTTACGTAAGCGCACGGACCCGTGCGTCTAGTGGGAGCCCAGCCTGCAGCAACTGTGATTACGTAAGTTTAGACTACAGTTTGGGTGGCGCGGCGGGGCGCGGCGGGGCGCGGCGCAGGTGCAGGGCAAAAACTTCTACTCTTGCACGGCAAGCCGTGCAAGAAGTCCGCCGATTACCGTCGACTGAATCAGAAGACCATAGATGGTTGCTGGCGCCAAAAGAACTGCACCATAACCATTAGCTAGAAAAGCTTGGCAGTAACGCGATTACGAAGTATTCCGTGGGCCTTTCACAAGGACTTGGAAATGCTGTGCGCTAGTGTGTTGGTGGGATGGGCGATTGGGACTTGTAATCCGTACATGGGACTTGTAATCCGTACATACGGATACATGTGCGCATAACTTAGGTAAAGTCTAAAGCATTCATGGTTTACCACAGGCGTTGAATACGTACGATAAGGCCTTCGACTTTCTAGCCATGTTTGCAAAACAATAACGCCTAATCTAGAAATTAAAATTGTTGATAGATCTCCTCGGAGCATCTTTCACCTAACCCGCGTCCAGGTTCCAATGTTTCCGCACGTACTCTAGGGATCCTTTCCCCGATAAGATGGAAGGATAAGAGCTAAGCGAGCCAATCAGATCTTGGCAAAATCAGACTACATGCAGGAGGGCTCTGCCTAACATGGTTAGCGCCATACCTTTTCCAGCTTGCAGGCCACACTAATTCGAAGCTTGCGGGCTGCAACGGGCGTCCTGTCTCATTACTTGAGCTCTTCGCCTCCGCGATTTTGTTCCCACCGCCGCCATTCCCTCCAATCCTCCCTCGAACGCGGCGCGCACAACGAGGTTGAGAACTTCGTTCTCGGGGCCTGCTCAGCAACATGCCCGCAAATATGACAGATCCGGCTGGAGTCCAGCGCTCCGACCCGCTCTACTCGGTCGTCAACAACGACAAGAAGCGCGTAGCTTACTTTTACGACTCTGATATTGGCAACTACGCGTACGTTACGGGCCACCCTATGAAGCCGCATCGGATTCGGCTTGCACACAGTTTAGTTATGAACTACAACGTGTATAAGTTTCTCGAGATCTACGTACGTGGCAGGCGCATGACCCCGCTTCCCCCGCCGTGAAGCAGCGAGAATCGCATTCTGACAACATCCTCCCGCAGCGCGCGAAGCCGGCCGTGATGGCGGAGATGACGCAGTTCCATACCGACGAGTACATCGAATTCCTGCAGAAGGTCACCCCGGACAACATGGACAGCTTTATGAGAGAGCAGGGAAAATACAATGTCGGCGACGATTGCCCCGTCTTTGATGGCCTGTTCGAGTTCTGCGGCATCAGCGCCGGCGGCAGCATGGAAGGCGCCGCTCGCCTGAACCGCGAAAAGTGCGACATTGCCATCAACTGGGCGGGCGGGTTACATCACGCCAAAAAGAGCGAGGCTAGTGGCTTCTGCTACGTCAATGGTGAGCGTGCCCCTCCCGATCGTGCCCCTCCCGGCCTTGCGGCCACGGGGGGGAGCCGCGCGCCGGGCTCGGTTGACATCTCCGGCCGACAGATATTGTCCTCGCCATTCTCGAGCTCTTGCGCTTCAAGAAGCGAGTCCTTTACATCGATATCGACGTCCACCACGGCGACGGCGTCGAAGAGGCGTTCTACACGACTGACCGCGTCATGACGGTCTCGTTCCACAAGTACGGCGAGTACTTTCCCGGCACTGGCGAACTTAGGGATATCGGCATCGGCACGGGGAAGAACTACGCGGTCAACTTTCCGCTCCGCGACGGCATCGACGACATCGCGTACGAGACCATCTTCGAGCCCGTCATCGACGCTGTCATGAAATACTACCAGCCCGAGGCCGTCGTCCTCCAGTGCGGCGGAGACAGCCTTTCGGGTGATCGCCTTGGATGCTTCAACCTGAGCATGCGTGGCCATGCCAACTGCGTCAACTTTGTCAGGAGCTTCAACCTACCAACGTTGGTGCTGGGTGGTGGTGGCTACACGATGCGCAACGTCGCGCGCACCTGGGCCTACGAGACGGGCCGGCTGGTGGGTGTCGAGATGCACCCAGTTTTACCGTACAACGAGTACTACGACGTAAGCTCGCTTCTGTTCCCTTCCACCTTGTGCATATCTTGTCTAACGGCAACCAGTACTATGGTCCCGACTACGAGCTCGACGTCCGGTCTTCCAATATGGAAAACGCCAACAGCTACGAGTACCTCGAGAAGATCAAAGTCTCGGTGATCGAAAACCTAAAGAAGACGATTCCTGTCCCCTCGGTGCAGATGACCGACGTTCCACGCACAGGTTTCGGAATGTCGGACGAACAGGAGGACGAGCTAGACGACCTGGACGAGGACGAGAACAAGGACACTCGTGTGTCGCAGCGGCAGTGGGAGAAGAACGTCGAGCGACAAGACGAGTTTGAGGACGACGACGACGACGAGATGGCGCAGGCGAATGGCATATTCCGACCGAACGGCCGGCGTCCGGGGATTATGGACTTCCAGAACCCCAACGCCGTGGACGACGGCATGGAGATCGACAGCGGCGTGGCTACGCCTGCGGCCGCTCCCATCGACACAGCTGTCGATAATGACGAGACCATGGTTGACGAGACAGAGGAGCAAGCCGCTGAGGCCGAGACGGCTGCGGAGGAGGCCTCCACCGTTCAGGCCGAGGCCGAGCCAGTAAAGGCCGACGCCGATGGAGATGTCGACATGGCCGAGACTGAGAACAAAGAGGCATCGTCTGAAAAGAAAGAGGCCGACGAAGCCAACAAAAAGGCCGCCGAAACCGACAAGGAGGCCGCTGTGAGCCCTAAACCGGATGGCGCGGCGCCTGCTGGGTCGCCACGCAATGTGTCGGCGACGGTCGAGCCTGCCCCGGGGCCATCGTCTCCCGCGACTGCCGCCGCACCAACGGATAGTGTGGTCAAGACCGAGGAGGAGGAGGAGCCAACCAAGCCGGATGAGCCAGTGACCGACAAGAAGGAAAATGGAGCCGCCAACGAGGAGGCACAGAGTTAGAACCGCTGGCTTGAGGAGGTGGCTGCACACTTCGCGAACAACTTTTGAGGAGTTCGGGTTTTGGTTTGTCTTGGCTTGGCTTGGCTTTTGGCGTTGGGGTTTCGGGCGGGAAAAGGATGCGAGGGGTGGCTGTCACTTATGGACATTGGATCCGGTGTTTATGGCCAGCCACATGATCCCGGATTAGCGGTAGTTTTACCCTGGCGTGTTGGAGAGGGCTTGCAGCGTGCTGCGGAGACGTGCCAATCAGGTTGGTATTCGTTGTTGCTCTGCAGAAGTTCTCCATAGCGGCGTGAACCTAGAAATCCAACCGTGATTTTGACCTCTCTTGCGCTACCCCTGGGACTTGATCTTTCCTGGGACTTGATCTTTCCAACTCGTGCATCTTTATAAAACGACGACACCTACTATAAAGTGAATGAGGCGTGCAGAATTCTTTAAGACGTTTATAAGGCGCGGTAGGAGTCTTTGAGGCGTAATTGCTCCTTATTTCCCCGCCCTACTTACCGTCAGGTTGTGAACACGTTTTATGTCACGGATCGCATTCGAGTAGCTATTAAAATTTAAATTTCCGAACGTTTAATATTTACTTACGGGTTCGAGCGCGAAACCGGAAACTATATATATATCTACGGTCGAGGCTCGCCGGCCGTAAAATCGTAGTTGGACTGCTGTTGACGGTTGACGCCACCCCCTTTTTGCTCGTAACACAAGAAAGCGCAAGCATCAGAGAGAGTGTAAAGGGTCATCGCGCACTTTACAGCGTGACAACCAAGATCTTAGCAAAAAATGAAGAGCTTGTTTCTCTAGTGCTAATGTCGAACCTTGATGCACTGAAGCATGCAGTGCAAGAGAGATAGCGCGCCTTATCGGCATCTCCAAGAGCGATAAGAGATATCTGCCACTCCCGCTAGCGCTGGCGCTGGCGCTGGCGCTGGCGCTGGTGCTGCAGCGTGGGCATCCTTCCCCTTTTTAGGGCAGCGCGCTGAAGTGCCGCTTGATGTTTCTTGTGCGCTTGGCCTGGACTTGGCCGCGCCCAGCCCAGCCCAGCCAAAGCGGCGGGGAAAAGCCCTTTCCTCCTACCGATTTCCCGCGCGCGATATATGACTCTTTCGGGTACCTTACGTAGGTGGGTGGCGCGCCGCTGGCAACTCAAACAGCAGGACGTCGGCTCGGACCGCATAATGGACCCAAAGCTCCGACCTGACCTGCCCGGGGTGCCGCTGGCAGACCCTTTTCCCGGGGCATGGCCATTCCCGCTGCCAAGGCGGACTAGACGGGAATGGCGATTCCTACGGCCGCTGTTTTGGGGGGGAGCTGTCCGGCGGGCTAGCGCTCTCGTGACGGTCTTCTGTGTGCTGGCTCTGCTGGCTCGTCGGGGATGCTGGCCGGAGGCGGGCAGCAGCAGCAACGTCAACAGCTGGTGTCTGTTGCCGTGGCCATTCCGAACATGGTTCTCTGCTGCACCTGCTGACGTGTCCGGCCGTGTCGCCCACACAGGGGACGGGTTCAAGTGGCTCGACATAGCGCCCAGCCGGACCGTCGAGTGGCACCCTTGCTACGAAGACGGCTATGACTGCGCACGGCTCGACGTGCCCATGGACTGGCTGGACCCGTCGGACGACCTGCGCGTCGTACTAGCTGTCGCGCGCCTCCGCGCTGCGGCAAGGAGACAAAGCACGAATGGCGATGGTAACAGCAACAGCAACGGCAACAGCAACAGCAACAGCAACAGCAACAGCAACAGCAACAGCAACAGCAACAGCAACAGCAACAGCAACAGCAACAGCAGCGACAGCTACCGCGGCCCTGTCTTCTTCAACCCCGGCGGCCCAGGCGGGTCCGGCATCTGGTCGCTGCGCCACCACGGCCGAGACCTACAAGCCATCGTCGGCGACAACCACGACATAGTCAGCTTCGACCCGCGCGGCGTCGGCGCGTCGGTCCCGCGCATCCAGTGCTGGCCGTCGCCGCAGGCCCGGCTGTTTTGGGAGCTGCAAGACGTCGGCGTTGTTGACGCGCACCCGGGCGTGCTGTACGACGCCTTCGCCCGGGCCGGCGCCTTCTCGCGCGCCTGCGAGCGCAACCACCTGCTCGCCGTCGACGACCAGCAGGACCGCTCCGTCCTCCGCCACAGCAGCACGGCGTACCACGCGCGCGACATGCTCGAGATCCTCCAGCGCATGGGCCAGCACCGGCTCAAGTACTGGGGCTTCAGCTACGGCACCGTGCTCGGCGGCACCTTCGCCGCCATGTACCCGGACCGTGTCGAGCGCATGGTCAACGACGGTAGGTTGCACCCAGCCAGCCAGCCAGCCAGCCAGCCAGCCAGCTTGCCGCGGTCCCAGGGACACTGTCTGACGCATCTTTGAACCACAGGCAACGTCGACTACACGGAGTGGTACCACGGAGGGTACATCAACTTCCTGCACGACACCGACAAAGTTATGGACGCCTTCTACGACTTCTGCCACCAGGCCGGGCCGGCACGCTGTGCGTTCCACGCGGCCACGCCGCAGCAGATCCGCGCGCGGCTCGACGGGCTCCTGGACGTGCTGCGCACCGCGCCTGTCCTCATCGCGCCCTCTTCGCAGCACGACACGGGTGGCCCCGAGATGCCCGAGCTGGTGACGTACTCCAGGGTCAAGCGCATGATCTCGACGGCGCTGTACCAGCCGATCCGCCGGTTCCGACGCGTCGCCGAGGTGCTGGCAGCGCTCGAGCGCGGCGACGGCGGGCCGTTTTACGAGTACACGTCGGCCAGCGGCGACGACAGTGGCAGTCCGTCGGGCATGTGCCGCGCCGAGGCGGTGCCGCCGACGACGCCCGTGTCGGGGCCTGACGTCGAGGGCACCGACGACGTGTTCGCGGCCGTCATGTGCTCGGACGCGTCGGGCGCCATGCTCAACGAGACGGCCGCCGAGCTGGCGCGGTACGCGGCCCGCCTGCAGCGCATGAGTGCCGCCGCCGGATCCGTGCAGATCGCGTTCCGGCTTGCGTGCGTCGGCCGCGCCGTGCGGCCCAAGTGGCGCTTCGCCGCCGGGACCGTCATCAATAACGCAACGGTGCCGATCCTGTTCGTCGCCAACGTGGCCGACAACGTCACGCCGCTCGTCAGCGCCAGGAACAACTCGGCCGCGTTCCCGGGGTCTGTCGTGCTCGTGCAGAACTCGTTCGGCCACACCAGCCTCGCCGCTCCGTCCACCTGCACCGCGACATATATCCGCGACTACTTCCAGCATGGCGCCCTGCCGCCGCCCGACACGCTCTGCGAGCCTGACGCCGTGCCCTTCGAGGCTGCCTTTGCCGATGGTGGTGCTGGTGCTGCTTCGCCGGGCTGCCTTGGCGAAAGCGCCCGCGGCGGCGAGGAGCGGATCGCCGCTGCCGTCCACAGGCTCTCGCGCGACGCCGGCTGGCCGCTGCGGTTGCGGCCTGGCTGACTACCTACCTACTCTGGTCTGCGGGAGGGCAGTCATTCCTTTGCTTTCATTCCGTTGCTTTGCATCACCGGCGTTGCATTGCATCGCAGCCTGTGCGTTTGTTTATTTTTGACCCTTTTTCTCGTCTTTTATTTCTTCTCCTTCTCCACCTCCGGTGTTTCGGCTGCTGTGTAGACATCATGATTGCGGGTCATATCTCTTACCTCCAGATCAGTAGTTGCAGCAGTTGGATATGACTATACCCCTTCTTCTTGGTTCGCTACGATGTTATCAGTGTCTATGTCTCCTTGTCCCTTCTCGGTTTTCTCTAACCGCGGTTCCGTCTCGTCACGAATAGTTCCAAGTCTTTGATGCACTGCCTCTCTCGAGTGCCCGAGCCTTTTTTTTCACCATCTTTTCTTGTTTAAACCAGCTGTCTTTCAAGACATATCCTACGAGTTGTCAAGCCCGGATGGCAATCCCAAGATTTACCCCTTTAGTGAAAATAACTTGGCCAGAAGCGTGCCTGCAACATCAACTTTGTTCTCCCTCCCCGTCTCTATACCTGCCTAATCGCTCCTAGCCCGGGAATCGATGCCAGCTCACGCATGGCTATTAGCCGGAGCCCACCGGACGGGTTTGATCTGGCAGACGAATAGCTATGCGTGTCGACGCTAAGAGACTAGCTACAACTCCCTTGAGCTCGACGTTGCATTTCACGATTTAATCTCTGAGCCGCGATGCGACGACGTGTTGGTGGCGAGCCGTGGGCTCTCTCGTGACTGGCTCGCGTAGTCGTATTTTCTCCCAGGCTCTTGGTCTTTTATATACCAAGACTTGTTGCATATCTCTTGGACAGTTTGGCACCCGCTGGATCTTTTCACGAGCACATCACCGACGCCACGCGATTCCACCTCAAAGCAGCCCTCCGCCTACACGATGAGGCAGCGGCACAACGTCCGCGCCCTCGCCCTCTTCGGGCTAAGGCTAATGGCCCTACACCGCGCAGCCGTCGTGCTAGCAGAAGAAGAGCCGTTCGCCACGGCTTCAACGGCTATTACAGCGGCGGCGGTGCTGGCGGCGCTGTGCTTTGGCGGCTCTGTTCTGTAATTCAACATTGATTCCCAACTTGTGCTTGAATAGAATGCTTCCCGCGAAGCAGAGAGCTGTCGTCTGGCAGCGTATGCCGGTAGGGTTTAGGTACATAGGTAGGTCTTGTGTAAATGTTCAAAATCAGGGGCACATTAAACGGCCCAAGTTTTCTGCGTCTCAGCTCCTCACGTCAATAGAGACGATTACCGTCCCATAATGATTTCGACCAAACAAAGAATAATTGGTTGATATTGCAGATTTGATCAAGTTGAGTTCCAAACATCCTGCATTCGGCACGCCAAAGGGATTTGATATAGTGAGTCGTGCCTCTGTCCTCGCAATCAATGGCACAGGGCAGCAGGGCGATCCCGTTTCCGGCCGGTACCGCTATGCTTAGTGTTAGCTAAGACGAATGACTGGAGAGGCTTCTTTGAGAGCCCGTAGCCAAAACAATATCCTGCTCTGCAGTCTTTGTCTCCAAATCTAGCGCAGATAGGATAAAAGTGCAATCTACAGAAAACAAAAGAAAACGTCAAAAGAGACTATGGCCCTCCGCACTTGATTATAACCTGAGCCTCCTAGGGCACTTAAAACCCTCAACGCACGTATCTTTAGATGCTTCCTCACAGATATCATGAAGGCTAGCAGAGACGTAGGCGGTTAGACACCCTGAACCTGAATCACGTAAGTCGTAATCATGCCCGCTCACAGATATGGCCGGAGCATTTCCTGGGTGTGGTCCCAAATCTTCTGCTGTGCCTTCTCCCGGAGAGCGGCCATAGTCTTTGCGTTCTCGACGCTGTCGCACGTGTACTTGGCGAGAAACACCCCGGCGGCCTTATTGCCGCGCGTGTTGACGCCCGGCTTGCCGGTCCACGGCACGCCGCGGCCGCCAAAGGAGGCACTGGTGCACTGGAACAGGTTCCGCTGTGCCGACGCGTCGTCGGTCATGGAGAATAGCCGGACGAGCGGCTCGAGCACGAGCCACATGAGCCAGTCCGTGATCGAACCCGCATCCCGGCCCCTCAGCACGTTCCCCGTGCTGACCCAGCCGGGGGAGGAATGGATAAAGGTCACGTCGGAATTCAGCTGGGCCAGCTTGTCCAGCCCCACCGAGTTCATCGTCCCGTACTGGAGCTGCGCCTTGCCGCCCCAAAAGTTTCCGGGCCGCTTGAGGTCGATGTCGTCGAGGTCGACCCACGTCGACTCCATGCCGCCGGCCAGGACGCTGATGACGCGGGGGGCCTCGGCCTGGCGCAACACAGGGAGGAGGTGCTGGATGAAGAGGACACGCGTGTAGTACTCGAGGCTCTGAGCGACCTCGACGCCTTCAGCCGTCTCGGTGCGCTTACCAAACGGCGCGTAGCCCGTGGTGAGGAAAAGGAGGTCCACGCGCGGCTCCTTGCTCTTGATGAGCCCGCACACCCTCTTGGTCTCGGCCAGCAGCGACACTTCGGCTTCGGTCCAGATAACTTCGGCTCGGGCATTGATGGCGTGCAGCTCGTCGATGAACGCGCGCGTGCGCTCCTCGGCGCTCTTTCGGCCGACGAGGTAGATTCGCGTGCTGGCGCCCGTCTCGACGAGGGCCTTGAGCGTGAGCTTCCCGATGCCAGCCGTGCCACTGACAAATACGGCGACGCGCGGGGCCGTGGCGTCGTTGATGAGCGCGTTGGAGGCTTTTACTTCTGTGAGAGCAACCATTGCGTAGTCGGGGGATGGATGCTGGCGTAGTCGGGGGGATGGATGCTGGCCAACCCAGTTTCTTATGGTTGGGCAAACAACTTCGGGGAAGGAGAAACTTCGGGGAAGAAATCAACATGTAAAGAGGCTTTCGAATGAAACCATCTGGCTTCGAGCTCGTGCTATGTTATACCTCAGCCTTCGGGCTCTCGGGGTGTGTATTGACGCCGCAAACACGTGTCTATCCCTGCCTACCTCGTAGGATGCAGCGCCCAAGGCCACTGCGTGCAGCCCCGCGTTTAGGCCCTGCGAGGTTTGTAAGCAACGGTATCAATCACGATGTTGGTTGAAGACGTGTCTGGGTTCACTGCCTGCCGGTTCGCTGCTGCCCAGGTATTGGACAACGAAGCAAACCCAGAAGCCATAAATATGTCCTGTACTGGATGATAGTCTTGAACTCCATACTCCTTGTTTGAAGGGTAAGCGTGCCAAGATTTCATGCACCGCTAAAGACTGGGCCTGACGGACAGGTTCCGTCAGACAGGGGTCTCTCCACCTGGCCCTTTACCCGGGGGACCGTCTTCCAGTTGATGTGTCAGTGTGTCAGAGCTTTGGTCAATTTCGACAACGCAAGGACGAATCACGAATGGTACCACGGAAATGCTGCCGCTTCTGGATGGGGCAAGCTGGCTGTGCAGCATCGACTCGGGACATATCGAATGTGTTATAAGGGGTTATTCCACATCAGGTGTCGCGGGCCCTACTGGCCCGCTCTCGCCGCGGTTGTTGGTTATTTTACGAACCAACCCCTGTCGAGATCGCGACCTCATCGATGCTGCCGAGATCGCTAAATTTCCAGAATGCAACCCTGGTGCACTTGCCCCTCCACGCTGGAAAGTTGGCGGGGAGCGTTTCTGGGCAGATGCTCTCTCTAACTGGATATTGTCGTCGCGAGCCTGCTTCCGCTAAGTTTGTTGGCCTAGAACCATGGGTCGAGAGCTGGAGGTTCTGAAATTGGACCGTACACGTACAACTCGCTGCTGGTGGGCAGGCCTGGTGACATCGTGGAAGGCTTTGCAGAGAACGAGACAGCAGGTCCGGGCAAAACGTCGACGAGGAACCCGGGGAACCTGTCATCTCCGCGCTCGCGTTCGGTAGCATCCCGGTCTAGAGCCCCTCCTTCCACGGTTTGTAGAGGTACAAAACGAGAGCAATCCCGAATTCTAGATATTGGCAGAGGGGCTTTGCCTTGCCCAGGCTCTTGATGTTCTGCGACCTCCCTGATGACGAGACCCCAAGGCCTGAATTGTCAGATCTCCCACAAGCATGTGGTCACTTGTCCGCTCGTTTCTCGTCACTTCCTTGATGACTTGGACGTCTGCCGGAGAGCTGAGCTTTTCTGCAACAGCTCAGCAAAGAGGAGAAGATGTTGACATGTCCGATGTCGAATTCGTGCCAATCCCGCCCCGGCAACACCACGATCAGGGCCCCCCGCTACGTCTGCACCCCAGGGCAGAGCGGGACAGTGTCAGCTATAGCGGAAACTGGTGTGGTGCGTCGCAGCACTCGACTCTGTCCGATCCGATCACCAACGTCTTTGGATACTTCACGGCGCCGAGTTTGACGTTGCGATCGAACGTGCTGGCTCCACAGTTCGCCGCTGCGTGGGTAGGCATCGATGGTGCAAGCTGCAAACAAGCCTTGCTGCAGGCGGGCGTGACTACCATTGTATGATGCAAACCCTCGGCGTCTCAGTGATCGATCGAGTCAGGGGCTCATATTCTGTCTGCAGGTCAACTCGAACGGCGGTCAAAGTGCTTCGGCATGGTGGGAATGGTACCCCGACTCGGCCTACACCATCAATGGTCTCCCGGTCAAAGCCGGCGACTGGATTTCGGTCAACATCACGACGAGCTCGCCGACATCAGGCAAAGTGGTCATCACCAACGCGCAGAGAGGATACGTGATGGTCCTCACCATCTCGAACGGGCCCAGGTTGTGTGGCCAGGATGCCGAGTGGATAGTCGAGGACTTCTACGATGCGAAGGGCCAAGTGGCCCTGGCCAAGTTCTCCGACGTCTGGTTCGAGGAGACGGCTGCCGTGACGAGTAGGGGGAGACGGATCGGCATCAACGGAGCCGCCATGGTACAGCTTCAAGACGTCGATGGCGCCATAGCATGCGCGTCGTCGAAGTACGACGATTCGACCTTTGTCGTGTCATCTCCCTAGATTGCATTTGTCGTCCTGCTGTGCTTTAATAGGGGAGGTCTGGCGTCGCCCATGGATCCTGTGAAGCGCGTCGTCTATCGATTGTGCGTATGGTGGAGGCGCAGGGCGGAGAATAGCTGAAACAAAATAAATGGCGTGTTCAGAGAAACCTGCACTTAATGTTACAATATTGCAACGGATGCGTGGAAGTTGTGCTGTTCCGATCGCATCGACTTGGAGATTTTTCGGAAAAATAGGTACGAATTGGGTTGAGGGACTGGAACCTGCTCTCAATTTGAGTGGCACACTCAATTAGGCCATATTGCGTTTTCGAGAGGCCTGGGCCTTCTAGTACGAGGACGATAGGAGTGCTGGGCTAGGAGAGGCAGGTGGGGCGGGGCATGTTTTGGTGCCTGGCAGCCCCGAACTTCAGCCGCATCTGCAGCGCACGTCGATAGAACCTGGAAAACAGACTCGATTCATTGAAACGACATGCACATCCCAAGCAAATGGACGTCCATCACCTTATCGTCTGATGGTGTGATTGTCGCACCAGCATGTCTGCTGCCCGGATCGCCACTACGCGCGTTTTGGCAAAAGTCGAGCCCGGCACCAACCGGGTTCCCATTGTTCCTGATCCCCACCTGCCGAGTCAATCGGGTCCAGCCAGGGTGTTGGACATGGCTATTCGCCCGTAGACCCGGCGACTCGGCAGCTGCTACTAGTGGCTAGCAGCGGCTGGTATTCGTGAGCAACAAAGTCATCGAGATACGAACTTGTTGGAAGCCCATTGCGGTGGGTATCCTTTTTTTTTTTTTTTTTTTTTCGCTAGAGCCAGTTATTTCCTGGGCCTGAAAGTTATGACGTAGGTACGGAGTCACTTAGCTTTCTGCTGCCCTGGCCTGCAGTCAAGATCCACACATACCGCAAAATCGAATCTTGACGGCCCACCGTGGTGGCGGCTAACTCTGTCGATCACTTCGCTGCCCGAGAACATGGCGGGCAGCGTGACTGGCGCAATTGACAAGCTGGCCAAGCGCTGGCATGTTTTTGCGGCGGTGAGAGGGAGTATTGCTGCCCTAACCCAGGCTGCTGGACGCAATGGACGGGCCAGAAAAGCTAAAAGGTCGGATTCCGCAAACTCAAAATTTCCCTCTTCCCGCAGCACGGCAAGTGCAAAGTGCTGAACATTGGAGGAAGCCGAAAAGCTCGTAATGGAAGGCGCCTTCCTCGCTGCAAGACAGCTTGAAGCTTTTCTTGCTCCACTATTGACGCATTCTTCTCGTCGCATCCATGTCCCCCAGGTTTGGTGCAGGCAGGTCCCTCCTGCCCCCCTTTCGCCGTCTCCGCCGAGCGTGCACTTTGGCATCCAGAGAGAATCCTGCGACTCCGGCGCCCGCCCGCTTATATCCATGGCAAAGTGGAGAGATGGCCTCGTCAGGACGTCGAGAATCGCCCCCCATTTTTGTTAACCGGCTGTCAGGGTCCACACCTCTCAACTCAGGCTGGACAAAACCACTTCGCCCTACCAAATCCCCTTTGCTATCGCTGCATCTTTGTCCTACCCCGCGCCTCTTTGTCGAAGGTCGACCGGCCGCGTATCGAACATCCACTGTCGATACACATGCCACATGCTTGCAATCCCAGACTCAACGTGATCGGCAACACTTTTCTGAGAAGAAAGAGGTACTGCGGTACCCTCCTGACGCTCGTTTTTGAGCTTTTTTATTTTATTTATTTTTGCTTTGCTTTGCTTTTACAATTTTTCTCTTCTCGCCGCCATGGCGTCGCCGTCGTCAGCCGGTTACTCGCCCGCAGGCAATGGAAGCGACGAACTCCAGGAACTCCAGGAACACGAGGAACAGCATGTAGCGCCACCGCAGCGGCAAGGGGAGGATGGTCAACCCCAAAAGAGCAAGGAAAAGAAGAAAGTCGGCTTTGCAAACGAGTCGCACTCGCAGCCGGGCGATACCCTATCAGCGCCCCCTCAAGTCACGCCAGGAGACAGCCAGCTCGAGGGCTTGGACTACTTCTCCATGTCCCCGGGCCGCGATAGGTCTAGTGGTTCGACGCCCTTGGAGTCGGAAGGCCCCGCAAAGCGCGAGTCTTTTAACCGGGCCGAGATCACTGCTGCCCTGGAGAGGATTCTGCACCCTCATCGCTCTGGCAGCCCAGTGCCGCCAAGCAAGCCGCGTCCCGTACTACGCAAGCCGGCCGCCGTCGACAGTCCAACAGACCAAATCTCTGCGTCGAATCCGTCCGAAGTAGAGGCCAAGAACCGTGCCGACCGGCTTGCGTTTGCTGTGGGAACATCTTCGATCCCAGGTTCCAGGAGGACATCTCGGTCCGATGATGATGGTCCCTTCGATGCTGACGCCTTGCTTGGGGAGCCCGAGTCCCGGGTGACGGGCACCGAGAGCCAAGACTTTGCTATCCATGCAGAATCGGCCGGTCTCAGGCCGCGTAAACGACCGCAGGAAGCAGCCAACGACCTTGTGAGATCTCATACGCGCTCGTATAAGGCCTCTCATACGCGCCGCGTGACTCCCTTTGCCCACCCCCCTCTCACCCCCAGCCCCATATTCGTCCCCGGTACTGGCGATCGGTCCGGCACGGCTACCCCGATCCCCGATGACCAGGAATATATCCCGCGGCCCCATTCATACAAGGGCGGCATTCTGGGCAACTTGCTCAAGTTGTACAACACAGACGAGAAGAACGGCGGGCTAGGTAACGAGCCGACTGGTCCAAGCACCCCAAGCTGGACACCCAACCGCACACCCAACCGGACACCGTCTAGTACCCCCCCTACCTCGAGGCCAGGAACCCCGCGCGGTCGGCCCGGGCTGGGGTCACGGTCTTTCTCGGGTAGCACACTGGCGGGATTGATGGAGTCATCCTTCATATTTGCTGCTCCTGCATCCAATGACATCTCTGGGGCCGTCTCTAACAAGTTAAAGCAAGAAAAGGAACGAACAAGGAAACGGTCAAAGTCAAGACAGAACCTCAAAGAATTCCGCATCACCAAGCACATAGCCGAAATAATCAGCCGGCATCAGTACCTGCTGAAACTATGCTACGCCTTGATGATGTATGGCGCCCCAACCCATCGTCTCGAGGCTTATATGACCATGTCGGCTCGTGTTCTCGGCATCGAGGGCCAGTTCTTGTACCTGCCCGGCACCATGATCATATCTTTCGACGACAGCAACACGCACACCACGGAGGTCAAGATTGTGCGCGCCCCGGGGGGCCTCGATCTTGGCCGTCTGCGTGACGTACATGAGATCTACAAACAGGTCGTGCACGACCTCATGGGCGTCGATGAAGCCACAACCAAGCTCAAGGAGGTCATGGGCAGGCAGCAGAAGTTTGTGGTGTGGTTCCGAATACTGCTTTTCGGGTTAGCGTCCGCATTCGTCGCCCCGTTCGGCTTCGAGGGCCGCTACGTCGACATGCCTATCTGCTTCATACTTGGCTGCATGGTTGGATTCCTGCAGCTGCGGCTCGCACCCGCCAACGAGCTGTACGCCAACGTCTTCGAGATTACGGCCGCAGTCTTCACCTCATTCCTCTCGCGGGTTTTCGGCTCGATACAAGGCGGGTCCATCTTCTGCTTCTCGGCCCTGGCCCAGTCGTCAATAGCCCTGATCCTGCCCGGTTACCTCGTTCTCTGTGCGAGTCTGGAACTCCAAAGTCACCAAATCATATCCGGGTCTGTGCGCATGGTCTACGCACTCATCTATTCTCTCTTCCTGGGCTACGGGATAACGATTGGGTCCGTCATATACGGGTATATCGACGAAAACGCCGTTAGCGATGTCCACTGCTCGACGAGGGAGGAGTGGTATTACCAGAGGCCCGGCCAAAACTACTATCTTCTCTTCGTCTTGCCCTTCACGCTGTGTTTATGCGTGATAAACCAGTCCAAGTGGAAGCAGACCCCGGGTACGTTGACCAACCCCCCTTCCCTCCAAACTCTATGCCAAGCCGTCAAGGGTTTTATCCCTTGTAACGAGGACTAATGTCGGCTGCAGTTATGGTGTTTATTTCCTTGGCTGGATACTGCGTCAGCAGCTTTTCGGCACGGTACTTTAAGGGGACCAGCACGCTCTCGAGCTCGCTCGGCGCCCTCTGCATCGGAGTCTTGGCGAACCTTTACTCCCGGTGCGGCCGCTACGTGCAGAACCAGATGCTGGACATCTGGGAGCGATATATCGAGCCCCGAGCTCATCTGTTCACTGGGAAGAAGAAGCGGCGCGCTAACTTCTACTCGGTGACTGTCGACTCGGACGATCTAGACGTCGAAATAGGTCGCGAGAAGACCAACAGCAGCACCACGCCTCTCACGAAGCATGCCCGCAGGGTTGGATACGGATTGGCAGCGGCCGCCATGCTGCCTGCTATCTTTGTGCAGGTGCCGTCGGGCCTGGCCGTGGGCGGCTCTCTTTTGAGTGGCGTGACGAGCGCGGACCAGATCACGCGCAACGAGACACTCCTGGCCAACGGCACTGTCATCAACGGCTCGTATACCACGACACAGACGACCGACTTGAACAGCACGTCGTTCAACGTTTTATTCAGCGTCATCCAGGTAGCCATCGGCATCTCGGTCGGGCTTTCTCTCAGCGCTCTGATCATATATCCATTTGGCAAGCGGAGGAGCGGGCTCTTCAGTTTTTGAGAATTCAGCCTTGCGCTGTGATTGGGCACACCCAAGGTCACCAGTGGGGATGGTTATGACGGCCCATGACTAGGGAAGAGGGCTGATAATTCATGAAGGTGGTACGCAGGACATTCGGGATAGCGCATGATTGTTTAACAGCTTAGATTTTGTAATTCTAGGGACCCTATAGCAAGGATTAGTTTAGATAGTTCGAGATTTGATAGACGAGTCTCTGATTTAGGATAGTGAAAGACATTTGGTCTTAACTAGAGGAGGGCGTTGAGCTTGGCGTTAAACTTGGCGTTAACTTGGCGTTGAAACTTGGCGTTGCATGTATTAATCAAAATATCAACAGATTCCTAGTGTAAGTGTTACTATCTGTTCTTCCTTTCCAGCTCATAAGGTTTTTCTCAGACATGAGCATCACGCGTATCACCTCGAGAGCACGCGATCGGCTACAGCCGCGATAACGCTGCGTCTCCCTTGTTGGCGTGGTACCTTCCAAGATCTAAATGGTCTTAGTATCTTACGACTCGCCGTAAAGGCTTTTCGCTAAAAGAAGAAATAGCTATTTGAGTCCATATTTTAGAATCCTAGAGGTCTATTCCTTCTGTAGAAATACCTATCAAAGACCCTTCCTGGCCGGTTCGTTTGGTATTTTCTTTTCCTTCGCAAATACCACGCCAACAAACATTCAGGAATATGTTTGTCTGCAGGGGAGACGAAAACACCGTTGAATTTGCGGCACACTGTTAACATGACCGTTTCGCCAGCTTCACCGTTGCGGCGGCGGCGCAGTCTATTTAAGGGGAGCTGTGCCTCCCTGTCTATTGGCAGCTCTCGCTGTCGCAAACATTTCGCAACGCGTGCATTCCGCAAAAAGCATCCCTACCGAGTCGTCGCGCCAAAATGTCCCGACGCCCCGTCATTGTTCTTAGTAAACCTATCAAGTTGCGCGACCACAAAGAGCGACAACGAAAAGCGGACGAGGACGATGAGTTACTCGCAGATGATAATATCGATAGTAAGCGGAAAGTATGTTTTCGTCTGCAAGAAGAGCGGTTTCGCGTATGGCAAACGATGCGGCTGTAAGTAATCTCGCGGGTTATGTTATTTGCTCTCGTTAACGATAAAATATTAGATTCGTTGAGAAATATAAGGGTGAGAACTTTTACCGGATTTGGTTGGGTCTTTGTAAGGACCAGAAACGCGAAAAGACTATCATAAGGTCGTACTTTCGAGATTATGTTGAGTCATCGCAGAAAACCCGCCCAGCCTTCGAGAATGGGGACGACGAAAGCCAGAGTATCCAGACGATTACCAGGACGAAGACCGTAATATCGCATTGGAGGAACTTGGTTGTAGAGGCGGACAACACGATCCTTAGAGAAAAGAGGCGCGACGACCCCAGCATACGTGGGCTGTGGAAGTTGAGGTGGGATAAAGGGGATTCTAGAGACAGCTCGGTAGCTGATATCAGTAATGTAAGGAGAGTCCGACTTCAAGATGGCCTCCCCGTGCTAATACGTTTAGTGGATCCGGTCGGATCTCGCAGATATATTCGGCTTAACGCGCGAATCGGAGCTTTCATTCACGAAGGCCGAGACAATATCCGAAGTTTTTTAATACTCCTCGATACCTTATGGACGCGGGCTGAGGATGTACCTTATCCGCCTGAGTTCTGTGTCGCGCTCTACTTGACGCTGGTCCCCGCAGGCCTCGGATTCCGGCCGGGTTCGTTAATGAAGTTCCGATACAAGCATATCCGTCTTCTGGTCGTCCCGGACCCAGAGAACCCGTCGCAGAACACGATAGTGGCAGAAATCACAATAACCTACGATAAGCTTCAAATGGCAGATGCCCGAGCGTAAGGGACCGGTACTATAAAAGCAAGGTATAATTACTCACTTCTTCGATATCTTTAGCATACTAATTTTCTTTAAAGCGTAACTTTTAAAGTTTTCCTCGCTCCCTACTAGTTCGTCTGTCTTGTCAGCCTCATCGCTATCCAAGCCATCGCCGCCGGTGCCTTTAATACCCCCTTCGAATCTCTCGACGAGATACTCCGCCAGCCGAACCTCGAACATACCCGTAGTTTAGTGCTCCATTGGAAGGATGATTTTATAGATCGTGAGATGTTTCCGATAAACTACCCCTCCTTTTGGAAAAAATGGTAACGTAATTGCATAGCGAGTGGCCATGTATAGCGAGTGGCCACTCTCCCCACCCCAATTGAGCTTTCGCACGACACACTAATACCACAAAAAAAATGATCAATTAAAACTACTTAGAATCCAATCCCTTATCCATTTTCACATCCTCCTGGCACGTACGAGAGTTGTGTCCTGTTTTGCCGCAATTGCTACAGTGCCGTGAGCCTGCTGTATTGCTCCTTGTACGGCCACCTCCTGACTGCTTTTCCTCCTCTAGTAGGGCGTATGCATCCCTTTCAGCTAGAATATCGCTTGCATCTTGTACAGTCAATGGCCCTCCTGCTTGGATACGACTTTTTTTTAGCCCTCTGGCGTTTACTTAGGGCTGTATTTGCCTCCTCAAGCTCTCGTATACGAGCCTTCATCAATACTACCTCGTGTATAACCTTCGTTGTACCCTTTACAATTTGGTCAAGGGCCTCAAGAATTGGGGTTGGTGAGCTGCTCTGATGCCTGGTAATGCGATCCTTGATGTATGTTGATTGTAGAGAGGCCTCAGTAGCATTCTGTGGTGTCTTAGAGACCCAATTGTCGTACGAGTCCTCCGGGGGTCAAATGGGACAAGGCCTGCCCCTCGGAAACCTCCTTGTACGTTTTCAGGTTTGAATGTTGCTTGAAATGCGTTGTAGAAGGCGAGAAAGAAGTCGGGCTTGGTGATGTGGTGAATATGGTTGCACATTAGCTTCTCGATTTCCTTGCTATAAAACCGCTTCAACACACCAAAACACCCGATATCAAGTGGCTGAAGTAGATGAGATGAGTGCGGAGGCATAAAAAGTGTTATAATGTTTCTTTGCAGTATTTTTCGAATTTGGCCGAGTGGTGGCTCTCATGCCCATCAAGGATTAGGAGACGTTTTCCACCTATTGTATAACGGCGAGAGTGTTGGTCGAAGTGCTTAATCCAATCAAGACCAATCTGGTTATTCGTCCAACCAGTTTCCGAGAGATCAACGGTCCAATCGGGGGGGAAAGGGCTGTCGCGATACCAACTTTCGAGGTGGATTTTGCTTGCAACCACCACGTACGGAGGGATGCTATTACCACCCGACTGTACAGCCTGGATCACTGTAGCCCATTCCCGATTACCAGGCTGGATCTTCTTAACCCTCCTACGGCCTTCAGACGAAGTAATAACAAGCATCGGCGAAATTTGGCCCATCATAAACCCAGTCTCGTCAAAGTTCCAGATATCCGACTCAACAATCCCATGTTTCGCGATTGTATTACGAAAAAGGTCAAACCACGCGCCAATTATCTCTGGATCTTCGCATTTGGCTCTCTGGTAGTCGTACGGACGCGTCCAACGCATCTGGAGCCCTGGTTGTCGTCGTACGAAGTTTGAAGCCCAGCGTAGTCCGACGCGTGACGCGTAGCAAATTGGCTATATCTTCAACCACATCGTATCCTGGCGAAAATCGTTGCTCATATAGGTCAAGAACCTTTGTACAATAACCTGCTCTTCAAGGGGATTGAGATTCCGAGAGTTGGCGATAGTGTTTGCTGTGAGGACCCGTCCACCAAACTGGCCCTCAAGCAGCCAGAGCCGCCCAGAACCCCGGGCCTATCAGAAGCCGCCTCGAGGCCACACCTACCCCACTGATAGATGAAAACTTATTCGCGAGCACGCGACGCGTTGTTGGACTTTTCCTTCTTTCCTTCCTCAGTTTAGAATCTTCGTCGATAGCACCCAATGGACTGAGTTCACCTCAATGCCTTGCCCTGGTCGTGACATTTGCTCGAGGGAGGATTCTCTTTAATCGCCGCTCAAGTGTTTTTCGGGGTACCGAATACAGTTTTGCAGCTGCAAAGGGCTTTAGTGATTTATTGCGTTCCATAGCTTGGACGGCAAGCTGTATTTGTGCTTCATTTCGTTTAGGTGGCATTTTTAGTTTTTTTGTAGTGTTGGTGTGTCGGGCGAAAGTTCAATTGGGGTGGGGAGAGTGGCCACTCGCTATACATGGCCATTCGCTATGCAATTACGTTATCGTCTATGGCTAGTATCTGGCAACCGAGAGCATTAGCGACCATATTCCCTCCGAGTCGGTGCTGGTTCAAAACTTGACGGTATATTAGCCTTTTGTAAAGAGATATTCTATTGACCTAATATTATATGTTCTTCTAGGCGTTTTGACGCCGGCTTTACGGTCATAATTCGTGGCCAACTCCGAGACTATCTTCTAACAAAACTACCTTCCCGAAGTACTCCGAAAGAAGTAATGCCGATCATATTTGGCATAGAAACGGCAGGGATACGCGGCGAGCTTTAGAAAATATTACGGAGCGCGACTTTAAAGAGAGACGAGAATGCTCCGATATACGTGACCGTTAACGAGGTGAAGAACCTTCTTGAAGAGTGTCACGGCCGGCTTGGAATGAGGGCGGAACTCCTCTATTGGGCGCTATAGACGAAGATTCTAAACTAAAGGGAAAAGGGAAAAGAAGCTCAAAAGCCTCCCCTCGCGAGATTCTTCCAGGACGTCTCAAGGTGGGGCTCTGGCTGGTCGGGTGGATCCACCCAACTGGCGTCTGATTAGTCTAGTCAGAGCGTCTGGGAGGCCTGGAGGACCAGGCCCTCACAGGATGAACGTCAAGCCGAGGATCTGATTCGTGATTTGCCATTCGATACGGCGGTTGAGGGCCTTGAAGTCATCTATCGTTGGCTCCTGATGCTGCGCCGCGCTTGAAAGGTCGAAGCAGGCCTCAGGTTGACAGATGGAAGCGATGTACGCACCCCGGGCTCGCTGCTCAACGTACTGTTGTTTGGCATCAGCCGCGCTGTGATCGATAGGTCGCAGCCTTACGGCCTGTCCCTTTTGCCGGAGGGTAATCGTATCATGGGTTAGGGTAGCGATTCCTCCGTTGAACGCCAGGGGCTCTTCGGGGGTTAGAACCTGCTTTGGTTTTGCGTTGAATGCGGCTTTCTTTAGCTCTTTTTCTTCAAGGCGGGAAAAGGCTTCAGTTGACAGGCCGATCGTGTCATCGGTCTGCATTCCGACGCAGGCGAATTCCGGGTTTTCCGTACTGGAAACTAGCAAGCAGGGGTCGTACGTAGACACCCTCATCTGGAGCCTCTCCAAGTGGTGCCTATGGTAGGTAGCCCACCAGTGGGTGCCTGCCTCGGCCAGGCCGTACAACGGCTTGATTACCCGCATCACGGTGCCCTCGGGGTACTGGTTTTTGATCTGCTTGGGTAGGTAGGCGAGGATTTCGCGGTTGAGGGCGGTTTCGGACTGTACGTAGGCTTGCGTAATGTCCCTGAGCCAGGCAACCATACCGCGTTGTAGAAGGGAGGGAGCGAGAGCGAGAATAAGGCGTTGACTAGCCCGCTGGATCGTTGGCGACTGGGTCAAAATGGACTCTTTCCCGTTATCTGCGTAGCCTTGGATAACCAGGCGTGATTTTTCGTAGGGCTTGGTGGTGATTTTGCCTTTGACTTCGTTGACGATCCTGGACTTGAAGATGCGTAGGTCCTGCCTCTGGTCCTGGTTGACGAATTCGAATACCCCTCGGGCGATGAGGCTATAAATCTCCCGTTGAGTAGACTCTTCGAATGGCGCGCCAGGCGTGGTGATCTTGCCTTCGGCGCGCAGCTGTACCGCTAGTACGGCATCTGCCTGCTCCTTATTCGTCATGAAGCTCTCAGAGGCTCCGGCTTCTTGAAGGAAGACATGTGGCCGGGTTCGGGGCCTGCCGCGGGTGCGCTTTGGGGGGGCGACTACGATTTCCTCTTCGGCTTCGTCCTCGGGGACTGGGCTAGGTTCCGGCGTGGCCGGTGTAGCTGCCGGTGGCTGACCCGGTGCTGCTGTTGCCGTAGGATCTTCGTCGTACGGCTTGACTGCGGTCGACCGGAAGACGCGTGGTCCGGTGATCATTTCTAGGGTACAGTCTTCTCCGTTGACTGCGATTAGCTTGTAAGGCCCCTGCCAGCCGGCTTCCTCACGCCATACCCGGACTAGGGAGTCAACTGGTAGGTGGGTAGTCCGGCTGGTATTCGGGCCATTGCGGGCTGCGAGAGCATCGTTGACTCGCCGTGTGGCTTGGAGCCTCCTGACTGCGTCGGTGGCCTTCTTGACTGCCAGAGCGCGTTGTTTAATCGAAGGCGAGGGTGCTGAATCTTCGGTTAGCCGGGGGTAGGCTCCGAAGACTAAGAGGGTAGGAACAAGGCCGTCAGGGCCGGCCGTGTCGTTAACTGCTTTGATGGCCATTTGCAACGCTGCTTCCGGGCTGAAATCAGGATATTCGGCTCTGAGGATGGTGTAGGCTCGGCGTAGCGGAGCGTGGTACCGTTCAACCTTGCCAATGCTGTTGTGGGCTTCAATAGGCACCTCTTTTATCGAGATACCCATTTCCTTGGCCGACTGCCGGAACTCGGTTGATCGGAACGATTTACCGGCGTCGGTAACCAGCCAATCGGGTGGGCCTTGGTAAACGTTGATCCAGCAAAGGCAGAGGGCTTCCCAAACCACTTTTGAAGATATATCCTTGAGGAATTGGCCCGCTGAGAAGGAGGTAGCCGTATCAACGACATGGAGGGTAGGGCGTCCTTCAAGGTAGAAGATATCGATAACGACTTCGTAGTTGAACTCGCAATCGTCGTGGAGGGTGAACTTGAACCGGGCCGGGCGGCCTGCGTTCATTTGGCATTGGTGGCATATCCGTGTGAGGGACTCAATAGCTCTGATCTCCACGGGGTGCCCGGCTGTCTTCAGGACCTTATGGAGGCGGGCGACTGACGGGTGGCCAAATCGGCGGTGGATTTGGCGTAGTTCAACGTCAGTAAGGTAGTTGTAAGCGAGGGTCCTTTCTTTGGTTAACTGGAGCCACGGGTGTCCCCACTTCCGTACGACGGGGACGGTAAGGGTGCCTTGACGTAATTGGTTACGTAGGTTATCGAATTTCACGCCTAGGCGATCCATATCCCGTAGGCAGAGTAGGAACGGTGTATCCGCGGGGATCACATGGAAGTCAACGGGGCCAAAAGGTGTAGGTACAGTAGTAGTGCCTAGGGGGGTAAGTGCCTCACCCTGCCCGAACTTGATCGTGGTCTCCTCGCTTGACGGTCCTAGTTGTAGTGATGGTAGCTCTCTCTGTAGGGCACGGAATTGTTGGTGCCCCGCCGTTGAGAAGCCTGCCGCGCCGGTGTGAGGCATGATGCCGTGAAACTCCATAGTTGAGTAACGGCCGTCGAGGGTGAACACCGAAGCGGGGTGGTTCTGGCCGTCCTGGCCGTCCTCGTTGTTGAAGGGGTCTTCCTTGGTTAGACCGTAGCGTACTGAGCTATCGGCAAGCAGGGTAGCGATCACGTGGCCGTTAGCAGGCGTGGAGTCGTTGAAAAAGGTGCCTAGGAAGTTGTCGTCCTCACTGCTGTCGGATTGGTCCTCCTGGTCCTGCGGGGTTTGTGGAGCATTGTCGTCTTCGTCGTCTAGGCCTTGGATTCCTTCGTACCCGGCTAGGAACTGGGCGTACGTAGTGGACGGCTGGGCAGTGTGCTTGCTCTTTTTGAAGCGGTCGTAGGCCTGGCGCCTTTCTTCCGGTGTATGGGTAGTTGACCAGCAGCCAGGCTTGCCACATACGTAGCACTTTTTGTTTAACGGGGGCCCTCGGGGTGGGGAGCTACTACGTAGTGGTTTCCCTTGGTCCTTACGCCCGAAGCGGGCCTCTCGGCCGTTGCCTTTGAAGGTCCGGTCAGTCCAGTACTGCCCGGCTTCTTCGGAGCCGGAGGTGCCGAGGTGTTGGCTCTGGGCTTCAGCTGCAATGCTGACTGCCGACCGGAGTTGGTTACGCACACCTTCGTAGGTTGTAGCTGGGTTGTACAGGCAGAGTGTGCACTCGGGGATCCCTCGGCAGGCGTTAATGACTTGCATACGGAGCATTTCCTCTGACTGGTAAGCGGTTGGTAGGGCGTGTTGGATCGTGGTGAGCTTATTGAACAGAAACTCAAGGCATTCGGTCCTTGACTTCCCTGGGCTTCCTTCGATGACTTTGCGTAGCGTTGTGCTACCCCACTCTAATAGGCGTAGCTGGTTGTTATCTTCGCTTTCGAACTGGGCCTTAGTCCGGGCAATTAACGTGGCGAAGTCGTAGTTATGCCCGCAGAGCCGGTTGTAGTAGTAGGTCAGGGCGCGGCTCTTGAGCATAGTCGGGAAGGTTGCGGCGTACTGGCCCTGAGTGACACCGAGGCGCTGGCAGCAGTCCTGGAAGATCACTAGCTTAGAAGCGAGTACATCATATACATCGCCGCCGTATTTCATCTCGTCGTTATACAGCTTGGTCAAGTCTGTAAGTTGCTTCGCGAGCGGGGTTTCCTGCGGTGTGGGTTGCCGTACGCGGTCATCGAACCGGCGGTTATCGACCCGGCCACGTTGATGGTCGTCCGTTGGCCACGGTTGTGGCTGTGGTGGTGCCGGGTTGCGCTGGGGTCTGTATTGGAACTCCTGCTCTGGTAGACCGAACGTGAGGGGCTCTCGAGGCGGTAGTCTTGAATGGGCTGGTTCGCTCGAGCGGCTGTGCCGGGGTTCCTGAGGTAGATCTTGAGGTGGAAGTGCCGTAGGGGGTTTGGGTTCCTCCACATCGTCGTCCGGCTCTTGGATCTCCCGGAGGAAGTCAGGGTCCAGGGTGTTCAGCTTGAAGGCTTTGTTCCGTTCTTTCTCGTATTTGACGTCCGCGTCAGACCATTTGTGGAACTCCTTCGACGTTGCTGCCCGTCGGAGGTTGTTGTAGATTCTGTCACCATCCATAGTAACGAAGACTCCGTTGCCCCGGAGCCAGTTACGTAGGGTAGTCTGCGTTCGGCCCGGGATCTTCGTCCAGGTGGCGTTATCCCAGTTCTCGAATTCCTCGGTGAACTGCACCCATGCGTATCTTCCTATCAGGGGGTTGTTTTGCCAGCAACGTAGGATGAAGTTGATGTGCCCGTTGATCTGTTTGACCGTTGGTTCCTGGAGTTCGTCGAATGCGGACAGCTCGCCCCAGGTTGTAGGGTCTACCTCGCCCCGAAGTTCGGGAGGCACAGCCGGGCCGGGATCAAGACTGCGGTTGGGTTCCCGGGAGGCCAGTCGGCTGGGCGAGGGTTCCGGGGACGGGGACGTGGTGCTGTCGTCTTCAGGCATCGTGGTAATTGCAGGGGTACAAGGGTTTGTCAAGGGTATGAGAGGGTTAAGCCGTTGGTAGGCTCAAAAAATGGGGTTGGTTGAAGAGTAGAGGGTAACCCGAAAGAATGAAGGTCAAAGCGAATGAATAGAGGGCAACAACAAAAAGGGTTTCAGTTGAAAAATGGAGGGCAACGCGAAAGAATGAAGGTCAAGGCGAATGAATAGAGGGCAATAACAAAAAGGTTTCAGTTGAAAAATGGAGGGCAACGCTTCAGTTGAAAAATGGAGGGTAACGCGAAAGAATGGAGGGCAAAGTTGATGAATGGAAGGTAACGCGAAGGAATGGAGGTCAAAGCGGATGAATAGATGGCAACAACAAAAAAGGATTTCAGTTGAAAAATGGAGGGCAACGCGAAAGAATGGAGGGCAAAGTTGATGAATGGAGGGCAACGCGAAGGAATGGAAGGGTAAAGTTGATGAATGGGGGGGTAATGCGAAGGAATGGAAGGGTGTAGTTGACGTGCGTACGCGTTGAACGCGTAGGTTGGTGCTCGATCGTTCGAGCTGTGCGTGGTAGACGCTCTGCGGCTAGGTGACGCCAGGGAGTCGGTCGTGGTCACTTCTTCCGTAGATTCGAAGGTCCTTCGGCTGCGGTTGAGATTCGAAGCGAATGCTCCGTTATACCGTCTCTTCCGTAGGCGTGGATGCCTTCCTTAGCACAGGTTCGTAGGGAGGGCCGACTTTTCGGGTCGACCGGTTCTCCACGGCGCTGTCTCTTCTAGTTGAACCTTGCTGATCTGTGGCGTTGGACTGTTGTCCCAACAGTGGTGAAATAACCACTGATCAGTGTAGGAATCACCAGGGTACCGGTACTGGAAACAGCATGGCGCGCTGCGCGCCGTAAGGTGGTGGTTCAAGTGATGGATTCGTTTGTGTCTGTCTGTCTTCTTCTCTATCTGAACAGGTGGGCGTAGGCCAATATATATGCATCTGTCAGGCCCGCTCCTCCACAGATGTTGCTGTGGCCAGGAATGCGGAGCCGCATTCCTTGGATCAGCGCGTCATTCCAGTATGTTATTCCAACAATAACCAATAAGAGCTACTGGCAGTTTCTGTTGCAACGCATCTTTAGCTCCAAGGTACAATCCCGATGCAAAACTTCATCAAGCACGGCCAAGACCTTGTCGTCTGTGCTAACCTTGAGGATTTAGTAGCGGGCATGAACGAGTGAGTTGAATCGGTTGAATCGTGCAGCACTTATACTGAGAGCTAAATTAGGAAGGCTCGCGGCTACGATGGGAGACCGTGCCGCACTGCCGGTAGGCCATGGCTGATGAGGTCTGGTCTTGGGAACAACAGCTTCTGCGAAGCTGTGAGTTTGGGACATCGAGATAAGTCACGATGGTGCATCGATGATTACCTACTACTCATAACCTTGCCCGCTGCAATCATAACCTTGCCCGCTGCAATCATAACCTTGCTCGCAGCAATCATAACCTTGCCCGCAGCAATACAATGATGCTTTAGCCCAGATTCTCTCCACTTTCATGAAACTTGCCGGCTTCCTTCAGTTCTTGACTAGGGATCCTATGTGATCAAACATTGAAACGAATTGCCTTGCGCAAGATAGCAGTACCAACAGTTTTGTACAGTTTTGAGCCCTCGGAATTATGATGACACAGTGGGTGGGCTGTGCGTAATGTAAGTAACCTGTTACCATGCAGATCTCTCCCTTTTCCCATATTCATTCTTGGAATCCCCATAGCCCTGCTCGTACTCGCCATCATCATAGCGACCTGCCGATCTGGCCTCACTGGCATAGTCCCCAGACACAGTCCGGCCAACCTTGTTCACAAACAAACCCCGATCCGATCCCGGACTGACTGGTCGACCCCAACGGTCGTCATTGTCCGCAGCAAGTCTGGACGAGTACCCAACCTCTGGTTGCAACTGACCAGAGAGTGATCCGTTGCTAGTTGGGTTGTGGGGATGCTCAGCTCTCGAGGGAGACAACCCCCGTCGTCCCTGGTATTGCGGTGGTGGCTCAAGCAACGACGCATGACGTGGTCGGTTCCCGGACCGGAACATGGTTCCCCTCGGCGGTCTCCCCCCGGGGCTCAACAGCGGTCTCCCCCCGGGGCTCAACAGCGATGGGTCCCCACCTAGCGGCTCGATCCCATTCCCGTGGCCCCCCTCATCGTGCCCACTTCCCTTCCCGCTCTGGTGTCCGGTTGTCCAGGACTGCCCGGGGACACGGTCGACACGAGTCTCCGCCTCCCTCGCAAGATCGGCCGGGGTCTGGCCAAAGAAGACTCTCTTCATGTATTCCTCAAACTCGACGGTCACGCTGTCCATGAGCCTAAAGTGCTTGACTTGCAGCTTGGGCGGCGGTGGCATGTCGGTTGACCCGCTGGCCCGCAGCCTCTCGGCTTCGGCGGCCGCGTCGGCGTAGGCGAGACTGCGCGCCATCTGGAAGGCATTGCGGATCTGACGCCCGTTCCAATGCGCGGAATCGCCACCACGATTACTGGTCAAGTGCTCCTCGGCGAACTGAAGTATCTCCTCGGCGGGAATCTCCAGGGGCCGTTTTCCTGTTCTCCGTTGGTGCTCGGCATCGATGCGCCCCAGTCTCCGAAGATTAATCTCCCAGATCTCTCGCGCCTGCTGTGGGCTGAGGGGTGGATAGAAGATATTGCAGTGGATGCGCGAGCGAAAGGCTTCGTCTAGCGCTCCCACTCGGTTGGTTGTCATGAAGAGGATCCCGGTGTAGTAGTCTAGGATTCGGAGAAAAACTAGTAAGGAGCGGCGTGTTAGAATGTGGCTTGGGGGGGGTGCGCTGCAGGTAAGAATGAAGACAAGAAAAGAATTGCACCGGAAACTAATGCATTTTTAGTCATCGCCGCGTCTCCCTTTGAGCGCTGCGAGAAGAGGGTATCAACCTCATCCATAAGCAGAATACAGTCCCACGAGTTGGCCAGTCTGAAGATACTCCCCAGCGATGACTCAACCTGCTCGGGCGTCAAGCCAAGATCGCCGCAGGTGATCTTGAACAATGGCTTGTTGTGCGTTTGGGCAATGGCTTCTACCGTCGCCGTCTTCCCGACGCCGGGGACACCATGGAGCAGGATGAACAGGCCAGCGCCTTTACCTCGGATAAAGTCCTGCGACTCTTGCCCCTGGCCGTGTCGTCGCTCGTCGGCCTTTTGCATCAGATGTCCCTGGACTGATCTTTGGATCAGGTCTTTCACGCTGTGCGGAATCCGGAGCGAGTCGAGCGCATCGCGGGACCCGGACGGGGGCGACATGTGTTGCGTGTCCATCTGTGCAAACTTGCGGTCCTGGAAGACGTAGCCAAAGACGCGGCACGCAATCAAGCCCTTGTCTATGGGGCTGAGGTAGTCTCGAGTTGTAAGTTGACCCCTGGCGAGGTTCTCGCTCATCTGGGAAAGTAACGGGTCCGTCGAGACGAACTTGTTCTGCTCCCACTTGCTCACACCCGTCCGGACGGGAACGACCTCGACGCTCTCGGCTTTCAGCTTGGCTCTGTCGGGTCCCGACCACCACAGGATGGAAAAATCATCCGACTCGGCCAGTTGCTTGACTGGCTCTGGCTTGAGGATGCTCCGTTTCGGCTTCCAGTGCGGGCACGCTTGAAACGATTCGTTGAAGTCCACCATAACGTCGCTATTGATATACTCGGGGTGTTTCATTTCTACGCCGCTGGCGTCACAGGTCGCGTCGCCCTTTGGTGTCCGTGTGACGGTCCACGAGTCATAAGAAACATGCTTGATGTCGATGTACTCAAGCGTTTTGTCTCCAAGCTCGGCGGCGTCGGCAAGGTACTTGTCCAGCTCGGCTGGGCCAAAGCGAAGGGGGTAGACGGGTAGTGACCGGATCCGTCGAAGACCCTTGAATGGCTGGATGGCGAATTTGGTGACCACAGTGCAAAACTCTTCGCCCGTGTATTCGAGATAAAACGCTTTGACGATGAACGATGCGTCCTGTTCACCGGAGTCTTGGTGAACGTCGTACTTGCGATGGTCCGAATGACAGACGCGGTAATCCATATCCCGCGAGCGCAGGCCGTAGCACCGCCAAAGACGCTTTCCCGTGCGTTTCCAATCCCGTGGATTGCCTTTTCCCGACGTATCGGTCCCGTACGGTCGGTATACGAGCTCCCCCGTTCGGAAGAGGTAGTGAAGATCAGAAAATCGTACTTTTGGGTCGTCAGACGCCGTTAGTCCATCGAACTGGGTGTACTCTGGGATGATGTTCTCATCGACGAATTTGACATAGCATCGCACTGCCGCCAGTGCTTCAGGGCAGTTATCGACGGGCCCTTCCGATTCTTCCACCCCGCCGTCGGTGGGAGCTGGCGTATGGGCATTTGTGATGGAGGATTCCGGGGTGGCAGCCCCGTCGAGATAGCGCCCCCATCGACTCTCCAGATCTCGAAGGGCCCTCTTCATCTCGGCCTGAAAGGAAACTATGGTGATAAAGGGGCGGAGATATGTCCGCGGCCGGGATGACCAGGACTCCCCTTGGATGTTGGACAGGATCTTGAGGATCGCCGGCGACTGAATGCGGACACGGCGCATCCAAACGTCATCGGACTGGGCCGTCTCCAGAGCTTTGGCGTTGAGGATGTTCCTTGCCTTCAACGCGGCATCCTTGGCCTTTCCTGACCGGGAGGACATGGCGGCACTGCCTGAGCGGTGTTTGCGGAACTGTTGCTCCTCATGCATCTCCTGCTGGAGCAGGGCGCCAGAGACGAGCACGTCGATGGCATATCGGCCATCCTCGTCGGTGAAGCGATTCTTGAACTGCATAAAGTTGCATCTTCGCACCTCTGGAATCGTGTCCTTGTTGGTCAACTGGGTTGGGTGTTGGAAGTCCGTTGAGTCCGTCACCGAGCCTTGGTCGCCCAATGAGTTGTGCCTGGCTGTGCCATAACCTCCACCGCTCTCTGCGCCTGCGACCTTTTCCTCCAGGAGCCTTACCCGCTCCTCGAGATTTGAGGGACTCCCGCCATTGCCGCTCAGAATTGCAGACATGGTGCCTCTGCGAATAAGTCAGCTCACCTGGTCGCACGCTTGTCAGTTAATTCGACAGCAACTGACCTCCACTTCTGCAGGTCCTACACTTCCGCAGGTCCTACTTCTGTAGGTCCTACACTTCCGCAGGTCCTACACTTCCGCAGGTCCTACACTTCCGCCGCATGCAGTTGCCCGAGGGCTGAGATCGAATCAGATCGGATTTCGCGCAAGGTGATGAAATCTTGAGAGAAATGCCGCACAGCGACTATAAGTAAGTACGCATCTCTTTGCCCCCGAGTCTACCAGTGCTGATCCAGGGGGGGTGCCTTGGTAAGAAGTATTTGAGTAATGGAGCCTCGCCAGTCCATTGCACAACCCTTTGGCGATGCTGCCTATTTTATCGTATTCGAGGCAGCCTGCTAACCTCGAGGCAGCCTGCTAACCCCGAGGCAGCCTGCTACCCTTGTAGCAGCATGAGCTGCATCGCGGCAACAGACTCACTCGCAGCCTGCTTAGGTACTACTTCCATGGTTCATCAAGCCCGAAAGATAGCATAATGGAGGCCTCTAAGGAATGTTTTCGCCGGTGTGTGCTGCACCCTCCCCAACTCGGCGTCCCCTGATGCTCTTTATTGGATGGCTGCTCAGGTGTGGGTGGCAGCCACAGACGCCTCTTGCCCGGCTGTGGTGAGTGTAACCACCCCCCGCATTCTCCTGCAACACGCATGCTTGCTCAAGGCGTTCAGCAAGGCGTTCAGCAAGGCTGTACTAACTGTCCCATCTGATCAGGAGCTTGAGGGGCAACCCCAGCCCCCGTTTCCAACCTGGCAACCCCGACCCCAAGGAATAGTATAGTCAGCCAGATGACAAGCTCTGCTGCGAGGCACAAATGGCCCCTCAAGAAGACGACAAGACGTATCTCGCTCGACAATTCATTGAATCCCATGGTGCAGCAATTCATCCCGTTTTTGGACAACCATCTCATTTCAACATGTCGACGATGAGCTACGAGCTCAAAGAGGTGCAGTAAGATGAACTAATCAGCGTCGGGTCTTGTTGAAACGAGAATGAAGTTAGCTAACCTAAGAAAGCGAGCTCCGAGAAGCATTAGAAAACTTTGAGGACAACACCGGGGAATCCCTCAACTTCAGTTTCGACGTCAAAGAATGTAACTGGGACAACGTTCTCGCCGAGCTAAAACGCGCCCTGGAGGCGGACGAAGAGCGAGCGAAAAAATGGCACCACAAAGCGTGGCGCATTTTTGGATCAACAGCCCCAGTGTTAGCCCCTGGTTTGGCGGCATTTCCAGATGAGCTTTGCGTCCTGCATGGAGGGCTTGCTGTTATCTTTGGTGTAGGTCAGAACTGGTGCGACATATGCAGGACCGCTCGATAACTTGTAGCTGAATGTTCCAAAGATTGCTCAACGCCGAGCCCAGCACCGCTCGAAAATACTCGCGGCCTTTGGGAACATCCCTCTCACCATCACTGATGCCCGTCGCAAAGCAAATATATTCCCCCGGCACGTAGACAACCCCGACAGCATTCTCCTTCATAACAGCATAGACGACCTCAACCAAACTCTCCTTCAGGTTCTGCCTAAATTAATCCAATTGCTGAACCCGGGCACAATCAGTATGACCCGCCTAGTGGGGTGATGGCAACGTGACAAGGCACTTACCCAAAGAGTTTTAGTTTTAAAAGCTACCAGCAGTTTTAAGGGCGACAAGATCGATAGCCTCTTGGAACGGATTACCCAAAGCTCTCAATACACAGAAGCTTGCGCCGGACGCTTAATAGAACAAATCACCATCGAAACGAACGAGACTGTCAAAATTATCCACGCCGATACCCGAAACACGGTGGCGGGTGTTGATGATCTTCGAAACCAGGTAGATGAACTGTTACGTCGACAGCAGTCGCTGCAGGATACGTTAGACGCCATCTCGGGCAAGAACGGCCTCTTCCAGTTTGTCGTTGAAATGCTAAACAGTGAGTCATTTCTTCTTCCCCCCTATTCTCGAGCGGGCCGCTAAACCAGACTCCTCGTAGATCCTCAACTCAACGTGGCCCCTCCCCCAGAATACACCCCAGCCGTGTACCCCCCGGCAAGAGCAAACGAGAAGGTGCTCACTGCTCTCGAGCTCCTCAATCTCCTTGATATCCAGCTGCTCGGGCCCATCGAAGAGGAGACTCAAATTCTCCGCCGTGGTAGCTCTATCGATGACTCCCTCCTTAGCCGCGCATCATGTAAGCCGTTCCACCAGAAGCCCCCTTCAAAAGAAAAAGAAAGGAAAAGGAAAAAAAAATGGCTGAAAAGTTCTCCTGTTTAGACATGCTTCAAACCATGGCAGTCAGAACCCTCCTTTTCTCCCAACAGCCCGGCGTCGTCCTCGTCGACGCATGCAGCGACCGAGCACAGGGGGGCAGTAGCGTGACGCCCGTTTCTGTCATCTGCGCGACCCTCACACAGGCACTGCGCCGGGGTGGATACGGCCCTGCGCTCTCGCCCGCTCTACCCACATCCGCGTCAACGCCAGTGATCTTGGTCTTCTTCTGCGGGCTCCACATTGCCACCGAAGATCCCCTCCAGGGCCCGCTTGGGCTAGTGAGAAGTCTGCTCGCGCAGTTGGCGCTAGAGCTGTTGAAGAATAGGTGGGTTACGGAGGAAGGGCCGATGGGGGTGCTGCCGGATGAGAGTATGGAGGAGGGGTTGTATCTGGCCGATCTGTGTGGCTTGTTCCATAACCTGTTGCGGCTGGTGCCGGCGGGGACGTCGGTGTACTGTATCGTGGATGGAATTTCGTCGTATGAGAGAGAGTTCTGGAGTGAGGACTACGGGGTGGTGATGGGGGCGTTTGCCAGGATTGTGCGGGATGAGGGGTTAGAAGCGTGGTTCAAGCTGTTGATGACGGGTCTGGCTTCGAGTCCAGGGCTGGATAGGTGGATGCCACACCAGAGGGTGTCGTTGAGGAGTGGGAGGGTCGGGGGAGGGTCCGTACAGCGGGCAATGAGGGCTGCGTTTAGGGATGTGAACTTGAACGATGACTACTACTAGCGGCGGGCGCCATGTTGACGATTATTGTTATTCGACATAATAAGCAATTCAGTCACTCGAACGATGGAGGCATACACACTATCACCGAAACAAGCGGTGTCCCTCCCAAGAACGTCAATGTTCTCACGTCACCCCCGCCAGTGCCCTCATCTTACAGCAAGCCGGCGACAAAGACCAACTTTGTCGAACTCGTGCATCAGGTCGCCCAACAGGCTTCATCTACAAGCCCCAACAAACTAATCATCATCTGCTTTTCCGGCCCGGCACCCAACGCTATCCGGACAAGAAGGGGAAAAATACCTACGACGAGTGTCTCTGCACCCTCGGCGAAGACTTTGCACATGTCGATTTTGCCGGCATGCTTAAGAAGCTGACGTATAAGGGCCTCACCGTCCTGGCGCTGCTCGACTCGTGTCAATCGGGCGGTGCTGATCGAGACGCACATACAGCTCACGGGGTTGGCAGGTGAAATGCGCACAAAGTGAGAAGGACAGCTTAACTGGGCTACACCTGCCAGTCCCGCACTGTCATCTACTTGGTAACGTATATTAAGCAACTGTTGAACCTACCTAGATAAGCCTGCGGCGAGTTGAGCTGCCTTTTCTTCTTCTTTTACCTTCCAGCCAACGACTTGCCTTCGCTTCTCTCTGCTCCCCTTCTTATCGCTCTCTCCATCCGTCGTCTATTTCTAGTAGATCGCGGATGCTATCACGGTGGACTCAAAAGGATTCCCCACTGGACGCTTGGAGTATTCGGATTTCTGACAGTTCCTGAAGGTTCCGCCGAGGCTTCTACATTCGCAACGGTATCCGAATCTCCCACCGCCCCTCCTGCCCCCACTGAATCAGCCGCGTTGCCCTGATAGCTTGGAGCAGCCTGCCTAGTCCCAGTTCTCCGGCGCCGTATCCAGCCCCATAGCCGTAGTTTCGGGAATTGCCATTGGCAGTAACCAATGAGCACAGCAATTACCGCCAGAACTATTACCACAACCGTAAGAAGAAGGTCGCGGAGGCCCTCGTCATTGCTGCCTCCATATCCAGGGACCATCGGTAGCTCGCCCATATAAACATCGATTCTCCTCGAGGGGTCCATGGCCATGTGCGCTCTTCTGCCACGGGATGCCCGTGATCCGCAGACTTGCATTAGCACAGCACGACGCACCCCCTGGATCAACTTCGGCTACTTCTTTTGACGAAACACAGTACTCGCTGTAGGTGCTGCACGCCCATAGGGTGATTTCGGGCCATCCGTCTGGGACATCGTGCCTGTCCCTGACAAAGTGCTGCGGGCATGGTAGAGGCCAGGAGGGATTGGTACAGCCCGCTAACGTCAGAACACGGTCTTTTTCAAGATCTGGACTGAAGCCCATGCATAGCCCGTTGTCTAAGCATAGATCGAGGCCGTAGCAGCAGTGGCTGGCTTCCTGTCTGGCTTGCACGAGAAGCATTTGTCGAAGCCATTGTAACTGTAATCGTTGAGCGTGCCGTCGTAGCGATAATGTTGGAATCACCAGGTACCGGTACTGGAAGCAACAGGGCGTAACTGCACGCCGAAAACTGGTGGTTCAAGTGATGGATTCGTTGGTGTCTGTGTATCTCGAAGACAGAGGGTGGAAGTGGCCTACGGCCACTTAATAGAATCTGTGGCCCTGTGCCACCACAGCCATCTTCGTGGATGACCCTCCGTGGCTGACTAGCGCGTCATTCCAACATCGGTGCTATATGTTACTTCGTCTTTTTTTTGCCCTACCTCTCTAACTTCAAGATAATATTGCTGATATGTAAGTTGTTACTGACGTACACACCTTTGCCGTAAATTTTATATTCTTGACAGGTAGGGTGGATTCCCGAGGCCGAAGCGTTCGAGTGGAGGCTTCTCGACGGTAGATAAACGTGCAAGGTCGAGACCCTGCATTGAAGCATTATCGATTGAATCAGTATTCTAGGTTGCCGGCCAGGAAGCCGAACATTACCGACCAATTTTTGAGAGCTGGGAAGTTCTTGAACAAACCACAGATCAATTCAATCACCTTTTTCTTCAATGATTTGACCACATCCTTAACATTGTTTCTGACATGTATGAGACGAATCTGGGCGCTTGCACCTTGGCCTAGCCCACGGTGGCATTGCTTAGCTTCAGTGCCACCGCCCGCTGTGATCAGCTGTGACCTCGCCCAGTTCCGACATTCAACCCTCATTAGAGGCCCGCTATCGACCGTGCGATACTTGGAACTCGGCAGCCGAAGGCTCTGTTGCTAGATCCAGACCTGGTGCATCCAAGTCTGTCATTTCGCGTGTAAGCGGCTAGCCCTCTCAATGCAAGTGAGTCTGCGTACTGGGGATAAGAGCTGACATGGAAAAGGCAGATCCTCCTCATCGACGTCTGGCCCAAGGATTCTGTACACCCGCCGATATTTTCCGTATTCGCTACCTCCACTCTTCCATTTCGTGAGCAGTTCCCACTGCAGTTTACCGATTCCTCACGTCAGTGACCGCTCGAGAATTTGGTATGGTTGGCCTAATCTCTGATGTTGCGTCAATTGGTTTGCATCGGTGAATGTCTCATAGCAGCGGCTGCATCTTTCTGGCTCGAGGTGTTGACGATAGAGGTGCTCCCTTGCGCAGAACAATTAGTGCTTTTGTACTCCAGGCAGGGATGATACCCATACTTCAGCCGGTTGATATTTGGCCATCCAATGAGGCAACAGTTCTCATGAGCAGAATGGCGGTGATTCTCAGAGGAACAGAATGGCGGTGATTCTCATAGGTCCAATAATCAGTCACTGCCACCACCATCTTCCCCTTCACCTGCTTCTTCTACCCAGCGATACCTACCTATTTTGAGAATGGGGGTCCATCCAAAAGTCGTTGAGACCCAGAATATCTTGCTCCATTATCTTTCTAGGGGCGCGTCCGTCGTACGGTTCTGTTCGAGACGTTCGTTAATTTAGATGCCTACTTCGTACCCAAGGCACGCATAGTTTTAATAATCGAGTAGGTACTTAATGGTGCTTCGGGAGGGCAAAAAGCTCTTAAGGCAGTTTAATATAGACATATTATTCAGCTGAACGGAGCCACCGTAGGCGAGCTTGCGAGCCGGAGGTGGCGTAGAGAGGCTGTCAATCTGTCTGTGCGGTACCTTCAACTTTGTAGCCAGCTCCCCCCCAAAATAAACGACTTTCTTCCTCAATCTCGCAATTCAACCTCAGTCAATCGCACGTACGATTTCTCGCTTTTCAGCTATGGGCAGGCACGCCAAATACTTTACGATTATGACCATATCGATCCCTACTAATATATCACTAAGAACGCGTGTTTTTCGAGCCGCAGCCCCCGCGGCCCGATGCGCCAAATACAAGCGCGGTGGCTAGCCTCCGGACCGCCCGATCCTCCCTATACCTAAAGAGACCCCGAACGACCAGATTGCTCCCGAATAAAAGAGATGCCGTGGTTATAACTTGGTCAAACATAACTAGCACCCCTCGGCCAGCCACCCATTCCCTCGAGCGAAGCGAGGACAGCTCGCCGCAGGCGCCGCCGGAGGCAAAAAACAAGAAAAAAAAGAGGCTCCGTTCAGCTGACCCCTTCCTGACCCGTCAAGTAACCTATTTTGTAGTTAACGTTAGCGTTTTTATAGTCGAAAGGCGACTGCTTGTTTCTCGCCCCTTTAACAGAGATTTGTCAACTTAAAGTATGGAGAGAGGGAAGAAGGCCTCTCGACATCCTCCTCTGTTATAGCAACGATCAATTATAGAAGCCCTTTAATCTCAGATTAGCTGAACCGCTAAGATCATAAGGCTCCAACCCAAAACCTTACCTCCTATTTAGGTCCACCTGATCCGAGGCAAGCAAAGGCAAAGACAATATTAACACTGACAAATTGCTCGACTAATACCAAACTCAACTGCTTTTCTCAAAGACTGTAATTGTATATCCCCCCCTTCCCGAGGCGCTCACAAACCTCGGCCCTCTATCCAGCCCTCACAAATCCACCAATCCTTCAGGGTTCACGAACCCCCTCACACCATTCCTCAAACAGAGCCAACACCGCCTCGTCCGCTCCATATCGAATTACACCCCACCCCACGGACACGGATTATAGCACTCCCCCGGCATCGTCGGCCCCCCGATCCCGGGGCCCACGAACCAGCAGGGAAAGTCGTGAATACACAGCATCCCCCCCGGACAATCGCCCGGGCTGGCGCACGGGGTAGGCGACGGATCCCGCACGGGGTTCAGAGCCCTGAAGCATGCGACGCGGCCCTCGACATTGTGCCCGCACTGGCAGCCCGGCCAGTCGGGGCTCTCGAACGTGAGGGCGGTGTTGGGACCCTCGCATTTGGAGCTCGGCGCAGGGTCGCAGCGCTGGTCGAAGCTGCAGGTTGTCGTGGCCAGGGGCGGGTTGCTGAAGGTCTCGATGGAGATTTTCCACGAGGTGGAGGAGCTGGAGGGGCTGGAGGTGGTTGATGAAGTGCTGGTTGCCGTGCCGGGCTGGTTCGTGGCGGTGCAGACGGCTGGGTCGGTGCGCGGGCGGACGCGGGCTGGGGGTCCGCCGGCAGCGGCAGCAGAGCTGGCGGGGTCGGGCGGGCCGGGCGGACCACCGGGCAGGGGGTTGGGTCCGGCGGTGGCGGTGGGTTGGGCCGGGGGATCGTTGCAGCCGATGAGGATGTTGGTGTTGACGGGCGTTGTGAGCGGGAGCGTGGACGGGCCCGAGAACAGGCACGATGCCGTGGCAGTGCCAATGATTTCTTGGTTGAATTGCATGCTGGAGGTGAAGCGGATGGTGTCGTCAATTACCGAGGTCAGGAGGTATTGGTACCCTGGCGGGTCGCGGATCTTGAGCCAGACGAACTCCTTGAGATCGGTCGTCGAGAGACAGACGCTGGCGGCGATGGCGTTGGGGTCGAGTTGCTGCGCGTCGATGAGCTGCTGCAGGTACATGAGGTCCTTCAGCCCCGTCATGGTCGAGCTCCACGTCGGCGAGAAGTACGGGCTGTTGAGGATCTCGGCGGCCGCGCCGCTCAGCGGAGGCAGGTTATCAATCCCGGTAGAGAGGATAGACACAAGACTCGGTGCGGGTACGAGAGTCCCGAAGTCGTCTCTGGAGTAGCCTAACTGGCGTAAAAGTTCTAGCTCGCACATTTGCTCACGGCTGGCGGGGCTCGGCCACATGCACGTCCACTTATAGAGCCCGTTAACGCCTTGCATCCAGACCCCGTTGATGATGTCGGCGCGGTCGCGGCATTCGAAGCCGCCGCCTATGGTGAGTGTGACGTCGAATGGGTCTGATGGTGTGTTGCCGCACTGGTCAAAGACTACTACGTCCACGAAGTAGTCGATGGGGTATCCTGATGCCACTCGTCGCTCGAGCTTGCCTTGATGATGAGCATGGTGAAGGAAGGGGGACCGCTTCTTGGATTTCCTGGTCCCGCCGCCACCACCACCACCCTGCTGGATCAGATAGTCGTAGAACCCCGGAAGCACGAGCGATAGCACGCTAGAGCAGTCTGCAGAGATGACGGTGATGCCGGAGCCGTTGAAGACGACTGCCGAGTTGTCTGGATACACGATACCTAGCTGGACGGGGTCGCTGATGTCAAAGAGCAGGTCCGTCTGGCTCTGCACGTCACGCAGGCCAAATACGGGGAGCACTTGGCCGAATTCGTCGAGGAAGTAGCTGAGACCGCCGACAGAGTCAGAGTCGACAGTGCCGTTGTAGGTCGCCTTGGTGGCCGTGGTGGTCTGGATGGGGAGGGCGTAGCATGTTGAGGTCGAGGTTGCGATTACGGTCTCGGCTGCGTCGAAGGGGTTGCCGGGGAAGTCTTGGGACCAGGCTAAAGTTGCAAGCTGCGGCAGCATGGCGAGGACATGTTTGGGGAGGAACATCATGGCAGACTCGAGGTGTCCAGTCGCAGGTGGCGGAGAGTCTGGGAGGTTGGACAGCTCACCTCAAGGCTTCACATGGGATCCTTTGAATATATGTCCCCAGCGGTGTCAACAGACACCAGGGGTGTCAACAGAAGTCCGAGGGTGGCCGAAAGGGATTTTCTTGCAGTTCCGGTCAGCCAATGGATTTCCGTGGGGCTGGCTCACGCATTTGTTGATCGGGGAGACTGGGCCTCTGGGGCTGAGGTTTATAGGGTCGTATTGCAGGAGAAAGGGACAGTGACACGGACGATAGATACCTAAACGAGAGAAAGGGTCACGAAGGAGTGAGAAAAGGGTCACGAAGGAGTGAGAAAAGCATGGGTTTGGATTCGTGTGACTGGAAGCAGCATTCTCTGCGGCCAAATCGTAGTGGTCAATATACGATTTTGTCCCGCGTCTCTGGGTGAGTCGGGGAAAGCTCCAAGTTTAAATCTTGGCAACGAACCTGTCTCCATGAAACCCTTTCAAGCGGATACAAGCCGCATTAGTTTCGGGTCTTCTAAATATTCCGCGAGGGCAAACAAGGAGGCTGTGACGCGAAAAATATTTGTTTGATTAGAGCACTGTTTTACGGCTCTTTCAACGGCTCAAGCTATTGCGCTTCGCGAATCTTGTACCCGTCAACCCTCATTCGATCCACTACCCCTCTCTAGTCGTGCTGAGGGGCTTGGCGTGGGTTCCACTGGCTCGGTCCCTCATGACAACTCCGTGACAAATCTGATAATCAGGGGCTTGCATGGCTCGCCCAACCGATCTTTCGAGTAAGATTTTTTTTCTTTTTCCCTTTCGCGCCGCTAGTATCCATCTGGCCTCAAAGGGCCACGATCTTAGCCCTAGCTCTTTCCGGGTTTCTCCTACGCCACAGCTGACTTCCATTCGCGAGCAAAATCATATCAGGTGACTCGAACCCCGTCTGGTCTGAAGCCTAGACCTTCAAAAGAATGAGGTTGTTCCAAGTGTGTGTATTGTGTTGTGTAGGGTGCAGAAAAGGCTTGCACCTGCAGGTCGGGGGCCCGTGTTGACCCTGTGGAATCTGAAAGTGCAGACAACTTGGCGGAGGTTATGTTTGTCAGTGGATAGGTGGCCTCCTTCGGATGGGACAGGGACTTCGTCGGACATGAACTAATTCTGGAGCAGCTCCTTGGCTTTTCTTATTACTAGGAGTCTTGACACTCAATATCAATAAAAGTAACTTATAGAAACTATACCAAGCCTAGCCTAGCCGGAACCACCAAATAGTCCCTGCAATTCCAGCCTATTCCCCCACTATAGAGTTTTCGTCCACATGCAGATAGTTTAGTTTCCTCAAGCAATCAACAACGTGTAAGTGAAGGCAGGTAAGCCTGATTAAGGTGGTCACAATGATGGTACTGAAGACACAATGAAGGTACTGAAGAGAGCGAGCAATGACTGGTATTGGTAAGAGACTTCAACCTGGCCCTAGCAAAGGAAGGGGCGAGGGCCACTGCTTATGTACATGACAGAGTGCAGGGCGGGCCATTGACAAAGGAGTGGGTCTTGGCCCGCTCGGTACGCGTGTGAGTTGGTCTTGTATGTGGGTTGGGGGTTCTTTCCTTACGAGGTATTAAAATTCTCAGTTTGCGGGGCACGCTATGGCGCTATACCTAAATAGTAGAAATATGGGGCTTCAGTGGCGTGGGACAGGTGAGGTGCAGGGGACTAGGGCAGTTGACCTGCCTGCAAACTGCCAAAAACAGCAGTCCAGACCACGGCACATGTTGTCTGCGTGGAATGTGGAGGGCCTTCCGCGCAAAACATTGGCCTTCGAGTTTGGCCCCACTATCACCCCCGAGGCTCTGCACGTTAGACGACACGTTGAGGGCCTCGATTCGCCCAGGCAACTTATTTTAGTCTCACCGGTCAACGGAGACAGACCGTCCAACACTTCAATGTGGAATCGTATCGATGGGTCAAGAGGTTGATCTGTACCAGCGTTGGCAATGGCTCAAACAACTCAATCTTGAGGCTACATTTGGTTGAATTGAGCGGCTAAAAATGGATATTCGACTGGGTTGAGGCTAGAATTGATTGATGGCAATAATTGATGATATTTGACGGCATCTTCCGCTCCACCAAAAAGATGTATAAAGTCGTCAAAGAGTTCCAAAATAGTAAAAAAAAAAAAGCCCTATAGCCCGGAAAAGCTCGTCAACGTACCCAATCCTTTAAACACATGATGTCGTTGAAGATATCGTCACCCATTCCATGTCTCTGTGTGCCGAAGACCAGCTTACCGCTACTGAATGCCCTCTCTGGGTCCGCTGACATGGACATCAAATCCAGGGCCATTGTTGACAGCCGGGGCCAACGTTCCTGACCACTAAACCCTCAAGATTCCATGTCATCTACCGGCCTGACTTCCTGGCCTGCTCCTCTCCCAGGAACTTATCAACCCACTTCTGGCTAGGCCAATGCTTATTAGAAAGAAGGATACATAATCTTACTGTGGATCAGTATTCGAGGGCAGGGAGTTGTCGGGTAAGTCGGCGGCGAGGTCTAGAGAAGGGGGTCTAATGTGCCAGGTCGGGAGGCGCCGTGGTAGGTCGATTACCGAGTCGGCTAGGTAGGCAGGTAAACGCATATCACGCCGTGGCCGTTGCGAAGGGACTTGACTCGGTAAGGAAGACTCAACGTTATGAATTCGACGATTTCCAGCCAACGTATCGCGGCCAAAATCGTACATATCAGGTACCAAGGACTGCAACAAATGCCTTACGGCCCAGGTATTCGAATCAAGTGTTGTCGCACTGGAAATACCCGATCTGGTCCTCAAAGCTGTATCCTTTGACTTCTTTGACCATGTATGTGGCCTGGTTCTCGCCCCTGTGAGAGCCTTCGATATGTGATATAGCTAACAACTCTCGCCATGTACGTCGCCGTCAGTACCGGCGTAATGTACGAAGATCGCGAGGAAGGAAACGGTCGATGCCGAAGTCTATATATCGAAGGAAAGATGCTTCATGGATGGCGATGCCCTCAAGCGCGCGCGTAGGCCCTGCTGGTGCGTATCGAAGCGATCCCTGACATACTCTCGAACCGCGTTGGGCGAGGAAGGAATCAGGGTAGCTGTCTTATCGGCATTTAGGTAAGTCCAACAGAAATCACGAAAAGCCTTATGCTCGACCATATTGTATGCAAGATTCAAGCGAATGATCATGTTTTCCTTCGATGTGAGCTTGTGAGGCAACAAAAACGACCTTTCCTTGATGTTCGAAGTCACTTCTAAGGTCCTTTGCTTCTTTCTCGGCGCCTCGACGCCGTCACAGCCTTGAAGGCCTTCTCGTAATAGTGGCACGCCTAGAAGTATACTCCCTCTTTTATGACGTTGTTGACGACCTGGGCAAGCCAGCAGCCGTGCCAAGTAATCCACCATGACCTCGTATTCTTCTTGCCCGCCCAGTATTCCGCTATGTATAGCGCCCGTGTTGTTGTTATTTGGGCCAGTCCTTCACCTCCATATTCCCCAACTCTTTGATGTCAAATTTGACCAACTCCTCGTATTGTGTAGAGATTCGCGATGGCTTCCTTAGGGCATCTGTTGGATTCACCAGGGTACCGGTACTGGACTCAACAGGGCGTGGCTGCACGCCGAAAACTGGTGGTTCAAGTGATGGATTGTAGATGTCTGTTCTTCTCTCTAGCTTTCTGGCAATGCCAGAAAGCCCGTTCTTATACTACTATTGTGGTGGCGAAGTGGGTGGCGAAGTCTCTATCTAGAACCTTCGAGGCCCTTCTGCTTGACAAATTCCAACAGCATCAAATGCTCGCTTTTGGCCTGTGGAGAGGGTTGCGGCATTAACGGTCAAGGTAGGCATATTATCGGTAGTTCGGGCGCAAGGAAATCGCTATAGGAATGGAAGGATTCGGTAGAAAGGTCGGATTCGGCTGTTTATTTACGTCGTGATAGTTGCATTGCAGCTTCAACGGTGCATTGCAGCGACCTACGGCCTGCCCGGCAGTCAGAGATTTTCCCGGGCCCAGGAAAATACAGGGTTGGCCTTGGTCAGGGAGCGCCCTGGACCCAGGAAAATCTGAAAAATCCGCCCTAAAAATGGCCTGGCCAATGGGAAATAATTGAGAATCCGCCAATTATTTCGGTCCTACGAATTGGTTGAATTTGACCTCAAAATCGTAGAATTGATTACCAATGGCTATATTTGATCGATTGAATTGGGTAAAATTGAGTTGGTGCCGGCGCTAATCTGTACCTAGGGTTGTCAGTGACAGGTCATGCACATCCAGGTAGGCAGAATAACGTTGAAAGATGCTGATTCTGGAGATTTCTGTACGTCATTAAAAGAAGGACTGAGCTCTTTAAGCGAGGCAGGCGACGACGTATAAGCTACCGGCTATGCGCGTCCAAGAATTAGTGCTTATTCTTCCTTAGATCACGAATATCACGATTCGGCTGCATCCACAAAACTTCAACCGCCTTCCTGGTGTTCCCTTTTCTAAAAACTAGCTAGACCTCTTCACACGGAATCGCTCCCGCCATCCTCCGCCTGGGCCTGGGCCGGCGGCAAGGCCGTGGAAATGTTGCGCAGCTCGGCCCACGGCGGGTACGCCGACCTGCCATCGGCGCCGAGGTGGACGACGCGGCCGCCGTCGACGTACTTCTCGACCCACCCCAGCGCGGCGACGGTGTGGACGAGGTTGACGTAGGGCCCCTCGGCGGCCTGCAGGGCCTGGAACTCGGGGTCCTGGTTGACCCGGGTGAGCTCGGCCAAGTTGTGGAAGTAGAACTCGACCGTGATGTCGTGGTCCTGTTGACATGGGGGGTTACTGTCAGCGAGCGCGGACGTGGACGGGTTTGGTTGTGGAAATGGAGACTCCGGAACGCACGTCGATCACCCAGCCGCGCTTGTTGCGCCGGTTCATGCCGTCGAGTGCCTCGCGGAACGGTGCTGGCGTGTAGACCTATGCGTAGCGAGACAATGCTGCCGCGTGAGCAGGACTTCTACGGGGAAGGCTAAGGCTAACACTCGCCACGAACCATCTGATATATCTCGATGCCGTTTCTGGCATGGATGCTAGCGACCTTGGAGAGGTACTCGCGCGAGAACTTCTCTGCTTCCTCCAGCGGCGTTTCCTTCTTGGTGTAGATCTGGAGCGTGAGGCGCAGCAGGCGGCCGGGCGAGGTTGCGGAGGCTGACATGGTTGGCAAGGGGCGCTTTGCAAGGAACGGGATTCGAGGCCAGGCCGAGGTTAGTGAATGTCAAAGGGTACTGTGTATCTCCCGTCTTCTCTCCATTAAAAAGATCCCAATATGTAACATGAATACCGTCTCTATGTCAACGTCGAGCCGAGGCTCGCCGGACTTAGCGGCGTTAGTAGCAGTTCATCCGTCGTCGAGACGGGATTGAGACTATAAACACCGATGGCCGTTGCCCTCGGCGTATCTCTCTTCCTCGAATACGGAGCCATTGTTCCGTTGCTGTGTGATTTCATCAGGTTTTTGGTCAGCAATATCGGATTCGGTGCGCCGTGTTCCCGACCAGCGGCGCGAGACCTGGCCGACGTTGCACTGACACTCTAGTCTGGGGCCATCTTGGACCGTACAGACGTGCCTCTTTGGTCTAGTAGTGAGCAAGGAATACGGCTGGGTGACGCTCGCATCGGCGAATCGGGGGCCGCGTGTCCGTCTGGGCAGGACAACCTGCGAGTCAAGGTGTCGAGCTGTGTCTGCATGCTTGTAACGACTGCTTGGCCAGTGTCTAGGATGACACAGGCATGTGGGAAGTGATGTCGAGATGTCAAACAGATTTCCATCAAAATGAAGGAAATTCTCCGTTTGGTTCTTTATCCTCGCGAGACATGAGCCCGTGGTCATGCGAGCGCCCGTTTCTGCTCCCGGATTTCTCGCAACATTTATCTAATTCTCGTCTACATGTGAAGTAGCGCGTAGATAAACAATTCTATGCAGTAGCGCGTAGACAAACAATTCTATCGTTGAACTTAGTGGAGGAAAAGTCCAGCATGTTGACCAGTCTGCTTCAACGCAATGGGAGCGGGGTGCTGCGTTTCATCGCTGATGCGTGAAGCGTCATGTCAGGCTATCGAAATGGGCTTGCTGACTGACCCGGAAGAGATGGCAAATCACAATACTTACCCAGTCAGTTGGGACGGGAGATCTTCATATTGACGTCGAAAGCAGGGGTAGGTCGAGTTGCGCGCAGGCACCGCAAACGGCATCATGAATCATCGACTGCAGACAGTCATCGTGACGCAAGGAATGGGCACTTTGGATACAATCCAACTAGACGGGCACCGAGGGCACAAGCCGACCTGATCACGTCCGAAAATAACTGGCAGCTGTGAAAATAACGTCCAACTTCTTTCCTACGCTTGCATTAGATCTGTCTGGCGCCATCGCATCGTCTTACCGCCCCAGACGGCAGCCATGTCTCGCAATATCTGCATCACGGCGGTCGAAGGCCAGACGGGCTTCCTCATCGCCGAGCTGCTCATGAAGGAGGCCAAGTTCTCGTCCCAGGTCGACAGCCTGACGGGCCTGACCATGGACCCGTCGGCGCCCAAGATCAAGGAGCTCGAGTCGCTCGGCGTCAAGGTCGTCACCCACAAGCCGGGCCGCGAGCGAGCCGTCATCACGACGCTCAAGCAGACGGGCTGCGACACCATCTGCCTGATTCCACCCACACACCTCGACAAGTACGAGATCACGCTCGAGCTGGTGCACGCGGCCAAGAAGGCCGGCGTGCCCAACGTGCTGCTCATTAGCTCCGCCAGCTGCGACTACGCGGACCCGGTGCGGCAGCCCCGCCTGCGCCAGTTCGTCGACATTGAGACGGCCGTGCTGTCGACCAAGGGCGATACGGGCACCGCCACGGGGCACTCGGCTTGCATCATCCGGTGCGCGTTTTGCCGTTGCCGAAAAAAGAGAGGCGTGGAAAAAACAGAGCTAACGAGACCACTGCGGCCAAAGCGCCGGCTTCTACGCCGAGAACCTGCTGCTGTACTCAGAGCAGGCCAAGGTCGAGAGCGTGCTGCCACTGCCCATCGGCGAGTCCAACAAGTTTGCGCCCGTCGCCCTCGGTGTGCGTGCCCGCCGCCAATCGTTCTGGCCCTTCGAACAGTCCCGGCTGGACACAGCAACCCATCTGCTAACACGCGTATCCTGCAAATCTAGGACGTCTCGCACCTCGCGGCTCACGTTCTCGCCGGCAAGGGTAAGCACGGATTCGACGACAAGCACCGCGGCCAGATGATGGTCATGACAGGTAATACGCTTCGAATACCAGACCAAACAAGACGGAAAAGGAAGTACGCTGACCGCAGCTCCGTGCTCGTCTACCGTGCCCGTCTACCTAGGCCCGTTGCTGTGCGCAGGCGACGAGCTCGCCGCCGCAGCGAGCAAAGCGATTGGCGCAACGCTCGACTTTGAGAACATCTCCGTGTCCGTCTCATCCCATATTCCCAACGCGCGACTGCCCACAAGAGACGCACCCGTCTGACAGAATATACGTAACCAGATCCGAGGCGAAGCGCATCCTGTCGGCGCAGTCCGAGAGCGACAAGTCGGAGCAGGAGTACATCCTCGACTACTATAGCCTGGTGCGCGAGGGCAAGACCAACTACGTGGCGACGACGGCTTTCCAGTTCGTCACGGGCGTCCAGGCTACCGAGCCCGACGACTTCTTCAAGCTGTACGCCGCCGAGCTGCGACCCCGGAAGAAGGTCAAGGCATAGACAAAGAAATGGACGGCGATGTGGTGTGATGGGAGATTTGGAGAGAGAGAGAAGGGTTGGTTGTCTGCGTGGTCGAGATGTAGCCATTGCGGTATATTGGAATCCACGCATGCTGAACATGTGAGTCAAGGGGTTCAACGACTTTGTTGTGGGTGTGGGAAAGAATCTGTAGTGACTCAGAGTATAGCTGAACCGGTTTGCTCGTTGGCAGCCCCCGGCATGGCTGGTTGCACCGGCAGTTTTTATCGGCAGTCTTTATCGGCAGTCATACCGGCTAGGCAGGGAGCAATCTTCTCGTACCTAGTTGGCTTTGTGTGAATTAGACTGGTGCTGGGTGCACTAGAGTTGAGGTTCGACGCATCGCAGTGGCTGCATTTGGCCACAGATGTGGTGGTCTGGACTATCTAGACTGGGCCTAGACTTCTAGTGACCCAATGACACCAAGGGAAACGCGTTCGGTAAGCCTTGAACCAGAAATCATCCAGCCACTCCATCCGGCGCAAGGTTCAGCGGTGGGAAACAAAGAGACAGACAAGCTCGTCAGGGCGGTCGACTTGGAAACGCAGCCAGATCAACACAAGCAGATGCCTAGTCTGGGAACGAAGCCATTAATCTACCTTACTACCTTATGACTATGACGTGCATCCAATAGCATAGCGTCTAAAGCTTCAATGCGGAGTCGCAGGCAGCAGGATCAACAATCCACCCGCGTGCATTGCAGTAGCTTCTTGGAAGGACAACGCACAAGAGGCACGACATCGAGTCTCGAACCGAAACAGGATATGGGCCTATTGGGGAATGACGGCGGTCAAGGGGAAGAAGAATCAATGGTGGGCCTACAAACCATGCAGATATCTGGCCGCCATGGCTAATTAATTACCTGCTGCCGAATGACTGGCCAAGTTCGCCAAGCATATAATCAAGAGCCGTTGTCTGCAACTCTGCATCGCAGCAGTCCGCCGCTGTCCGTCATCGGCACCGGGCCGGGTGCGGTGCCACAATTGAAATAGTCGTGCGGCATTGATGGCGCAATGTTCGGGTCAGGTCATGCATCATTCGATTCGCTTTGAAGTGGCCATGTTCCTCTACAGCGCGTCGGAGTCGGCATGGCTGCGTGTGGAATCTCCGCGGCGCGGCAATTGGACCCGGGGAAAGAGATAAAGATGCCGTATTGTTGTTTGTTTCGATGCAAAACCGGCGTCCGATTGCAACCCGGCCATGTGAAACAGCATTTGGCTTGAGGCTGGCCGCAGACGCCGTCCCACCCTCGGAAGCGTGGTCCGGTGCTTTTGCGGTGAGACGGGCACAGCTATCACCAAGGCTGCTGCCATGCGTATCCGAGAGCCTTGGGCGTAAATGTGTCTTGGCACGCTGTTTGTTGAGAGTGTCTTGCTCGCCCGTGCGACGTGGCGGTTATCAGCATTGCACAATAACTGAGCCAGCCAGGTGCGTCTGTGTCGCTGTCGGGGCCGCTCGCCAAGCCATGCGACAGCTCCCGGCAGGGTCTGTCCAAAGTTCGTAATGTTGCCTGCCGTGTCCTAGAGTAGCGTGTCCTAGAGTAGAGCCATTCGTGGCAGCTTTGGACAGATCCGGGCACCGGCGTCGGATTGTCCAGAGACCACGTCGGCGCTTCCCAACATCTAGAACGAATTAAGGTAGTTCTGGTCTACTCCGTAGAAGACGCAGACGAGGCTTCTAATCTGGGTCTGGGGTTTCTAGCGCCGACGGCACAGTGAAACACGCGGTTGGCTCGTATGTGCGACTAGGCACTGGAATAAACTCTGCCTTACCCGACTAGGCAATCTGCGTCTCTGCGGTCGGTGTCGAAAACCGGCAGCAGCGATTCAATCCAGAAGCCTGGTGTCGCGCGTCTGTTCCCGGGGACGTTTTTTTTTAGCTGCCTGGCCCAGCCCTGGGCCTTCTGGCGGCTCCGACGAGCTGGGAGAAACAACGGAGCCCACTGTCCGCCCACATGGCGGGCCTATCCAGGCCGGTGCCGTTCTGTCGGATTCCCAAGGAAGGCTAGGGGCCGTTCCTGTGAGGCGCTGGTGGCCAATCCCGGAGGCAACGGTAGGGATTTGTGAAGCCGAAAAACACGGGGGCCAATCCGGGAAACATAGCCACCGTGTTATCGGTTTGGAGTTCGTCACCATAGCCGCCAGGCGGCCTCTGTCCATCGGCCGGCGAAGGAGGGGGACCCGACCAGAGTCCAGACAGCGGGTAGTTTTAGTGGCTGTGCGCTGTTAATGCCCCCGCTCCGCATCCGTCGCTCCTGCACCCTGAGGCCTCTAATTCCACGCTGCAGCCTGCGCCTCTTATTGACGAACAGTGCGTTTAGCGTCCTCGTGACTGTTCTCACACTGTCCCATCTGGTGCACCTTCTACATCAAGCTTTGCGGGGTCCGGCCGCACTCGCACAGTGGAGACAATAGTACAAAGTTCGGCCGTCTCTCGTTCGTCAATCCTTGCACGGTGAGCAATGCGCTTAGCCCAGCTTGGTTTCGGCTCATTTCACCTTGCGTTCTGCCTGCCCCGTCCGCGCGTCCTCATTCGTGGGTGACGCTGCGGAGTGGATCCCCCTCCCCAGATTTGTGCCGCTTGGCCCTATTGGGGATTTTGGAGCCCTCCTCCCCGATGAGCCATCGCCGGGAGAGGCACCCGGCCGGCGTGTCAAATGAGGCACTGGCGTCCCCGTCCTAGCCCCCAGGCAGATGCAGTGAAGCTTGCTGCGCATCCGACAGACCACCGCCCATGTGCTCTGGTGGAACTATATAGAGACCTTGGGCACCCACAGACTTAGATGCCTGGACTGTCTGACAGAAGCGACGATCACTTCAAACATCACTTGCATTCATTGTTTTTTGTCGCCACCTCACACCACAGAGTGACGATCAAGTGGAGTGCCTGCTGCCTGGCTTCCTGCCTTATACATTCATTAGCTTGAGTGTGTATAAGAGCAGCCCACACCTTCGCGCACGTCACCAGCTTCGCATCACCAACTTCAAGTCAACAACCGACACGGCAACACAGTGTCATCACCCAAGACAGACGCGATCTTCGAGGTCCACACTCTTCAACCCCAATTATCACTCACGGTATCTCAGTTCACACTCCACGATGCCTCACAATTACAAGGCCGCCCACGTCCGATTCGACCCGGTTCCGGAGGTCCACAAGATCCACAAGGACCAAGCTCCCCGCCCCCAGCAGCCCAAGGTGCCCGACTTCCGGTTCTGCGTCGAGCTGGGGCTGGTAGTCCGCAGCCGCACGTACAAGCACGCGAGCAGCGCGGGCGTCGAGGAGGAGATCAGCGCGCGGCTGGCCAAGTCGGGAATCGCCAATCACGTGACCGGCACCAAGGCCGAGAGCCAGACGGAGTGGACCGTAGCCAAGGACCTGGCCATCCCGTCGCACCCGCGCGACCACAAGTTCGGCGTCAAGCTCGTGTCACCCTTCTGGCGCTTCTCGCGCCACGACACGTGGATGCTGCACCTGCGCGGCGTGCTGCAGACGCTGCACCACAGCTTCGAGGTCACGGCCACGCACCAGTGCAGCACCAGCATTCACGTCGTGCCCGCGTGCGGCTTCTGGCGCCTGTCGCAGGCCAAGGCCCTCGCCAAGAGCGCCGTCTACTTTGAGCGCTGCTTCGACGCGCTGGTGCCCCCTTACCGCCGCCGCTCCGTGTGGGCCAAGAGCAACCGCCACAACGCGCACATGGGCCGGCTGTCGACGACCGAGTGCTTCGAGAGCATCGTGGCGCAGAAGTCGTTCGCGCAGCTGGGCGCGTGCATGAACTGGTGCGCGGCGGACTCGGCCACGGGCGCGGCGCTGGGCCGCACGGCCGACTTTGCGCACTCGGGCTTCCGGTGGAACCTGGCGTCGCTGATGAGCGAGGGCGACGGGTTCGGCAGCGTCGAGTTCCGGCAGCCGGGGGCGTCGACGGCGGCGTCGGACGCCATCGCGTGGGTCATGATGGTGGTGTGCTTCGCGCGGTTGAGCTGCACGTACGGCGACTCGCTCAAGCCGCGCGACCCGGCCCGCCTCGCCAGCCTCGGCGAGTGGCTGCTGTACGAGGCCGACTGCTCGGGCGTGCCCCACAAGGCCCTGCTGCGCAACATGTTCGACGTCGCCCAGCCCGTCAAGGGCCGCGAGGCCGGCCTTGATGCCGGCGCCATCACCTTCGACGAGGACCAGCGCCTGCGCTTCAAGGAGAAGGAGCGCAACATTGCCTTGGAGAAGTACCGCAAGCTGGTCAAGCACCTGTGAGGGAACCAACTTGACTTTCCGGCAATACGTTGTTTGTTTTTGTTTTTGTTTGTGTTTGTGTTTGTTCGTTTTTGTTAGTGTTTGTTCGTTTTTGGGTTTGGGTTTGTTCTTCTTTGCATTGCTACTCTCAGATCTCACGGCAAATACCCAGGGCTTCCCGCCGTGGGAAGGCGTAATTGGGCTGGCACATCATGGTTGGCCAAAAAGGATGACACGGTCCGGAGTTTGGGACTGGATATGCATTGGAAAAGCACCCGACAAAGGGGCTTGCATGGGTCCGGCTGTTATTGGTTTTGGGCCAAGGAAGGCCCCAGCAATGGTGCTGGCATACGGAATTGGATTTCTGTAGCTAAACATGACAGAATAATACCTCTGGTTTTCTCTGCTTCATTCTTTCACGTGACTTGCTGGTCGGCTTATCTGTTCTTCCCGATCGTAACTGGCGATTGTCTTACTAGCTAACTCGGGTTTGATCTTGATGGCGCAGCGGTAGTGGACATATGCAGCCCTAAGGCTCGGCGACGAGTGACAAATGGTGCTATTATGAGGCACTCCTATTAGGAATATTGGAATGATCACCCCACTGACCACTGGTCTGTTGAGGGGCTTGGTGCAGGTGCAGGTGCAAAATGCACCACAGTCTTCTGGTGCATTCTCATTTCCCCCCTGTTCTATGGTCAGGTGTGCAATAGTACAGACCTCAGAAGCAGGGTTTAAGGAGCTTCGAGAACTGTAGCCTTCGGGGTCCCCAACTCGCCGAGGGCCAATCATGTGCGTTGTGCTCGATTTGGAAACAGCGACAGCTGTGATTCAACCCGATGACTTCCTGTTGGTCACTGGCGGCAAAGAGGGTGGTCCGGGGATAAGGTTAATTATCTGTGAGATGCCATGCCGACGTCAAGCCATAGGCGATGGGTAACTGCGGGTGCGTGATGCTAGCTGCAACATGATTCTTTGTCGAAGTGGTGTTATGGCCCCCAAAGCTGCAACAAAAAGGCTCATGTAAGATAAGCAAGTACATGCAGAGCCTAGGGCCAAAAGTCTCTACACACTTGCACGTACCCCTCGTATGTAAGGACAGTGTTTAAGAAACTAGCTAGCTGCTAAAGCTTTTAGGTGCCCTTGCTGTAATTTAGCGGTTTTACCGCTAAACCTTGGTGCACTCCTTATCGCCTTGTTATTTTAGCGAGCTAGGTGGACAGTATCAATAAGACGCCACGGTAGCAGGCACTGTCCTTACGTAAGACAGCTCAGGCAAGTGTGTAAAAAGTAGGTAAAGACTTTTGGCCCAGGCACCGTACAGGGCGCCGTTTAAACATGCCTAAAGTCGAGAAAGGCGCTTAGAACCTAGCTACTGGGCTAGGTGGCCCGTACGCTGATGCAAGGGGGGGTTTTTTTTTCTTCTGTCGTATTTTCCCTGCCTGGGGGCGGAAGATGGCGGGAGGACCCGAGGACTCGCGGCCAGAAATAAACGTCGAGGGATTCTCGGCAGGATTTCTCACTGTCGCGAACCTAGGGCCACCAAATGAAGGGCAACTTTACCCTCTGCGCGTAATGCCCTGTGAGATTTCCGGGTAACCAGGGCGAAATAGGGTTCCAAGGTTCCATTCGCTGCAACGGCAATGCGTGCGCGACGCGTGGGGCGCTGGGCACGGATCCGACTTTTCGCAAGACGGGAACGACGGTCCCAGGGCGGAGGAAGGGGCGGCCGAGCTGGAGCGGGACCGAAACCCTATGCGAGGCCCGCCGCCGATCTGCATCCCAGGACGCTGTTCTGGCCCCCCCACCACCAACACAGCCTGTCTAGGCGGCCTCGTTGGGCTAGCTTTTCTGACTTCCAGCCCCTCTGGGGCAGTGGTTCAAACTTCAATCACTGTAGTTGAGAGGCACAGATTGTCGCCAACGGCATGGTGTGTAACATTAGGTGTGTTCGCTCTTTCACATTTTTCAAGACACCTTACGTACGCAGCTGGCAAGAGCCTTCTAGTTTGACTTCGCTCTCAGGTGTAACCTCGCACTACAGTTCGAGGCACACCTCATAGAATCCCAGCAGCCACATCCCTCGCCCGAGGAACGAAGCTCACGACGCCGCAGCCACCACGGCGCAACAACACCTCGAGCGCCCTCATTCGTCTGCGCTAACTAAGAACACGACTTGTCCGCTTGGGAATAAGCGCGAGAATGTTCGCACTGCGACCACTTCATCCTGCCCGCAATGGTGTGCAGTGGCGTGCAGCCGTAAATACATGGCCAACTACCTATCTACGAATACGCACATGGCAACTTTGGTACATGTCAACTTTGGTACATGGCAGTTTTGTTTGAGCAGTCTGTCATCGGACCCTCGTTTGGCACAAGATTCCGAGCCCACCCTCATCCTGCCACCTCCACGACCAACTGCCATGGTGGTTCTACACAGCTCAAAACAACCACGTCGCGCCGCTAGACCGCAGCATACTAAGCACTTGCGCTAACCAGGATTTGAAGGATGCGGCGAGTCAAGGAGTCGGTGTTCACGACGAGAGGGGATGCGAAGGATTTATCTTAACAGCCTCGCCCCGGCAATCTCGTCTTGTTTTGCTTTCCCCGGATCCCCTTCCCTGATAAATCAGCACTTAATCAGCCCAAGCGCGACAGCTTCCGTCTTTCGTCCTTTGTCAGACGTTTATCGTTTATGCATCTTACCGGGATCCAAGTACCGTGAACTGATTGTTGGCTTTATTCGCTCCTTGCAGCACAGCATTCCTTGCTCTTGTCTGAGCCATTACCTCCACCGACCCGGTACCGGTCGAATAACTCGGCATTCCCCAGACATGGGCAGCGTGTCCGACTCTCCACCCACGCTGGCAAACTTCTCCCCGGACTATATAGCATCCAACGAGGGCCCAGTGCTCGTGAGAACATGCATCGCACTCTCTGTCGTCTCGGCTCTCACCGTTGCCGTGCGGTTTGCCGTCCGATGGCGTTCTGCCATGGGACTCGGATGGGATGACTGGTTGATACTGGCCGCGTTGGTAAGCGACGACAACCCTCCACCCCCCGAGAGGAGCTGCGCTGATCCTCCACAGCCGCATCTGTTCTCGTTCGCCGCAATGGCCATCCTGTGTACGTGGCTCGAGCCGACCCCTCCCCCGCGCCGGTGGCTGTCTATCGCAACCTCGTTCCGACCCGTCACATAAATCATGTCTCTGACCGCATCTTGCAGCTGTTGAATATGGCGGCGTCGGGAGGCACCTGGATGTTGTCTTGACCATTGATCCCGCCATGTTTGAGAGGACCCTCCTGGCACGTTCTCCCTATCCACGAGCCTTCAAGTCTGACCCGTGTTGCACATTGACAGCTAACACTGACCCAGTACTTGTTTGTGTCCGAATTCAACTACTTCACTCTCATCGCCGTGATCAAGGCCTCGATCTTGGTCATGTACTGCCGAATATTCCCGTCGCGCTTCATGAAGAAGGGTGTCTGGGTGATCGGCGTCTTCGTCGGGGTGTGGTGGTTTGCCACTATACTCGTAACTCTTTTCCAGTGCAAACCTATCGACAAGTTCTTCCGCCCTTTCATGAAAGAGGGCATGTGCTTAGACACAACCAAATTGTTCGTCGGTAACTCCATCATCAACATCATCAGCGACATCATGATCCTGGCCCTGCCTACACACGAGGTCTGGAGGCTGCAGGTCCCCAGGCCGCAGAAGTTGGCCATCTGGGGTGTCTTCATTCTCGGGTTTCTGTAAGCACGCCCTACTTCCATGCCTCTAGCCGCTTCGGCTCGTGAGCTACGCGCTAACAAATCGCCCGCTCGCTCGTGCGTAGCGCTGTCGTCATGACATGCATCCGCCTCAAGTCGCTTATCAATCTGGTCGATGGACAGGCCGACTTTACGCGTGAGTTGTGCCCTCATCCCGAACCTCCAACTCAATCTCACAAGCCTCGGTGCAGAATTTGTTGCTCCAGCGTGGATCTGGACCCTTGCCGAGCCCACCGTCGGTCTTGTGACGGCGAGTCTGCCGACAATGCGGCCGCTGCTGCGCTTTGTGTTTGGAATGACGTTCAGCGGCCGGCGACACCATCCAAACGTCAACAGAAACCCCAACGCCGACGCCAACAACCGCGGTGACGAAGGTGCCAAAGGAAACAACACCATCGTTACCATCGGCGGTGGGTCTTTCAGTCGACGCGTCAGTCTTGGGCTGCTGCCTGGGAAGTTGAGAGCTCAAAAGCCACCCAAGCAAGCCAGCAAAAGCAGCTGCGGCAGCAGCAGCAGCAACAATAGCGCGGCTGCCAAGGCCGCAGACGATATGGCGAGAAACCAAGACCAGAGACAGTATGCGAACCGCGGGCCATATGACCGGCTCGACGAAGAAAGTCAGTTGTACGATATGACGCCCACAAACACCGCCCACACGGGGCGGTGGCCGACACCACTCGCCTCGAACCCTGCCGCTTCGGCTGCTGCCACCAACAACTACTTTCCAGCACCGGAGCCACCACGCTACGGCGGCGCCCATGTGCAGACGGTCGTCTATGGTGCGCGGAAGCCGAGCGTGGCAGCGAGCGACGAGATTCCGCTGGACGGCATTTCAGTGACCCACGACCTGCGGTGGGCCGAGAGCAGGGGGGAGTGATGGCCCGCGGAGGCGGCCCATACCAGGTGGCTTCAACAGATGCATGTCCTAATGTATGTGCACTTTTATGCCCTTTTCATATATTCTCTTTGCCATGTACGATATTTCAGTCCTGGGCCCCTACTTCGTTTCATTTGATGCGGCACGACATGAAAAGTAATGGGAAAATGAACCGTGTTTGGAATGATACCAGCAATTAATGGACCCAAAGGCTTCTTCTCCCACTTGCAGTCATCCCTCGGAGCCCGGATCTTGGAACTGAGCTTGGCACCCACCAGTCCGAGATGTGGCTTGATATCGAATCCCGCACAGCCCCAGGGTCCGAACTACGTAACAAGCCCCTTGCAGCAAGGATCGGTGCATTTTCCTGGCTCGCTAGTCGGTGGTGGGGTGGGAACGGAACGGAACTAGCTGTGACTGTCAAACTAGCGCGCGTGCGGACGGAGCCAGCCGTTGGATCCGGAGTGACTTTCTCTTCTGAAGAACCGGACATGTCAGATGCCCAGGGCTGAAGGTGTGTCACCGGTGAGGGACCTGTAAACACCCGAGGTAGGTAAACGTCGGGCCGTGAGTCACGGCTGGCACACGGTGCTGATATAAGATCCCCCGACTGCGGATGTGACACAGCAACCCCGCACGATGACGCCGTCGGCTTAGCTTGGCTTGCGAAGTGCCGTGAGACTGTCAGCGAGCATGTCAGCTCGGCAAGTACCGGTTCCCGGATCCAGAACTGTTCTATTTGGCTGCAACAAAGGTCGGTCAACGGCACGGCCCATCATGGATGATGCGAATCTCAGGCCCGGACATGGTGTCAGCAATATCGTCCCGGTGATTCGAGTCTGCCGAGAGCAACGTCCCTAGCGAGTGACTATCGGGAGGTGCATATGTACTGTACTTGTACATACATGCTGTACGGAAGCGTACCATGGGGAGTGCATGAGAATGGGTGGTTCGGACTGAAGCAGGTGTGCTTGCTTCTTTTTAGCTCGGATTCGAAAACCGGTTCTCGCTAGGCCAAGCGAGCCAACGCCAGGTCAAGCGAGCCAACGCCAGGCCAAGCGAGCTAACGCTAGCCACCGCTACGCTTGCTCTCCCTCGGGCCTCCGCAATCGCAAACCATCAAGCCCCAACCCGGCTGGCCGCCGAAAGCGCAGCTGAGTTGCATGCACCCGCCCAACCCCGCCGAAAGCAGGCAGCAGGCAGCAGGCAGTAGACACGCGCCCGCACTTCTTACGGGTATCAGGCCATCAGTCGCAGACAATTACCACGACGCCTCAGACAATGCCCGCCACCCTCTTCACCAACGGCCGCATCTTCCAGTCGGGCGTGCGGCCGGGGACCAACGCCGGGCTGCATGGGGAGCCGACGTTTGCCGAGAGCCTGCTGGTCCGGGGCGACGTGATCGAGTACGTGGGGCCCGCGAGCGAACTACCACCAGCGGCCGACGATGACACGGTGACGGTGCGCGACCTAAGCGGCCGGACGGTGCTACCAGGTTTTGTTGACGGCCATATGCATCTGATGCTGCTTGGGCAGTCGCTCAACAAGCTGGACCTCGGCGCATGCACGTCGCTGCGCGACATCCAGGCCGCCATCCGCGCCCACGCCGCCGCGGACCCCGACGCCCCACGCATCCTGTGCAGGAACTGGATGCACAGCATGACGGACCCGACAGGCGGCGTGTCGGCCGCAGACCTCGACACGCTCGACGACGCCGCCCGCCCCATCTTTGTTGACTCCAAGGACTTGCACTCGACGTGGTGCAGCTCGTCGGCGCTGGCCGAGCTGGGCGCCGAGGCCTGGCCGCCCGTGCCCGGCGGCAAGGCCGAGCGCGACGGCGACGGCAGGTTAACGGGCGTCATCAGCGAGGCCGCAAACTTCACTTACGTGTGGCCGCACCTCGCGCAGGCCGCCGCCATGGCCGACCGCGTCGCCGCCATCAAGGCAGCCGTCGCCGCATACCATGCTGCTGGCTACACGGGGCTGATCGACATGGCCATGGACGAGGGCTCGTGGGAGGCGCTGCAAGCACTACAAGCCGCCGATAGCCGCATCCCCATGCGCATTGCCGCGTATTGGCTGATCCGGCCGGGGCAGAGCGACGCCGAGCACGCGGCGCAGGTCGACCGTGCCATCGAGCTCGCCCGCGCCCACGACGCCGCGTCCTCGCCCGACTGCCGCGTCGTCGGCATCAAGGTCATCTGCGACGGCGTCGTCGACGCCTGCACGGCCGGGCTGTCAGAGCCCTACACGCACAATGGCGCGAATGTCTACCCGACGTGGACGGCCGCGCAGCTGGCGCCCGTCGTGCAGCGCGCCGACGCCGCTGGCCTGCAGGTCGCCATCCACGCCATCGGTGACGCGACCGTCACCGCGGCCGCCGACGTGCTGACGGCGCATGCGAGCCCGGTGCGCCGCCCGCGCGTCGAGCACGTCGAGCTGGCCAGCGCCGCCGACGCCGCGCGCCTCGGCGCCGCGCGCATCACGGCGTCGGTGCAGCCGGTCCACGCAGACCCGGCGATCCTGCGCGCGTGGCCGGCACTGCTGGGCGCGTCCCGGTGCGGGCGCGCGTTCGCGTACCGCGAGCTCGCCGACGCGGGCGCCCCGCTCGCGCTCGGCAGCGACGCGCCGACGGCCCCGCACTCGCCGCTCGGCAACGTCTACGTCGGCACCACGCGGAAATCGTTCCGCGACCCGGCGGCGCTGGACCAGCCTGTGAACCCGCACTTTGCCCTCGGGCTGTGCGAGGCCGTCGCGGCAGCGACCGAGGGTGCGGCGTATAGCTGCTTTGATGATGGCCGGATAGGCGTGTTGAAGAAGGGCCACAAGGCCGACTTTGTCCTTGTCGATATGCAGTGGGATTGCGAGAAGCTGCTCGAGGCGAGGACGGTCGAGACGTGGTTCGCCGGGGAGAAGGTCTGGGCGGCGGAGGCGGAGGCGGAGTGAATAGGATCTATTTACATGTCTCTAGGTGCGTCTCTAGGTACCTAGATTAGTGGCTAGTAGTGCCCGTCTCCGAGTGGCGTGTAGATAGAGACAGAAACAGAAGAGGTCGGGTTAAAGACATCAGCTGGCAAAGAACAACACGAGCAGGTTTAACAGTCAAGATTCATAAAGAAAGGCCTTGTTTCGCACGCCAGGTATCACTACTCGACCATCAGGTATCCGGGCGGTACTGCCTCGGCCAGATGTTCATGGCCGTCTTCAGGCCGTCGACCAGCGGGAGCCCGGCATGATTGGTCCGCACGTCGCCCGTCCAGTTGGCGTGCAGGTTGACCCAGAAGAGGGCGTTGCCAGCGACGGGCCTGAACGCCAGCCCGCCGTCCTCGTGCTCTCTCCACAGCGGCTTTGGGCCTGGCGACAACGAGTCCGTCTCTTTTCCATCCTCGTCCCCATCATCACCAACACCGCCTCCACCGTGCCACGACGGCCCGCCCCAGGGACTCGACGGCGCGACAGCCTCGGCATGGGGGAAATACGTCTCGCCTCCAGTACAATTATCCTGCAGGATGGCAAAGAAACTAGCGATACGGTTCCACTCTCTGCTCGTCCCGTCGGCCGCGGCGCGCGGCGAGTCGAACCAGTCGTGGTGCACGTTGAAGCGCTGGCCGGCCGTGTAGCGTACGAGCTGCGGCGGGCCCATCTCGTCGTAGTCGTCGCGCAGCAGCGTGCCGAGGAAGCCGCGCGCGCGCGCGACCACACACCGCACCGCGCCGTCGTCGCGCGGCAGGCCTGCCGAGCTCGACGTCCGGTCCGACGTGCGCTGCTGCCGCCCGTTCTTGGTCACCTGCGACGGCGCGAACAGCGGCTCCGCCGTGCGCAGGATCGAGGCGATCTCGGGCGGTGTGACAAGGGCGTGGATGTAGATGAGCAGCGGCTCGAGGGACACGATCTCGGCCCGGTACGTGTGGGACGCGTCGCAGACGAACGGGGCTTCGGAGGGGTTGTCGTCGGTGTCGTCGGTGTCGCCGTCGGTGTCGTTGGTGTCGCTGCCTCTGAAGAAGGGGAGGGCGAACGGGTAGTCGGGTATCGGGAAGTCGCCGACAAAGGCTGTGAGGCGCTGCGATGACAGGTGTGGGATGTGTGGTATGTTCAGCGCGAGCAGCACCGCGCCGGCGGAGATGCCGGCTACTTTAGCCAGGCTTGCCATGGCCATGTCGTCAATCTGGTCAGACAGTCATTAGAGATCTGGTCGGCTTGCCGTGGTCGAAGGGGGCTTGCCTCAAGCTTGAGACTTGTGCTACAAAACGAACATGTGCGACATGTGTTCATGTGCGACATGTGTTGTAGGGGATCGGATGGGATTTGAGGCGAGCGTCTAACTTGTCAGCCATATCACTGTCTGCAACTGGCTGGAGCATGGCGCTCCGAGCACCTGCTAGGTACTGATATGTGGTGGCCTCGACCAGCAGCACACCAAATGCCGAGATACCCCTTGTCGAGGTCGCCCCCCCCCCCCCCCCCCCCGCATAACCTCCAGAGATGCCAGGAGGCGTGGGTAGCGACCCCAGTGGCTCGGAGAACATAGCCGAGAACGTTGCAGTCATGCCCCGCCGCGATTGGGCTCGGCGAGTCGTTCGCCGGCCCTTCGTTGAAACGGCGTTGCAGCTCTCGGATAATCTCCCCGGGAAGCCGCTCTAAAATGCGACCTCTCTGCCAAAACAGGCAGCGCTGTCTGCTAGCACACCAGCCCGCCAATCCTCGCTGGGACGGTCGGAAGGAGACTGCCTCGGAGGGCCAAGAATCTTTCTTGGCGAGCGTATGGGCGCCGCCGACTCTTTACTCCACCAATCCGCATGGCGGCGGCAGCTACGCGACTTGGCGCCTCGCCTGCGACCCGGATTTCCCGCCTCGCTTGTCGACTGTCGTGGGTCGGGTCATGGGCCTGCCCGGCACGGGACACATGTTTCTAGGACCAAGATGGCGCTAGCTGGCGCTCCACAATGGAGATCTAACCACGGCTGCTTCACGATGTTCCGGGTTGGATTTCAGTGGGGAATATGGATCTAGCAACGACGGAAAACCTGGAAACGCGCGAGAGGCCAGAGTGGGTACTAGTAAAGTGCTTTCAGCTGCTTAGCTCCAACCATCAAAACGGGGGCTGTTCTCTGTCTCGTTAGTTCATGACTTTGTACGGCACTTCATCACATTAATTATTCTGACAGCGACCCGAGGCATCATTGGAGTGAATAAAGACCTAACTACCTTGGTTAGATGTAGTCATTTCCACGCGTTCTCCAAGTGCCCTTTTTGTGGAAAGTACTTACCTACGGGGGGTTTATTTCCTACAAGAGCTTTGGACACAACGGAAATTTGTCGAAATCGTTTCTTCCTCGTCTTGGTTTGTTATGTGCTGATATTTTCAAGCTCGCCTTCAAGGAATCTTGTGCTCGTAACTAAGGCGTCGAAAAGGCCCGCTTTATTCGATTAGAGCGCAACATCAAAGGTCCGCATCTCCCGGGTAGTGCCGGAGTTGAGAGAAATAGTAATTTAATACCACTTAATTCTCCCCTCCAACACACACTCGTCTCGCTACGTTGAACACTCGTCTCGCTACGTTGAACACGTCTCGCTGCGTTGAAGGGCATCTAGTTTAATTCATTGAAGCTCTTTTGCAACTACCCGGGTGAGTGATAACATGTCGACACGTCTCATCGGTCTGTTCACGGTTCCCCCTAGGCCAGTCTAAGGTAATACGGACCTTATTTAGCTCGTCATACTAAAATATTTCGGCCAGTAGCACGTTCTGCGGTCCGAATAAGCGTGCCCGGGGCATTGAGTGTAGTGCCCAAACAAAGTCCACAACGCCTCCATGATATGCAGTAGGTAAGTAAAGATGCTATTCAGGAAGCATAGCCACATGTAGTCGAAGGTTATGTGACTGTGGTGACCGTCAAGGACTAGCAAGCGAGCCTCTCTAGGGTCCTCCGGAGCCGTGCCCGGAATGAACACGTCGCGAAGCCATTCCAGGGCGATTTCGTCGTCGGTCCAGCCCTTATTTTGGGCGGTAAACTTCCATTTCTTGAATGGCTTCAGCTCCAAAGGAAACCACCGTTGCTGGACCTTCCCCTTGAAAATAACGCATGGTCGAAGTGCCTGCCCGGCGGCCGAGATGCATTCAATGAAGGAGGCCCAGGTGCGGGCCCCGGGCGATCTCTTGATCAGAGTCTTATATTCCTTGGATCCTGGGACCGTACCGTTGCTGCCCTGACCTTCCTGCAGGCCTGTCTCGTCTTTATTCCAACGGTTCTCGGGCTTCATGTCCCTGACGGCAGGAAGGTCGAAATACTTGAACCAAACCTCCATTATTTCTTTGGTAGCACCGTTGAGCCTCACCGAGTCAATACGCTTCGCTCTTTGGGTGGCGATTTGAGGGTTTCTGGGCCGCCCGGCGCAAAGAGACGCCATTTTCGACCATTCCGAGCGCGTTCGGCACCCACTCTTCTTCGTAGTCGCACAGATGATGATGCCCAGTCAATTCTGCGTCGAATACAGTAGAAAAGAAGGAGTTTGGGAAAATATGAAATTTGGAAAAATAAGGAATTTGGAAACGAATTGAACAAGTTGTGCGTGCTGAAGCGGTGTGCGCGCGCGGAGGAAGTGGTGGCGTTGGTGGCTTGCACGGCTTGTTCCGCTTCTAGGGTGTTCCGCTTTTAGGGTGTTCCGCTTTTGGTAGTTGATTTAACTATCACCTCATTGCCGTATAAATGTAGGCTCCGAAGTTGAACTTATGATTGTAATTCGTTCATTTCTGCAATAACCACTGTCCTTGTCAACAACTAATTACGTTGACAGCGCATTTAAAGACAGGGGCAGGCATCGAGATGCCCTCTCCTTTTCCTACTACTGTCAACGGCTGTATTGACAACTAGGTCACTGTCGACAAAACTGTTAATTAGGCGCTAGGAAAAGAGAGGGCATTCAGATACCCGGGTGCAGTGCAGTCACTCCGGCTATCTGAAAAGGCCTGCCATCTACTGAACTCGGCTTTTTAGGTATTAAATCTGACTTTAGCTAAGCTAGTGGCTTGGCGCCCTGGTTGTAAAGTCACTTTCTAGATGATGCTGTTCGAATAGGAGCCTTGATCTACGTACCCTCCTGCTTTTTCACGCACCCTCCTGGGTTCCTTGGCACCTAGTAACATGGGGGCCGCCTTTTCTCTCTTATGGTAAAATGCCGTATTGCATGGCGTGATGGCAGGAACCCAACGGCCTACCGGGCACTAAGGAAGCCCAGCGAAGTAGGTAGCGAAGTAGGCTGCAAATCCTCTGCCTAGCCCTTTCGCGGCCCACATTCCAACACAGACTCAACACTACGAAAATACATCACCATGTGAACAAATCATAACTCAAGACTTCAAAACTCACTGACCCTACGCTGTGACTTTTGGCTAATTGATTGCATCAAAAGCCTGGCTAGCAACGAAGAAATCGGCAAAATGGAACACACCTCGGAAAACGCATTTTTGGAGCTTTTGACGGTTTTGACAGCTTCAACCTAATCGGACAGCAGGGTTGCATGGCAAGCGCTAGGGCGGCCGAATGGTACTTCGGGATTTTACTGGCCTAAATCAAGCCCTGAGTACCAAGTATATCAACTGCTAACAGGTGCCAAAGACCTACAGGTGGTTACGTGGAGAGGGTAGGAGAGTACGCAGATCAATGCCCTTAAGTAGACCACCTTTTTAATATTCCCTGTGAAAAATGGACCTTGAAGCCCGAGATATCCATTGTTCTCAAGTTACTACGCACAAAGCTCCACGAAAACTGGGTATCTACGGCCCTTCGCACATATTAACCCTAGCCCTGTGACGAAAACCCCCGTAAACCCGATTCAGACTCCAAATTCCAAAGCCGCTGCTTGGCCCGTATCCCGATTCTCAATGTCCATCGTGGCCACGGCCACGGCCACGGCCACGGCCACCCTCTCGCTCGTCAAGCCAGTCATACGCGCGAGCGTATGCGGTAACTATGGCCTCTAGACCCCGCATCATGGTCCGAATATCTGCAGCGGTCATGTTCGCAGGGATGAATCTCTCCCGGAGGTGGTCAGGCAGATCATCGGTCGTCAGTTGACCCGCGGTACGGGCTAAATTGCTCGAGGGCTGCGGCTGGATTGCGGCCGCTCCGACCTGCTGGGCTGGCGGGATCGTGGCCGGCTGGCGAGCGGCGGATCGAGTGACCTGGTTGGGAGGAGCCTGCGTGGTTTGGGAGACGGCAGCCGAAAACCGTGGCGCGGTGTCAGTGGCCTGTTCGACTTCCGAGCCAGTACCCACTTGCCTCACACGACGTCTCTTTCCTCTATGCCCAGCACGGTCGGGGGTATCAGGGGTCTCCGATGGCATGTCGGCCGTGCGGACTCGAAACGAGCATCTTGCTCCACCCGAGCCGTAGTGGCAGCCCCCGCATGATCCATTTCCGGCCAATTACGAGACGGTGCATTCGGCAAATGGGCCCTTTCCCGCGGTACACTGGTCGCATGGGTGCTCGGGGTAGTCTCCGACGATTTGGATCAACACTGCTTCGGTGTTCTGTGGACGGGGCCAGGACACAGTCTTCCCGTCACGGAGCTTACACTCTCGCCTGTACTTTATTATTTTCCTGTTAGCTTGACATGACTAGTGGCCATCTCAGGTTCATACTGCAGGCTGCTTACCTCTGCGTTAATAAGTATCCGTAAAGACCTCGTGTTCTGATGAAGAGATTTTATAGTCTTTAAGACCGAGTCGATGGAAATAATCTGCGACATCTTAAACCAATAATTTCTTCGGCGTCGGAGGCGTTACGCGGCCTTAGAATTTGGGTGGTCGCAGGTTTCTCGGGAGCGCCGATCAATTCTCTTTCGGAAGGTTTGCTAGTCTGGTTGTTAATTAGCAGGAGCGATCGTTGGGAATTGGCGTGCGCACCGCTCCTGTTGGCTAAAATGTGACGGAAATCACAACGCGGTGTCGGTGTTGGTTTTTTCGTCCCTGCGACCGCGCATGCGTTAGCAATCTGGGGGAAAAAAGGCGCATGCGATATACCAATGCTTGCCTGCCTGATTGACTTGTATGTTTTTTGAGGCTCTCGCGCCTTTGCGCGGTCGAAGCCGCGGGCGTTGGCAAAAAGTTCACACAGGATCAATTGGTTGGAAGCTTCTAGTCGCAGGTCTGGAGAAGAGCGGGAGTGGACTTTAAGCAGCTATGAAAATTTCAAGCTCTCGAAAAACCCGAGCCATTCCGTCTGATGTGAGGGCCCAACTACGGAAGTCGATAACAGTCGGTGCACTCTATCAACCACATGGGTGTGTTTTCAAGGCTCTAGCTCATCTATGTGATAAAATAAGCTACCTGACCAGTCAGGAAGGGGTCAGGTGAACGGATGCCTCCGGCGGCGCCTGCCGCGGGCTGTCCTCGCTTCGCTCGAGGGAATGGGTGGCTGGGCCATTTTACTGAGAAATTAGTAAGGACAACCCTGCTTTGTGCCATAACTCGTAGCCAAAGGTAGACTCAATTGTGTCAACTGTGTTAAAAGTAAAAAACACAGGAGAGTCATCACAACGTAAAAATCATTGTGTTGAGGCAGAAAAAGTCGATTCTGCTATCTAGGCTACACCCGGAACCAACACCTCCCCGGCGTCAACACGGCGCTGGTAATCCGCCGCACGCAAGGCACCTGTAACGTCATTCTTGACCTGGATTTGGTCCAGGGCAAAGGAACGTCAAACATCAAGCCCTGTAGACTAGCAAAGCGTGAGACAGCCACATAATTAAACCCTGAAGAGAAATCCCGCTCAGAGATGTCCAGCACAGCCCTGTGAAGCGTAGCTCCCTGTGACTTGTGAACCGTGACGGCGTACGCAATAGTAACCGGGAACTGGCGGCGAGAGCAGGCCATATTACCGCTCTGGAAGTCCCGCAAGGACTCTGCCCGGCTAAACTTCGGGATAACGGATTTACAGCTATTCTAGCCCCTCAGTACCAAAACAAATTCTCTTGATAATTCGATGTTTCGATGTTCATGGTCTAATTGTTGTATTTCTAGGGGGCAAGCCCCCTAGGACCCCCAGTACCTGCGGCGCTCTTGGCCTGCAGCGCTGTGCCTGTGGCGCACTCCTGCAGTTTACAAAGCGTTCCGTTCCACTCCCAGATCCCAATCAGGAGTCCACCCCCAAAGAGGTCCTTCCTTCGACGGCTTCACGACACAGCAAAGCGGCATTTGACGGCTTAACGCGTCCGAGGATTGTCCGATCGACCAGTCCCTGTCTTCTATTTTGACACGGACGCAAACTGGTCAATCGCTGTGTGAAAAACTTTCGGCACCTTCACGGTAAAGTAGAAGAGACAGCCTCTCTACGCCACCTCGGGCTCGCAAGCTCGCCTACTGTGGCTCCGTTCAGCTGAATTATGTCCACGGAGGTGGAATTGCCCAGTGAAATTACGGTTTCGTGTCTTATTGCACTTATCTGAGATACCATTGGGATTGGTGAAATACCTTACCTAGCCTGTCGGAGGCAACACATTGAGTTACGTGTAGTCTAGTGTATTGTGTCACTGGGTTCCATCAACGGGGCTTTGGTTTTCATGTCTTATTGGGATTCTGTGGTGGGGGTTGGTCCATATAGTTGCTGTTGCCCAGAGACCAGGCAACAGGTATCTGTATTGTCTGCTGGCGTAACGACCCACCGCTATAGATTCTGTTTCTGCTATACTGGCGGTTTTGTAATAATCACAAACACCTCATCAAAACTTGCCCTCCATGTACCTGACGGCCTATCAAGAAATCTAGCGGCTTCGAAACAAAAGCTAGAACCGACAAAGAATATAATAAGGGTATGAAGTAGAAGGATTTGGCCCCCAATTCAAGATAGATAAATAATTAATTAAACGTCGGCCTGCATCCGAGTGGCTAAAGTAAGCCTTTCTGCACGAGAACCAACTAACGGGAAAAATTGCTGCTTTTTACGATAGGTTCAGCATTGAGGCTACCGGGTATTTGATGCACCCGTTGCGGAGTCGACGGATATAAAATTCAGTCGTCTTGCCCTCTCCGAGTCAAGATTATACCTACAATCTTGGTAGTTTGTCTCGCCAGTCGTGAGCTAGGTCTAGTCATCCCACTCTTGAAATCCCCACCGAAGACACTGCCATCTGTCGAGCTTGTGCTGCTATCATCCAACATGGCTTTCCCACTCGTAGGCTCCGGGCCCGGCATCTTCATGCCAAACTCTGGCGTTTTGCCCGAATTCAAGGACGTCTTCCCATACAGCGACTTTGTCCACTGGTATGAGACCGTGCACATTCCGGACTGGCTGCGCTGGAAGCCTGGCGCCATCACGTCGGCCTGGAGATACCAGTCGGTCGATGCCGACCGCGACTGGCCGTTCCTCGTGGCGTACAAGTTTCCCAACATCTCGGACCTGAGCTCGCCCGACTACATAACCATACCCTTAACCAACCCGATGCTGCCCGAGGGCGGGCCAATAAGCAAGTTCACCCACATCGAGGCTGTGGCTGGGCCGCATATCGAGACATGGAGGAGCGGTAGCACGGGCGACGGTACGTATTGCACCAGCGCGAGAAAGAGACTAATTAATAGCAACAAGAGCTGACGAGCGGCGAGTGGCCAAAAAGACCGAGGCCCCATCCTCGTGACTGAAGAGATTGATCCCGCCAACGTCACGACGGATAAGTTCCAGGAATGGTATCGCGACGTCTACATCGGCGAGGTCTCGGCCATGGCGGGCTGGCGGCGCACAAGCCGCTTCGACAACGGCATGGGCCAGCCCAGGTGGCTCGCATTGCACGAGTTTGAGGAGTCGAGCTTCGGGCCGAACACCACCAAGATTGCGGGCCTGCTGGGTAAGTCGAGCGAGACACAGGAGATACAGCGGGCGGCCAGCAAGATAGATGTCGGGCTGTGGAAGCTCATGCGCGTATATGGCGATGGTTCGGCGCCATGGGGTCTGCCAGGGGAGGATAAGATTATTTGACTATGTAAATTGGGCCTAGAGTTTCTGCTGTTTAGAGCTCAAAAGGGATCTATCGGTGCAGGTCTAGATGGGCACCTAGTTAGACAGTCGATAAAATGACTTTGGGACATTCTGTTATTTTAGAATGTTTGGTCTCTACACCACCGTGCATTCCGGACACGTCAATAATATAGGCTAGGCTGCTATTTGAGGCCTGGGTACATGCATGGATCACAGGGAAGCAGAATTGACAACCGCATTGACCATATATGACGGTGTTGGAGGGACGGGAGCGATTGTTACACTACGGGTGGTTCGCACAAACAGGCTGCGATGCGGCGGCACATTGGAGGCAATGACGTCAATGGCGCTGTCAACATGCAGTGGACAGATCCGTCCACTAGCGAGAGGCGGTGGCGCCAGTGTAAAACATTTGTGGAGCCGGAGAACCGGGGAACCGGGGAACCGGAGCCCATCCCAAACCGGATCGACGAAATAGCTGAGAGAGAATGATCCTCCATCACTCCGTATCTTTGAGGAAAGGGGGAGCAAGACGCAGTAGGCGCGAACAAAACGAAGCAACAATTAACAAAGCAACGTGGAATTGGAAATGCAGGGATTGTCTTACTACAAAACTTTAGACTTTGCTCCGTAAGGCTAACTCACCGACCGTGAGACAGTAAAAGACGGCAGGGAGAAATGTCCAGTTCCTAGCCCGCTGCATCTCTGGCAAGCGCATCCCTGGCTTCCGTTCATCGCCAGCGACAACCTGAAGAGGGGAGACTCGGCCGCAGCTTCAGATGGCAGATTTGCGATCGGCAGAGCAGCGGCAGTGGCTCACTCCTTCGGCTGCTGGCAACCCTCAGCTTAGCCCACCGAGATTGAAGCATCGCTGGGTTTCATTACCTTAGTTAAGGACGTGCTGTACAGTGGCTGCTCTGTACATACCCCAGACCACAATGCCCCGCAGAAGGTGCAAATTACATTGGAACATCTTCAAACCCCCCGTAGCGCTTAATTGGGACTTCAGGGTTTGGTGTACAAATTGCATGTGTATCCAAGGAGTAATGTTCCGTGTCTGACTTGAAAACTGTGGATATGTACACCTTGCACCACCCCACTGGCGTAGGCGATGAGGGGCTGGTGTATCCCTTCGAGCTTGGCATATTGGCATATTGATCGCAAAGGCTTGATGTTTGTCTACCAAACCACCAAGTTAAGAATTCCTTGGATAACCCAGTCCAAGTATACTATGGTAAGCAAGCTCAAGACTGCTTCGAATCATACCCCAAATCCGCCGGAAGGGACAGAAGGAAGCCTGTGGAATCACTGGACAGATTTTCCGCGGGCTGGCTGACAGATTGGCGGGGCTTTTGGGCGGGGCTCCTAGGTGGGTCCGTGACGCACTGACGCTGCACACTACGTCATTGGGGGTCCAAAGTGGTCAACATGGTACGCCAGTGGGCTGAAGTGTGGGTGGGCTGCAGCGTCATCCAAGGCACGGGGCCACTGCGGTCATTAACCCGACGAGGTTGGTTGGGGTCTTTCTCGGCACAGGGCTGTGCAGCGCTTAACTCGGCCACAGCAGCAGTGAGGCCTGTTTTATTGTCAAAAAGGTAGTCGCAAACCGTCCTTCGGCCTCGCACCACATCAACACGATTCTCTCCTGCCCGCCTAACTCCGACGCCCTCGTAGCAATCTCTGTTTGCGAATACTGCCAGCGTCCGATTGCTCAAAGCAACGCAACAGTTCAGTGCCCAAATCGCAGATAATCGAGCTTTAGCGTTTCGATTTGTCTTCCTTGACCGAGACAGCACGAGTCGCCTCCGGTGCCTGCACCACCTCGCCCACTGCATCGAGTTGTTAGCGGTGCGTTACATGCAAGACGAGTGCAAGATGTCGACAATACAACAGCTAAAGAATTTTATCCGACACGGTGCGTCTTGTCTTTTCCAGTTGCAGCAGTCACATGCGGGAGTCACGACGGACTGCACCTGCTACGATCTCGTGCCACGGGATCTGAGACTTACGTCCATGTCATCGCACAGGAAAGCAAGCACGAACGGCAAATCTTGACGAGCCGACGCGTAAAAATCATGAGTCCTCGCCGCCCCGACAACACCAGCCGGTAAAGAACAACATGGCCGCTCCAATCTCAGAACCGGCATTTGGCGCCGTCCCCGCCAGCCAGAATCGCGCTGCCGTCCCCGATGCTTACTCAGTCGCCAACGCCGGCGGCCAAAACCGCGCTGCCCAGGCCGGCCAAGCCGCTGCGCACCACGTCGAGGTCGACCAGACGGTGAATTCCAAGGCGAAGAAGCGAATCCCCGACACAAACATCGCGCAACTGGTTGCCGAAGAAAATGAGAGCCGGAGCACGTTTCCTAGGTATCCCGGCCTCGAGAGGTGGGAACTCGTCGAGAAGATGGGCGACGGCGCCTTCAGCAACGTCTACCGAGCAAGAGACCTAGAGGGAACGCAGGGCGAGGTGGCCATCAAGGTTGTCCGCAAGTACGAAATGAATAACATGCAGGTATGTTGCACATCTGGGGCTTGAGCATTCTTCATTTTGCCCTCCCAGTTTTCAGGCTTGGTTTCTTGATCCCCTGTTCTCCTTTTTCCCCCGTATTTCCTTTTACCAACTCGCGGGATGTCCTAGAGCGACAAACATCTCCATCCGGACTTCAAGCCAAAGGCTCCCAAAGCTGCAGAGGTGCGAGAAATTTTCTTTCCCTTTTCCTTGGTTTTGTCGCTTTCTCTCCAGAGCCGGGAACATCCACAATTATTTCTGGGTGCTGCCGACGCTGCCAACGGCCCGTTGTAGCGGCAGTCGAACAAGACACCCCGGGTGCGAAAATCCGCGCTTGTCTTGTCCACCATGGTTAACAACGAGTACAGCGAGCAAACATTCTCAAAGAGGTGCAAATCATGCGCCAGATCGACCACCCCAATGTCATCAAGCTTGTAGACTTTGCCGAGTCCAAGCAGTACTACTACATAATACTCGAACTGGCTCCTGGAGGAGAACTGTTTCACCAGATTGTACGATTGACATACTTTAGCGAGGATCTGTCGAGGCATGTAATCACGCAAGTTGCGAATGCTCTCGAGTATTTGCACGAGGAGCGAGGCATTGTCCATCGGTGAGCACCCTCTCCGGGACTTTCAAGACCTCACCCATACCTTATCTAATCCTTCCCAGCGACATCAAACCCGAAAACATTCTTTTCAGCCCCATACCATTTATGCCTTCAAAGAATCCGAAGCCCAGACCAGCGGGTGACGAGGACAAGGAAGACGAGGGCGAGTTTGTCAAGGGCTTAGGTGCCGGCGGCATTGGCCAGATCAAGATTGCGGACTTTGGTCTGTCAAAGATCGTATGGGATAACCAGACCATGACACCCTGCGGTACTGTCGGGTATACGGCGCCCGAGATAGTGAAGGACGAGCGGTACTCCAAATCGGTCGACATGTGGGCCATGGGCTGCGTGCTGTACACACTACTGTGTGGCTTCCCGCCATTTTATGACGAAAGCATCGAAGTGCTCACCGAGAAGGTTGCGAAGGGCCAGTTCACTTTCCTCTCGCCGTGGTGGGACGACATCAGCAAGTCGGCACAAGATCTGATCTCCCATTTGCTCTGTGTAGATCCCGAGAAGCGCTACACCATCAAAGAGTTCCTCGCCCACCCGTGGATTCGCGAGTCTGGCCCGACTCCTCGGGAGGAAAAGAAGGCAGCCGCAGGTACACTGCGCGCGTTCGACGTGTCCAGGATCGTTGACGGCGACAAGCGGTACGATTTCCGGTCTCCTGGTGCCGTCAACCTCCGCGAAGTCTTTGACGTTGGTTACGCCGTCCATCGGCAAGAGGAGGAGGGCAAGCGCCGAAAGCAGGTCGGTGGCAAGGCCGGCGTTTCTCGGCTAGTCGGCCTCAGCGAGAACTCGGACGAGGAAGAGGACGAGGACGCCAACATAGCTAGAGTATCTATCCACAAGCCGGTCCAGGGCTCGACTCGGCATCTCGAGCAGAGTATGCGGAACACGCAAATTGAAGACGCACAAGAGCCCCGAGGGCGGGATCGCGAGAGGAAGGCCCATGCTCCGCCAGCCGCTGTCGAACAGAAGGGCTACGGACAGCACTCAGCCGCCGTTACCGCCGCTGCCAGGCAGCAGGTTCGCGACCAGAACCGACGGAAGGGTGCATTTGAGCTGAACCTCGACGGCGCAACTCTTCTCGGGCGTCGTGGAGTCAAGCCGACTACCCGGGTTGCATAGAGTGCACCTGGACAGGAAGGCCATGGCTCAAGCGGAGAAAATACTACAGCGGGGGACTGCCAGGCCACGGCAGCTGATGTCGAGGCTGATACCTGTGACGGAGTTGATGGAGCGTGAGTGAGCGAGTCGTTAGATCCACGGACGCTAATTATTATCACTTTATTCTCTCTCTTCGTGACATTATACACTTTAGTCTCTGAATGTTTAGGAGAAGATTATCGAAATAAACCGGCAGAGAAGGCCTTTAATAGGTACTTTTGGAGAAGAGATAGGCCTCTAGGATTCTAGAATAGGGGTTCGGATAGTTATTGCCTCCCTCGGAGAAAAACCTCTAGGGCGAGCTATAAGGAATTGAGGCCTTTACATCTTGGAAAGTCTCCTACTAATAAATATTCAGGGATTAAGGTTGTGCCGGTTAGGCCGCGTCAAGTATATGGTTCTGGTTGATTTGGTGGATGTGGTTGATCTGGTGGATTTGGGTAAGGACTGGAAGGTCTGTGCAAGGAAGACCCTTTCGTCAATTGCAGCATTCTTGTTCTATTTGTACTCGTGCCGGCCAATTGAGTTCCACGCCACGGCACGGCGTGAGTCTTCTCGGTGTTCGTGTGCCGAACCTTGACGGCTCCGGGCCGTTCAAAGTTCGGGTGTGAGGAGCGGAGCGCCGGCATGTGATGCGCCAGTTGTAGCCAGCCGGATCCGAGAACCTTTCGTGTTGGACTCGTGCTTTGTGCTTCCGCCGGGTATTGGATTTTTTTTCGTGACCAAATTTAATCTATATATCGCATTCAGGGATTAAATTGTATCTATTGTGGTGTTCGTCATGCCTTGTTTTCCAATAACGTGATTCTAGGAGGGGCTGTAATTACCCCGCCATCGGTCTTTATCGGTGCCCGCTAATCAGCCTTCCAGCTGATCTCTGTAATTATGGGGGACTCTCCAAGATTTAGAAGGCCTGAATAACTTACGACTCGCCCTAAAGGCTTTTCGTTGAGGGAGGTAAAAGCGATTAGAATCCCTATTTTATAATCTTAGAGGCCTTGCCATATCCTAAAAATACCTATGAAAGGCTTTTCCTGGCCGTCTAATTTACTGTGATCTTTACTATTTGTAAGTCTCTAGGCATGTACAGTGGGTCGACAAAAGTCTGACCCCAAACCCCACATTCTAGCAACACGCGACGCGTTTTTCTTCATCCAACATCACACTCGGCCTTCAAATAACGGAATTTAAACCACGAAGAAGCCCTAGGTCTCCAAATTAAGAGTACTCGCCTCAAAAAAGGACGAGGATTGTAACGAGCTACGAATTGTGCCTATCCCGGCCCGCTATCGCGTTCAAAGAAGGCGTCAACCAGGCGTCCATTTTCAAGGTCGTATCTCGGTACTAGGACCAGATTTCGGGCAAATCTTTAGCGCGTTCAGGCCGCCCCAAAGCCCTTAATGAACGTGAAATAAGGCATGTACTATGCTACACAGACCTTGGACCCATCATACCGATCGACAAAATACGCACAACGGTACAGCTTAATCGTAAGATTACCCGGGAGCTTCGTCGACTAGACATCCTACACAACACAGCCCTAAGAAGACCCGAATTAAGCGACCGGCTCGCTACAGCTCGCTTAGTCTTCGCGCGCCTACATATTAGGAAGCCGCCTACGTGGTGGCGGCGCGTAATAGTATCTAACGAATCTACTATCGCCCGCGGCCAGGGAGAGCGCCAAGCACGGGTTTTCTGCCGAAAAGGAACCTGCTTTTAACCCCTATTTGCTAGACGACCACTAACCGGACAGGGCGAGCGATTAGTTCCTAAGAATATGTAACCAAAGGCCAAACCAACGAGGTATTCGTAGATGTTCTAGGGCGCCGGTATACGCACATCCTTCGTACCGATAATTAGAGACCCTGATATTCTTCATTTTGAAGAACCTCTTCCGGGCATCATTTTAATCTAGTTCACAGTCATTTTGCTATATAATTGAGATGGTGGCTTGCATTTGAAGGGGGATGGTTACAGTATGGAAAGTGGGCCAAAGTTGGATGGGTCAGACTTTTGTTGTGTACCACGCTAACAAACATTCAGGGATTGGAGTGTACAGTACAGTACATACTGAGTGGGCCGCTAGAGACTTGTTTTTAGCCCCTGAACACGACATGACGACGGCGACGAGATATAGAGCCCTGAACAGGGAATGGGTAGTAACCCTTGCAAGTTGTACAAATGTAGTGTTCTTAAATATATATCTTTAATGACATATCTAAGGACTCTCTGTACGGCCGGTTGCTTGGTAGTGGTGTTGCCCGCCCCCTTTGTCACTTATCATCAAAAAGCAGCACCCCTTAAACCACCCCCAAGGACGGCTTTGGAATTTGCCCAGCAATAAACAGGGAGGAATTCAATTAGGGATTCAGTTTTAGCATTGCCCTCGCATTCACGGCCTCTATGAAGTCCGGAATTATTGAGCCAAGTGGCGACCAAGAGCCCAGGACTAACTACTGTGGAGGATATCAATGACGCAAAATATAGGGATCGGAATTGGAATGTGACCCCTGACCTCTGGGCAGCCATTTTGCTGGTTCTCGCGAGAGAATAACAGATTAACAGCTCGCGCAGTTGGGTGACTATCTCGTATAAGACCGCATGGCTCCTGCTCTCTCGTCCTCCTCCATCACCATCATCATTCACCACGCCGACCAAGCACTGCAGTGCACTGCACTGCACTGCACCAGTGCGCTGGAGAACCGCCCAACAAGAGTCACCCAGAGTCAAAACCACGACAGGATGTCACTATTAGTCCCCAGACTGCCGAGCAGCCTCGGCGTCGTGACCGGCCCGGACAACATCTGCCAGATCAACCTGGCGGCCCTCATTTCCTAGTGCAGCTCCATCGTCATCGGCCTGGATGACCAGCCATTTGCCATCAACGTCCACCCGGCCGTCATCTACGTGATCCCTACAGCTCCAAAACCCAGGGGAAGCTGGGGGAAGCTGGGAGAGGTGGCGGAGGGGGACAGGCTTCTGGCCAGGCTGGGGGCCAGGCTGATGGGAGTGGTGCGGGAGGATTGGGAAGTTTGCTCGATGGGCAGGCTGGTGGGCAAACCGGAGGCCAGGCTGATGGGCAAAGTGGTGGAAAATTTGCTGGTGGTCAAACTGGGGGACAGTTCGGGGGTGGAGAGTCTGGTAGTCAGTTTAGCGGTGGGCAAGCCGATGGACAAACCGGTGGCCAGTTCGGCGGACAGACCGGAGCACAAGCAGGGGGGCAGTCTGGCGGACAGCCTGGCGGACAGTTTGGAAACGGCCAAGGTGAAGGACAAGCCGGAGGACAAACCGGAGGGCAGGAGGGGGAGGGTGACAATCTGGATCTGGCCAGGGAGGCTCTGGAGGAACGTCAAACGGAGCAGTTGGCACTGGATCCTCATCCTCCTCATCAAACAGGCCAGCAAGCGGCTCTTCCAGCGGCTCCGGAGGATCTGGCACCACTAGCCTCGGCAGCACATCCTCCGGGTCGTCGGCGCAGTCACTGACAAGCACCATCCTGGAGCCCTGCAAAAGTCTATTGCTGGACGTCTCGGTCGACTTGCTCGGGCTTAATATCAATATCGACCTCTACCTTCACCTGGCCGGGCTGCTTGATGGCGTGGGGGGCCTACTCAACAGCCTTCTCGGAGGCGACAGGTCGCGGCCCACCACCATGACGCAGCGGTACCGCGACATTTGCGGCACGTCGTTTACAACCCTCGGCCCCGGCAGAAATGTAACGGCCACGAGCCCGACGGACTGCCTGCAGCAGTGTGAGATCGACGCCATCCTGGCGACGGTGCAGCTCGGCACGCTGAACGACTGCCTCGGCGCGACGCTGGACCGAGGCATCGCCATCGACAACTGCCTCTACTTCATCGGAAGCGACACGGACATTCTCGACTTGCACATGGCCATAAACACCGATGACAGCGACTCGTTTTGCAAGTCCTGCTAGCGAGCTGCCGAGCCGCGAGGTCTTGGTGGTGTGGGAATGGGTCAGAAAAAATGGAGATAATGGGTCAATAGCGACAGGAGAGTGAAAAAAAAAGACCAAGAGCTAGCGAATGGAGGTCGATCATATACCGCCACTCTGCCAAATTCCTTACAGGTTCCCGCAACTCACTTTTGATTCTTTTGGGATGTCCAGGCTGGCTGGGGATTCTGGTTTGCCGAATTTGTTATCCAGATGTGATTTGCCAAAAGTAAAGGGGTTGGTGGCGTGGACCCATGAAAGAACAACACATGCTCTCTTTCAGTCCAGCCTGTCTTGCTGTTCGGTCAGGAGGCTGAGTACCTCGGCTTGTTGGCGTCTTTTCAGCGGATGAACTCATCACATTGCTGCATCGGAAGATGACGGCGTCACCACGAGTAGAATTGTAGCGTGATTCGGCACGGGGGAGGCTGAAGATGGCAGCACGGCCAATCATTAGGTTCTGCTCCCAGGTTCCAGGCCCACTCCTCTGGGTCATGGCTCTTCCTGCCAAGCTCCATAGCTAGAACAAAGGTTCCGCAAACCCGAGCCCAGTATGCTTTAACCTTCCTCAGCCCGACCTGGAGGCATCAATATTGATCAGCGCACGAAATCAACACGAAATCAACACGTGAAGCTGAAACTCTCATCGGCTTGCTCAACATGTGGGGGGGAATAGTGGAGATGATAAGGTGGTGAGACCACGCCACCGACGGAGTATCTCGGGAGGGTGTAAATCTTCTGGATGCATGCCGACAGAGCAAGCTCTAAATGTGAAATCTTTTGCCCTTGACTCAGAGCTTCGGATGAGGGTAAATAGATGTCTTGTCCCCCCCAACCCTTTCTTTTTCCCAGCTTCTTTCCTCTCCATCAGCATCTCATCTGCCGTCTCGTGTTCCCTCGGTCGTGTCCAGCTTGGAAATGCATCTCGTCGTTCATCCACCGGGTTGACTGCGGGAAGAACCAAGAAGCGGTTGGCCAGGAAACGCAGTTTGTCGAGAGACGGCGATTTGCTCACGTTGCCGTTCTTGGTCGTTTCGGGGGACATTTGATCCGTAGATGCGGTAGCAACGGAGGAGATGAAAAACTCTATTTCTGGAGACCTTTTGTGGAAGCCGGGCGGTGAAATGGAGTCGGCATCTAGTTCGCTGTGGTGAAGCCAAGGTGGAGGCTCGGCTCAACACGTTTTCCGCTGTCTCTAAGGTTTTGATCTCGGTCTGAGCTGTACCGTAATTTGCACCGTCTTCCCGCTACATATTCCAGGTGAATCCAGGCCCCCTGGGACCCCGGCTTTGGGTTTGCTGCACCTCCTCGTCTGCTCTTTCCCATAAAGACTTGGACGGCACCGTCAACCCAACCACGCCTGCCGCTTTCGGAATTTCAGAACCAGCCTCACACCGACAACTCCTTCCAGAACCAGCCTCGCACCGACAACTCCTTCCAGTCTGGCCCAGTCGGCCAGTCCCCACTCCGTGTCCCCAATTGCCAGTCCATTGAATTAGAACTTCCGGGCAGATACCACCCGACCCATCCAATGGCTTCTTACCAGGCTATGTTGATCATTATTAACTATTACCAGCAGTGCGACTGTGTGAGTGTGAGTTCGAGTGCCAGTGACCCCAACAGCCGGCGGTATACGAGCTCGAGTTTGGCCACGGAGCCGGCGAGTCTGAATGAGCTCAGTGTTGATGGACAACTGCGAGCCATCTCCATCGAATCCGAGAGCGAGATAGAGCCGTTGCAGCTGGGGCCGCCGATATTTCCCGTGCCACAGTTGCCGGCACCTTCACCCTTCTACCACCAACCCGCGCCGGTGTCGGGAGCGTTAATTGCATCAATTGCATCAGGTGCATTAGGTGCATCAGGTGCCTCAGGTGCCTCAGTTGCGTCAGTTGCATCGATTACATCAATCGCGACTGCGCCGCCCAGCAGCCGACGGAGCTCCTGGTTATTCGGGGATGGGTGGCTATTCGCAGATGGATGGCTATTCGCAGATGGATGGCTATTCGGGGATGACGACTCGCATCCGCCTACACCGCGGAATGGCACCAGCCGGTATTTTCTCGTTTCTGTTTTTTATGCTCCCAAGTCCCCTCTGTTTGGGTCAAGTCGACCTTTTCACCCACCTTCGTTTAGCTGCTTCACTACCTATGTTGCTGTTTGACTCTCGCTCTCTAGCCCTTTAGGTACATGCCTGCATCAGGATCCTTCGCTAGGCTAACATGGACGTGCAACTATAGCTTCAGTGCAGGTGGCGAAGACCGACTCAGCCAGGTCGCGAGCCTGTATGACCTTCGCATGCGACACTTCATGACAACTCCTAACAGCTCCCGATCGACGGTGCATGATGAGATACCCATCGCTCAAGCCGAACCCCAGAACGAGCTTCAGATTAATACTCGGACAGCATCTCCCGGCGCCAGCGATGAGTGGGACATTGAAGCATTGCGCGAAAAACACGCCAAGCTGCTGGCCACTGAGCGCGAGGCTTTCCTAGCCAAGAGACGCAAACATAAACAAGAGATCCGTGAGCACTACCGAGCCCTCGGCACCCCCAATTCTTCTTCCGGATGGTTCACTCCGTCAAGGCCGTCGTCACCGCAGGTCCCCGGACATTCACACATCGAACAAGTATCTGCAACAAGCATCACCCGCCATCTTAACCAGCAATCCGCCTCCGGCAATGCCCTTCACAAGGCCAGACCAAACAGCCAACTGCCCTTCATCCTTCGGGATGCCGCAGGGAAGGCACACGCCTGGGTGGGGGGCGAGCGGATGTGGTTTACTTGGATGGCCCGCAAGCGTGAGCTGAAAAAGCAGTTCCGGGACCAGGAGCAGCACTGTCTACAGATGGCAGAGCAACAACGCGTCATGCGGCAGATGGCCGAGGAGCAGCTTACAGGCAAGCCGCACCGCCCCTCAGAGAGTGTGGCCGAGACCCCAAAGGCAACCCGTGGCCTCGCTCGGTTCAAGCGCTGCTTTGTCGGATCACCGGTCCAGCTCGAGGGCTGTCCGCCTGGTATCCCACCAGTGAAACCGCTGCCCCCTACGTTGCGGCGCGAGCTCTCGACCGATTCCAATGACAGCATGCGTCCATGGCCAAGCGATGGGCCATTGCCCGTCGAATCGCGCCCCGCCGAGACCTACAAGAAAAGGGTCATACGAAAGATCAAGAAAAAGCTGTCGCGCATTCTCTCCCCCCCAAACAAGAAGGAAAAGGAAGAAAAAAATTGAGACCAAGTCACGCCTCTTTGCCATCGCAGCCAGAATCCTTGAGCACTCCCGCCGTTCGTCTATTTTCTTCCTGGATGACTATCACGAGTGTGTTGGGAATACTCGTAGGACTTGGACTCATTTGGCGCGGACGGCGGGGACGTGATTTCCGTTTGCACATACAAGGACCAGCCGTCACAATGACTGGGTTTCAGGGCAAGAAATCTAGATTGCTCTCTGATTCGCTATCATTGCGCATTAAATACAGGGCTAGTGCCTACTTTGCTATACACCCATTACAGACCTGGCGATTGCTTTGGGTAGGGGATGCATGGCGTGGTGTCGGTTCGCTCACTGGTTCTCTTGCACATCGAGGTGCCGAAGATCAGATTGGGATGCCAAGTGGTCGGTCGCTCCCTGCCCCAGATTGTTTTCTACAAGCCCTGTGCACCATCATCTACCCATTTTTAGACGCGGTCGGCGAGAAGGTCAACACATAGTCACACACTCGACGATGTTTGTCTTGCTGTGTCATCATCATTATCCTGCGGAACGGACGGAACACCGTCGGAGAAATCCAAAGAGCACAATTCCACCCCATGGAGCGACCCACGCCATCCTATGTGCCTGCCGTTGGAGCTTTGTACTGGGAAATCCACTTCTTCATGATTTCGACCGACTTGTCCTGTACCTCTTGGACGTACGGGTTGATCCTCGTCCTGCTGCTTTCTAGACCCCGGGCAGTGAAGGCCTCGTCGCCGTGCTGGGCGTTTTTGATGAGGAACACGGCTACATTATCGCTTGACTTGAGCGGCCCCCCGGGTCGGATCTCGCTGGACATGGTGGTTGATCGCCACGGGTCGAACTCGCTGTACCGCACACACACGTGGTTAGCCCTGTGCCCTCATTATCACCGCCGCAATCACTGGTTCTAACAGCGTTTAGGGGCAGCGGGGAGTTGAGGTTGCGGAGTGTTGGGATACCCACCCGGTGGTGTAGATGACGCGCGTCGAGTTCCGCAGCCATCCGCCTGTCGCCTTGTTGAGCGTGTCGGGTGTCTTGCCCATGGCGCTCCCGTACTCCTGGCCGTTGGTCTCGGGGAAGTGCATCTCGCACTGCCGCTGCCAATACGTCGAGTCGATCTTGCGCGACACAAGCGACAGCTTTCCGGCCGGCGCCCCTGTCGCCCACGACGCGATGGGTTCGTTACACAGCAGCCAGTACCAGGTCCGCCATGGGTTGCCCAGTGTCCGGGCCTCGAAGAAGGGGTTCAACAAGTCGTGCGTGTTCAGGCACCACAGCGGGTCCTCTTGGCCCCAGACGTCGAAGTAGGTGCACGCTGGGGGGAGCGGGGCTACGTGTCAGCGGTCTTTTTCTCCGGAGATTGGTGATTGGATGGGGCAGAGGGATTTGGAAATGGTTCGACTTCTATGCTTTGGGTACCACTCACTTGAATCGCGAAAGTTCTGCTTAAAATAAGCCGCATAGTTTGTCACCACTCCGGGTATTGTGCCGAGAATGTCGTCCTGCACGGCCTGAGTGTCGCTGAAATCCACCGCGTCGCACATGTTCAAAATGTCGCGATATCCTCGTGTCTCCTGCCAGTACCTGAACGGCGAGGCCAGAGAGCTGGGTGCACGAGCAGAGTCAGCGGTGCTCTTTTAACCCTCTACAACACCATCTCGAGTCCGTTAACCAAGAGACTCACTAGGCAAAGTCGTCGTCCTCGATGGGGAACGTGGCGCCGAAGAACTGCTTCAGCGCATCGACCTGGGTCGCGTTGCGCGTCGGGGCGAGCAGGAAGCTGTCGACGAACTTGACGACGTTGCTGAACGCGAGACTGCAGCCCCCGCTCACGCTCGCCGTGTCGTTGCGCTTCGAGTTGATGCCCTCGCGGATCGCGTCGTAGTAGTACCAGTTGTTGGAGTTGGCCTCGACCGTCGCGCTGCTCAGGTGGAACGCGAAGAACGCCCCCGGGTGGAAGTGCTCGATCCAGCTGCCGAGCGTCGCCGAGTACGACGCGCCCCAGTAGACCCATGGCTTGTTTGTGCGTTAGTGTTTGTTGATTTCTCTTGTCTCTCTTCCCCCGGGTGTGATGACGGGATGACAGCCTCCGGGCAAGAACGAGAACAACACGAAACTCGAAAACTCACAGCCTTCGTGGCCACGCTCGACTGATTCAAGTCGAAGGGAAAGACGATGGTCCTCGCAAAGTTGACCACGTCAGCCGCCGCCTGCTCCATCGTCAGGTACTGCAGCGTCTCGGAGTCCATGCCGTCAAAGGGCGACGAGCTGCCAAAGAACCGGTCTGTTTCGGAGGGCGAGAAAGAATCCTGTCAACTACTGGTGCGCAACCAAATCCTTTGTCTGATCCAGGGGAGGGGGATGGGGACCAACGCACGCTCCAGCACCACCGTCGCGGCGCCGATCGCCTGCGCGTACATGCCGACCATGGTCGTGTTGTCGACGAATGTGTACCCCAGCCCCGGCGACACGGAGCCGACCATGGGCACCTCGCCGGGCGTCATGATGACGACCTAGTCCCAGAGACAGACATGGTTAGTCAAGTCCAACAGGCAGGCCGGGCAAGAATTACGAAAGATAGAGAGACTCACCGGAGACCCCGGCCCGGCCCACCACTCGCGACTGACGCAATACTGCTGCGTCCACGTGCCCAGGGTGCCGTTGGGGTGGTCGTGGTCGACGGGCTGCGTGAACCAGTCGCACGACACGCCCGGCCGCGCCTCGGCCTTGCTGAAGAATGGCGGCGGGCCACCTTTGCTGCTGTCGGACGACGCCGCCGCCACCTCGGGCGCACCCCTCAGCGCCGTCTTGGGCGCGATCCACGCCGCGAACGGCAGCGTCACTCCCGGCGAGAGCTTCATGGCGGCGTGCGGTTCTCTGCTGTTGCTGCTGCACTCTCGAGCTCAGATCCGGTCGCCTACTTATTTACCTACTTCCCCGTGTGAGAAAAAAAGGGAAAGGGGGCGTTGTTGATGACGGGGGGCAGGGACGGGTACGCGCAGGAGCCGTCGACACCTATTAATTACATCTTTCCCCAGGTTTTTTGCTTTGGATAGGTGTCTGTCTGCCGGCACTTATTTATTGCGCTGTGTGTCTGCGGCCGCCAAGCCGCAGTCTCAAGTACCGGGCGGAGGGCTGCGCTGTGGGGAAAGGTAAGGTGCGCTCTATGGATGAAGGCGGTGGATAAGTTGCATCTGGCCATACACTACACACGACAGGCGGGCATGTTCTGTGTGCATGTATATGTATGTGTGGTCAGCGCGAGGCTAAATGCGACGAGTCGTGGTCGCTCCGTGGGCGATGCATGTCGTGCACATGGCCCGCCCACATGTGAGATGTGAGCCTCTTGCCGGGCACGATCCCGACCAGACAGAGTGAGCTTCTTCTAATGATGACACGATAGGAGCTAGCCGGCAGCAACTGGGTTTGTCAAGCAGCAACTGGGTTTATCAAGCAGCTGTGGTAATCCTGGACATTCACGCCGACGGAAGAGGGCGGCAATTAATGAACTACTCGAAAGGTCGGGCCACCACGTCGACGCGGCTAAAGTGGCCCAGTGCCGCCGCTGGTGTGAGATTCGCCAGTGACGCTATGAAGAAATATCCCGCGTTTTATTTGCGGCGCAATCTATGCCAGAGAACAAGCAAGTTCCATCCCTCCCTCCCTACCTTCCTTACCTTACCTAGGCCTGCTACTCCAAGCAAGCGCAGCGCCTTCAATGAATTCTGGGAAAGAAAGATGCAATCTAATTAGGTAACGTAGGTTGAAGCTGTCTGACGAAGAACATGTGTGCCGACATGTGCCGTGGCTCCCACCTGCGGCAGATGCAAAGTCTCGAGAGTGCTTGTCGTCCCGGTGCCGATCACCCCATAAGTGTACTTGCTAAGCATAGTACCAGAGAGAAAATGTCCGGCACATCGCATACCCGCCCGGCGCCAGTCACGAGGGGCCGCTTTGTGCGGGGAAGGCGGCTGCCACTGCAGTTTGTGCGACGTTGGCATTGGCAATCCGTCACTGGAAGGGAGGCGGTGATGGTAAGATGTGTTGTGATCAAAGGCTTCATTCTGTTCATGGCCGTCGTGTGGTTTCATGGGGTAGAAATTGGATCGCCGACTTTGCCGAAATCAAAGGTCACAGTGGCGCGTTTCTCTCTCTCTCTCTCTCTCTCTCTCTCACTCTCTCTCTCTCTCTCTCACACACACACACACACAGATGTTCTGTCCCTCATTGTTTCGCCCGTCTTTGATGAGCAGATCGGCTCCAAGAATAGAACGAACGACGTGCGGTGCAAACGGAAAATCCTTCATGCCCAAAAGTCAAAGCCCAAAGGTCGAGGCAAGGTGGTTCACGATCGCCTGCACGATTTGCGGTCGCCATCATGCCACCCTGCGTGGTGGTCCTAATGGGCCCTGGTTACATCGCGGCCTGCTGCCAAGCGACTGTTCCCAGGGGTAATGCGCCAACCGAAAGGGGCCCAAACTCGCCGCGGCCGACACCACTGTTCCAAAGCCAGGCAGGGTTTACTGTGTAGGTATGTACTGTACCACGTCGCCAGCACGACATACGCGCTACGACCCCGGGAATCGGATCTGTTGAAACTAGGAGATCCCCCCCGGTGCCCAGCGCCTCGACAAGCGAAGGGAGCTTGGAGCTGCTAGCCCGTCTAAACCCCCCCGCAGGTTCCCAGCGAGAGCAGAGCCGCGAGGAGGCCCTGCAAAACACCATGCCGCGCTATGCCGCATGTGGATAGCATGGCGCGCCGACGCAACCTCGCGATCCGCAGACTGGAGACTCGCGAGTTTCACGAGCCATCCTAGCAGGCTGGCTGGCTAGCCGTTTCGGCGCGGTGGATTGGACTCCTGGAGGGACTGTGACACCGCGCCAGGCAGCACGTAAACAATGGCATATATTAACTGGAGGTATCTGTCGCTTCTCGTGGCTTTTCGTCTCATCTCTGCATCATCAACATCATCGCTCAGAGCTTACTCCCTTTGTGCTTCGTTCGTTTTCTTTTTTCAGCTGTGCTGTATTATTACTCTTTGGTGCCGGCATCATTCCCTTCGTCCACTCCTTTGCCCGCTCTCGCCTCGTCCAGGAATCAAACCACCCTCACAAAAACCGCCACCATGAAATTCTCACTCGTCCTCGCCGGCCTCGTGGCCCTCGTCGCCGCAGCCCCCGTGGAAAAGCGGGCCGTCTTCTCGACCAAGACGTACAACCAGCTGTCCATCAGCGGCGGCGTGGCCGGCAACGCGCAGAAGGAGGCCCTGGCCGTGCTCAAGGGCCTGCCCGCCGACCTCACCAAGGTCGAGAAGGCCGACCTCAACTTCCTCAACAGCGTAAACCAGATCGCCAACGATGCCGAGACGGAGGCCTTCAACCCGCAAATTGCCGCGGCGTCGGGCACTAAGGCCGCTGCGCTCCAGGTGGGTCTCCTTCGGTCAATCAACATGGGGAATGTCGGGAGTGGAACTGACTGACATCAACCACAGCGCGGGAAAATCAAGAACAAGGTCCTCAAGCTCACCGCCACCATCCTCAAGCTGCAGGCCCAGGCGGCCCAGGGGCAGAACGTCGCGTCGCAGCTGGCCACCGAGCAGAAGAAGCTCGACAACAACATCTCGCAGGACAAGGCCGCGGCCGGCCAGGCGTCGACGGCGCTCAAGTTTGACGCCACGACCAAGTCGTGATTGGGGTTATCCATATGGCATATAGCAGCTTTTTATCAATTATTTTTACTCTTCGCCTTCTTGTGAATTGCGGCGTGCGTCTCTCTTCGCCGACCAAGCCCCTTTTCGGTGTTGTGTTACACAGCCTCAATCCGGACCAGGTGCAAGTCCATGGCAATGCATAGCACGTGCCATGCAGTCAGGCAACCATGCAGCTCTGCTTGGTTCTTAGCGTGAGAGCCTGAGTGTCCGTTCGCCGTCGAGCCCTCGCCGTCGAGCCCTCGCCGTCGGGGGCCCCTTTTTCGGGGCCGACAAGCCAAGCTACTCCATCTTATCGCACACGTGGGGCGACGACGAGCTGAGCTACCAAGAGATCAGCAGCGGCCCCTGGATGGAGTACGAGCACAAGCGCGGCTTCCAGAAGATCGTAGCCTTCTGCGCCAGTTCGCCCAAGGCCGGTCACCTCTACCTCTACGGCTGGGTCGACACGGTGTGCATCGACAAGACAAGCAGCGACAAGACAAGCAGCGCCGAGCTGTCCGAGGCCATCCAGTCCATGTTTGCCTGGTACCACCGGGTCGCCGTCTGCTTTGTCTTCCTCGAAGACCTCGTCCCGTGGACGGACCCGGCCACCTAGTTCTAGAACCTGGTCAGCTGTAGGTGGTTTTACCCGCGGCTGGACACTACAAGAGCTCCTAGCTCCCAAGCACGTCGTCTTCTTCGACACACAGTGGGGGGAGATCGGCACCAAGGCCCAGCTCAACGACGAGCTGCACAGGATTACGGGCATCGACAGAATCAACGGCGGCAGCAGCAGCAGCAGCGCAGACCGGCTGTCGCACGACTTCGCCGCCGTATACCAGCGGCCGCCGATCCCCGTCAAGGACGTGTGGCGCAACCACCTCGAGCCGTGGTTCTACGGCGGCTGCCGCGGCCGGCTCGCCGGCGTCACGGAGCTGCCGCGCGTCTCGCGCGACGGCGTCTTCGCGTGGGAGCTTGCCGCCGACACGTTCGTGCGCGTCGAGACGGAGCGCCCCGACGGCGGCTACGTGGATTTCATTGCTTCGGCGAGCATCCGCGCCGGCCTCTGGCAAAACATCACCACGGTCCGTGGCGTGCGCCCGTTTGGAGATGTCTGTTCATGAACCGTTAGAGGGGAGGTGAGAGAGCAAAAATCACAGGGAAAAGACCAAGGGACCCAAGAGAAGGGCAAGTCTGTTGGGATTGTTGACAATCTCTGTCCACAAACTCGACATTGTCAAACATGCCACTGCAACGTACCGCAATTTTGACGAATGAAACCGGTGTATGAGAAGTAACCATTTTTTAACAGGCTTGTGCATCTCTGTGCCAAACAGTCGCCAAACCGGGCGTATCAATCGGAGATACAACAAGGGGGAAACCATAATAGCGATGACCGCCCTTAGCAAAAGAACTCAAAGAGGAGCGGTAAGTTATCATGGTCTTTTAAATCTCGGAAAATCCCCTACTAATTAAAAAACATTCAGGGACTAGACTGTATAACTCGAAGAATAAGAGGTCCCACTCTAGGAGCCGCTCAGGGATTCGGCCGCAGACCTAGCAGCGGTAATGAATATGTATTTATATCTGATCTTAAAGCCTTAAAACCCGATAATTTGCGCCCGTGTGTAGTGAAGGTTTGCCATGCCGCACCAAAACCAAGGCTGGAGAAATCAAAACCAGATTAGGTATCCGCACGCCGACTCAGGCTACCCAGAACCACACCCTCTGCACCCAGTTCTTGGGCACGGGCTCGACATCATCGGCGCACAGCTCGTCCATCTCCTTCTTGCCCGTCAACACATCGATATCCTGCACGGATCGCGCCCACGGCGTGCGGAACCAGAGCTTGTGGCCGAGATACAGCACAGCAAAGGCCGGCAGGGTGATGTACGCAGCCAAGAAGTCCTGGTAGCTGAAGGGGGCAAAGACCTGGAACCCGTTGGTGATCGTGAGGAGGCCGACGATGCCCAGGACGACCCAGGTGGCGTAGGGCTGCAGCGGCGTGCGGTAGGGCAGCGTGTGCAGCAGGCCGCGGAAGTCCATGGCGGCGCGGAAGCGCAGGTACGTGACCATGACGACGATCCACGCGATGAAGCCCGAGATGGTCGACAGGTTGGAGAACCAGGCGAACGCCTTGGCACCGCCGCTCGACACGTTGAGGTACGCGAGCAGGCTGAACAGCCACGTCACGAGCACGGCGGCGTAGGGGACGCCGCGGCGCGACGTGCGCGCGAATACGGCCGGCGCCTGGCCCGCGGCGGCCATCGAGTACAGCACACGGGACCCCGAGTACAGGAAGGCGTTGCCGGCGGACCAGGCCGACGTCAATATGGCGGCGTTGATGACGTGGTTGAGCCCGCCGATGCCGGCGCGCTGGATGCCGATGACCCACGGGCTGGCGTTGGCGTTGGACTCGGCCGACAGCAGGTTCGGATCGTCGGACGGCACGATGACACCGATGATAAGCGTGCTAACGCCGTAGAAGATGGCCAGGCGCCCGAGGAAGCGCCGCGCCGCCTTGGGCAGGTTGCGCCTCGGCGCCACCGTCTCGCCGGCCGCCAGCCCGATCAGCTCGGGCGACGTGATAAAACTGAACCCGGCGCGCACAAACGCCGTCCAGTACGCCAGGAAACGCCCCGCGGACCCCGTGGCCACATACTCCTTCCACGCGCCGGGGTCCTGCCAGTACAGGAAGCCAATGCGGTGGTGGTTAGGGCCGCCACCAAGCATGATGACGAGCCCGACCATGATGAGGCCGAGGATGGTGATGAGCTTGATGCTGGCGAACCAGAACTCGGCCTCGCCAAACACCTCGACGGCAATAATATTCAGCAGCAGGTTGACGCCCAGGATGATGGTCAGCCACGCGGCCGTCGGCACCGGCGTGTCCCAGTACTCGAGCAGGATGGCGCCGGCCGACGCCTCGGCGGCAACCAGGATCGCATATGCATACCAATAATTCCACCCCGCGGCAAAGGCTAGGCTCGGGTCCACGTACCGGCCGGTGAAGTAGGGCAGCGTGATGCCCTTCATGGGCAGGTACGTCGTCATCTCGGCGATGATGTTCATGACGATCCACACGACGGCCATCATGGAGAGGTACGCCAGCCACAGCGGCGCCGGGCCCACCACGTGCAGGATGCCCCCGGACCCGACAAAGAGGCCCGTTCCGATGCTGTGTTGTGCATGCCGTGTTAGTTAGACCAATCTGAGTACCCGACTAGCGTTTGGCCGAGACGTGAGACAAGAGGAGCAGAACTCACGCGCCCCCCAACGCCAGGAACTGAATGTGCCGGCTCTTGAGCCCGCGCTGCAGCTGCGAATCGCGGTCGAGCGAGATGGCGCCGTCAATGATGTGGTGCGAGTTGCCGTCGCCGTCGCCGTTGGCCGACCCTCCAAGCCCGCTGGCGGCCTCTTCATCCTTGCCTTCCTTCATTGCTGCGCGGCGTTCGTCTCCAATTCCGCCGTGATATTTGGGTATTATGTTGTTTTCTCAGCGATCAATTGCTTCCATGAAGAGGTCGTTCGTTGCCGAATTAGGAAATTCCCAGCTCCAATCAACAGGGATACAGAGGATACCGAGCAAAGGCGGTTGGTTGTATCGCCGCGTGCTAGAGTGCTCTGGACCTGGCCTGGTATTTCTCCCCGATGATGTTGTCGATCTGCACGCAAAGCAGAGAATATGGGGGCGGCCGGGTGCGCCCCCATATAATACTGATCGGCGGTCGTTTTCATCGTTTCGGGATGTTACCTGGCAATCGTTGGCCGATAGTGAGAATGATAGTGAGAGTGGTGAGGGGTTGTAGCACGTCGCTCCTTCGGAGGTGCCGTTGACGGTTCTTGGCTCCTGGCCGCCCTCAAGTTGTGCAACGTTGAAGAGCGGGGACCCTACTAACTCAAGTAGGCATCTGCTAAGCCTGGAAACCCCCAACCTCCCCCAAGCCCGGGGATTCTTTGGGTTTGTCGGGTTTGACAGCTCCAAATGGATACCGAGTGTGACCTTGCCCAGTTCCAGGCGGTAAACCGTCGGCCAAACAAGGTGACAGCGTACAATCCAATATCTAGAAGCTTGCCCTGGGTTCTTGGGACCCAAAAACGGGTCCCTCTTTCCTTCTGTTAGTGACCCACGGATCTGTATAAAATTGACCGTTATAAAACGGTGACTTCCGTTTTCGAACAGGCTGCCTCCCACCCTATGCCCCGCTGAAAGAGACCTCGCGATAAGCCAAATTGATAGCTGGTCGGAATACGGGCCCCAGCGTGCATGCTCTTTGTGGCGCACCGTCTATGTTCTCGCTTCGATCGAAATTCAAGCGTCGTCTAATCGTCGCGGGAGCAATTAAAGGCAGTCGAATACAAATCACTCGCGGCAACTTGGCCAGCGCTAGAGTATTAGGTTAATGCCAGTGGCTTGCCGCTGTTGATGTGGTTCTTGTGTAGCATCTAAGACTCGCGGTGGATAGGTGCTAGCTACCTCTAAAAAGTTAGGGCCCTGTCTGCCCACCTTGTCTGCACGTTAAACTGTTGGAGGCGTCTGGTAGGGTGGTGCCTGAACGCTAGATAAATTGACGGGCATATTTGTAGTTCTTTAATGACACGGGGTTGTATTAGTTATGCCGTATCTAGGAACCGAAAAGTGAGGCCGTGATTTAATAAGGACGACGAGCACGATAAAAGAAATGTATGGTTCATAGACTAAATAACTATGAATGCCTCCTATGACTCCTGTTCTCTAACGCGCTCCTCTTCCTTCGGTTTGTGGAATAACGACGCAACTCGAGGCCGCTTAAACTTGCCCGGCGCCTCCTTGAGCCTGCGGTAGCTTCCCTTGAGGCTCAGCTTGGAGAGCTTGCGCGTGAGCTTAAGCGTCTTCCCCTCGCTATTGTCAGTGCCCTTGCCCTTATCCGTACTAATACTCGTCTTCTGCTTTCCCCTCTCTCTTCCCTCTGGCATCTCCTTCTGCTCCTCGTGGCTATCGTTATGCTTGCTCTGTTGCATTGGCAGACGTTCCTCCTTCTCCTCCTTGAGACCAATCCCGCTGCCCGTACTGATACTTATCTTCTGCTTTCCCTTCTCTCTTCCATCCGGCATCCCCTTCTGCTCCTCGTCGCTATCGTCATGCTTGCTCTGCTGCATTGGCAAACGTTCCTCCTTCTCCTCCTCCTTGAGACTACAAATCCCGCTGCCCGTCTTGGTAGGTTGGCTGACCTGAACAATATTAGTACGCAACGCTGGGAGTATGGTGCCGGAGTATGACTTCTAGTCATCTTCGCCCTCCTCTCCTTCGCTCTCGGCTATCTCGGCCAACAATTCCTTATACTCCCGATCTTTCTGTAGAGCTTCATGGTACGCCCTCTCGAGAAGGGATTTTCTCCAAATCGCTTCTGTCCTCTCGCTCAAGATGCCGAGCTCGAGAGCCTCTCGGAGCATATTGTCCCAGTCGGTAGGCAAAAATGGCTCATCTCGACCCGAACCTGGTGTGTCATCGTCGGGGGGTTCGCCGCCAAAGATAGCTTGAAGGGCTCCGGCGGCTTGTATACCGGCAAATATGTGCTGCATTGCGTATCGCATCTGGAAGAAGCGGATGTCTAGCAGCGGGCGTTTCTCCGGGTCGGACATCCTTAACTCGTAGATGCGACGCCGATCTCTTCATTCCGACCGTCTAAGATATCAGCCGAACCTTCCTTGAGGCGTAAAGCACGTGGCATCAATTTGTCTTCGGCGCAAAGACATTCCATCGATATATATGCCTCGTGGGACTTGCGACCCTTCACTCATGCTGAATGATGTCCCCGCTCTCCCCAAATAGATCCCATTAAAGTCTCAGATATTAACTCGCAAGCCACTTGCTTGCCGCCTATTATCCGCACCCAGTCGAACGCGTTGTTCTTACCCTTGGTCCTATATCATATATCGATGAGGCTCCTTGAGCTGCAGAAACGGGAGGCCAAGTATTCCAAGGCTTGTCTGATACCAGCACCTGCCGCCACATATATTGCTAGCCCGAAGGATTCTGTTCTAGACCTAAGCGGTCCTGCATCTCGCAGGCTCATGCGGTGGCTTTGCGCTGTTCTAGCACCGGGGCTTGGCTGGTGTATGGTTGGCGATTCTCCGGTATGGACGGCGTACGGTTCTGGAGACGTTCGTCTCATAATCTTGACCGACAAGTCCTTCTCGTTCGATCCAAACGAACGACCCCCGAGTTCATCTCAAGCCACCGAACTTCTTATCGAGCTATGCAACCTTTTTGGACTAGGGATAAGCCGTTCGGATCTAGATGCACAGTTTGACACACTGACTCCGTATACGGCGGCATTCCCAGCGGCCATTGCGTTGCCGTTATATCGGTGTCACAGATTGGAGCCGCAGCTTGAAATTAATTACATGACTCCCAGCGCTGATACTGGTGATTTGCAGTCTATCTTGTAGAGCATGTTCTGGCAACCGGATATTCAATGCAACCTTGTTAGTCCGTGGCTAGCAGGCACCCTTGAGGTTTTACGGCCACTAATTGACGCGAAAGACTTGGTAAAATTGACGAATTCATTTGCATTACGACGTCCTCGTGTTGCACTGTGGTGGCTCGGCATATTCCTCCTCGGTAACCTCGATGTCTTGGAGCAAATAGTCCTGTGGTTGGAGACAACAGAGGGACAATATTGCCATGGCCTTTCGGCATTATCGTGCCCCGATATTAGCACATCCGCTTGGACGGCTTCTCCAAGTTCATTCTGGGACGAGGGCACGATCGGCCCGTACCCGAACCCAGTAGCAGCGTCAGCGTCTCTGGTTGATATGCTTCGCTCTAGGTTGAACTTTCTTTTAAAAAGCGAAGAATGGAAGAGAAGCTTTTTGTTGGCGTCCCTTTGGCTATATTCGCTTGATAGATATGGAGCCGGACATATGGCCATCACTGGAACGAGGTTTAACCCACGAATATTCGCATTAGCTCTGGTGGGCTAATAATGGTCCCGATGTCCAAGCTGGTTTCGCCGCGGACATCTGTTGTGGCTATCGGCAGGATGTTGGCTTTCTTTATGAAGGATGTGCGTGAGGATATGGTCGAATATAACGTAGCTTTGCCTGGTTTTGAGGATCACAGGTGGCACAAATACTGGAATATATTGCCGGGTCGTTGGTAGTATATAAGATAAGTTTCGGAGATTCTAAGCCAATCTTTTTCTCGACTTCTTGTATCCCATGAGAGAAAGCCCTCCATTTGTGAGGACCCGTCCACCAAACTGGCCCTCAAGCAGCCAGAGCCGCCCAGAACCCCGGGCCTATCAGAAGCCGCCTCGAGGCCACACCTACCCCACTGATAGATGAAAACTTATTCGCGAGCACGCGACGCGTTGTTGGACTTTTCCTTCTTTCCTTCCTCAGTTTAGAATCTTCGTCGATAGCACCCAATGGACTGAGTTCACCTCAATGCCTTGCCCTGGTCGTGACACCATTTATTTCCCTTTCCCCTTATCCTTCCCCTTGTCCTTCTCCTTGTCCTTCCCCTTGTCCTTCCCCTTGTCCTTCCCCTTATTCTTCCCCCCCGTCGTCTCGACATATTCTTCGTCAGGTTCTCCGGCTGGCTCAAAAGCCCAGAATATGTTGGGTTACCGGATTCGTCCGTCCCCTGATACCATTTCCAATCCTTCCTGCTGGTTTTGTATTCGCTATTATCGTACTTGACATGAAAATAGAAAGGGTCGGTAGGGTCATTGTCCTCAATAGCAAACTGGTCAAGCTGGGCCGTCAAATCTTTGGCTTGGGCTTGTGTAACGTCGTTCTCCTCGGGGCACACCTGGCCACCTACGTCCTAGGAAATTTCACCGCCAACATTCGATTCCACTTGGTATTCCACTTCTTGCTGTTCGATCCAGCTGGAATGAAGTGACTGTTGAGTTGTATCGTATTCGACGGAGTCATGGACTGGCTGGTAGGCTTCGTGGTCGACTCTATACTCCCATGATGCAAGCTCAGTTGCTTGTTTTGCTGTGTCGAGATAGTACTTCTCGCCACAATAACATAGGCGATAGCAAATCCTCCATCCCGCAGAGCTTTCCGTATGCCCATGCGAGCCACATTGACAAATACAGGCGCCAAAGTAATCCGGACCAAAACCGTAATCCTACTCCATCACGGTCCTCCATTTATATCCCCTCTACATATTGCTTGTGCGAAAGGCTATAGCGATATTGTCAACTACCTCCTTGAGAATAGAGCTAAGATCAACGCGACGTGCTTCACGACCTGCAGTCAACCAGGGCGGCCCACTTCCTACACGCCCGGCACCGGGCCCTCGACTACGAGATCAAAAGCACCTATACTTTCCTCTGCACGGCGGCAGTACTCGTCAATAGAACCAGTTAACTATACCGGTTAATAGGCTCAACACCGCAAAATACATTTCCACTATATTCGATCTGCCTCACATGCATCTAGTCGCTCGGCCTTAGGAACGGTATCCCGATATGCGTCCATACATAGTACTCCTCGTCCAAATCTCCTCTTCTCCTGGACCTCGAGCTCCTCTTTCCCATCCTGCTCGCCTGCCCTTCTCCCCACTTGTTTAACCAGATTGCTCTTTTCCAAGTGCAGGCTGTTTCCCGTATCAAAGCTCACGAACACGATCTTGCGATGTTCACTAAGCCCCGCGGGTTCGAAGCTGTACACGATAGCGCGCTCGTCCTACTCGTGCTTCTCGATCGCGGCGTAGCTCGCCGGGTTCAGGGTGCCGTAGTTCGGGTCGGGCCTGCCCGCGGCGTCTTGCCTCCGCGGCCAAGTGGTAGTGCTGGTGGTCCGGTGGTGGTGATACTTCTTGCACAGATTGTCATCGTCAAAGTTGAGAAGAGGGAACTTGCCCTCTGCTACCGTAGTAGTGGCGGCGCCTTTTGCTATCTCCTCCTCCTCCTCCTGCTGCTGCTGCTCGCCATGCGCCCACTGGAACGAGCCTCCTCGGAGGACATACTCGGCAAGGCAGTGGCAGTCAATACTATAGGAGTTCTCGTCGTCTTCGCGTTCTTGGAAACAGCCAGTTCCGCATGGCATGCTATTGCCCAGCACGTTGATGAATGTTTACGCGTCTGGGAACCACGTGCGGATGGCCTGCTGGTCGTCCAGGGAGCCGTCGATATAGACCTCGGGGCGAGGCTGGTGCGCTAAGCAGCGGCTCACCCAGGCTCTCAGCTCGTCGTTGTTGGAGATACGCCTGGTTATCCACATTTCCTTAAAGACAATGTCGGAGGTGTAGTAGGCGCACCGTCTAGTGCCCCCGTTGCTGTTGTCGAGCACCAGCCTGCCCTAGACGGCCTTGAGCTGGCCGGTATCGCTCCGGAAGATGTGGAAATGGAAGCCGCACCTGCGGATCCCGTTCGCGCTAAGGCAAGGCGCCCGGGGCACGGCGAAGGACTCCATGGCGTCAAATTTTTGTAGGCTCAGCGGGATCCGGATCCTGGAGTAGTGGGTGGATTCGGCGGCGACACTCTCGTTATAATGATCGGACCACGGCATGGCCGACAGGGCGTAAAAGTAGCCGTCAAAGGCCTCGAACGCCGTGGCCAATTCGAGCGGCCCGATCTCGTCGGGCAGGTCGATCCACTGCTTGGTCCAGAGGTTGGCGTACGCGTCGTACCCCTTCACATACCAGGTCGGACAGCCGCACCCGCGGGCTAGTATCGAGATGCCGATGACGACGAAGCCGTTGCTAGCTCGCGCGAACATGTCTTCTACGACGATGTTCGGGAAAGACTCTATTGCCGCGAGGAATGTCTGGCTCGTGTCGAACACGTGGAAAATGGTGGAGTGGCCCGACGCCTGTTGCACGCACGTGGAGGCGAGGACCAGGAGCCCCTGGTTGTAGCAGAGGAGCCGCTGCAGCTCCGGCTTGTAGGTCTCGCACGAGTAGTTCAGGCGCAGCAGCGTGGCCATGTCAATCCAACGCCGGCCCATGTACGGGTCGAATAGCGATACCAGGCCGCCCTTATAGGAGCAGTAGAGGGTATAGTCATTGTAGATCCACTGCTCTGCGTCGACGAAGGTGCTGATGTGGACGGGCGTTACAGATGCGCCGGCATCTTGGGAATGGGCGGATGCTGTGTAGCTGAAATTGATGCCAGATGAAATAAGATACTGGGTAGTTATTGGGTGGGTTTGCTTAATATCGGACCAGCCAAATACTTTAGATTAAGGGAACTAAGGACCTATACGAAAGCAACGATACCTATGTGTCACCGATGTATTTATATACGGGCGCTAATACGCCTTCAGAGCCCCCCCTTGCTACTGTTGGATTGGCTATTGTCAGATGGACAAGGGTTGCATGTGGAATAGAGCTCATCCCAGCTGAGCTCTGGTGTGGTCATCCGAGGTGAAAAGAGGCTCAGGGGAGCTGAAATGAAGTGGCCAGTTCAGCTGGTGTGGCTACTTATGCCACCACCATTGCCACCATTTACAACTATAATAGAGGCCCTCTGGCAGGACCAAAAAGAACAAGGAGGAGAGATGAATAAAGAAAGTTGAAGTGCTGAATCCAACAGCTACTTAGGGTTGCTTTTTGTAAGAGAAGGCAGGTACGCCTGATCAAGGTGGTCACGATGGAGGGAACAAGAGGGCGAGCAACTTCGGCTTTGACGACGCCCGAGCTAAGATAAATAGACGGGCATTATCGTACGACTAGCTTCGCATACCCCCAAATTACCAGATCATACTAAGGATTGCGGTATAATGGAACTCTGGCGTAAAGATATTACAGTCGTGTCTCCTGCTAGCAGTTACTGCAAGATATAACTCCAGCTGACTTAGTTATCCCCCAAACGCCAATAATAGCTTTAATATATATCCTTGACGAAGTAGTAGTTAATCGACACGAGTTTCGAGAGTTCCGCGAGTATTTCTTTCAAACGTTTAGCGTCGACCTCCACCTGGCTCATGTATTCGTTAATTCGAGTCTCAATTCCAACTAAGAAGCCATTAATGGTCTACTCGGCGAGGCTACCGTCCAGGGCGAGCACCTGGTCGAGGACGTGGTGGTAGAGCCGGACCCGGTTACGGCCGAGCACCCCAAGAATGATGCCCACATCTACTTTGTTGCGGCCTTTGAGCTACGCGTTCTTCTGCTGTTCAACTGCTAGGGTCTCTATATATGTCTGTAATGTAGCTCTCAGATTGGTGGCCTCGTGATCCTTCGCCACGACCTCAGCCTGAAGATTTTTCAACTGTTTACTGACGTTCTGCGCGAGGTCGGTGTTTAGGATCTCTGCCTCATTGCCGAGGCTCGCCATCTGTTTCTTCCGGGCCTTCCTATGCTTCTTCGCGGGCTTTGTAGGCTCCTCCAACCCGCGGTTGAGTTCCCCGCGGTTGCCGGATGGCTCCACCAGCTACGCCTTGAGGACGTCGACTTCTTGGCGGCTCTGTTCGACCGCGTGCTCGAGCTCTATATTACGCTTCTCGATTTGTAATATAATATGAGCTAACGAATCTATCGCCTCGGTACTATTACCCGTCATTTTGAGGAGCTCGGACTTGTACTGTTCCAACGCAGCGCTCTTTTATAGTATGTTGATCTTCTGTTGCTTCGCCCAGACGAGATCTCTCGCCGTGGCAAGTGTGAGGACCCGTCCACCAAACTGGCCCTCAAGCAGCCAGAGCCGCCCAGAACCCCGGGCCTATCAGAAGCCGCCTCGAGGCCCCACCTACCCCACTGATAGATGAAAACTTATTCGCGAGCACGCGACGCGTTGTTGGACTTTTCCTTCTTTCCCTCCTCAGTTTAGAATCTTCGTCGATAGCACCCAATGGACTGAGTTCACCTCAATGCCTTGCCCTGGTCGTGACACAATTCTAAACTCTTCACTTTATTGCTGGCGAAGCAATTAAAAGATATCTTTTAAAATCCTCCGCATTCATTTGCACTCACGTCGTCGGCTGCGCACGACGGAAAACTAGGCCGCAGAACCACCAGACCCGAGATCGTCAATGCCGAAGAAAATCGAATACGGCCCAGCGACGCGAAAATCTCAACGACAGGCAACAGCAACCGAGCAAGGAAGCCCTGCTGAAGACCGACCAGCGTCCTCGAACGAATCCGACGACGAAGTCAGCGTCGCGCCTGGTAGCCCAGAGCCAGACAAGCCCGCTACACCCCAAGAAGCCTCCACTGACCCAGAGCTAAACGAGCCTGTCACGAGCACCAAGCGCCCAGAGCAAGACAAGCCTGCGCGCCCACAAGAAGAAGTCTCTGCAAATCAGAAGTCAATCGAACCCCTGCAGAGCATCGAACGCGACGAGTCCGAATACTACGACCCCGCACCCGAAGACCTCGTTGTAAAAGACAATATGCTTCAAAGTAACGACCAACAGGACATGCAAGCCCAGCTCGCCGCTGCCTTGTCACGCATTACTCAACTGGAGAGCACCGCCCGTTTGACCCCTCCAGCGCGTGACGAGCGCGGGATCACGCCCGACAACAGCGCCTTCGGAGGAAGCAACTTCAAACCAACTGGCTTCGCCGCTCTCGAAGCTTTCAAGCCGTACGGAACCAGCCAGAAAGCCCTCAACCCCGCCTACGACAAGAGAGCCCGCCAGACAGGGATTGACCCAGGCAACTTCGATGGAGACGAAGAAGAGTTCGACAAGTGGATTATTAAGTTGGCTGACAAGATGGAGCAAGACGACGAAACCTTCAAGAATGAGCGTAGTAGAATGGCTGTCCTCAACTCCTTGACCAAGGGCGCAGCTAACGACGTTATCGCTGGACGTTACCAATCGACAGAAAACCCCTTTCGCAACATTGCTGAAATGGTCGCCGTTCTGACCTCCGTCTATCACGATGATAACCAGGGATCCAAGGCACGCGAGGAACTCCGCAAGATACGCTACAAACCAGGCGGCAAAGACCTCAATATCCACCAGTTTATAGCCAAGATTAACAGCCTGGTTGACAAGGCCGGCATCGCCAAAGAGGACCGCAAGACCATCCTCTACGAGCATATCCCCGCCGACCTCGACACCCGCTTGTTGCGTGACTCGAAAAACCCCTCCATGTCGTACGAAGACTTCTCTCTCGCTGTCGCCGATGCGGCCGAAGCTCATCAACGTTCGTACGAGCAACGGCGCGAGAACAGGCACGCCCGCCGCGCGCGCTCCCCGGCTACTCACTCGGACATTGGGAAAGAACGTCGTCATTCCAATGACCGCCGCGACAAGGCCTCAAGCAAGAAAGAGCCTGAGCTCGACGCCAAGTCGGGTGAAGCCAAGAAGGAAGAGCTAAAGAAAGACGGCTTGTGTTTCGTCTGTCACAAAGAGGGACACCAAGCTCGCCATTGCCCCGACCGCAAGGCTGTCTTGGCCAATATACTGGCCCTGGATCAAGACGAGAAGGATGACGGACCTTCGTCTGACTCTTCTTCCCTATCCTCTCTCGAGTCAAAAAACTAGTTCGGCTATCGGAAGTCTCCTCGATAGCCCACATACCACAATTAGCTAAAGTCGGCAGATCACCAAAATCAAATACATTCACCAAACAGGTCAACCTGTTAGTCGATGGCATTGGTCTTAAGACTCACGCTCTTTGTGATACTGGAGCCGATATTTCCCTTTCTATGACCCCGAGGATGGCCAAGAAGCTCGTTGACAAGGTCGGGGCGAAGATGGAACTCTTGCCTAAGCCGCTGGTACTTGGTGATTTTGACGGGACCGCCACCGCTCGTGCCACCCATCAAGTTCGGGTCACTCTCGAGATCGACGGCAGACGTTTCCCTCGTCAGAAGTTCATTATCATCCCAACCGCCAATGATGTCTTTATAGGACAGGATTGGTTTACCAAGCAGAACGTGTGGCTGCACCCCGCCTCGCGTACTCTTCGCTGGCCCGACGATACTCCTGCCCTAGCACAATACTCGCCTAGTATCCTTGTCGATCCGAGCACCAGTTCTATTGACATGCATGCCCAGTCAGAGGTGGTCCGCCGAAATCGACTGATGAAGGCCGAGGAACACAAGCTGAAAGTGCAAAAGATTCTGCAAAATCCCTGGCGCAGGACAAATACACAGACAGTAGTAGCCGCTACGACTCCAGCGGTCGCAACGGAACAGAAGCATAGCCCCGAGATGATTGCTTGCCTCCGCGAAATTGAGACCGACCCTCGCCAAGAGAGATGGAAAAGGCAGAAGATGCCCCAAACTGCCATACCATTGGATGGAGTCTCTAATCAGCCCACCGTGAGCCTCAATGCTCTCACCGTCGACCCCAAGGCTTGGAACAAGACCTTCGACGGAAAGCATATCCCGTTCCCAGCAGGAGAGGATTCCGAGCATATTGACAAAGTGCGCGCCAAGCTACCACGCGAGTTGGCTCACCTGGAAGGATTCTTCTCGAAGAAAGCCTCAACGCAACTGCCTCCCAGCCGCCCTGGCTTTGATGTGGTTCTTGAGCTCAGTAAGCCGCTAGAGGGAAGACCGTCCCGCTACCCTACGCCCTTCGCTTTCTTGGGACTCGAAAAAGAGACCACCGACGAACTACTAAAGATCGGGTTCATTGAACGGTGCATGACCGATAAACCTGCTCCCACTTTGTTCGTGCCTAAACCCCATTCAGAAGAGCACCGTTTCTGCGTGGATTACCGCTGGGTCAACGACTTCATTAAGGGTCGACAAGTGTTAGCCCCCGACGTGCAAGGTACCATCAGCCGCTGTGGGCGAGCCAAGCACCTGACCAAAATCGACATCATCCGTGCCTTCAATCGATTGCTGATGGACCCCGGTTCAAGGTACCTTACCGCCTTTACCACTCGCCAAGGCACCTTCCAATGGAAAGTCCTGCCCTTCGGGCTGAAAGTCGGGCCAGCTTGGTTCCAAGCCTTTATCAATGCACAACTCAACGAATTACTGGACCTCTTTGCTAGTGCCTATGCTGATGACGTTCTGGCCTATTCAGAGGGCGATGATGAGGAACACTTCGAACACGTTGAGGAGATCATCTATCGACTTCACAAGGCCGGACTCCAAGGCGATATCAAGAAGTCCTCTTTCAACGTGACCGAAGTCGACTACCTGGGTATGATTCTGGAGACCGGAAAAGGAGTGCGAGTGGACCCTGCCAAAGTAGCCGCCATCCTGGATTGGGATTGGGACGACTTGACGTCGAAGTCCTCTGTTCGATCATTCCTAGGCCTCTGCAACTTCATTCGGATCTTCTGTTACCACGCCAGCCAAGTTGCCGAACCACTCACCAGGCTGTTGAAGAAGGACGTTGCCTTCGAGAAGGGACCCGAGCAAAAAGCCGCCTTCGACGCACTCAAGAGGCTTGCTACCGAGGCCCCAGTTTTGGCATTCTACAAGCCAGGTTTCCCAGTGAAAGTCGACACCGATGCTTCCAACAACGCCACGGGCGGTGTGATCTGGCAACAGCAAGAAGACGGAGAATGGAAGCCGATCGGATACTCGTCCAAGACAATGTCCGTCCCAGAGCAAAACTATCCCATCCAAGACAAGGAGCTTTTAGCTGTGGTCAATACCTTGAAGGACTTTGAACCGGCTCTATGGGGAACCAAGTTCTTTGTACAGACTGATCATCAAGCTCTCATCTATTGGTCTACTAAGAAACTGCTGTCCGCCCGCCAGATTCGCTGGTCGTACTATTTGGCCAATTTCGACATTACCTTCCGTTACCGCCCAGGCAAGGATAATGTGGCCGCCGACGCTCTCTCTCGCAAAACCGTAGACAACCCGACGGTCAAAGCACGAGAAATCCAAGACAGAACGTTCGCCTTGATCCCACCCGAAAAGATTGAAGGGCTGCCGAACGACGGTGCGAGATCAATCAACGCCCTGACCTCTACGGAACTTTGTGGAGCGGATTTGGTCGATACTATCATTGCCGAGAACGCCAAGCAGAACTTGGGTCGTAAAGAAGGATTGTTAGTTGTTCCGGAGACCACCGCCGATGGAAGCGTCTTTCTACGGACTGCCCTGATTCGAGAAGCCCATGAACCTAAGGCATTCGCTCACGCAGGACAGAACAAGACGGTCGCCCTATTAAAGAAGGAATATTGGTGGCAGGGCCGTAATAGCGACATCAAACGGTATATCCGAAACTGCCAGAGCTGCCAAAGGAATAAGGTCAGACACGACAAGACTCCCGGACTTCTCCATCCGCTGCCGATCCCAAAGCACGTTTGGGAGCATGTAGTAGTAGACGGAAAGAACATGCCAACGGACGACGAAGGCTATGACTACGTTTGGGCTTTCATCTGTCGTTTCAGCAAGCTAATCGCTACCCTGGCCGGACGCAAGACGGATACCGCGGAGATATTAGCCGCCCGGTATTACCATTATCTTTACCGCTTCCTGGGAGTCCCTAGCCAGTGGATTAGCGATAACGCCGGACCTTTCATCTCCGAATTCCTCGATACCCTCAACAAGCTTACGGGCACCAAACATCGCCACGGAAGCTCGAGACACCCTCAAACGCAAGGAAGTATCGAGATCACCAATGCGGAGTTGGATCAAAAGCTGAGGTTTTATGTGGACAAGTACCAGACCAAATGGCGAGAACACTTGCCTGCCTTGGACCTGGCCCACAATATAGCCTACCATTCGGCTATTGGAATGTCTCCGTTGGAAGTAGCGTTGGGAACCAGCCCTCGGAATCCCTTGTCTCTGCCATTGCCCGAGCTAGACCTGTCTACCGATCAGCAGAAAAAGGCCTTGGATATCGTCAAGCAAACCCAGCGAGCCCAAGACCTGGCAAGACAAAATGCCATTGCCACACAGGCCTTGATGGAGGCTCAAGCTAACAAGAAGCGTCGCCCCGTTGACTTCGGTGTGGGAGATTCAGTGTATGTCAGCAAGAAAGGATTCTCTACCGAAGCACCAACAACTAAGCTGGATTCCCAGAACGCCGGACCTTGGACTATAGTCGACATGAAAGGCCACAGCTTCGTCCTAGACACCCCGTCATGGTACAAGGGAAGTAAGGTCTTTCACGCTGACAGGCTGAGAAAAGCTTCTGAGGACCCTTTACCTCAACAACGGGCAGAACCGGAACCCCCTGTGGAGATTAATGGAGAACCCGAGTGGGAAGTCGAGAAGGTTCTGGCATCGCGACTGTTCGGTCAACGAAAGAAGCTCCAATACCAAGTGTCTTGGGTCGGCCTGGATCCCGACGAAACCTGGTATCCAGCTGGCGACCTCAAGAACTCTCCATTGCTGCTGGAGTCCTTCCACAAAGAACACCCGGAAGCTGCTGGTCCGCCAGTGAGATTACAGCAATGGATACGAGACGCGGCAGACGATGCTTTCAGTAGCGATCATGAGGATGATGAAGTAGCGGAACACGATGCGACGGGAAGAAGGACAACGAAGAAGCATGCCACCAGGCATACTTGAATTGCCCCCACGGTACTCTTTCAAGCTTCCTGAACGCCAGGCGCTCAGAGCTTGGAAGGGGGTAATGTGAGGACCCGTCCACCAAACTGGCCCTCAAGCAGCCAGAGCCGCCCAGAACCCCGGGCCTATCAGAAGCCGCCTCGAGGCCCCACCTACCCCACTGATAGATGAAAACTTATTCGCGAGCACGCGACGCGTTGTTGGACTTTTCCTTCTTTCCCTCCTCAGTTTAGAATCTTCGTCGATAGCACCCAATGGACTGAGTTCACCTCAATGCCTTGCCCTGGTCGTGACAGCAAGTTGGTTCGAAATCCTTTGCCTCTCTTGGGAGGTACTCTGGGTAAACTGGTGCGCCTTACGGAGCTCCTCCCGAATCGTATTTGTCTTATAGAGTAAGGCGTTTACTCCGGCTTCCGGTGTGGTTGGTACGGGACGTAGGTTGATACGGAATCCTTGGTCTTTACCAAGCAGATGCGGGGATGGTCGAGGTCCTTATTGGAAGAGCGCGAGCCGCCTCTGCCTAGGGTGCCTACAGGTGGACAGAGCTAAGATGACAGGAATAATACCCTACCCGTTTTTAGCTATATTTATACTACCTAGTTGAGCATTTAGTTGAGCACCATCCCTGCTGCAGATTATATAACCCTACCGGACCAACGAGAGAGGACTACTACCACCAGGGGCTCTAAATCTGGGGAAGCAAGGACTCTGGAGTTGGGGACTTCGGCGGCGAGATATTACAATCCACTCGACTGTTAGGGTTCTCTGTCTGTAAGGGAGCACGGGCTCCACAGGATGCTGGGGTTGGTAATTATGAAGATAGAACAAAGGGCAAGCTCCTATCGCACGGGTAATACAGTCAAATTGGAATGCCACTCAAAGTGTATGAGTGCAGTGAATGTGTATTGCTTGCTTGAAGAACCAAGCAAGAACTATCTAAGACCGTGGGTACGGTCATCGTATATATCTAACCGTGTAACCAATAACAATGGTCGCAGGGTCCCGGCCCCCGTGCCCGGGGCGCGGGACCTGAAAGAAAGGTCCCGTTTCCCGTTCGCGGGAAACGGGACACCTCTTATTGGCTGTCAACCAGGCCCGGTCCCATGTCCCGCGCCAGAGGCGTGGGACACTCCTGATTGGCCGAGATTGACTCAGCAGGACCCACCGAGGTGCATCCCTTCAGGGATCCGTAACAGTTTCCCTAAAGCCTTGGTTTCTTTAGCTATAGTAGATATATTGCTTAAAGCTAGGTCTAGTCTCTTTAGTTATAATAGATATTGGCTTTGCTCTAGCTTCCACATCTCTATCCTACAGTTTCGTTCTGTTTTCTGAGCCATTTCTTTTTAACATGTTAAAATTGTAAGGCCCGTTAGGCTGGTTGTTTAGGGAAGAGGAAGGGTGACCAAGCAGCAATGCAACAGTCCCAGAGTTGGGTTCGGGGGTTCGGGGGCGCAACTTCGCAATTCCATCATGTTCTGGCAGTTTCTTCGGCTTTCATAGGCAGCGCGCGGATTTTGGTAGATTGGCAACTCTAGCTGGATGGCCCAAAAACAAGGCTCGGTGGCTGCATTGCAGGAGCAAACGCAAGCACACGCAAGTACACGCAAGCACACGCAAGCACACGCGCTAAGCAGGTTAGAGCGGCCACAGCACAGGCACATCCATGAAAGGGGAAAGTAAGTAAAACTCGATTCGTAGCTTGAACTGCTGTGTATTATGTAGAGCATGCCAATGTGAAGTGTAACCAAGCCAAGGTACGCAGTGACTGAACCCAAACACAGCTAGACTCCCTCCACCTTTGTCGAGTCAATAAAGCTCTTGATACTCAGCGCCGACTCCCTCAGCTGCCCTCTCTCAGACTCGCTCAGCAGCAGGGGCACGTCCTGGTGGGCGCCGTTGCGGTTGAGCTTGCAGGGCATGCTCAGGGCGACGTCGGCAACGCCGGCGTAGGTGCCGACGCGCGACACGGTGATGATGGCGTCGCTGTTGGTGATGATGGGCTCGATGATGCTCACCAGCACCGAGGCCACGCCGTAGTTGGTCTTACCCTTGCGGCGGATGATCTCGTAGGCGGCCTCCTTGGTGCGGCGCGAGCAGGCGTCCATGGCGTCCTGGTCGTAGGCGATGGCCTTCTGGGCGCAGTAGTCGCGCAGCCGCATGCCGGCGATGCTGGCTAGCGACCACACGGGCAACTGGCTGTCGCCGTGCTCGCCGATGATGACGGCGTGCACGTTGCGCGGGTTGACGCCGTAGTGGTGGCCCAGCTCGTGGCGGAAGCGCGTCGTGTCCATGGCCGTGCCGGACCCGATGACGCGCTGCACGGGGAAGCCCGAGAGCCGCTGCGCCGCGTGCGTCAAGACGTCGACGGGGTTGGTCGCCACCACTATGACCGTCTCGGGGGCGTTGCTGGCGACGCGCGGCACGACGTCCTGGAACAGGGCGTAGTTGGTCTTGACGAGATCCATGCGCGTCTGGCCGGGCTTCTGGTTGACGCCGGCCGTGATGATGACGGCCGCGGCGCCGGCGCAGTCCTCGTACTCGCCCACGCGCACGCGGGCCTGGGCCGAGTGTCCCGCGTGGCTGAGATCCATGGCCTCGCCCTGGGCGCGGTTCCCGTCGATGTCGATCAGCACGATATCCGCCGCGAGGCCACTGAGCAGCAGCGCGTACGCCGTTGTCACGCCTACAGAGCCGGCGCCGACAATGACGATTTTGATAGCCTGCGCCGGTGGTACTTTGTGTTAGCGCACTGCTATCTGGGGAGGAGATAAAAGGGGCAACTCACCATGAGGCTTGCCGGGCTTGGTTGAGACATTTTGCCTGGCGTTGTTCCCTGAAATCAGCTGCCCCTGGCGAATGAATTGGGGGTTACGGTAATCCAGAACTCGGAGACTGGAAAGATTGTTGTTTTTCGGAACGGTAACGCTTGAGCGAGAGCGAAGAGCAGATGTTGCGATAAATGAGGCAAGAGCAGCTGCTGTGGCATGTGGCATTTCGTCATCGGTTGTTTTAGTGGTCCAAGCTCAACAACTTTGCGCCCATTTCAACAAAAAAGTGGCCTGATGTTTTTCAGCGGGCACCAAAAATTCTCGCCAAGCCTCGTGCCCGCCGCTGCCGCTTAATTCAGGGGAAGCCCATTTCTGACCATGCTAAATTACAACAATAGGCAGGCACTTACAAAAATCAATTGTGCTACGCCGGCAAGGAGACATGGCAATGGCCTGGACCGCGACTAGACTCGGGGCATCCTCCCCGTCGCCATCTCTCCCCTGTCAAAGCTGTACCAGGATTGCGTGCACTTTCGCACCTCAATCTCGTGAGCCTCAAAGTACTGTTCGATCTAGTCGAGCTTCTCGAGGCGCATCCGTTCCAAGGCGAGCATGAGGGGCGCGTTGGCCGTGGTTTTGGCGTTCGGGTACGTCTCCTTCGCGATCGCATCCTGCGTCTCGTAGAATGGCTCGCTGACGGCCAAGACGGCGCTGAAACAGACGGCCATCTCGCCGATGTCCTTGCGGGAGAGGTCCTTCATGGCCACCGACAAGTATGTCTCATGTGCGAGATCGGCACCCTCGACAATGCTGCCGCTCAGGCTCCCATCGGCCTCCTTATCTGGCAAGCCGAGTTCAATGATCCGGGGGGGTATTGTCTCTTGATGGATGAGGGCCCAGCCGCAGCAGCTGGAGCGATAATGACTTGGTGGTGATTTACATGGAGCGCCAACGTGGCAGGGTGCGGCTTGAGAACGAAGACCTGGTCTAATCAAGTGAACAGCCAAGTAAGATTCGGAACCTATTCGCGACGGGGAAGTGCATTGCATTCTTACCAATGTGAGCTGCCTGGAGCGGCGCAAAGCAAGCGTCAGTCGCTGGCGAGTTGCCGGATTTGGGCCAGTAGCCGCGAGGGCCAAGCAGGCGAATACTGCCGCCCACGCCCTCTTTCGTACCGGTTGATGGTGATGAGATTTCGAAGGCCATTTGATGCGGAGCGGGATAGCGAGAGGGCACCCATGGGCTTCCGAGAAGGACGCGACCGAGTTCCGCGCTCTGATCGCCATTCCTGCCCTCACCCTGGGGCAGAACTGACGCTCCAATTCGCGCCCAGCATTCGCGCCCAGCATTCGCGCCCAGCATTCGCGCCCGGCATTCGCGCTTGCCGCAGACCCGTCCCGCGTGTCCGAAATATGCGCGGGCATATTTTGTTTCGGCTTGTTGTTTCGGCTTGGAGTTTGGCTTTGATTTGGATTTCGGAGGCGCGGCTCGTTTTCTCGGGTCCTTGTCCTTGATAACACCCGTGGGTTTCGCCTGGGCTCGTGTTCGAAATTTTTCTTGAGATTTCTTTCGGCGCTAGTTCTAAAACTGGGCAAATAATGAAATTGGTAAAATTGTGGAAGGTACGACAAATTGTCCCTTCCATCACAGGGCACGGTGGCCTGAGGCCAGAGGGTAGGTAGCCAGAATCCAAGTGATACGGTGGGAGACTGCACAAGAAATTTCCCAGATTGGTATGGAAATTACCTGGGTATCCGTAGGTGTTCCGTAATTAGGTAACCTTCAGTGTCTATTCCGTACAAGTCTTCTTTTTTCAAACCGGATGCCCAATTCCGGTACGACCGCCAACTTCGAAGCACTTCGCACGTATACGCGCATCTACTCCTAGCTGCGCATTCCCAACGCCAGCCGTAATTGAACCTACGGCGATCGACTCGGACACCGCTGCCACCCCGCATGTCGCTGCTCGAATGTAGCAATGGATGCACGCGGTAGGATCAGCGCCCAGTGTCGGGGCAGGGGGTGGTTGGGAGCTGCGGCCCTTGATTGGTTTGCTCGACAGCTGTTGGCGTCACTTCGGGTCCGCGGAATTCCAATAGACTTATGGAATACGGCAAGACAGCTACGGAGTGCGGATTCTTCATCTGCCGGTGTGGAAACCACACTTCTATCGTCTGTTCCCTGTCAATTGAAGCAACCTCGCTGTCCTCAAGATTTTCTCCAATTCTTGCAAGTACAAACGTCACAACAGCATCGCAGAAATGGTCAAGATTGCCCTCGCTGGCGGCACCTCAGGCAACCCCAGCCCCTTCTTCTACCTTAGGCATCCAGAACACGACTGACATACCCGCCAGAGGTTGGCCATGAGATGCTCGACGCGCTTGTGGCTACCGGAAAGCACGACATCACGCTCTTGCCAAGACAGGTAATTACCTGGTGGAAACCCAAGCCGCAAGGCCACCGTCGTTGCGTCAACTGAGTCTGCAATGTTTAACCAACGCATCTCCCAGGATGCCACCCCGGAAGACGCCGTGGACGGGGCGACTTGGGTCAAGGTAGACAGACTACCAGGGCCATCAGACTCTCCTCCACGCTCTGCAGGGCGTTCACACCGTCCTGCCCTTCATCGATGCCCCCCGGGGCCAAGACGGTGCAGCGCAAAAGGCATTGATTGACGCAGCTGTCCCAGCCGGCGTGAAGCGCTTCGCCCCATGTGAATGGGGTACGTAAGTCCAAGCGTGCCCTATGCTAGGCAGCAAGGACGCCGAGTTCGCGGAGCTGAACAAGGACAAAAAGGTAAACATGCGGTCTACTCGAACAAAAACCCCGAATAATGCCCAGTCGGCGCTGAACCCGCGAGAACAAAGGTCCTCAAGGGCTCGCTCTTCCAGTGCGGCCTGTTTCTCAACTATCTCGGCTACCCGCACAAGACGACTCAAGCACATGGCCGTGTTCGAGAGCTGTCTCGACCTCGAGCACTGCCGCGCCATGCACATCACGTCGTCGTGGGTGCCCATGGTCCCCCACCGCTCAGTCCCGCCTAGCATAGTCGAGCGCTTCTCGCGCATGTTCTTCGCCAACATGTTCCTCAAGATTAGCGCTGCCGACGGCGGCTAGAGTCTAGGGCGTCTCGGACGAGTGGAACAGCGTCTTCCCCGACCACGAGTTTACGAGCATCGAGGCGTTCCTCACCGAGGTCTGTGCGGGCAAGGAGTGATCTGGTCAGCGGTATTTGCATTGCAGTCGCATCTCTTGCTACTCGAATTGAAATTGGTTGACTGCAAGTGCCCTCCAAGGCTTACTACGCTATGCTACCAGCGTACATGAAGATGCTGCATTTCCTGCGCGCAGCCACTCGTGCGCATTCACAATCGCACGGGGTGCCTCTCGAGGTACTCCTCAAATGTGGCGAGCCGGCCGCGGGCCTTGGGCGCGTCGGCGGCGACCAGTTTCGCCGTCTCGGGGCCAAAGTAGCCGAACTCGTCCATGTAGGCGAAGGCCTCGATGAAGATCTCGGCGACGGGGCCGGAAATTGGTAGGCTCTTGCGGAACTCGTCGGTCGATACGTAGTCGACGACGATCTTCTTGCCGGCCGACTTGGACATGAGCTCCGTGATTTCGGCGAACGAGTACAGCGCCTGTGCGACGTGCAGCCTGACGCCGTCGTACTTGGCCGGCTCGGCCAGGATGGCGCCGACGAACTTGCCGACGTCGCCGACGGCGTCGATCAGCGGAAACAGGCTGGCCGCCGACTGGTTGCGTGACAGCACGTAGTGCGACCCGTCGGCCGACGGGCGCGGCGCCAGCATCCCCGGGGCCACCCAGTTCTCCATGAAGGAGCCGAGCGATACGAAGGCGCTCTGAACCTTGGGGCTCAGGCTGCGGATGTACTGCTCGGCGTCGGCCTTGACGTCGAAGGCGCTAACGGCCGTGTACTTGCCGCCCGAGATGGCGCGCGGCGCCGGCAGCGTGCTGAAGATGAGGTAGGCCGCGCCCTTGGCCACCGACACGTCGGCAATGGTCTTGGCCGTATTATACTCCTGCGTGTAGTCGTCGACGCCGGGGGTGAAGTCGACGATGGTCATGATGTAGACCGTGTGCGCGCCCGTCAGCGCCGCCTCGAGCGACGCCCGGTCCGACGTGTCGCCCTGCACGACCTCGACGCCCTTGGCCGTGAGCTGCTTGGCCTTTTCCGAGTCGACGTTGCGCACGATTGCGCGCAGCTTGTACTCGCGGGACAGCTCCGCGTCGCCCAGCACATGGTCGATGACGGAGCTGCCCTGCTGGCCCGTGGCTCCGAAGACAGCGAGGATCTTGGACATGGTGGGGCCGTTTGGAGGAGTAAGGTCAAAGGCTGCGGTTCTGGTGAGACTGATGTTTCGTGGTTTCGAAAAACTTGAAACCCGAATCGTCGGCGTCTCTATATACTGGCCAAGCTGACAAAACAACAATCGTTTTTGGGCCTCTGCAGTAGCTGGGATGACAAATGTGATTCATTTTCTGAATTGAGCTCGCAGTTCGGGCTAAAAACAGACCAGGCCGCCACTACACCTACTCCGGGGTAATAAATATCACCTGGGTACTTCGCCACCGCTACCCCGTTTCTGGCCCAAGGTACCAAAACCTGCAAATAGGGCCAAATTTGGGTGCAGAAAAGGTACCGGTACTCTGACCAACAGTCTATTCTCCCACCTCCGTTTTCTATGACCTTTTGCAGCTGACCGGGCATTGAATATGCCACCCTTCCTAAAAAAAATCAACTGGTATAGCCTCCCAAGCAGCTTCGACGGCTGCGCGTAGCTCCCACAGCCCTAACCGCTTAATATGGCGCTGAGAAGAGCTTGCAGTTGCATTGTGGTGGTATAGAATTTTTGGTGGATAACTTTTGTATTTCGTTTCTGGGTATTTCTGCATAGAAATCACTAAAAAGTGTCCTTATTTGGACAATTACGTCGATAGCTTGGAAAGATGGGGTGTAAAAGCACCAAGTGGGCCTCAGGTCAAAAAGTAGGTGTATAGAGGGACTCGGCAGCTACCTGCTGCGCGCATGCATTAGCCCTTTCCGATTGAGGACCAGGAACGAGTCCTGAGACTTTTAGCTACATATTGCACTGCAACTGCTGTGTAACTCTCGCGCGGAGATTTCTAGGAAGGTTCTCGTAATGCATCAGCTTTTCATGGCGAAAGTCCTGCCAACACCGGTGCTCAGCTAATCGCTTCGCACTCGACCAGAACCCCTACGTGATACAGATTTCCGCATCCGGAACAATAGCATCCGGAACAATGGCATCCGGAATAATGGCATCCGTTTTGAATTTATTATTCATCTTTTCTACTCTTTCACAACAGGCCTGTCCGCGCTTTCTCCGAGTTATACTTGTAAGGAGCGCATTACGAACAAAACTTGTTGACCTGTAGTAACCTGATTACAGTGGGACATTTCTCTGCAACAATTGCATGGCCCTCGCCAGTAGCCATGTATACTTACTCAGGTATCATAGCATGAGACTCATCCGCCTGACCGCATCCGAGAAGCACTCATAGCCATGCCAATTGCCGAACCTGTCTGCCCCGTTGATCCTTACCAATGACATCTGCTTCGGGCGGCGACTTCATCAAGGCCACACGAGCCACGAGACATACACATTCCTAGAGCGATGCCGCTCATGGATGGATCACAATTTCGGAGGGGCCCAAAAGATTGTCAACCAGCAGGGATCGTGGTCGAATAATCACAGTATTCATTGCGTTCACAGAGTTCCGAATTGACCAGGACTGAAGTGGAGCGAAGAAGACTTCTGTTCGAAATCAGAGTCTGTGGGCCGCACAAACCAAAGTATAAACGAAAATATCAGAAAAATGGGAGCTTGCTTCGCCACCGCGCCTTTTACTGAACAATCAATTCCAGAGTCCCGCACACCATTCGACGTTAAATCCGAGCCGCCTAGATCTTGCGTTGCGAGCTCGGACTTAGAGGGACTTAAAGTCCCGCCAATAGCATCAAGGCGGTGGACACGGGGAGAAGCTCTCTAACCGCTATTGGCAGCAAAGGATTCTGTGTTACATCACCCACATCGGCGCCCAATCACCGCCCCCTGCCCGGTTCGCCAACGGTGTATCCAGGCGGCTGTTTAGGGGTAGGGGTAGTGTATGTCCTAAGGACCAGGCAGAAACGGGTCATAAGCAGGAGGGTCGTTGGGAAAATATTGGGGACGTTGCGACGCGACGCTCCGCTCGCGACAGCATCACGCCCGTCTCCCGTTCCTCGCCACCGACGCATCTTGTTCCCACCAGACGAGCACCTAATACCATGGCCATGGCAAGGACCGCGGTGGCATTCGCTCTGCTCGCGTGCCTCGAATGGGCGCAGCACGCCGGCGCCCACTTTGTGCTCACGTACCCCGGGTGGCGGGGCATGACCCTGATAGCCAACGAGACGTTCCCGTTCGGGATGCAGTGGTCGTACCCGTGCGGCAGCCTGGGCATCACGACGAACCGGACGTACTGGCCGACGACGGGCGGGGCCGTGGCGCTGCAGCCGGGGTGGTTCCGGGGCGGGTCCTCAACGCTCATCTACGTCAATTTGGGTCTGGGCGAGGTGCCAAACAACCACTCGCTCAACATGGCCAAGTTCCACGTCGACGGCCCGCCTGGCGACAACCCCTACCCGGGCACCGCCTGCCTGCCCAACGTCCCGCTGCCCGCCGGCGTGGCCCCCAAGAGCGGCGACAAGGCCACCATCCAGGTCGTCGAGCTGCACAACCACGGCGCCGGCAGCTACAACGTGCGCCCATGACCGACAGTCACCAAGCCAGACCGTCTTTGCTGATTAGTCTAATAACAGTGCGTCGACATCATCTTCACCGACGACGCCAGCCTGGTGCCGCCCGTCAACGAGGCCAACTGCTTCAACAGCACCAGCCTAGTCGTCGACGGCGCCGAGATCGTCGCCGACCACGCCGCCCCCGCGTTCTGCGCCCGCCAGAGCACCGAAGACGGCGGCGGCACATCGTCCAGCAACCGCTCGACCCTGTTCAGCTCCACGACCGCGGGCGCCCCCGCTCCCACGAGCACCCACCCCAGCGGCGCGGGCGGGACCGATAGAGGGGTCGCGGCGCGCGCGGCGGCGGTGGTGTGGGGCGGCGTGGCGTATTTCGCCGTGTAGGAGAGGAAGAAAGAGATGGAAGGACTATCCGCGAGGTGTATGATAGATAATCAGGCACGGGGTGGGAGAGCAGGATACCGCAGGGGTAATTATGTTGGGATCTGATTATGTTGGAACAACGCGCATTCCAGCCACATAGAGGTGGCTGTAGCAACGCATTCATCAGCCACACAGGTGGCGGTGGAGGCGTAGGAGTCCCAGATTCCATATAAGTGGCCTACGGCCACCTCTTTCTTCTAGATAGACATAGACAACAATGACCATCACTTGAACCACCAGCTTTCGGCGTGCAGCACGCCCTGTTGTTTCCAGTACTGGTACCTGGTGATTCCAACAGATTATGATCATCCAGGCCGACTTGCCTGACCTTCGGCGTGGAAAACCCCAACAGTTTCCACCCGGCTCCGAGGTCTGCGCAGCTCCTTAATTCGTTTAAGCAAGCTGTAAACATTTGGGTATGGGAGTTGCAGTGGCGTGTGTTCAAACCTAGAGCGGGTCGGTGTGGCGTGTGTTCAAACCTGGAGCGGGTCGGTGTGGGGAAAACCAGCAAGACTTCAAAAGTAATCGAAATTTTTCTCCAATGGCACGAAAATTATTGCTCCGGCCGATAACCTTTCCTTGTCCCCTGTTCCCGCCTTCCGCGCATTTAACTCGGCGTCTCAAAGCTTCAGGCCGTAACAAATGGACGAGACTGACTGACTCCCTTGAGCAGAAATTCACCTCCCATTTAGAGCAGCATTCCCAAACTGCTCGACTCGTCGAAGGGGCGTAGGTACCTAAAGGTGCCCGAGACGCAGGGGAAGCACAGTAGATGGCCCAACCACATTTCTCGCCAGGTCTCTCCCTCCACCCGTGCGGCAGCGGCACTGCCACCACCCACACGCCCTCCGGCTCGTCCACGCACACCTGCCGGACCAGCTTCGGGTCGGGGACTTGGCAGTTGTTGGAGTAGAGGTTATTGACACGCTCGTTCCGCTAGGGGATGTTATGGTCTACACCCGGCCCTACATGGTGATGAGCAGTGTTTGGTGTCTGACAAGGGTTCGGCGGCCCGAGACCTCATGCCGAGCGATTTCAGTGACTTCGTCATCGGCAGCGAGGCAGTCAATGGCGGAAAATCGGCAATAAAGAGCGACATGTGCAATTAATTGGCTAGGACGGGCTATGATGCGGTGAATTAGAGAGTTTTAATGACAATTGGAGAGTATTAGTGACAATTGGAGAGTATCAGGGACAACAAGAATCGACAGCAAGTCGAGAGGTGAAAGATATATTACAAGGGTGAAGTATTACCTCGCAATAGCTCACAATTCATGCGGTATTTACGCTTGGAGGATGTCACGCACCTTATTCAGTTCTGCCGTATAATTACTCTCCCGAAAGTCAGAGACTGGTGCGGAACATGGAACTGGGGAATTACGTTTGAATCGCCAATTATACGTCAGAATGCAAGACGTAGCCCGAAGTACGCTTCGTGGATTCTGAGCTTGTAGAGCCCTTTACAGGTAACCTTTACAGGGTACTGTTATCGGTCTTTCTGGTATGAGTCTCCATTATTCGACCTTGCACTAAGGTCTAACTTTCGGGAGAATATACGATAGTCCAAGGTTTTCCAGTATCAAAGGTATTTGAGCTGAATATTTCCTAGTTTTTATTCACGTTGTGTGACTGAACTTTGTTACTAGGATGACGTTCGATGAAATGGGAAACTAAATCAAGTTCTAGCAAATTCCAACAACCCAACAAAACGTCAGGGTCCATGCCATTCGAACTGGACAGCTGATCAGATTAACCTTTCTGCCATGGAGAGATACCCACCCCAACTAACTTACCATGCAACCAAAACGGCGGTGCAAAGCAGGCGGTGCAAAGCAAGCACTGCAACCCAAGAACTCAATACGCACCCCCCTCAAACGGCGTCCCATAGCGCTTGTCGCTCTGGCCGGCCCGCCGCTCCGACCGGCAGTCGACATAGGCGACCCACTGCTTGTCGGTCCACTCGCGGAGGTCCAGCCCCGGCTGGCCCGCGTCGAGCGTGTAGGCGTTGACGCTGAGGTAGCTGGTCCGGCCCTCGACCCAGCCGCGCTTGGGGCTCCAGACCTCCCGCCGCTCCGTCTTCGTCTCTCCACCCTCCCCAAGAATAAGAACATCACTCTCCACGACCTCGCCCTCACCGGCAAACGTGAGGCAGCGCACGCCGCACGCGGTACAGAACAGGAAGCGCAGCCGCCGCTCAAAACACTGGTAGTTGCCGAGCTGCGCGAGCGGGTCCGGACCAGTCGGCGCCAGCAGCTGGAAGTCGGCCGGCGGGTTGTGCAGCCGCACGTGCATCAGCCCCATCTTGACGCACGTGCTGCAGTTGCATCGGTAGATGAACTGCCGCATGGCTGGTTTTTGCTGCTGGCCGGGCTGCCGCGCGGCCGCGAGCTCATCGATGGAGGGCGGCGTGTGCGGGAGCGTCAGGTGCGCAATGTACCGCACCGCGCCGCAGTGGCATGATCCCGTGTACGGCCGGCGGGCGGGCGTCGGAGCTGGGGCTGCGGGCTCGTGGTCGGCCATGGCTCGATGGACGGAGATGTAGTGCAAGACGGAGCGTGGACGGAGATGTAGTGCAAGACGGAGCGTGGCGACGGTGACGGTGCTGACGGGAATATCGAGGGCGGTGCCGTGTGCTGTGCTAAATACCTATTTATGGACGAGGGGTTGGCGCCCGCTCCACTCTCCATCGATCGGTCATACGGAGCAAGATCTCGCCGACTTCAGGGGCCAATGAATCCGCATCCGCATTGGGGTGACGAATTTCTACCTAGTCGATTTGGTTCATTAACCACCTTTCACAATTCCATCTCGACTCTTGTTTGTCGCTGGCGAGTCTGTCCGCACAAGTATTGGGTCGTATTCATGCCAGCATGATCATTACTCGATTTGGGTCCGTTGATGATTGTCAAAACGAGGTTCCTCCAGGAATTGACTCTCCTTTTTGGTAGCAAAGATTCCCAGCAAAAAGTTGATTATTTCCATTTCGGTTTGTGATTATATTCTCGCAATAATCTCCCAGCAAAAAGTTGATTATTTCCATTCCGGTTTGCGATTATATTCTCGCAATAATCTCTGTCTTTCTAGCCCTTCTCGTCGTTGACTGGTTAACGGGAATTATCCTTTGATCCTCCGGCGTCGGGGTTTACAAGCTCCGAGTTCCTACAGAAGCAAGCTAATTCTCGGACTTAGAAGATGTTCTCCTGCAGCCTACCTACACAGGTTAACCAGCTGGTGTATCTTCCCTGCTTGACTACAAGACCCGTGCAGGCAGTCTAGAATTACCGGTTGGGAGCCCTATTTTACATGGTTCAAGACGTAGTGCAGATGCCCCGATCCTCCGAGATGCGAGAACCACGAGCATGTCCCCGAACAGCAATACGAGCTTACTTTGAGGGGTATCGGGATCACCCACCTCGAGCAAATTTGGCATTTCTTCTTCGTCATATGTCTCAGGGACGGGTTGACAAAGAACCGAGCTACGTAGATATTCACCATGCGTCGGGGCTCTCCCGGCAGGGAGTTACGGATGCGCTGCGCTTGGTGACCGTCGCTGCAACATCTAGGTGGACAAGGATAAGCCCGTTGCCACGGGATGGGACGGGATGGGACGAGATGGCCATATTCAGACGCCGAGTTTGACTATTATATCAAGCTCAATTCGGGATAACAAACTTGCCGCGGATACTTGACGTTGGACGAAGCTATCTGGAACACTGAGAACGGCATGAATATGGTCCCTGGGTTGCATCATTTCCAACCCGGCGCCGCTCGGGAATTGGTGGCCAGACATGTCGAACGCGCTGATTTAGACCCTCATCCCGGGTTTCTTTTCTCGGAGAAGGAACTCTCGCAGTTGCCAGCATTGGACTAGCGGGCTTCTCGAGCGGGCTTTGAGAACGGTCGCCCAAATTTACTTGGCAAAATGCCGAATCATTCCATCTATAGACGGTTTAGGCAACTAGGCGTGCCGAGTATTCATGGCCGACTTCATAGCCGACTTCATAGCCGACTTATCCGGATTTCCTTGTCGACCCAAATAGTGCGCAAAGAAATGGTCCTGTGATCCGTCACAACCTGCCTAGGAGCATAGACTTGAAAATTGCCAGCTAACGCACTCTGTCGTTCCACTCGATCCCCAATCCAATCCGTCTGGTCTGGGTTCGTGACAGTGAAAACTAGGCCGCAGTAGATGATCGAGACCCACGTCGACATGTTGAGAAGTGGAAGGTGGCGGTCCCTGCAGCCGTGTACTTCTCAATAGCGTTTTCCAGACACTTTCTGTAGGTATCAGCTTTTTCTTTGTCATGTGCCGGGATGCCGATGAACGGCCTGGAGGCCAGCACGGCGAGAGGGCCCGGTGGCCTGGGCCTTTAGCTGAACAGCTCGATCATTTCGTGATCCACTTATACGCGCCCCTCTTCGAGAAGCTCAGCGCGTAGTGGAAGGACGGGGTCGCCCTGGACCTCCACAGCACCGTGAGCATTTCCCCAGAGCCGCGAGCATTTCCCCAGAGCTGCGAGCATTTCCCCAGAGCTGCCTTGGGTAGTGTTTGGGATATCGTATTTCAGCAGTTCAAGCATCTTATTTTTTTTTTCATGCGTAAGTCCCTTTTAGGCAGTACTGATGTGATCTACGCGCTGGTTCTTGCTGATGAGGCTGAACGTGAATCGCGCCATGTAGACCCCTGGGCTGTCTCGGTCGCGAAAATTGTGCAGGTGGTTTGTCGCCTCAATCTTCAGGTGTACTAACGACATGGAGTCGTAGTTAGCGCCCGGACTTTCAACGAGGTAGAAATAAACGTCATAGTTATTATATCTGACTTGGGCTATTTCTATAGACTCGACGTCTCTGTTGCAGATGCTAGTCTCCCAATCTTGAAGAGATACTGATGTGGTTTCGGAAAATTCGCACCCGTAAGTGGTCCTGGGTTTGGTTCTGGGTTTGTCGGTGGACTTGCTGGCGTTGCCTTTGCTCACTGCAGCAACCGCCGAGGCCTCGCTGGTGGCGCTTCTGGTTTTTTGGACAGCGGTGAAAGCTCTTTCAGGATCTTATCAACCCTCGGGTCAGATACCTTGCCACCTGTGGCTGCGGAAGCCATGATGGAAGGAACAGATCAGACAGATGGAGTTAGATGGGGACCCGACGAGGGACCGTGGCGAGTAACAATACAATGGGGCGCTGGGATTATCACTAAACATGTGCGTGCTGAAGTGGAAAGTACCTAGGTAGATATCGCGGCTTCGACGAGTTTCGTGGAATGAGACGGGGAATATCACAGGAAACAGGAAGATCGAAGCCAAGGGACCTCATTCGACAAGAGAAAGAGTCTAGTTATTTATACAAACGAGAGAGCATAAGGGGTGCGTCCTGTGCAGGATAATTGTGAGCGTGACACAGTAATTAGGGGTGTCACTATGACGGTTTCCTGGAGTCTCAAGATAATCAGCAACGTCCTCTATGTCCATGGCCAAATGGTACTCTGGGTCTATGGGAAGGAGAGAAAAGTGCAGTCACTGACACCTCAAGCCACAAGCGATCAAGCATTCAGAATACTACGAGCACTTCGTCTTGTGCGCTATGTCGATAATATAAACGCTGTCTTGGTGCAACGAACTGCTCATGATCGCTATTGCCTCCACCCATATAGCCCAATCCCCAAGGGTTCGCTAGCATGGTTCTTAGGCAAAATATACATTATTGCCCAGCAAATACACCGGCCAGTAAAGGCCTTCAATACCTAGGAATTTTTGAAGAAGAAATAGGCCTCTACGGTTCTAAAATAGGGATTCCAATTCCTTTTCACCTTCCTCGGTGAAAACCATTAGGGCGAGCCGTAAGGTATCAGGGCCTTTCAAATCTTGGAAAGTCCCCCGCTAATAAATATTCGGGGACCGAATTGTACTCCCCACACCCAATTCCTCCTTTGGTCACGGGTTAGCCTGGATATGAACCTGGAAGCTACGCGATAAGTCCCCGAGGGGCAACCGGGGGTGTGCCTGAAGGGGGTCGAGCGCAATCATGTCAATGGGAGAGACGGTATCGAGTTATGGACCAGGGCTAATTAGGTGGGATGCAAAAGAGAAATGTCGGTCGTCTACAGGGGGCTCGAAAAGACAAGTCGAAGGACGATTTCGGAGAAATGGAAGCACAACCCTCCATTTCTCTTTCTGTTGGACTAAAATATTACGGGAAAAACATGCTGCGTACCACGCCAGCTGCGTACCACGCCAGCAATTTCTCCAAGAGACCAGCTCTTCCAAGAGTGCATGCAATAAACATTTCCAAAGCCCAGCCCGGTCAAGGTACATACCTAGCTACACCGCACCTCTAATTCCCGTGACGCCGATTGGCTAACTGATGCAGCAATGAACTTGCTAAACTTGAAACTCACCATCTTGGCCCGCTTGAGAGGAGGCGCACAAGTTTATGCTTATTTTTTTAGATAGGCGTCCAGTTCCGGTTTTAAGAAAAAGCGCCCGGCTTGAACTCTCTCTTTGTTGGCCTCTGCGACTTGCCCCAGGAACTTCTGGCGTTCTTCGTCTGAAGGCAGACTCTTGTAAAGTTGGGTTTCCTTCGAGGCCATCTCGGCCACTAGTATCTCGGAAGCCTCCAAGACGGACAAGGCGGCCGACCTGTGGTTCGGACTTTTGATGAATGCAGTGATGGCCGCGTCGGAGAGTGATGGTTCCATGGACAAGGGGTTTTTGGGCTGGTTGAACAATCCGATCATGGTCCCGATCCACTTGACCACGCCCCAGTGCTGCTCGTCCAGTGCGTAGTAGAAGCAAGGGGTCGGGCGGCCCGCGCACAGCACCGCGAGCATATCCCCAAATTGGCCTTTGATGTCGGTGTTTGGGATTTGGTATTTCAGCACCGAGGCAGCCACGTCTTTAGAATGCTGGTCCTCGCTAATGAGGTCGAACTTGAACCGTGCCATGTAGCTTGTGCGCAGGTGGCCCGAAAGTGCCTCATAGTGGTGCTGGGCGTCTGTCGCTGAGATCCGGAGGTGCACTACCGACATGCGGTCGCCCGTTTTCTTATCGAGTACGAAATAAACGCTATGTCTGTCGCCCCATTCCGGATTCCGGCTGCCCAATATATCTAGGTACGCGACTTCCCTTTTGCAAATAACGGTCTCCCACTCCTGCAGAGACGGAGATAGGGAAAATTCGCACCCGCAATGATGCTGAGCCTTGGATCTGCTGGCTTGGACATTGCTGAAAAGCTTGTTCAGGATGCCATCAACACCCGAGCCAGAGCCCTTGCTACTCGTGGGTGCGGAAGTCATAGTGGATAGAACTAGGTAGTGTCAGCTGGGTGGGGAACCGACGACGAACCAGGAGGGATTTTGTCAGAATTAGAAATATCAGAGCCAGGAATTGCATGCAACAAGAGAGAGAGAGTTTAGTTTATTTATAAAATCGAGAGAGAGCAGGGCGCGTCTGCTTCAGGTGCTTAGAAGACACAGAACTGCTCCCTAACAGGGTATAATCTTTATCTCCATTTACGGCGGTGAAGAGGTCTGTTTGGTATCCATCATATATTGAAACACGAACGGACCAACAACGGCAACCGGCGCAGCAATCGACCGGACATGTCGACCGGACATGTAGACCCGACATGTCGACCCGACATCTCCACCTGACATCTCGACCCGACATATCGAACAAGGAACTGGAAGCAACAGAAAGTCCGGCTTTTTCCAGAAACGCATATAGCTAGCTAGACGAGGGCGATTGTGACCTGGTTTCTGGCCGCCTTGAATCCTTGACAGTGTGGCGGTTGGTTTCACATAATGCAAGGGACAGGGGTCTGCTGCCTGCTGGTTGGCTCGAATGTTGATGGGGAAGGCGATCCTACGCTTTCCCACCCCAGTACGGCATCCTTCGCACTCCACCCCGTAGACCTCGTTCGGGACCCGAACTTCGGGTCCACTCGTCTTCGCCGTCCGTCGTCGATCCCGCGCGCCGACTTCATTCCCATCCCCGGCCTGTCTATTACTTGCCTTGGCTAGATTTCGTGGTTGACTGCGCTGATTGTCGTATTTTTTTCTTCTTTTTTCTTTCTTTTCTTTTTTTTTTTTTTTTTTGGCAACGATAATAGACTCGAAGTCAACTGCGCCAACGGTGTGTTGACGAGTATCTGTGTTCGGGGCTTAGCCCTGGTTGAACGCTTGGGCCAAACGCTTGGGCCACAAGCCCGCACAGGGTTCTCGCCCACACATTTAGTACGGGGATTAGCCCCTCCTAGAGTTAGCCTGCTAATGCACATTTTGTCACCACAACACCACGCCCAACGCTTTTGCCCGACTCTTTACTTGATTGGCTTAAATAATCCGACAACCCAGAATCGCCATTGCGACCAATCCTCCATCGTCAGGTCTGTCTTATCTAATCGATTAGAATAAGTACATATTTTAGGCCAAACGGCAACAGAATTTGAAAGAAAATGCGGCCAACGGCCGAGATCCTTCACACGTACGGTACTACCGTGGGATTCCACTAATTGCTTTTTTAGGGTGTGGTCTGTGCGCGAGACCCAGGCTGCAACTGAAACTGATCGGTCGCGGCCAACCGTCCACAGGCTCCGCCACTGTATGTACAGCACACCTCGAGCAACTGGCTAAGGACCTTAGGTTGTACCTAGCCTACCAACAGGTCGACCGCAAATTCGGGTACCTGGGCGAGGAGCATTGGGAAAAAGTCAATTGGAGAAATACCTAGATCAAATGAAAAAGAAAGGGAGAAAAGAAAAAAAAAACCTGGCTGCCACACCTTTACTTCTCCTACCAGGCCATTTTAACTCTTGCCCACACTGCTCCTAGCTACCACCAGGTCGCCAATCTTGGCGATGGGCACGTTGCCCATAATGTCGAAGACGGCGACGGTGGCCTGGAAGTCCTTGCCGATCCAGTTGCGCAGCTCGACGGCCATGAGCGAGTCGACGCCGTAGCTCGACAGCGGCTTGCCTAGCTCGACGTCGTCGGCCGAGATGGCCATGGCCCGCGCCAGCTTGCGCGCCAGTGCGCCCAGCACAATCTGGATGCGCTCGTTGGTGTCCTCCGTTGCCCGGAAAGCTGCCGCCGCGGTCTGCTCTGCGCCGCCAGCCTCGCGGCTCTGTCCCCCGGCCCTGGAAGCTGTGGGCGCGTGGGCAAAGGCGGCGAACAGCGGCCGGTCGAGCAGCTCGGGCGGCTGCTGACAGCGGGCAAGGAACTCGTCGGGCGTGCGCAGACCGAACAGCACCTGCGCGTCGTGCTCGGCGTCGGGCGAGGGCGAGGGCGGGGGCTGGGGCCAGCTCGGGTCGCAGAGCAGTGTCAGCAAGGCCAGCAGCTCGTCCTCGTCCAGCTGCTGCATGTCTTCGGACGTCTTGAGGTTGCGCTGGTACTCGGCCTTTTCGGCGACGATGCCGATGCTGCGCATCCAGCCGACGTCGATGGCGACGGCACGCTGGCCGCGGCGCACGCGGTGTCGGGCCAGGGCGTCCTGGAAGGCGTTGCCGGCAGCGTAGTTGCTCTGGCCCATGCCGCCCAGCACGCCGATGAGCGACGACAGCATGACGAAGAAGTCGAGCCCCGCGGGCAGCTGCCGGTGCAGGTTCCACGACGTCTGCACCTTGGACCGCAGGGTCAGCTCCCACTGCGCGTGCGTCATGTTGGCAAAGACGGCGTCCTGCAGCACCATGGCCGCGTTGATGCACCCGCGCACGGCTGGCATGCCGTGCACCTCGTGGTAGTCGGCGAGCATGCGCGCCAGCGCGGACGCGTCGGAAACATCGCATGCAGGGACTTGGACGCGCGCCCCCTTTGCACGCAGCTCGGCCACTAGCTCCGAGGCGGCCTTAGACGACGCACCGCCCGAGCGAGACGGTAGGATGAGATGTCGTGCCCCCCGCGAGACCATCCACCTCGCTATGGCACGGCCCAGCCCGCCAGATCCGCCGGCAATTACGAACGAGGCCTGCGGGTCAAAGGTCCATGGCCGGTGCCTGAGGACGAGTTGCTGTCAATTGTTAGCACTGGGTTCGAGGGTTGTGTGCGTGGGTGTTGATTGCCCCTTTCACCTTGTTTACGGTCAACGCAAACGCCACAGCAACCACACGCAGCAGCTAACAAACACCACCAAAACGAAAACACGGAAACAAAGAAGGGAAAAAGCAATCCGAGTAATACAAAGAAGGGAAAAAAGCAATCCGAATAATACAAAGAAGGGTTGTGGGCGAACATACCGGCACAACGTCGTCACGACCGACGGTTATCATGATCCTGCCGATATTCTTGCCGCCCTGGAGATGGCGGAACGCGCGCTCGACCTGCGACACGGGATAGCAGTGCAGCGGGGTAGGGTGTTGGATCTTGCCGTCGGCCAGCAGGTCGACCGTATCGCGCAGCAGGCGCGCCGTCAGCTCCAGGTCGGTCCGGGCGACGTGGTGCAGGTCGACAGCGGCAAAGCTGACATTATGGGCAAAGCGGCCCATGGGCAGGCTGGCGTTCTCGCGAATATCCGCCTCGGCGATATCCACAAACCGGCCATACGGCGCCACGCACTGCCAGCTGGCCCGCAGGCCCTCGCCCGTCAGCGAGTTAAGCACCACGTCGACGCCGCGCCCGCCAGTGACCCGCATGATGCCTTTCGCAAACGACGTGTCCCGACTGTAAAAGATCCTGTCCTTGGGGATCCCGAGCGTGTCGCGCAGGAACGCCCTCTTCTCGGGCGAGCTCGTCGTGGCGAAAACGTCGGCGCCGGCCAGCCGCGCGACCCACACGGCCATCTGGCCGGTGCTGCCGGCGGCGGCGTGGACGAGCACGCGGTCGCCGCGCCGCAGCCGCGCGACCTCGCGCAGCGCGTACACGGCAGTCATGCCAGGCACCAACACCGACGCGGCGGTCTCGAGCGAGAGACTGTCAGACGGGATCCGCAGCACGGCGCGCTCATCGGCGCGCGGAAACGCCCGCATCGCCCCCGGAGCCACCATGACCACGCGGTCGCCCGGCGCTACGCCGCCCACGGCGCTACCCACGCGCGTCACGACGCCCGCGCAGTCGCTGCCCAAATCACCGCCACCACCACCCTCGCCATCGCCACAACCGCCCTCGTCATCGCCATCGCCATCGCCGTCGCCAACCTCCTCGGAAATCCGCCCCAGCGCCACCAGCACGTCGCGGAAGTTGACAGCCCACGTCTTGGCCTCGACCTCGACCTCGCGCGCGCCGAGCGGCGTGTCGGCTCGGCACACGGTGTCCTCGACAAAGTGCAGCTCCTCGAGCGTCTTGCCCGTGCGCAGCTGTAGCGGCGCGCTCTCAGACGGGGAAGCCAGCCACGGCTCGTGCCGCAGCCGCGGCTGCAGCAGCGCGTGCAGCGCCGTGTTCTGCGCAGCGTCGGCCACCACGCGCCCTGTTGTTAGTAGGCCGTCGCGCACGACGTACTCGAGCTCGGGCGACGAGGAGGAGGTGGAAAAGGCGGCGCGCAGGGCTGTTGCAATGAAGCCTGCGCACGCATCATTGCCGTCGTCGTCGTCATCGTTTTTGCCGTTGTCGTCGTCATCGTTTTTGCTGTCGCTGCGCGCGAACGACTCGATGGCTAGGCTGACCAGCCGCTTGGCCGCGCCCTCCTCGGCGCGCAGCGTGCGCAGGAACCCCTGCACGACGCTGTACTCGGGGGCGCACTCGGCGCCGTCGTCGGCGCTGTCGGCCACAGCCGTAACCCAGAGTAATCTGTGCGCTCGCCGGATCAGGTCCTGCACGGCGAGGAAGCGGCGCGGCGACAGGCTCGCGAGCAGCGGTTGGCGCACCTCGGCAATGCTCACCACCGTGTCGTGCTCGCCCAGCTCGGCGGCGTGCAGGGCGTCGAAGGCCACGACACGTGTCTCCTGCGCGGCCAGCTGGGTGCACAGTAGGCTGGCGAGGCGGGTCTGGTGCGTGGCGGCATCGTCGGCGACAACAATGGTCAGCCGGGACGGCGCTGTGTCGGCTTTCTCCTCGTCGCCTGCTGCCTCCTCGACAGCGCGCGAGACGATGACGCTGAACAAGTGGCAGTCGTCGCTGGCATAGTCGCGCAAACACAGATCATTCCCGCTGAACCCAGACTCGCGCAGCACCGTGTCCCACTGGGCCTCCGGAATTGCCGGCGACAGGCCGCGCCACGGCTCGCGCTTGCCCCACCAGCCCGGCACGAGCCCGAACGTGAAGTTGCTAGCGACATCGTCGGGCGCGATGGCCTCAAGCACCAGCAGCCGCCCACTGCCCGGCTTTAGCAGCCTCCTGACATTGCGCATCGTGGCCATCAAGTCCTCGGTCGCATGCAGCACGCTCCCCGCCACGACGAGATCATACGCCCCTTCCTCAAACCCCTGGCTTTCCGGAGCGGCCTTCATGTCGAACGCGCGGAACGCCATGCGGTCCCTGACATTATCCCAGCGCGCCGCCGCCCGCTCAAAGAACGCCGGCGACACGTCCGTGTACGCGTACTCGGCGAAGCAGCGCACGCCAGCGTTGCCGCTCGCGGCCTCGACGCCCAGCAGCGCGCCCAGCACCCGCCCCGTCATCCCGCCCGTGCCGGCGCCGACTTCGAGGATGCGCAGCTGCGGGTTCTCGTGCGCGGCGAGGGCCAGGAAGCTGTGCAGCCGGCTGTCGCAGACGGTCGCGAACATGTCGGCGTAGAACGTGTCGGCCTCGTCGCCGCCAAAGATGACCTGCAAAGGGTCGACGCTGCCGCTGAGCATTGCTGGGAGAGAGCGGACCACTGTCGCGTGCAGCTTCCAGGCTGGACGCAGGGTTTCGATTTCCTGTACCAGGGCTTCGAGGGCGCCGGCGCTGATGGGTTCGGCGGGAGGTGTGGTTGCTGTGGTTGTGGTTGCTGTGGTTGTGGTTGCTGTGGTTGCTGTGGTGACCAGCGGTGTTGTTGACGCGGAAAAGGGGCCGGCGGGGTTTTGTGTCTGCTGCTGCTGCTGCTGCTGCTGGACATAGTATCGCATCCAGTCGGCGTGCCTAGCAAGCGAGGCCGGGACGCGCACGGCGCTGGCGGGCGTGTCGATGGCCTGCAGCGCGCGGGCGATGGCGTGGTCGAGCACGACCCGCAGCTTGCCGTAGTGCAGGCGCATCGTGGCCTCGTCCTTGTCGATGGCGTCGGCGTCGCACACGGCGGCCAGCTGCGCGGGCGTGAGCAAGCTCAGCTGCGGCCTCCACTCGATGCGGTGTAGCAGTGTCTTCTCTATCCTGTCGTGCGTGTCCCCCGTGGACACGGCCGCCATGGTCAGGCTGCCCATGGTGCACAGCACCGTGCCGTCGTCGGCCAGCGCCGTGACGGCGCCCTCGCAGCGCTCGCGGCCGGGCGCGCCGCGCGACGTGGCCAGGTACCGCACCGAGCTTGTGTCGGGCGCCTGCCACCCGCGGGGCGCAAACCAGGCGTCGGCCACGCGCACGGGGATGTGCGTCGTGGCCGCCGACAGCCGGAGCCCGCGCGTCGTTGCGAGGCGCAACGCGTGGAAGACGCCGTCCAGTACGGCCGGGTGCACGAGGCTGGCCGTCTGGTAGCGTGCCGCAGCTGCAGACTTGTTGACGCCCAGGTCGACGCGCCCGACGGCCCGCGCCGCCCCGTCCCACCCCATGTCGCCCAGAACCCTGAACCAGTCGCCCCAGCCGATGCCATGCTCGGCCGCGTCATCGTAGAACACCGCGGCATCGATGGGCCGCGCCGCGCACGCCACCGCCGCGCGCTCGTGCTCGCCTTTGACGGCCGCGTCGGCCAGCCGCCGCTCCTCGCGCGCGTCTGCGCTCACGGCGGCGGCGTCGTCGTCGTCGCCGAACTGCGCCTGCACCGTGGCGCGGAAGCACTCGGTCCACGGCTGCTGGCTGTCGCGATACGAATAGATGACGACCTCGGCCCACGCCGACGCCGCGCGGTCCCTGAGGCTCTCGCCGGCGCCGTCCTTGCCGCGCACCGGGCGCAGGTGCACCATGGTCTCGGCGCGGTCGTCCCAGGCGGCCGGCACGACGACGGGGCTGAGGAAGCGCGCCTCCTGCACGTAGAAGCTGGCGACCTTTCGGGGCGGCGGGCACAGGTGGTTCTGCACGGCCTCGATGGCCATGACCAGCATGGCCGCGCCGGGCAGGATGACTGTGTTGCTGACCACGTGGTCCCCCGTCCACGGCGCCGTCTCCACGCTCCAGAAGTTGCGCCACCGCGGCTCCAGCGGGTTCCAGTCGCACGACCGTGCTCCCAGGAGCGCCCCCGTCGTTTCCTCCCGCAGCCGGTAGTCGCGCGACAGCCGCGACTCGGCCCAGTACCGCTTCGAGTGGTCGAACGGGTACTCGGGCGCGTCGACGGCGAACGGCCGCGGCTTGGTGTTTTTGTGCTGCTGCATCATGTTGACCGCGTCCACGCGCACGCCGTGGCCGCGGCAGAACAGCTTGCCGGCGAGCTCCATGGCCGAGTCGACGGCAGGCTGCGAGCGGTGCAGCACCCACGAGTACGTCCAGCGCGCGGCGCTGCAGGTGTCGCCGTCGGCTTTTAGCGTGTCCTCGAGGGGCCGGCGCAGCGCCGGGTGCGGGCCGACCTCGACGAGGTCTGTGATGCTGCCGAGCCCGACCCTGAGGCTGGCCGTCTCGCGCGTTAGCACGCGCACCGCCTCGGCGAACCGCACCGGCGACATCATGTTGTCGACCCAGTACTGCGCCGTCGCGAGCACCGCCCCGCCGTCGCGCACCGCCCGCCCCGTCACCGACGATACCATGGGCATGGCTGCACCCGGTGTCCGTTTGGCGTCCCCTTCCAACGAGCCCATCAACCCCAAGTACTCGTCGGCGATCTGTGCCATGTACGGCGAGTGGTAGGCCACGCCCGTCTTGAGCTTGTGCGCGAACACGCCGTCGCGGTCCAGGTGCGCCTTGAGCTGGTCCAGGGCCGCCTCGCTGGCCGACAGCGTCACGTTGCCCGGGCTGTTGATGCACGCCACGTTGACGGCGGCTGCCAGCCCCGGCACGCCCGTCTTGTCGATGTAGGCCGCCACCGCGTCCTCGGCCAGGTTGACGGACATCATGGCGCCCGGCTCGTTGCGGGTGGCTGCCTTGAGCTTCCCGGCCAGCTGCCCGCGGAAGAACGAGACCTTGCAGGCCGAGGCCAGCGATAGCGCCCCGATGGCGTAGCTGTGCAACGGTCAGTATATCCCTTCAATATCCAGAATTCCTCTACGTGTCTGTGGTCACGACAATGAGGAGGGCACTCACGCGGCCGCAATCTCGCCGGACGAATGCCCTATGACGGCCTTGGGCACGATGCCGAAGCTCTTGAGCAGCTCGACCAGCGCGAGCTGAACCGCCGTTGACAGGGGCTGGCTGTACTCTGGCGAGTCGATGCGGTCGCTGTTGCGCAACTCATCTGCAAACACGCACACATGTCAGCAACTCTCACTCTCCCTCCCCTCCACAAGGTAAGGTAGGTCGGGTAGGTAAGATAGTTGGGTAGGTAAGGTAGGTTGGATAGGCAAGGTAAGGAAGACAGCCACACTCACCAAAAACCGACCACCCGCACCCCAACCCCTTATAAACCCCATCTACAGCCTGCAGCGTCTCGCGGAACACGGGGTACCGCAGCAGCCCGGCACCCATGCCGGCATACTGCGCGCCCTGCCCGGTAAACACAAACGCCACCCCGCCGTCGCCGGACCCGCCAAAGCTGCGCGTCGGCTTCTTGCTCGTGGCCACCGACGGCGGCTGTGCACTACTGCTGCGCACGAGCGCAAACTCGCGCCAGAGCATGCGGCTGCGCCGCGCTGCGAGCGTGTACGCCAGCTGGTCGAGCCTGGCTGTGGACGTGGAGGTGTTGATGGTGCTGGCGATGAAGGCTGTGTATTGCTTCGTCATGCGCTCGACTGCTTTCTCGTCCGCCGCCGTCCAGACGAGCAGTCGCGGCGAGTCATCGGGTAGTGAGATGGAGGCTTGGCCGTTGGTTTTGTGGCTGTCGTTGCCGTTGGTGCCGTTGGTGCTGTTGACATCGACGCTTCCGTTAATGCCGCTGCTGCCATTGATGCCATTGATGCCGCTGCTGCCATTGATGCTGTTGACATCGACGCTTCCGTTGATGCCGTTGATGCCGTTGGCGCCTTCGCGGCGCGTGCCGTTCGTGCCGTTGTGGTCAGTTCCGTTGCCATTCGACACCGCGTGGCCGTTAGCTGCCGTCTCGGCAATCGGGTGGGCCGTGGTGTTGTGGTTCCCGGCCAGGCCGCGCTCCTCGAGGTAGTGCAGGGCGTCGTCCATGACGACGTGCGTGTTGGTGCCGCCGAAGCCAAACGAGTTGACCGACACGCGGCGCAGGCCCTCGCACGGCCATGCCGTGGGAACTGTCGGGACCTGAGACACTTATTAACCGAACTGTGCATAATGGCCTGCTAGAACTGCCTTACCTCGACGTGATACCACTCGGCGTCGATCTTGGGGTTCATCTTTTCAAATAGCGCATTGGGCGGGATCACGCCCTTTTCGAGCGCCACTAATTAAACAAGTCGGTCAGCTTTCGTAATGGTGAGCTGCGAGGCATCGGATGCGTACAGATTGACTTGATGACGCCAGCAAGGCCGCTGCTCCCTTCGAGATGGCCAATGTTTGCTTTGACGGAGCCGCTGAGAGTGATAATCAGTCGCTATTCACCAGTCCCTCGCTTAGTCAATGAATACTTACACGTAGAGCGGCTCTTCGGTTGAGCGAGAGTTTCGAAAGACTCTGCCAATGGCCTTCATCTCGAGCGGGTCGCCAACCGGCGTGCCGGTGCCTGGGCATCAAGTCAGTTACGTCCATCTTCGATAACTTGAATGAAGAGATGGAGTATCTACCGTGAGCCTCAAAGTAGCGTGTCTTGTCCAGGGGCAGGTCCGCGTTTTTGTACACACGCCGTATCAAGTCCTCCTGCGCCCCAGAACTCGGCTGTGTGAGGGTGGGCGTGTGGCCGTCTTGGTTAGACCCCGACCCCCTGATGACGGCCCGGATCATGTCGCCGTCGCGCACGGCATCCAGCAGCGGCTTCACCACGAGGGCAATGACGCCTTCGCCTCTGGCGTAGCCGTTCGCCCGGTGGTCAAAGCTAAAACACCGGCTGTCGGGCGACATGAAGCCCTGCGCCGAGAGCAGCTGGAACACGGTCGGCCCCAGGATCAGGTTGGATCCCGTGACAAGGGCCTGTTGTTTTGCTTAGCACGGGGAGTCAACCAATATTCGCGCACCGGTGCCACTCACGGCCGAGGCCTCGCCGCTCTTGATGGACTGGCAAGCCAGGTCGACGGCCAGCAGGCTGCTCGAGCAGGCCGAGTCGACATGGACGCTCGGTCCCCGCAGGTCGAAATACCAGCTGACGCGGTTGGGAATGATGGACGCAAAAGTGCCCGTAGTGGCCATGCGCGGATGGTCCTCGGGGTCCTGCGCAGTCATCCGGTTGTAGTCGTCAGACATGGACGCCGAGAAGACGGCGGTGCGCGACCCGTTGAGGCTTTCGACGAGAATTCCGGCTGCATTTTGACATCGTCTGTTAGCGAGCCAGAACGGCAGCGCAGTGATTGAGCAATGTCGACAGACCGTTTTCAAAGGCGCGGTACGACGCCTCAAGTGTCCACCGCTGCATCGGGTCCATGGATGCCGCCTCTTTTGCCGTGACGGAAAAGAAGGGGGCGTCGAAAACGGCCGGGTCTTCGTCGATGAAGTGGCCGCCTCGACATTGCACCTGGGCCAGTGTCAGAGTGAACAGACATGTTGCTTGGGATTCACAATGTCCTAATTACCTTATTGTAGTTGCTAGACGTGACTGATCCTATATTGATGCGCGACTCTGGCCAGTTTGTCGAAAGGTTCTTTCGGTGCGCCAGGACATCCCAGAAGCTGGCAATGTCGTCCACGCCCTGGGGGAGCTTGATGGAAAAGCCAACGACGGCTATGTCGTCCTCCATGGTCGACAAGCTAGTGACTACTACGGGAAAAAAACGTTTCTAACGGAGTGGGCTTATCTCGTTACAGAAAAGAACAAAAACGACGATAATTAGCTCGCATTCAGGATTCGAGATATCAAACCAAGATGTTACTCAAGTCTGATGTCAAAGTTATGATCGGAAACATGTTTCGATTAGACCCAAAGATTCGGGCCACTACGATTACTCTTTAATAGACCAAGTTCCGAGCAAACTAACGCGGAAATCACACCGAGCTGGACTCGATCAAACTGCCGCCCAGTTCCACGGCCTGGGAAGTTCCAAAGCAACATCAGACGAGATGCGCAAGCCCTGCCCATCTACACGTCACCGACGCACAATGCAGGAGAAGCTCCTGTCTCGGATCACAGAACGCAGGTTAAGCCCGCATGCAGTCACAGCAAGGGCTTTTCGCAGCAAGGGCTTTTCGGGCGGGAACTTAATGGTCTCGGCGAATGGTAGACCCGGATCTGGCCCGAGCCCGGACGCTAGGAGAGGCAAGGAACCTTATCACGCACGGTTGGGTCTGGATAGTCTCCGAGGCGGTTGTTGATCGAGATCTGTGGTTGGCGGGGGTGACAACTGTTCACGTGCTCCACTTGGTATGCGAACAGAGGGGATCAGAGGGGCGAGGAGGCAACGCGGCCAGAAACAGGCACTTTTGTGGAGATTCCCTCCAGTCACGGCTTGCCACATCAGTCGATGCTCCTGTCGATCGCCGTTCACCGTTGGGTGCCAAGCGGGCGGTGGCTGCAGAGTGTAGTCGCCAGTGCCAAGGGGCGGTGGCCGCAGAGTGCAGTCGCCAGTGTCAAGCGGGCGGTGGCCGCAGAGTGCAGTCGCCAGTGCCACTGAACACCGGATTAGACCTCGTCATCGCGCCAGACCGGAGCTCACCGTCTTGGGCTCTAGTGATAGCTCAGCCTATTTCTTCTTCCTCCAAGCCACTATCTCTCTCGCTACCAGAAAAAGACGCCAAACAGAAGGACGGAAATGGAAAGCCGAGGGAGACCGAGTTGGTGATGTCCCCTGTCTCCAGCGGCCGTGAATATTAATTATGTTGCACTGCGTGCCGTCCACCTTGCGGTGAGGAGTTACGAACATGGGATCAGAGCACAAAGAGATATGCTACGCGGATAACTGAAAGTTGTACGTATGAAATGGCGTAAAAAACACACGTAAAAGGTAGCCCGGCATCTACCCCTTTCTTCCAGGGTGCTAGATGGTTAACAAGTTGGGAGGAACTCTTCATGCTTGCCACGTTTCAAGACCAATTATACCCGCTTACTCTAACTCAATAGACGATTTCCGTAGGACTTGGCCGCCGAACAACGAGGTAATCTTGGGCTGAGACCGACTGTGCTATCTGGCGTAAGACGAACTCGGTACCGAAGGAGAAAAGTTGGGGAGGTATTAACTGCACGAGCCTAGACTTTGCACGAGCCTAGACCAACTTCAAGATATTTGGGGCCTGTGTGGTTGAGATAATTTTAATGCAAGAGCTGAGCCGTTTGTATTGTAGCTGGCAGGTGGCTGGCAAGGTGGAGGCCGAATTTCGGTTCTAGGCCTGTTGCTTGCTAGCGAGGGGGCTAAGTGAAAGGAGGCAAAGGGAAGCGATTCCCCGAACTCTATGCAGCACTTCGTATTTTCTCAGGTCATCGTGGCGTTTTCACGGATTCGTCGCTCCCCAGTTCGAATATTCCATATTCTAGTCCGCTACGTGGAAATTTCTCGAAGGTACGGGGACTCCGTGAAAAAAATAATAATAAAAATAATAATAAAAATAATAATAAAAATAATAAAAAAAAGAAAAAAAAAGAAAAAAAGAAAAAAAAAAAAGACAAAAAAGCCACAACCTCGCGTCACCACGAAGCACTCGCCGCCCCGAGTGCATTGTTTCCAGCGAAATTGCATCGAAGAGCTGCATGCCTCCCCAGCCGGGCTTTACTGGGGTTCTGATCAAAAGAAGAAAAACTGCAGGGGCCGAAACCGGAAATGGAGCCGTGGTCCGGCTCCCGCGGCGGGGGTTTCGTCCCAAAAGAGCAGCGATCTTCATCACCACCCCGGCAACGGCCCCTGACGATCGGCAGTCGGCACGCTAAGCCACGGCGAGCTCAAGCTTTCACTGGCGCTAACTCACTGCCGACGACGGCGCTCCACGAGAAAATAAACGTAAATAAAAAAAAAAAAAAAAAAAAAAACCAAAAGACGTCGAAAAGGGATATACTGACTTTGATGTTTATGCCTCTTTCCTCAACATTTAGAAGTATTTGGGCGTCTATCACCGTATCACGGTATTCGCTAGCCCGCCACCAACTTTTTCCCCGTCGAATTCGGCTGCCTGCCCGCGCGGAGACCAGAGTCGGCGGGACGGAAGAACAAAATGTACCAAGTACTATGTAGACTAATCGCCCCGCTCTATGCATACCGAAAGCAACTATGCTACGCACAATCTGCACTCTCAATGGTGCGTTCAATGGCCTTCAGCACCCCCTGCAGGCCCTCATCGTCGCCCGGCTTGGACCCCGGCACGTCGTGGGCCAGGCCGTGGAGACACACCTGGCGCACGTCGGCCTCGCACAGCTGGGCCAGTGCCTGGTGCACCTGGGACTCGCCAGGCGCGCAGTGCCTGGACCACAGGTGGGCAGTCGGGATCTTGACCAGCGCGCCGTCGTCGGCCGCGTCGAGTCGCCGGACGACTCCCGTGTCGACGACGTCGGGGTCCGCGGGGGCCGCCGCACTGAACAGCACGGCACACTTGAAACCGCTGAAAGAGGAGCCGCTGCCGTGCCGCGCGCCGCCGACGAGCATCATGGCCGCCACGGTGCCGCCCTCGGAGAAGCCCATCAGCCCATCAAATGGACCCTGGCTAGCCACTACGTCCGCCAGCCCGTGCCAGAGCTCGAGGTAGTTTTGCCGGCCGGCACCGTGGATGCCGTCCGTGAGGTAGCCAAAGAACTCGCTGGCGACATCGGCAGCACCTGCCCGTCCTGCAGTCAGTACATACAATGCAAAGTGCAAGGTGTAGCCAGTGCAAGGTGTAGCCAGTGCAAGGTGTAACCAGTGCAAGATGTAACCGTTACATGGCATAGCGGATAAATAAGACAGAAGAAAGGAAAGCGACGGACCTGCATCGGGCTCTGTTGCCACCGTGCCGTTAACGAAGACGAAGTCGTGGTCCGGGCCCAGAGCCTGGCGAATGCGAGCTGTTGTTGGCAGCCGTTGCAGAGTCGTCAGTCAGTGGTCAAGTCAGCCAAGACGGCCCCGCGCGGCGGAACGGGATTACGGATTACTGAATGGGATGGGTGTGGGCGATCATACACAAATGCAGCCGCCGCCGAGCCCAGCACACCGACTGTCCTGTCCGTATCTGATGTAGCGTCTTCAGGGATCGGGGTTTGGGGGGGGATTGTGATCGCCGAGAGAGAGGGAGACCTGCCTTACCTGTCTGCATCTCAAAGATCTTTCCAGAAAGTCGACGAGGGGTTTCCTGAGGTTAGATTTTGGGATGCCGTCGAAAAATACTGTAGGACTGAGACAATACCTGTGCACTGGTGCCTCGTCCGTGCAGGCAGAGCCATCGCATCTTGTCTTGTAGCCCGCGCGGATAATATCAGCCTCTCCTCAGTTATTTCGTCCTAGTGTTGGAGAGTTTATTTCGCGGTGCTGTTGTTGGCTCTTCAATGCACTGTTGTCAGCTCTTCAATGCACTGTTGTCAGCTCTTCAATGCACTGTTGTTGGCTCTTTAATGCACTGTTGTTGGCTCTTTACTGTCTGCATTGCATTGGTGACGAGGGAGGGAAATAGAGACAGTGTTGGAGGTGAGGCATGCGCGATCCCAGAGGACGCGATCACGCAACTCGAGGGTCTTTTTGAATGCAAATTAAGCGAGGAACTTTTGCCCGTGCCCGTTGAGCTAGGGTTTTGATCTATTGTTCCTTCCAAAACGAGTGGGAGCCGAGATGCACGGATACAAGGGTGGCGAGCGCCTTCGGAAGAAGGCTCGCTGACACAGCTATCCAGGGCCCGTGGGAATCAATAATTTTAGCCACGGTGGCAAGGGGTCACATCACCCCCCTGGCAGTTCGTCTGGATCGGCACCAACCCACCAAAGAGGAAGGATTTCTCCCACCAAAGAAGGATTTCTCCTCCAGAACTGCGTACGGCAGAGAGGAGTCGCAGCTGACGGCCAACAAGACGGTTGCAGCTACTAGCGCGAGCCAAACAGCCCCGTAGGCGATCGGCAGCCGCGCCCCCCATTCTCGGCAGACCGACGCAGTCAGCCAGGGGCAAGAAAAATCGAAGGGGAAAATAAGCAAAAAAAGAGAGACAAAACCGATAACCGTTGCGCATGACCCCTACCCATGCTGCCAACCGTGATTAAGTAATTCCCGGCTCCATGGTTTGCTTCACAAAACTTGAGACTGGTGTGTGGCGTGTGAAGTGGAAGGGAGTCGCACGAGGAGGCGTCCGGGGTTGTCAGCCAGGCCAGCCACATTCGCGGGTGGACATGGGCATGGCTTGAACGACAATAAAACAATAACAGACAATAAAACAATAAGAGAAACTTGCAGCTTTCAGAGGACCAGAAGGCCGGCGTCGTTCGTTTCTCTTTTTCTCGCTTCACCGTCGCCGTCGCCGTCGCCGTCGTCCACAGTCGACTACGCCGTCGTCCACAGTCGACTAATTCACTCTTTTGACGAAAGAAGGAGTGTTGTGTGTAGTTGATAGCAACAGGACAACAACAACAACAACAAAAATGGACAAGTTCCCATACCTCCCCAAGGCGACGCAGGACGCGCTGCTGGCCGGGCCCGCGCTCGCGCCGCCGCCCGGAGTCACGCCCAACTTCAAGAACCCGCCGAACAACAACGCGCTGGCCCACGGCGTCATGGCCGCCTGCCTCGCCGTCTCGACACTGTGTCTGCTGCTGCGCATTTGGCTGGCCATCCTGTCGCGGCGCGTCAAGGCCACCGAGTGTATGTCACCGCTTTCTAATCAGGGGCACTCTAATAGGGGCACTCTGATTAGGGGCACTCTGATCAGGGGCGCAGACACTAGCGAGACTGACATTTCTTTTTGAGAGGGACAGGCTTGATCATCTCGGCATTTGTTCGTCAATGTCTCTCTCCCCTTCAGAACTTTGTAATATCGCTGACCACGCCGCCGCAGGGCTGCTATCTGGGCTGGACCTTTTGCTGCTACCGCCTCGTCGACGTCGTCGGCTATTTCGTGCACCAGTGGGACGTGGTTCTGCGCAGCATCATCGACCTCAGCTACGTGTGTTTTTCTCTCCTTTTCGGCCCACACGAGACCCGGCTAACAAGACACCACCAGTACATCTCGATCGGCGGGGTGCTGTACTCGGTGACACTCCCGCTGCTCAAGGTGGCGATCCTGCTCGAGTGGACGCAAATGTTCGTGCCGCGGGGCACGCGCAACGCGTTTTGGTGGACATGCTGGGCGCTGATCGGCGTGCAGGTGCTGTTCGGGATCGCGGCCGTGGTCGCGCTCAACCTGGTGTGCGTCCCGTACCGCGCCATCTACGACTTCACGGTCCCCGGCAAGTGCTACAACAAGCACACGGTCGACCTGGCGTCGGCCAGCGTGCACCTGCTGACCGACGTCATCATGCTGGTGCTGCCGCAGCGCGTCATCTGGGGCCTGCAACTGTCCCTGCGCAAGAAGCTGGGCGTGTCGGTCGTGTTCAGCCTCGGCCTGCTCGCCGTCGTGTCGGCCATCTGCCGCCTGCAGGTGACCGTGACGTACGCCACCGCGCAGGACGTGACGTACACGCTGGGGCCTGTTGTGTTCTGGGCGTTCGCCGAGATGACGTGCGGCTTCGTCGTCAGCTGCATGCCGGCGGCGCCGCGGCTGCTCAAGGAGACGCGCGTGCTGCACCGGATCAAGAAGGCGCTGGGCATGCAAACGACGACGCTCGACGGCACCGCCGGGGCCGCCGCCGGCATGAGCCGCAGCAAGGGCACGGCGCTCAACATGAGCAAGCCGGCCACCGCCGCCGACAAGTACCACATGATCGACGAGGACGGCGTGTCGCTCGAGAATCTGGGCGGCGGCGCAAAGTCCGAGTCGACCGAGCATCTCCAGGAGGTGTCGGCGGCCAAGCTCGGCGGCCACTCGATCCTGCGCACCACCCGCGTCACAGTCAAGGGCGAGTACGCCCACGACGAAGGTGCCGCCGACGAGTTCGCCCGCCAGCCTGCCGCCTGGGCCGAGGGAGGACCGCTGCGTGCCCACAACCCGGCTGCCGAGTATGGGCGGAGGTGAGGCGGCCCTTCATCTGGCAGGGCCGTTGTGTTCAGCCTCTACATAAATCACTGTCCAGTCAGTCATTGGCACGCAGAGGCTGTTTTTTTCCTTTCGGGTACGACGCGTATATATTCAATGTTTACGTTTAGATGCAGTTGCGTATACTATTAAATAGAGCGCAAAGAAATGCTGCCCGATTTTCAGACCATCTATTAGAAGTCACCTACCTGAACATTGTTTCTTTCCCGGCCTGAACTTGGTTTCTTTCCCGGCCTGAACTTGGTTTCTTTCCCGGCCTGACCTTGATTTCTTTCCCGGCCTCACCTTGGATTTCTTTCCCGGCCTGACCTTGATGGGCTTTGATGCCTGCTTTGTCTGTGACTCTGCTCTCGACAACGTGGCTACGAAAAGTTGACCCTGTTTTCCGCCCCCACATATATACGGCTAGTTTCCGGAATTCGAAGCCGGGCGGCCCTTCCAGCGGCCTTCTAGTGGCTGCGCCGCGCATGGATTTTTACGCACCGGACGAGCCCGAGCGGGTCCGACGCTGTCAGCTGGCCCGCCACACTGGCCACCGTGGTTGTCCAACAGGGGATGGTGGGCTGGGTGGGCTGGGGTGGGCTGGGGTGCGTCAGGGGTCTGGGCCGGGTACAGTTCCGCGCTGGGCGGAAGGAGGACGCCTTCCATGAGCAGTACCCCGTAATTCCGCTGAGAATCCTCCCTAGACTAGCTACTACATGCTCGAGTAGTACTAAGTATGGCCGGCGCGGGCCGCCTAGAGCTAGCCCGAGAGGGCCTACTGGAATAAGTGCATAAATTTGATATCAATATTCCGCCCTTGACGCCGGTTGACTGGGGGCCGCCGATAAGACATGTCGTCCCGCCGACATCCGGCGCTATGGCCTTGTGCAGCAAGAGCACAATGTTGAGGTTTCTGTCGACTGTCGCTGCAGGTTGCAGGCTGCTATTCAATCAGAAGTGCAGCCCCGTCACCGCTTCGTTTGGGCCCGCGATGCAACGCTGCAATACGGGGTGGGGAAACTATTCGTTAGGCCACTTCGAGAGAGGGGCTACGATACTAGAATCCGTTGGAAGGCAACTGGGATAGTTCGGGGTAGAGTCTAGGTCTGTGGAGCAATTCCGGAGTATTGTGGCCGGCCGTCAGCACTTGAAACGCTGTTAGTCGCTGGTCCCTGCCGACTCGCCGAGTTGGGATGTGATTATCAAGGGCCACCAGGGTATCGCATCCACATTACTACACTACGCAAGACGCCAAAGGTCCACCACTGTCACCACTGTCACCGCTGTCACCACTGTCACCACTGTCAACACACACCCTATCACCACTATTAACCCTATCACCACTGTCACCCTGTCACCCTGTCACCACTGTCACCAACCGATATCGTCGCCTTTGCTTGGTCCAGTACTTGAACACAGCCGCAGCGGGGCGGCACTACACTGACAAGTCCACACCCGGGAAGGCCAAAACAAAAAGGCCGTCCCGTCCAGGGCGTCTCCCAACTTCCCCACCCAGACTAGGACTTGGTTATCCGCTGCAGACATGGCCAAGACGGAAGAGTTCCAGATCCGCCCCAAGGGCTGGGAGAATGACGCCGACGAGGAGCGGATCCGCTTCTCTAGCCTCGACTACCTGGCGGCCAGCACGTACAACAGCTACGCGCTCTTCTTCCGCCTCGACGACGCCGCGCGGGCCAATGCAGTTGAGGTGCTCAAGAAGGGCCTCGCCGTGACGCTGGCGCAGTGCCGGCAGCTGGTGGGCACCATCGAGAAGAACGCCGGCGACGACGACCACTCGTTCGTCAAGCGGCGCGACTCGGCCGTCAAGCTGGTCGTCAAGACGTTCGCGCCCGGCGACGGCGTGCCGTCGCTTGACGAGCTCGAGAAGGCCCACTTCGCGTCGTCGGCGCTGGGCGACTCGTCGCGGCTGCTCGTCGTCGACGGCATGACGTACGGCGAGAAGCCTGAGTGCCTGCCCAGCGCCAAGCCCGTCGTCGCCGCCTTCCAGGCCAACCTGGTCCCCGGCGGGCTCGTCTTCCTCATGAACCACCACCACTACGCCAACGACGTCATGGGCTGGGCCAACTCGGTCCACCAGCTCGCCGACAACTGCCGCGCCCTCGTCGCCGGCACGCCCCTGCCGCCGTGGGACCCGGCCAACCTCGACGCTTCCCGCTTCACCGCCACCGGCTTCCCCTCGGCCGGCAAGGTCGACGGGCCCATCCCGCCGGCGCGCCACCCGGACCTGCGCGAGCACGCGTCGCTGCTCTTCCACCTGCCGCAGAGCAAGGCCGCGGCGCTCAAGCAGCTCGCCACCCCGTCCGACCCGGACAGGTGGATCTCGACGTACGACGCCTTCACCGCCATGATCTGGCGCACGCTCACGCGCCACCGTGCGGCACTGTACAAGTCGGACCCAGCCGGCTCGCCGCTCTTCCTCGAAGCCGTCAACATGCGCCCCCGCGCGCGCCCGCCCGTGGCCCCCCGGCAGCAGCGCAACCTGTTCTGGGCCGCCGCGTCGGCGTACGCGCCGGACCCGCTGCTGACAACGCACGCCGTGGCGTCGGCGTCGCCCGACGACGGTGGCGTCCCGCTGGCGCGGCTCGCCAGCTACATCCGCAGCCTCACCGACGGCTGCGACCAGGCGGCGCTCGACGCCGCGCTGGCCACGCTGGCGCCCGTCCGCGACAAGACGGTCCTCTTCACGCGCGTCAACTCGTTCCCGCCGCTGACCATGGCGACGACCGACTGGCGCGACACGGATGTCTGTGGTGCTGACTTTGGCTTCGGCAAGCCCGTGGCGTTCCGGCATCTGTTCGATGCGGTGACGGAGGGCCTCGTGCTGATTTACCCGCCCCGGGCGGCTGCTGGTACTGATGAGGGATGTGAGTTTGTGCTTATGGTTGAGAAGGAGGTTGTGGATGGCTTGATGGCGGATATCGAGTTTGGACGGTACTTTGAGTTCAGGGGGTACGAGGTCAGGAGGTACGAGGTCAAAGGGTAGGTGTGTGGTTGGTGGATTAGTGTGGATGAGAGACGTGAGACGAGATGCAGGAGTAAAGGATGAACGATATTTCTTGAGAACTAAGGCCTCTTTGCTTTCACTCTGGCTTTGGTCCCGTTAAACAAACACGCTTTCAAATTCAACACCAAGAGTTTTAGGGACATCTCAACGTCTTCCAACTCACTAGAGCGTGCCTACTGACCAAAGCACCAATTTCTTTTTACAATCGGGTTTCATTTCTGGTCTCCGGGCCAGAAGCACCTCCCCTAGCGTAGGCACTAACTCGTATAAGAGACTCGGGTACGCATGGCGAACATCACGCGACTCGGCAGCGCAGGCGGCGTCAAATACAAAGCTGTGCCCGAAATCCCGAAATGGCGCAATGCCAGGGGGCTTGGCTGGGCGGGCTGGGCACGATGTTCTAGGCCGTGGCGTCACTGGCTGGACCGCGGGGCGTCACTGGTTGGACCGCGGGGCGGCAACGCTCCCACCGTGACAGTTCGCCAAGCTCGTCTACATAGGTAGGCCGCTGCCGACGGTCGAGAGCACGTCCGCAACCACCCGCTTCAGCACTTGGATGGAGTGATCCGCGTCGTACCTGACGCCATTTAGCCACGGCGATCTCGTGCCTTTTGGCCGCTATTTAAATGCGGAGGCGGTCTGCTCTCCGGGCTGACGATGCCGTTCTCGGGTTCCTGCATTTGTTTGCTGTGGTCGGGGTCGATCACTATCAGGACGGAGACCTCTCTGTATATTCATTCCTGCTGTCAACAAAACAGTCGAGATGAGGTATTTGGTTCTTGCCCTGCTCGCAGCACTGGCTCCGGCCAGCGCCGCCTACTCCGGGGACATTGTGCAGTACTGGTATGTCCCCTATCGGCTGTTGCTACATCACCTCCTCTGACGCCTTCCAGGGTCGAGCAGTCAGGGGCTCTTGTCAACGGCACCACCATCGGTAGCCTGCAGTCGCCTGTCTCGGCGTGGTACCAGGCCATCGTGCAGGCGGCCGTGTATGAGGCGGCCGTCAAGTCGAGAGGCGAGAGCCTGGCGTTCCAGCAGCTGGCCGTGTCGCACGCCGCCCACAACGCCATTCTGTGGGCCTTCCACGGCACGCGCATCTACAACGCTGCGGACGCTGCGCTGAGGGCTGTCGTCCCCGCCATCGGCCTCAACGTGACCTCGAACGACGGTAAAGAGGCCATCAGAGTCGGCCAGGACGCCGCGGCGAAGGTCGCCCGTGCCCGTGCGGCCGACAATATCGCCAACTTTATCGACTACGTCTTCGCCCCGGCCACGCCGGGCGTCTACCAGCAGACCCCCGGGTCGAACCCGCTCCCGGACGTGCCGCAGGCCCGCTTCATCGCTCCGTTTGCCGCGCTCGGCGACATCACGCGCTTCCGCGCGCCGCCGCCGCCAAAGACCAACTCGGCCGAGTACGAGACGGCCGTCTTGTACGTCAAGGAGTACGGCTCGCTCAACTCGACGGCCCGCACGGCCTACGACACGGACACGGCGTATTTCTGGAGGGAGTCGTCCGTCACGTGCGTCCCCCATCCCCCCCACCCCCTTCCCCTTGACTAGATTTGATTAATTAGACACAAAGACGCTGACCTCAGCTCGGCACCAGTGGCTGGAACCGCTTCGCGCACTCGGTCGTCGGCATCGCGCTGGCGACTGAGGTGGTCGAGTCGGCAAAGTTCTACGCGCAGCTCAACTACGCGCTGGCCAACGCGGGCTTTGCGTCGTGGGACACAAAGTGCTTGCCCCCGAATCCCTCTACACCCTCACCATCTGACCATGTCCAGATACGCATATAACTCGTGGCGGCCCGTCACAGCAATCCAGCGGACGGCGGACCGGTGGGTGGCGAGCGGGCGCGACGTGTCGGACGCGGCGTGGGTGCCGCTGCTGCGGCCGACGCCGTCGCACCAGGACTACGTGTCGACGCACTCGACGTTCGGGGGCGCCGCGGCCGCCGTCCTGCGCGCCTACAACGGTGGCAGTGATGCCGTGCGCGCCACCCTGACCAGTAACGTCACTATTGACGCCCGTGGGCCGATCACGCGCCAGTACTCCAACCTCACTGTCGCCGCACTCGAGAACGCTGCCAGCCGCGTGCTTGGAGGGGTGCGTTCTGTCTCTTTGTCCTTGTCTCTTTGTCCTTGTCTCTTTGTCCTTGTCTCTTTCCATATGCCTTTGATGTGTCCCGGGCGCAAGAAAGCTGACAGTCTCGGTGTCGTCGTGTGGTGAGTAGATTCACTTCCCGTTTGCTGGGTCTGCCGGTGTCGCGGTCGGTGACGCCGTCGCGCGCGCGACACTCAAGAAGTTTGATGAACACTGGGACGAGTTTTGAGAGTGGAGAGATGGGAAGGGGGAAGAAAAGGGGGAAGAAAAGGGGGAAGGAAAAAGGAAGCAGGTCTGAAGCAGGTCTTGTTCATGGCTACCTAGGTGACAAGGAATGAATCATGTGGCGCCCACCTGGCATCGCCTAGCAGCCAAGAGTCGAATTGGATCGAATCGTGTTGAACTATGGCCTGTCAAAGTGCGCAATTGTTGTCTAGTCAGCACCTAGACTAGCGCTAACAGCCTTGGAGCTGGTACTAACACTCGGAGCTGTGTTGACCCGATTGGGATGTGTCTCGAGAGCCCGCCGCTTTTTGTCACAGTTCTCACGCTTGGCCAGTTCACGCTCTGGCTGCTTATACAAAACTGAGGCTTGGGCTGCGTATCGCGGGCCGTGCCGCCGCCTCCACGCCTGCCTGAATCCGGGGCAATACGCAGGCATACGTTCGCCACGGCCCGAATTGTGAGAGGTCGAGGACGGAGCACGAAACAAATTTGCACACTAACGTCGGGTTATACAAGTCTTGGACCCGCACATAATTACAGCGCCTTAACTGAGCATGGGCTAGCGGCACGCATTACTCACGTTTGTCATGCGTAATTCCCTAATTATCGGAGTACCTACCCTAGCTCGCAAAAGGATCCGCACAGAGCCGCAGACCTCATCCCAGTGAGGGTTCACGGCGATGCCCTGCTTCCGCTGCGCCACATGCTCGAGTCCCTGCCACTCTCATCATCCGAAATGGAGAGTCAATAATACGTGGAGTCCATATGCGGAATCAACCAGGCCCCCCGTCCAGCCCCCAGTCCTCGGCGTGAGATGAGACACGAGACAGCCGCCAGGAACCAACCGACTCTGACATTCTGATCCGGACCGCTGGGACCTTCCAGGTGGCAAGATTGGCCCACGGGACAGACAGATATGAGACTGAGTAGTGGATGACCGCACCCACCTTGCGAGGCGGCTTATTACGTGCGGTTTTGAACGAGTCCCGATTGGCCCACCAAGTACGGAGTAAAATAATTAAGCCTAGAGAAACCTAGAGTAAGAAGCAATGATTGCTTGGGTCGAACCACGTGGTAGGAAGCGTTCTTGGCTGCCGGCGTTCACGTTTTGTGCCGGAGCGGAGGCGAGGAAGACTGCATCTCTGTTGCACGCGATCGAAGTTGACAGCGCATTGAATTGCCTGCTTAAATCCAATCTAGTAATACAGGAAAGAAGGCCTGTTATGCTTCGACCAAAAGACCGGGATTAGTCAACAGTATAGGCATCAAGGCCTATATAAGGGCCGATCAGCGTTGGTGGCCCAGTTGGTGGCAAAGTTCGGTCAGGGGGGCATGATTACGTGACAATATGCAGTGTTTGGAGGGATATGCAGGCAGTGGCTCAAAAGTGGCTGACAATCTCTCATCCCCACGACTCTTTGATAGCTCTCCTCTCAGCACCTTAAATCATTGACAGTTTGACTAGGCCTGCAATGGAGGGAGAGCTTGGCTGACTGGCTAGCCAAACGGACTAGCTTGCAACCGGCCTGCTTAACTACAGGTCAACCGCAAAACAACTGGCAGGTACCTTGCGACCGGCAAGTGCCGCCTTTTCTCGGTATTAATTACATAGTACGTAGTAGTTAATAGATTCGAAACTGGAGCTGATGAACTGGGGCCCCCGGCCACTTGCACACGCCAGCCATGCTCTTCATCCGGATCCTAATTGGCTTGACTGACCCAACGGGTGAGATTGGATTGCTCCTGCAGAATCATGCCAAAGCTGTGGCCAAGATGGTGCGCCAACAATGACAGAAAGCGGTAGTAACCAAGGTATCCGACTGCAAAACTGTACTAGGCACAGGCCAAGCCCGGCCTAGCCTGGATCACTTAATGGTCCATGCACCACCAGCCTATCCCCCTTGCCCCCTACCAAAAATTTTTCGCCTGCGGGCAGATAGCTTAGATTCCTCAAGCGATCCACTACGTTTTCTAGTAAACTGTGCACCTCGCATAAAAACTTGGTTAGACAAAGATTATTGAAGCAAAGAAAAGAGATGCAGGTCGACGCGCGCGGCCGATGAGGGGACCTGTACGAGGCCCGCGGACGCCGACCGACTTACCGGTGGTAGGGGCATGGAGGATGGTGGGAGGACGGAGGAGGGGTGCCCTGTCGACACCCGCACTAACTGCCGCACTGATATCAAGGCGGCCGACCAGAAACCTTGCCCTTGCTGCGCCCATATCTTGGCGTGTGCACCCTCAGCCAAAGGTGGTCGTCTCGCTTCTTCGTACAAGTTATTGGCCCAGAAGCGTCATGATAGTTTCACCGTCAACTCGTTTCGTCAACTCGTTTCGTCAACAGGCAGCGCTGGCACCAATCTAAATAAATGCTAAATCAATTTGACCTCCAAAAAACCGTATTTGTAGGCAAATAAGCCATTTTGGAGGTCAAATTGAGGCCAAATTGGGGTCAGGTTAATTGGCATATTTGTAAATATTTCCCATTGGTTGAGCCATTTTTGGGCCCAATTTTCCGGGTTTTCCTGGCACAATCCCTGAAAAGGCCAACCCTGCATTTTCTGGTCCCGGGAAAATCCTCGAATGCCTGAATTCGGGTGCCACCGTGCCGCTGCAATGCAACTATCGCCAACCGCTGTAAACAAACTGCCGAATCCTACCTTCTTGCAGCGATTTCCCTGCTTCCTTGGCTCCCGAGTCCTCGACAACATGCCTGCCTCCACCGTTGATGTCACGACCCTCTCGACAAGCCTCTCTACCGCTGAAAATCGCCCTTGGGCGAGTTAATGAGGACCCTGAAGGTCAAGGGCTTTTTTCCGTGCGATTCGGGGCTCGATTTCCTTGTTTTTTTGGTAGAGCGGCAAATTCCGTCAAATAAGTCGAATAAAACCCACCCAATCAGAGAGAGCCTCTTACACAGATAAATACACAATTTTGGGCCTCAAATACAGTCAGGCTGGCGGTCCATTCCATTTCCATCCACGCAGCCTCTAGTAGAATGTATGGACGTCCATTTGGGTCCACCTCAAATGGAATGGATGGAAATGGACGCTAAGAGTAGGCCCGTGGAATGGATGGACATGGAATGGAAATACGTGGACGCTAGCTATAAAGGGACGATACACGTGATCCTCCCCCCTGTTGCCTCCCGGGCTTCCGCAAAGCTCAACTCAGCCAACAGATCAGTCCCTGGCGCCTTGGCTTCTTCAAGAAGCTTCTCTGTACTCTCGATATATCCCCCACGAAGCCATGATCTCACTGTCTGTGTCATCCCGATCGTACTAGCGTCCAGCCTAGCTCGTTCGTCTCGAACCATTCGCCCGCATGTTGAGAACAGTCTCTCGACATCAGCAGACATAGGAAGGACAGAAAGCACATCGAGAGCCATTTGCGACAGACGTGGATACTCTTCCCGCCTCTCATACCAATAGCTAATAGGATCTAGGACATTCTGGTCAGACTTATGGACGTCGCGGAACCAATCGCTGTATTCGTCGCCAACAGAATGAGCTGAACCGCCGCCCACGTCCTCAGCTTGCAACAGGGGAGTCGTCGATGAAGGTAGCTGTAATAGAGTCGGGGCAAGACGGGATTCTTCACGATACTCATCAAAAGGATTCCGATATATGCGCCGCTTCTTCATGACTGGCTCGCCGCGGTCTCGATCCCGCGAGATAGTTCGCCACTCGTAGTGAGACCGGTATAGCCCCTCTACAACGGATTTTGCAGTCTGGATCCAGTCCGGGCGATCCGCCCAGACGTCCTCGAAATATCCCCAACGGTACGCCGGGTGAAGTGTAATGGCGGCGTAATAGACCGGCGTCTCGTCAAGCCGCGAGTAGTACCTGTCAAGCTTCTTCCAACAGAGGTTAATATTAACCTTGAAGTGTTCAGGATCGGGATATCGATGAGCGGTAGCCTTGTATATCTCCATTTTACCAAGGAGGTATTCGTAGCCAAGCAGGATATCCCATGGACACCCATACGCTTCGATGTATCCTTCTTTCCGCTTGCGCTGCTGACCATCGCCTTCAAGAGTAATCAGGACGTGCTCGAAGTGTTGCAGGACCTCGTTAAATAAGGAGATAATAGCCCAGTCTTTCTCTCCGAGTTTGTTCTCGTCCCTGAGGCAAAGTGGCACGTCGCTGTTTGACTTCTTTCCCCTCAATACCAGCCCCTCCCACTCGCTTTTCTGTTCGTACCAAAGATCCTGGAGGAAGTCCTTTAGGAGAAGGGCACGCCGAATCATATAAAGAGTGGATAGCCAACGGGTGACCACATCGGTGATAACATCTAGAGGTTTCTTCGCTCGAGTCGCCGGATCATCAGACTTGCTATACGCGGTAAGCTGAAGAAATCGAAGGTGACTGGTCAGAGTGTCTGAACGGTGGATCCAGAAGACGAGGTTATGGAGTTTCCCAACCGGTCCTTTTCGTCTCCATAGCTCGTGGAGTTTCGCGTCAGGTGCCTCGTTCCCTTGAATATCGTCCTCGAAAGCCTCGGAATCATGGCCAAAGAGAAGTGCTTTGACGGCAAGACTGAGGATGTGGCCAAAGCAGCGTAATCGCCGAGTTTTACCCTCAAAACCAAGCGCCTTCCCAATTTCTTCCATCGCCGTATCGTTATTCTTAGCGTTGTCGAGTGTGAAATATCCCACCTTATGAGCTATGTCGTAGCTTCGAAGGACCTCGACAACATGGGCGGCGATATTGTCGCCAGAATGGCGGTCGACCAGCTCAGGAAGGCCGAGCACGAGTTTTCCCGGCTGGCCAAGGGTGTTGAGAAAATAGCAACAGATTCCATACAAAGCGTGGCGATTATTGGACCTCCAGCCATCGAATGCAATATGAATTGACCCCGGGGCTGCCGCTAATACTCGCTTGATCTCCGCCTTGTTTTCCCCGTACACCTGAAGAATCCGCCTGCGGACTGTATCGTGCGTAATATGCGCTTCGGTTGTCTTTACGAGTGGATTGAGATACTCGAAAGCGGCACGGAGGTATGGATCTTCAGTTTGTCGGAAAGAAGAGTTGCTGTTGATGATCCATGAGACAACCAAACGCTGGAACACTAGCCGATCAAAGCGGCCAATGATCTGGTTTGCGATCTGCTGCTCTCGCACGTCATGAGTATCCAGCTTCATCATCTCGGCTATATTCCTCGATGGTGTCTTCTCCTTTGCTTTGCTGGGCGGTCTCCGCTTTCCGGAAGGGTCATAGACCTTGTGGTCATTCTAGAGATGGATCTCCGCGTTCTGCGTACCGCTTGAGGCTGTCGAATGAGGGTTGGGCTTGCGACTGTCAACACAGACCTTGCAAACCCATCGCCGTTTTGTATCATCGTCGCTCTTCTCAATATCGTAGCCGAATTGCCATATCCATGATGATGTGGACGCGCAGCGTTGAGATTGCGTGTATCCGGGAAAATCTTTCCAAGGGAAGAGGCCCCACGAGTCCTTCCGACTCTCCTGATCTGGCGACTTGAGAGCCATAGAGCTGATAACCGGCGTCTTAGCCATTCTACGCGGTACTCATCGAGAATGGACTCGTCTAGACGCGTTCGACGCGACACCTTTGACGCGAAATGTCCAAGACCCATGGCTGTTCTATTCTGTTTAAAGATCCTTTATTTGTATATGGAAATGACCGTATTATAGGTACCTGAGATCTCGGCCAACCATGACCAAGCTTGTTTCCACCTGAATTGCAGGGGTATTGAGGGGCCAGACCAGGACCACCCCTACCCTTTCACACCCCTGCTTCCATTTCCACGCATCCACTCCACGGAGCCCTCGCGTGGATGGATGGATTATGTAACGGGCAGGTCCGTGGAATGGATGGAAATGGATGCACGGACCATCCATTTCCACGGCGTGGACGCGTGGACCGTGGACGTGGAATGGATCGCCAGCCTGTATAATAATACAGTCAAATAAGGCTTCATATTTGGCCTGATTGAATTGATGCCAGCGCTGTCAACAGGCCGCGTGACTCGGGTCTGGTTGAGAAGAGGCCGGTCTCATGCTTCATCATTGTCGTGGACGTGGGACATGGCAACCGGCGCAACCGTGTCCCATTATTCAGCTAAAAGGAGCCACCGTAGGCGAGCTTGCGAGCCCGAGGTGGCGTAGAGGGCTGTCTCTTCTACTATGGTCGCGAGCCAAAATAAAATACCCCCTGTCATGTACCTGTGGGGCGCCCCACTTCCACCCATCAGGTTCTTTCTACGGCCTTCTATTTACCAGAATGCTAAAATCCGACGTTTAACCATAAATTCCACCATTCTGCATTCCAAATCGTCATCTTCGCAATGGCTCGCCCAAAAGGAACCTCTAGAATTAAGCAACTAACCCTCACCGGCCATACTCGCATCCGTACGCTATACTTCGATGGAGGCCTCTCTCTCTAAGGCCGAAATCCAAAGCCGGCTCCCCTCTTTTATAGAAGCGCAAATCCGGCAAGCGATTCAAGAAAAAGAGCCGAAAAAGAGACCTGGCCGCCCCAGAGTTCTTTCGCCAGAGTAAGAGGAAGAATTAGTCGAATTTGTTTGCTTGAGCAAGCAAAATCAAAGGATGACCTTTCTCGAGCTCTCAACTGTTCTTTTTCGGCAATCTTCGGAGTCTGGGTAATTAAAAAGCCCTCTACCGCCTCGGTTTTCGTCGTCGTATCGCTCGTCAGAAGCCTCCACTGTCTGAAAAGAATCGTCAAGCGCGCCTAGAGTGGGCCAGAGATCATGTCTCCTGGACTCTAGAGCAATGGAAGAAGATTCTTTGGACGGATGAAACGTGGGTGAAAGGAGGCAATCACCGAAGGTAATACGTCATACGCCGGCCAGGAGAGGAATAGGATCCGACCTGTGTAGTAGAAAGGCACCAGCGGAAGCGAGGCTAGATGTTTTGGGGGGTTTTCCACGGCTCAGTTAAAGGCCCTCGTTTATTCTGGGAGAAAGAAAGAAAGAGGCAAAATCAATAAGGAGAGCTATTGCGAGCGACTCGTACCTATTATTGACGGCTGGATTCGCTTTCGGAGGCAATATCACGGCGAGGAGCTTATTCTAATTTAGGATAGGGCTCCTGGGCATGCTGCTGCGGATATAAAAGCTGAATTAGAGGCCCGGGGAATAAAAATCGTATCGGATAAACCTCGGATCCCTTAAGCCGCATAATACCGAGCGCAGCGAGCAGCCCGCCGCAGGCGCCCCCGGAGGGCCGCCGGAGGCACCGTTCAGCGACCCCTCCTGACTTGCCAGGTAGCTTATTTTAAGTACGCCGGCGGCCACTCACTAATTAGTTAGCACGGCCAACATATCATCAGATCATCCAACCGTCCTGCCCAGCCCATGGAGTAATACGTGTCTCTTTTTATTCGCCATGCCTCCCTCCACTAGCGGGCAAGCCCCCAGCCGTCTAGGGTCTAGGGCATCTTAGACCATATCTTCAAAAATTTCACAACAGCCGTCACCCCGCTCAAGGACACCACGGGTACAGGGCCGGCAGGCAAGAAAGCCGCTGGCACTTCCAATACGTGCCCTGGCATTGGTATGAGTTTGTCGGCGAAACATACTGGCAGTCGGTCACTTGCAAAAGAGGCGTTAGAGAATTAGAAATCATGGCCGACAAAAACGAGTCCAAAGACATAGACGCCCCGAATAACTAGAGCGTATGCCTCATCATGGCACCCAAAGACGGCAATCCCCAGTCGGCGATACTTGTAGGGATTGCGGCGACAGACATTCCGCATAAATAGAAAAAATCCCAGGCGACAGTAACACCTAGGACCGATGAGGAGGGGAAGATGACGGGCGTATGGCCCGGATAACATTCAAGATGGTGACCTCCGACAACCACGAAGCCGCCAAGCTAGCCGCCGTGAAGGTCTACTCGGCCCCAATCAAGGGTACCGTGCCGTTCCGTTTGGCGACATGTTCGTGGCGCTGTGGGTGGGGCCGCGCGGCCGCTGGCTGTACTACGTCCTGAAGGCTGTACTACGTCCTGAACGACAAGTCGCGGGACCACCAGGGATGGATTCAGGACACGTTTGACCTGTTTTGCGGACGCGGCGGCGCGGAGCCCGACGCGCAGCTAGCGCCGCTCGCCACGAGGACCTTCATTGCCGACCCGGGCACGGCGGATGCCGGACGCGAAGCCCTCAAGAAACGATGGCTGACTCCGGCGGCGGCTAGGCCTACCCAAGAAGCCTTCGCCACGGACAGGAAGGCTATCGTGGTAACCACGGATGAGATCGTGCATAGATTTGAGCGATATGGGTCAGCATTATTAGCAACGCGTCATATGTTGCTGAGCAAGACCTGCCGGCATCGACATAAGACCTGCGGCTTCGACGGTTGAATTGGGCCGGGAAATCGAGCAGAGCTGGAGCTGGACTCCAGCCTCTATAGGTTCAGATGGGCTAAGCAGTCCGAGATAGCCGACAGGTTGTGATGGTCGAGTAGCCGAGTTCCATTAGCTATTATCAACCTCTGCTGTGGAGTCTGATACTCTCGGTAGATGGTTTTGCCTTTGCGTCATTCTGATACTGTTACTCTGTTGCTTCAATCTTACAGCTGGGTGAAATGAAAGGGAGATGGTGAGTGGGCACAAAAAGTAATTGGCTGGTAAGTTTAGGATTAGACGACAAAACTCAGACATTACTGGAAGGACGAGAGTGGGGGGGAGAGGGAGTTAAGGTACCAGAGCCAAGCCCAGGGCCACGGCCAAGCTTGCCTTGCTCGGTTTTACCCTAGTTTCATTGTGAGCCTTGCTGCCCCTCGGACCCGAGCTCGGACTTTCAGCCTCGCACTTTGTTGACCCTGAAGATGGGCAAAAACTAGATGTTTCATAGCTGAAGCGGCCGTTAGGATTTGACTGTGCCACTCCAGCGAACCCTAAAACGCCGTCTTTTGGCCATCTTGCAAACCAGAAGCCTGTCTAGAGTTGTCTTGCGAAGGAATGCCGTGAAAGACAGAAAAGGCAGGTCATACTGTGTTTTTTTTCAGCGTCTGATTTTCCCGTTATAAATAACAGAAGTGGGAGCCATATCTCGCCAGGCCAGTTCCAAAATGCCCATGATCTCCTACTTCTCCCAACATATATAGTATCCTTAAATTGGGCACTATCGACGCCATGTCCACCCCCACCGCCACGTTGACCTCGGGTGGCAAGCCAGTCATCAGCAAGACAGCCGCCAGCGAAAAGATTCCCAGTGAGCCCAGTTCGAGCAAAAATGTACCCAGCGAGCAATCCTCGAGCAAACACATGAACCAACCCCCGTCAGAGATTGAGGCTTCTCCACAGTCCAAACCTCTCCCAGTGCTCGATAATCTCCCAGAGGCCCAAAGTCATTCGGGGCCTTTCGCGTCGCCCCAGGAGGCGTTGAAATTCATATTCGAGGCCCCTAAGATTTCCGCGGTCAGCGGTAAAACGAAAAAGGGCTGCTATTGGTTTGAGTTTTCCGACCACCCAGATTGGCAATCAGCTATTTGCGAAAGGCACGTCACGGCTGTAGAAATCATGGCCGATAGACTCGTGCCAGCTGAGGGGTGCATGAACAAGTGGAGCATGTACTTCGTCCTCGCGGAGGAAGCCCGTGACTCTAGAGCGGTGATTCACCTAGATATCTCGCCCACAGACACCAGACACGAGTTCCAAGGAGAAACGCTGCTCAACCGGGGGAAGACAAATGTCGGCTTCATGGCCAGATTTACCTTTAGCACCATGACCACGAGCCAACACAACAAAGCCCGCTCAGACGCCTTGGCCTCGTACACCATTCCCGCCGCAGGCTCGTTCGCAGCGCTGGCATCAATTCAATCAGGCCAAATATGAAGCCTTATTTGACTATATTTGAGGCCCAAAATGGTGTATTTATCGATGTAAGAGGCTCTCTCTGATTGGGTGGGTTTTATTTGACTTAATTGACGGAATTTGCCGCTCCACCAAAAAACAAGAAAATCGAGCCCTGAATGGCACCTTGAGACCGGAAAAAAGCCCTTGACCTTCAGGATCCTCATTTACTCGCCCAATTCTTCGTGCACATGAGGTAATTCAGGGTTTCGTCGACCATACTATTTCTCTGTGTGCCAAGGACCAGTTTTCCCTAGCTGAATGCCCTCTCGCACTCTGTTGACATAGACGGTATTGACAACAAGTTAAAAGCCATCTTTGACAACCGGGGCCAACGCTCTCTTCTTTCCTTCCACCAAGCCAGTATATCATCCACCCGCCTGACGCTTTCGTGAAGGTATTCAGCTAGTTCATCCTTCTGGTTGGGGTCATCAGGGTCATTATGGTAGTCGTGAGTAATAAGATGACTCCCTCGACCTTCGTGAGGCGTACGAACCGGCACCGGGAGAGGGATGACGGCGTACTCGGCCTGGTAGAGACCCCGGAATGCCCTCATCGCTTCTTCGGCCCGCCCACCGCCCAGGAACTGGGTTACCCACTTCTCCTTATGCCCTGGGTGTAGTATCATGGCCGACCAGTGTGCTGGGCTCTCCTCCATCAATCCAACGTATTCTCTGAGCTTCTGAATAGCTAGGCCAATGCTTGTTCGAAGAAAGGATAGATGATCGTCGTCAAGATCAGGTGTTGAGGGCGGCGGGGAGGGTGGAGGGTTGTTTTGTAGGTCGGCAACAAGGTCGAGGGAGGGCGGCCTAATCTAGCCGGTCGGCAGGCGCCGGGGTAGGTCGATGACCAAGTCGTCGAACCGGGCAAGAAGACGACGGTTACGCTGCGACCGTTGTGATGCTTCCCTAGTAAACAACACGCCGTTGTCATCGTCGTTGTCTATGCTGAATGATAGAGGCTGTTGGCTTGCGACCGTGATCTCTGGGTGGGTGTGTACTGGGCCGCCGGTAAAATCGGTAATGGCTTCAAGGTTCGGGTGTAGGGTTCGAAGGCGATCCTCAAGCAGATCGATTAGCCACTCCTGTGTAGCGAGGACTTCAGGAAAGGTAGCCGCGCGCCCTTCAAACCACTTTGTAATCTTCTTAAAAGGTTCAAGAATAGACAAAACAAGGGAAAGTAGGTGCCAGTCACTCGGTTGTAGCAGGTCGGCGGCGGGCATACGCTTCCGAGGGTCCTTCTCGCTCTGATTTTTATGGCACCAGTAATCTACTTGGCTCTGTAATTGCACCGCGCGTTCGATCATGAAGAAAACAGAATTCCAACGCGTGGAATTATCACCACAAAGCTGTAAACCTTCGACTGACCTGTCAAATATAACCGTGCCGAATTCCTGTGCATCTTCATCGCCGAGCTGATTGCGCGCGACCTGTAGGAAGGAATTCCGGCGTTGTGGTGACCTCCGAATAAAGTGGACGACATTATGAAGCTTTCCAACCGGCCCTCTCTTTCGCTACATCTTCAACAACGCTTCTTCCTGCTCGGGCGGTAACTGGCCGATGAAGTCATCGTCAAAGGTTCTTTCGAGGCCAGTCGACTTGCCGAGAATGAAGGCCTGCGCTGCTAGGTTGAGGATGTGGCCGAAGCAACGTACACGACGCTTTGTGGCTAAGGAATCCCGGGAAAACCGGCCAAGGCCAGGAATTAACGACTCCAAGGTAAATTTTACTGCCCAGTCGTTCGAATCCACGTTGTCACACTAAAAATAACCAACGTTATTAGCGAATCCGTAGTCGTTGACTAGCCGAGAGATGTAGAGAGCCTAGTTCTCGCCGCTGTGAGAGCCTCGAAGGTGCGGCATTCCAAGCAGGTCTTGTTGTACGGCGCCGTTAACATCGGTGTAATGCACGAAGACCGCTAGGTAGGAAACTGTCGCGTTAGAAGTCCAAATATCGAACGAGAGATGCTTCTTGTATGGCGATGCGGCTAACCTCTCACGTAGGGCCTGTTGTTCAGCCTCAAATCTCTTTCGAATATGCTCTCGTATGGTGTTGTGCGAGGAAGGAATCAGGGCGGCTGTCTTCTCGGCATTCAGGTTCATGCAAAATCACGAAATCCCTTATGCTCAACGATGCTGAAAGGCAGGTTCGAGCCGACGACTAGATCGACGAGCTTCTCTTCTATAGAGAGCTTGTGAGGTAGTAAAACATGCCTCGCGCGCTTCGTATTGACCACTTCAAGCGTACGTTGCCTTTTTCCTGGCCTCTCAATACCAGACTGGGAATTGGATAGGTATAATTTGTGGTCTTTTTCCAAATGTATAGTCGCCGAGCTTGTTGACTCTGCCTTGAACAGCTTCTCGCAATAGTGGCATGCCTAGTAGTATTCTCCCTCGATGACGGCGTTGTTGATGACCTGGGCGACCCAGTAGCCGTGATCACGAATCCACGATGTCCTTTTTGGTGTTTTTCCTGCCCACTTTTCCGGTATGAAGGACCCTCTTGGTATTTTTATCCTCGGCCAATCCTTGACTTCAATTCCTGCTAGATCTTTGAGATCTACTCCCTCTTCAAGGAGCGCATCGAACTGTCTAGCTACTCGTGATAGCTTCGGACGACCGAATGTCCTTCTGACTCGGGCATTACCCCGCGTTTCTCGTGGCGAACATATGGGTTCTGAACTCCGCTCACCATAGGGCCGACTGGTTCTCGGCCCAATCTCCTTCTCCCCGCTCCGTTCCGCTCTACGGTGGTTGCCTGGTGTCTCCTGGTTGAGCAATCTCGTGCCGGAGCAATATCCACTTTAGTAACCGGCCCAGTGACCATTGTCGTGGCGAACGCACGTATCTTCGCTACAGGGCCCGCTGGTCTCGGCCCAAGTGTTGCCAATGATTCTCTTTCCAATCTGTTTCTGCCGAGCTTGGCCCATTCCAATACTTGAGCGGCAGACCATTCGGGCTCACCCCCCTTCTCGGCACCCGTCTCTCCCCTCCTTCCTCTTATTCCCGTCTATCCCCACACGGAGCCGGACCCAAGGGGCCGGCCGGTGTTAGGACCGGTGCCCCTTCTTTGAGCCGTGAAAATAGGGTTCACTTTTGGCGCTGCATCCACTCGCTACCCACGGCACCCCCACAGTGTTTATAGTCATCCCTTGACAACGTTCACTTTGGGATGCTGGATGGGCCTAGACAGACAGCTGAACGCCGAAAAGCATTGCTTTTTTTATATTGGAGAAATGATTCCGCACTGCTCGCGGCATGTGAGAGATTGCAGTACAACAGGGCTGGTTGGCCGCCGACTCAGATGCTCTAATCTCTCCGACCCGCCCCTATTAAACTCGATCAACACTTGGGTGCTAGGCCTTTCCTAACTGGGAGTGCGCTACTCGGATCTGCTGAATTATCCATCCCTCTTTCCTGCGTTCCGCGTCCCGGCGCTCTGGTGCCGGACCCAAGGAGGCGTTCGAAGGCGTTGGTGTTGGGGCCAATGCCTCGTCTCGGGCAATGAGAGCAGGGATCCCGCTTCGGCATTACGTGTTTCCCATGTTCTCCCCATATACCCCCTGCGGTTCCCACGTCGTTATGTTGGGGTGATCTGGGCATAGACGAACAGGTCCGAAGCCGAACCCGGGGAACATTGCTTTTTTTCGCGTAAACGGAGAGAATCATCCCCCGTTGCTCGTGGCAAAGCTCCCAATCTTTGTAATGCAAAGGCTAGCTGATTTCTTTGTCCTGTGGGTGCATATATGTCTGGCTACCCAGGCTTCCTCAAACTGCACTTTCCTGCAGAAGCCATGACGCCTGTCTTGCCTCACCTTGTCTCCCTTGCACTCGTTTATCCAAGATGTGGGACAACACCACTACCGATCGATCCATCGACGACCAGCTTCCAGAGGCAATTGCCGGCTACACATTGTCCTGCCTCCTTCAAGGGCTATTGATCTTCACCTCCCGGCAAATCATTCAACAGTCGTTTTCCAAAAAGCTGAAGACGCCACTACTGCGAGCTCGAGTTCCACTCATTTGCTCGACTGTTCTCTTGGTCCTTTTAGTTGGTTTTGCTGTTGTTTTTGGCCTCGCCCGGAAGGCGGTTTGCATTCCCCATCATTATGCATACCCGCTCTTTGTCGCTTGGAAAGGCGTTTCACTTTTGTCTGTTCAGGTATCTATGGTATTCTCCACCAAGTCCCCCTCCGTTCTCGAATGTTATTGACACACTACAGGTTATCGGCCGCCTCTATACATTCTACACCAAACATCCGATGGAGGGCCAGAAATTAATACTGGCAGCTTTCGTTGCATTTGCGACCCTGTACACCGCTCACACTGTTATGGGGATCGTGCTACTTGTTCATCCGAAGTTCGCTGATAAGCGGTTTGTTGATAAGCGACTTTCGGAGTTCTTGTGGTATTCACCGGCCTATGTCCAACTTGCCATTGGCATTGCTGGCATTGATACGCTCACCCGATTGCGTCTACAACGAAGTAACGGCGGGATATGGAAGAACCTTCGGTTAGGCTTTGGGAAGGGCATAGCATTCTGGAGGGTACTGTCATGGGCATTTATCGGGCTTGGGCTGTGTTCACTTTCGATAGTAGCTGCGGTATATGGTTTGCCGTATTGGGTTCAGTACTTATCCTGTGTGGTCTCTTGGCTTGAGTTTGAGGTATGGAATCGGTTGACAAAGCTGTGGGGATCGAAGGAAACGCAACCCGGTACTATGAGTCGGCTCAGTACCATGCCGAGTTCCATGGGAAATCTCTGCGCAAAGGATTTGGACAGCGGAGACTCCATCTAAGAATGGTACAATTGCGACTGTAGGAGCCGCCTCGAGTCTGCAGGCAGTGGAGAGTTCGGGGCCAGCCAAGTTTTCCACCTCCCTTTCGAGGCCCAATAGTTGAGGGAGTTGTTTCGAATCATTGACCACGGTAGATCTGGTACTGTTATTGCCTGATGTGTTAATTAGAATTGTTAGCGTGGCGTAATTTCTGTTTGTCGAACTGAGGCGACCGAGGTCAGGACCAGTTACGTCTTCTCTCTACATACTGTCGATGGCCCGGCATGGAGTCGTTGTTTAGATTGGGGTCTACGGAAAATCCTGGGTTAGTCCATTTCCTGGCCGCGACAGACAGATACAGGGATGGGTGTAAGGGGGTCCGAGAGTAGAAGCCGGGTAGGGTGGGACCTCAATCCTACGGGGCGGCCACCGCTCTGTCGGTGCCTTGGACGTCTGACTCGGCATTGTGGTATCGTATGTCTCTCTGTACAAGCTTCCCTGCTTTCCCACCTCGGCCGCGTTCACTTGTCGCAGCTACCCTACCCCAACTTTCCCCCCAGACATCTACTCCACGCGGGCCTTTCGATACTCCAGTGAGTCAGGGTCTCGAATACTACACGCCTCGGACCTGTCGAGCATTGACCTAGTCGCGGACGCAGCGGCCGATTCGTGCCACAGGCCGCCACGGTGGGATATACCCCTCGTGGACTACTTCTTCCGACCACCCGCTCCACAGTCGAGCTTCCCGGCCCCTGGGCTGCCGCTCAGCCTTTGTCGCTCTCTTGTGTGTTTCTGGCGCGTGTAGTATCCGTTTCGCCAGTCTCGGTCAAGGCGCCCGCCGACGATCGCTTCCGACAGCACTGACTCTATCCCTCGTCCTCAGCCCTGATCGGACCTCAACTACTGCTCACTTGCACACTTAAAACTGCAGGCGTTTTCCCATTCGTTTCCTGTCATTCTTTTCTTTCGCCATCTTTGCCTTCCATTCTTACGATTCCCCCAAATGCCTCCACCCTCGTCCAACTTTGCTCGGTACTAGCAGAGTCTGTGCCCTTGCCTCGCCCCCCCCCCCCCCCCCCCCCCCATTCCATCCTCACTTGTGCTGCAACGAAACGCCCCCATCCGTGACGAGGCGAATCTGTCAGCTCGCTACTGCCACAGATAGGGGCACGCGTCCTAGTATCCTCACTTGGCACCACTCGCCGCCTCATTCATCCATCCTTCCTCTCAACCGGCATACGTCGCAACCAGATCCGATATCCGGGCTGTAAAGCCACCCGGCTTCTACTGCTAGTCCATTCTGCGACCATCCTAGTACCGTGACGGTATATTAACGAGCGAGCGAGCAAATATGAAGGACAGGCAGAAGTCGCGAAGTGGGTGTCTAACATGCGAACAGAAACGGGTACGCGGCCCGGAACCCAACAATTTTTCTCTCTGCCGCCGAGGCGAAGGATGGCAAGGAAAAATCTGCGCTGATTGACTGACATACTGATAGCTCCGGTGCGATATGATCAAGCCGAACTGCGACAACTGCACAAAGAAGGGCTTGAGGTGCCCTGGCTACCAACCACGCCTGAAGTGGTCCACCAAATATGAGATGCGTGCAGTCACAAGCGGACCAGACAATTTTGTCCAGCTTGTTACCGCCGCATCGGAGGCCATAGACGAAGGCACCATCCAGGATGCTCGCATTCCCATCTCGCAGGCAGCCGTACCCCCTAACAGCAATCCAGAATCGCAGGACTCAAACGGGTTCGATACGGATAGGATGAAAAATGCCGCCTCACAAAGCCAGTTGACATGCAACAACCACGCGCGCCGGCTCTCGGCGAATATCAAAATTCCGCAGCAGTACTCACTCATCCAATCACGCTGTCAGAGCCCTGATCCGTCGAGGGATACTGTTCCGCTAGCACCACCAGGAATGAGCTCTGTTGAGGTGGATTCCGCCTGTAGCGATATCCCCGAGAGCCCGACGGCTACGAATGCGAATGGTGACATATACCAGTATGACCTTTGCAACGAGCAGAAGAAGTTCATACGGGTGGACGCACTCACTCGGCATCACGGCACCTGCCACCCAGACATTCAGAGCGTAGGACAGCAGCGGCCGACGGATAAGCAGCCTCAAACTGCGACATTGACTAACCCGGTAAACTTTAGCCAGCCTGCCTCTGTTGTGTGCGAGAGAGTGAGCCAATCGCGGCTGTGTTCCTCTGAGAGTTCAGACAGACACTTGGTGATTACCTTTACCAGGCAGAACGACGGTAATCACTTGAAGGTCTTCCGACAGCCCCCGACATTGCATTCTGGTATCGATACACGCTCGTTCCCGATTAAGGGCTCTGATATTTCGCCCGCTGTACTGGACAACCTCTTGGAACGCTCTTGCTCTCGGCGCCTCTCAAGCACGGCTACAGACAAACAGCGAGGGCAAAAGCGAGGGCAAAAGCGACGGCTTTCGGAAGGGCAGACAACTATGGTCCTACGGCGCTCGAAGAGAACAGTAAGTCGGCTTGTCGCGATGAGCATCGCATCATTCTGCTTTTGCTTGATTAACAGTTGGCTCCAAAGGTTGCACGGACTTGCGAGAACCGCGATGGCGCCGACGGAAAATGCGACTATGAAGATCCATATAAGCAATGTAGCGAGAAGGCTTTGGAACGTGGATACAAGAGGTGAGCCCCGGTATCTGCACGATTGAGGTGTTTGACTAACACGCCTTAGCGTCAATCCACAAGCCCAGCTTGACCGGATTGAAGACGGCATGAAGTATATCAAAGAGGTGCTGACGACTCTTGGCGGAGAGATGGAAATGTTGCGGGCCGAGGGGCGGGGTGCCTCAAAGTCCGAGGTTGGGTCTGGGAGAAACCACAGCCACCCCCATTGTCCGTCGCCATCGCCACCACCGCCGGGCCCTCCTCAGCCGGAGGATTATGCGGAGTATCTTGCCGACTTCCAAGAGCACATGCTACCGCTATGTCCTCTTCTCACGCCCGACGAGCTCCAACCCAATAAGTTCAGGTCGCTCTTGGATAGCGACCAGCCGGCGGAGAAGGCCGTCGCACTCCTTGTGTGCGCTTTGGGTGAGTGGTGTCAGGGCGCTCTGCAAAAGCGTCGCAGCAGCTGGCCAAGCGTTCACTACTCTGAGGCCATCAATATCGTGGAACATAATTGCGGGAAGAGTCAATACCATCTCCACGCTCACATTCTCATAGCACTGTATCGCGGGTTGTCCGGGGATGTTTATGGGAGTGGGAGCGCCATCGTAGAAGCAGCGCGTATTTTGCGCCATAGCCCGTTGCCCAAGACGCCGCGCCAGGATGTCAATGCAGAGGAAAACTCGCGACTGGTGGCTTCGTGGATTTGCGTGGGAATGGAGAGGTACGAACACTCTAGCCTCTTACAAAGTTTGCTAATATATACTGATATATGTAGTGACTTTTGTTGCTTGCTGCCATACCGCAAAATCCTTACGGGGGCTCGGATTAATATACCCATTCCCGTTGCTAAGGTGGCATCAGCGAGGGGCATTGGGCAGCCTACTATCGCGAACTTTTTCGCGTCTATATGGCTGTACCGTACATTGAACATCGCAGAAATATCCCCGGCAAACACAATAGTAAGACATCTCGAAACGCGCTTGCCACCAAAACTTCCTATCAACCTTGATGCCCCTGCGTCAAATATTACGACGGCACTCATTCAGGCTACGCGCTGGAATGTAGTGGTTGCAAGCTACATGCCGTCCATCCGCCGTTTCTGTCACAGTAATCTTACCCCTAAGGATTGCAAGATGGTAGAAGGAGGCATCCGTACTTTGATACGGAGTTTGGGAGTCTTCCATCATCTTCGCCCTCAGGCACTACGAATAGTGCCTAACGTTGTCGGGGTTGCTTATTGGTAAGACTACTTTCTTGAATATCGCCATTTGATGCTGACTCTTAGTAGGCAGGTCAGAAATATGTTGCTCCTAGAGAAGTGCCATAGCTGTGAGCGTGAGTGGAATTGCCTGGATATTGTTATGGACTTCGAGAAGCTCTTGGATCGTATAACCCTGTTTTTGAACGCCTTATCGGATGGACCGAGTGGTCTGGCCGTTGATATAGCCGCGCTAACGTCCCTGAGAGAGAGGGTGCGTTCTTGCGAGGTTAGTTCAATTGATGGCATTGCATGGGGTGTCCTTCGGGTTGATGGTAAGGCAATTACCTTTGGCGTGGACGACGATGAAGATGAGGCGGGAATAGGTGAGACGGCTCACGTAGATGTGGCATATTTGTCTACCTAGCTAACTTGAAGATATATAGAGCAATGGGAGCATGATACGGAGACCTCAGAAATTTACCAGCAGTGAGGGCTGGAGAACAATTGCGAGCGCGGATATAGGAACTGGAGGAACAGCTTACCTCTTCCAGGACATGGCAATTCACTTTGCTCGACAACCATCATGTTTGGATGGGTGAGGCCCGCCGAGTCTGGATTTAGTTGCCACCACCTTTCGGGGTTATTATGCACTGGGGAGCTCTCAGGCTTGGGGCTGCAGAGGTAGAGGTGCGGTCGCCGCTCTATCGATGCCTTGGACGTCTGACTCGGATTTGTGGTGTCCTATATATCTCTGTATATAGATACCATCCGATATTGGTTTCGTAGGCAGCATGATCCTCAACGAGAGCGCGCACCAAGCTGCACGGAAATAGACAGTGGGCCCTGAGCATGACACGCACACCCAGTTGAAAGAGAGACTCCCGGCATCGTACATCCCTATGGAATCCGAGCACTTGGTTGTTTCTGCTCTCTTATTTCTCAAGCTCTCCTCGATTTGGACCCCAAGCTGTGAGAGGGATGGTACTTGGAGCCCCTGCTGCTGCTATGAAGCTGCTCGAAATTGGAGCGCTACCGGCGCCTCCGACTGGCGCAGGCTCTGCACTAGCCTCTAAAGAAGGAAGTCGGTCGTACGTATGGTAGTCTTGGTGACCACGCGAGGGACTGTCCCAGGAATCGGGCTTCGCGAGGGGGCGGTTTGCGAGAAGCGGGAAACTCAGCCGCTCTCGCCAGACACCCGTCTGTAGCAATCCTCATGCCGGCATGGCCTCACCTCCGTTACCATCGAACGAAGGCGGGCGGGTAGGCAGAAGTTATTAAGCTGCTTGGAGGTCTCGTCTCATTGCCACAAGCTCCCTTGCTTTCCCACCTCGACCGCGTTCAATTGTCGCGGCTGCCCTACCCAGCTTTTCCCCGAGACATCTATTCCACGCGGGCCTTTCGGCACTCCAGTGAGTCAGAGTTCGTGCCACAGGCCGCCCTCCAGAGCTCGAGCAGAGCACCGACAGCTCTGCGCAAAGGCAGGGCGGAGCCAAGCAATCCCAGCCTGTCTGTCAGCTACCTGATAGCGAGACACCCTCGTCACCTGCCACCCAACCCTTCCCCATCATGACCCGACCAAAGGTCCCCGACGACAAGCGCCGGCGCACCGCCCAGGCTTGCAGTCGTTGCAAGCGCCGGAAGTCAAAGGTTAGTACTGTGTATATTGTCCCGGCTGGCCACTATCAGTCCGTCTCCATCTCTGTCTTGAGATTCTTACGTTAGCCTCGTGCTCTCCCCATTCTGTTTCTTTCGTGGTTTCATGCCCCCTCTACCCCTCCTTAACAATCCCCTACCCTCCAAGAGATCTTGTTGAGCAAAGAGACGCCGTATGTTATGTTCGCTTAGCATGAGACACAACTCTGGCCCCTCGAAACGTTACTCGAAGTGGCGGTAACTTGCTGTGAGATGCATTTTCGCTGATGCTCGTTGCTCTCAGTGTAACGGCCAGAAACCATGCCAGACGTGTACCAAGAGGGGTTGGACATGCTTCTATACGTCCAACGACGCGGCCGAGTATCCTGGTGCTGATGTCGGCGCGTCACCCACCAAGCGGCGCCATATCGACACATCTCCGAGGTCGATTGGCGCAGCCTTGGATGGTGCCGGGTCGTCTCCTCCCATCCCTGGCGGCCACAACCAGCCGCAACACTGGGGCGAGGACGAACTTGGTGCTAGCCAGCCCAACCGTGGGGATACGCCAATTTCGCCGCCGACGGCACAAATGACGCAGATGACACAAATCACACAGACGGTATATACAACGCAGCCAGTCCAGTCGCCTTCGACTCATGGACATGCTCCGAAGCCTCCGGTCTATAGCCCCCGAAGCCAACCCCCGCTGGCGAGCCCGAACGGGCGAAGCGAAGAGACTGATATCTACACCGAGGCCAGGATGTTGGAGGATCAAACTGGACGACTTCGTATGTAGCATATAGCACTGACCATCTGCTGCCAGGCGTTTTCTGACCAACTTGTCTACTCCAGTTTATATCGGAGATACCTCCACTCTCTCCATTCTCCAGCTGATCCGCATCATTGTCGAGGATACCGCCGGAGCCGATATTGCATCGCCGTTTATCTACGACCCCAAACGGCATCGCATAATGGAACACAGTATTGACTTCCCTGCAAATGCCGTGGTTCCTAGTCTCCTGCCCGACAGACAGACGGCGAACATTCTCATTGACTCGTACTTTACCAACGTCAGTTAAAGCCTTTTTACCCTCTGTCTTGAGCCTAGCAGACACTGATATACACTGGCTAGACGTGCGGCATAATGGAGGTATTTGACAAACAGTCATTTATGGCGTCCGTCGATGCTTGCTACAGATATTCCTCGGCCGCAAGCAACTATTTTCTGTGCCACCTGTTTCTAGTTTTTGCTCTGGGTTTGCTTTTTGCGACCCCAGTTCCCGGTAGCCCAGAGGAAGCCGTGATTGAAAAACAGTTGTCAGCGGGGCCGGACAGACCGGAGCTTTTTTTCCGAAGTGCCAGGTATATGAGCGACCGAGAGGCTGGTTTCGAGGATGCCGACTTCTGGTCCATCCAGACATTGTCTTTAATGACCGTCTATATGCTGTCTGTTTCCAAGCGGAATAGAGCCTATGCATACCTTGGTTAGTTTATCCAGTATGCCACATATTACGACATTCCCTAACGTCCTTACTCTTCATAGGCATGGCGGTCCGGTCGGCTTATGCCCTGGGATTACACCGCGAAGAGGCTATGTACAAGCTCATCTTCTCACAAGCAGAGATGAAGATACGGCGAAATATGTGGAAGACGCTGTTAATTCTCGATCGCCTCCTGGCTGCCACCCTCGGGAGGCCCGCTGCCATCTCGGAAGACGATTGCCCATAAGAAATCATGCCTGGAAATGACTATGCAGATAGCTTTTTGGCGGCCAACGAGCCAAATCCGGATTTTGTTCACGCCGAGTGTCTGAACGTATGTGTTCGTTCATGTCATGTCATTAGGGTCACCCTGAGAGTCCTATCACAAAGAAATATATCAACCACCATAGTCCAGGAGATTGCCGATATGTCCAGGGACTGGAACGAGGGCCCACAAGCTAACCACCAAGGGCGCAGAAACCATTGCCTTCGGTGGATGCCACACAAGGTATTGCAAACCTACACGCAGGTCTTTTTTCCTTACACTCAATAATCCTCCTAACCCGACAGCTCTTCGTAATGTACAGCTGGAAGCTACAAAAGCATCGCTCTGGCCTTGATGAGGAGATACCAAGTTATGAATCACCAATAGCCAAGTACTCCGAGGCGTGCGTGGTCGCATCATATCAGACAATCCAGTTGATCCAAAGAGCCAGAGAAGCGAGGCATCTTCCACAGAGGAACCCTTTTGTCATGTAAGCTTACGTCTCTCTCAAAGACGCGGTTATATTAGTGAGGCCATCTCCTGGCCGGCCTCTAAGTCGTACATTTCGCTAACCTGCACTTAGATACTTCCTCTTCGTAGCGAGTCTTAATGTCTTCATGAATCAGTTTGCATGGCTGTACCACACAGACGCCTATGAGAAGACGGCGACGGATGCCATTTCGATCATGGAATATTGTGCTCAGCGCGATCCACAAGCAAGCAGAGTACTCGAGATCATGAACGGATTTTCGGAAGTCGTCGCAAGGTGGCCAAGAGATCATGCGTACCACGCACCACCTCTCTCAACCAATCTCAGCAACCTGTTTAGTCAACGGCAACATTGAATTTGACTTTGACGGCTTGTGGTCCAATTGGATCAACCAGTCTGGCCTGACTAACAAGTGGGCTGCAGGGGCCGCCTCAGGTATGCAGGTAGTGGGGGCTGTGCATGAGCAAACGAAGGTGGAAGGGGCGTGATATTACACGGATCTTACCAGAGCCGCGTAGGTCAGGGGTGCCACGGAACGCTCGCTAAATTACAGCTGTATATAAACAACGACGTAGTATTACCAAAATTACAATGGGAATGCCATACCTTTCCTCGTTGGACGAATACACGGGTCGCCATAGACCGCGGGGAACGGAACTGGTCGGCTGGTTAGAGATTCCGTAAACCCCCACGTATATACCATGCCGTAATAAGAAGAGCCGGGAGACGCCATGAGAGACATGGAAGGTCTTCAAGAGATGGGTGATCTTGAGGTGCTCGGGGATGAGCTATTAGCCGGCTTTTCGAAACCCTTGTAAGGTGGATATTTGGCTACTAAACTGACGATGCAAGCTAATTACGAGGCAATCGGCACCGCAGCTTTGAAGCCACCTTATCCTATTATGTAATATGCAAGGGCTATAAAAATGGCTATGAGGGCCTCTGGCAGAGTGCTGAAGTTCTCACTTATCTTGGTACAACCAAGCACACCCCCGCCTTGAGACGAGACGCAGCGCAATCAGCAATCCTCCACCTCTTATCGTTCCTCCTCCCAGCCTTGGCTCGTATTCCACTTAGTTTTCTCCTCATTCTAGCAGAAATACGGTATTAGCAGCATGGGGGAAGCTGTTTGTGCGCACTCTTTCAAGATAATCAAGTCGGGTACCACGTTGTTACAGTGGAACTGTTGGATATGCTGCTCTGGACCTCACTGGTGGATCTTCCAATGTAGATACTGCGGGGCTACATGGTGCCGTCCCTGCCTAGAAAATGCTTAACTTGGGCCATATGTTTGTACAAGTTGAGTGGTGGTACGGATGGCCGAGATGAGGATGACTATGAAGACGTTAGGCGGTCTCAAAAAGACGGCTGATCTTACGGCGCTCCGGGATGGGCCAGGGGCAGACTTTTGAACCAATGTAAGGAGAATCACTTTTTGGGTAATAATTGACAATAGACGCTAATTCCTATCTAACTTGGCACTGTAATTAGGTTCAAACTACCCGCCGTCCCTCCCCCGGGCTCTCTCCATCTAATATATAACTATCCCGCATCTTGATAGTAGTTCAAAGAGTATTATTCCTCTCTCAATCATTCCGTGCCCCCCCTTCCCTAATGGCCATTATTCTCCACTGGTTTAAAGCGCTTCCAATCCAGACTTAGCTGCTCTTGCACTTCCTAGCGTGCGTAATTTGCATTATTTATCTCTCACTAACAGCTCATGCTGTAGCGCGTTCTGGGCGAGCGCTCTCTGTTCTTACGTGACGACAGCAAAAGGAGGAGCCCGTACTAAGTTCGGATCTGGGTGTATGGGATGTGAGTGAAAGCGCCTATCCTCTTCCTTACTCGGTGGTCACTAACAACACTATCCGCTTAGCCATGTAGACGGCAACGCCATCATCCGTCCACGGGTAGCTGACCTCGTTGATGGAGTTCCAGGAGCGCGTTGATTGCCCCATGGACGAGTACCCACCGCCCAGAGTCATGGATAATGAGTCGAGAGAACCACTGGGGCCGCGACAGTGCTCCCAGTTCGGAGGCCCACAGGCACATGACGCTTTCCAACAGCCAGGAACCGCTAGCGAGTACTCGCTCTCATGTTAGACATCACCCCACCCAAGCAGCTTCAGCGACGCATGTTCTAACAGACAACAAAGCGGGTAGCACGACGGTTACGTCGCTGTCCTCGGACCCAGATGTCGCGATCAAGCCCGACCGGGACAACGACACCTTCTTGCAGGTCTGTCGGCAGCAGCTCTCTGCCACCATGCTTGTTAAAAAGCCGAGCGCCCCTTCATTGCCTATGAGAGTCGGCCCCAACGGCACACACGCCGCAGCGATTCTGTGCTGTCGAACTATTAAGCAGGTAAGAGACTCGTCTGGGTATGGAACGCCGCTTATATATAGCAGACGAACGAACCGATCCCATATGACGTCACCTACCTGGCTGAGCTCCCATCGAGTGATGAGGCTTGGGTGCCTTGTCTTGTTCCAGCGTTCGACGAACGTCCCTGGTCATTTGCGAAGCATTTCCCCGGAATTCACGGGGTTGGGCAAGCCGGCAAAAATGTCGAAGTAGCTATCCGGGAATCGTACGTATCGTGGCTTATTAAGAATGGCTTCCTGTTCGAGCAATTGTCCGTAAGCGACCGCCAATGTCGTGGTGTGATGGGGAGGGGAGGTGTGTGGGCATACGACACGCCACAGGCGATTGAGACGGCGAAGTGTTGGCTCCTACAGGCTGCTTTCCAAGGGCTATCCTCTGGACTCGGACGAGGGCTTGATCGGTACTATCGCAACCTGGCGGCTTGTGGGGGCTTGCATCCGGCGATCGAGTGGACAATTTTGATACGCGACATAGTAAGTCAGGTGGTCTGCTTATGGAACACCCCTGGATTTGGAACAAGGTTTGTCATCAAGGACTTGCCGCTCGCCACCCAACTCACCTATTTCAATCGCTTGCAACTCGACCAATTCTGCTTCAATACTTATCTTCTTTTCTCCATTCAATTGAAAAATGAAAGATGAAGCGATATACTCAGTTGGATTTGCAGAATGCGCTGGCAGAGTATGCAGAAACCGGCTTACTCCGTAGCTCTGCTGAAAATCACGGCATCCCCCCTACTACTCTCTTTAATCGGGTTCGTGGTTCCGAGCCAGCCTCCAAGGCCCAAATTCTTAATCAAAAGCTTTCTCCGGCTATGGAAGAACGCTTAACCGAATGGATTCTATTCCAAGGGTCGCTCGGTCACCCTCCAACCCACGCCCAAATTCGGAAACTAGCTAGAAGAATGCTCGAAGATAACGAGACCCTCGGAAAACGCTGGACTAGCCGGTTTTTGGCTAGAAATCCATCTATTTCTACAATTAGGCCTCGGAGAATCCATGCAAACCGTGCTGATCGAGCCTCTGAGGCCGTTATCCGGTCTTGGTTTGACTATTTGAAGCCTCCAGGCGTGGAGGCTATTCCAGCCAAGCATAGGTATAATATGGATGAAACTGGCATTGCTTCTGGCATTGGAGATAACGGCCTGGTTGTTGGATCTAAGGAAAGAAAGAAATTCCAGAAAAAGAAGAAAGGAGACCGAATTTGGACCTCGATTATCGAATGTATTTCCGCTGACGGCCGGTATTTGAACCCAGTCGTCATTTTCAAAGGTGGAAGCCTTCAACAACAATGGTATCCACGCGATTTACAGCCATTTAAGGGCTGGAAGTGGAAACCCACTGAAAACGGCTGGTCTGACGATGATACTGCCGTCGCATGGCTCCGCAATATCTTTCTTCCAGAGACTCGGCCAGCTACCCCCTCGGAGAAGCGCTTCCTTATTTTAGATGGCCACGGTAGTCATACCACCGAAGAATTCATGTGGCTAGCCTTTTCTAATAACGTACAATTGTTATTTCTACCAGCCCACACCTCCCACGTTCTCCAGCCCCTGGATTTATCGGTTTTCGGCCCTCTAAAAGCCCGGTACAGAGCCAAGCATAACGAGGTTGTTTCCGGCTTCGACGAAGGCACTGTTGCTGAAAAGAGGGCCGGCCTATATGGTTTACCCCTAAAAAGCCGAAGGATTTCCGTATTCAGGGGCAGGTTTTTCTAGCCGGCCAGAAACGGACTGCCAACGACCGACTTTTCATACGCAAGGCCGCAAAAGCCTTCGATTACGTGGTTTTCCAACTAGCCAATACGGCGCATCAATTGGAGGTTACAGAAAAAAGCCTAGAACGCACAAGAGGCCGAAAGAGAAGGAAGGTCCAAGTCGACCCTAATACGCAGTTCGCTGGAATTGAGGAGGTTCGTGCCTCACAGAGAGAGGCTGGCAGAGAGGACCTTAGTTATTCTAAAAGAGAAGAATCAGGAGAATCCGATACTGAAGACTTCATCATTGTAGCTAATTAATTGACAAAGTTGTTGGCAATTGAAGTTTGTGGTGTTGTGCGGGGTCCGATTCAGGGGCTGTTCCATAGCAGGGGTGTTCCAAAAGTCCCCCACCTGACTTAGTATGTCCCTGGATTTCAGCTTCTAGGCGGGTTACTGACATTATCTAGAATTCCGACCGCCAGGTCCTCTGCCAGCTTCTGCTGCGCTGCGTATTCCTCGGACTGTGCCTGCTCAGGGATTACGACAGCGCTCCTGCCCTCGAGGTCGTCAACAAGACCGTAGACGATTGGGTCCAGCACTTTCGGCAGCTCGGCAAGAAGAAAGCCGTATGGTTTCCGGTGGGAGATTGGCAAGCGGAGTTGCATAGAGTATCGCTACTTCGTGGTGTCCTCGAGTCGGTCAGTGGGCAGAGGGATATACGGCAGCGCTGCTTTGATACGGCCTGGTCAGCTAACAAGAGTTTTGCGGCATTTGGCGACATCTTCGGCCTCGACCCTGACCTCACGGAGCTGGCGTCGTTTGGCAGCTTCGATGCAAGGAGGATGGAGGCGATTCTCTTACAATCCGGTGCAATTCTGGGGTCTGAGACGCCGGTGGATTTTGACGTATTATCATGTGAGCGACTGCTGCAACACATCCCGATTGGGGCTCCGGATGAGGTTTGCAGGATTCTGCAGACAGAATTGGTTCACAACATTGGATACGGAAAGCTGAATGAGATTCGGCTCACGATGTAAGAATGCCAAACCCCCATGTGCCACCTCTCTAAAACCTGTGCTTACCAACAGCAGATCAATACTACATCGCGAGGTGTCTTCGCTCAAGGATGGCGGGGTTAATATGCTGGTGCTTATATGCAGTATTGCTCGCTGTTCTACAGCTGAGCCCGGGCTACGCAGCTGGCTGGCCTCACGGGAGGGCGAGAGTTTCTACCAACACACGCTGGAGAGAATGCTCGAGTCACGGAGCCCGGAGCTGAAGGTCTTGGTTGTCACGGCTCTGCTCTGGCGCAGCCGAATTCTCTCCTTGAGCACTGACAGGTGTTTGGGTCCTACGCATGGTTCATACTTACTTGATTTCAACCAGTTGCTACGCGGCCGGGCCGGTCTGAACGAGCAAGCCGTGTGGGAACGGATGGCTCTCTCGTTCGAGCGTGTCATGGGTGACGGATGCCATCCCGCTGTCCGCTACTACCTCTATGATGCCATTAAAGCGAAGGCAGCCAGAGACTTGCCACTTGATATGATGGACGGGCTATCTGACAAATACTGTTCATATATGATGGGCCCTCTGCAGCACGTAGATGCTTGGACAAAGACTTGTCGAGAATTCGAAAGCCGCGTTGACCGGCACAATGACGTCCGGAGCGATGAGTGGATCGTGGTGGGGGAAGACGGATACAGCGGATCATAGGACGCTCGTCGAATTACAGCTGTATATAGATATTAACGTAGTATTATTGAGAACCCAATTTTGGGCATCGTCCACTTAGGTACTTAAGTTCATAATATGGATTCGTAATATCTGTCACAGTACTAGGTGCAGCTCAGACAAGAGAGCAACAAGGTAAATCAGCTGCATTTTCCCTCGACGTTGCACATTGGGCTTGCTATTTTCTCGGCAGGCGTGTGGGGAAAGGCGTGACGTCAGCCGCTATACCGAATTCGTGAGTGGTGTGAAAACACCACTCTCGAATTAGGTAGCGCACCTTTCCAAATGGGCAAGGACGGCAGCTGCAGACCTACGCGTGTACACTAGAGCGTGGCCCTTCCACAACGCCCGCTCCGGGATAAAGTATACCCAAGATTTTTATTCATCCATATTCTACTAGCGGCAGCCACCTCCTTCGTTTCTTGCACACCCCGCCCGCCATCAAACGCAACCTCGGCTTTG